AGCTGTCAGCTTCGACAACGGTTTCACGATCAGGGTCCCACTGCGTGAGGACCGGGTACGAGATGAATATACTCTTCATATCTTGGAAAGCCTTCTCCTAGTCGGGCCCCCAGCGGAATGGGACATCCTTGCGCGTGAGCTGGGTGAGAGGTGTGACCATGTCGGAGTAGTGGCTTACGAAGTCCCGGTAGAAGTTAGCAAACCCTAGGAAGCTCCGTACCGCGCGGACATTACGGGGAGTTTCCCATTCGGAGATGGCCCTAATCTTCTCGGGGTCGGGTCGGACTTCCTTTCCAGCCTTGACGATGAAGCCGAGGTACTTTACTTCCTGCACCGCGAATTCGCATTTCGCACGATCCAGGAATAGTCCGGCGTCTAATAACCGTCCTAGAACCTTGCGGACCTGGTCCATATGTTCTTCGCGGCCCCCAGAAGTGTAGATCAGTATATCGTCTAGGTAGGCTGTAACCGAGTCCATCAAGTCGTTACCGATAGCCCGATTAATATACCTCTGGAAGGTAGCCGGTGCTCCGGCTAGGCCGAATGGTGTAACGAGCCACTCAAATAATCCGAACCTTGTACGGAAGGCTGTTAGGTACTCTTGGCCAGCCGCGACGCGGACTCGATGGAATGCAGCCCGGACATCCAGCTTTGTTAGCCATTTCGCGCCGGAGAGGTTCCGTAGCGTTTCCTTGATAAGGGGAAGCGGGTATCGGTCCTGGACTGTAATCTTATTGAGGGCGCGGTAATCTACGCAAAACCGCCACCCCCCCCCGGGTTTCTTTACAAGAAGGACTGGGGCCGCGGTCGCAGAGGAACTTGCCCGGATCCAGCCCTTATCCTGTAAGTCGGTAATCTGTCGTCGGAGCTCTAAGAGGTGATCCCTTGGCATATTGTAGAGCGGCCCCACCGGTAACTCGTGATCCTTTCCCTCCTTATCCTTCTTAAGGCGGATATGATGGTCCATAGGGCCCCGATGAGGGGGTAGCTGAATTGCGGTATCCTTATCGAACAGCTGCGTAAAGCCTCTAAGTTCCGGGGGAAGCGGTTTCTCCTCGGGCTCGACCGGGTTCCTCGCCCGGATCGCCGTATTAATATCGTGGATACTAACCGCCATTACAGTCCTTCCCTCCTGGCCCCCTTTCCGTAGGAGGCGTCTCATTACCGAGCCCGAAACTCTAGTTAGGCGCGAGCGCCCACCCCTCTGTTCGGAGGTCCTTACTTCGAGGTCCCAAGCCGCACCGATATTCAATGTTCTCCTCTGGGCGTCCATCCGTACTCCCCAGCGTTTAATCCACGGGAGGCCTAAGATTAGGTCTCGGGAGAGCCCCGGGATAACGTAGAGGGCGGCTGGGCATGTCCATCCATCCACGTCGAGGTACGTGCGGACGAACGTTTTGATTGCCGGGGCGCGGGGAAGGTTCCGTGCTACCTTCAACTCCCGCGGCGAGTGGAGCCTGATTCCTTTCAGACCGAGGCCTCGTGCCGCCTCCTCGCTAATTGCTCCGTAACAGTCACAACCGCTGTCGATTTGCACGTCGAAGGTTTTCAGGGAATGGACTAATATCGGCACTAAGAATGGTAGTTCGTTCATTTGCGCTTCTATCTTCCGAAATTCCTCCGCCCCTTGGGGACCCTGTACTTCGACTGATTGCGGATGTGACCCTGGTCGCCTTGGCCGGAGACTTAGGCCAAGGTCTCCTCGTTTTTTGTGTCTTCGCGGTCCGACTCCGGGTCGGAGTATCCCTCATCCACGGTCAGTGTCCGTACTGCCGTCGAGGGGCGTATCGCGGGGGCGAGGTTGCAGTCCTGAGCGAAGTGTCCTTTGGCTCCGCAACGTAGGCAAGCCCCTTGCTTCCTTCTTTCGTCGAGGATCTCCTTCGAGACCCAGTTAGCCCTCCGTTTGGGCTGCCCGTTTCCGCTCCGTGGTTGGGAGCGGCCCTGGCTTTTCTTACTGGTGCCGTGTTGAGTTAACGCGTTAACTCCTGTCATCCGAGTATCACCCTCGTTGTCTACGAAGCGAGTCCGCCTCGGGGTCGGCGCATGGCTTGGGTGATAGCGAAACCGTTCTTCCATTCGATACGTTTCGATATCCGTCGCGATCGATCGGTATTGGTTGACCGCCAATTCGTAGTTATCCCTGGAGACCCCGGCTCCTACGCTCTTTTCGCGGATCTCCGAGGAGAGGGCTCTTCGGAGACGGGATAGGCGTATTCCGGCCGACCATTCGTGCCCCCCGCTAGGGCCATTTTTTGCTCGAAGCGCACGAAGAATGTTGCGAAGGACTCGTTCTTTCCTTGCCGAAGATTGTCGAGTTCCGCTTCAGCAACCTGCTGTCGGTGGGGGTTCCCGAAGACGGTCTCGAGATACGATAGGAATGCGTCCGTGTTATAGCCTGTCCCCTCCCCTGCTGCTTCGTAGTAGGCCGCGACTTGCGCCTGGACCTTAGGGGAGAGATTCTGCCATAGGTACACCCATTGGTCCTCTGCGGACCCGATGAAGTGCTGGTCGGCTGTAAGCTTATGTCGGATAGTAATCTTCCAGGCCGCGAAGGTTTGCTTGTCGCCATTATAAGGCTCTCCTTTCGGGAGCGGTTTCCGTAGGGTGAGCGGCGGTGTCGGATTAGGGTATGGGCGAGTCGAGTTGGCGGGATATTCGCGTGCCGGGCTTATCGAGGGCGGGGAACGCCCTGCACCGTCCGTATTTGCGTCGCCGGGTGCCCTTGAAGGGAGCGGTGTCTGCGCTGCCCGCAGTTGTTCGATTTCGACGCGCATTCGGCTGAGTCGGTCTTCGAACGTATCGATGCCTGATTGGTGATTGGATGGGGAGCCGCTAGGGAGGGTTGCTTCGTACGTGGCGCGGAGGTCGCGCATCTCGATCTGCATAGCGTCGAGCCGTGCTCTTAGCTCATCGACCTCGGCCATATCCGAGGACGAGGAAGTTCGTAGTATGTTAAGTACTGGCCCTAGGTCTGAACAGATACTAGGCGTATTAGATTTACTACGAACTTGGGAAATAAAAGGAGGTAGTTCGCACTCTCCGTGAGCGCGTTACGGTTTTGTTAACCCCCCCTGTCTCCCCTTTTTTGACCCACCTAGGCTCGGGCCAGAGCCCGAGCCCGTAACATTTACTACCTAAACTAGTAACGTAATCCACGGGTAAGCGGGTCACACGGGTGAACGGGTCACCTTCCAGTAACTCGTACGACAATATATAAGACAATTTAACCACAACGCCTTAAATCAATTCAAACTATTCAGAATCCTCTTCTTCAGAGGCAGATACAACTTTCTGACACGTACGAGCATTATGACCGGGCTCGCCGCAGACGCCACATCGTCGCGCGCGCGTTTCGGGCCTCCTCGTACGACCACTATTCTGACTCGTTTCCGCTATTAACTGCTGCGTCGCATCGATTTGAGCCTTCAAATCCTTTACCTGATCAATCGTGAGGGACCCTCCTTTCTATAGCTGCTTTCTTTTCGTACGACGACGGCGGCTGAGGCGGTCATTTGCATCTCGAAGTTCGGCGAGCTCTTGGCGCATAAGGTCATGCTCGTGTACCATCATTATAACTCCTTTTCTCAGCTGCCGTAGGCTCTCAACAATGGACGACGGTGAGCTATTCTGGTGTCGTACGATGCGATTTTCAATATACTTCGTCTGCGATTCGGTCTCAATTAGGTTGTTCGGCGTCTTTGAAACCCATGGGGGTGGTAGTCCAGCAGAGGAACCTGGTGGTGTCGGCGTATGAAACTTCATATCTAGCTGCGAAATCACATAATTCGGGTCGTACGGTACTAGGCCTGTCGCTCTGAAGCCTGCCTGGATGTTTGATTTGGTCATTGCAGCGTCGTACGCCTTATAAAAGGCTGGGAGGAAGTCCTCCTTTGAAACGTGGGTTACGTGCGCCCGCATTAGACCTTCGATTTCTTTACCGTACGCCCGTTTCAGAGGTCCAAAACACCCAACATCGAGAGGCTGGAGCTTATGCGACGAATGAGCAGGCATACAGAGCGTGACAATATTCTGTTCCTTGCAGTAGAGCTCGAAATCGACGGAATGGTAGCTCTCGTAGCCGTCGAGGATGAGGAGGCGGTAAGTGCCCTTCGTACGACTCTTTATATAGAAATCGAAGTGTTTTACCCACTCTAGGCCTCTCTCGTTCATCGTCCAACCGTTCTCTAAAAGCGCGATTACCCAGTTAGCCGGTAGAGGGCTATTCGCGGTCCAGGAGTCGAGGTGGACCTTCCCTACGAAGATGATATACGGCGGGATCGAATAGCCGTACGACGCAATGCCCTGGATTACTGTAACCCATTCCTAATTCCCTTGTTGTACGGCTCTTGGCCTCCCGCGTCGATCGGAGGTCGTAACGATAGTTTCGGCGGAGATTTTACCCATCGCGAAGCCCGTTTCGTCGAAGTTGTAGATATCGTCATTGTGGATCCCGTATTTCGCGATTATGTTTCGTACGAGCTCAAACCACGCGCGATACGCGTCCGGATCCTCGCAAAGGACCCTCTGGTAATCGATTCTTCGATTACAACGCGTACGGAGCTCAGGTCGTCGTTGTACGAAGGTTGAGGCCCAGTTCGTTCCAACGCGTGGCGCGTCGCGTACGCGGAGGAGTCGATCCGCCATTTCTCGAACACCACTTAACCGCGGTGGAAACGAACGCGAATCTAGGTCGAGTACGTATCGTACGATACTCTCCTCTTCGTATGAGGTTAATTTCTGGCAGGGTGGTCGGGTGTCGTGTTTCGCAGCTCGGCCGTGGTATCGTTGCTGGAGTGTCGTACGAGATACATTATAGATCTGCGCAGCCTTTCGTACGCTTAATTTTGGGTCGGATTGGAGCGCATTTAACGCTAGAACCAAATCACTTTCAATTGATTGTCGTCCCATGATTGGAGGTGGAGAAAAAGGAGAAGGAAGTGAACCTCAATTAAATTGCAGTAAAGTGACCCGTTCACCCGTGTGACCCGCTCACCCGTGGATTACGTTATATATACCTTTATTTATAATTTTCCTAGCTTAACTATTCTTATCGTTTACGAATAGACTTAACTAGGCCTTTATATCTCTTAAGATAAAGAAGTTATAAGAGTATGAAAATCCTTACATAAGCAGCGATAAGAAATGACCCGTTCACCCGTGTGACCCGTTCACATGTGGACTACGTTATCTACTTTGCTGGTTATGTTGGACATTTGACCTTTAATCATGCTTGGCGCGCTTCTCAACATCCACGCCACCACCACCACCAGTGTCTCCGTCTCCTTGCCTGGCGGTTGTTTGTCTGGCCCCGTGTCTTGCCGCTTCCTCAAAGACAGTGCTGCTCCCATCACCAGTACTGCTGCTACTACTCGAGCCATCGTCTTGTCGGCGAAGAATGCCACCGACGTTGGCATCCCGGCTGTCGTTGACCTGGAAGCTGAAGTCCACCACGCCCACGAGATCGCTGATGTCTGCCGCCAGGCCCTTCAGGTCGTCACAGATGAGCGTCGAGCACACCTGCAGGACCGCAAACTCGGCGTAGCCGCTGTCCGTCATGTGCTTGGCATCCAGCAGCTCCAGCCCCTTCCGGTTGCCCTGGCTGTCGCGCATCTCCTCGAGCATCCGCGTCAGCGCGTACGGCTGGGGCGAGGGGAGGTTTGGCGGCAGGGAGTGGCCCGAGTCGAGCGCGTTGGAGAGCATGACGAGCGTGCAGATGATGTCGTCCTGGGACTGGTGCGACTCGGCCAGCAGCCGGCGCATGGCGCGCATCCAGGTCGAGCTCAGACCGCCGCCGCTGCCGCCGTCGCCGGAGGACCCGTTGCTGGAGCTGTAGGCCGGGTTGTCAATGGTGTGCTCGATCAGAGTGAGGTACGAGTTGATGCGCATCGACCGGAGGATGATGTCCTCGTATGTTTCCCGGGGGAATGCGCCGCCGATAGTGGGCTCCCACTTCTGGAACTCTGCGTGCTGGCGCAGCGACGGCAACAGGAGCATCAGCTTTGCGCTGAGCCGCCGCTGCTGTTTCGTCAGCGTGTGCGCGAGCGTGCCCTTGATCTTGGAGTCGCCGCCCTCTACGCCGTCAAGGGTCACACGCATCTTCTCCTTGATCACGCCAAAGTACTTGGCGAGGAGGAACAAGGTGGCCGAGAGGTCGCGGCGTAACCAAGTCCGATCTGTCACCGGAGACGGGAAGATTGTCCAAAGGAAGGCGACAAAGCAGCCGCCTGCGACGGTGGCGACGCGGTAGGGTGCCAATTCGTAGATGCTGCAAGCAGGCTCTGTCAGCGTTGAATGTGGTGATATGGGAGAGAAGACCGCAGTCGTTGACACACGGGGAACACTCACGGATAATATGGCTGTCCATTACGCTCAGACAACGCAATGCCGAGTTTTGCAGTTTGCAGCTCGTAGCCGATGATCAAGACGTGAGTGATGATGCAAATGATGGACGCCTGTAGGTAAGCTGGGTACTTGAAGAAGAAGAAGTACTCAACCGAGAGGAAGACAAAGAGGAAAACCAGGACTCCAGGAGTTTTGCCGTTGACGATATACCAGTTGACGAGCGAAACGACCATGGCTACGATGGTGCCGCCCACACGGCAGAAGAAACCATATATCGACTGGCCAGAAGCTGTCGCAACACTCTTGTCAGTTCGCAGTTCGCGCACAAGGTCATAAAACAATCGTTCTGACACGGAAGAACTCACTCTGCGTCATTGCAAGTGCTACCATGATCATAGCCCACACCAGCCGCTGCTCCTGGAAAAACACATGGGAATCCTCAAGGAAAGCGACAATGCCAATCGTCATAGTTGCGCACGCCACCCGCAACCCGAATGCAGACTCCTTTGACGAGATGACGCGCGAAATCTTTCGCAGCACATTGCCCGCCCGCTGCCACGCGGTGGTGGGTAGCAGGTGCTCTGGGTCCTTTTTGGAAAACCCGCTGCCAGTATAGACGACGGCGAGGCCTGGGTCGAAAAGATCGGCGTTCTGGTCTTGCGAGCGATCCTGGTTCTCGAGGATGCTCGTGATCCACTGCTTGAGCTTTTTGTTCTTGGGGACTATGAGGCGGTTCTTGGCCATGGTCCCGTCCTCGGTACGGTTATCCGCGTACTCGACGAGTTTGAGGACGGCGATGCCTGCGGCTTGCATCTGTCGGTTACATTAGCTAACTTTCCGCGTGGGAAAAAGTATCTGGGAAGGAGAACCTACCAAAGTCTCAATATAGAGAAGGATGAACAAATGCTGGCGCTCGTTCCTGTGCTTCTCCTCGTTCTTGGAAAATATGTCAATGTCCTCTGCGTGGTCGTGTGCCAGCCCAATTTCCCGAGCCCAGGCCTGCAAGATCTGCTTCCTGACAGTGTGGAATACCCGGAGCTTGCTCCTGAGTATATTCGCGAACTCATCGTCACCAGGCTTGACAAGATCACCCTTGGCCTCGACATCCACTTCGGCTTTGTCCTTCTTATCCTTGCTCTTCTTCCTCGCCGCACTCTTGGGCTTGGGTAGCAACTCGAGCACGATTCCGGCATGCTCAAGACCTTGGTCAATAGCTTCAGCCAGGATGCGGAACGGGTCATGGAGCTGCTTCATGACACTATTCCAGACCCTCTTCTCCTCCAGCTTCTCGCTCAGCAAGTCGAGATCAGTGTTCTCGTCCGTCACCCAGCCCCTCCTCTCGGCAATGCGCTGGAAGATGTCAATGATGGTGCCGATTCCCGACGTCGCGATGACGACGTCTCGCAGCAGCGCCGTGACGTGCTTGAAGTGCTTCGGCTGCAGCTTGCCCCAGGCCACTTCGCGCTGCGCAAATGGCAGGTCGACCTGGATCTTGCCAAACAGCTCGCGGATCTTGAAGATGGTCTCTTTGACGGCCTGGGCTTCTGCCTGCGAGTTGGGTGTGGCTTTCTTCTGATTCTTCCTCTTCTTCATCGTCGCATCACGGTCCCGCTTGCTCTGCTTGCTGGACTTATTCCTGCCCGCGTCGTCGAGACCGGTGGCTGCACTTAGGAACGCGGGCACGGCAAACATGTCCTCTCTCTCGAGACTCTCGAGATACGCCTTCTCCTGCTGGACGATGCCTCTGAGCAGCATGACGAGCCCCTTGAGCTGGCCCGAGGCGACCATGCGGCTGGACGTGGGGAGGATGAGCAGCGAGACGCCAATCGCAAGCCCAAAGGCCGTCAGCATGGCGGTGTAGAGCTGCTTCATGAACGCCTCGAGGGCCGGGACGCTGGTCATGAGGGGGCTGTACGTGGCCGAGATGTTGACCAGGATGGTGTACACGATGACGGGCAGGTTGAGGCTCGGGTTGCGGGCCCTCAGGAAGTTGCTGAACCAGATGTTGACGAAGAGCCAGATGCCTGCGACGGCGGACTGGCTCGAGTTGTACCCGGAGGGGCGGGACTGGGTGTGCTCGCGGGCCTTGTATGCGGACCAGAGGGCGAGGACGCCGACGGCGGCGCCAAAGCTCAGGCCCAGCAGGTTGAGCAGGACGCCCTGGACAAACTTGCCGCGGGGCATGATGGGCATGGCGAGGACGGAGATGATGCCAATGACGTAGCCGATGGTGACAAAGTAGCCTGCGACGGCGTCGGCCTGGAACATGGCGAGGGCGATGGTGGGGGCGACGGCGCCCTTGAGACACATGAGGATGATGAATGGCTCGATGCCCAGCCTGGCGAGGAGGCCTTTCTTGGGCATTGCGCCGGCTGCGGCTGCGGCATGGTTGTTTTCGGGCGGCGAGGGCGGCGCCGCCGTGCCGCCTTTTGGGTCGTCGCTGCTCTCGGAGGCGTGGTTGCCATTGTGGTCGGACAGGCTCGTGGCCTTGCCAGAGGTGTCGCCAGTGTCGGCCATGGCGTCGTGTGGTTGTGCGCCAGCTTAGAACATTGTCGGTCGGGAGCTAGAGAGGCACGTGTGGTTGTCAATGGTGCCGTCCGTCTTCTGACCCTGGGCAGGAGGAAAAGAGAGGGGAAGCAGGAGGTTCAAGAGCAAACGGCAGGATATTAGAGTGCACCCAACAACTCGAGGAACCCTGCCCGGCCGTGAAACCTTGTGGTGATGGCTACGGCCTACACGGGCTAGCCTTAGCGCGTAGCGCGCACATGCAGGCATGCCATTCGGCGATCTCTCCTCAGCCGGGAAAATCGACACACGTGCACAATTGTCCGTCCCTCAAGGCGCACCCACCTCGCCAGATCATTGTATACTGCGTCCCCCGAATTTTGACGCCGTGCCAACCCTCTCACACCATGCCTAGATAGCTACCAGAACCAAACGTCTGCTCCGAGTATCTGGGTGGCCTAGGTATTCGTCCTCTCCCGCTCCTATTGATGAAAATATCACACCAGTGATCTGACCTGCCAGGGGACGACCAGAAACGCGGGCTTACTAAGACAACGTCGCAGCTAGACCAGCACACGAGTCGTGTGCATGGACGCACAATGCACATCACAGCAATATGGCTTTTTGTTCTCTCTTTTTCCGTTACTGATCTCGAAACCCCCTGCTCCCCTGTTCCCCTTCCATTCTTGTCCTGATTGATCCCTGCCAAATGGCCAGGTACCACTCAGTTACACTTGTCTAATGGCGACCTCCAAAGACGGAGCTCCAGGGCTGTCACTCATTTGAATGCTATATGAGTACGCATCCCAGTCCGCGCCCCCCCACGCACCAATTGATCTCCCAGCGATTCCCTTGGCCACTGCAATGACCAAGAATCCAAGTCCTCCAGCAGGAACTCATTTGCTCTACCTCGGGACGTCCGGCCTGAAATGGAGAAACTGTGCTGGAGCTAAATATGGAGCTACGGTAGCTTGGGAGCTGGAGAGAGAAATGACGTCAAGTGCGGGACACAGCTCGGGGACAGCTGCTGTGTGTGCTATGCCTCAGTTGCTGCGGGTGGCTTTTCCCCTGATGCTTGGCGCAGCATGGCGGCTCCCCCACAAAGCCAGAACCAGACTGCCGAACACATGAGCACTGCTCGACAGTGACCACACCTGGCAAAGGACATGCCTAGAACGGGACGAAAAGATTCATGACAGGGAGATTCGGACCATGATGCCAGAGTCTGCTTTTTATTCCAATCAGAACACAATCACGGCCCACCGTGCCATGCTAATAATATACAGATGATCACCTAAGGGAAAAGGGTTCTAAAAGACTTGAAACCCCACGCTCGTTCTTCCCACGAGTCCAGTCTGTCCACCATGCTGTCTTCCCACCATTTCCCACTTCCACTGCAAATAAAAAGTAATCGCATCGTTCAAGCTGTCCATGAAGCTGCTCACCCATCCAAGGTCTGGTGCATGACATTGATCCGGTAGCTCTCGCTGCGCACCAGCAGCTCCTCGTGGCTGCCGCGGTCAACGCACCGCCCGTCCTCGATCAGGAAGATGACGTCGGCGCGCCGGATCGTGTGCAGGCGGTGGGCAATCGCCACCACCGTGATACCCCGCGCCGCCTTCTCCAGGCCGTCCTGCAGGAGCCGCTCCGACTCGGCGTCCAGCGCGCTTGTCGACTCGTCGAGCAGCAGCAGCCGCGGCCTGCGCACGAGCGCCCGCGCAATGGCCAGGCGCTGCCGCTGCCCGCCCGACAGCTGGCTCCCGTTGGGCCCGCAGTTGGTCGCGTACCCTTCCGGCAGCGCCGTGATGGTCTCGTGGATGTTGGCCAGCTCGCAGGCCTGCTCGATCTCGGCGTCGGTCGGGTCCGGCGCGCCCGGCCGGGCGCCGAGCGCCACGTTGAACCGGATCGTGCCCTCGAACAGCACGCTGTCCTGCGGCACGAGGCCGATGTCGTCGCGGAACAGGGGCTCTGATTTGGCAGTGACGTCCAGGCCTCCGACTTCGATGGAGCCGGACGAGACCGTGTACATGCGCTCGAGCAGGGACACAATGGTCGACTTGCCCGCGCCGCTGGGGCCGACGAGAGCGCAGAACTGGCCGGCGCGGATGTCAATGTCGAGGCCCTTGAGGATCTCCCGGCCCGGTCTGGCAGGATAGGAGAAGTGGACTTGGTTGAACTTCACCGGGATGCCTCCTGCGGTGGCGGGAGCGCCGCCCTTGGACTCGATGGCTGCCTCGGTGTCTCGCGGCTTCAGGGCTTTGCTGTTCCACGACTTGGTCGAGCCGAGATCGATCAGGTCGAAGATGCGACCGACGGCCCGGCCGGCTCTGGTCACCTCGGACGACAGCGTGAACACGGACCCCCACAGCTGAGCGCTGACGAGCAGGGCAATAAGCACAATGAAGAACTGCGTCTGCGTGTACTCGCCGCGGCCGATCAGGGTCGAACCCCACCAGTAGAGCAGCGCGTAGATGAAGTTGTTGAGACTGAAGGCGATGGCCAGCCACAGGTTTGACCAGATGCTGGAGCGGGTGAACTCCCTGCGCGGCGCAGCGAGTGCCCGGCGGTAGGTGTTCATGACCTCATGCTCAAGTGACAGCGCTGCGACGGTCTTGATCGAGTTGACGGCCTCGACCGTGATGCTGACGGACTTTTCAAACGCCTTTTCGTGCCGCTCGTTGAACCGAGCTTGAACCAGGATCTGCAGGCAGCCGGCGCCTAGCATCAGCGGGACGGTGGCCAGGCACACGATTGCAATCTTCCACGCAATCACGTGGGATAGGATGATGGCCGCGACAAAGTTGATGGCGATCGAAAAGATTGTTCCGATGATAGACCCGGTGAGCGCACCAATCGAGGCGGAGTCCGTGGTGAGGAATGTGAGCAATCCTGACGGACTCCTGCCCTCGGACTGGTGCCATTGAAGGTCCTGCTCAAACAGAGATCTGAAGGTCAGGATGCGGATCTTGTAGAGGACTCTCTCAGCCACGGCACCGAAGAACGACCAACTGATGCCGTTGGCGAAGAACTCGACGATAGCGAGGGTGAAGAACATGAGGCCAAAAAAGCTGCCCGCCACGCGGATAGAGTCGGGCGTGTTGCATGGGCTCAGTGCGCCAATCGTGTTTCCAAAGATGACGGCCGAGCCGGAATAGGTGCCGCCCACTACAGCTGCAGCGAGAATTGCGATGACGATCCACAGCAGGTACGGGCGCGAGACTGAGCTCATGCTCTTGATCGACTTCCAAGCCGGACGCGTTGCTTTGCTGTCCTTGGTTTGTGTCTCGGCCGGCTTGTCCTCCCCACCAGACTCAAGGTTGGTCTCAGCGTCCACTGCCTCGGACTCAACCTTCAAGGCATGCGACACTTTCTCGGAATCCAGGTCGAGGCTCTTCGAGTTTCTGGCAGTTGTTGTGCTCGATGTCTCGGAGCCGATGGACTGGAGACGGACCAACGCGGCATAATCAGCATCCTTGGCCAGCAGCTCGTAGTGTGATCCCTGCTCAATGACCTTGCCATTTCGCATGACCACAATCTTGTCGGCATTCCGGACCGTCGCCAGCCGATGTGCGATGGAGATGACTGTCCTCCCCTCCGTGGCCTTTTCAATGGCACCCTGGATGCGTTGCTCGCTGGCAGAGTCCAGTGACGAAGTGGCCTCATCGAGCACGAGGATCTTGGGATCCTTGACGAGGGCCCGAGCAAGGGCTACGCGCTGCTTCTGCCCACCGCTGAGCAGGTCCCCATTGGACCCCACGAGGGTGCCGAAACCGAACTCGAGACTGCCGAGGAAGATACCAGCATCGGCCAGGCTGGCAGCACGCTGCACCAGACGTACAATCTCCATGGCCTCCGGTCCAGCATCGCAAGCCGCGACCTCGAGGTCTTTGCCGCTGCGGACTGCTTCCGCGACTTCTTCCAGTTTGGTGCCGAGGAGCGTCGCCTGGAGGGACTCGTGTTCGGGACGACTCGAGTTGACCAAGCCGAGCGCGATGTTTTCGAGAAGAGATCGGTCGAGAAGCAGAGGATCCTGCTGCACCAGTCCCACGAAGCTACGCAGATGCCTGACATTGACTTGCTTGATATCGTGGCCGTCAACGCTGACAGAGCCCTCCAGTGGATCGTAAAGACGAGTGACGAGGCCGGCAATGGTAGACTTACCACTACCAGAGAGTCCCACGATGGCTGTGTGTTGGCCCGCTGGGAATTCCAAGGTGACGTCCTGGATGACTCGGACATCGGGTCTAGAGGGATAATTGAAGTGGACCTTGTCAAGTCTGACCTCGCCACGGAAGTTCCCGATTTTGTTAGAATGCCCGTCTACAGTGCCATCGATCTGTGAGCGGCGATTCATGTCCGCCTTGAGCTTCTCCAGCGCACCAGCCGCCGATGCGAAGAACTGAAGAAAGGGAGAGATCTGGCTGAGAATCAAGGAGGCTATCATATGGTAAGGTCAGCTTTTTTGTGTTTACAAGGCAGAATACCAGGAATGCTGAAGTCATTACGTACCATCAACAAGTAGAAAGATAACAGTGTATGTGCTGCCAACTGAAATACCGGACGTGATCCCAGCCACCGTATTGGCGATAGACTGGCTTGCTTGCCAGTAAGCCAAACCGCTAGCCGAGAAGGCAATAAAGTACAGCAGTCCAGACTGAATGGCAGCCGCAGTGGCCTTTCTAATTCCATGGGACTTGGCCCCCTCAAGACTCGTTGCGAACTTCGCCTCAAGGCGATCGTTTGCTCGAAACGCGTGAACGACCATGACATTGGAAAGGGACTCCATGGCGACTGACGAGGCTGCAGCCAGGGACTCGGAGGCTTGCGTGGCGTACTTGGACACAAAATGGCCGCCAACCCAAGTCATAAGTATGAAGCATGGGAGTAGGCACACCAGCATACCAGCCAGGCGAGCGTCTTTCGTGAAGGCCACAATGTACGATGTGACAAACATGGACGTTACACCAATGTACGTGCCAACCTTCTCCGAGGTGCCGGCCTTGATCGTCGCAATGTCGGCACTGAGCCGCGAAGAGACCTCCCCAGCGGGAAGCTTGTCAAAGTAGGAGACTTCCTGCCGAAGAATCGAGCGAAAGTACTTTTCGCGAAGACGATGGGCGAGCCGGTCGCCGAAGAGGTTCCAGCAAGTCATGTGTACGTAGACGCCCGTGAACTGTGCCAGGCCGAGCACCACGATGTAGATGATCTTCTGGTTGGTGGACTGCTGAAGCTCGGCAGATGGGGCAGATGAAGCGCTGACATCGCATGTGGCAGCATTGAGATCGTCAATGACCTGGCCGAGGAAGATACCAAGGATCGGAAATGGCACGCCCGAGCCAATAGCGAATATGGTGCCACAAACGAGCAACGCGATATCGATCTTCGCCGGCTCTGCGTAGGTCAGAAGGTGGAAGTACCGGAAGAGACCACGAACGAACTGGTCCATAGTCAGCGTAAGGCAGTATATGATTTGCCGTCTCGAACCCATTTACCTTGGAGAGCCTGGAAGGCTCTGTCGCTGGCTTAGCCACATCGCCGCTGGATACACACTGCTGATTCTCCAAGCGAGGTTGACCTCCGGCCTCAGCCTTGCCAACCGCGGCTCCTACCGGCTCCGGGTCTATGCTCATCTTGCAAGATCGGTCACTTGAAAAACTTGCGTACAAGTCTCGCCAGTGGTCGTTGGCTTGCAGCAGTTCCCGTGCGGATGAAGACGTTTGAGATGAAGGAGCTCATGTACAGGAGATATTCTGCAGGATGGAAGGTTCAACAAAAAATGTCATGGAGAAGCAGGGTCCCCCGAAATTGTGGCCAGTCAGTAGCTCGTAAGGCGCCAGGGGGTTCGCCAAGCGCCTACTGAAAAGGAGTGGATCATCTGTTGCCTCCGCATAATGGTGACCAAAGAAACGGAGGTTCCTTGTGGAGTTGCCTTTTCGGCGCGGGTCACTTCTGGGCTAAACACAAAAAGTCCAGACGGTGTTTCTGTGCTGTGACAGAAGTCTGCCGAGAGCCTCCCACCATGACACCCGTCAATATCATGAAGCATGGTAAGGTGGAATGTACCTGGGTGCGAGGCAGTCACTGTGCAGGTAGCTCGAACAAATCATCCGCGGCTCTGAAGAACACCTTCCAAGCGATCTCGGAGAGACCATGAGGCATTGACCAGGTAGGGGCGGAGACGAGCACGATGCAATTCTTGTGGGGTCTGGCAGGATCTGATAAGATTTGATCATCTTCGCCCCCATGCTGGCGGAGCGCTAGGGAGGGAGGGGTAGGCGTAGTGCCCAAGCCCACGGAAAACCGACAAGAGTGGCACGGCTGTCCCCTCCACTGTCAAGCGTGAGCTTGGTGAGCAGGCATCGGACCGGCTCGCGCAAGATCCCAGCCGACGGAGCAGGCCTGCCCGGGAAGGTATGACCAGATGGCACCATTTCTCTGAGCGAGCACATGTTTTTTCTCTTGGGCATGCCCACTCGCTTCCCGACGAGCGACGTGGACGAGCAGGCAGTGATCCACCTTTGAGCGGATTCTTTGGGCGGTCATGCATCGGGGCGCGCGTTAGCTTGGGCAAGCGACGTCACAGGGCTGCTTTGTCGTTGTTGATGCCAGAGAGGTCTGCGTCGTGGGCCACGGCGTCTGGGGAGCAGTTGCCATCATCAAACAAATTGTGATGCCAGGCTCGGGCTGGGAGACACGGCCGATGCGCAACGATGTTGGCCGGGCGAGAGACGCTGAAGGCTGGGGCTGTTGCCGTCTCACCTATTGGCTGCTGGGTGGCCACTGACTGTGGTTCAGAACAGAAAGCTCACAGAGCGCCATAAGTTATGAAGGGTAGTATGATCGGTCTCCATCGCGCATTTGCTGCCGTACAGGGTGACTTCGTTTGTCGACATTAGAGAGGGAGCTGACTTGTCTCGCTGAATTTGTTATTCACGCACGAAGTACAGGTCGTTTGGCGGTGCAGAACCTGGGAAGGCAGGCAAGGCCCGCTGCGCCTCGCTTCCCCACCACCACCACCACAGTACAGTGCCACCTAGCATGGGGGCTACACCACGGTTGCCCACTAAATGCTGCTCGACTTCATCGTCGTCAACGAAGACCGTCACCGCTGTAGTGACGCAGACAACGAGCGGATGCGTCGTGCGTATTAGGGATTCTCCATCAGCCACCGGCAGTTGGGCAGCTGGCGCGCTTTGCCAGCCCCTCCGACCCCTCCTTCCGCCAGCATGAATGCCAGTCGCCTGCTCGCCCTGTTTGCCCTGGTGGTTTGCTTTTTGTGGGTGCCAGGGCGCAGCCGCCGCGGTTGGGCGGATGACCATCCCTGCAATACCCACCTGACTCACTTGGCCCTCTCGCTCTCGCAAGGCGGGCGCGCGTGTCGACCAGCCATCATCTCTCTGCTGCTGCCAATCATCGGCTATCGAGCCACACACAGCGATCTACCGCATGAAGACGCACCGTGGCCAGCCATGATTCCCATCAGCTGACGATCAGTCGCTGTCCAGGCAGGCAGGGCAAAGCACCCAGTTCCCGTGTTTCCCCCATGTCGTCTCCCTTGCTGTCAGCCCTATTACTGCCTGCAGGCAGGCAGGCAGGCAGGCATTGGTCTGTGTGCGTGGTGTGAATACATGTGTCGCAGGACGTGATTTATAAGGCGCCAGGGACCTCGTCTTGCCGATCCAGCGTCTCCGGGGTCCTCGTTTCATTCTCGTCCAGACAACGCCTCCCCGAACGGCCGTGGAGAGGACACCATGGCGCCTAACAACTATGCTCCCGGGGAGCCGTTGCTGAGCAACAACGCTACGACGTCCAGCACGGGCATCACGCAATGCCTCCCGCCTTCCTACGGGTCCATGTCATCACCCATCGACAAGAACGACTGCCACATAGACATACGCCCGTCCCAGGAGGAACTCGATGTTGATGTCCAGGATGGCGTTCAGCAAGCAGACGCCGTCAACCTTGTCTGGTCAAAGGGTGCTCTGGCCGTTGCTTACTGCTTGTAAGTGAGCGAAGCGTGCCGTTCGATGGCCTTGCTGCTGGCGGTGTTACGAGCTTGTGCTGATGATGGATGATGATGATGCAGCATCTTTATGTGCTCATTTGCAAACACCCTGCAATGGCAAATCATGTCAAATCTCATGCCTTATGTCGTCAGCGAGTTCTCCTCCCATTCGCTCATTCCCACCATTGGCATTGTCGCCTCCGTAATGTCGGGTGTTCTGAAGCTCCCAGTCGCGCGCATGATTGACAGCTGGGGGAGACCTCAAGGCCTGGCCGCCATGATCCTGCTCGCCACCACGGGCCTTGTCCTTATGGCTTTCAGTTCAAACGTCAAGACGTATGCAGCTTCCGAGGTAAGTCTCACTCCATGGCAGGATTTGCAGATTTTGGTGAATGCTTGCCTGACTGTCTCAGGTTGTATATCAAATCGGCATTAGCGGCTTCTCCTACGTCCTAGACATCATCGTGGCCGACACTTCGTCCCTTAAGAACCGATCGATAGCATTTGCTTTCAACTCATCACCAGCACTTCTTACCACCTTTATTGGGCCTGTCCTCGCCAAGCTCTTTTACACATACAGCACTTGGCGATGGGCTTTTGTGTCCTCTGCTGTGTTGTTCGTCATCATGTCATTACCCATCCTGGCCATCTTGATGGGTAATGTTCGGAAGGCTAGGGATCGTGGGCTGCTCGCGGTTGCACCAAAGTCTGAGCCATGGACGGCCAAACGTCTCTCCAAAGTCCTCAAACACAACGATGGTAAGGAATAGAGCACTCGCATTCTCATGGAGAACACAGCCGCTAACGCAGGACTCCAACAGCTATCGGCGTTGTCCTTATCACGGTCGGGCTGACCTTGATCCTCGTTCCATTCTCCCTGACTGGATCGACGAGCAGTGAGGATCTGCGCACCAACGCCTTCCTGGTCTTTATCGGCTTCAACTTTATGATTATCTTCACGATTCACGAACGATACGCGTCACGACCCATCCTCGAATTCTCCCTCCTGTTCTCCCGCAACGTCGCCGGCGCATGCCTGCTCAGCATCACTATATTCATCGCATACTTCTCTTGGGATGGTTATTACACATCATATCTACAGGTCGTTCATGATCTCAGCATCACCGAGGCCGGTTACATCGGCCACATCTACGGGCTGGGCTCGTGCATCTGGGCCGGTGTGGTCGGCTACCTGATCCGGCGCAGCGACCGCTTCAAATGGATTGCCTGGGCGGCTCTCCCGGTACACATCCTCGGCGGCGTTGCCATGATCCTCGTCCGCCGGCCGGACACGCATCTAAGCTGGCTCATTGGCGTGCAAATCCTCATCACCATCGGAGGCTCCTCCCTCATCATCTGCTGCCAGATGGCCGTCATGTCGGCTGCGAGCCACGGACAGCTCGCCTCCGCGCTCGCCCTGTTCTCGCTGTCATCATACATCGGCTCCGCCATGGGCAGCTCCCTCAGCGGCGCGATCTGGAACAGCACGCTTCCCGGCGCTCTGGCCGACTTACTTCCCGACCTGTCCCCCGTCGAGCGCGCGAGCATCGCCTCCGATCTGGCCAAGCAGCTGAGCTACCCCATGGGCCACCCGATCCGGGCCGCCGTGATTGCCGCGTACGACATGGCGCAGGTACGCATGTGCATCACTGGCGCGCTCGTGTCGCTTCTGGAGGTGCTCGCCGTCGCGATCTGGAGGGATGTGAGCGTGAGCGGGTCGAGCCAGGTCATGGGAACTGTGTTGTGATGGGAGGGACTCGTCTGCTCGGAGACACAAAGGATTTCTGGATGAGGCGAGGTTTGCTCCATTTTCTTTTCGGGTTGAGGCGTTTTGCGATACACGACATTCTCTGTATTCTTTTGGGATTTTCTGCATATTGCATTTTCCCCCGCTACACGAACCTGCGCGACCTTACACGACCACCCGACACGATCAAGAAAGCATCAGCATAGACTTTTTTGCATGATAGATGATACACATGACGATACCCCGATGAATAGAACACCATCTTGGAATTCCTACCTTATGCATCAGCAAATTGTCGCACTGAACCCGCAGTCGAGTGAATGGGCCCGTCGAAGGGCAATGACTCTCTGCTCTGCCGTTGTAAGAGGGCTCTGGAGGCGGCGCAGCCCCTTCCGCCGAGCTCCAGCGGAGGTCTTACTGTACCCCTTCCGACCTCGGCCCACAAGCGCTGTCTGCACACGAGTGGTAATTTTCACCATTCGATGCGTGCTGGAGTACACTTGTCTCCCAGCCCACCTGACCCCCCTTCTGGGCATTGCGGTTGCGTCAATGAAACGCGGCACTACGCAGGGATCCTTCTCTCCACTCTTTGAGGCACTTTTTTCAGCAGTAGCATAGCAGAGCCGCCCGAAGAAGATCAACCTGCAGGTGTCCCCGTTGGAGTGGAAAAGGGGGGGCGTGTGCCGAAAAATCAAGGGCAGGGGGGAACATGGATCACAGCCGGCATCTTGATTCGTTGAATTATGTAAACGAGTGGAGCAGCATTCCAATGCTGCGCCGCCCCGTAATCAAATCAATCAAATCTTATCAGATCCGATCATGCCCGAGATGATGCAACGTGCTCGGAGCTGCAATTTTTTTCGGATCGCCTGCCTCCTTTACTGTGTGCCTTTTCTTGCCGACGGCGCGAATGTGCCTTTCGTCCGGTGATGCCTGCTCGTTTCGACTTGGGAAAAGGACGTCCCCCTGGTTTGAAGCCCACTCGTCGAGACTCAGTGCTCCATTTGCGCCGTGTCCGTTATCTCCCACTCTGGTGAGCTGTCCCATCTCTTCAGTGGCTGCTGACCTCTGTGTCGTTACTTGGCCACTGAGAGTTGGCTGGAGATGTTCCATTTTTTGCCACAAGGTTCTTTCGTCCGCGTGTGTCCGTACTGGACTTTTGTAGGCTTGCTGGCTGGCTTGCTTGCTTGCTCATAGACCCTGCCGTGGACGGTCTCAAGGCCGCTTAGGCCTTTCTCTCTATAGGCCGCACGCTACGCAGATCCATGCCCGGCGCTCCCCACACTCCCCACTTCGGCAGGTGGAATTTCTTATCAATCAGCGACCCCCAGGTACTTGCTGGTACCTTGACAACAGAATTTTCTCGCCCCAGGCTAGCATGCCTTGCTGGAGGGGCTGCTGAATAGTCATTGTGCGTCACAGCTGCCGTCAGGGATGCCTTGGCTTTGCAACCAGCGGCCGGCACCGATGAGGGTCAGTGAAGGGACCGAGACCTGTCTAGTGGTGTTGTGTCGGCAAGCAGCTGAATGTGGATTGTGTGGCTGGATACCCGTCCCGGGAAAGGTTGTGAATGTCGCCCTGTGGTAATAGAACCAGCGTTGATCCCGCAGCTGATTCACCGTCGCTTGTGTTTTGACACACTCGTGCGATCAATAAGTCAAGGCACACACCTGTGCGCCTCTAAGGAATCCCGTTTACCGTCGCCATTTTGCCCACCATGTCGACGGAGCAGGTTTCGAACTTTGGCCAGAGGCCGGCAGTCAGGACCCAGAACCAAACTCTGTCAATGCTTCACGGTCCAGTAGATCCTCCATTGGTAGATCTCACGCTCGGCGAGCTTCTCGACCTCCAGTGCCAGCATCATGGCTACCAAGAATGCATTGTCACGCCGTGGACGGGGGCTCGCTGGACTTACAACGAGCTCAACCAGCAGAGCTCGCAGTTGGCAAGGAGCTTGATGGCCTTGGGTATCGGCACCGGAGACCGAGTTGGCATCATGGCCGGCAACTGCGAGCAGTACGCAGCTGTCTTCTTTGCCGTTGCTCGGATTGGCGCAATCCTGGTCATCCTCAACAACACGTACACCCCAACAGAGGCGCAGTACGCCTTGAAGTTCACAGGTGAATCCGCCCCGGTCCGGCACGCCCGATAATGTGTGGTTGTTACTGACAAGTCTATCTTTGACCGACTTCAGACTGCAAAGTGTTCTTCACGACCAAGAAGATTGGCAAGATTGACAATTCGAAACTGCTCGCGGAGTTGAGTGCTCAGCAGCAAGAGCCGAAGAATGCGAAGCAGCAGCAGAGCAGCCCGAACGTTGTCATTCTACGCGGCGATGCTAGCGGCTATCCCACATATAACGACTTGATCAAGCAAGGCCGCCGTGTAAGCAACGGCCATCTGTATCGCCTCAGTCGAAAGGTGCTGCCACACAATGTTTGCAACCTGCAGTTCACAAGCGGAACGACGGGGCTCCCCAAAGCCGCCATGCTGACCCATCACAACATTGTCAACAATGCGCGATTCATTGGTGATCGGATGCGCCTGACCCCGGAAGACATCCTGTGCTGTCCGCCACCGATGTTCCATTGCTTCGGCTTGGTCCTCGGCATGATGGCAGTCATTACACACGGGGCCAAGATTGTCTACCCGGAGGAGACATTCGACCCGGCTGCTGTGCTGAGAGCGATTTCCGACGAAAGGTGCACAGCGGTGCATGGAGTCCCAGCGATGTTCGACACAATCTTCAACCTCCCTCTGCCAGAAGGATTCGACTGTAGCAATCTCCGGACCGGAATCGTGGCTGGAGCTCCTGTGCCGCGGTATTTGATGGAACTTATGGTTGACCGTTTTGGCATGACCGAGTTTACGAGCAGCTACGGCTTGACTGAAGCGTCACCTACTTGCTTCAATGCCTTTACAGATGACGCCATCGAGCAGCGGTTGGCGACTGTGGGAACGCTGATGCCACATGCGCGGGCCAAGATTGTTGACCACGAGGGCAACATCGTGCCTGTTGGATGCCGGGGCGAGCTCTGCATTGCAGGATACCAGCTGCAAGCGGGTTACTGGAACAACTCGGAGAAGACGGCCGAGGTTATGATACACGATGAGGCTGGAGTGCTGTGGCTGCACACTGGAGACGAGGCTGTCTTCACAGACGATGGGTACTGCACGATTACCGGGCGTTTCAAGGACATCATCATCAGAGGTACGTGACTCATGGGTGGTGCCCTGCTGACAGTCGTATCTTCTGTCGTTCGTGTGAGGACTGTACACTGACTCCTGTGGATTTGGCAGGTGGCGAGAATATCTACCCGCTCGAGATCGAAGAGCGATTGATGGCGCACCCCAGCATCAGCCAAGCGATTGTCACCGGCTTGAAAGATGCCCACTACGGCGAGGTCGTTTGCGCGTTCTTGAACAGCGAGTCGGCGGAGAAACGTCCCACCATCGAGGAGGTGCGTGACTGGGTCAGGCAGGAGCTGGGGCGACACAAGTCGCCAGCACACGTATTCTGGCTGGGCGAAGACGGCGTGCCAGCAGATGTGCCACTGACAGGCTCGGGCAAGGTCAAGAAGTTTGAGATGGCTCGATTCGGCGAGGAAATCCTGCGCAAGAGGCGACTCGAGAAGCTCTGATGGGGTCGACGATCCGCGTTGGCGTCCAGACAAGAAGCACACTAGATTGGAATTATAGACAAGACACTCAGGCGATCTCTCAATGGTCTGGCATCATGGGGCGTAGTGAGAACTAGGTAGACCAAAGGCACCGCACGGTCTTGTGGTTGAGCACTGCCCCGCACCACCGTTTGTTCAGAGTCCATCCACGAGCGTGCTTGCCCCAGAGAGACTGCCACGTGCGTGCACTTGTCCTGGATGCCATAGGGATGGGGCGCCCGCCCATAACGTGCTGGCGGCAGTCCTCTGCCAACCTTGATGCATTGTCCCAAGCCATCCAACTTCTCAGGCGTCCAACGTTCGACATTGCAACGATAGCACAGAGGCCACGTCTTGCACTTGTTGGAATCCAATCCTGCACTTCTGCACAGAATCCATGGAGTAGCTTCACCGCACCATTTGTGTAGAGATCTCTAGCTGACCAATCATTCGAGACAGACGCTCTCCATGCATTGCGCCAAAGAAGGAAGGGGACGGGACAATGCCTCGCAGTTGCCGGAATACGAACGAGTAGCAGCTAGTGCGCGTGGCGTTGTAGCCGAGCTTCCCCTTTGGCACTTTTTCTTCTCCGCTCCGAGGTCGCAGTCTGCGAAGACAGCAGAGTATGGAAGAGGATGGTGGTAGCAGGGATGCCAGCAGGGGATGATGCAGAGCCAGTGGGGGCCACAGAGACCAACGCATTATCAGATCATGAACCCCCTGTCTGGTGTGGCCGCCACAGCAGTTTAGCGGCCCAGTTTAATGTTATCAGATCCGTCGCTGCCCATATTATAGTGGGAAAAACTCTGCCCACGGCGCCGGCTTGAACTACTAGGGGATCGACCCCTGTCTCACACCCAAGTACCACTCGGTACCTCCTGGGGACAGGCGCCCCCAGAGCTCAGACATCGAGTCGTGCGTGGCAGGGGCCAGGAGACCCCAGTGACGTGATGCCCACTGCCGATCAACTGCCCAGCAGCACTTTCCATGACCGCCGTTTCGGACGAATCCAGCAGCCTGGCGCAAGGGCGGAGTCCCTAGGGGTCACAAGCTGGACGAGCGAGTGCCGAGTCTGTGGGGACCGGCAGCGCTTTGCGGAGCGCTCAGCTCCGAGGTCGACGATGCGGCTCGTGATTTTCCTCCTCCTCCTCTCCGCCATCACAAACGGCATCGCAGTACTATTTGTGCGACCTATCTTTGTCAAAACCAGCTTCAAGAGCCATCTACTGCTGGGGCATATCGCGTTTTCAATATCTTTAATTGAACGTTGAGCTGAAATCTGTGTTGTCGCGATGGCTGTTCCACCAGAGAATGAGACGGTGCTGAGGCTGCCACACCCGTACCTCACGCCTTACTCGCTCGTCAAGTCTTCGCGGACACTTCAAGACTCAGGAGCACCGCTACTTCAAATCAAGCCTCAACAGGCTAAGGGCAACACTGCGCCGCTGCCAGAGCCCCTCCACAACGATGACCTCTTCTTCACAGAACCATCCGACCTCAAGTCGAGCGAGCGACCTCCCGAGTCCAACAACACGCCATGGGGCCGGGCCAGGCGGTCACCGGCATCGACACTGGTATGGGAGTCTCTCGAGACCCCGACGCTCGGCCAGGCTTGGCTGCTGATTTACGTACTCTTCACGATCCGGCCGTCCATGGAGCACTTCCGCCTGACTTTGTCTGGTCCTGGCAAGGAAGATCTCGCGGCTCAGCTGAAAGCCGTCTTCTTAGCCATTGATCATCCGGTCGCCACGGGTCTGGTAGACGAGCTACTCGTGCTTCGCAGCACGTTCTGGCAAGGCGCCGGTTCTCCCTGGGGACCGCGGACTGCCTGGATCCCCGAGGACAACAATTCGACTGCCGCCCCCCTGCCCAAGCCTCTATCCTCATATCCTCTTACACCCCTCGAGAACACCATGACCAATGACGCCTCGTCAATGGTGCTCACATGGCACCCACGGCGACCGGCGAAGCCCAGACCAGGCAGCACCGTCTACAGCCGCTGGATTCCGCACCTCAAGGAGAACTTCAGCATGGTCGCTCTCGACTGGCAGAACGAGGAGCACCTGAACCTGTTCCACACGTGGCAGAACGACCCACGTGTCAGCCAGGGCTGGAACGAGACGGGCACGCTGGACCAGCACCGCGAGTACCTGCGCAAGGCGCACGTCGACCCACACCAGGTCACACTCCTCGCGGCCTTTGAGGGCGTCTTCTTTGCCTACTTTGAGGTGTACTGGGGCAAGGTACGTTTCAAGCCTCTTCCGTTCCTCCAAAGATTAAAAAAGACACCATTAATCATAATTCTCGTACTACAGGAGGATCGCCTTGGCGCGTACTACTCGGCCGGCGACTTTGACCGCGGCCGGCACTCTCTCGTCGGCGACGTGCGCTACCGCGGCCCCCACCGCGTAACAGCCTGGTGGTCCAGCCTGATGCACTACCTGTTCCTCGACGACCCGCGGACCATGTACATCATCGGCGAGCCAAAGTACACCAACAGCTCCGTCCTCGCCTACGACTTCATCCACGGGTTCGGGCTGGACAAGTTTGTCGACCTCCCGCACAAGCGGAGTGCTTTCGTGCGCTGCTCGCGCGAGCGGTTCTTCCAGCTTGCGCCGCTGGCCGAGAGCGAGAAGGCGGTTGGTGGAACGCTGGTCGGGCTGTTGCCCAAGTTGTAGTTGCGCAAGGTCTTGGAGGCGGGTCTGGTTGCTTGTATGTTTATTACTTAAAAGCCAGAGGGGTTGTTAGGATATCTCGCAAAGAGGAAGGCATTTTCCAACCTACAAAAGCAGATTAACTGGAACCGAAACACGTTATGGACAGAACGAGTGATTGAATGGATCATACTTGACTTCGCAATCCTGTACAAAGCAGTCTCTGGATTCATGCGCACTTGGCCTAGCCTTGGCGGTGCTCGTCTCTCGACAGTCCCAAATACTGCCTTTTTTAAAACAGGGCTCGTTGAAAAATATTCCTTCATTAATTCGTTTGTCGAAAAGGTAGCAATCTACTTAAATACATATTTGTCGGCAAGTAGCTGGCCGCGCACGCAGAACTGCGTGCAATCAGTCCTTCGCATTCCATGAACGCGTACTCCTTCGGTTGCGCGGGAGTCGTGGCGGACAAAATGGTTGTTGCTCTGCACCACGCACTAACAGATAGCCGGTTTGATCCATCATATTCATGCCTTGACCTCTCCAAGACGCATGTGGTCCCAGCAGACTAATTGAAAAAACACACATCTCATCAGTATCAAGTTCAGAAACAAGCCAAGAGCAACTAACTGAGGACAAATTGAGAGAGTAAAAGAAGAAGAAGAAGAAGAAGACACTGCTACACAAGAAACTTACTCCTGAAGCCCAGATCCTCCTCAAAGTACGACCTCATGATCTGCGGGCCGTGGCTCATCCCCTCAGGCCCGTACGCGACGGCCTCGCCGCCCACGGCGATCGCAATCATCGGCGGGATCGGGTCGAGCTCAAACAGCTCGGGCGCCTTGCCCGTCACGTCCTCCAGCATGAGGTGGTACATGTTGAGGCCCGCGAACTTGCCCGTGTGCATGGCCGCGCCGCAGCGCTTGATGCCGGACCAGTTGATGACGTCTCCGACGGCAAAGTGGCGCCTCGTGATGCTTGTGGTGGGGGCAGTCTCGCCTCCGCTCGGGAAAGGCTGGAACTGGAGACTGGGCAGGATATTGACATAGCCGTCCTCGCTGAGCGCGTCGACGGGGAGGAACGTCGTGGACGGGATGCTCTTGGACACGGCGAAGATGACCTCGCTCGCGAGCATGGTGTGGCCGTTCTCAAACTCGACCTGCTGGGCCGGCGCGCCTGCGGGCGTGGTGACGGGAGTCTGAGACTTGAGCCTGTGGTTCAGGAGCACCTCGACGCCGCCGCGGACCACCGCGTCGAGGACGCATTCCCGCGCGCTGTCCGGGATCGGCTCGGCGGACATGAGCTGCGAGCGCGAGTGCGCGAGGATCACGCGGAGGTCGGGCTTGACGTGCTTGAGCTCGGCGGCCATCTCGATACCCACGGCTCCTGTTATGATCATGTTAGTTAAGTCTACGGCTGATCGGGTTACTGTTGTAGAATAGTCTGGAGATTCCTTACCGCCTCCGACTACCAGTACTGGGGCTGTGTTGCTGTACACGGAGTCGATGTGCTTGTTGGCTTGCTCGAGATACTCCTTGCGGGTCGCAGCCTGCGGTACTACTGGCCACGGTCTTCGCAGGCCAGTGGCGGTTACAAAGTAGTCATATGTCTCCGTCCTCGTCTTTTGTGTTTCCCGCTCGAGAATCGTGGCGGTCTTGTTGAAACAGTCGACATTGTTGACCGACCCCTGGACAAAGGTGACGTTTGGTCGTTGCAAGGCCTTAATGTCCTTGAATTCGACCCAGGCCTTCTCGGCGAATTTGCTGTCGGCCAGCGCAAGGGGCGAGCCGATGAGATGATCTTGAAGGAGTGCAATGTCAGTTGAGTGCCACTTGAAGTTGCATCGGACAGGAAGGGGCGAGGGAGCAGTTAATATAGACTCGTACAGAAGCCGTCACGTTCATCCACTATCGTTATTTCCACCGAGATTGGTGAGCTCATGGTGTCGCACTGGTCAAGAAGGTGTACGCTTGCGGACAAGCCAGCATAGCTGCACCCAGCCACGAGCACCTTGTATGTTGTCGCCATGTTGCTTTTGGATGAGAAAGTGTGTGGAGAGAAGTGCAACGCGGGAGTAACGGCAGAAATCTACGAGGTGCTCGATGCAAGAAGGAGGATAGCTAGAGATGCTGAGGGATGGTGGCACACGACGATGAATACGGCAGAACAGAAGGGGGCCTTACTCAAGGGTTAATTGTCTGCTCCCCAGCCGTGTGAAAACCACCCGTCGACAGACATCCTCTCCGACATAAGGACCCCAGATGGTGTCCCAGACCCGCTGCACAGACTGCCCTTGAGCAAGTCTTCTTGGCAGAGGCAGACCTCGTTCGGGCACGCCAAGACTAGGCAAGCCTCTAGTAGGATGTGTGTCCTGAAGTGATCGACAATGCTGCTGCAAGAGAACTTTCCACCCGAGGTCGGAGGGCAGGGACAGACAGCCAGGCTCGGCTCACCACCTTGACACGATCAGGCCATGCCTGTGGAGGCGGGCGTGCAGCCAGCACACCCCGCGGAAACCGCTCATCCCCCACCAGACCATTCCATGATGAGTCTCGCCCACCCAAGCATGCACGCACGGAACTGGTGATGCCAGTGCTAGCGCCATCTGATAAATATTTCGCAACCGCCCTGGCCGTGGCTCTGCCAATCGGAGCTGTGTTGGTGTTCCACCGAGGGTGGGGTCGAAATTTTATCAGATCCTTCTGGATGCTGGCATTGGCCGGGCCAACGGATCAAGGGCTCCTCATGCCCTCATCGTCTTGCCGTTCGTGGCAGACTGTTTAGCCGAGGCGAGCCGAGCTCGGGCAGCCGACAGCAAGGGCGCAGTGGGCTGATGGGCCCGAGAGGGACGTTTTCACGAAGGCCCTCGTTGGCAGATGGTCGTAGGGAAGGAGGTCGGGGAGATTGCTGTGCATGCCATTAGCATTTGTTAGACGACGAAGTAAAAGCCGGATACTCTGGGGCGCCCATGTGCTTGTGATGTCGAAGGCTCCCAATGATCGGCGAGATGACGGAACCGCGTGCCGGACAGTTTGCAGAAATGGAGCAGCGGCCGTCTGAGCTTCTCTCGTCAGGCACCCCGCACCCTGGCGCCTCAGGCAGCACCCGTCAGGTCCATGGGATTCTGACAAAGGCAGAACACACTGCGACCTCTAGAACACTGGCCCGAAGAAGCGCATGCAGCGATATGGCAAGCGCAAACAAGTTTTCGTGCCACATCATCCTCGAAGAAGCCCTTGAACAATTGTGTCAAACTCGCCTCAGTTCATGATGGCCACCGGCTGACGCGCTATCACGTGCACCCACAGAGGGTTTGAACTGCCCAATGCCCCTGCACCCGCATCGCCACTTTTCACAGCTCATTGTGCCATTTCAGCCAACAAACAGCAAAGGCTCCAGGCAGCGACACGAGAGGCTGTCTGCCTGTATTACGGTGAATTGTTGCCATCGTCTTCTGCCTGATCGTCCACAGCACCTCGAGCCAGTCGGCCCTTGCCCTTGGAGCTGGAAGTTGCGCTTCGAAAGGTACCTGCGGAGGAACATGCCATATATTTGAGCATATCTATGTCTGCCCGATATTCCTGGCCAGACCCTCAACGGTGGCGATCGACGGCAATTGACAATACACTTTGCGGGGCGCTGCTCGTAAAGAGCTGTAGGACATGGCTGGCATCTCTAGAGCGGTCGCAGCTGATATCCTATCTCACCTGCTCAACACCCTCGAGTACCCGCCACAGGAGAGGCATCGGAAGAGATACAGTAGCTTGGTCGAAGGCAACGAGGCGGCCCTGCATAGATACCTGTTCTCATGCCTCCGCCCGGAAGTTCTCGAGGTCTTCAGTCACCAATCCTCTCTTCCGTCTTGGGCAACGTGAGTTTTGCGCTCCAAATCTCATTACGGGAAACTCGCACTGATTAGCTCATTGCGAAGCCTGAGGAAGTTGAACGAGCAGGGTCCTCCGCCGCCAGATGCGGCTGGTGTCTACCTAAATATCATCCGTGGCACCGACGGCCATGACAGGCTGTACGTTGGGCAGACTACTCGCCTGAATCAGCGCATCTTTCGCCAGCACATGAATTTTCGCTATCGCCGAGACAACAGGTCTCTCCACTACCATGCCATCGAGTACAGCAGTTGGAACAACTTTGTCGTGCTAGCCGTTCCGCCACCACCTTCTGGGTCACTCCCATCGTGGCTTCGTGGGAGCAATCCCCAGCTAATACTCAATGTCCTCGAGATGTGGTGTGCGCTTATGTTCAAGACATTGCCACGGAACACCTTTGAAGACTGGCTGCCGGAAAAGTATCTCGACGCTGAGCATGCAGATTGGTTTCCGCTCAATTTGGCCCTGCCACTGGACCAGGGAGACCATGAGCTTGGCGCTACCGTGGATTGGGGTGAGGCGTTACGAAACGCCAATGACCCTCTCGCAAGAGGATATGCCTCGGGACGCGCACCGACTTCGACATCGCTGTCGGTGCAGCACGAGAAGCCGGCCGAGGTAGAGTCGGCGGGACTGGGAGCAAGCAGCATTGTACTGCTGGCCTTTGCTGCCGGATTTGTGGCAGGAGCTTTCTGGCAGAAGAGGTAAAGCTCCTGTAGCCACGCTCTGGCTCGTTCATGAATGTGGCTAAGAATGTTGGTGCCCGAAGAGGCCACAGCAGACGCACGCAGGCACAGCGTGCAGAACATTAAGCGATCGACGGGGTCATGCTAGGGCACAGAGCATTACTGTAATTGACGGAACGCTATTGGAGCCGCATGGGACCGCATGGGACCGCACTGGAGTACGCGGCGGGACTGGAGCTGATGATGTCATGGGCCTAAGGTCCACGTTGCGATCACGTTTGCTTTAGCGACGATCAGTAACGTGACCAGATCCACAACCTCAAGAGAGGCCATCAAACCGCTTCAATAGTTGCCCTTTTGACCGTTCAGAGGTTCCTCACTCGTTCAATTTCTTTGCGGAAGAGATTTCTGTTCAATGCCCACCTTGCAGCAAGAATGTTCTCATACCAGGTCATTTCACAAAGTCTGCTTCCAACGCGTAACCCGTGGCGAGCATTGGCGGACGGTTTGCTCCCCCGGCCCCGCAATTGCGGCAAGGATCGCTAGCAAAATCTGGGGCTTGGTTGCAGCTAGAAATAAGCTCGGGCGGCCAGAATGGTTGTGATTGGCCATGCGAGCAGTTCCTGGAGGAGACCTGGCCAGGGGAGCTTGAGGCCCATGTGAAGAAGAGACCCATCCAGCAGCAGTGATTCTACACAATTACACAATGCCGTCATTTCCTGTCCCCATCGTCGAGCGGCTCCAGCCGCCTGGATTGTGTGGTGGCGCTGTTCCTGCATGGGCACTCGCCTGCTGTGGCTGGCACCAGGACTTCTAAGCTGTTGCGGCTGATCCCGGGTCTCAGTTGCCCAGCGCCGTTCGCGGCTCCACGGCAGGCAGGCACATGCATTGGCACACAGAGGTGCCGTCGTCATGACATCATGCCATCATTGATCGATCACGCACCACAGGCCGCTCCTGCCTCCCGCCCCGGAACCAAGGCATCCACAAACTCAATTGCACGCGAGCCGTTTGCAATTATTAAACAGACAGCCGCCTGCAAGCTCGTCAAGCCTATCTTTCCTGTTGTCCGCATTGTCCCCCATAGACCACAACGTTTTCCCATTGACCACAACTGATCCGACTCTGCGTCATTCCTCCACCTCTTCCCTACAAACTCGCCAAATACGCACAAAACACCTTGTCACCATGATGTCTGCACGCCCCATTGCCCGCGCCGCCGTGCCCCGTGCAGTCGCGCGGAGCACCCGCAACGTCGGCCGCCAGACCAGATTCCAGTCCACCACATCGAGCTCCAGCAGCAGCAGCGGCAGCAGCGGCTCACACATCGCCTCTGGTCTTGCTGGTGGTGCCGCGGCCGGCCTGGTCCTGTACGGCGTCTTCCTCTTGACGCCCTCTGGCCGCATGCACAGCACCATCAACAAGGGCGCCATCGAGGCCAACAAGAAGTACAAGGAGGCGACCAAGAAGCTCCAGGAGACCACCCCCAACGCCGACCAGGCGATCGACTACATCAAGAAATACTGCTACACCTACGTTGGCTGGATCCCCAACGGCCGCCAGTATGTCGATGCTGCTTTCCAGGACATTGACACTCTGCGCGAGCACCACGGCGACGAGGTCAATGCTGCCGTCAGCGACACCTACAAGCGCTTCCAGGAGCTGTCCAAGTCCGGTCTCAGCATGGAGACCGCCTCCAAGGCCTTTGACGCGCTCACAGAGTTCTCCAAGAGGCTGGCCGACATTACTGGTGATGCTCTCGGCGACATCCTCGAGAACCACCCCGAGGCCAAGAAGAAGTTTGGCGGCAGCATTGACCAGCTCAAGGAGCTGAGCGACAAGTACGGTCCTGAGGTTAAGCAACAGGTTGACGAGACATACAAGCAGGTCAAGGACGTCCTCGCGGGTGGCTTCAGTGCTGCCAACCTTGACAAGGCTCGCAAGCTCATGCAGGACAAGGTTGAGCAGGTCAAGAAGCTGGGTGATGAGGCCTACAAGAAGGGTCTCGAGCAGGCGAAGCCCTACCTTGATAAGAACCCCAAGGTCAAGGAGATTATTGAGAAGAACGGCGATGCGCTGAAGCAGGGCAACGTGAAGGAGCTTTTCGAGAAGGCCAAGAAGGCTGCCGAATCCGGCGACCTCGGCGACCTGGAGAAGTATGTCAACGATGCTACGGAGAAGGCCAAGTCCAAGGGCTCCGAGGCGGCCAGCAGCTTCGGGCTGGACCAGTACTTTGACAAGATCCCTAGCGGCAGCGAGATCCTCGCCAAAGTCAACCAGCTGAGAGAGGTTGCCGACAAGCACAAGGATGAAGGCGAGAAACTGCTCAAGGAGACCATGGACGAGCTGAAGCAGGTCCTTGAGAAGAAGTCCGAAAAGGCCCAGGAGATTGCCGACAAGGCGAAGAAGGATGCCAAATAAGGAAGGGCGAGCGCGCCACCAGCATTCGTGTACTTGTACTCATAGTCTAGCATTGTTCGGCGTTGGGGGATTCAGAACCACTAAAATTTAATTGATCATTACGATGGCAATCAAAGAACCTATTCCATTAGATTTCGCACCGAACTCTACCGGTGTTATTTGGTGTCTCGACTAAACTGGCCTCGTCGTCCAAACCCTAGACGTCCCAGTGTCCCAAGCCGTGTCTCCTTTCAACCACGACACTCAATCGCTGCGAATACCAAGTGGTGTCTGGACAAGACTTCAAACGCGCGTGGGTTACTCCCTTTGTCCGAAGCCACATTTTCTCTGTAGGGATCGCGCGACGCGGTCTAAGAGGCTCACAGCAGTGTTGCCCCAGGCTCAGTTTCGCCGTCCAGGAGGCTGTACGATGCAAGCATCCAGTTGCGGTCCGAACAGAACGTCATCCAGGTTGAGTCTATCCTCGCCTGCAAGACCCCGGAGCACAGAGCATCGCGCAACGGGAAGAGCGTGTCCCGGATCTGGTCCAGCTTCTCATTGTCGCTGGCGGCATCGTTGTCGTCCTTGCTCTCGTCGTTGTTCTCGATACTGTTGGACCGCTCGGCCTTGAGCACGGCGTGCAGGAACATCTGGTCCGACGGGCTCAGCATTACGTCCTCGGTGAGGGTGAGAAGCAGCTTGTCACTCAGTTCCTCCGAGATCGCGGTCGGTGGTGACTCCGGGTGGGGACGACCTCTGATCTGCTCGGCCAGAGCAGGCAGGATCTGGATCTCGCCTGTGTACAGGTAGTGGACAAGTACATGACCGGCGTGTGACGAGATGCTGAGTCTTGCCGGCTGTCTAGTGAGCCCGTGTACGTGCGTGGTTGACGCTGGTGCTCTGTCCCCAAAGCCGTCGTTGCTGTTCTTCTCGATGACGGGCTCGAGCTTGGCGGCGATGAAGCTGTGGACCTGGAGGCTCTTGCAGTCCTTGAAGGTGACTGCGGTTGTCGTGGCGTATTCTGACTTCCCGTGTAGAAGTTGGTTGGGTCTGCGATCAGGAAATCGTGTAGCAAGAGCTAGGAGAGGCGGCATTGCTCAAATCATGTCTGCTTCTTGGCTCTGTCCACTCACGGGCGTGTTTGGCCGGGTGATGTCGGAGCCGTCCGTCGTGGAGGATGCCATTACACCAGTTTGTGGTGTGGCCAGGTAGTATCACTGATGATGGCGCGAGCGAGATACCCAAGAGAACATGAATCCAGGCACAAGCATAATGGGGAAGCCAAGCTCATATACACGTGCGCTCCCGAAGGGAGGGAGTCATAGCCAACTGAGATGGGCCTAGGGGCATTTCTCACCTCAGGCATTCGCTGATTCGCATCGGACATGGGGAAACGATCAACTAATCTTTTCTGAGTGGTCAGGCATTTTGCAATTCTGGAGGCTTTCTTCAGCCGTAGCATGCCGACATTCGAGTTGTATTCTTTCCATGGCATAAACAGCAATGTCCTCTGATACCTATGGCAGGTACCTCTTATCATTTTCTCAGCACGAACCACGTTTCGCGTTCAAAAGTCTTGATTTGCAATTCAAGACGTTGGAGAACAATGAATGGATTGTCATACAACAACCAACGTCAAGACCATGGCATCCCATTGTAACAACATAATAGCAATCTCAACCACCGGCTACATGCTCTCAATACATGGCTTGCGCAGGAGCGTGGGAGTTTTCGTAAAGCAGAATTCTCCGTCAGGGACAGTTTAGACACAAGCCCACAAGGCTTGGGGTAGATAAGTAACAGCTGACCCGGGCCAGCCTCACTTGCTGTGAAGCGCAATCGAAGCTTTGGCACCAGCAGGGCTGTCCACGTCAAAGATGAACTCCTCCAGCAAGTAGGTGATCTCCTGTAGCCGGCTCTTGTCCGCCACCCACGGGGCTTTGCGGACACCAATGGGTACCCGGTATGCTCTACTGAGAATTCCACGAGCCTCGGCGACAATACTTCGAAGCTGTGATACCTTGTCGTCCAGCTGCGCTGGCCCTCGGCCGTTGATGACATCGAGTGCCGCGGCGCAGCTGCTGCAGATGAAGGCCTCGGCCTCGCTGCTGGTGGCAAGGGTGACCCTCTCGGGTTGGGAGGCGGCTCGGCTTCTCGCGTCGGTGGCATCCATTTCTGCCTCGAGCAGTGCTTTGAGGATCATCGTGTCGACCACGCTGGAGCTCTTGTTGGTGCCCAGTAGTGGGGTCGAGCTGATCAGCGAGCGCGAGAAGGCGCGTACCTCATCCCACTGGTGCGCAAAGTCGTTTCTAAAGTCGCTGACCAGCTCGCGGGCGAGGCGCTGGATCCATTCTCCGGCAGACACATCGTCGATGCCACAGGCAAACGCGCGCCGCATGCATTCGAGAACTGCCACGAAGCCGAGGTGGGAAAATATGAGCCCGTACATTGGGAAGATCACCAGGTCGAACAGTTCTAGGTCATGGATCTCTGTAGACTTGGCTGCCAGCTCAAAGAGAACGACGAGCTTGGCAGCGTCGATACTGTTTGCTGCAGGTGTCGCAGGTAGTGTGCTGGCGTCGGCTTGTTGTGCGAGCCGGGAGGCGAGGGCGGCAAAGCCGTTATCCTCTGGAAGACTGTCCAGATCGAGGTCCCCGCTGTAGAGGTAGTGCACAAGGATATGACCAGCCTGTGAGGAGATGTTGAGGTGGACGGGCATGGGCAGAGGTTGGTCGCCCTCGACGTCGCAGGGTAAGCCCGTGAGCTTGGAGAGGATGAAGCTGTGCGCTTGGAGTATCTTGCCATCCTTAAAGGCCATCGAAAGTGTTGTATCATAGCGCGCTGACCTGTTGCATATGCTATATTCAGACAGCAAGTTAGCTGGCCATCTTTTATGTGAAGTCGTTGTCTTACATGGTCTGCTCGGCGCGCTCTGTCAGCTCGCTCCCAGGGGTGTCCAACTGGGTCATGATGGAGCTGTCTGTCGTGGAGGGCGCCATCACAGGGCTTTGGCTAATGTTGGGCAAATCCGACGGACTTGTCTCTGTTTCCCGAGTTGAGATGAAGGATTGGACATTTGTAGTTGTATTCGTGACGAGGGTGCTGGAAATGCAGGCATGCAAGCCTTGCAGGAAGGGCGCGGACGGGCAGGTGCTGCCTGAGGCTGGAGAAGCACTCAGGCAGGAACTGGTCAGCCAGATTTCAGACAACGCCGATCGTCCCTGTAGCGTGCACTTCTTCTCGGGGATTAATCAGCTGCAGTGATTCCAGATCTTATTTCGAATTTGTGTTTTTCTTGCCATGTAACTGGCATGATTTTCTCACCATTACAAGATATAGAGATGGTCATCAGTGCATTGCATCAAGAGTGATTGCACAGAACCAGTCTTCAAAAAATCTTCATCTGTAGCGTGGCAACATTTCTCTGGACACAACAGGGCCACGACGTGATTCGCCCTCACTTTGTACCATTTTGAGGACCTGGTATGGGAGCCTGGGCACTCGGCCTCGCATTTTGTGAGGCATACACGCCTCCCGGCGTACCTGGCATGCCGAGCGGAGCACCCTTTGCCTTTGTGACGTTCGGAGCCCCAAATGCGCTGCCTTGAGGTCTCGGCGTGCCCGGGGAAGCACCAAACGAGGCGTTCTGCGCACCAAATCGGCTGCTCTGGGCAGCGATGCCAAAGGTTGACTGTGGACTACCAAATGACGCCGAACCAAATAGTGGCTGGGTCGGCTTTGCAAGGAACGCAGACGGCTTCTTGTCTTCCAACTCGCCAATGGTGGCATCCTTTTCTGCAATGACCCGTCGCAGCTCCTGAACCTCGGTGGCCTTTTTTTCCAACGCCAGCTCGAGCAAGATGCTGAGCACTGTCTCCTTGATGGGAATGGCTCTTCTGCTGGCGTCGTCGTGAACACCGATCTGATCAACAATGTCCCAGACCGCAGAGTTCCACAGACCATGTTGTTTGTCTAAATACAGCTTGAGGATGTCACGCAGGTATGACTTCGTATCGAGACCTGGATCCGCGTTGGTATAGCAGTCATGGATTGTTTTGAACACCTCCTTGTGCTGCATCTTATTGGTGAACTCGATAACTCTAGCTTTCACAGAGTTGAGCAGCGCCTCGAGCTTGTACTGTGTCGCGAGGATGTGGAGCTCCAGAGCGGTGCTGAGGTAGTCCGCGACAGTCTTGCAATTTCCTAGAGGCACTGGAAAGTCGCATGTACGACTGTACAGGTAGTGACTCAGAACATGTCCGGCTTCAGCGGACGTGTAGCTGAAATCGATCACATCGAGCGGATCGTTTGCCTGGTTTTGGGGCTTTGGGAAGTGCTTCAATTGGAGGATGAACGCATGGACGGTTAAGATGGCATCGTGCTTGAATCGCAGTTTGACGAGTTTTGCAAAGGGCCTGTATGGCAGTAGCATCAGTCCTGACGTGCTTGTCAATGATGCTGTTTGAGAAAAAAGACCTACAGATCTGGCGCCTTGTCCTTTACAACGCTGACAGCTGGCTTGGGAGGATGGGGCTCGGCCATTGTGAGTGATTTGTGAGGCCCTAAATTGTCGCCGTGGTCGAGGTAGGCCGCCGAGTGGTGCTGGCGAGGGCTTCTTGTAGACTGCGTGCCTTCGGCCGATTCTCAGACGGATGCATAAGTCACTGGCCGCCGGTTGGGCAATGTCAAGTTTGCGATGCCTCGTTTGCTTGGTGCAGAGAGCAGATTTGGCAGCGTAGATGGCGGCGCAGTGCTGTCGTCCGGGAAGGAGCGGGTGGTGCCCTCCCTCAGCGCACACAACCCACCACCATTGTAAAAGCAGCCACAGCAGAATCAACGTCGCCATGACTTGATACTCCAAGAGTGCTCAGAATACATCAAGGGGGAAGAGAGAATGTCGCTGCTGGGCCGTACAGCACGTACACTTATCTCATTGATATACTTTTCACTGGAATAAATTGCATCAGTCAAGGCATGTATTATGGACTGCGATTCCTCAAGGAGATACACATTTCCCCAAGGGAGGGGAGGAGTTCTCAAGTCTCCTGCCTGACAGAGTTGGCCATCACTCCATAGAGACAGCTCGCTCACATCATCTCTGCTGATGGGCTCCTTTCTCGCGCCAGCCGAAGTCTCAGTTTTGATGCCAACAACGACTAGTTACATTGAGACAGATCAAGTCAGATCCTTCGCTTTCTGCTTTGGACTATTCCTGCTTCACAATGGACTTTGTGCCTTCTTTGTCACCACCCTCACTTCTTTCGGACCGAATTTTCCGTTTCTTGGGGGCACTGTCGTGGTTATGTGCGGTCGCCGCATCTTGTTCTTTGTCCAACTCTATCATGAGGCTGAGAAACAAACTTGGAATGGATGTCTTGGCAGGAGGTGGGCCGTAGGCCTGAGACGCTGTCATTCTTGACTCCATGAACATGCCCAGGCTAGAGTACGCGTCCGACAAGACCGATTTCACATACTCCCGGTACCAGCTGTCAGATGCTTTTGGCTTCGGATTGCTGTTCTCAATCGCTCTGATCATGGTTTGCGGGCCAACCTTGCCCTTGCAGATGGATAATGCCGCAGTAGTAAGAACGGACAGGTCGTGGAGTCCGTAGATCTTGGAAAGTGCGTACAGCTCAAGCGTTGTGCGACAATTCACTTCGAAATCGACAAGGTGATCACCAGCGAGTCACATGGTCTGATGGCTCACAAGGATAGCAATGATGCGATAACGCAGCCATGACTTGACGGCATGTTGGGCAATCCGAAAGTGTGAGAGGTAATGGCTTAGCGAAGCTGGACGTCGTCCTGGCTGCTTGTTTTTCGAAGGGATAGTGTCGACAGGCAGTTGCCACATAGTACGGGGTTTTGTGAAAACACGAGGAAGGGTAAGGTGGATCCATTCCCTAGAATCGACCATCTAAGCGTAGGTGAGGCATCTCACGCGTTTGCATTGGCCCATGAGGCATCAAAACCAGCTGCCTGCCACGAATCGACGTCCACTTTCAGCAACCTTGAGATGTTTTCAGGTGGCAATGCGCATCTTGCCAGTGCAGTCAACTGTGTTCGGCAAATAATTCGAGTAAATTCCAAGAAGCACCAACTAGGTACAGAGTGGACGATACATATAGAATACCCTGAAGTGAACCACCCAGAGCTGCACCACAGATCGCTTAAATAACCCTATCCTGATCCAGATAGAGCTGCAATTATCGAGTCCTTGTTCTCCTGCGCCCACTTCTCCATATTCTGGCCTCCATGTGCATATTTGCGCATGTTGACGGCTCCCTCCTCGATGATGCGCTTGACATCGTCCCCGGCCGTCTCCCGCTCGACAAACTCTTGGACAAGCGTGCGAGCTGTGGCATCGCCAAGCATTTGTTTCATCTCCTGCACATTCTCTTCCTGGTCGACCCTAACCACCCTGATCGGCCGCCCCAGCACCGTCCCAATAATTTCCAGCGCGTGACGTAGAGTCACCGGCTCCGGACCTGACAGCACGATAGCCGGTTCGTCTGTGACGGTTTCGGGCTTTTGACTGAGAAACGAAGCAGCCACGCGGCCAAGATCCTCGGGTGTGCACAACTCGAGCAGTGCGTCTGGGTATGCGACGCGGACTTCACCCTTGGCAATACCCCCGTAGTACCACCTCATGTTGCTACTGAAGAAGCCCGCGCGTAGCGCCACGTAGCCTTGCTTGCCAAATGTCTTTTCGAGCTGTATCTCGTACTGCGCGTGCAGCCACGGGATGTACTTCTCTGGACCGACTTGGGACAGGTCGTCACCGGCCGTCGCAATGCTCACAGTGCTGAGAAACACGACGAACTCGACACCGCCTGCTTTGAGAGCGCCGATAATGTCGGGAACAATGTCTTGTGAGCCAAGGGTTGCATAAAGGAACGCGCGCTTTGCACCGGTCGTACGCACAGCGGCCTCGATGGTGTCTGGGCGGAACAGGTCGATTTGCACGCGCTCATATCGGCCTGCCTTTTCGGCGGCGGCGGATAGGCCGGGCACGGGCTTCTCGAGATCGCGCACGGCCAGCACGACTGAGGATCCGTGTTGTTCGGCGAAGCGGGCGGCTGCTGAGCCAACGTCGCCGGTAGCGCCGATGACAATCACTGGAGCAGGAGTCATGGTGTATTTTGTTGCAATCGTTATTTCTAGGCAGTGTTTGGAGTGCTGATGAGGTTAATGACGCGTTAGACGAGGGCACGTCAGACATTTTATATATGCGCTCATGCAGGCACCCGAGTTTGCAGAGCCACGAGCCCGAGATAGTCTGTATCAATTTCGTCACCTTGCTAGGAAGGCGCATTACTGGCTTTCGAGGACCACATGCGCAGTTGCCGCGTCAGCGCTAGGCGACCTGGACTTCGGGCCCGAAATCTCGGGCCCGAGAGTGAGGTAGCATTGCATTACTCCAAGTGGCAGTGCAAGGATCGAGAGGGCAAAGGACCACTTGGAGTCCCGAGTTCTGAACGTGGGAAGGATTAATAAAGTGCATTGCTATTCTGGCAGTACCGTTTTTTTGCGAGACTGGCAATACCCACATATATGACTAGGCCGGCGTACTCTTCTGGCCAATCATAGGCCATCGCTCAACATCCTCACGTCAATGTGTGCATACGCCGCGCATGGAAACACACCACTAGCACATCCATCACCATACCCCCGACAGCGCCACTATACCGACCTCTCTTACTCTGTAGATACCTCCCGAGGGGAGCCTAGAAGGCGGCCTACTTGTCGCAGCTTTGGAGGACTTGTTAGAGTAACGACTCTTCTACCTTACCGCTAGTCGACCGGAGCCTCTGCCACTACTGTGGTTGACCTGAGAGACCTGTAGCTAGGAATATTACATAGTCAGACACTCCTTAACAGCTGACTGATAGTCCTGCCGGCCCGAGAGTACATTATTTTTTTTCAGTCTACTTTTGAACGCGGTACTCGACGTTTCTCGCCGAAGTGCCTGCCTACCTACCTGCCCACCAGTCTGCATGTGTGAAGGCAGGTGCGCAGGCAGGTGCGCAGGCAGGTGCGCAGGTGGAGTTTTTGATATTGAAGCACGCAATTTATTTGGCTGAATCATGGTATAATGGGTACAGTATGTGGGTACTACCAATCTAGCAACAACGGCTCTGCCAGAATAGCAATGCACTTATTAAAGTCGGATTTGTCAGAATGGAGAGGCACGAGAATAGCAAGATATGGGCTGCGTGAGGAGAAAGCCCATACCAACTTCTTTCCAGGGCTGGACGATTTTAGCAATCCGTAGGTCTTTTGGAGGAAATACGTGGTGTTGCAGCGCTGGTCGTGGTGTGCTGGGTTCGCTTGTCGTAGCAGGAATCTCATGCAAGGCCACGGACATAGCTTACTTAAGTAGTGATCAGATATACTGCTCACTGAACAGCAGTCGTTGCTGACAACAACAACATGATATCTTGGCCGATTGGTCTGGGCAAGAGCAGATGTAATAGAGGCCCCATCAAGTTTTCGTAATCGTATAATTCATGCTATTTAGTTTGCCGTCGCATAACAATACCTTTATTCACTCCCTCCATCTCACTGCGGGCGCCAAGCAAGGGTCGTCGGGGTCTATCGATAAAGCTGTCAGTGTGGGGCCCGACGATGGACTTCTGTGGGGCGCCGATATGGGTCCGGCCAGCTCACGCGGGGTGCGTCATTGGGGCTGAGCCAGAGCTCACAACGTCGCCGCGTTACTCACCTGCGCCAGCGACAGTCTATGACTCGACTTTGCCCATTCCTGTTCTGCTAGCTCGCCATCGCTCCCACAAGCACATCGCTTTATCACGCCCCCATACGCGCTTGTGGCGTTCCCAACCGACTTCGAACATCTTGTCAGTTGACTTGGCGATCACTACACGCCCAGACGCGATCCTCCCACGCCGTCCAGCCATTCCGTGCAACCCGCCAAAACCACTGCGACCCGTCCAGACAACAAAACTATACAAACAGAGAAGGCTGCGCTTTGAGCAGGTCCCGGACTCAACGCTCCAATCCAGCAGCGCCCGGCATGGCGACAAAAGGCAACAAGCAGCTCCCCCATGAGCGGCGGAAAGGCGAGGCCGTGAGTTTCTAGCCTCGAGTCCGGGCTCAGCAGCGGTCGCTGGCATGCTAACCCTACTGTAGGCGTTGAGCGAGTTCGCCGATTTCGTCGAGAAACAGCAGGCTCTACGCTTCCCCCACAAGAAAGACGCCGCTGCGCCTCCGAGCTACGAGCACCACGACGAACTTGACATACTAGACGAGCTGAACCTCGACGACACGGAGCCTCAGGCACCGCTACGCGACCTGCTACTGGCTCCAGAGGACTCGGGAAAGCTACATATACAGCTTGTGCAGCTCGTTGACGATAGGTTGCAGGAGGGCCACGGCGAGGCCGTGTTCGACATTGGCTTCGAGAACAACAACCAATCCATGCGTCTGACGAAGGACGAGTACGAGACGGCCCTCGCACGGTTACGAGCTGCGGCGGATAAGAATAAAGCGGCATGCAATGTGCTCCTGACGAACCACGTCCACGGCAGTGTGGAGGCCGAGTCCACGGCAGCAACCCCGAAGGATGCCAAGGACCAGCATTGCAGCGCCAAGATCCTCCTACGACGGCAGCCGGCATCAATCGAGAACGTGATCGAGACAAGAATAGCTGTGGTGGGCAATGGTAAGCATTCCGCCGTGCAGGGGCAGTGCTGGCATCAGCTAACGACGTGGTGGCCACAGTGGACGCGGGCAAGTCTTCCATGCTTGGTGTCCTGGTGAAGGGCGACCTCGACGACGGCAGGGGCAGAGCTCGTGTCAACCTCTTCCGGCACAAGCACGAGATTGAGTCTGGTCGTACCAGCTCTGTGGGCATGGAGATCATGGGGTTCGACACCGCGGGCAACGTCATCACGTCTGATACTCCGGGGAGTACGTATCCTCACTGCCGAGTAACTTGCTAATGGCTAATCATCCAGCACAGGGAAGCTGTCTTGGGACGAGATTGGGCGCCGAAGTGCGAAAGTCATCACATTCAGCGATCTGGCCGGCCACGAGCGGTACCTACGCACCACTGTGTTTGGTCTGTTGTCGAGCAGCCCAAACTACTGTCTGCTCATGGTCGCGGCAAATAATGGTCTCATCGGTATGAGCAAAGAGCACCTTGGCATCGCGCTCGCATTGAATGTGCCGATCATGGTCGTCGTGACCAAAATCGACATCTGCCCACCGAACATTCTCGAGCAGACGATACAGCAGATCACCAAGATCCTGAAGTCTCCGGCAGCGAGGAAGATGCCCATCTTCATCCGCAACCGCGAGGAGTGCGTCAATACCGCGACTCAGTTTGTCAGCCAGCGGATATGTCCGATCTTCCAGGTCTCCAATGTTACTGGAGAGAACGTGGATCTCGTAAGAACATTCCTAAACATTCTCCCGCATCACGGACGATACGACTCGGATGCCCCGTTCGAGTTCCACGTCAACGATACTTTCTCCGTCCCCTTCGTGGGAACGGTTGTCAGTGGTATTGTCAAATCGGGCGTCATCCATGCTGGTGACAACGTCCTCGTCGGGCCGGACTCTCTCGGGCAGTTCACTGCCACCAGTATTCGATCGATCGAGAGGAAACGAATAGGTGTGCCTGCAGCCTCGGCAGGCCAGTCTGCAAGTTTCGCGCTGAAGAAGATGCGACGCAAGGATGTACGGAAAGGCATGGTCGTACTGCCAAAACTCGAGGGCCAGCCGATGCCTCAGGTGTACCGCGAGTTCATTGCCGAGGTACTGATCCTGTCCCACGCAACCACAATCAAAACCAAGTACCAGGCAATGTTGCACGTCGGACCGGTCTCGCAGACCTGCGCCATAATTGACGTGGACCGTCCATATATCCGCACAGGCGATCGTGCGACTGTGGCTTTCCGATTTGTGCAGAGACCAGAGTACTTGGCCAAAGGCGACAGGATATTGTTCCGCGAGGGGCGAACAAAAGGCTTGGGCATCGTCTTGGCCGTTGGCTACGACCCGACGAAACCATTGATGGGTCGTGGACAGGAGGAGCAGGGTTCTGCGGAGTCTAACGGCCAGGCGGACTCTGCAGCCGATGTGAAGCCCACAGCAGGAGTCCGCGTCGGCGCTTGACGCGCTGCGCATGTCATGACCGCACGTGAGGATCGGGTTTGTTGATTTCTAATGATTGTTTCTATTTCTTTGGCATGCGATCAAAGTACTTTTCTTTTCTGATTTTTCGTTTCCTTTGTTGGGACAAGTATCACGTTCGGCTCCATGAGTCGCAACATCTGAAGTTCTGGAGTCATTGTGTCCTCACATTTGCATATCTGATTCCCCAGAATGGTTTGATCAAAGCAAAAAGTTATATGAGAGCATATATATACATGTCTGCTATTGATGGATGACTACATCTAATGCAATTGACACGAGCTATTCTGACACGTTCCTTGCATGGTCACGTAAGCCTTGGCTCCGCATTGTCTATCACAAAAGGAGAATGCCCTTGCACAGTTGGTATAATTATTAATGCGTGCCTAGCCTGAGGAAAGCCTAGTAGTGTCTTGAAGGGCCCACCCGTCCAGCGTGCCAATCTGCATGCCGTAGTATCCTAGTGGCAAAGCATGTCCGAGTCGCTCCAATGCCACACCAAGAAAGCAGCAGAATTCTGCTCAGCTGCGCCCCGGCTTCCCATGAACTTCCTCCGCCCTCACCAACGACGTAATTGGTGCCCTCTTTGCCCGAGATCCCGTAATGGTTGCCTTGTCATGTGACATGCCTCCCATCCCGTACCCGATGGAGTATAGCTCAAGTTGGAGCGAGCGGCATTTGGGTTTCACGGTTTGCGGGGGTGGAGCCAATGGCGACGCCGTCCCGACGAGACGGTTCTTGCCCTAGGAGGCAGCTTCGGTCTGCATCACGGGGGGCATTCTCAGTGGGCGAGTAATGTGAAATAGGTGCGGGTGCTTGAGGGGGTGTTGGTCAGCGGTATATGGTGGAATCGACTGGATTGCCGTGTCTGAAGCACTTTCCTTCTTCTACACCTTCGTGCCGGCTTGATAATCAATACCTATATTTTCGACTCCAGCTGAAGAAGTACCTACAAAGACACGACAAGGTAGAACATCGCCCAACATGAAGCCCACGGACCCTCTCACTGTCAAGAACGCAAAGTCGTACGCGAAGGCCAAGGAAAGCTACGACGCTGTCATCAATGATGCTGGACGAGCGGACTGGTATTGTAAGTGATCACTGGCCCGTCGAAGCCTGCCTAGGGCTTTCACTGTCTTTAGCTTGCCTCATAAATCCCTGGGCAACAAGCCATCGAGCCGAACCGGACCTTTGGTAGCTGGGCGGGTGTTATTAATCAAAGAAGACTGACATGAGCTGTCATCCTCCCAGGCCGCAACCACCGCGTCAGCTCGGGCCGCCACCCGTCCGTCGGCGACTGCCACATGATCAACAGGGTCGATCATCCAGAGCGCCGCAAGAGCAGCGACGCGAGCATCAAGGAGAAGAATTGGTTCCAGAACTGGATCAATCGTCCGGCGTACTAAGCTGTACCCGTTGCAAGGCCACGAAATTTCCTAGGTCGCTATAACACACACAGCCACAAGCATGGCAAATTATGTAATACTAGTTTCATGGCATAGCCATTGGTTTTGCCACTATCACCAAGTACGCAGCAGCTGGAGCACCTCGTTGGGTCTGACCCACGAGATTACGAATGAGATAATTGTAACATGAGAATATAACTCAACATAAATTACAACCTGTGAACCAAGACTGCGCTGATTTCTGTGAGGGCTACACCTACATTGGCACCGAGTTCGGCCGCACTGGATACTGCAGCAACAGCATCTTGGACACGGACCGACGCATGGGGCATGCCGCGAAGTACGACATGGCGTGATCGGGCGACAAGACGCAGCTGTGCGGCGTAGACTGGCCCATCTTGATCTACGGCCGGCGGCCATCGCACCCCAACCTCGTCTTGGGTGACCCATGGCACTTCCTGGCCTGCCCCGGCAAAGCACGGCCCGTAGGCGCTGTGTGACAGGGTCACCGCGGAAGCTGCATGAGCTTAACCAGGGGCGCCCGCTTTTGTGAGACAGGCCATGGATTAGGTGACGTTGGACCAGGCCGCCTCAAGTCAACGATCCGTGCGGGCCCTGCCGGCCACGGTAACGACGACGATGACGACGACGATCCTCAATGGCCACTCTGCGAGCGGAATCAAGCCAAAGTCTCAACGTCGAGTTCAAGGTCCAGCCCCGTGCTGACAGCCCCGTAGGCGACAGCGCGGCTGGGTTGGGGTCGATTATGCGCTGGCGATGAATGTCCGCCAGCGCATAATCCTGGGCATCCTGTCGAACTGGGGGCTTGAAGGGACCGCTCGTGCGTTGTATGAGCATCGTCGCTGGCCTTATCTACTGTTCACCATTGTACGCCGGTCCGCTTCATAGAGCAGTGCGGCTCTGTTCTTTTCGTTGCTACTATGAAGCGTTACTGCCATCCCTGACGAGCATCCTTCTTCTTCTATTTTTGCCAGGAATAAGCTTAACTTTTAAGATGTGCATAATTCTCAAGTAATCCAGGGCCAAAAGAAAAGTTAGAAAGTCAAATGGGTTCTCCAAGGTTAACGAACAAGTCCTGGTTCTCCTCGACTACGTGAGTATGAGTGGGTTGACCGCACAGACTATGTCCTGGGACTTCCGATGTCGGGCAGAAGCAGGCAATGGAAAGCACCCGAACTTTTCCGCTAGATAATGATGGTTTTGCTTCTTCTGTGGCAGGCAGCACCGCATTCAAGTACAATCCATGTAGTGCAGTGTCATCATCTTTAATCGTGGCAACCCGATAAAGCAAGCTGACGCGATTCATGTAACTATAACGTATGCCTATTTCGGCAACTGAAAGATTCCTGTACCCAGCCGCCGCCGTGTACAAGTCCTGTCGAAATTTCTCCCTCACAACTGACCCACCTCGCCGCCGTCGTGCAATGGATCAACCGACCAGCCTGGACACATGCGTATACGTAGTCAAGCCTCTCGCCAAGCCGTGGTAAGAGACACGCTGGGTGATCTTCAAGATGGATGTGGCGGGTAGTGTGATGGTCACTCAAACTACTCGAGCATTAACGGCCGCGGATGTGCTGCCGTTCGAGGGCAAAGCGGCGCGTTTAAACCGCGACGGCTGCGTAAGCAGCAGTGCGGGCATAAAGGTGTCGCGTGGAGGGCATTCGTGTTGCTGAGTAGGGGCATCGGCCCATCGGAGCTGGGTCCGGACGCATGGCATGAGAAGAAACATAAGCTTTCGGCCCCAGGGCTGGACCCCTTGTGTCGCTAGGGTGTTTGTCCACCGGATCTCAGCCTTGTCGGCTCTTGCTCCACAACGAGCCGTGCTCTCGCACTCGGACTCGACAGCAGCATCGGTATGATAATAAGCGGCGCGTGACAAAAACTCGTTGTGGACCGTGATAAGTGGGGGATGATGCGACGACAGCAGTCCCGCGTGTAAACGCTAGGCTGAAGGGCATAGATAATATCTGGGCCGACATCTTATTCTTCACGTAAGGGGAAAAAAGAGGCGAGTTGGGTAGCCCGGGCTTTCGACTTCCGGCCTGTCGAGGTCTGCTTTGTTAGTGCTGATGTGTCTTTGTGGTGTTTAGTCCAAGGATGCATACACGTGCGGAAGTCGGCAAGGACAGGCAGAATTGACACTGCCCTATATGGGAAGAGTGTTACAGAACTAGTACTGACGATTGTTGTACCACTACTCTAATCGGAAACAACAAGCGGGAGCTCTAGGCTCATCTCGCTCTAGAGAGCTTTGGTTCCCACGGAGTGCTATGTACGTCGTTTGACAGCCAAACATTAAACGCTATGCGACCATGCCAGTTGGCTCGTTGCCAGGGCTATATTATGTGAGAATGAGGCGTCGAGGCGCTTCGGCTCCAACAGATCACGGCAATTCGCACGGGATTGCCCCACAAACCGGTGTCACTTCACTTACTAAGGCCTGGTATGTGAAGCTGTAAACGGACAATGAGCTCTCGAAAGGGCAACGGCGACACTTCAGCCACAGTGGTCCCAGCCCAGGGCATGTCCATGTTGTGTTTGCATTGTGAGAGAGAATATGCTTTCCGCCTGGAATAGTCGTCTATGTCGGACCAGGCTAGTTATAACAGCCTTGTACCTCTCCATGTGATCTCAAATTCTGACGATGCAATCACTTCTTCACACAGTCACGAGTTCCTTCTGCAGTGTCTAAGCTTTCTACCCTCCTGCTCAGTTCACCACAACACTAACTGTCCAGCTCCTACCTCCAAAATGACATCACCAGGCCAGATACTGCGATGGCTGATTTTGATGATTGGTCTCATGTCGACCGGCATCTCTGCGGTGGTCCAAGTCATCCACGATCCAGTTGATAACAGTTCTGGAGCCAATCACCAGCTTGGGCTCCGGACCTGCCTATGGGTCATCACGCAAGCATTCAACGGGTGGCAAGAGTCCATCGTTACTGTTGCTCCATGGCAGTACCTTCGCTGGGGCCAGGAGACCTGCGTGGTGCAAGTTGTGAACAACCAACCTTCCGCGTTTAATGTTCTCGGAGGCGACCTTGCGCAGGGTTTCACCGAGATGCTAACGGTGGCCGCAGCCAGCAGGCCGTATGGATCGAGTGGGCTATAGCTCGGCGCGTGGCCTATTCAGAACAGCCCGACGTTCTTGGTGGCGCACTCGGATCGGTTCGGCGGCAACGTCGGCTTCGCCCAGAAGCGCGGGGCGGATGGTGCCTCCGGCGAGTTCGAGCTCCCTCCCAACGTCACCGCAGCAGATCCCGCGGAAAACGAGTTCGCTGCTCACGTGTCCGGCATCGACTTTGAGGCCCTGTGGACGGCGGCCGAAGCAGCCGCGAGCGATGCCGCGGCCCACGAGGACGACGGACTTGTGGAGAGAGATGGCCCATCCAGCACGAAATGGGACAACAGCAATGGCGGTAGCATTAGCGAAGAGAACATCGGCAATGGCAACAGTGACATCCCGGAACCAGGCATCTCCAAGCGCGCCAGATACTCATTGTCAGGGTGCAACACTGTCACCCTCAACACCAACGGCGACAAGAGCAGGGAATGCAAATGTACGAGTTTCCAGTCCGGCCTGGTCGGCCGCTTTCAAGTGCGCTGCAATGCGAACAAATCTGTTCACGGAGACTGGACCAAGCAGAAGATCTATAATGCGATTGGGTCGTTGCGGAGCCAAATTTACCAAGTTTACAACTTGACCGCCAACACTCAGTGGCCTCCAAATGTCGTCACCGTCACCGGCAAGCTCAATGAGGGTGCTGTCCTGTTTGTACCGTGGCGGAACGCGGAGGATAACCGCCCCAGTCGTGATGGTGCCAGCTGCTGCGAACGGCTGACGACTCAGCTAGCGGGGGAATTCGGCTGGGCGCCTACCGCCTGTACTTGCGATGCTCTCGACTCCAAGGGCCATTCGGCAGGCTGGCACTAGATGGTGAGTGATTAGATTTATTATGGGCTTGCATGATAGGGTGGTATGTAGACCCGAGCGGCAGGTTGCACAATTGCATCGAGGACAAGGACAGGTCATGAACGGGGGACGACACCTTTCCTCATGTTATTCCTTGCTGCCCTGTGTTTCTAATATGAGGGAAATCACCGAGGTTCTATTGTTACCCTTCTCTTCTGTTATGGGAAGCTCTTCCCGGATGTCTTTTCGACCTCACCTTGGAACGTAAGCTTTATCTAGGCCATAAGGGCTCTAGCTACTTCATGCAAGTGGACCAGATCTCTATCGGCCGTCATGTCCCATATAGAGGTAGTTACTTGAGTAAATGTCTTGTTATGCTTGGTATATCATCGAATCGCGACGTCCTTCGCGCTAGACAGCTCGGCGTCGTCGAAGAAGGAGTATAACACCGCAAAGCGCCGAGGAGTGGGGAGCCAAATTACAGAGCTGTTGTTTCGTTTGAACGACGGGATTTGCGGTCATGTTGCCAGAACGCCTCGCGGAGAGCTCAGCCACTGTATGAGGCAAGAGCGTTACCGGTGAGGCGATAAACATAAATCCAAGTCAGCACAACAAGCATGCAGTGGCGACCAACAGCGCGGACAGTTTGAATACCACGTCAACAATCCGCTGACCAACTTCGATGGAGAACTAGGAAAATGACGGCGAGGCCCGCCGAGGGGACACCCTGGTTCCAGCAAAGCTCATATCCTGGACGAGAGTCTTTCGGCGCGATCGCCGTCATTTTCCTAGTAATGCTTCTTTGCGAGCGTGGTACGAGATTTGTGATTTTACACGGTGTACCGCCAAGGAAATGCCTACTTATAGGCATAATATCTATGAAGTTACAAGGTAGTTATATGACCTGCAAAAAGCACCATACTCCACGACCATGAATGATTAGGTCGAGCATCGGAGGACGTCCCTTGCAAATACTGGAGCAAGCAAAGCTTTAAAACCCCAGTAAGTAAGAAGGACACCTTCCACGAGGGTGCCTGCTCGCCTCACTTTTCCTGCTCGTCTGGCAGTACCCCACACGCCCGTGTCGAATCGTTCACAACGTGGGTGTTCGACCGGAAGCAGGCCTAGATGTGATTCGTCAGACCCGCAGGGTCAGGAGAACCCAACTATGCCTGACACAATCTGCAGCGAATGGAGTGCTGCATCATGTAATGCATAAGCAGGCCGGCGGAACCTTCCATACGACAGCTTGTTCGTGCGATAGCTTGCCGACGGCGTCTAGCCGCGGGAACGGCAACGACCCTAGATAGCTCCCCACGAGCTCGGAGGCACTCTCTTCGGCCTGTTGGCATGGCAAAGGTGTCCCAGCAGAGCGGCTCACTGGGCCTCTCTTCTGTGACATGCCGGGAAATCAGCACTGGGAGGATCTCTGCTCGAGCTCGAGGATATACAGAGCTTATACCATCGACGTTTCTCTTTTTTTGATCCATTGCCCGCCACGCATCACTGTCGACCATGTGATGACACACCATCACCGAATGTGCGTTCCACGAACCGTGGTTCGAAGCCACCCTCCCCTTTTGCTCAAACTCGTGACTGCAACCACCAAAGCGGCCGGATGTCACCCGATAGGCAACATGTGCAAGCCGTTCTATGCAAGCGTGTGCCGGGTGCTGGGCCTGTCAAATGCGCATACGGATGAGCTGGCATCTTATCCGTCGGGCAGCGATCCATTCAGGCTATGCACCACCCTATGCTCTTTGATAGCATTGCGGACGTGTCCCTTGCACGAGGATGCCGTCCTCCATTATTAGATATCGTGACACTCTCCATGACCGATTCTTGGGTTATCCTCGTGACGGCGCAGTGCTGCTCCCGAACAGGACTACACATCGGCTCACGCATCCTCACACGCTGTCAACCACACAAAAGCATTGGTTACAACAATTGACTGCCACGAGCACACACAAGAAAGGACAGACTTGGGTCGCCGATCCGGCTCCCTCCAAGGATCTTTTGCTGGCACAGCTCCTGATGTATATACGAGCGCTCCCACAACAACAACAACACTCCCAAACAGATTCCCACAATGGCTTCATCTACACACCCACAACGTCTTTCTCAACCCTGACCGCGTCGATACCACCACCACCACCAACAACAACGACAACGACAACGACAACAACACCCCTAACCACACCAACACCACCGTCCCAGCAGCATAGGCGCGATGACACCGCCCAACAACAAGCCCTAGACCCAAAGTACATAATCGGCATCACCGTCAGCATCTTCCTGACGCTCTTCATCGCCGCCGCCTGCTGGTTTCTATACTCGTACCGCTTCACCGTGCGCTTCCGGAAGCGCGTGCGGCGCCGGCTCCGTAGACACCGCCGTCATCGCAGTGGTAGGCGCCAGAGCACCTCGTTCTCCGCCTCGTCTGCCTCTACGCGGCACCCTCGCATCCCGCCGCCATCCCTCCGCCGCCCAGGCCACCGCGGCAGTCACCACACGCGCCTGAAACCATCGACGAGTAGCAGCAGTGGGAGCAGCGGCGCCAGCAGAGGCTCAGACAGCTCTGCCGCGCCGCCGCCGCCACAGCCACAACCTGCACCTGCCCCAGCTCCCGCCCCTGATCCTGCTCCAGATCCGCCAGCTGCGGAGACACCAGCCGAAGAGCCAGTAGCAGCGGCAGCAGCCGAGGACGCCGGGGACGGTGATTAGACCGCTGGTGTAACCCGAACAAAGCGGCCATCATGGGCACACCAAAGGCTGCTACGCCAGCGAGCATGTCCGGCAGGGAGGTGACCTTCACGTGGAGATGAAACGCCATGACTGTTCATTGTGCATTTATCCACTAGGAAGGAATGTTGCCATATGAAGATTTTCTTTTTCTTTTTTTTCCCCACCGTGCCATGACTACCTTTTATCCCCACGACTCTGTTCTAAGCTGCTATTTTTGTTGTTATTGTTATTGTTGTTGTATTTGTCTCAAAGTTGACGGGATTCTTTCTCCTTATCTTGTTCCATTTCCATCAACTCTTCCCAATATGTGGCTGTGCGCTTCGTCTTTTGCCTGCAAGGCGTTCGTCTAGGGATTTCTTCTCCTTTTGCGGATGAAGTTTCCAGCTCTGTACAATTTCCAAATTGTTTTAATCATTACTCTAGTGAAGAGCCAGTCCCTTGGCATCACTTGGCCTTGTTTGTCGGTTTGACGAAATCACGACAGCCCACGGGTCGGTATTTCCCAACAAGAACATTCATACAGTTTCAAGAGAACAAGTTTCCAATTCAATGCGTCGTTTCTCGTTGTGGTATCTATAAAAAAACAATGACAACAATATGCAGAGAGGTTGACGCCAGCCAACGTTGCGTAAGTCATCAAACCATTTTTGCGAGAGTCGTCCTGGTCCTTACAATTGGGAGATCCAAGGCTCTCGTGCCTATGGCACAACTACATCCTCCCATTGTATACTACATTCTTAGCCTCTTGCCGGCAAAGAGTCCTGCAAAGGCTAGGATACGATAGATCGTTCCGATACCGCCAAGGATCATCATGTTCCGCCACAGCCAGTCGAGCCGGAAGCCTGTGGCTTGTGCTGCAATGTCGATCTGGTAGAGGTACCTGAAGGGCGAGACCATCTGTCCAAAGTAGAGCTCAGCGAGCCAGACTCCTGGGGAGGCGCGCCAGAGCCACTCCATGTGCCAAGTTTTGACCGAGGATAGGGGCGGCGCGTTGCCGGAGAGAATGCCCACAATGAGAGTAACCATGGTGGCGATCAAGGGCGCATCCTCACGCCTCACCACCATGGAAACCATGCTAGCTAAGCCGTAGATGCAGTAAAAGTACAACAGGTTGGCACAGAATGCCAAAGCCCAGCTGATGATGGGGTTTGCGAGGAGGAAAAGCGGGACAGTAAAGTGCATGCAAGCAAGCACCATGCGAGGGAGGACACCGACCACCTTGGCTAAGAAGTACGAGATCCTGGAATGGCCAGCTTCAGCTTCGCGGCGCTGGAGGAGCAGCTCTTCTGAAAACACCTTGACACCGGGCGCGCCGCTGATCAGACCAATAGCGATGGCGATCAGCAACGATAGCTCTGGCACGGACTTGAAGTCCATGGCGATCGAAAGGACTTCGTATGGGCTGTGGTAGAGGCCAATGAACATGACTCCCTTCTTGGAATTCTCCGCCAGACCAAGAAGGAAACCAGCAAGCAAAGCAAGACCAAGCTCGAACAAAAGGGTCGACTTGGTCCTGAACTGTTGCAGGAAATACCGCTTGAGGCAAAGCCAGAACTGCTTGAGACGTGGCGCACCTCGCCGGCGCAGAACCTGCTGAATCGACTTGCGGTTCGATTGAATATCACCGCTGGGCAATGAGAGGACCGAGGCACGCTTATCCCGAAGGGTTGCACTGTGCCGAGAACGCTCCCAGTGGCCGATGAGTCCTTCCCTGGACACGTCGCCTGCTCTCTTGTAGTTGCGGCCATTTCCGGTGATGATGTCTGTCACGACGTCACCATAGTTGGCGTCCTCCGGAAATTGGTAACCCATTTGTCCAAAATAGCTCTTGACGTCGCGCTCAGCACCTTCATAAATAGTCTGACCCTTGCCGAGCAGAATAAGGTTGTCAATCATTTCAAAGATCTCTCGGCGTGGCTGGTGGATAATGACAATGACGGTCATGCCAAGCGTGGCGAGAGCCTTGAGCGTACGCATGATTGACGATGCCGCCGTTGCATCGAGACCGCTCGTCGGTTCGTCGAGGAAGATAGCCATGGGTGCGGCAGCCAACTCCATGCCAATACTGACACGCTTGCGTTGGCCGCCACTGATGACCGGTTTGCCGACGGAGCCGACCAGAGAGTCACGAACATGTGGGAGCTCCAAGCAATCAACTACGGACTGGACGTGCGACTTGATGTCCTCGTCAGCCCAGGTTCGTGGGAGGCGGATACGCGCAGAATGAAGGATGTTCTCAAAAACGGTCAACTCCGGTAATACGATGTCGTCTTGTGGAACGTAACCGATGAGCTTCTTGTATCGCTTGATCTTGCCGGGGACGTTATTGATAGAAACTGCTCCTGACGTGTTTGTAATCTTGCCCATCAGGACGTTGACAAAGGTCGACTTGCCAGCGCCAGAGCCGCCCATTACGGCTGTCAGCGCACCACGGTCAATGGACCCAGTCACCTTGTTGAGAATGAAAGGACCGCCTTTCTTGGGTTGGAAACTGAGATCTGTGTAGGTAAAAGATAGACCAAGTCGGGTCGCATCGGTGGCTCTCTTCATCGAGTCGACGAATGCGCGGAGCTGGGGACTGAACTTGGCTTCGATATCTTCTTCTTCAGAACCCGGCAGTTCATACAGGTTGAGGGCCTCCTGGAAGCCTGTCCAACCGTGCGGACTAGGCATATAGGTAGCCTGAAGAGGCATCATCTCCTGGTCGACTTCGTTGTCCACATCGTGCAGCCTGCCGTAGCCCGTGAAAGCACGCTTGATCGTGCCCATGCGTGTGGGACGGCCTGCCGACGAGCCCGGGCGCTTTTCTGCAATATCGTGGGCGCGCTGGGACTTCTTGAGGCGGGCCCGGAAGACCAGAAGAAGGATGCCGATGATGAGCAGGATGTCAACCAGGATTAAAATGCCCAGGGGAACCCAGTAGACCTCGAAGGACGAGCCCGCCGGACAGGTGCTGCCAAAGGCACAAGGTGTTGGCGTGGAGGCGCCCGGCTGGCAGTAGTGGCCTGCGGGACACTTGATGGACTCTTTGCCGGGAGGGGGGCAGTAGTTGCCCTGAAGGCAGACGACGGGCTCGAAGGGGCCCATGCCAATGTTCTGCCCCTGGAACATGCAGACCATACCAGCGAGCCTGCTCATCTGGCACTGAGTAATGGGCGGGCAGAACTGGGGGCTTGAGTTGACTGTGTTGTTTGTGCAGAGAAAGCCCTCATTGCAGCCGGTGGCGGCCCAGTCGCTGGGTGATTGGATCTGCATGGGGATGGCGCCTGGGCGGTAGCAGGGCATCTGCTCGAGCGGGACTTCATCCTGAGAGAGCTTGTCGGTGGCGGCGTAGAAGGACGTCGAGAAGCTGGAGCGGTTCTGGGCGGTGCAGAAGCGGTCGAAGACGGAGAGAGAATCGAGGTTGGCGTCCTGGAAGCCGGCCCCCGCGGCGTAGGTGAGGGCGCGGGCGGTGTCTGGCGGGTTCGAGGCGTCCCAGACGGGGCCGTCTACGGCAGCACTGCCCTCGTTCTGCGGGAGGAACCACTTGCCCGTGTCGGCGAGGTAGACGTTCTGCGTCTGGTTGCCGATACACTGCCAGGCAGCCTGGCCGCCGCTGGGGGCATCGCGAAGGGCGCAGAGGCAGGCTTCGGTGTCGAGGAAGCTGGGGCCCTGGGGCGCAAACTGCGGGAGGTACGGGTCCTGCGGAAGGAACGACGCGTCGATGCGGTTGAAGGGTATCGACATGGCTGCGGGGATCGCGAGTCGCTGCCCCGCGACGTCCGCATACAATCAATCAATTGCAGGCAGGGTGACTTGTTGCAACTCTGGACACAGGCATGTCTGTCACTGCCAGCCACGCCCTGGAGCGGCGCCTCGATCCTTTTTATTCCAGCCTGCCCGCCCACCTCGACACAAACGGCTGACTCTGCAGTGTCGCAGGCTAGCAGCCAGCCAGCCGTGCCGTGCCGAGCTTGTGTCCGCCGCCGCCGGGCCCATGCTGTATCGTGGCTTGGGCGCAGACCATGTCCCCAGCATCGGCGCAGAGCCTCGAGCAAGGCCAAGGCAGAAACCCCACCGCGACATGCCCAAAATATCTCGGAATGGGACCCTTGCTGGGCTTCTTGGGCGGGCCGTGGCAGGGCTGAGCAAGCCCCCGTCGTAAACACCACCCATCCCGCACCATAGCTGCCCCTGGCCTAGCAGCGCTAGTGCTGACAGCTCCCCGATGGGAGACTGCTAGATCGCTCCATTTAGCCCCCAGGCGGGTCTCTAGCCACTGGACTTGTCACAAAGCCGGCCTCCAAGAGCTCAAGCCGCATGACTAAGGCAGTGCGATGTTGCCAGGAGTCGCGATGCACGCACGAGCCTGACTTTCACCGTCGAGTCCGAGGCTGTCCATTCTTCTCTCTCAACACTCCAGACACGCTTCAGTGTGGGTGCACAAGGGTGCTGCGCCGCAAGGCATACTACTCCGGAACGGGCAAGATTTGGGGTGGCTCCATCCGCCGCTCTGCCGATCTGCTGACGGCCCAGGCCAGGACCAAAAAAAACAACTCTGGGCAAAGCTGCCTCAATCATCACCATCGACCAGCAGGTATCCCTGCTCGCAAGCGAGCGACTGTATCCTATCTACTGCGCTCCCGATGTCGTAGTCCATGTTGCAACCACGCCGTGCCTGTTGGGGCTCGCGAGTCCCAGACTGTAGTTAGTCCCACAGCTGCTCAGCAGAATTCAAGCCTATCCTCGCCGTTTTCTTGTGGCACGATTCGTCACTTTCCCACCAGCCAGTGTGTCATGGCCTCCTGGAGAACTCCGTGGTTGGCAACTGAAGCTCAGCACTCGCTCAGCCGTGAGGCGTCTCGCATGCGCAATGCAGGATCTGCGACCCAATAGGCTTTTCAGCCGAGCACGGCGCCGTCACCCCCCGAGCAGCAGGCAACCTTCACGGCAACAGCACGGAAGACATGGCCTGTTGTCGCCATCGGGTGCTTTGATAACAGCAGACAATTGCACCGTCCCGAATTATTAACACGGGGCGCCCTTGTTCCCAGCACGCGCAATTTCGACTTGAAACCAGCTCCCGTTGATTGGAACACCAGATCCCCGGCCGACCGTGCTCCAAAATAGCAACTCTGCCTTTCCCAAACCGTATAATTGCCCAATAGAGAATTCCCCGTGCGAGAACCACAATAGTGCAGGACCACTCCTGGCATGCAAGAACGAAGCAGGGCAGGCATCAGTCAAGCACTGACCTCTCGCTCACAACCACGACATTTTTCAGAGCCCGTTCGCCGTCCTCCCAAGCTCAGCACAGTCCATGGTCCCATGTCACCGCCAGTCCAACAGGGCTGAGACTCCTCCCTAATGCCCATCCCTTCCACCCCCCCATATGCTCGGATGAAAGGTGGACCCGAGCTATGCTTGATGACTGCCAGCTGAACCACCCACCCCGGGCACCCTTTTGTGGCCTGGTGGGCGGCGCGCTGGCTGGCTGGCTGGTGAGGGCTGTTTACGTTAGTTTGGCCGGATTCGGAGCAGAAACTCTTTTGAAGGCTTCGGCGAACGCCGCCACCACAAGTCCCCCTCCCAAGCAATGCCAACGAAAAGCAGTCTTGCGAACAACGACTGGGCCATACAGGATGAGCATATAGACGCTCCTCCTCGGACTTTGGATCCGGGGCAAAGCTCTCTCTGCACTTCAGTCTCGTGGTACGGCCAGAAGTCTAAGCAAGCTCCATCCCTTCAAAGAAAAAAAAGAAATAGGAAACCCTCAAAACGGGCCCGCCACCTTCGATCCTACATAATACCTTGTTCCCCCTGGTTCCGGTAGTATTCGCTAGCTGCAGGGTTCCTGCTGACGTCAGGGAGGGCGGGTGCCAGCTGGACCTGATTGCCCACAGTTTGAAATACCAGGAACGGCAAAGCGAGGTACCGTGTACGACCGTACCGTCCATGAACCGTCGTCTCCAACGCTGCCATGGGGGCGGTGTCTTGTGGGGCGGTGTCTCGCGTGCATGTCACTAACGGATGCTCGACGGAATTAGAGTGTTGGGTATCACGACAGCGGCCGAGATCTGCGACCTTCCGGCTGTACGACAAGGCGGTGCGGATAATCGCCTCCGCACGTACTTCTGCCTTTGATAATTTCGAACTGCCGAAAGCCATTGTTTTTCTGGATGGTGACCAGGCCAACCACCCTTGCGCCAGTAAATGCTCAAAGATCAGCTATGTACATCGTGTTTCGACTCCATGGGATGCCCCGGCCCAAATCAATAGATATGCTTTCCTGCCCTGTGCGCCAGTCATGAGATGCTCTATGATATGTGTTTGTCCCAAACCGCGTGCGCACTGCCTGCTTGCCATATGGGCTTAGCTGAGGAGCTCCTTGATGTCCTCGATTCGTGCTAGTTTCTTCTCTTCATCTGACATCATGCCGAGCGAGGTTGCTCTGTTGCACAAGTCCAAAATTAGTGTCTGGCCACATGGTGGGCTCGGAGGGAATATGTTGCTCAACTCACATGAACTTCTTTCGGTCCTGTATCTTGAGCATGCGTTCCTCAACACTGTCCTTGGTGATGAAGCGATAAACCTTGACCTCCTCATCCTGTCCCATACGATGCACACGATCAATCGCTTGTGCTTCCACCGCAAAACTCCACCACGGGTCCATCATGAACACACGCTTTGCTTGCGTAAGATTCAAGCCGACACCACCAGCACGTAGACTGATGAGCAAGATGGTGAACTTCTTTGAGGTTCTAAACTCGTCAAGGACGGCCGTGCGGGCCTTTTGGTTAATGCTTCCGTCTAGTCTGAGGAAGGTCATGTTCGCCTTGGCCAAGGCCGGTTCAATCAAAGACATGAATGAGGTGAATTGACTGAAAACGACGGATTTAATGGTCGGGTGCTGCTTACGCAGCTCGCGAAGGTGCTTCATCAATGCAACCACTTTGGTCGAGGAGTCGTTCACGCCTAATCTTTGAAGACTGATTTTTGGAGTGGCCAGTCCAGCGTCGGGGTCGTCATCGTGTCGTACTACTTCAAAGAGGTCGCGGCTGTTGAGAGGCTCGCGACAGTTCCAGCACCGGGGGATCTCGTGCTTGTCTGTGTAGTGCGTAATGTATTTGAGAAGGCACTTCTTGCACGCCGAATGCCAGCAGCCCGTCACTGTCTGTTCCACCATAGGCTCTTCGAAACAGAGTGTGCACTCATTGACCGCCTCATCTCGGATCTGCTCCAAGACATGCGCCCCAAAGGCGTTGGCATCTTTCTCGTCGTCTGTCGTGGCAGTGAACTGTGCAATTAGTGACTGCAAGTCCATGTCGTCGCCCAGACCAGTGGAAGCATCAATCTCAGCACCGGCCGCCGTCTCATCTTCCACAATCTCCTGGTTCCTGACCAATAGCGGGTGACAACAAGACTGCCGTAGTCGGAGGATTTGGGCGAAAATGGTTGTGTATGCTTTCATGACGGTGCCTCGCTCCACATTTGCAGAGAAGGTACGCTTCGCCCGCGTAAATATGTGATCATACACATCCCGCTCCGGCTTGGAAAGCTCAACTTCCACGATCTCCATATGCTTTGGCGGAAGCGCAACGAGTGGTTCGCCACTCGGTGTCTTCATATCCTTTGTGCGCCGCATGACGAGAGGCTCGAGAACCGTTTGAACGACATCCAGGGCCCTCATGAAGTCTTTCGACTCAAATGGTACCGTGATAAATGTGCGCCAGAATGAAAAATTATTCCAAGGCTCGACGCGCAGGAATCGGACAAGGCTGAAGAGGTCTTCCAACCGATTCACAATGGGAGTTCCCGTGAGAGCCCATCGATGATCGGCAGAGAGTTCATAGCAGGCTTTCGCGGTCTTGGACTGGCGGTTCTTGATGTTGTGGGCCTCGTCCAGGATGATGCGAAAGAAGTTCAGAGAGAAGAGACCTCGGTCTCGATTGCCAGATCGAGCAATCTGGGTGAATTCGGAAAGCACAACTCCATAGCTAGTGATGATGATATCTGGGGCGCTGGCAACGTTGTTCTGGCCGCAGAGGGTCTGCAAGTTGGCAGCCTTCTCATTTCCGTAGTAGACCATGGATTTGAGTGTGCCGTCCTTGGAGGCATTCTCGGCCTCGCTCTGCCATTGCGCGAGCAGTGACATTGGGGCAACTACCAATGTTGTCCGGGGCGCATCAACTATACTTGTGGTCGTCGCATCGGACAATCGTGGCAGCTGGTTGACAGATTCCATGGCTTCGGCAGACATTACTGCCTCGGACTTGTGAGAGTGTATCAGGGCGAGCATTTGGATTGTCTTGCCCAGTCCCATTTCATCAGCAAGAATGCCACCGAGACAGTGCTGTTCTTGGACGGGAAACTCCAGGGACATCTCTCCTGAATAAGGGTTGACGTAAAAGACGGATTGGTCAACGATGACGGGCAGGTCCTTGTCTTCAGTATCCTTCAATGGCCAAGTGTACTCCTCCCAAAGCGGATGCATAGACTTCTCCCGACCCTCGTTCTTGAGGTCCTTCTCCTTGCGCAACATCCAGTGCAGCGACTGCTTTTGGTACGGGCGCAGAGTCATGTTGAAAGTATTGGCAGGCTCCGCTTCCGGGGTGTTAAAGTCAAAGGACTGTGCCTTTTTGTACAGGGCATCAAGCTGGTCTTGCTCGAGCTCGGTTCCTTCCTCGGCTTCCTCCGATGGGGGAGATGATCCATCATCACCCCCTGAAGTGCCAGTCGTGGCAGCTTTGGCAGTGTTCTCCGCCATATCCGCAGCATCGAGTAGGCCTTTGCGCCCATGACGAGCAGCAGCTTCCGTGCTTCGGGTGGGGAGGAGGTTGATCTCGTGGAACAAGCGGACCAGGGCGACTTGTCTGAGCCGCAAGTCGCGCTCCTCGTTTGTTTCCTTTTCCTCAAACAGGCCTGTCGACCGATTCTCTGTGAGTTTAAACTCAGAATTCCGGAACGCAGCCTTCAGGATGAAGCACCTCAGCTGCAGGAAGACTGTATCGTTGGTGCGGAGTCGTTCTGGTGCATACACACATGTTCCCTCAAAACTGCAGACTTCCTGATCCATCAGCGTCGACACCCAGTTAGCTGCGTCTTTGGCTAGACGACCAATCTCAGCGCCCCTGGAGTCTGTGAACCGCACGATCACGTCAACGCGTTTTGAGGCTGCAAGACTAGGTTTGTTCATGGTTGCAAGCGACGAAACTGTGTTGCTCTTGCCACGGACAGGGACCTGAATTTTCTGCCGCTCAATCTTGACTACGTCACCGTGCTTGAGCAGGTTCGCACCACTCCTCGTCGCCCAACCTTCGACTCCAAATGCACCAATATAGCGTCGGTCGGGCGCGTTCTTTGAGGGACTCGCAACCAAGGGTAGTGTGTCTGTCGAATTAGATCGATGCGAGGCTGAGGCGACCGGTCGAGAAGCCAGCGGTGAGCTTTTGATCATGGCCGGCTTGCTAAAGGTTTTCCATGTCCCATCAAAATATATGTTGATCGCTCGTTCGAGATTATTGCCACAGTTTGACCTGATTATCTGCAGTGTGTCTGGGCTGATATCCTCCCCAACTAGAGCGAGAAACGTGCTTCGATCGAAAGACGGCGTCGAGGGTTCTGGAGGTGGTGCTGCGGTGGTGCTGTGAGTGCCTACAGCTCCGGGGGATGCGCTGACATGCCCTCTGGACTGGCGATCCAGCTGAGGCTCATCAGTGGTGGCATTGTCATCAGCGTCGGTAAAGAACCGTCGTTTTTTGGCTGGAGGTTCCTCATATTCGTAGTTAGCCATAAGGCATGGGGCAGTGCGTGGGTTGGCTGAGGCAATCTTTGGCTGGTGAGCAGGAAAGAAGGTTTGAAAGTGCGATGCTGTAACTGCGAAGGAAATCTGCCTTCCTAGGCTTCGTAGATCTGCGCAAGCTCTGTCTGGTTCGAAAGTGGCCAAGAAAGGCGAAGGTCACTGTCAGCTACATGGACGACGACGCGACAATGCAGCCGTCAGTGGGGGTAAGCGCGACATGGACAGCGCGAAAATCACGTGGAGACGTGCCTGCCACTTTAGAGTGGGGAGTGCTGGGAGAAGGCTGCCGCCCTGATAAGCGGTCCCCGGCGCCTTATCGTAACGATTTTCAGCGCGCGACAGCTCTCGACGCCATCTTGCCAGCGCCAGAGCTCCTGCATGGGTGATGTAATAGATCGTGTGCGTGGTAATGCGACCGCCGGGCCAGAGCCAGCAACGACGACTGTTCCACATCAGTTGAGGAGCTTTATCACTGCCATGTCCAGGTGAAGCTCTGCACTGCAATCCGACAGCCTCCCACTCCCTGTCGCCGCCATGCAGCGGATTCTCAGGCCAAAGCTCGGCGCCTGTTGGCCGAGGATAATCAACGGGGGCCGGACCTCGAAAAGAGGCTATGTGACCGAGGAAGATAGCAGCAAGGCCCGGCGATACTGTGTTGAGCAGCTGAGGTAGGACTTCTGTAAACATCTGCCTGTTCAAGTTCGCGATCATGGCTCGGACAGCTGACGTCGTGCTCGTTGTTCCAGACAATCCGACTATGACTCCCATCTCGTCCGCAATTTCATTCCAAAATCCCGCCAGGATGCCTACGATGCCATTCGTGCCTTCAATCTTGAGCTCGTCCGACTCCCTGACCTTGTCACGAACCCGACCATTGGCCAGATGCGCATACAGTTCTGGCGTGATGCTGTCAACAATACATTCGCTGGGCGGCCTCCGAAAGAGCCGATTATGATCTTGCTTCATAAAGTGCTGTCAGAGCTCAGAGACTACCCTCCACAAGGCAGTCTCAACTCAATCAAGTTTTGGCTGCTGCGTGTGATAAACACAAGAGAAAAGTACATGGACAACCGCCCGTTCCCGAGCCTTGGGGCTCTGGAGGAGTACGCCGAGAACACCTATGCGACACTCATGTATTCGGTCTTGGCCGCCATGGCAGTGCAGTCAATGCACATTGATCACCTTGCAAGTCATATTGGCAAGGCCTGTGGCATTGTTGCAGTTCTCAGGGGTGTTCCCGTCCTCGCAGCGCCAACCCCACCGGTCAGGTCTCCCAGTGGCATGGACGTTGGAGCGGGCCGCAATCCGACGCTGCTTCTACCCCTTGATGTGATGGCCGACGCTGGCGTCAGGGAAGAAGACGTTTACAGGCTTGGTCCGAATGCCGAGGGCTTTCAAGATGCGATCTTTACTGTTGCCACCCGCGCGAATGATCACCTGATTACTGCTAGAGAAATGTTGAAGAACCTCCGCGCAGGACAGTCCGCGGGCCATGACTACGAACATGGCGACGAGGCCGAGCACATGCACCCCGGAGGACAAGAGTCAGAGATGACTAGCTTCAACAAGGACCTACGACGGAGTATTGGTGTTCTGCTCGAAGCAATCCCGGCTGACGACTACCTCGCACGTCTAGAGGCAGCCAATTTCGACCCTTTTGCTGTCAAGAGTAGCTGGAAACTGCCATGGCGACTCTGGCGGTCGTCCAAGACCCAACAGATCTGACGTTATCGTTCCAGTACAACCATTTGGCGCGCATTGATGTATCTAGGACAAAAAATAATGGTATTAACCTTAGCAGCGTCCATGATGTGCTCAGCGACCTCGCGATGGCGTGGGAGAAGGACTCAGCCCCGTCGCAAAGGTTGTCTACTTATCGGGCACCACATACCTTTCGGTTGGGCTTATGCGCAAGCCGCCCTTGGTGAGCTAGTCCAGTGTAGCCGTGGGCGCACCTCTTCTCATTCAGAGATGCTATTGGACGCGAAGCCGCCTTTCAGCAATTTCAAGGGACCGACACCCGTTCCAAACCGTTATGCCATGTACAACTGGACCTGATGGCCAACACCACGCTCGCAGGCCCAAGTCGCCACATCTCTTGGCCGAGCCCTGTGCTTGCTGCCACACAGAGATGGTGAGCCCGGCCCGCCATGGCAGAGAAAGAGCCTGATCTCGTCGTTTCTACATATCACCGCCCCCCTTGAGCCTGTGGATTGCGCATGTGCCAGTGCTTAGCGTGCTCGTGGAAGAGGTAGATCCGTATGAGTTCATTCGAGCAAGTACTTACACGGCCACTCACATTCAGCATGTACATATCACACGCGCCTCCTGCGCCTTATGACATGGTTCCTGCACGTCCAACCTCAATTCAGCAAGGAGAGTGTCAGCCAGCGACTTCATATGAGAAGTATCGCACGCCTGTTTGTGTCAGCGCGGCAACGCAGATTGACCCCTTGGCGTCACCAAATCAAGGCGTCGAAGCGACCGTGACGCGCGGCGTACTGGGAAGGCTCCGAGTCTCGTACAGGACTTGATCTTTTCGCTCCTGTCAAGTCGAATGGGATCACCCCGCGGATTACGCGGCGGCGGAAGCGTGTTTCCTCCTGCCTTAGTGACGGGAAAGGGATGCTGGAACTGGAGCTGCCAATGGCCATGTGACATTGGTGTGATACATAATGGGTGATGCGCAATTATTCAAATTGGATCTTGCCCCTGGTGGAAACCCACAAATTTCGGAGTTGTTGGGTCCGTCACGGTGATGCAACGCTAGAGACAATTCGGGAACGGAAGATGGACAAGCTTCCTGGGCGGTGCGACCCACGCGGGGAAAGCCCCCAAGTCTGGGGAAGCAGGGGACAATGCCGGTCGTGGGGCGTCAAGCGAACGTCAGCTGCCGCGTCCCACAGCCACCAAGCGGCAGTCGGGAGGCCGCTGAGGTCTGTGGCGTCCAGACGGCTCTTCACGTCAATGAAGGATCGGCAAAGAAGCAGATTTTATCCAGGGTATCACGGGTCAGCAGGGCGGGGAGGAGGGTGTTAGATTGGCCGCAGTCATGCTATGTCGGCACAGCTCATCAGCGCCCTCTGACAAAACCTGCTCACTTGCCAGGTCGTCTTGGATGTGGAGAAATATGCTCTCGAGTCGCGCCCTCGAGGAGTACACCATGATAGATTGTCGCCTCAGGCGGGCCGCGATCGACATGGAGTGGGTGCCCTGAGGTCTGAAGGTATTTTGCTTGAAATCACGCACAATCAACGTTGCTGGGCAGTGAGTCGAGGCGCTGTAAGCCGTGACATTAGAGTGCTTCTGACTCTACTTGGGTCTACAAGTCGAAAATCATCAGTGGCGCGTGAATTATCCTCGTTGTGGGTTGAACAAGAGTTGGTGATCGATCCGCAATAGACTGAGACAACTTTGACTGATAACAAGGCAGCGCTTTGTGCCATTCTGATACTTCCATAACTTACCGTGAGAATTTGGCATATTCGTTCCATCCCAAATTTATTCTAGGCCGGGCCGCGCTGCCGAGCTCAAGATTTGCGCACCGACATATCCGCGCCAAAAGCCTGCCCAAGTACCTGTGGGCTTATGGAGAGTGTGGGCCTTGCAGGCAGGGTCTCATTGTGGTTTCTCTTCTCGCTCGTAGTGGGCCACCTTAGCTGGCCCAATCTAGTCGCCCGCCGCTGAGGTGTCCCCCGTTTTGAGATTTGCAGGCAGATCGCCATTGGTTCTATTCCATAAATGACCAGGCGGCATGGCAGGATACACTTCCGAAGATGGGAACTGGCAGAACTATTGAGGCAACTTCCCAGTCTGTCTTGATGCGCTTTACTATCCCCGTGCCAAGGCTCAACATCAGACGGTGGCGATTGCAGTCTTGGATATAAAAGAAAGCCGGCGTCCTTGGATATCGTCACTCGAACACCTTCTGGAGCACCCTTCTCACTCACGCGGTCTCAGTTCAACTCGCTTCAGGCTCCCGGTTCATTCACCTTGTCCGCAAACATGCATTCTCACTCTAAGATCGCCCTTGCTGGCCTGATCTCGCTGGCCGCTGCCCAGCAGATCGGCACCAACAAGGCCGAGGTTCACCCTAACCTGCAATGGCAGACCTGCACGGGGCCCGGCCGATGCTCCACCGTCAACGGCAAGATCGTGCTCGACTCCAACTGGCGCTGGACTCACCGCACCAGCGACTACACCAATTGCTACACGGGCAACAAGTGGGACACGAGCATCTGCACGAGCAACGACGCCTGCGCGGCCAACTGCGCGGTCGAGGGTGCCGACTACTCTGGCACCTACGGCATTACAACCTCGGGCAACGCCGTGACTCTCGCATACCGGACCAACGACAACATTGGCTCGCGTATCTACCTCATGGCCACCGACGACCAGTACCAGATGTTCACCATGAACGGCAACGAGATTGCCTTTGACGTTGAGAACGCCGGCCTCGGCTGCGGTCTCAATGGTGCCGTCTACTTTGGTGGGTCCCTTTTTGATTGCTCTCCCCTCTCCCCTTTCTTCAAAGGGCTGCCTGTTCCTGCATTAACTTGACTAACACGCGTGTCATGCTTTCAGTGTCCATGGACGCCGATGGTGGCAAGGCCCGCAACCCCACCAACAAGATTGGTGCCAAGTACGGTGCCGGCTACTGTGACTCGCAGTGCCCTCGTGACCTCAAGTGGATTGCCGGCAAGGTATGTACCCAGCTTCCTCGAATCACAAACACGAGCTCCTCCCTGCACCGGCTCAATCCGGCAGTGCGGAGCGGCGTCCTGCCGAAGCTTGGCGTTGCTTGATCGGGCGCCCGAAGAACCCCACTGTATATTGTGGGGTCCAACGGCCCGTGGTGGAGATCAAGGCACCAATCACAGGAAGGCCGTCTGCCAAAAGCAGGCATTCAACCACCCGGGGCAAGCCGGGCAATGACTAGGCACAGCTGACTTTTTTTATGAACCACACAGGGCAATGTCGAGGGCTGGAAGAACATTGGCAACGATCCCAACTCGGGTATCGGCAACCTCGGCGCCTGCTGTGCCGAGATGGACCTGTGGGAGGCCAACCGCGAGTCCTTTGCCCTGACTCCTCACCCTTGCTCCACCAGCTCGTACACCACCTGCTCCCCCAGCACCTGTGGTGGCACTTACGGCGACGACCGGTGAGTCTTAATGGACATTAGATAAAAACAAGGCTGTTGCGGAAGAACATGGCTGACAATGCAAAACAGCTACGCCGGTGTCTGCGACGCCGACGGCTGTGACCTTGCTCCCTTCCGCCACGGCAACACCGGCTTCTACGGTCCCGGCAAGACCATCGACACGACCAAGAAGTTCACCGTCGTCACCCAGTTCTCCGGCTCGGGCACCTCGCTCACCGCCATCAAGCAGTACTTTATCCAGAACGGCAAGAAGTTCACCGTCCCCGGCTCCAAGTACGTCAGCGACGGCACCCAGATCACTGCCGACTACTGCGCCGCCCAGCAGACGGTCTTCAAGGACGCCAAGAAGTTCTCCGAGGTCGGCGGCCTCTCCCAGATGGGCAAGGCCACCGGCAACCCCATGGTCCTCACCCTCTCCATCTGGGACGACGGTTTCGCCAACATGCTCTGGCTCGACGGTGTCCAGTACCCAACCTCCCGCTCCGCCTCGGAGCCCGGCGTGCCCCGCGGTGTCTGCCCCCTCACTGGCTCTGAGCCCGCCACCGTCCGCGAGAAGTTCCGCAACGCCAAGGTCACCTACTCCAACATCAAGTTCGGTCCCATCGGCTCGACCTACACCATCTAAGCGGTTTCCCACATCCCTCTCGACGGCAATCCCGCTCGGATTTTGTATGTTCGGAAGGAGCTTTTCATCCGTGGGCAACCAAACCCCTCAAAAAGACAGATCATAGGGTTGTTGTCGCGCTTTGTTTGGTTTTATACGCTTCTTTATTGAGGTGGCTCGGCTGAGTCTGAAGATGTGTGCATCGCTGAGATGCCCAGTGGGCGATTCGCGGGCACGTCTTCGTCTTCTGGAGGGGAGATGGGAAAGCGGCGCTTCTTGCCCGCTTGCACTCTTTTTTGGCTTTCCTGTTTCTACATCAAGGTCCTTTCTTTGGTAGATATACAAGGATTCATTAAACTTGCACTGTGAAAACCATGAGTTACTGTGCTTTAGTACACAATATTGCGTGTTCTCCGATATGATGCTAAAATGCGATTGTGCGTGTCCCTTTGGGGAATAGAACACCGCATCTCTCAAGGCACGCCTAGGCGGCGCAGTCTAGTGTGCTGTCTGGTATTTTACTGGCACTTCCCTCACCCCACTGGGATTGCCCGTCCTTTGTCTTCCAAATCAGGTGCTCGACCAACATAAGGTCTTCCGCTTTGCTGTTCCGTGGGAGATCTCCCTGTGGCTATGAACATTGGCACTCCTGAACCATACGGCGCTAGGTTGCTTCCCCGGCGGCGAGCCGTGGCATCCCGCCCTCGACCGGTTGGACGTCAAAGTACCAGTACATCAAGTTGAGCAGCGGAATCGACAGGCCGTGCACGACAATGGAGAAGAAGACGAGGAAGTAGACGACTGTTCTCCCAGTGCCCTCACAGGACTCACAATCAGTTACCGCATTCTCATGAAAGTCCAGCCAGACCATAACACCAATCACCAGATTGCCCTGTTAGCAGGCGTCTGTTCAAACTGGAAATTGACAATGCCAGCAACCCTTTTCCCTGCGATGTGCTGCAAGGACGCCGGCCCGAACTAATGAAATCAATTTGGGAGGAGGAAAAAAAGAAAGACAGAACCTACTAGGACTCAGCGCCTCCAACAACTTCCGACTCGCCGGGTCGCTCAGGTCCGGGTCAAAGTACACGTGCCGCGTGCTCTGGAGGTAGTACACAGCGCCGACGCCGATCGGCCCAAAGTAGCCCATGAAGACGGCCTCGCGCCAGCTGCGCACGACGCGCGGCATGGCGCGGTACATGAGCAGCAGGGCGGGGATGCGCCGGAGCAGCAGGACCATGAACGACAGCGCGAGGAGGCGCGGGTACGTTATCCCACTGCCCGTTATTGTGGTTGTTGTCATCATCATCGTTTCCATGTCGGCGGGGTTGGTGGTGGTGGTGACTGTGGATGTGGATGTGGTGTAAGGGTTGTGGAACTCGTGCCAGGGCAGCACGGTGCCAATGTACATGAACCCGCCGAGGTTGAGGATCGCGTCGACGCTCGAGTTGACCTCGTCGTGCCGCCGGACGGACTCGGCCAGGAACCGCCCGTCCCAGTTGAGCGCGCAGCCTGCGGTGAAGCGCGCGAGGAGGTCACTTGTTCCCATGGCGCCGCAGCAGCCGACAATAAAGAGCTGGCTCACGGACGGGGTCAGAATAAATTATAAAAGAGCCATCCCTTGACCTCTTGGTTGCGGGGACTTGGAATCAATAGAGAATGTAACGAGCAGCAAGTAAGGACGGGGCAGCTGTGAGAAACAGATGCAAGGAATTAATGAGCGACAGACCCCAAGAGCTGTTGGAAACAGCAAATATCCTTCCGTATTGATCCACTTCCTCGACAGCGCAAACTCGACCGCGAACCGCGCAAGCGTGCCAGCCACCGCCCCAACTGCAACCGCCAGGAGCACAAAGTACACGAGGGTGCCGATGAACCAGTTGCCCATGGCGATGCCCACGCCCTGCTCGCCGGCGGGCCTGCTCGTCATGAGATTGATCGCCAGCATGAGAAACGGCGAGGCGAAGCCGTCGTTGGCGCCGGCCTCGGCAGAGATCTGCTCACGCAGTCGGGCCGGAACGTAGCGCTCCGCGAACGCGCCCTTGGCGATTGCCTGCGAGAGGATCGGGTCGGTCGAGGTGACGCACGCGCCAATCACGAGGGCCGAGAGGAAAGGGAGGTCAGGCATGGTGGCGAGGATACAGCCCGACGTGCAGAACCACATGATGATCATGATGGGGACGAGGCAGACTGTCATCCTCCCGCGCGCGGAGGTAGACGAAGCGGGGCGGGAGCTGGTAGCCGACAATGACACTAGGAGAACGGCGGTTAAGCATGCAGAATTGGGAGCTTGTTCGTGGCATATGCCCATCAGGGAGGCAGCTCACAGTTGAATCGCAATCATGATTCTCATCACCCCCAAAGCGATTTCGTCCAGCTGGTTCGGAGCTGGCGGGACAGCCCATCTCGTGGCGTTGAGAAGGTCAGCAAGGTACGGGCCGAGCAGGATGCCTACCAGCATAGCTGGTACTACAGAAATTCAGTTATTCGTTCCAATACAAAGAGCACACCCCGTATATGAGAGGAGAAGTCCTTACGCGCCTCCCCGAGATACCAAGCCGTCTTGATCTTGACCGCGATGAGTCCATACAGCGCCATGAAGCCACCTGCAAGCTGTTTAGCCCGGAATCGTTCGCGGTTGGGTGAAGCTAGGGAATATTTTGCACCAAGCACTGCAACGACGACATTGAGGTCGTTGGCATCGGTTCGAGGTTCGAGTGTTGACATGTTTTGTGGTGTTTAATCGAATCTTGCCTAATCTTGTCCGAGATGCTTGCCATCATTCATCTCATCTTCTGCAGCCCAGGCACCGAGATGAATCCCTTGTCCGGCCTCTGCCGTGGCACGCCCAGCTTGTGCCAATGAGCTGGATTTTGCGTTTGGAGCGACACTGTGTGCTACGCCATACAACGTCTAATGCTTGTGCTCGCTCAAAATCGTAAGACCGTGACAGTCGTGATTTAGGTGGCTTGTAGTCCCACCCGCAACCGGGGCAAAGCGACAAGGGTTCAACGCACAAGATCACCATGATCTATGATGTGTTCGTCCAAAGTGTAGGCCAAAGATCCTGGCTCTCACATTCTACCGAGTGACCACCCGTCACACCATATCTGTCCACCACGAAGTCTTTCTTCCCAATTTTACTCCACATCGAGCGCTACTTCAGGCCAACGCCACAGCTACAACGAGAGCACACGGGCATCACGGTGTGTATCTGAGCAAGTTCCTCCCCAATGCATTACTGCGACATCAATAGGAGTGCAATTGATGGTTCAAGTTCCCTTGATTATGGACAATCTACCAAGTCACTGTCGAGCGCGACCCATCGTGCCGGGTGCATCCCATTTGAACAAAAGAAAAGGAATGAGACCCCTCGCCCCACAAGCCCGGGTTCATTCCATGCAAGCCGAGCCTAAACCTCTCTACACGGCAGCAGGCACCAGCACCTCAATCTTATACGTCTCGCCCTCCCTGATGGGCGCCGTGAACCTCGCGCCCTCGAGCACCTCGCCGCTCCCGGCTAACCTCGCAGTGACCTCCGAGACGCCCGCGTCCCTCCGGATGGCGACCTCGAACTCGGCCCCGCGGAACTTGCGCACTACGTCCACGCGGTCCCAGTGGCTCGGCAGGAGCGGGCGGAAGGTGAGCCCTTCCCTGCAGCCCCGGAGGCCGCACAGGCCCTCGATGAAGCAGCGGTACTGCCAGGACACGGTGCCCGTGTTGAAGAGCTGGCTCGACAGGCCCGCCGTGCGCGGGTACTCGCGCCAGGCGCCGCGGTAGTAGTTGGGGGTGTACACGGGCAGCTGGCCGCGCTGGAGGTAGTCGCTCTCGTCCGGGCCGGGGAGCATCTTGCGAAGCAGGCGGTAGGCGCGGTCCGCCGTCTCCTGGGCGGAGGACTTGCTGCTGCTCGAAGACGGCGACGACGAAGAAGAAGCTGCCAGATCGTAGAGCGCGTGGATGTAAAAGATGGCGGCGTGGTTGTAGATGCTCGCGTTCTCGCCGTTGCCCGGGTACTTTTGCGTGACGCGGCCAATGTCCTCGCGCATGCCGCTGAAGGGCGGGCCGAACATGGCCAGGCCGTGCGGGGACTCGAGCTGCTCCTCGACGCTGCGGATCATCTTGTCAATCTTGGTAGGTTTCGTCACACCGTTGCCATTCGTTGTTGTTGGTTCCTGCTGCTGCTGCTGGGGCTCGTGGGCGGCGGCGCCGAGGATGGCCCACGCCTGGGGGTTGAGCCATATCCTGCCCTCCGGGTCCTCCTTTACGCCAAAGACGACATTGTCGTCCGTGATGCCGCGCGCAAACCACTCCCCGTCCCAGAGGTACTTGTTCGCCACGGCGTTGACGTCGCGCGCCCCCGCCCGGAAGTGCTCGACGAGCTGCTCGGCCTCCGCGGAGCCCTTCTTGTGCTGCTCGACAACCTCTGCCCACAGCTTCAGCGCGTACCCCGTGGCCACCGTCAGCCAACCCGAGACGCCCTTTCCCTTGATGCCCGCCATGTTCATCGGGTCGCACCAGTCGCCCTGTGCAATGTAGCTCAGCCCGCGCTCGTCCCGCGCCTCGCTCGAGAGCAGCCAGTCCATCGCGCGGCCGACGCGCTCAAACACAGTGAACCTGTCCCCGTTGGCCGACTCGACGACCTCGTCGAGCACGCTGTAGTCGCCCGTCTCGGTGAGGTACGCCTCGACGGCGACGGGCACCCACACGCAGTGGTCCGTGTGCGGCACCTGGTTGATGTACTTGAGCTCGGCGCCCTCGACGAGGATGATGCCGTCGGGCATGGCCCCGTTGTCGCGCTGCTGGCCCAGCGCGATCAGGATGGCCTGCCGCGCCACCGCGGGCTTGACCCACGTCATGCCCATGTTGTCCTGCAGGTAGTTGCGCGTCTGCGGGTCCGTCGCCAGCCGGTTCACGTCCCCGTGGTAGTACACCTGCCGCGGCAGCCAGTGGTTGACAAAGTTGTCCAGCGCCTTGTCGGGCGTGCTCATCGTCAGCACGCCCCGCCCCTCCGCCACGTACGCGGCGTACTCTTCCGTGGCCGCCGCGAACCCTGCCTTGCTCAGGTATTTTTCCCGCATCGACCGGATCTCGGCGTCGTCGTAGGCCGGCCCAAACATGAACCGGAACTCCCTGGTGTCGCCGCCACTGTTGTTGACGCCGTTCGCCAAGGTGCCGTTGGTGGTGGTGGCACCATGTGAGCGGCTCGCCTCGAGAGAGATCTTGTACTGCACGACGGCCGCGGGCGTCTCGTACCGCGCGTCGCTGTTGCTCAGCTCGGCCTGCTGGAGCGCCGACGGGTTGTGCAGGCCCCCCTCGCCCTCAAACGCGGTCAGGCTCGCCTCCCACGAGTCCGGCTGCGTCTCGCACAGGAAGTACGTCTTGTCCTTGAAGTACTTGTTCTTCCAGTAGTCGGCGGCCTTCTGGTAGGGCGTGATGCTGCTGCCCACCACGGCGACCAGGTCCGGCCGGTACTCGGCCGACTGGTTCATCCACGACATGTACCCGATGACAAAGTACGGGTACACGCTGATCCGGCGGGCGCGCTCCGTCAGGTTGCTCACGGTCACGGTCCACAGCTCTGCAACGTCGTGCGACGGCAGGGTGAGCGTCATGACGACCCGGATGCCCAGGTGCTCCGCCGTCCAGGCCATGTCGTGCTTGCCCGCGACGAAGCTGAAGTTGTCCAGCGCCGCGCGCACCGGCTCGTACGGCGCAGAGAAGATCTGGCCGGACTCGTCGTCGCGGATGTAGACGAAGCGGCCCGGGTGGTGCGCAAAGTACCCTTGCTCGGGCTGCATGAAGGTCTTGGCCTCGATGTTGGGCGGGTGCGAGTACTTTGCCGGCTCGGGCTGCATGAACTGCGCCGTGGCGTACCCGCGGCACGTGGCGTGGATCATCATCTTGTGGTTCCAGAGGAAGCCGCCCGCCTTGGGCATCGCCGTCGGGCTGCTGAGCTGGTACCGCTCCCCATTGTCGACGGGGTGGAGGATCGTGACTTTTGTCATGGCTGCTTGCGCGTGTTTGCTGGGTGGGACTCGTGGTCCGTAGTCGATTTACCTCCTCAAGTTGTGTGTGTCGTGTTTGGACTTTTCTTGGTTGGAGATGTTTGGTGTGAATTGAGTTGGTCGTCGTGAAGGGGGAATGTGCTCAATGTCTTGCGCACACAAGGATGTTTGAGTTGGCGTACACATGTGGTTGCAGGCGTTTGTTGGGCAGACTCTCAACCATTGAATTCGAAAGGAAACTAGCAAAGATCTTGCCTCTCTCCTCTTCACCCGCGATCAGTAAAGGAAAGAGACACGAGGAGGGGTAAGATCAGAGGAAGAAGCAAGAGGTGGCGGCCGAAATAGGAGCCTTATCTGGACTGTGTCTGTCGCAGGGGTGAGAGAGTGAGAGACACTCTTTATGACCAAGCAAGGACTGACCCAGCCGCGCTCGTTGATTCGAAGATTGGCTATGAGACAGAAGCAGGCCAAGGATGGGTGCGACGGCCGGGTTGGCCAGCCGTGAGGGCCAACAGCCTAAATAGTCGCGCTCCGACGCTGCCGCCGATGAGGATGCGGAAACTCGGGGCCCTGATGTCCTGGATTGGGAAATCCCATGTGGTTCAACCCACATTACGCCAAGGCAGGCTTCCTGCATGACCCCACGTTGGCCCAAGAGGCGGCGGCAACCCCTGCCAGCTCGGCGAGCCACTCGTGGCATTCCACACCGTCCAGGGCAATGCCGCGCTCATATATCTGGTTGTTTCATGCCGGCACAATCTTGACCTCTGCATTCTGTCGGTCCTCGAGCTCTTGCGAGACTTTTGTGCCTCGCATAGTGCCCACAGGTCGTGATCGAGCCTTTGCCCTCGAAGCCGGTCCGGTCCCGGCCAGTGGGGCGCTAAGGCGCATCTTTAAATTCCCGTAGCCCCGGCCCCGGGCGCCGCACTCACACCGCTGGGTCGGCGGGCATCCACTCACTTGCGAATGGCCATCCTTTCCCGTGAGCTCGCGTATGTGCACCTCACCATCCCGGCACTAGCAATGCGCGTGCTGATCACTTTCATGCGGGTCACAACGGCACTGGTCAGGTCGATCAAGTGATGATGAAGACACGCCGTATGGGTATATTTCTTCCATGTATAGACTGCATCCGTGGATCCTGCCAAGTTGGCAGTCATCCATCAATATCCTCCACCACCCTTTTGACCATTGCCAATGCAGTGATCAAAACATAGCTTCTTCCAACTGATCGCCCTGGCCATAAAAGCCCACTGGCCATGATTCCTATCCAACCCGCCTGTAAAATGTCAAGAAACTCCATAGCATGCTACTATTGATTTCGTCACGTCGTAACCAGAATGCCGCTCCTTGATCTATAGTCTCCAATGAAGGCAAGAAAATCAAACTCGCTTTTGAAAATTCGAATGATGTGAGGCTTTGCGCTGAGTGGAGGGGTATCCGCGTAATGCTAGTTCGAAAACAAGTGTAAGTTGTGGGATGCGACATTGTCGTCCGTGCAGTCCGCCCACCCAAAACCCGCTACGTCCTCGACGAGTGTATCGACGAAGGCCGTGAAGACTCGCGAGAGGAAGGAGCCAGGGAGCTAGCGTAGCTGCCTTCCGTATACACTGGCGCACTGCCAAGCACGAGATCTTGGACGCTGTCGGCACCAGAAACGGGATGTGTGTAGCCTGGTGGCGAAGGGGGCACATCTTGGTAGATGGGCGGGGCCTCGTTGTCCCAGCTTACGCCGAGACCAGATCGCTCAGTGACATTGACATTGAAATGCATGCGCAAAATCCTGGCGATGCCCGTGGGCGTGACTTGCTTGGGCTGGTTGACGGGAGCGAATTCCTGCACAACGACCATCTCAACAACCAGCTGATGGCTGATCTGTGCGCTGCTCCCAATCTTGAGATCGCAGTTGGGTTTAGTCGAAGGGGAACAGGAGAAGTCGATCTCGGCCTCGACGCATCCATCTGGTGAGTAGTCGGACTTCCATCCGCTGTGCATATCCTGGTGGCCAATGTTTCGTTCTGCAGTGCGCTTGATACCCTTCCTGACTGCCTCGTCGTCGCTCGCCGCCTTGGGAATGTGCTTCTCGCAGGGTGGCGCCATGGTGGTAATGGTCTCCTCGAGCTTCCAAGTCAGCCTCTTGAGCTTCCAGTACTCAACCGTCTTGGTATCTGTGTTGTGCTTGACGATGCCGTCCAGGCGGAGCGTGAGGGTGTTTGATCCGAGCGGGTGGATCACTTGTGGGTAGTGAACATCAGCTTTGATGTTGGTAGGTGGGAACACGCGAATGCTGTGGTGAGGGAGTTCGGGGACTGTCAAAGCCCGCTTGACGTTGATTGTCTTATTCAGGAATAACGAATGCTTTGGCAAGTCCTTGAACTTGACCGTGGCAGTGAACTCGTAGCTGATTGATAGTAGGGAATTATCGGTAGAGGCTGGGAGGTGCCCTTCGAGAAGGCTCGAGAACGGGAAATTATGAGAAGTGGTGCTGCCTAGGACTGTGGGCTCGGCGAGGAATGACCACTTCTGCAGCTGCGTCTTGTGTTCGGAGCACTTGTCACAATGCGCCTGGAAAGGCCTCTTGTGGACTGTGCGAATGTGGAGCTCAGCCTCGACGTTCTCAACCTCCAAGTTGCCCTCCTTGATGTCAAGAAGCAATTGACCAGACACGAGCGCACCGGTGCTGTCATCGGCAGGACCGTACATGACAGCGGGCGGAGACTCGATCTTCCAAGACAAGGCAGCTAGCTCGTTGCGCGCGGGATCTTTGGAGACCTTGTGCTTGTAGGCACCCAGGTGCAGCGGGCCTAGGCTGAGGCGGTGGTGGCTGTTGGTGCTTGGCATCTTGACGGCAGGGGCGGCAGACTCGCGGTGGTCGCTGTCTGTGTCGTCGCCAGACGAGTGATATGAAATCCTCCTTGAGATGCCCTCAGAGAAGCCGAGACGGGGCCGTGATGTCGGGGTCTTCTTGCGGCCAGCCGCGTGGGAGTTACTGCTGTTGTTATTGTTGCTGCTGGCGTTGCTGCTTGCAGTGTCGGCAGACAACCGGAACAGGTTGGCCACAATGTGTGGCATGCTGGAGATGGTGGGTTTAGGTGTGCTGGGAGAATAGGGTTTGGCTAGCGCCTTCCAAGGATGGTGTGTCTGCCAGTGTGCTTGTGCTGGTTGCGGCTGCCTCGTTGTGATGACGTGAACGAATGACGTGTGCGTGACTGACCCAAATTTGGATTCGAGTTCACGTTATATCAATTCTCGCGGGGGAGTTCCCCTTTTTAAAAAGAACGTGGCGGCCTTTTGTGTGGGAAGGAAAAAAAGAGAGAAAGCGCCGAGTCGCGGGGTGCATGCAAGGCTAGCAGGAACGGTGCCGGAAATCTGGGGAAGTGATGGCCGTGTGCTGGGCACCTGACCCTGTCCTGCGTACGCAATGCAGGTGGCAGTTAAAGCCTAGGGTCTCAGTCGGCGGTCTTGTGATGCGTCGTCCCACTCCTGCTGGGCTGGTTGTCTTCCTGCTGCAGCGTCTCCAACCACGGGCAAGCGGATTCTTGCACTTCAGATGATGTCGTCGCCTCGGGCTGTTCTCGTTGGGTATCCGGCAAGCTGATGATGCACGGCTAGCTACCAAGAGTCGCGTGGATATATGACCAGTCCCTGGGACAAGGGAAAACTTGGTCTTGGTGCGGTCACCCTGCTTGAATCGTGCTCGAGGCAAATCACAGACCTTCTCGTGCTTGTGACGGGGGTTATCTGTGTGAAAGCGGGGGTGCGGCGCTAGCGTGTTGATGGCTGAAGCGATGGCGTCACGGATTCGCTTTCTGTCGTCGTTGTCGTTGCTGTCGTGGTGGTCGTCGTTGCGGTTGTCGTTGATCCCTGATCGCAAGGTAGATGGCACACGCGGAAGAGCGTTGTTCGAAGTAGCGACCTCGGGAGGAGTGCGGCTTAGAAGTATGGCGATGGTGTCAGCGCAATGCCGGGGCTAGCAGTATTGGGTTCTCTGGAGGCTGCGATGTCGCCGGTGCAGTGCTTGGCGCGGAGAAAGGCTTTCAAGGCTGTGGCAGTTCGCCGTGACAGGCGAGGCCGCGGCGGTGACTTCATTTTGTAAGTCGGCCGTGGCTTGCGCGCCTCGTCGTGAAAGGCCGGTGCCGTGACGGAAGTCGAGGATTCGGTTGCGTAAGACTTACCTAAAGCCGGGCGGCGGGCCAGGAACCGCGCCAGAGGGCCACACCAGGGCGAAAAACGAGTTTGCCTGGGGCCCAGTCATTCGGCCCATGCGCCGTGCTGGCCTGGCCCGGCTCCCGCGAGCTAGCCAGGGAAGGAGCGGTCCTCACAACTCGTGCATTGGCGGCTGCCCGGTCCAGTTGCGCGATGCCTTCACGATGGAGGCAGGTGGGGCGCGCCGTGCGTTTCTGCTGCGTCACCTGCCACCCTCTGATTTTTCTGGTCCCAACCCGGGCGGCTCTCAGCGTCGCGCCCTCGCCCATCCGCCCACCCCATCCATGGATGCTCAGCAAGCATGCAGGCATCGTGTACCTGGCTGGCTGGCTGCCAGCGAGGTTCCAAGGTTGCTTTCGAGGAATGCCGACGTCAGCCCCACCAGGCTGTCTGACTAACCAGCGTCTGACCAGAGCGCACCATCACAACACGTGTGCTCGCTCTTCTGGCGCCATCGTCAACAACCATGCAGAACACGTAAAACCATCCGGCGGCTCATCGCGTCGTACGTGTCCCTTCTGATGCGGCGGGATGACTAAGGCAAACACCACCGCCAGACCGGTTCCAGCCCTCGAGACACCGCAGCCCTGTACGCACACCGGTACAGACACCATGTCGACTTCTCATCTCATTAGAGTTATTCCCGTCGCCTGCCCTTTCCAAATCTGGAAATCCCATGTCGCGGTCTGAGCATCGTGGATCTGGAGCCGTAGTGTTCCACCATTCCAAGAGAGAAAAAAAAATTCGAAGAGCTGTGGAGCGTCACGATGCCTCACCTCATCACGCTTGTGGTTGTCCACTCTCCCTGCCAAGGCTTCCAGATGCCAAAAGGGGCATTCCAGCGGTCAAGACTTTTTTTTTCACTCCTTCTCGAACATCCGGGGCTCCGCTCGTGCCTCGAGGCCATTGCCGATTGCCCGCGCGATCCCATGTCAAGTACACCTCACTAGAAAACTCTGCGCAAGCTACATGATGCCACGGGTGGGGCGCATGATGGCCCCATGAAAACTTGAGGCACGCGGTGCTGCTGCGCTTGACACGCCATCTCGAGTCACTGATGAAGCCTGGCAGCAATGGGACTTGGAGCCTCGTAAAAAATAACCCAGGTCGAGAGCAGCTTCTTCCTCGGCGGTATTACTTCATTCTTACCTCGCCAGTTTGCAGCAAGCCTTGCGAAGTGTTTGCAGCCTACCAAGTCAATTGGCGGCGAGCCAACCACATCGCCATGGCAAGTCAGCGCCAACTCCGGCCTGGGGGCCGTAAACGCAGCTCGCTGGCGCGTCTGACGTTGGACAACCGCTGGGAGGGCTTGGCCTCTCCAGAACCTTGGGCAAAACGGGCTCAGCGGAGAGCTCGAGATGTGCGTTGCTAGCACGGCCGGACCCAACGCAGGAATAGAGCTATCGCAAACCTCTGATGGATGGAGATTCATCACAGTAGTTAGCTTCGTTGCTAGCTTCGGCTTCCATTTTGCGTGGGCCGCTCCAAGCTCCGCCGTGCCTGGAAGGGCTGCGGCGCAGTCAGCCGACGGCTTACGGCCTGGCAAAGGCTGCCCGGCGTCTTCCCCGGATCGGCCCCGGCCGAAAGGGGGACCCCTCCCAATGCATCGAGCCACTGAGATGAGCACCGCTCAGCACATGCGACAGGCCGGGCTTCCAGAGGATTCGCTTACCCAAAGCAGCAGTCTTTGGCTGCACGACTTCTAATAATATGTAAACAGGATAAGCTTGCTGTCCGCTGTCTGACAGTCGGCTTCTCCCCCGTTGCGTGCCTATTACATGCCCGCTGTGTTTAGAGTAGGCTGTGAAGATGTTGCGGATTGTTTTATCCAGCACGCAGTCCTCATTGCAGCTTACAATGGCGCAAGATGCCCTGATCCTCGTCCCTGTCACTAGTTGAATGATGTGACAAATCGAACGACGGGGCCGGCCGGCGCTCTCCTAGCCAAGCTCTCGACGCGCCCTCCGCAATCGCACCCACGGATGGGTCCAAGCACTCTTCCGAGTCTTGAACGGCAGATGAGTCGTGGAGGCACTCGGCCTCAATTCTGCGCCCGTCGACAGTGGTGGCATTCTACAACGTTCCCCATGGGATTCTGAGCATGACTGGACGCATTGCCGCTCTCGGCCGGGATCCTTGCTCGCGGCCCACAGAGCCGAAGGCCGAGAGGCGACGCGCTCGTCCGGCACGACCACCGGGACGCTTCCCCGAACCAACATGGCCTCATGACACTTCTGTCGCCTTGCACAGTCATCCTACACTTGAGTTGTATCTGGCTTGGGCAGGCATGCAATTGCTGCGGCCATCTGTGGTGGAGTCTGTTGGGTGCTGATTCAGGCGCTCCGAAAGAGAGCCTGGGTCAACAAGAAGCCGTGCCTGCCTGCCATCTGATTGGCTTACCCCGGAAAGTGACTTCAGCGACGGATCGGAAGTTCAGAGCCCGCGGCGGAGCTGCACACCGTGTTGTTTTACCAAGTGACCAGCTCCAGACCCCGAAGCAAGACGAATTTGCTCCGAGTAATAATCGGACGTCGCAATGTCTTGTGTGTGTGTATGTCTGGCGCAGTGCTTGACAAAGCCCCAACGCCAGGGCAAGGGCACATCGCGAGGCGACAATGCGCGGACACTCTCCCTTGCGCGCCTGCGCCGCAAAGCGATGGGACACGAAAGCCACCACCCGTCGTCAGTCAGCATGGCAGACTAACGGACCTCCTTGAGTGCTTGAAAGGAAATGCATCGCCTGCTCAACTTCGTACATGCTCGAATTTCGAAAGGCTTATTGCGCAATGGAGGATGCACGGGAAACATGGCCCATGAGGTCCTGTCTCCTTCTAGAACGCACCCTGCCTGCTGTGCCCTGCCCACTCGGCCTGAAGTGAGACAACTGCATGGGCTGTTGCCAACTTGACAGCCCAAGGCGTGGGAAGCGATTGATGCTTCTTCAGGAAGAGACGAATATCCAGTTGCTCGCCGATAAGCAACATCGTGATATGTCAGCTGGCAGAGCCTTGGCAGTCCATCTTCATCTTGTCGGGAACGGCTAGCCGCCACATCCACAGCTACCCCGTGCTGAGTAGACACTTCCCTCCCCTCGGCGGGCACCCGCGCGACGCCCACTGCGGAGTTCCGCCAGAAAGACACGCAGCGCAGCCATGAAATGGTATAATAATCCTGGAGTTGTTGTCGCGACCCGGCCAAAGAAGCGACAGGTGCACGTCCTCGAAACATGTTTGACGGGTATCTTGATTGCTACGTCATGATCTTTGAACGACTGCTATCCCCCAGGTCTCTTAGTAAAACCAACTGACAGCAAGCACTGGTTTGGAAACATATACCTTCGTGGGGGTTCTGTGACTGTTCGGCTCAATCTAGTAGAAGCTCTCTACAAGTTCGTTGTTGTCAAACACAGGAGTACAGTCTGCATCCGTCGTCTTAGCAAGTTTGTACCACTCAGAACCTTGCGGCCAAGCAATCATACAACCCAGGTGGGGCCTGGAAACCACGAAAGCTCAGTCGAGAGCAGAAATAATGTATCATATCTTGGTATCATCTACAGAAATCGAAGCACATCCGTCTTTGGATGCTGACATGAGAACAGGACCCCATGGAACATTGCCCAAAAATGACGCGCAGGCTCGGTCCGATGCCTGCACGAAGAGCGAGTCCCGGCTAGCACCAAGTCGGTTGGATAACAGGCAAAATCAAAGCCATATGAACGCCTGTCATTTGCCTACAAATTCTTCGACGATGATGCCGTTGAATTGGCAAATTCCCCGAGACACCGAAGCGGTCACATGGACGGTTAACTCACCTCGATCAATGGCATAACCCGTACTGTCCTGCCTGTTATGTGCTCAGATTCGTCTGGCAGCGTCCATTCGGCTCATGATCTGTTGGACACGCGGACTTTACGAGGTATGGAAACAAGGACGGCAGCGTGATCGGCCTTTTTTCTCATGACATGCTTAAGTCGTCTCGGGGATGATGTCAACAGCCGATACGGCGGGACCAAGCCGTACAGGAAGCCCCCTTCACCGAGTCCGATGGCGCAGCGGGTTTTCTCAGCCCCTCCGCAAATGCGTCAAAAGCGGACGTGCTTGATGGAGCGGCGAACTTATCTCTGCGCGGTCCCGTGAGTTGTCAGGATTTCCAAGGCACCCATGGATGCTTAATGCCTTGCTTCGATAGCCCTGGAAGGGGGGTTGCTGGATTACCGGGTTTCAAAGCGATGGTGTTTGCTAAGGACAATGTGAGGGGGAGGCCCATGTTTCTGGTCGCCATTTTTCGTATCGCCTTCCGTTCTGTATTGACTCGTATGGGTAAGGTTAGTTCAGCAGCGAACAAACCAACAATTCAAAGTTGCCAGCTAGCCATCGAGCCTCGGCATAGCCTTGCTTTCTTGCGAGGCTATTTTAACGGATCTTTGGGTTGCTAAGTTCTGATGTATTGTGTCCTTTGATCTGTGGGAATGACGGTAGATGAGTCGGCTTCTCGACCCTGTCTTGTCCTTCCGGGAGTTTGTGTTGATACCGGCCATTCCCTCATATCCCATTCGTCTTCAGCCGCCTCTGGCACCCTGTATAGCTCATCCAGCCCTGCATTGTCAAGTTGCCACGACAAGACTTGTGGCAAACAGTTCTCAGATCGCCGATTTGGATCCCGATAACGAGATCCCAGAAGTCCAGCGGAACCCCGGCAAGTTCCAAATTCCTGGGCCAGATCGTGCCTGTCGGCCACGTCACAAATCTTAACATGTGTCCCAACGACTTGCCAAATCGAGAAGTGCCCCCCGGAATTTTTACCCATGTCAAGCTTCGAGGCGCGATCGATATCGACTGGAGATACGATGCTGTCGGCCAATGATGAGAGAAGCCGAGTGACGCGGCCGTGTTTGCTTTGAGCATGGGCATGAGTCTCGGGCCGAAGGAGGACCCTGGGCAGCGGTGCGATAAGTTCGGAGGAGTGCTCGTGTGAGGCGATATGCTCTCGAGAATGATGTCAGATACTCTGAAAGAAATTCCAGCGAGACTGATACATAAATCGGACAAAGGCTCGCCTGGATGATGCTATGGAAAGCCAAAAACCCCACAGAAAGCTACAAGCACTATGCCACACAGAAGAACCTAGTTGAGATCACTTATATTTTCCTCTATAAACTCAGAATCCCAAAGTTCTCCCAAGTCGTGTTAGCCATGTCCTCCTCCCATCTTCCCCCCGACGCCCTCTCCGTGGTCATCGACGCCTCCGAGTACGACACCCAGGGCTTCGGCGCGGGCTGGGAGACACGCCGGCACCGGCACGAGAGCGTGGCGAACCGGGCCAGCTTCGAGGCCCGCGCGGACTGGCTCCGACTCGTAGGCCCCACCGACGAGTTTGGCAGCTGCAACCCGCCCAACGGCAACTGGACCGCGTTGACGATGCCGTTCTGCAGGCCCGAGCGGATGTGGATTGCGGCTTATATCGTCGAGTGTGAGTTGTTTCCCGGGTTGTTGAGAAGAGCAATATGGAGGTGGTGATCTATCTGGGGGAGTTTGGTAAATGCAGAGATTGACTGTTTCTCTTTCTTCGTCCCGTCCTTTAGTTGCCTTTATCCACGACACTGTTATCGAGCGCCAGCTTCCCGATGGTGTGAGTTCTCCTCCTCCTCCTGCTCCTCCTGCTCCTCCTGCTCCTCCTGCTCCTCCTGCTCCTCCTGCTCCTCCTGCTCCTCCTGCTCCTCCTGCTCCTCCTGCTCCTCCCTTGAAGTCACAGCTGCGTAAAGTATCTAGCATTCATACTGCTGAGCGACTTACACCCACGGCCGTTTTATCCACCACCGTCACCATACCATACTAAGAACCAAAGTCCAGTCCGAGAACCACCAAATCACCGACGGCGGCGACGTCGCATCCCCGCCGGCGATTGTCGACCCGCAGCTCGGCAAGAAGAAGCTGCGCGCCAGGATGACGCGGGATCTGCTGGCCATCGACCCCGTGCGCGGCAGGGAGTGCCTGGCCGAGTGGCAGAACATGATTGACCTGACGCACCGCGAGAAGACGACGAGCTTTGCGTCGGTGGAGGAGTACGTCGAGTTCCGGCTCGTGGACTGTGGTGCTCCGTGAGTATTCACTCATTCATCTTTGTTTCCTCTTTTGGCCACTCGCCTCCTTACTTTTCGCCGGGGGGGGGGGGGGGCGTGTTGTTGTCGGCCGCCGAATTTGCGTCTCCTGGTCGCAGCTTTGGGAAGACATGATTGCATGGCATTCCGGTCCTCCTTTTTGTTCTGTTTGTTCTAACATGCTCCTTCGATCACTGTTCTCACCACTTATTATGTTCATCGTGGCATTTATCTTACTTCATATTTGGAAATTGTTCATCTCACAGTTAGAAGCTGACAAAGCATGAACGAGACAGCTGGATGGCGTCTCTCATGCTCTACGGTATGGGCATCACGCTTCCAGCCTCGGAGCGCGAGGAGCTCAAGCACGTAACCCGGCCGTTCTGCGCCGCGGCAGGGCTCCAGAATGACTACTTCTCCTTTGTCCGCGAGTACGCTGAGTACCTCGAGGGGCAGGAGGGAGAGGGTCTTCGCGATCAGCGCGGTGGCGGCAGCGGCAGCAGCTCTCCCGGCAGCGACAGCCAGAGAAGCGACGCGGCGGCATCCACGCCCATCATGATCAACCTCGTCGCGCTGCTCACCCAGTGGCGCGGGGTCGACATCGCGACGGCGAAGCAGCTCACGCGGGAGGTTACGATTGGGTACGAGCGCGAGTACGACCTGCGGTGCGCCGAGTACCGCGCGAGGAAGCACGCGCTGGGGCAGGAGGTGGCCGAGGAGGTTGCGCTGTACCTCCGGGGGGTGCGGTGCTTGCTGGCGGGCAACATTGTGTGGAGCTCCAACTGCCCGCGCTATCACGCCAAGATGCGGTACGACCCAAATGCCGGGCTGGAGGATGCGCTGACTCTGGAGAAGCGGGGCGTGGACATCTCTGTCATCTGAGAGGATGGGGGAGGGTGGCCTGGAGGCTCTGGACAGGTCAAGGCGGAGGGCAGAGTTGGCATGCAGTAGTCAAGGTAGGATAATTACGCAGTTGGGAGCAGATGCTACGGCTGTCTGTGTGTGTGTGCCACGAGCAAGATGTGAAAGTAGCGTGGATCGGCCACTAATGAGCACTGTAAATCGATTAGGCTTGGCGCAGGAGGAGAGTTTAAAGGGTTTGTTGGCGATTAGGTTTTTAGAGTTTACAGCCAGTCATGCCATGTAACGAAGCACTGATGGTGGTAGCATTGGCTGAGCGGCATGGCTGAGGCTGAGGCTGAGGATTGGCTGGTCAGCTGGAGCTTTGGAGTTGTGGATGTCGCTGATGCTGTCCACTTCACCATGAGAATAGCATCGTCATGTGAATCCAGGCAGGCGGCGTTATTGCCATGTCCAGCGTTGGAGCACAAGCGCGCGTGTGTGGGGGATTGGACAGGACTCGGTGGGAGACTCTATTTTGGGTTCCAAGGTTGCTGCTGTGCGTGCTGGGGCCACGGCGGCGGGAAAGCGGCTGAGGCAGCCTTGTGGGGCGCGTGCGATGACTGGCTCTGTCGGTGGCAGCCATACGACCAAGACGTGCGTGCTGCATGCAACTGCAGGTGCGAAATTGCCCGACAGAAAAGGACCAGAACCTGTAATGAGACAAACACACACACACACACAATGACCAAGCAGCAGAGATGCAATCGGGAGTCGATGTGCTCAGCCTGGCCATCTGCAAAGGGCTCTTTCTTGATGGCCATCCATGGACCAAAGTCTGGTGTGTCTGCAAGCGAGATGCCTGCTGGTATGCGGAAGGCGCGATGGAGAGCTGAGATCTGGGAAAGCACGGGGCGCATGAGAAGCGTGCGGCGCTAGAGCGCGTTGGGGATGGTGCGGAGGCGTGGTCGCGCAGGGCGGGCTGTGGTTGGCTGTGGGCGGCACCCGCGGCAGGGGCGAGGTCCACATGCAGCAGGCAGTGCAGGGGCCCTGCGGCCCAAGTGCTGACGGGCAAATTGGCAGGCGAGTTGCTCCGTATTGACACTGAGTGACTGAGGGAGGGCGTGCGCGCTGAGCAGCACCAGCACCGGCAGACACAGACACGCAGAGCCAGCCGCACTGCGCCACCCTGCCTGCAACCTGTCTGCCTGCCGCCTTCTACTGTTGCTCCTTTCCTTAAGCATCGCCAGCCAGCTTCATCCTCGCCCTTTCCTAGCCGTCAACCGCCATCACCACCACAGTCACTCCCTCGAACTCGAACATCCACACGTTTCCTTCTCGACGACTTACTTTCCCGCCAACTTCATTCGCATACGGCCGCACAACCATCGCCACCATGGTCCGCTCCGTCTCCCTCGCCGCTGCCGCTGCTGCTGCCGGCCTTGTTGGCACCGCGCTTGCCCGCACGACCTCGGTCGACAACCTCTTCCTTCCCGGCTTCGAGGGCCAGAACCTCGTCGGCCGCATCCTCACCGCCGACAAGACCTCCACAGAGTACTTTGTTCAGTGCGACCCCAACGCGGAGTCCTCCTTCTGCGGCGTTGGCGCCGGCGCCACCGTCACCATGCGCCCTCACACTTACGACTTTGACATTCGCGACGGCAACCACTTGTGCGTACCCCTTTCGTCGTCGCTAGTCCCAAAAATGCTGCTACAGATTCCATTGGCTGACTGACTCACTCTTCACATATAGCACCCTCCAGGAGCGCTGCATCATCACCAGCGACACGGCCGACTGCACGTGGAGCGCCGGCGGCGAGGGCGCCCAGGCCACCGGCGTCACCACCAGCACCATGACCGCCATCACCAGTGCCGACTTCTTCATCCCTGTCACCGTCACAGGCGGTTGGGCTGCTCTCCAGACGAACCAGCTCGAGCTGCGCCAGGCCCTCGACTCGTGCCTTCCCAGTGGCATCACCGGTGTTTCTGAGACCGACTTCCCCACGCCCACCGGCAAGCCGTCCAGCACTTCTGGTGGCGTCGCCGGCACTGGTACCGCCAGCTCCGGCTCCCAGCCCACCGGCAAGGGTGCGGCATCTGGACTCGAGCGGCCTGCTGTTGCCGCCATCGGCGCCATCGCTGGTCTCGGTGCCCTGGTCATGGCCCTCTAAGCCAGACGGGCATAGATGGGCATGGGTTGTGGCTGTGGCTGTTGTTGTCGTAGTGTCAAAATCATCATTGTCAGCGATGTTCAGGACTCTTCTTTTCTTTTTTGGTTACATGGATTCAAGGAGAGTTCGCGTGGGTTGTTACTTGGATATAGTATTTCTGGATATCCTGGGAGCATATGCATAGAGTGATGGCATTCGAGATATAATTATACCATACTGCATAGAATACATATCATTCTTGGCAATCCCTGCGTGCACGCGGCTTGGGTGCTTCGAGCGCAGATTCCCGTCATGGAAAGATGATTGAAGGTGCCGAGACTATTGAAGCTGCATGCCAGAGATCCATGTCAGGGAAGTGTTGATCAAATGAGCCTGATCAACCTCCTGCAATCCATCCTCCATCAGGCTATGCTGGGTTTCATTGACCTTGATTAGTCTGCAAAGCGGAAGCGATTCGATTCAATTAACTCTCGTGTCGCGGAACCCCGTGTCCCGAGACACACGAAAGCACGCGTCGCCAGATACGCATCCTCACTCGCTTTGGTTGCATTCAGTCCTGCGGCGACGAGGGGCACTTCGCTCTGGTCACCATTTGTCCAGACTTCAAGACGACTTTTTCTCTAATCCACACATCTGTGGTTCTCCCTGGCATTCTCTGACGTTGAAACAAATCGTTTGCTTGCTTCTTTCTAAGACTTCAAAGAGCATGTTGCCTCACTGATTTCAACTCCTTCTCCTTATGGTCATTCTCGCGACCAGACGTTCCAATCTTGATGCACCCATGAACGTGTCATTAGTCTGCTTCGCTTAAGACCCTGCTGAATACCCAGCGTTGAGCTAGCCCAAGGATACTCCAAGTTCCTCGTGCAACACGGCCCGTGCTGGTCGCCAATCGCCTGGTTGTGTTTGAGCTTGCCCTAATGTGCACACAGTCTGCTAGGTCGGTGGCTTGAAAGGTGTGTGTGTGTGTGTGTGTGTGTGCAAAACATGCCCACCGATGTGGCGTGCTGTTGTGCGTGTGCCTCTGGTGACCGAAAGTGCTGCTCCGCTTGCCTGGTGACTTATATTGGACTGCACCGGATATGTTGCGTAATGAGATATCTTGGTGCTCGAGACTTGTCGTTGTCCGCTGGAATATGGGGTTTTGTGCTTCTGCCGTTCCGGGCAAAACCTGTTGCGCAATTCATTGCATGCATGGTGTCGGTTTGGCAGAGCGATTAGCCAAGTCGGCGATGAACAACCTCATCACCACGCCTGGTGTTTTCCCAGACGAGATCTATTGAGCGCAAAAAGCACGTTGTCGCGTTGAGGTGGTGTATTCCTCGCGCTGTACATAATTGAGAGACAATTTAATCGATATCTTCCGCTGATCGTTGGGTTTATTCTCGGGGTTGTTCTAGTGTTGGCTGGTTGTCTTGTGAGATGCCAGTACCATGGGTTTCGCATTGGTTTGTTGCAACTCGGCACGGAACATGTCCTGGCTTGCTACCGCAACATCTCCAAAGGTGGAACAGATTTTGAACTCGCGGGTCGAGAGACTTGGTCAGGATGATGCATGTTGTAGACTTCTTGAAAGTCCCGCATGCTTGACTTCCCATCGCTAGCAATGGACACTTGATTATCCAGAACTCACGGAATTATTCACTTAATTTGATAGACCATGGTGAAAATATGATTGATTTACTATAAAGTACGAATATCAAACCACGACAGAGATCATGCTCGAATGACGTTTTCATCGACCGAAAATAAATTAAGCACGGCAATCCTCCAAAAATCACAGCCCATTCCTCCCAACTGGCCTCATCACCCGTCATAATCCTGACGACTCGGTCATCACCATGCACAACAAGCCGCATCGAGACCTACCCTGGACTGTTCTTTCCTGCGCGCTGATTGGATCCAAGGGCCGAACTTGGGAGTTCTGGCTTCGCCTCTGGACTGGAGCGAAGGGATGACGCTTATGAGCCAAGAGGGGGGACAAGGGGAGGCGACAGAGTGCTCTCTACCACCTGTGCTGTAATTGGGTCGGACGGATCTCGCAGTCAGTTGGAAGGGGCTATCATGCCCTTCAAAATATTAGAGAGGTACCGTCGAATTCTGCTCGATCATCCTGACATGGGGCAATTTCTAGATGTAGATATGTATTGATGCCGTCACTTGCTGCTACCGCAAGCATTGTCTTTAACCAGGACATCATCATTTCATGACCGCAAAGCAGACTTATGATTGCTACATAAATTAAGACCGCCCAACCAAGTTACCATGACAAAACTGCAGAAACGTTTATTCCCAAGTAGAAAATCAAAGCAAGCCAAGAAAATGTCAGCAGGAATCCTCCCCCGCGGACACTCAGCACCCACGGGTACACCACCTCTCTACCTCCCTTGCAAAAGCCACGCTCCTGACATCCACCACCCTCCAGAACACATCCGCCACCCAGATCACCAGGGGGACATACAGCGCCGTCGCGACCAGCCAGCCGCCCTCGTACGCCAGCCAACTGCCCCCGTCCCCTCCTCCGCCACTGACTCCTCCTCCTCCTCCTCCTCCTCCGCGCTGCCTGGTAGTCGACACCACCACTCCGACGTGGTCCCACACGAACCTGGTCAGCGGCCGGCCCACGAGGTCGTTGAGCAGGTAGTGCGTGAGGTACAGCGCGTACGAGATGCGGCCGAGGTACTGCACGGGGCGGGACTCGAGGACCGCGGCCCGGCAGCACCACCACCGCCCCGAGGACGAGGAGCAGCAGGAGGTGGTAAGGAAGCTCGTGGCCGCCACGGCGAGTGCGGCGCCCACCGAGGTCCACAGGCGGGACTTGAAGTCCGCGTCGGCGGGGCCCAGCCGGTAGAGCCATTTGTACACGTTTGTCGTGTCGGCTCGCTGGGTGGGGTAGGAGCCTAGGTAGAGCCCGAAGAGCAGCAGGCCGGAGAGGAGAAGGGAGGTTCTGCGCGGCGGCAGCGGGGTGCGGTCATCATCTGCTGGTCGGGATCTTGCTGCTAGTGGTGGTGATGGCGGTGGAGAAGACGCAGTCGAAGGAAAAGAGATCGGTGAGGGCGAGCGGCGGCCGGTATGCTCAGTCGTGCTGGTTGTTGTCGTCGTCGTTGTCCCAGAGCCTATGATAGCGTCGCTGATTACTACTGGGGTGTTGGGCCGGTTGTTGTCTGTGATGACGAATTTGATTGGCATCCCTGTGGTCGGGGTTGTTCGTGTTGCTGCTCTTCCTGATTGGTAGTCCTGGACCAGTAGGTTGACGTCCGCGATCAGGACGCCCGACATGAACAGCGAGACATCCCACTGCCGTACCGCCATCGAGTAGACACACAGAAACGCCACCGCGGACAGCCGGACCGCCGTCACCGCCCGCGCGAGGCCGAGGAGCGTGACAAACAGGAGCATGGAGGCCCGGAACTCGATCGGGATCGTCCACAGCTGCGGGCCGTAGAAGAGGTCGACCACGTCGTTGCTCCAGGTGAACGGGTTCACGAGCGAGCCGAAGAACTCGCTCAGCAGCGCCCTCGTGTCGTTCCAGAATGTCGAGCTGTAGGCCCCCGCGGCCCGGACGAGCCCGGCCCGCTGTGCGGCGTAGTGCATGCACGCGGCGACGAAGCTCGGCAGCATGAGGCGGATGCCGCGGCGGAAGACGGACGACGAGAGGCGCCGGGCCAGCGTCTCGTAGTCGCGCTGCCGGATCAGTCTCAGGGGAGAGACGGACAGCGCGTAGCCGGACACTATGAAGAAGAGGGCGACCATGGTGCGGCCGTGCACGGCGAGCCGGATGATGGGCAGCTGGATGAGGCTCTGCTGCTCGTCGGACCCGCCATAGGCAATCTTGATGTTCGGGTGGCCGTATCTGCTGTGGTGGAAGAGGAAGACGCAGAACGAAGCCAGGCCGCGGATGCCGTCGAGCCAGGCGGTGCTGAAGTTGTCATCTCTGGCTAGTTGCTGGTGTTTCTTCTGCGGTGAGGACGTCGTTTCTGAGCCAGAGTGGGCGGCCCAGGCTGGGACGACATGATGATGGCGCTGCAGGAAGCTGGGCGTGAGAACGATGAGGAGCCTGCCGACAAGGATCCTAGAGACCCTGAAGAAGAAGCTGACGGAGCAGTTTCGGTAGAGATGGTTGTGACGTGGCTGGCCGGATTCTGCACCAAGCAATGATGCGTCCTTGTCCGTGACCGGCTCATGTTGCGGGAGCATCGTGTACGACGGGCGGGCCATGTTGGTATTATCTCATGCTGTCAACCATAAGCCTGTCCTCTTGAACCACAGTAAAATGATTGAACTCAGAGACTGGTGTGGAAGAGCGTCATCGAATACAGTCGGCAACAGGTTTTACGATGAGGCGTTGCTGGGAACTCGCGCGGGGCATGGGCGTGGCAGGGCGGCCAGGCGTACGGAACCGCCACCACCCAGCGATCTAGCACATACTGGCGTTTGGCCCGGCGCGTCCCTGCGACTGATCATATTCCACTCTGGAAAGGGAGAACACGATAATAAGCTTAAGGGCCGCCATTGCCTCGGATTGCCGTTCTGCAAGGGGGACACGCCCCCCTTTTACCCTTTGGGAGTGGGGATGCGGGTGTAAGACATTGCACACCAAAGCCATATCAGAAGATCTAGGGATGAATTCTCCACAGGGATAGGCGCGGACCATGATCACACGATGATTTCAGGGCAGCATTTCTCCCAAGAGCTTGAGACCGGAGAAGTGGTCTCTAGTGTCGAATGGGGTAGTATCGCATGTTGATAGTACGCACAGCATGGCACGGAGAGTCAATCACAGTCCTGCTGCAGTAAAGTCCATCAAAGGGTTTTTGTCTCTTCCAGATATGCAGTTGGGAAAAGATATGGTAGTCGGCATCGTTTGTATTTGAGGACGGCGTGGTTGACCTTCCCGACAGACAAAGAGTTGACTTCTAAGTGTATTTCAGCAGCTTCACATTCTGCTCGTTTGCATGTCCAACGTTCTATTGTATATCTTTGTACAATGCCCAAGGCTTGTTTACGCGCCTGCGATAATGTAATGCTTAGGATGCCGCTTCCTAGCTGGACGCCTGTGATGGTTCTCCAGCTCTACAGAACATCACTCTCAAACCTGCTTGGCTCCGGCAGCAAGCCCTGGAACAAGTTCTTCATGGCCTGCTTCAAGGCCTGCAGCTCGAATTCGTCGTTGGTGACGACATCATCGTTGAAACAGAGCTGCCCGACCTCGCGGCGCTTGCCGCCACCACCACCTCCAAGCAGCTGGTCGGTCAGCTCCGACTGGACCTGCTCGGCGTCCGTGATCATGAAGAAGAGCCCGTCCGGGTCAATGACCGAGTACTGGTACCGCTTGAGGGCTTTGAGGATCATCTCGCGGTGGCCCTGCATCGTCTCGTGCGGGGGCAGGAGCGGCTCGAGCCCGGCGGGCTGGCGGTTGAGGAGCAGCTTGAGCAGGCAGTCGCCGCAGATGGGGTCCTGGCGGGCGACGCGGTCAAAGACGCTGGCCGTGTTGAAGACGGGCGAGGGGTGGCGCGCATCCGCGGCCTCTCTCGAGAAGGCGGGCGCGAGGCACTCGTTGACGTCGAACTCGAGGCAGTCAATGTCGCGGATCGCCATGGGCCCGTCGAGCGATGTCCACTGCAGATCGACGTTTGCCCTTGGCGGCTCGAGCCCCGCGGCGTTGAGGTGTTCCGCGACGTTGCGGTATATCTTATCGCGGAAGCCCTCGTCGTCCTCGTGCTGCATGCCCTCTTCGAGCTCGCGCATCATCTGCGCCCGCTCGTGCCAGCCGAGGTTGCCGTTGCCGTCCGTGTCGGAGCGCAGCACGACGTACGAGTACAGCAGCGCCTCGCGGTGCCGCTCGACCGTGTAGTGGAACGCCGCGTACCACGTGTACAGCTGGAACCCCGTCTCGCCGCGGAACCGCTGGCACGCCGACCGCAGCGACGGCCGCGGGAAGCTGTCGCGCACCTCGCGCGATATCGACCGCGACATCGAGTGCCCAAAGTGCGCCTGCCCGTCGCGCTTGCGCAGGCCGAAGCGCCGGTTCAGCATCCACGACGTGTAGATCAGGTACGGCTTCTCCCCGAAGCGCCGCGCGTCGACCTCGTCTGGCGGCGTCATCGTGTTGTACCCGTTGGGCTTGAACCCCAGGATCGGCCCGAACAGGGGCGAGTATACGTCCGACGCCGCGTGCGTGCGCCCCAGCAGCATGTCGTCGGACAGGGCGAAGAAGCGGTCGATGTCGCTGGGGGTATTATACAGCTGCGACTCGATGGTGAGCGAGTTGAAGCTCGGCAGCGCCGCCCGTTCCTCCTCGCCAAAGAACTCCTCCTGGCTCAGCACCTCCACCAGGCCCGCCGTCTCGGCCGCCTCGCTGAGCCACAGCGGCCGCTGCTTCGTGTACCGCCGCACGCCCGGGTCTCTGCTCTCGTCGACGGCGTTGACGACGATCTGGATCTTGTTGGTAAAGCTGGCCGCGTACTTCTCGACCGACCGCACAGAGTACCGCAGCTCGTCCCAGCTGCGGTACCGGTTCGACCCGTGGCTGAGCAGCCACTCCCCGTCCGCGTCGTTGAGCGTCGAGTTGAGCTCGTACGGCCTCATGGTCCGCACAAAGGCCTCCTGGCTGCCGTTGACCCACGTGTAGATGAAGTCGACCCGCGGCTCCTGCATCGTGCCCCAGACCTCGCGGTCATACGTCGCTTGGCTGAACCACTCGTCCTCCCAGCCCTCCAGCGTCTCCTCCTGCACGGACTCCTCGAGCGGAATGTGCAGTATATCTGGCAGCGTGTCGGCCTTTGCGTCGAGGTCCAGCCACGCCTGATATGGGGGGAATTCGTACAGCGACCCGTCCGGGTTCCACGATCCCGTCTGTGCGTCGTGAAGGCCGCCGTTGTCGTGCTCGTCGTCATCGTCGAGAAGCTCTTTGTGCTTAGCGGGGGCTCTCCACGGCCGGCCGTATTTTCCCTGGGGCCGTGACAGCTCGATATCTACCAGGATCCGCTGCTGCGGCAGTGGCGGCCGGCTCTGTTCATGCGGTCCTTCTGGCGCGTACGAGTCCTTCCACTGCGGGTACTTCCCGCGATCCTTGGACGAATGCAGCGTCTGCCACAGAAGAAGTATTATGACGGTGCTTACGGCGACCGCCCGCCGACGTCGGAGCCAGCTCCTGGATATGATGGGAGACCGGCTCCGCGGGGAAGGCGCAAAAGCGTGAGCGTACATGGCTCAGTAGGCGTGTGCGTGTGATTTTCATGAGAAGAGAGACATTAGGGAATTCGGTATGGCCAGTGAGGGCGCCTGGAGTTTGGCACCTTTGGTGAGCACCGCAACAATCGCCGCGTAGCACCACTTTCCCGGGTGTGCAGCTGGCAGTCAAGTAGGGCACAGCTGGGCGTGTGGCGCGCTGGCGCGTGGTGTACGGAGTGGCACTTCTGCGCTCGTGCCTGGCGACGCTGACGACGATGATAGGCTCTGCTCCTGAGACGGCGTTGTTTGTGTGCACGTGAGGACGGTGATGCTGTTTGGAAGCCGGCAAATAGTGGGAGAAATGTTCGTTCGAATTCCCAATCAGTGTCGCGTGTGTACCAATCTGTCTTTGTATGCTTTCCAATGTTATCCAAGAGATAATGGCGGGTCAACTCGCTGCCCTTGGGAGGTAAGGGTTCATGCCGAGCGACTACGCCGCAAGCGAGGTGACAAAAATGACGTTGGGGATTCCCAAGAGGCGGCACCGAGGCACTGCCAAGCCGGCTCGGTCAGGCTGGCAAGGCAAGTAGCTGTTCTTGGCTGCTCCCCCCCCAAATCTGACAGCGCGTTCCTGGTAGGAGGGGAGCTGTGAGGGGGCAGATGGACCAGGTTGCGCGAATGCGGAAAGTATTTGGAGCTCGGCACCATGCATGGAAAGAGAATCTGGAACCGTGTTCACCGTGGCTCCGTACGGGACAGGCAATAGCGTGGCAGCCAGCGGTACCTAGGGGGAAAGAAAGGCCCAACGCGGGACCCCATCAGCTCGTCAAACTTGGTGTTGGAGATGATCCGAGGGTGGACAAGACAGGCGGTGGCAGCGCGTGGGCTCGGGCATTGTATCTTCTTGGGCTGGGTGCCCTGTGAGACATTACATTTCCCCTGGCTCTGGAGAGAGGATGAGGCTCAGATGTTTGCCGCGTCGGTGGGTCCAACCCTGAGCGCAGGTGACCCAACCCACAAGTAATGTGGCCATGGCTCGCCCAGCTTATAGTCTCGGATTGGCCTGGAGGAGTAATTAAGCGATGGGGAGCCCGCCGTGAAGGAATAAACGATTACTCATGATCTGGACGAAGCAGCGACGATGGACAGGCGCGGTCAACGGGCATCGGCACGAGCACTCATGCCAGCAAGGGAGTGTTGCATGCCTAGCGTGGGTCTTGGGCGAGACATCCGGACTCACTGGAAGTTCCCTCCCAAGGCACTCTAGCGCAAGCCCGCAAGCTCCCAGACGACGGTCTATTCCACCCCAAGTCATCACAGGGCAACCTGCAAAGGCCCTGGCTGCCCCCATGGGAGAATGTCTGGTGGTACCGGCTGGAATGGGCGGCAGCTTCCGAGACAACAGCAAGCACCGAGCCGCCCGAGCCGGTACGAACATGCTGCCACATAACGCGAGCAGTATTTGAGCAGCCAGGCTCATTATTGAGAGACCACGCTGTGGCAACCTTGCGCATCAGGGCAAGGGGAGGGGGGGGGACCCACGAGAGACTGGCTCCAATGCGCACACACACATTTCCCGATTCGGACAGAAGCTGGGGACATGCACCAATCACATCCATGCCAAACAGGCCCCCGTTATCCTTTCTGAGCATTCAGTGATTTGTCGCCAATCAGGCAAAACCTTCAACCGTAGTCGCCGCAGTTCCAAGGTCTATGCTGCCGTCGAAACATGTAGTTGTTGACTGCTCGTGGCCGTCTAGCGAATCCATGCCAGGTATCATCTCAGAGATGTGTGGCCATTCATTGACATGTCCCAGAACACAGACACGGCGGTATCCCTGGCCCAGGCCACTTCTCTGAGCAGCTCACAGAGGGAGAAGGGAGAGGCCCGGCCAAGCACAGCGTCCCAAGTCGTCCCTGGGCTCCCCACCGCTGCCTGCCCTGCGCCTGCACCTTGTGTTTTCTGCTGGCATTGACCCCGATCATGCCTTCCAAAAGCCCCATGTGCTTTTCCAAAGGTTCTTGAGGAAGCTGAGCCCGTGTGGCTTTGCAGCCCTAGGACTGGACTTCAACCACCGCCACAATGAGGCTCAACCGTGTCGTCGCCCGTGACCGTCCCTCCCGGCCCCGTCCTCCCTGATTCCAGTGGATATCCTCCTCGCCTTGCCATGGGGTTACTGTAGCGCTGCAGACGCGTGCCGGACCGTGCTTGCGAGGGCGCAAGCCAGCAAAAGGGAGCGCCTTGGGTGGAGGGCCTCTCCTCCCCATCGAGGGCGCGTCTCCCGCTTGCAGCTGTCAACAATCCAGTGTAATCTGGGGGCGGACAGCCGGCATTCCTCACAGCCAGGCGTGGCATTCTCGCCAATATTGTTATTGCCCACCAAGTCAGGCTGGCTCGGGTTAGAGCAGCGTCTTGTCGCCAGGAGAACGCGGAGACTAGGGCTGCCCACCAAGGAATGGAGGCCGAGCAGGTTCCATCTGCTTTGGTTCTTGCCTCGACGAGCGCGACCCCCTCGACTAGATCACGAGACGGCCTTAGCCGCTATAAAGCGCCCTGGATGTTCGCCGAATTCAACTTACCCCTATCTCTTTTCTCTTCCATCACGCACAATCACCCACACTCTTTTAACCCATCCACCTCCAGAGGACCTCCCCGAGGCCCCTTGACGGTATAACCTTCTCTCCGCTCGTTTCACCCCCCTCTTTTCTCTTTTGGATCCCGAGGAAGTCCAGTCCTTGCAGAATAAGAATAACCAACACCACAGCCATGTCTCGCTACGCCATTGCGGCCTTTTCCCTGCTGGGAGGCCTTGCGGCTGCCGACTATGCCCACCCCAGCGCGGCTCCCGCGTATGGCTACCCCATCTCGCTGCCGTCGGTGGTTGGCTACCCTGCCCAGGTCGTCACGGCGTCTGACCAGCTCGTCTACCTGCCGGGCTGCGAGACGGCGACGCGCACCAACAGCTACAGCGACAAGATTGTGACGACGACGGTCCCGGCCGAGGGCTGCCCGACTCACTGGGGCCACGTCGAGGGCTGCGGCTCGCACATGAGCCCCGGCGGCCCGCTGGTCGTCATCTACCGCTACGCCGTCGAGTGGGTCGAGGTCTACGAGAAGACCGTCGCCTGCCCGTACAGTGAGGTCGGCCCGCACGCGTACCCCGGCCACGAGGGCAACGCGGGCTGCGAGTCGTGCGGCGAGACACAGACGGCGTATGTCAAGGAGTGCTCCAACGGCAACTGCGCGGCCTACAAGTGCTACTGGGGCGCCGACGGTGTCCACCACTGCGACGACTATGTCAAGCCGAGCGGCTATGTTCCGGCACCCCCGGGCTGCGAGATTGTGAATGCCCAGTACCCCAACTGCTGGAGCGGCTCGTGCTTCCTCGCGTCGGCCTACTACACCGTCCCCTGCGTCGCCGGCTTCCCGACCATCTACCCGCCCGGATGGTGCCCCGGCGGCCTCCTGCCCCCCGGATGGGCCGTCATTGTCACCAAGCTGCCCGGCTACGACTACGAGACGACCTACACGGCCCCGACCACGACCGTCACCACCACCACCACCGCCACCACCACCGCCACTGACTTTATTACCACCACCACTGGCGGCGGCGGTCTCCTGCCCTCCGATCAGCCCGTCACTTGCCCCGAGGACGACCGTGGCATCTTCATTGGCAACTCTGGCTCCAGCTTCCTCATCGAGTGCGACGTTATCCTCTCTGGCACCGAGATCAACGCCCGCGAGGAGCGCGCCCGCGAAATCAAGGCCCGCGCTCTCGGCACCGCCCCTGACTTCAACACCTGCATCCAGCTCTGCGACGCCATCTCGACCTGCGAGGCCGTCTCCTACAACCCGACCACCGGCGCCTGCCGTGGCTACAGTGATCCCACCGAGACCCCCGGCTCCAACGGCGCCTGGGTTGCCAACGTCGTCCGCCGTGTCGGCGCGGACGACACCACCACCACCCCGGTCCCGAGCACCCCGGCCTCGACGACCTCGGTGCCCACCACCCCAGTGCCCACCACCCCAACCACTACCCCGACGACGCCTGCCTCCAGCAGCTCGACTCCCAACCCGTCGGCCGCCTTCGCTGCCCGTGACTTCCCGGCCGAGCAGCTTGTCCCCAAGCGCATTGCCAAGAAGGCCGCTGGCAACAGCCGCCTCGAGCGCCGTGCCAACAACAACATCCGCCTCTAAGCGGGTGTGCGGCAGTCTCTCGTCTGTCTCAGCCTCATTCCTTCGGGCTGCCCGACCAGCCTCTCCTGGTTATGGCGGCCTAGGACATGGGTAGCTCAGTCATCCTCTCCGAGACGCAAAAGGGGAAAGCCCAAGCAGACTCGCAATTTCTCGGGCTTCACATTTACATTTCTCACCGACAAACGAGTTCCCCATCGACCGCAGCGACTAATACTCGGGAATGTCTCATTTTGGCCTTGGCGTGGAGTTGGGTTCTTTGGCCTCATTTTTCATTCTCATTCCTCCCCCCTTCCTCCTTCACACCAATCATCACGACACATCTACATGCACACATCAACACTTCTACATTCTCGAACAACCATCCCCACCTTCCCACATCCTCCGCTTCTTCTACCTCGTCTTTCTCTCTCGGATGTTGTAGGAGAAGCGTGTGGATCTCTTCCCCCCCTTCCCCCGCTCCCCCCCCTCAACATCCAAAACAAGCAAACTTTTAGTGTCTCTCTCTCTCTCGGATCCTTGGCCCTGGCTCTCTATCAGTTGTCTCTCTCTCTCTCTTGGTGGTAGTGTGGTAGTAGGTGGACGGGTGACGCAGCGGTGGTGGCCTGCGGCCCACATTGAAATGTAATCTCCTTGCAAAATCTGTGGTTCGTGTATTGTTCTTAATCCACATGTCTCGTTCTGTTTGAAAGCCATCATGTGTGTGTGTGTATGTGTTTGTGTGTGTGTCTCACTTGTCCTGTCACGGTAGTGTTCAAGTCTTCAGCCATTCCATTCTTGAAGGTGACTCCTGAATGTCGCATGCCGAGCAAATTCAGCTCGTGCAAGCTGCCCACTCGGCGTATTCCTGGTTTCATCTGGTTTTTCCCTTCTTTAAAATTGAAATCCATTCCAGGTCCTCGCCCGCCTGCCACGGTGAAGAATGCACCGTGGCCGCGACCGCTCATTACTGATCCCGACACCTCGCCGCGCCTGGCACTTGTTCTTAATGCTGAATGCAGAACCATGTGGTCACCGAGCAACAAAGATACGGCATGGCACCAAGAACAAGCTTGTGCTGCCGCCCAACCCCATCAACCCGTCCCCCGCGCGTTGCCTCATCCGACCTCAGCGTTCTTCTCATGAAAGACTGCAGCAATGGCTTCTCATAGACCCCACGCGACAGTGTCATTTCCTTTTCCTCATGTTCTGCAGCACTCCAGGGGTGGACGTCGTCCTCCAGGCAACGAACCTAACTCCCAACCCCTGAGAACGACCGCACTCGCCCACTCCCCCATCGTCGCTGAGAAAAAGATCCGGAACAGAACCCAAAGCCGTAAGCGTACAAACTCACCCAGAGCCCCGGGAATCGAGCCGTCAGCGCTCCAGAATCACTCAAAGGGGCGCGCCCACCACCCACCACCCGCCAGCACTCAACACTCAGCAGCCCGCCGTTCGTTTGAGTATCTTATTATTGCGCCAAACCTGTCGGCCTAGTTTACCCAGCCAGCCACACAGGCGCGCTCCTCCTCGGTCGGTTAGTTGCTCCTGGCAACGCTCGCCACCCTTCGTTCCCCCCTCCCTCCTCCCCATCTCTCATCTGCACTTCACACGCCCGTACCGATATTGATACCTCCCCTCAAAATGCTAGCATTGCATTGCATGAACAACAACGGGACAGCCCACAAACATGTGACACACCGCCGGCTCCGTGTGACCATAGCCGTGAGAAAACAGGACATGGGGTGAACTCCGCCCCTCCCCTCATTGTTCCTTACTCTCTGTTTTTCTTGGTTCTTCTTCTCCTTTCAGGCCCACTTCTACTTCAGGAGCAAATGCAACGTGTCTGACGGCAGTGTATTCGGTAAGGATTGGATTCGTCTACTTGTTCCCTGTTATATACGTACGCGAATTGTGTGCGTTGACCTCTCTTGGTTTGTGAATGCAGTTGCTGTCTTGGCAGACTTTCGCATTAGCGCTGGAACAAATGTCCTTGTAGTGACCAACACGTTTCGTCGTTTTGCTCGGACAGCAAACATGGTCTCCACTGGACACGACATGCCAGCTTGTCGCCCACGAGGTCAGCCGGGTTGTTTACCCCAAAGTCGAAGTGCTGCTCCGAAGACAGCGTCCTTTTATGAGCAACACCTTCACACGACCCGAGTTATTTCCCGTGGCAGACATTGAGAGCGCCAACACCTGAAATTATGGATAAAATTACTATGAGCTATGAGAGGATGAGCATGAATGTATATCTCGCGAATGGATTGTTCAAGGGTATGAACTTCATATGACCGAACACCTTGAAAGCAGATATTTGGGACCTTTGGACCTCGGCAGGCGGCGGCTGGGAAATCAGAATATTGTTTTTAAAGACAAAGCTCCATGTATGTTCCTGAATGCCAACAACCTCAACGACCTCTGTGACATGTTTGTAGACCGCCCTAAGACTCATACGTAGCTATCGCTGGCACCACAGATGAGTTTCCGCAGTTGGGAGGGCAGGAAGTCCTTGTCTTGCTTCGCCTCGACACGGCTCATGCTGTCAAAACCGGCAGCGACGAACTTGGGCCATGTATTGGTGAGAACAAGGTATTTGATCTCATTCTCGGCAACATCAAGCACCGTCGGAGAGAATTGATCAGGCACGGTGATGCCAAATCCGCCGCTGACACGCTCGGTGTCGTCGTCCCGCATCTGTGTCGCCGATGTAAGATTCGCCTTACCAAGAGTTGCCTCCAGGTCAAAGGTGTTGTGAGCGGTGCGTGTGCTAGAACTACCCGCAGAAGAAGATGATGCTGTGCCGGAACGTGCAAGCATGTGTGCAGAGTCATCGAATGGCGTGGCTGAGTCGGATTGCGTGCTGCGGCGACGGTTCAAAGTGTGCGCAGCCTCGTCAAAGATGTGGTGGAGCTCCTTAGCAGCACGGGACGAGATGTTGACGGGAAATTCGGAATATTCAAGGGAAATGAAGTGAGAGTAGATGCGAACAGCACGGATGAACTGGCGCTGACGCTGCGCGACTGGGTCTGCACATAGAGATGCGCGGTGATTTGCTCCGCCACCAGGATAGCTGGCAAACGACCTCTTCCAGTCGGCGACATGGGAGAGAAAGCTGACATTCTCCCCCGAGAAGTCCTTGAGCGCAGCGAATTCCAGAAGAGGCTGCGAGTTGCTGCGGAGAGCATTCTCGAGGCCGGCCATGGTCAACATGTCGCTGCGCCGGGAGCTCTTGGAAGTGGCAGAGCTCTTCGAGTGGGTGCTTCTGGCAGCAATGGAGCCGGCGAGGGTGGTGCCTGCAACGCCAGCACTACTGGCGGACATGTTGTCAGGCTCGACGGTACCTGTCTTGTGCCTCTGCTCCCACGACGAGATGGCATCAAGAGTCTCCTTCTGGAGTCTATGGGTCTTGAGCACCTTCCAGCATGGCACAAAGATGAGGAGGATCTCAGCAATGAAGATGGAGCAGGCAAACCTGGAGCATGAACGTCAGTTTACTGACCCCTCACGGTGTACTCAGACTCGACTTACCACATGGGTGGGCCAAACTTGTCATTGACGGGTGCCATAGCCGGGGCATACAGTGATACAAGCCACATGGGACTGGCGGGCAGGCTGCAGTACGGTCAGTGAAGGCCATTTTAGCCAGCCGCCACTTGGTAGACACTTACAAGCACAAGCAGCAACCGATTGTCTGAATTCGCCAGCCGTGAGTGTCATGGATGTTGCGTGTTTTCCACAACAGGTAGGGAGCGTAGAACCAGGTCCAGAAAAACTGCCAGACGATGGAGAGCCACCTATGCACGACAAGGCCAGTCAGTTATCGACTTGCAAGGAATCGGAGGCAGATATCTCCACTTACCACTCCCATCCAGTAAGGCACATCTCGGCACGATCCTTCTCAGTGCCAGGAACATGGACATTGAAGAAGCCAAATCCGGGATGAAACATCTCAGAGCCAAAGAAGACGATTGACGTGAGAAGAAACTGCACGGCCATGCCGATACCGATGTAGATGAGGGCGCGCGTCGGCTTGTCTGCGTTGCGGCACTTGGCGATGGCTCGCTTGTACCAAGGGAGTGCCTGGTTGATGGGCGCCGACTTGTCTGAAACCTCCTGCTCCGCGAGGTTGCCCAAGGATGCGAAGCGGCGTTGCTGGCTGGCAATGTAAAGGAACTGCGAGTTTGCAGCCTGGAGCAGGGCCATGCCGAAGGGCAGGTAGATGCTCATGACCCAGAATTGGACCTCGCAGGGCACCATGGTGCCGTAGGTGATGCCGAGAGTGCATGAGATGGCGTACAGGTGGAGGAGGACGACGGCACAGTATATGAGACCGAGCTTGCGGATCTGGAGGAATGGAAGCTTGCGATGGCAGTACAGGAAGCTCATGCCGCCAATGAGCAGGAGTGACCAGACGATGGTGAAGCCGATATAGAACCAGCCGAGCGCATCGTAGGATGTGGCGGCCATGGCTGCAGTTGGGTGTCGGCCACGAAGGCCGGTCGGATGGGTAGGGTAGTTGCTGAGGACGAAGGAGTATGTAAACGAGCGGATAGAAGGCGGCTGAGCCGTGTAATGACCAAGCCTTGTGCAGGCCGTGTTGCTGGAGAATCACTGATGAAAGCAGGAGTTCGGCGCAGTGTGTGAGAAAGCCATCAGAGGACGCGCTCGATTGGGAGCCGAGAGAAACCACGGAGGGGGGTCTGTGGTTATATGGATGGTCTCGATGCAAAAAGGCGGAGGAAGAGGCGCGGTGGTCAGGCAACCCAGCGTGAGGACGCAAGCCAGCTGGGGGAAGGGGCATTCCAGTCCTGGCGACAGAGTGCAGTCGCACGTGGAAGGAGCGACCCGTCGGCGTCACCACCATGCATCACTGCCTGCACCACCCCATCTGATGGGCATTAGCAGCTGCAGATCCGGGCTGCGCTAGAGCGCTCACCACGGTGAGTCGACCTTACTCACACAAGGCCCAGAGGTGCTGGCGCCTGTCGCCTGTCGCACCTCGCCAGGGCATGCGGCGGGCGTTGCCAGAAGGGATGAAAAGCAACAGGCTTTGGCCAAGACAGTCTCAGTCCCGCGGCTCTGGGTTGCAAGGGTCGCTTCCCTCCCTCTCGATGGCGTTCGCCTGGTGCCCTGCCAATGCCAGGGGTGTCCTGGGCTGTCAAGGACTGCAAAAAGCAAGCTGCAAGATCCACAAGGTGACGGACTCGTTCGTGGCCGTGGTTCGCCCCGAGCTGGGAGCGACAGACGGCAGACCCCAGCGGCTGACTGGAGACACGGTACGCGGGCGAGCGAACCGACAAGGCGCAGGCCGACCTTGAATTTGACAGGAGAGCGATTGGCGTTCCGCCGCGCCGGCTCGGGACCATTGCCAATAACGCTACAAATAGCTAGCATCCTGAGCTACCGAGATTTCGGTCCCAGGGAGGTAGCGAAGGTTCATCGGGTGCTAAGGCCCCCCATCCTTGGCAACGGCAAGAAATAAAGATAGGTAAGCGCAAACTAGATGGTCGGGGCGGCATCGCGGATCTGGGACGGCCCGGGCACGGGAGCTAGGGATTGGGTTGTAATGGTTCCGCCAGGGCTCCTTGAACATAATTAAGGGATGAGAAACTTGAAGCAGGTCTACCGGAGAGCAGCTGTGATGCAGTTCATCTCAGTCCAACATGCATGGACCATGATGGGGACCGACAGCTTGCTTGCGTCGTCCACCCCGGCCGAGAGTTGCAGGGGCCCATTGTTGTATCTGAATTGATCCTTGTCAAAAGATCGCTCGCCAGGCTCTGCGTGGGGCCGTGAAGGCTGTCACACTCAGCCCAGGCACAGCTGATGCTTGGTCAATTGCGATCTACACCGCTTGTCGAACTCTGCATCGGATCGAATCTCAACGAGATCGCCATGACGGAAACAATGATTAGACCGCGGATCCGGGTGAGGATTCCTGTTTGTGCAGGCTGGGAAGAAAATTGAATGAGCGGATGTTGTCCAACCCTCTCGGTTGCTACGGGAATGGGTCGCCACGCATACCTCGAGTACCGACCATCGCATGATCCCCACGATAAGAAGCTCCACGGCCGCTTCTCACACCTCTGAAAAAGCTGAAGTATGGGGTGATCAGCAACTGCTAGCGTCCTAAATCAACCTATGAAAAGGCGGTAGTGGCCGACATGTCTTTGATATGCAAGCAAGCTGGGTGTGGTGCAGTGGAAAAAGCAGCCACTGTCTGAGGTGCTCGTGGTGGCCAACATCTCCTCCGCTAATGCTCGCCGGTCGAGTCGGACCGTCTTTACAAGAACCTATTGCCTTGATCTCGAAGCAATGTGCCAGCTGCTGCTCCAATGCAGGTGATCGCCCGGCACAATACGCTGGATTTCTTCTTCATGGCACTGCCATTACTGGGGATGGGAGTGATGGGCATTTAAGTTCACTCCCCGGACAGGCAGTGGCGGGGCACCGGAAAGCAGCCCGGGAAGCACTCATATTGAGGACTCGCCCGCGTGCCTACAAAGTGTATCTTGATGACTCGGGTGTACAGGAGGTATCCTGCACCGCTCGACCGGTGGTACGGAATTTGATCACTGGTTGGTGGGACACCGCCCGAAGCTACACGATGCCTTCTGTGAACTCTTGTACTGGCGCTCGCCCTTCCCAGGAGCGAAAGGACCTCCCTCTACAATGTCGGGGACGGCCGTGGGATTCTTAGCAATGACGACCTTCTGTCTACCATATTTTCAAAATGATCACCAGGACGCGGGCGTACTTTCGCCAAAACCCTATTTCGCGGATGCGCCACGCTACGAGTTCATCTCGCATGCATTGCATGACTATGACTTGGGCTAGAGGGACGTTTGACGCGGAGGAGTGGCTGGTTGGACGGTAGTAAGACACCCGTGGAGCAGCCATCACCTGTGCCGCGGTGAGGAGGCGGGAGGCGCGGAGTATGGCCAGAGGCGTGCCACGAGGGGCGAACGCAGCCATGCCTGGTGATTCGGGCTTTCAGTGGCGTGCAGGAGGAGGCTGATAAGGACTGAAACGCGTTGGCCAGAGCCATGGGACTTCCCTTGCGGAAGGCAATCCAATCAATCGTACTCGAGAAGGCGTGTCTTTTCTTGCTCGCATCAGATTCTTCACGTCGCGTCAGGAATGGTCCTCGGCCCCAGGCCAACCACTTTTCGGGAGCGACGAAATTGCTCCTCCCGTGCATGCAATTTAGGCTAGGCTCGAAATGAAAGACCCATGCTCGTCCTTGAGGCGTTCCGGGCCGCGAAATCGCCAATGTCCGTAAGGGGCGCGGTCATGGAGACTCAAGAATGGGAAGATTGCAGCATCGAGCGTCAAGCACGCGACGCGACTCGCGCGACGCTTGTGAACGGCTCCTTTCAGAGCACAATGATCTAGGCTGGGGTGACCGAAGGAAATCAGTCGTGGAGGAGTCATTGCATGAGGTGAGTCCGACACCATGAGGCGGCGCAACGTCATGGCTCTTGAAAGAGATCATTGCCGGTGGGGGCTTGCGAGTCCCGAGGTCCATGTCGTCCTTGAGGGTGTCATGGTCCCAGGCTTCAGCTGCTGGACAGCTGTCTACGCGCGCCAGGAAAGGCGCACACTCTGGTGTGTGATTATGTCAGCAGTGCTTGTCATCCAGGGGTCCCTCACCATGAAGCTGCTAGCGCTTTCCAAGGTTATTGTTATTGACTGCCTGGGAAGGCGGGGCGCCGTTGACAGCAGTTGCGGCTGCCCCTCCTTGCTCTGCCCGCGGGCCGGCCTGGTTGATTGGGCGACCACCGCCCTCTCCTGAAATTTGGAATAACATCATCAAATTAACCTAGCTGCACCAACCCGCGAGCTTGCAACTATAACAACAACACTACCACACACTGCCCGGCCTCTGCTGCCTCCACGGTCGCCCTGCCACCACTGCCCATCGCGCCTTATCGCCATAGTCGCTTCTCCAGCTCCGACTCGACTCCTCTCGTCCCGTGCCGATCCCCCGTCGCAGACCTCACACTACACAGCAACAATGGGTGAATCAAGGTGAGCCCGAGCTGCCACGCCACCTGCTCCGCTGACACGGCCGTCATGCTGCGACAACATCTTGCTAACCGCTGCGCTTGTTTCCCATCTCACCAGACAAGAGCTCATTCAATGGCTCAACAGCCTGCTCCAGCTCAACATCACCAAGGTCGAGCAATGCGGCACAGGGTCAGTCCTCGACGTCCACCTCCCCGCCCCCGACAAAGCTGCAAAGGTTGTACTGACGCGTCTGGCATCTCCCAACACAGAGCTGCGCTTTGCCAAGTCTTTGACAGCATCTTTCTCGACCTGCCCATGCACAGGGTCAAGTTCAACGCCAACACCGACTACCAATACATCCAGAATTTCAAGATCTTGCAGAGTCAGTCTCCTCTCCACTCCCTGCTCGAGCTTTGTGTGGCGGCGTTACGGAACGCACTTTGACCCAAGCCCCGAGCCGTACAGGCAGTACGCCTAGAGACGTTTCTAATCATGCCTTGTCGTAAATCTCACAGACTGCTTCGCGAAGTACAAGGTCGATAAGCCAATCCCCGTCGAGGCCTTAGCGAAATGCAAGATGCAGGACAACCTCGAATTCCTCCAGTGGGCCAAGCGCTACTGGGACCAGCACTACCCTGGCGGCGACTACGACGCTCCCTCGCGGAGAAAGGGCGCGGCTGCCCTACCCGCCACCGGCGCTGCGCCGCGGGTCACCAGTGCGGCTGGTGCCCGGCGCGGAGGCACGACACCAACCACGACTGGTCCCCGCGTCGGTCGTGTCGCTGGTGCTGCTGCCGGTGGTGGTGCAGCGTCAGCTGCGCTCCTCAGCGAGAACGCCACCCTCAAGGAGACTGTTGTCGGACTCGAGCGCGAGCGCGATTTCTACTTCAGCAAGCTGCGTGACATTGAGCTGCTGGTCCAGCAGGCCGTCGAGGAGGACCCGGAGCTGGAGAAGCAGGAGGATGGCCTCATCAAGCACATCCAGACGATACTGTACTCGACCGAGGAGGGCTTCGAGATCCCGGCAGAGGGCGAGGGTCTGGACGACCAGGAGACTTTCTAAGTGTCTGTGAAGCCAAATGGCCTGCAGCTCCGGCATTTGCCATCTTTCGTGACAGCCCTCCAAGGACGGTGAAGTACGTGCAGAAGCTGTCATCAGCTCCGCACCACGTAACCCCGGGGAAGGCCTGGTGGGCAGGCATTCAGGCGGCGCTAGCGTACATGTTTCCTATACACGCCAGGAAAGGGATGAAGACTTCTTTTCTGAGTAGTCCTTGCGAGGGCCTGCTCTCCTTTTAGCAAAAACATTACGAGTGCACGATATCATCGACATAATACCAATAGAGACTGGGTGGCTCATCCTGCACATACCTCCACGGACAAAGTTCTCTCTCTCTCTCTCTCTCTCTCTTCATAGCGACCACATTGGATCTTCTGAGTACTGGTTGATGATGACGTGATCTCATGAAAGCCTCGATGAAACGCGGCGTGCATGTACACGAATGTCAAGTCTGCCCCGTCCATGCACAGACATCTCGACGTATCGCGGTCAAGGATGTGTCAGAAAACCGAGCAGACTAAGGAAGATATCAGGCATGCAAGGCACAACCATCGCCCTTTATGGTCAAGTAGTAAAAGAGGCAAGTCAATTTTTTGGCCCGATTCTCTAAAGCAACACAGCAAAATCCCACCCTCACGCATGTGAATCGAAACATACGAAGACCCAATCAACCCAGGCAATGCCTCTGTGAGTCCTAGCAGACCATTTCGCCAGAGGAGTATATACAGATAGATTTTACGCCATTTTGTCAAAGCTTGGGCCGTGGCTTTTCTATTTCCCCGAACTGTTACGGGAAAACACCGGCGTCTTGACCAGACACCCCCAAAAAGCACGATGCCGCCATGCCACGCCTGTAGCGCGGCCCTGCGAGGAAAAAAAGGAAAAAAAGAAAGCCACACCAGGAGATTGAAGTGAGTTCTAGTCGTCGTCACGCGACAGCGCAATCTGCTTCGTGACCATGATACCGCCGTTCATATCCCGCGAGCCGCCGTGCCTGCCGTGCGGCTTGATGATGATGCGCGTCTGGCTTTCGGTGTCAAAGCTGTCCTCGTCGTCGCCGCTGCTCGAGCCGCTCCGGCTTTTCTTGACGGCGTTGGCAGTGCGGTCGTGTGTGCCGTAGCCGGCGCCGCTCGAGTCGTCTCCGGGACCGCCAGGTCCGACGGTCACGGACAAGCCCGTCTTCATCTCGTACACGGTGTCGCATTCCTCGTATGTCCGGCGCGAGTTGCTGGGGAACCCATAACCTCCAGAACTCCCGCCGGCGACGCCTGCCTTTCCGCCTGTTGCTCCTCCTCCTGTCATTCTTGTTGACACTTCGCCACCCAGGCTGAACACTCGGCGAAAAAGTGGACGGAGAGTCGCCATGCAGCCGACAATCAAGCCGAGGCCGTCTAGATGGGCATTGTGAGCATTGAGAATAACGGTTTTCTTTTGGCGTGAGGATTCCAATACTTACTCTCAGCATAACCCCAAATCACTATGTCGGCGAGGGCGTCTACAACAATCCTTGGTAAGCAGGCGAACAACTGGACAAGACCTACGCATGCTTTAGCTTACCGAGGTAATTTTCTTGCTCAGTAAGGCCAATCGTGTACTTGAGTCGAACACAAGCGGACAGCGATGCAAAGAAGCCCAACCCAAGCACGCCAGCGACAGAGATCTTCGCGTTGCGGTTCAGCTTGACGTTCCATAGAAGAGGAATAGGCATGAAGGCGGTGACCCTGCTCTCAGAGTCAGTATGATAATTAGTCGTGGTCATAGGATAGATTTCATACCAGTCAGTGAAGATGTTCACGGCAGTAGTGGCGTCTAAGGTGTATCACAATAGTCAGCATGACGCTTGGGAATCTGAACGCTGCGCTGTGGTGAAGCGTACAGTAGACATTGACAAGCCAGTCTTGAGGGTTACAACGGCCCCCTTTTTGAAGAAGACTGAGGTCCCAGGCAGCTGCAACGGGACTGCAGTGGAAAATGATGAAGCCGCCTACGCTCACTCATTAGTATGAACTGTTGTTTTCTGACAACCGGGGGGTCCCTTACAAGCAATGACATTCATGGTTGTGAACATGGCCATGACGCCATATTGAATGTATACATAGACTTTGCGATTCTGTATCCAATAGCCGAGCGTCAGCGATCATATCCCTTTTCTTTTTCGCAACGACACGGGTCGCATATAACTCGGAGACACTCCGAGGCCTCAGTCCGCGTACCTTGGCAATTCTGACAAGCATTAGACCGATAGAGATTTTGACTGGTATGATGTTGACACAATAGAAGACTTCGAAGAGGAAAAACCACTAAAGCGTGCAATTCTCGTTAGCGTGACGCCGCCGGGTAACGATTCGGGACTGCGATTGAGAAGCTTTGGGACTTACGAACAAGCCTATCTCAGTATACTGCTGATATTGTGGCAACGCCAAAGTTGCCGCCTTGACGCCGATGCCAGTGAATCCACACGCTATACAAGCGATGGATAACACTGTGAAGAATGGCAGCGCAGCCGCCATCGACCAATCCTCAATACCCCATACGGCGTAGCGGAGGCGAGTATAAAGGCAATTACTACACGGGCATGAAGAATTGCTACCCGGGCATGACTCTTACACGGGCATGACTTCTATCGCCTCTGATTCGCTCATTTTTTTCCTTCGACCCACAGGTACATCAGTGCAAAGGCGGTGAAGCAAGCTCTCTTAACAAGGCCGTGCTTTCGGTATAGTCAGAACCAACCAGGTCAACCAGGCCTCTAGAACAGGTCTTAGGCGTATATCAAAACAAGGTCTGGTTTTCAATACAGAACACGGCCAATTCCAGCACGCCCTAGAGGGCAGCTATCTATATCTCTATCCTCTAACTACTATAGATGGAAGAACCTCCTCGTCGCTGTAAAGCAGCTCCCACTGACTCCTTCGCCTGCGAATGCTAGATTGCGTCTTCCGTCCGTTGGCACGTACTCCTGTAGTTCTTCCAGCTCCAAGAACAGCTGACCGGCTGCGCGTCTGGCGCTGGGATGAGGCACTGGCCTGGCTACTAGCCTGGCTGCTGGCCTGTTGGCTCGCTTCCAGAGCAAGCCTAGCTAGCGTTGACTTGTTGTGACTTCCTGGTGGTCGACCTCGTCTGCGCCCTGTCGCTTGGCTTGTTGGATTGCTGGCTCGTTGGCCACTCGGCTGGCTGCTTGCCTCAATGGCTAGCCGCGCTGGAACAGCCTGTGTGGTGTTCTTAGGTCTGCCACGGAGAGCAGTGGCGATCTTAGGGTCGAGGATTCGTCGGTATGGATCTCGAGAGGATGGCTCTCGTAGGCGCCACCGAGGATGGACCTCCCATTTGGTGAGAGGCGTGCCACTCACCAGCTTTGAGTAGATTGTGTGGCAGCAGGGGATTCCAAGCTCGGTCGAAACCGAGCAGTCCTCACTGCAATCGCCAATGGGGTCAGGGAACAGATTCTTCCCCGTCGGCATTGCTTTCCTTGCTAGCCGATATTGTTTGTTGATAAGCCCGAGACCCTTCGAAGAGAGTGCTGTCCGGGGTTCGCCTAGATACTCCGAGCTGGACCCTATGTACTCTCGCGCGGTAAGTACCTCGTCCGCTGCGCAGGCGTCGTTGAAATCTCGCTCCTGGTCCTTCATCATGTCCTGCATAGCCTCGATAAGCCGATAGAGATTGCTCATACCATTCAGGAGATAGCTCTTGATGTTGTTGTTGCTTGCTTCTGTCCCAGATGTGACGCGTATGCCGAAGTTGCGATAGTTGCGAATGAAACATCGTGCCCACTGCGCCCTGACAGGCATGTAGGTTCCATGGAGATACCGCAGGATGGCCCGCTGATCGTCAAATTCCCTACAGAGGCTTCCCCACGCCTTCTCGTGAGCCTCCTCTGTCTCCGCAAACAAGACGACCTTCCACATCATGAGAACCCCTCGATGGCTATGAGGGACGACTTCAGCTGTCTGCGCGTTGACCAACTGTCCGTCTTTCGGGCCGAGCTCAGCCTGTGCCTGTGGAGCGTAGTCCTCCCCGTTGCTGCTGTCGGGACTACTACTGCTACATTGGCCCTTGACCCACTTCTGCTTTGACTTGAGCAAGACGTTAGAATTGATGTGGTGGATGCACAGCTGCTGCTGTGCATCAGGGAACTGATCATTCAGGGCGGCCTTCATCTGACCGTCGAAGTCAGTAATGATAACGTCCGGTTGGCGAATAGAGTGCTGCTCTGAGATCTGTCGAATGCTCTCAGAGAGGAACTGGAACCCCTCCCGTCTCTCGTTGTCGATCAGACCGAACGCCGCATTGTAGACAGAACCAAGGCAGGTCTGTCCTGTTGCTTGGAATAATGGAAGCTTGAAGCGGTTGGTGTTGTATGTGTTGTCGAAGCTGATGACCTCAGGAAACCGCTTCCACATCTGGAGGCAGTACGGAAAGGTCCAGACAAGACCGACGAGGCGGTTTGGCTCATCATCCGCCCACTTAACAAGATAGGGAATCTCCATCTCGTCGAACAGCTTGATCAGTGCTGCAGTAGGAGTGTGGCCGCTCAACTTGTCTCGACTGATACGAGACCTGGCGTTATAGATATCCTTTCGTGTAAAAGATGACTCGGGATGCTGCTCCAGGACGATCGCGCGTACGTCACGGGCCCGAATTCCGACCCGACGGCTTGTCGATTCGACTGTTGCCCTGATAGGTGTAGTGAGTCGTCTGTGGGAGGGATGGGCGGATGGTTTGATACTGGCCCGGTGGTTATGCTGGCTATGCTCGGAATTATCGTGGTGTCGTAGAAGCCATCTACCCTCCTCCAGTGCTTCGGCAATGACCATCCATTTACAACCACACTTTCGAGACTTCCGTTGCCGAATACCGGTACTCTCTGAGGGGCGTGGTTCTCCGAATCGATCGCATTGGAAAGAGTACCGGATCTTCCGACCCTTATATGAGTAGGCATTTCGTCGAACAATACCGAAGCCATTAGCCTTCGCGAAAGTATTCACCCACTCGAACAGGACTTCGGCTGACGGCGCTGGGTCGTCTGGGATAGGTGGGTTCGGGATCGGGTCAGGGACAGGCGACAAGGGGTGGTCGGGCGAGGGCGGCGAGGCGATAGGCGGAGAGTGCCTTTCTCGGGGAGGCGAGTATGGCGGAGATGATTCGAATGGAGTTGAACTGAGCGGCGAGTAGCCCCATATCTCGCGCCATTGGCGGACTCGTTCGTATGACCGGACGAGCTCGATGGTAAGTCTTCGATCTGTCCCAATCACCTCGCGCACTAGCCTAAGGGCGGACTGAAACTGGGGTCTTGTTGGAGAGAATTGTTCTTGTGCTGATTGTTGTGGAGAGCAGGCAGGTGGCTGGTCGATTTCCGGGCCTGGTATAGGCATTCTTACTCGTTGCGACCGTCTTCCTCGGGTTGGGAAATCATTCGATAGGTGAATCTCATGATCGAATCGCAGCTCCCATGGTGGCTCGTTCAGCCCACGCGATCCATGGGGGCGTGGAGCGGTCGTGAAGGTCTCTGGGTACGAGGCGAAAGCATTACAGAGTGCCTCGTCGTCTCCCACGCCATAGTGTGGGCCAATGCTCGTCCCTGTGCTATTAGACGAAGGTGGTCTTGAACTCTCAGATTGGTTCTGCCGCTGTCGTTTTCGAGGACGTAATTGATAGCTTCGAAGTCGTTGGTTGCTTGCTGAGCTAGATCGAGAGCCGGGCTGGGACATAATGACGGCCTTGATCGCGACAGGAAGAGTGTCGCACGCACGGATGAGCGCATGGTTAAAGGGGCAGTTGATTTGACTATGAAAGAAGGAAAGAGGGGACCAATTTCAGCACAAAGGAATGACCTGCTTTGTGATGCAGATGCCTTGGAAGATGAGGCTATTGGATATTCCTGATACAGCGTGTGTTTGAGTGTTGGTCTCAGCAGGGGGCCTAACACACCACGCCTGGAGCCCTGGGACCTTGACAAATATGGTATCTTTCACGAACAATCATTATCAGTAGGCTTGACATGCGACAAGAGGTAATTGGTGTAGTAGCTAGCTAGTGAATAGCTTCCATATGTCTCGTCGATCGTCGTGGTGGAGAGCTAATCCCGAGGTACAAGGGAAGCGTTGGCAGAATCTAGATGCACTAACAAAAAGGGATGGACCAATCAGAGGCTGCAAAAGGTCATGCCCGTGTAAGAGTCATGCCCGGGTAGCAATTCTTCATGCCCGTGTAGTAATTGCCACTAAGAAACATGTCTTCTGTCGGGCCAAAGTCTTTTCCGCGGCCACAGGAAGCTTGAGACCCATAATAATTGCCTTAGTCAACCAATGGAAGCAGAGACGCAACTTAGCATGTAACGCGGACAGGATTCAGCTCGCGACGCACTGCTCAGAGTACCGTCTCGGCAATTCCTAATTCCGGCATTGAAGGCGCTGGGACTCGGCTCTAGGCATTCAGCCGCTTTGGATGGTTATAAGACTGAGCCGAGCCTTCAGCCCCATCGGAACGTTGGACGAGGCTGAGCAAAGCTTTCAGCTTAGATGTTTCAAGATTGAGGGGAGATATGATTGCGATTAATAGAAGGCTGTCCCGCCCACTAAGAGAAGAGCTCAACGCTTCTGGTCTTATACCCGATTCCTATCCTTCTAGACCCGTTGGACTCCTCTACTTAAACGCGGCCGGTGCACCCCACCCAACTTATTCGTAATGAAAGACGGTAGGCTCGCCAGCGTGGCCTCGACAGCCCTTCAGGGCGTGGCGTTCGTACTCCTCCTGCTTATCCCTATCTTCTCGATCCACTCGGACCCAAATCACCTTTCCGCGCTACAGTTCGTAACCATTGATGCGTCCAAGACGCGCCTGAACCCCGCTGGCGGTATCGCGCTCGTCAGCCTACCTGATGTCAACGACTACCAGCGCCATAAGCAGGTGTTCCAGATATACCTCTTCAACTACTGTAGCGGCAGCTACCTGGCTGACAGTAGGCTGGTTATTGACTTTTGCTCCAAGAATGGCCATGAGATCTGGAGTATGATGAGCGTATGAAGTCTCTGGGGCGTACAGCTGCGTCCCGAGCTCGCGGGTAAGGAGGCTTTTGAGTGGGTAAGAAAGGGCCCTAATTGGCTCTGGATCCTGTACATCGCTGGTATTGCTGCCCTAGGCGTCAGCGTTCTAGCGCGGGTTGTGAGACTCTATCGAATCCAGCTCGCGAGGCATCTCCCGGCGGGCTTCGCTGTAGTAAGTCGCAATTATAGGAACTGGCCCTTTCTTGCTAACGACTGACGATCTATTGGCACAGATCGCCGCCGCTTGCTCCATTGCCGTCGCCGTTGCTGCGCAAGTCACCTACGGCTCGCTCGTAGCCAAGGCCGACGATGACGAAATATCCATTACGGCGCAGATGGGCTTGGCCGTGTACGTGATCAACTGGGTAGCAGCCGGCTGTGCCCTTGTCGCTTGCGTCCTGCGCTTCGTAGCAGACCGACAGGTTCGCAGCGGAGGGAAGTCGGGCAGGGGTGGTCGCGGTGGCTTCGTCCGGATCTCGCCCGACGAGGTCGAGACCGAGTACAAGTATAGCAAGAGCAGAAAGGGGGATATGCCGTGCACCGACGCCTTGATGGTGCCGTCGCCACCAGGCGCTGTGTGCGATACGTCCCGTGACGTATCGCGGAATGTGTCGACAGACAATCTCGCTACATTAGGTAGCAATCCTGGCGACGGCAAGTTTGAGCCCTACCGCTCTGCCAATGTGTAGATAGAGATGTAGCACAACTATGCTCTCGTGGGGATCACTTGATGCTATACTTTAGGGTGAAAGCGGTAGTGATATGGATCTTCGATGGATGAATCTACCCTGCGGGCTCCTTGCCAAGGATATAGTGCAGCTTCACCGCTTGGTCGGCCACGGACGTCGTGCATCTCTAGGCGTCGAAGCCATCTGCGCGCATGAGAATGATGTTGTCGCCGTGTTCGAGTCGGTCGGATCATCGCATACGCCGCCATCGGCATTATCGAAAGCCCGACCCAGTCATACAATGCTGGGATCTCTCCTGGCGCCATCAGGAGCCTCCTCTCATGGTCCATCATGATGGTCATGGCTCTTGGCAACCTCTGGGACATAGGCATGTCTTGAGCCTACGCCGGGGAAACCTCAGATAAGGGCTGGATTATCCCGACATGCATGTAGCTGATTCCCGTAGTCCTCTTGCTCGCCTGGATCCCGTGGACGCCATAATACCCTTACTGGCTTATCGTCGAGGGTCGCAAGGAGGAGGCCAAGCTGCCTCTCGACCGTCTGCGGTTCACCGAGAACGTGCAGAATGGCACCACTGAGCTAGAAAGCCTCTGCGGCAGCGTCGGCTGGGCATTCCTGTTATACCTTGCTGCAGGGCTCGGCACAATACGCAACCCGGATCAGGACGAAGTCAACACGGTCGTCGCCTCCTTCATGCTGCTCCCGACACTGATCCGCTTCGCAGCGACCAATAATGCTTTCCTCACTGGCGCCGAGATGGGCGGCGCGCATCTGATAAAAGAAATCATGGCAAGCACAGAGACAGTCTCCAATCACTCCCACTCTCTGCACTGCGAGGACATTGCAATGGTTAATTGACCAAGCTCTTTGTTACAACGGCGAAGTCAGCGGCGCGTTCCTCGTAACCTTCGTAGACCGCTGCTTGCTGCCCAGAATGAGCTTCGGAACAAGCTCAAGTTTAGAATGGTGGTTTAGGGGCTCTGTTGCGAGCACGGGCGCCGGTACGGAGAAAATGGGAAAGGAGGTCGTTGCTGGCCCGTGGCACGTCGATAAATGATCGGCAATCGATGGATCCTAGAAGTTTTCCCTGGATTTCGACTCATCCTATGGACAGCGTTCGAGATGGTGAGCGTGAAGGTCTTCACCCTAAGACCTGCGATCATCGGCAGTTATGGACATGGCAAGGTGTCGTTGTCACACGCAGGCTGCATGTTATCATTCATACTTGAACGACGCGTCACCTCGCCAGTACCCTTTGAGATATAGCTATATATTATATATCGAACCGATAAACCCCCTATCACTTCCCGATGGTTAAGAACAGCCGATCTCCCACATCCCCGAGCCCAGGCTTCAGCATGCCCTTGTCCGTCAGCTCGGCATCCACGCCCGCGACGTAGAACTGCGTGCCCTCGCCCCACTGCTGGGCCGCGCGCCTCAGGCCCTCGGCGGCCGCGATGACGCTGAGCACCACGATGCGCTGGACGCCCCACTCGCGGAGCGTCTGGATCGCGGCGGCGCAGGTCCCGCCCGTCGCGATGACGGGGTCCACGACGATGGCGAGCTCCGAGGGCCCGCCGGCGGCGTGCTCGGGGGAGGTGGCCGAGGCGGAGGGCGAGATGGCCAGGTGGTTTGGCAGGTTGTTGTAGTACTCTACCGATGTGAGTGTGGTGGGATCACGGTAGAGGCCCAGGTGGTGGACTGGGACCGAGTCGGGTAGGAGTTGTTGGACGGCTGATGAGAGCGGTCAGTGGACAGTGATGAAGGATGCAATCGCCGATGGTATTGGAAGGCGTGGGCAGGCGGGAGATGGGTGATGGGGTTATAGAGTCCGAAGACCGCCGCTTACCTTCTATCATCCCCAAGCCCGATCGCAAAATTGGGACGAGGGAGATACTCCGCGGACTTATCGTTGTGGTGGTGTACTCGAAGCCCATGGGCGTCGTGTCCTGCCATACAAGCGAAGCATCAGTACGAATCTTCAAGCGCCACTCATCCAAGAGCATGGCTCTCGACAGTCATGCGCCAGTTCCCGGTGGTGACAATGATAGGCGAAACGCAGACAACTACCGTACCATCGGCCCATCGGCAGCCGTCAGTGAGGTGGCAAATGCCTCACAGGCAATGATGCTCGCGATGTCGTGCACGAGCGTCTTCACCTCACGCGCCGGGGTGCTTTGGGACCGCAGCCTGGAGAGTTTCGCCAGCACGCATGGGTGGATCGAGACGTGTACGTTGGGAGGCAGCGTCATTTCTGGTGCGATAAGGCTTCGCCGCGGTTGTGGAAATCTGGTGAAAAGCAATGTTCTGTTCGGCAGATTGACCCGTCTGATTTACGCGAGCACGAGCCTACGGGATATCAAGCCGCGAGTGGTGGACGTAGTGTGTCAAAGGTAATTGACAAGACGCGATTGAAAGCTTGTAGACGGCGGGACACGCAAGTGGTGGCGATGATGGAGCTCCCCCAACGGTGAGGGGCAAGCAGGTCAGAATAGATAAGCTCCGAGCCCCGGGCAGGCCGCGCGCCAAACTTATAAGCTCACCTCCCTTTCGGAGCTTGCCGTCGCTTGCATGAACGAGAGGGGTCAATCCTGCTAGCTGTGCTGAGCAGAAACACCCCAGAGCCACCACTAAGGCTATGGGCATTTACATCGCAGCAACACATGTCACATCCCAGTCTAGGTGTGGCAGCGGAAATCGTAGTCGTCTGCACTCTTCATTTGCAACTCATTCCGCTCCACTACGTCCTGGTACAGCTTGAGGTCCATGGCATTGCGAACCCCGCAAGGGGCTGGTTACTGAATTTTTGACCAGCCTCAGTCAGGGCCGTGATGCCATCATGGGTTAGAGTTTCAACGCTTTGATAGGGCAAGGATTGTGTTCGCACCGAGTAATTTGAACAAAGAACCCACTGAAAGAGCCAAGTTTGTTTGAGCCTTGCACGATAATCACCTCATCGTGGTCTACATGGACTTCGAGGCCTTAATTGTTCCTGTATTTCGAAACAGTCATAGATGATACGCCTCTGCATGTGTATGTATACACACGAGGAATGATAGCTCTATCTGATCTGTCCTCTGCTCTCCCGTACTTTCGTATTTCGGTATGTCCATTATAGCCTCGAGTCGGCAGTCATGATGCCAATAGGAAGGACGCTGTCAGCCCTCTAGTGGCGGTACTTCGCCATGTACTCCGGGACCTCGTTGGTGACTCCTCCATCGGCAATGCTGACCTCGAGCTACAAGAAAAGTGAATTAGATATCACCCAACGGGAACAGTGCGGTGTCAGAGTCGCCAGGGCTCCGCAAACTTTCCACGGAAGTCGCCTAGACGTTGTCTTTCCCACAGGCCAAATAATTTCCACCAAGCACTTCAAAGTTGAAGGAGTCGCCTGCCTATTTCATTGGGGCGGGCCGGGTGCGAGGGGGGGAGGGGGGTGGAGGCGACCATTCTTCGTTCCTCATAGGCAAGAGAAGACTTACCACTTCATTGTACTGCTCATCTGACAGCTCCGTGAGATTATACTCGGTACCGTCGCCAAGGCGGAGGAGATCAGGCCGCTGGCACGGCCCATTGGTATCGGCGCCCACAGTCTCTGCCACCTCGTCCTCCCGCTTCCAGTTACGGAAACTATACCCCGAGCCGGTCACCTGTTTAGAGGCGCTAGGGCGACACATGGCGACTGAGCCACGGCTTTCCCCGATCTCAACAATAGGGCCGCATAAACTGCTGTCCCTTCTGTGCGCCCGCAACTCAAGGTTCCATTCCTTAGGTATGTACTGCAGCTTCGCGCCCCAGAAATCCCTGCCGTCGGCGCAGCAGGTGTTTGGGTTGACCCCGGTGCAAAAGACAGCCACGCCCGCACAATTCTGGTCGACCATAAGACCGACGTCGACGGCCGCGGCGCGGCTGGCCAAGGTGGCAACGGCCATAAGGGCGGGGAATGTCACATGCATTTTCGAAGTAATGGTTTGGATGGTGATGTGCCGTAGAAGTGGAATGTCCAGATGGAGGGCGCTGTGAGGAAATGTTCAATCTGTCCGTACGGCGAGTGTGCTGGCTTTATAGTCTGAATTCTCATCCCGGTTCGATGGCAAGATGTACAAGGAAGACTTAATAGTACGTATAAGTCTAGAGCCAGATCTCTGCGGGCCGCCACTCAGAACGGAAGGACATCCCCTTCAGTTCGATCGTGAGTGTTTTTACCACACTCAGCCGAGCAGGCGGCGGAGTACTTCTGAGCTTGACATCAATTCCCGAATCGGACTTCTGAGATCAAGATGGGTATGCAACGTGGTCAACTTCTGACTGGCTGTACAGATGAGCAAGCGATCCTGAAATACAGGCCAGCCCTGCAGGACGGATGCTACCGCAGATGCGATTGTCCAATCCAGGCATGTTGCCGATTTCGGCAGCGGCTCAGCCCTGTACCTGAATCCTTTAGATTGAGCCCTGGCTTTGGAAGGATCATATGCAACTGAATAATAATGTGGGGGTGCTTTTGTTCTTCGCAAAAGCCCTGTGACCCTCCGGGGGCAGTACTGTGATATGGAGTCGGCATGGCGAAGCGGGGAGCCGTGATTGGCTCAATCCGCGGTGGAAGTCTTCAGATTGACCAACGACAAAATCCTGTGGGATTCTGCGTTTGTGGTCATGCGTAAGTCCCTGAACACGAGGGAACCAAGGGGCTTCCTATCAGACGACATACGCTGATGATAGCTGGCTGCATCCTGAGCACAAGGTAACACACGGCCTCACTCAATTCACCAACCTGGAGTCTAAAGGCGCAATCTAGGTACCGAATTTCCTCGCTTACGCCCCAACCATATATCATTGTTGGCACACAGATACGCCGCCCACAGCAGCAGCTGCAAATCTCGGTGATTCAGCAATATTGTGCCGTTCTGGGGAATAGCATACAGAATTTGGATTGGCGCAATGGAGCCGAGATGTTGATTACATAAGCGGGAAGCACCCAAGCACTTGCATCCATTTCTCGCGCCACGGCTCAATCCGGACGCGACTTTCCCACCAGTCGAGATGCCACAGCACTGCACACGCAGCCAAGCATGATGCAGCAGTTGTGATGTCCTGATCCGCATCATGCATCCCGCGACCGCTGAACTTGTGACGGAGACTCACAGCGGCGCCAAGCCTATCAAGCATGACGAGGGCAGTTGGCCTGGTGCACAGTCTCCTAAACCTGGATGCGCGTCGTCATCCTCGGATCGACGTCGCCCGACGGCCCATCTATCGCGCACACAGTCACTTGTCGATGGGGGCTACCAGCTGCCTGAGGACCTCTCAAATGTCGAAGACGCCCAGGTGAACTCGCCGCTCGAGTCACCAGCGGAACCCCGGCGCTCGGTCCCGGCCGCCCGGCTTGGCACTCCGTCTTCCCAGCCAAACCGCGAGCCAGACCCGGCCGGACCCCCCGGTACGCCCGGCAGGCCGCCGGTCACCACCATCTCCGGGCCGCTTGCAGAGCTCTATACCATCTCGTACCTCGGCTTCTTCGCCATTCTCGGCACCCTTGCCCGCCTGGGACTGCAGGCCCTCACCACGTACCCCGGTACTCCAACCATCTTCAGCTCCCTCTGGCCCAATTTTGCAGGATGTCTCGTCATGGGCTTCCTCGCAGAAGATCGCAAGCTGTTTCTGCACGAATGGGGCATCCTCAGATCATCAGGCGGCGAATCTCGGAAAGATTCCGACCATCCGGCAGCGATACTCGCCGCGAGGAAGGCACATCTCGCCGTCAAGAAGACCATCCCGCTGTACATCGGCCTGGCGACTGGTTTCTGCGGCTCCTTCACCTCCTTCTCGTCGTTCATGCGCGACGTGTTCCTCGCTTTGTCCAACGATCTCCCTCCACCCGGCGAACCCCAAAGCACCACAATACCCAGGAACGGCGGGTACTCGTTCATGGCCCTCTTGGCAGTCCTCATAGTCACGATCTCCCTGTCGCTCAGTGGGCTGTCCATGGGCGCACACCTCGCCATCGCTATCGGGTCTTACACGCCGTCCATCTCATTTCGCGTCATGAGCAAGGTTCTCGACCGCACAGCCGTGATCCTGGCCTTCGGATGCTGGCTCGGCGCCGTCCTGCTCACCGCACTCCCACCGCACAACGACGAGTATTGGCGTGGCACCGCGACGTTTGCCCTCGTCTTCGCGCCCCTGGGCTGTCTGCTGAGGTTCTATATCTCGGCCTGGCTCAACAAGCGCCGCGCCTCGTTTCCCTGGGGCACTTTTGCAGTCAACATTCTCGGCACGGCGGTCTTGGGCATGGCATGGGATATACAACATGTCCCTGTTGGTGGCGTCTTGGGCTGTCAGGCACTTCAGGGCATCGAGGATGGGTTCTGCGGGTGTCTGACGACTGTGTCGACGTGGGCCGCGGAGCTCGTCTCGCTGCGCAGACGGGACGCGTATGTGTATGGTGCGGCGAGCGTCGGGGCTGGGCTGGCCGTGATGGTCGCGGTGATTGGTGGGTTAAGGTGGACGGAGGGCTTTGCAACGATACAGTGTGTGCATTAGAGGCTTTCTTCCTGGAAGAGGCGGCCAGCGCAATGCTTACTGGCAACCTTTCACATACAATCACACATCTTCAATACGTATCCCGCCTGCCGTGTCATTTGGATCGCATCAACATGGGTCTAGTCTTGCCTGCTCTTGTTTTCAACATGACTGTCTCCGTGTCAGCCTAAGACGTTGAGGAGAGACGGTTCCGTAGCGGGAAGGACGCCATGGTCCGAGTCGAACCGCACGCTGCGAGCATGCTACTGCTACTCCAGACCGAACGAGGCCCCGGGCGTGCGCGACCAGCTCCTAGGCCCAAATGACCTGCGGACAACAGCCTGCGCGACGGACGCCGACTGTCCAAACGGGCAGGCTTGCTCTAACCGTTCATATACTTAGCCTACCCACGGCAAAGTGGCTTGCGTGCTGGTCTCTGCTTGCAGCTCGACTCATACCCCACACCAGAAGAAGAAGAAGAAGAAGAAGAAGAAGAGGGACTCTTTGGCGCAGCCTGACTGGGTTCGGCACACGCGAGATGCGTGTCGGTCGGATGCAGTATTAATGCGGGCGTATATCTTGATCCCATTCCGCGCAGTATTCTGTGTATGCACCCGACAGTGTCTGTAAGCTTACAAAGACTGCACTCTACTTTCGTGATGCCTCATACACAATGACAGTGATGTGCAGTCTTATTCTCGGGCTCCTGCGTGTTTCACAGCGCTCACTCTGATCTCCAGGCTGTTTTTAAAGTCGAGCCACGTGTTTGGCGGGAAGCTTCTCGCCTCCTCCATCTTGCGTACCCGCTGTCGCAGATCCTCCACGATGGCCCTGTGCCTCGCACATGCACCTCCCCCTCCTCCCGCTCCTACTCCTCCCCGCTGTACCCTCCAGAAGCCCGGGTGCCGTTTAACCCGGGGGAAGGCGCGCCTCTCAGCCTCGGTCAGCTCGCCGTGCTGGATCAGCAGGTTCGTGTCCGGCCCGCCGAGGAGCAACGGCACGAGTAGTTGGGTGAGTCTGGTTTTCACCACCACCACGTCGAACAAGCACATGTTCTCGGGCTCATATACAGGCTGGTGCCAGTCAGTGGTGATGGCCATGGCGATGATGACGGCTGGTCTGATGACCGCGGACGGGCTCTTGGGGTCGAGTTTGCGCTGCTGTTCCTTCTCAAAGGCCCGGATCCGGCGGGCCGCCTCGATGCCGTCGATCGTGGGTAGTGTCATGTCTTGACGTTTCGAGGAGGTCAAGCTTCAAGTCAGTCTCCGAGACTAAGAAAATCAAGCGCTCGCCGGTGTTTTGACAGGTTTGCCATGTCAAGAATGACGTCAGGAGGCGCACTCACCCATCAATATGCATCTGTACCGGGCGGGATTGGCCATGTACATATCTACTGCCTTCTCCCCATCGTCCGCGATGTCGACTTCTTGGCCGTGCAAGTTCATCAATTTCTTGAATATCTGTGGAAGTAAGATGTCGAGAATCAGCCGGTAAAGCTTTTTCATTGTCTTTTCCCAGGTCCTTATTACAAATGTCGCTCCCCCATTCCGACAGGTTTCACCTGGTAATGCGATTCATCCAGTCTGCAGGGGGAAAGGTAGATCTGACTTGCCTTCTGCATGATCACGTTGTCCTCGGCCTGAAGATACACAATCCCCTCCTCTGGCGGCCCGCGCGTAGACGCAGCACAGTCGACAGCCTTTTCCCAGGCTTTGAGCGTGTCAAACAGTCGTGACGACTCATTACCAGCACCAGCACCATCAACATCATCAACATCACCACAGTCTCGATCGCTCTCAATAATCTCCTCTGGGGTCGCTTGGAACGCATAATGCAGCACCTGGCGGTCACAAAAGTCCGCCTCGCGCACTCCCAGGATCCTTGCCGGTTCTGGCAGTAGCACTTCCGCGCCGGCGCTGCGGGCATTCACGCTCGCGTAAATCGACGCCAACGAGCTCGACAAGGCCGCCGACGCTACCGCGAGCCGCGGTGATGATGATGATGATGGCTGGCCGACCCAAAAGTCCCGCCTGTACAGCCCCGTCACGACCGAGCCGTGCTTGAGCGGCTGCGGCCCTGGCGGAGGTGGCGGCCGTGCGCGCAAAGCACTGAGCAGTCTGTCCTCTGCGGTGCCCCGTGGCGCTGGGCAGACTGCTGCGACTTGTGCCTCGGCGGGTGTCATGATGGCGTCGGGGGGTTTGAAGCACGAGGCCCATGAGACGGAGGCGGCGGGAAGGTCGTCGTCGTCGTCTGCCTGCTGGCCGCCGCCGGCCGGGACGGGCCGCGCGTCGCCTATCAGAGGACGCACAACATCCATTTCATCGTCGAGAGCCCTGCGGAAGATGGTTCCTTCTGAAGATGAGGCTTTTGGCGGTGCGGTGGTGGCCCGACCTGGGAGGATTCAAGATGATGGATGGGGTGGGCTGTGCCGTCAGCCCGATAAGGCTGCTGCATCCCGGCTGTGTGATCCGGGAGGGGTGGGGGCTGGTGCCTAATCCATACATTTAGCTTCATTGCACGCAACGTCGCTGTTCTAGCACTCCTGTCAGCCAGATTCCAAGCGACGAGGCTGTGCATCGACACTTTTCGAACCCATTTACACATTCGTGGTTTTATCTTAGAACGAAAAGCTATCGCACATCCAAAAGGGTTCGCCTGGGGTCGACAAAGCCTCACCTCGCAGAGTTTCATTCCCTCACCAGGGGTCGGTCGCGAATAGCGCTGTATCCATCATGCAAGCGACGGCTGATTGTCAAATACGCCGACGAGTTCGGAGAGGATGCGAGATGTCAGATCTCGAAAAACCATCAAGCAGGGTTCCGTGGATTCTGATCCGTGACTTGACGGCCGAACGGTGTCTTCCACATTTGAATGCTTGTAAATGCAACGCCATACATCTCCGATGTGTGTGAATACAGCCGATCTATAACAAGTCCAGCCTGATGCGACAACAAGCTGGACCGTAAAGGGCAAGCGATACAATCCACGGGAGCTTCCCAATGTTTCCCCATGCCTGGAAGCCCAAACATCTACATCGCTCGTGCGTACAGGTCTAAATACTGCTGGCTGGTGTCTGAGCTGTGTGTGGCGTACCAGATGTTGTCGGCGCCAGTTGCTGTCATGAAGAGCGGCCGGGCAGGTCCAAAGGGCTCTCGAGTCAGGTAGGCCCCGCTCGGGTCTCCCTTGAACGAGAGCTTGGCAGTGCCATCAGCCAGCAAAATGGATTGGACTGAAAGATAATCATAGACGCCCACCCAGTTGAGTCTGACAGGTGCAGCCTCGCCGGCGATCGTGAGGAGAGCTCTGGTTGTGGACAAGACCAGGCCACAGTCCGGCCCATCCCCGAGAATTTGAAGAGTGCGGCTGTTGCAGGGCTGCCAGTAAATGTGAAAGGCGAGTCACTATCGAAGACGCCAGAATATTGGACATAGCGTCCTATGCCATCGAAGATGGCGAGCGTTGTGGGATAAACCGTTGGTGTCGCGAACGTCGTCTCCTGTTACGTCAATCAACACAGTCGGATCAGCATCCACTGTCGGCTTGCCCTTCGGTGTTCGGGGAGTGAGGGGAGGCATACATAAGCTGTTGGAGTCGCCGGCGTCGGAATCGAGAGGCACTTGCAGGCTGAGGAGATGGCGGCAGCGGCATTGAACGCCGCGAAACAAGCCGGCTTGGCAATCACTCGTTCGTCGTGCTGAGAAGCCGAGTGTTTCTCATGCCGTGATGACTGAGCGTCGTCGGGCATATGTGAAAGACCTCTCCGTGGCTTCGCTGCAGCCTCGGGTGCTCGAGCCTTGTTCAGAGGTGCACTGGTCACGCAAGGGTTGTCCGTCGCAAAAGCCGTGACCCTCGTTTAATGTAAGTATAAGCCTTCTGTGTTGTGCCTGCAGGTTGTCCTTACGTAGTAGTGGTGACTGTAACTGTGGTAGGTACCACCACCGCTGCTGGGGTGGTGATAGACAGATACGAGACGCAGAACTTGGTCGCCGCGGCCTGTTGTTTCAGCAAGGCTACTGCTTTTTGGACAACGACACAAAAGGAGTCAGCTCTAGGCTCGAGGGGCGAAGCCGCAACCAAGCTCACGGCTGGCGCCAGCAAGGCGAGAAACGTGAGGGAGCGCATCATGGTGAAAAATGAAGAGGTGTGACAGATGCTGGTGCACGATACTGCCACAAAACCCTTCATGCAAAAGTAGACTCTTTGAACCAGAGGACTCAGCGGCACTGAGGGATGCAATGCGCCTGTACGCCTCGCCCCAGGCTCGCCCCATACATCTGCAACGCTTGTGGTTAAGCCCGATAAGCTTCGCATTGGGGGCCTTCACCGGGGAAACCAGTGGAACGTGGACTTGCACTGGACCATTGTTAGTTAGCCATGCAAGCCTCCTGACTAGAATCTTGGGTAAGGCTCGATCTTGGGCCCAACAGGCCGCATTAGCGTACTCTTAGTTGCAGCAGCTGAATCGTGGAGCGGTCGAACAGGTTGTCAAAATCACGCCACATGAGCAATGTTCCCGACGGAGAGCGGCGAAGGATACCTCTTACTCCAAGGGGCATGCACGGCGAAGTTCGTCGTCCAGCCAGCTGCTCGCTGGCATGGCTTTTCTTGCAACCACTTGACCAAACACAATAGCCACTTACGGCCCACATCTTGATTGTTGGCAAATATCCTTTGTTTCTTTGGAGCCGCGGCGTTTGACGTCAACTTCGTCAACTTCGACGTATCATGTGCAGGCGGAGCACCTTTCGCACAGGGAGGTTCAACGCATCCCAGCGGGCATGTTCTCAGCTAAGTTGAATGAATTCGCATCAGCTATGCAGACGGAGCAGTCTAACCCGGGGCCAGATAAACACGACGCTGCCCAGCGTGTAGCGCCTCTAAACTCTTTACTTAAGCTTTCGCTAGTCCAGCGGCTCGTCTCCCGTTCCACGGGACGGCATTTCCAGCCATTCAACACCATGCATCTAACCCTGGATACCTGCCGCCCTAATCACGGTCAGCCACCTCCAAGCTCGAACTGTGGCGAATCCCTTGCTGGATACTCGTAACCGTCACAAGAATTGACTCTTGCTAGTACTCGATTCGTTGACAACTGTTGCAGCACAACTTTTGGGGTCTGGGGGTGGGTTGTGATGGCGAGCGGCCAAGACCTTTGCCTATTTTCAAAATGTCATCATCTCATGGCTGCCCGTATGTCATGGGGCAGATCTCCATAAATATTCAAGCCGTACGATCTAAGGTGCTATGTGGCCCTCATCGTGACACTGGTACTGAAGGCAGTTTCTCGGGTTTCCGTGAGCATTTTGCAGGTCTGCTTCAGTGGGGGGTACGCCCTCAGGTTGAGGTCGCCTTGATCGATTGAGGCACACGATGCAGCACCGCCCGTCGCGAAGAATGCCGGTGACGATCCGGTGAGTATTGAGATTGAGCTGATGGCCCGCGATGCCACTCTACTTGAACTTGGTCAGAAAGCTGCCATCAGCACTGGCAGCGCAACACGGTGGCGGTAACCCACCCGCGTGTAGTTCTCCCAAACGGTTGATATCATTTGTCTTGATACTAGCACTCCTCTCTGTAGATCTTCAGATAAACTTCTCATAGTCTGGGAAATACTTGTCCTGTATCCTGCTTGCAAAATCCAGAATGACCGGGAACCTCTGCACTATTCTGCGCGACTCTGGCCCACTATCCTGAGGTGTTAGCAAGATGTGCTTGTCACACCTGACGGTACAAAGTAAGTGGTCACTCACGCTGTACTCGTCATCACCGAGACAACAAATCCGAACAAGGTGCAGTCGGCCTCAGTCGGCCTCTCACCACCCAACGCCCAGAATGGCTCCCGATCGTTTGCGGCCCCGGCGCTTCCTCCTGATCTAGACTCGACGAGCAAGTCATTGATGCTGGTCCATATCCCGAGCTTGAACTTGGCAATCTCGTCGGCAGAAAAGCGACCCGTTCCTTGACCGTGCAGCATAGCGTTTGTCTTGCGGTACACCATGAGCCCTACGACAACGCGGACGGGATACGGTGCCGACCAGAGGGCGTAGTCGCGCATCGTGTAGTAGTTTTCAATCCAGCGCTCTCTTGTCTATTCGGGAATTTGTCAGTGCTCTTCACAACAAGGTCGAAGGTCCGCCCGGCAACCCACATGATAAAAGTACAGCTTATCCTCCAACATTGCCCGCAATGCAAGATCATGCGACCTCTGCACGGCATCGAGGTCGTCGTTCAGCGCCGGCAGCAGCCCCGCATCCATCAGATCGGCGATGATGAGCGACGAGTCGCTGAACTGGCTCGTCACCCCATCTTGCGTGTCCGTGACGTCTAGGTACGGGATCTTGCCCTTTGGCGCTGTGCGAGGCGAGCCGACGGCCGTGGTGTACTTGAGGTCCGCGAACCGCAGGCGCGCCTCAAGCTTAATGACAAAGGGCGACCAGACGTGCCTGCCCTTCTCGTCCCAGCCGCGGAAGAGGGTCAGCTGCGATGCAGCTTGGTCTTTGGGCATTGTAGGGCTTGACAAATGTTTCGAGGCGGGTTAATTTTCTAGACCGACGGGGTCAGGCGAGATGCTCCACGAGCCAGCTGCAAATGGGTCTCCAGAAATGCGGCGCGTCGGTGAAGTGGTGCTATGTACTTTTTGGTGATGAGGAGTCTGGGTTCAGGACTATTCGATACAAGAGAAGTGGGCAGCGGATACAAATAGAGTTGCTTCGCCCGTAAGGCTCGGGGAGTAAAACTCCCCAGGAACCACAGTCGGGGGTTAGCCGCGCCCCGGACCTTGAACGCGAAGGCGCGGCGCGGCGGGGTAAGCCGCAGCAAAGACATCGAACCCACCCAAGAGACAAACCCCTTGCAAGCAGAAGCTGGGCTTTGCACATCTTGTCAAGGATTCGCTTCTTCTGATGAGACTCTTGGTCTTTCAATGCACTGTGCCGCCGCGTTTCGGCCACAACTCTCGCTTTTTAGAGCATGCACATTCTCGTTCAATTTGCTAGCCTCCTGGGGGTTGTTGACCGCTCGTCCATCTCCTTTAAACCGCCAATGGCCTTACGGCATGGTAATATCATGCAGACTGCAACCTGCCACGGAGACTGTTCACGTTCCACCCCAGCGTTTCAATGCCGGACAGGAACTCCACCACGACTGCTCTACCAGCGTGCCCGACGTTGGGCAGGTGCTGAGTAGCGAGAGCCAGCGCTGCCGTCATGCACGGGTCCCAGTATTTAATATACCTTGGATCGTGATCCTGCATGATGGACCAGATCTGCCTGGAGTGCCATCTGCCCACTGCCGCGTCTGCTTCCATAGTGCTGTCGCCTCGACGTTCACTGTTCTTTGATCTGCCGTATATGTACAGCAGCGCCATTGCACTGTGGTAAAGAACAGCAGTGGATATTCCTGCCGCCGAGGTAAAAATCTGGGGTGCATGCCTCGCATCGCTCGCTCCTGTTGCAGCCAAAGCACCTGCACGGCCGTCTCCAAGCCAGTCGGTGTCGGGCTCAAAAACGGCCTTCAGCGAAGGCAGGCGGTTCGCGTACCATGTGCGCAAGTCGTCCAGTAGCGTCAATCGTGTTTGGGCGGCAGGTCGGGCACCTCGTGCGGCATGCTCACCATCCGGTGTGTCTCCAAAGCAAAGGTTCAGGCACCGAGCAAGCAGTTCGAGACAGCGAAGACACGCGGCTCGTACGTCGGATTTTCCGGGATTCTTCGAGACCACGGATGCGGACAGCTTTTGTAGCAGTTGCACCACCTTCCCGACGCCATGCTGGGATATCAAAGCCCACGCAATGACTGATGACTTGTCAGTGGTCACCAAACCAGAGAGCACTTGTCACATCACTCGCGTGCAGCACCAGAGTAGGAGGTTGATGCTTACCAAGTCTGCACAGGAGCACCAAAAGTCCGTCCCATACCTGCTTCTGCTCAACATCATGATTCTGCATGTCAGGATACCAATCGGGAAATGCGCCGCCGCCGTGAAAGGTGGATTTCCACTCGACAGGGTCTTGGGTCGTGAACTGCCGAGCTTTCTCGAGGCCAAAGGCCGCCATGACGCGGACTGCTGCAAAGGGCGACTCGGCGCCAGGTGGGGTGATCATGTGCTTTAGATGCAGAAGACCAAGGCCTTTCCGGTGGGTGATCATGTCTGGCTGCAAATGCGATGAGGCTGCTGCTAGCCGGAGCAAAGGGTCCAGTATGCAAGGAGAGTTGAGCGCGAGGCGGGGGACTATGGTCGTGAAAGGCCGATGTTGTTCGTCATATACGTCAATCTGGCGTAGACAGTGGTTAGTGGAATTGATCGCTAGACTCTTGTGGAGACGTGATGGTTATTAGGGGATTCGCGTTCTGAGTACTCACCCATGGAGCAGTATGGTGGCAAAAGTACTTCATGAGGCTGGCCTCTGCAGCTGACAATTGACATTTGCCAACAAGTGGCCACTTGAAGTCCTCTTGCTCTAGATGGCCGTCAACTGGATAAGAAGTGGGGGCTAGAGCCACGGTACTATTGCGAGCACCATCTGCTGGTTGCGAGGCATCGGCTTGGGGAGTTAGATTACTATGTTGACCAGATACTTTTTGGTCCCGAGTCTCTGGGCTGTTTTCGGAGGTTTCCGCTGCTCGAGAAGAACTGGCGGGAGTCTTGCCTGGCGCAAGGAACTGAAGTAGTTTAGAATAAAGGTTGCGTTCATGACCACTGCCAGTCGCCCGAAGCACGGTACATACCTTGATCCTGGTATATGAAGACGGTGTCTCGACACCCTTCGATTCAAGCGCGCTGGGCCCCGACGTGATGTTCTCGGGTCGAAAAGTGATATGTGATAAGTACTTGCATATGCTCTTGGCGTTGAGACATCTCGTGCACACGGGTTTTTGTTCGTCGCCTGCATCTCCAAATTGGTCAGCGAGGTCGTACATCTGTGGTGACTGTCACACGCGAGCCATGGGGTCCAAGCTGCCATTTACATTTGCGGTGCTGGCGGCGGCATCGCTCGCATCCGTGTCTTGTACGGCCGTGTCGTGGTGTGCGACCAGACATGTCGAAGCATCTGTCCTTGGATTCTCCTGGGATGCTGCGGTCTCCCTGGAGTCTCAACGGCTCCTCTGATACCTCCACATGTGTCGTGTAAGTGAGTGTATGCCCGGAATCTGCAGAGTGTTGGGCCAGGAAAAGGGGAGGGATCAGAATGGCAGTTGTATCCGCACTGCTGACGCGATGGCAAGATGTGTCAGCAGCCGCATGGCTCCGTGGTGGGCCGCCAATGCGGGAGGGATTACCCTTTGTGGCAAGTGGATCTTTGTGTGCCTGGGAGCACGAGTACATTGATAATGCAAGCAAGACAACATTTTGCGGGATGATATAAGCAGATTTCATCCTCGTGGTTGGTCTTGAATCGGGCCAGGTATAAAGATGGGCAGGAATACCAAACAGTCTAGTCGACTCCCACGTTCCTGTGCACACTCCTCCTCATCACTGTACGGCCACTTTCCAGAAATACCTAGCAATCACGATGTCGACATTGCCTACCACAATGAAGTCCTGGGTCGGGGCTGGGACGGGTCCTCCACGAGGCGTTCTCCATCTTGAAGTCGAGCGGCCGATGCCGTCCGTACCCCTCACAGGCCAGATCATGGTCAAGGTCAACTACGCAGCACTCAACCCAGGGGACGTCAAAGTCATGGCCATGGGTGTACCTTTCAGGTCATCTTTCGTCCCGGCAATGGACTTCGTCGGTCAAGTTGTCCAGATGGCTGGTGACGCTCACAAGACCACGGTTGCGAAAATCCGGCAAGGCATGATCGTTGCGGGCACTCTACCCATGGTGCAGAGCATGTGGCGAGGGGACGGTGTCCTGGCCGAATATGTCGTCGTCCCTGCTCATGCCGTGGTCCAGGTACCTGACGGGCTGCACGACGGTCCGACTGCTGCTGGACTCCTGGGTGTCGCCGGGCAGACTACAGCGGTGCTCCTGCGTGCTGCTTCACTGCGCGAAGGCCAGCGGGCGCTTGTCAACGGAGCCAGTGGTGGTGTCGGCTCAGTGTTGGTGCAAGTCTTATCACATATGGGGGTGCATGTCACTGCTATATGCTCTGCCAAGAATGAAGATCTAGTCAGGAGACTTGGGGCAGAGGAGGTATGTAGACCACTCAACCTTCCCATCCAGAACATCCACTAACTGGGCCATTCATGATCAGGTTGTCGACTACAAAGCCTACGGCTCCTCGCTTTACCAGCACTTGTCATCCATTGCAGCCAAGCCCGCAGGCAAATCATTTGACGCCGTCTTCGACCTTGTGGGCGATAGAAAGCTCTACACCTCTTCGCCTTCCTACCTGGACCGACACGGCAAGTTCCTAGACATTGAGGGTGGTCCATTTGGAATGTTCAAGTTCGACAACTGGTGGCCAGTCTGGCTCGGCGGCACGCCTCGTGCTTTTCGGCCAGTTTTCAGCTACCCTTCGGGCCAATCTGCCGCCGAAGTTGTTTCGTGGATTGAGAAAGGGTGGATCAAAGAAATTGTCACAGACTCTGTCTATCCCATGGAGGAGGCGGTCCTCGTGAGTCCCTATCCCAATTTCGCCAGAGCCTTGTTTGACTGACGTATAACTAACGATCACCAGGCATATGAGAAGCTGGCCACAGGCAGGGCAGCTGGAAAGATATATGTCAAAGTCGCGTGAGGTAAGAATCACGGATGTCAGCAACATTCTTCATACCCAATCGCGCCTGAGGTGTTTCCTTGTTTGGGATTGAACGGCAAGCTCACAGAATCAGAATTAGCCTCCCGGTGACGACTGCCAAGATGCGATCGACAACAGAGTCGTGGAACAAGTCAGAATATAGGAGCCTAACGTGAGGCCTGGTCTACAACGCGCATTCTAGGGGCAAGGGCTTGCCAGGGTCGAAAGCCACCGGGTGCACTGTTGATGCTCGTCCATTGAATAAGTAATGCATCGTAGAAGGCTTGCTCCACGGCGGCTGCGGCACGGGAACGGCAACGGATGCAATCTGCAATGACACAGTTGCAACATGTGTGGTACACAACCAATGACCGCTGCTTTCTCGTGTTCGTATCAGCATGTTCTGCCAGGGCCTTCCAGGCCCTTCCCCAGGTGCCAGCTCTGCCCCGGGTCCTGGGCCAGACTTCACCCAAACACCTTGACAATACCAAATCTAGCCATGGAACCGCATCAATTTGGCCTCAGCTGGAAACTTGTTCGACTGTAATTCTGCAATGCAAAAGCCGATTTCAGGTACCCGGTTGGGTCCGGCCCGCAGCTGGCCTGGAGGAGAAAGGAGGCAGATTCGTAGGCCAACCGACCCTGTTTGGTCCCCATCCGTGAAGGTTCTATCCCTGATCGGTGCAATACCACCCCGCTGGTAGCGTGGCGGGCTACAGGGGGCAAACTTCAAGACAGGGAGCTGCCCTGGAGATTCCAAGGTTTCTGCGGAGGCCATGCCCTAATTATGATTAGCGAGCTTCTTAGCCTGGTCGCGGTTTCAGCTCAGCTCAGAATGGCGTTGATATGGTGACGGCTGCACATGCAAAGAATTGTTTAGCTAACAAGGAAATCACGAAAGCGAGCAAGAAAGTAAGCTGACTTCTGAGAAGCATTTCGATCATGCCTGTAAACAACTGCAGAAGGGAATACGAACGCGAGCAATGCATGTGCTTTTGTGGCCGCATGCCAATGCGTACTAGTGTATACGAATACGCCCTGGCCAATCAGCCAAAGCCCTGCAGGGAGATCATGCAAACATCAACCCCGTGCTCCGTGGAGACTGGCGCGAGTCCACGTAAGTCCCGCCCAGTGGAAGTTCCGCTCGACGGAAGTCCCGCTTGGTGGCCTCCATCAGGTCCCCCTATGGATCCCGGCTACGCTATGGCAGCAACGCTAGCAGGATCATATCTTTAGACCATGTGGCCCGGCAAGCTAGGCGGCCGGCACATCTGCCCTACGCACTGGCGCCATGCTTTCGAGAACTTCTCCTTTTCATCCCCGTCTATAAAGCAGCTGGCACGCTGGGACGACACCTTCAGCTTCACTTGCGATTGCGTGCTTGACTACTGCTGGTCAGACTTCGTTTTCACTGGGCCTGCCGGCTCGAGGCTTCTTGTTCCAAACTCCTTTTGTGACAGTCACCCAATATCTCTTTGCACATTTCAAAATCCAGCCATGGCAGTCATGCCCAGTTTCAGCTTGACGGCGCTGGCTATCGCGCTTTCGGTAAGCTGTTATCCAAGAAACCTGGATGATAGTCTACTTCTCACGTACTTGCGACTGACGGTCTGACAGTGCAATGCCTTTATTGTCGCAAAGCTGGCCTACAATATATGGCTGCATCCCCTGAGTCGCTTCCCGGGGCCGCTATACATGCGCGCCACGAGGCTGGGATACATATTCCACTCTCTGCGCGGGACGCTCCCGTTTGACATGCTAGCTATACACAAGCAGTACGGCGACGTCGTGCGGATCGCGCCTAACGAGCTTGCCTTCGCCACCGTCTCGGCGTGGCAGGACATCCAAGGCCATCGGACCAAAGGGCAGGCCGAGTTCCAAAAGTCCGAGGCCTTTTATCGCCCAATCAAGGACCGGCCGATCGATATCATCAACGCCGACCGGGAGGAGCATGGCATGCTGCGGCGCACGCTGGCCAACGGCTTCAGCGACAAGGGCCTGCGAGAGCAGCAGCCCCTGATCACAAAGTACATCGACCTGCTGGTCCAGCGGCTCCACGAGAACTGCCAAGGTGGTGAGGCCCTGGTGGATATCTGTCAGTGGTACAACTGGACGACCTTTGATGTCATTGGCGACTTGGCCTTCGGCGAGCCGTTTGGCTGTCTCGAGACTTCCTCGGACCACCCCTGGGTGTCGCTCTTTTTCAAGATGGCTCGCGCCGGCACTGCCCTCCAGGCTCTGAGTATATTCCCTGCCTTGCGAGACGCCTTGTTGACGCTAGTCCCTTCCTCGATTCGTGATGAAGCAACAAAGCACGAGATCATGGTCCACGCGAAGCTCCAGCGCCGGATGGAAGGAGGCAAGGAGCGTCCGGACCTCATCAACGGGCTGATCGCTCGCAAGGAGGAATGGGTAGGCCTTTCCAGCCCCGCACCCCTTGAGTGACTGACCCTCTTCGAGCTACTCCTCATCACGCATTTTTGTTCTCTCTTAACGCCTCGAGTTTTCATTCTAGGGCATCTCAAATAACAAGATCGCCGCCAACGCCGGCATTTTGATCATCGCTGGGAGCGAGACGACAGCGACGCTGCTATCCGGCGTGACCTACTACCTCATGCAGGATCCCGAGGTGCTGCGCAAAGTGACGGACGAGGTCCGGTCGAGCTACCAGTCCGAGGACGAGATCAACTTCACCAGTGTCAATGAGCTCACCTACATGCTCGCCTGCCTCAACGAGGCGCTGCGCTGCTATCCTCCCGTCGCCACTGGCCTCCCCAGAGTTGTGCCCGCCGGTGGCGCTACTATCAGCGAGCATTTCGTGCCTGAAGGGGTACGTGACCGACCGACTGACTGACTGACACTGATCGGCCTCCGTCGTTCGCACACGTCCTTCGTTTGGGAAGGCAGAATTTGTGCTGACTTTTTGAAACTACACACAGACTGTCGTCTCGGCTCACCACTGGGCCATGTATCACAACGAGAAGTACTTCAAGAAGCCCTTCGAGTACCGCCCCGAGCGCTTCCTCGGCGACGAGGAATTCGCAGACGACGTGCGGGAGGTGTTGCAGCCGTTCCATGTCGGGCCCCGTAATTGCATTGGCAGGAAGTGAGTAATCCTTATACTTTACCTCTTTTGAGTGTTCCCCGTGTCCGAACTCCTCCGCTCTTCTGCCGATTACAAGCTGACACATTGGGAATGTAGCCTGGCCTATGTTGAGATGCGGACTATCCTGGCCCGCATTCTGTACAACTTTGACCTCGAGAAGTCCGACAAGACCGAGGGCTGGCTGGAGCAGAAGAACTTCAATCTGTGGGAGAGATCGCCGCTATGGGCACGCCTGACCCCACGCAAGTGAAGTTGGTGGGAAGGGAACGAGTTGGGGGGGTTTGCTAAAGCCCCATTGTGACGAGAACAAGCATAGCTACAGCCAAGGCTGCCTCATTATAATTGTACACGAAACGGTTCTGTCACATTACTCTGTTTGTTTTGCACCGTGCCAAGAAAGTCTGGCTATTCCAAGGGACGCAAACGGCGTGTCGATATTCGTCCACAACGCGGGAACACTTCTCTATATGCTCTGGCCCCGTGTGATGGTATCAAGGGCAAGCAACTGCACCAGGGCATGTACTTGTCTGGCTGCTTCAATCTGCAAACCTTGAGAGGAACGCCTCTGGAGTCTGTGGACAGGGTCGTCGAGCAGCTCGCTCTCTGGCTTACGTGGAAAGCGAAGGGTCGAATCGATGCTGCTGTTGCACGCAATTGGTATCTTGCTGCTGGTTGACCAGCTTCGTTTGGCTGGCTCTTCTTGCTCGAGTCCGCTCAGTCGGATCTGATCACCGTCCTATAATTATCCTTCGCTCGTCCGTCCGGCATTCTTGGGATCAAAGCTACATCCATGTAAGCTAGAAACGCATCCCAAGGACTTCCGTGGACTAGCAGCACGCGTGCACATGGTGAAGAATACATAGGCAAATGCACGTCTGAGGTGACCAACAGATTTGAAGGCTTCCCAAGCTGTGCATGTTCTCGTCCTGAACATTGTCACGAGAAGTTTTCAATGAGCTGTTCATGGTAAGCCCGTACGGCAGGGGATCAGTGCGCCAAGAAGAGAAAGACCAAAGCGCAGGACTGAGGCCATAAGTTCTATGGGAAATGCACGACCAGTTCATGCATATCACCAAAATGGGTGCTATTGTCGAACTTTGACAGCTCCAGCCTTGGGCTTGGCACTCCACAGGGGGCCTTCTGGGACCTTTGGTGACAAAAAATGCGACAAAAGTGAGGTCAAGATGAGTGGGGCGGAAAGTATGCTCCGGGCACAATGCAAGCTGCCGGGGCCTGTACGGTCTGGAACTGGCTGAGCTGATGGGATTGGCATTTGTTCGCTGGTGGCATGCTTTGCGAGGAAGGAAGGACGCTTGGAGCGCCTCCTACGGAATGCGAGACAGCTGGAGCTCCAATCAGTAGCGTGCGGCCATGGGGAAGGGCGAGGAGGCATGTTGTCCGCCCGGAGCTGCGGACGAGTTGGAGCGCTCAAAGGATATCATCGTGCATGGAAATATTGATCAGATCGAGATGACCGGGCTGCCCATGACCAACACTTGGCAGATGCTTGGAGTGCGTACACTGGATGGCGTCTGGCTTGCCGCCACGGCGCTGGTCGTTCGTGGTTAGCGGGCGGGCGGCGTTCCTGTGCTGCTGGCCTGGCACCTGGCCAGATTGTGGTTGATGGGCCCATCCATGCAAACGTGTAGGCTTGGTCATGATGGCGTCATAGACGACGCCTGAGCGCGTGGCAGCTGGACTTAGCTCCAGGGGGATTTCTGGGGATGGCGCCAACCATGCTATTTCGGTATGCCTCAATTGGGAGGACGCACGGTCTTGCCTGGTTGGCGACTACTGGGGACTAACGCGATCGGAGGTGCGTCATCGGCGCTTCCAAGCTCGATTCTGCGCGCCTCGTCGTCTCTCAGCGCTATGCGAAGTGCTGAGGTTGCTGTGGTGCCTTTGGCAGCGGTCCTTTCCTTGACCATGGAGATATGCAACAACAGGCTCTGCGCAGGTGAGTCGGCGGTTCGTTTGTTCGGCCTGGTGCTCTCAGAGTTTGAAAAAAAAAAAAAAAAAAAGTCATGAGCTGTGGCTGTCAGGGGGAGACCCGTACGTGGAAATATGGCCGGAAGCGGCAATGACCTCACACAATGCGGCATCCCCCAGAGCCGAGCTGGGCCGGGCGAGACAATGCAATGGAACCCAAGCCAAGCCACAGTGATGTTCCCGAGGGAGATCTGCTTCGGCAACCGGGAGCGCTCGAGCAAGGGCCGCGGAGCAGGGGGTTGCGGCCGTGCAGGGGGGTTCTTGTTTGTTGCAGGGCTGTCGCCCGATCTGGCGAAGCAGGCAGTTGGAAATGGTGATGACGAGCTGGATGACGAGGGGCCACGCTCGACAAGGCGCAAAGGGGGAAACTGGCTGCCAAAGGTCACCCCAGCGGACGAGGCGTCGATAGAGGGACGGGGGCCCCCTGGGCAGGCCAATTATTAGTGATGGACTGTTGCATTGTACTCAAGCTGTCGGGCGATGCTGGCTAGGGTCTAGTTCGTCGGTCGACGAAGGACTACTCCGGCCTACCTAGCTGGGAGGGCAAGTTGTGATCGACTGAGGATCGGGCCTCGAGCCGCACCTGGCAGGAGCTCCAGCAGCACCACCAGCTCTGTATCCGCCCTGCCAACAAGCAGCCAGTCTGGACAACAGTGGGCCTCGACGCCGGCCGGCAGGTGCCGCTAGAGACCAAGGCAGCTAGCCCGGGCTGGGCAAGTCGCAGGCATGACGTCTTCCACATCCGTCGACGACGCGACGACAATTTTGGTCATGGAGGGTTTCACGTCACTCCCTCCCGCCAAACCTAGTTGTTGCTGCTGCTGCTGCTGCTACTGCTGTCCTCCCAGCCTAGCTCGAGGGGGACTGCAGAGCTGGGGCACCACGCGGCATGCCACGGCAGGTACGCTGTCTGTCCGGAGCCGCCTCCAATATAAACACTTGCACCGTGCCCGCTGCTCCCCTCGCTGCTTCCTTCTTCCTCCCCTCCTCATACCCAAAACCTACGACCTCTGTGATACCCCAATCTCCCAGATTGTCTGCTTTACGATACCCCAGGCGACGACCTAATTATTGATACCCCGTCACCATACAACCTGACCACCCTAATACCGATACCCCAAGCCGACCAAGAGCCTCGCCACGAGACCCATAAACCCCCTTCAACCAATACATCATCATCGACTCGTCAATTGGCCCAGTCTTCATTCAATCCCTGTTGTACAGACCTCTGTCAAACAGTCCAGCATGTCTACCGCCGTCAACAAGCCTACCGACCCCAAGGTCAAGGAGGCCGACATCAACCGCAAGCTCCAGATCTACGGAATCATCTCCGCCTTCCAGGCTGGAAAGGTGCCCTCGGTACGTCGACGTCTGCACTCCACGACCCCCCAACGTGCCCCATCTTACTGATATTCCCCCTCCCTTCAGAACGAGCAAATCGATGTCGCCTTGAACAGCTTTCTTGCCTCCAGGGCGCTCTCGAACCCGTCCAACCGCCTCTCTGCCGAGGGCCGCGAGCTCGTCGCCGATGTTCGCGCTGTTGTAACCGAGGCGAAGAAGCTCCTCCTCTCCAAGAACGAGGGCAATCTTCTCCAGGACTTCATTTGGCAGAGCACCCAGTTTGACCCCAAGGCCGTTGGCACCCCCAATGCCCCAATCACCAAGGACTCGGCCAAGCAGGACGGCGACAAGGCCCTTGAGGGGCTCCGCACCCTTGGCACGCTGCTCATTACGAACGGCCAGTTCCGCAAGCTCTGTAAGTCTATCCTGTTCAACCTCGGTGTCCCGAATATCTCCTAATCCGACCCCAGTGAGCGATGCTACCATCCTTTTGCGCGACATGGCTGGCGATGCCGCCACCAATGTCGCCAGCAAGGTCAAGCCTTCGGACGAGGCGCTCCAGCGCATGGATGAGCCCGCTGCCGACCACACCTGGCACGAGAAGCCCGACCTGTCCAAGGACAACATCAGGGCCCAGGCGCAGGGCCTGTACAAGAACTCTCAGTCTGGCCAGGATGCTCAGGCTGCTGCTCAGCAGTCTGCCAATGCTGCGCGCAACCCTGACGGTACCATTGACGCGCAGGCTGGTGCTCGCACCGCGATCAACGAGGCCAAGAACCGTATCGACCCCCAGACCAAGGAGAGTGCGAAGGAGACTGCTGCCCAGTACCGCGCGCGCACCCGTGAGTACCTTGGCAAGAAGATGCCCGAGGAGCGCCGCGACCAGACTATCTGGCGCCTGAAGAAGATGGTGCTCGAGTGCCAGCAGCACCCTGACTACCAGCAGGCTGTGTCCACTTTGCTTGACCTCGCTGAGCAGTATGGTCAGCACGGAAGACACGTCACTAACAGCAGCGCCGGCACTGTCAAGCAAGCCCGCACCGGCCTGCAGGCTGCCGAAGCGGACTTGCGCACGCTGATCGAGCGTTTTGCGAACGGTACCTCGTCCGAGGACCTTTGGGCCTCTATTCGTGCGGTGTACGATGCTGCGGACCGGGATCCTGAGCTCAAGGACTGGTTCAAGGCTATCGACACTTACGTCCGCAAGTGCCTGCAACAGCAAGGCTACATCATGGAGGAGGAGTCCAACCGCGAGTGGGATCGTCTCTATGACAAGGGAAACTTCCTTCTCCGCAACAAGTACAAGGGCCACACTGATCGCATTGTGGACGAGATCAAGTTCCTTGCCGACCAGTTCGACCAGGACCGCCAGAACAAGGCCTTCGCCGCTGCCGTCGAGAAGCTCTTCCTGGACCTCGGCAATGACAACCAGGGCAAGCCGACGTACAAGCCTCACCTCGTCAAGGATCTGACTGACGTCATTGTTCCTGCCGTCCTCGAGAATATTGCCTATGTTCCCATTCCCAGAATTGAGTTCTCCGACCACCAAATCGATGCTGTTGTCGAGAACTTGGTTCTTGAGAGTGACAACTTTGCTCCCAATGTTCTCGAGATTGCCAGCGACAACTACTGGCGCTGGGGCCGCAAGAACGTTGCCAACAAGAACAAGAACAGCATTGACATCAAGGTTGCCGGTGTTCAGCTGGACCTCCGCGAGGTCAGCTACTACGTCAAGCGCAAGCAGGGTTTCCCGTCTCTCACCGATACCGGCATGCTCAACGTCCGCCTTGCTGGCGAGGGTCTGTGCTTCCGCATGAAGCTGTCCACTGCCGACAAGTCAGACAAGCAGCACTTCTTCAAGGTCGACAAGGTCGACGTTGATGTGAAGAACCTGGAGATCAAGGTCGTCAAGTCTAAGCACAAGCTGCTCTTTGGCCTTTTCAAGCCCTTGGCGCTCAAGACCCTCCGTCCCGTCATCCAGAAGGTGGCTGAGAAGCAAATCAAGGACCAGTTCAACCAGTTTGATGCGCTGCTCTACGCCATCAAGCAGGAGGCCGACCGTGCCAAGGAGGAGGTCCGCGAGAACCCCGAGGAGGCTCCCAACGTCTACAACCGGTACATCTCTGCTGCTCAGAAACGCATCATGCAGGGCAAGAAGAAGGCCGAAGAGGTCGCCGCCGACAAGAAGGTGAACATGGCCGTCACCCGCGAGGACAGCATCTTCCCCAACATCAAGCTGCCCGGTGGCATCAGCACCAAGGCCACCGAGTACAAGGAGCTTGCCCGCAAGGGTGAGAAGTGGGAGAGCCCTGTCTTCTCCATCGGCAGTGCCCCGAAGAGCAACGACATTCCATCCGCACCTAGTGTCGTGCGCAAGCCCCACGTGACTGCTTCGCCCTCCAACCCGACCACTTCTCTGAACAACACTGGTGGCAACTTCAACAGCACCTCCGCCATCGGCGGTGGCCTGAACGGCACCCAGGTCAAGCCTGGCCCCATTGACGACTACGGTGTACCCGTCACCAACAACGTCCGTGTTTAAACGCCTTCGCGCGCGCGATAGCACTGTTTGCAAAAGTATACCCCGTGGTGGAAACTACTGGATCAGTTGACGATGCGTCACTTGATTGGAGGAGAGCTGGTGATTAATACAACAAAACTGCTTTTTCTTTTGTTTACTGATGCACTTGAGTTAACAATTAATATGAAATAATGATTCATCTTTACACGAACAATAAAATGAAATTGAAATTGAAAGTGAGAATGATCTATTGATCTCGCCCATAGAAACGGGTTGCCTACTTGTACGAACATGTCCCCCATCGTAAAGTACGCATACAACCTTTTAGTCGGGATGGATAGGGTCCCCCACGGGTTCAGAGCATGATGACAAAGCACGCAGCTCTTCGAGGCATCTATGTGTCGCAGCCGTGCAAGACCCGCTGTGCTTACATGGTGTGTAGTGGTGGAGGAGGCCCTGCCTTGCGTGCTCAGGATCCAGCCGGCCGTCCGAAGCCTCTCTCATCCCGCGTGTTGGAATCGGACCACCAGGCACACACACGACGACCTGCCATTTCAAGAAGCGCCGCCATGCCGCCACCAAATCCCTTCACGTACACATCCTTGCCAAATGCCGATACTTGGATGAGGCTTCTGCTGCTGCTCCTAGCTACTAATGGGGACGCGGCAAGTCCCTTGTACGGGGAGCTAAATCCTTGCGCTAGAGACACAGCACCGCCATACAACCCCATCTCGTATTGCTGGGGCGACACGACAGACTCCTCAATATTGAACATCAGGCATGACGGAGAGACTGAGTGGTCTCAATTGCCTATCCGATCCAATCTGGCAGAACTGCTGCGGGAGCTGCGGGGCTCTCTGAGCGGTAAGCCCATCAGGGTTGATGCCATCTGCATCAACCAAAGCGACGAGATTACGGAGAAGGGTCACCAAGTTCGAAACATGGACAAAGTCTATCGCGGGCGCGATGTCATCATTTGGCTTGGCCAAGCCGACGAAAGCAGCAATCATGTCATGGACCTTCTCGACAAAGTGTGTTTAATAAAGGCATCTGCCTCGATAACAGCCATGGACTCTTCGCATGGCTTTCAGCAAGACCAAGCACAAGATGTGGGTAGCGCATCCATGGAGCAGCTTTTCGCCGAGCTGCAGCCGAACGGATACAAAGCCTTGTACGAGTTCGTATCACGGCCGTGGTTCTCACGACGCTGGATCGTTCAATTATATGTTCTATCAGGAACCGCGATGATCTGGGTCGACAACCGGAAACAGGACTTCGAAGCCCTGCAACTGGTATATAGAGCTCTTCGTCCAAAGTTAGTACAGCACCGAGATGGCAAAGGCTGGAAAATCACCTGCAACTTTGACCCGGATCATCCGCACCACATGCCGTCAGAAGAGATTGATCCGCTTAAACGCTTCCACCGCTTGCTCTGGACACACGACACAGTCCTGAGCCACAACACTGACGGCCTGACGCTCGAGAGGCTGCTCGACAACTTCGCCGGGTTCTTCTCGGCTGATCCGCGTGATGGTATCTACGCGTTTCTGTCTCTTGCAAGCGACATCGACCCTCTGTTGTGGCTGCCTGAGTATTCTAAAGTCGCCGACGTTGTGAACATCTACAGAACTGCCGTGTTCCACATAGTCGAGCAGAGTGGTTGTCTTGATGTGGTGTGCCGGAGCAACCATGCATTTGCTGGGAGTGTCCACACGGAGGATCGCTCAACCTGGGTCCCTTGGTTTGGGCCACAGAGAATCACGTAGGCCGCTGAAGAAAAGTCCCGACAACGAGGCCGCTAGCGAAACGAAAGAGAGCAGAAATGGCGGCATGAAATTCCATGCCCATGAAATTTACGGCAGCAAAGCTCTGTCATTGACGACTTTTGGTTTGCCCATGCCGATTCAACTGCTGCCAGCGGCAGACAGGGACCAATCCACTCGGTGGACAGGCCTGTGTTCCTGGTGTGAACGAGACATTTGGGGCCTGCCTTACAAATGCAAAGACTGCCCAGGTCTGACATGTTGTTCGAGATGTTTGCGCAATGCCCAGAATTCGCACAGCACCGGGAAGCACCGTTTCAAGTCCAGCAGCGGGAGGATCTTCTCAGCCTCTGGAGGCTTTTATGACGTCGATGGGGAGAATCTCAGGCCTCACAAGAGCAAGTTTGAATTACAGGACGTTCGCCACCTCTGGATCAATGGGTTTGTGGTCGATACTATTCAGGCTTGTTCGGATTGGGATGGCACGATCGAACACTTGCCAGACGGATCTAGCAGGTTGGGCATTCCGGCCTTTGCGTGGTTAGGAATTCCGGGAGTAAATGCTCATATCGACGCTGACCGCCTTGAGCGCCTCTTCCGGACTCTCTTCGGCAACAGAATGATAGTCGACGGCGAAGTGTTCCATCCTAGCCAGGAGTGGATGCATGAGTCTGCGCGCTTCTTGTACAGCATTCTCGCCTTTTCCCGGGAAGACTACCCGAAAACCTGCGACTTCTCTACAGCACCAGACGGTCTGCTCGAGTGTTTGGAAGTCATGTTCACTTCAAGGGCCTTTGGAGCGACCAAAGATAGGTGCGCAATAGGGTTCTTTCCATGGAGCGCACGCGAGGGAGACAGCGTAGCTATCTTGATGGGCTACTCGGTCCCTGTTGTGGTCCGCCAATCCGGGACTATCATGGACAAAAGAACGGGAATATCGGACCCGATATACAGAATAATCGGCGAATGCTATGTGGATGGACTCATGGAAGGAGAATACATGTACGTGGCAGTGGAAAATAGCATCCTACAGAAGAAGATTTGGATACGATGAGTCCTCAGGATCATCAGATACTTGGAGACGCACATAGCGGCCATGTCTCAATTCATGAACTACAAATATTGCAGTATTGCTGGGCCTCTTCTTGCCGCTTCGCACTACAACCCCGGCGTCATTGCTGCAATGACGCCGCGCTTGGCACCTGCCAGGAACCCTCCATTGATGAGTTGGACTGTGTGCCTTTCACAAATAGTGACGATGCAGCTCTGGGCAGGCTCTAGTCGGTTTTTCAAAGTGCTCGCTGTTTTCAAATTAGAAGTTTAACACGAACGACTATGCGACTATCGGACCAAAGCCGAGGAATCGACCCTCTGCGCTTTCAGTTTATGGACTTAAAGTAGCTATACGAAATAGGCCTCCGTTACTAGATTCTAGATGTCTAACTATCTTAATGGCGCATGTTATACGCCCGAAGCTATTGATAGCTAAAGCCGGTCAAATCGACCAAAATCCGCGTTAGAAGAAGGGTGGTGGCCGAAGAGATCGGTGGGGCCGGGCACTTCAACCTTCAACCAGAGTAAGCACGGACTAAGTCGAACTAGGCGGGACTAAGCATGGCCGAGCAGGGCGTTAGTTAAAATTAAGCGTTGAGTACGGAGCTCTACTTCGGTGACTTGCTGCATTACGGTTCAACTATGATTTCGATTATTCAGCGTTCCCCTCCTACATGACGAAAGCTGGTCGTTGTGAGATCACCTTCCAAAGACCATATACGAAGCCGTTCTCTGTAAAGGTATCTTCCAGCTTTAACAGCACCCTAGATGGGTTGAGAAATCATCGTCATTAACCTCAAGCATCCACCCAGGACAATACTTTGCCATCCCGAACAACTGTCCCCGCTTCGATAGCATCGATCCATCGAGATATACCACTGAGAAAGAATCCACTTGCGCATGACAGCACTGCCTCGTACATGTAAACCTTGAGGAAGCCCTCTTCTCTCAATTTCTCCCACCCCAGCCAGAGCTCCCCCAACTTCTCTCGGTACGCCTTGCCGAGTACTGTTGCTTCGTATTCACCCCTGTGAATCCAGTACAGGTCTGCCTTCCCCTCGTTATCGAGAGCATCTTCCCCGTCGCCACTTGGTTCCCCAGGTATCCTGGAGTCTTCATTATCCGGAGCGTACTGATCCGGATTCGGCTCCTCCCACCTCTCATCATCACGAAGAAATTGGGGCATCCGTGTGCTCATCCATAGGGGAAGAGCAGACACGCATTCCCAGTCCACGATAGCGGATATGTCTCCATCTTTGTCTAGTAGGATGTTCTTCAGATTCAGATCGTCGTGGTAGAGGTAAGTCCGCTCGGTAGTGCTGATGGCGTTATCACTGTCCTTCTGCGACTTCTGCTCCGGGAATACCTTCGGCAAGACGCGAAGCAGCCTCTTGGCGACCTCTATGATCTCCTCAGCTTCTTCCTTGTCGCTGTCCTCGTCGTCTGCGATCTCATTCGCGATATTGGTCTGCTCTCGAACGATCATATCCAGCAGTGTCGTAATCCACTCCTGGCTTGAGCGGAATGGGCCATGGGGCACATCGAGCTTGAGACGATTTCCTAGGAAGAACTCATGTGTGACAAGTCGAGATGGGACAATTCTGGGCTCAGCCGAGGTTATTTCGGGCCGCCCGTTGGTGGACGCCTCGTTCTTCGACAGTGTGCCGATCGCGTCAAGACCATGCCTGGCAGCTGCGCGAGCGAGCTGGGCCTGGTAGTCTGCGATCGTCTCCGCCAAAAACTTCTTCTGCTCCATGGAAATCGCCCTCCAATTCCGGTACGCGGTCTTGCCTGGCATGAGTTCCATGAGGATCCACTCGAAGCCTATGTCGTTGTTGTTTGTGTCGTCGAACGCGAGCACCCTCGGCACAGGAATGCTGGTGTTCTCCTTGACCCAACGGAGCGTTGTGACTTCGCCTCGGGTCTTGAATGTAGGGTAGACGGGAAGAGAGACGCGCATCAATGCTTTCTCGTGCCTAGCGGTGACCAAATAGAGCTTGTTGAAGGCGCCAGATGAGAAGAAGGAGATGGTGCAAGTGGGTTCGTTGTCCGGAAGACCGAAGTGCTTGCAGCAGGTACGTTTGATCGCAGCCTCGGATGGCTGCTTTGTCCACACTGGCACGCTGTCGAAGAGCTGTTCATCCCATGCTAGCCCATCTTGAGGGTCGCGCGTCGCGAGCGTCGTGGTGATTTCGCCTGCTGCCATGGCTTTGTCCTCAATGGGTGTTACGCTACGCCCAGGTAAAATGGGCAATAGTGGTGATGAAGGGCAGGTATTTCTATTCGAGTTTCCTCGACAAGAACGGCTCACGGACGTCGGAATGTCCCACCCCGTGTTGGTGCTCCTAGCTTGCCAGATTCAAGGAATGAAGCGACGCGTTTGCGTATCCCCGTGCAAACTTTGACGGGAGGATGTTGGTCAACTTGGTGGGCGTCAGGCAAGCAAATGTGTTCAGGCAAACATGGCGCGCCCCAAGAATTCTTGTGGCTTGCATCAACGTACGCCGCCCCACTCGGGCGGTTACATTCCACTCAGGGCTCTGGAGGGATGGGTAAGAGGCGGGGCATGTACCCCACGTGCAGAAGTACCCTGGGCTCCTTCATATCCATGGATACTTCTCACTCAGCTTCCAGATTTCATCCTATTTGCCAAGATATAGAGAAGGTACTGTGGTTTCGCATGTGAAGTCAACCCAAACTTGAAAAATCCTCCATCTAAAATTTCGCCGTGCAATCGTTTGGGATGTGAACGCTGGCTTATCGATAGTGGTGGGTTGTGAAGCTCCGTCAAAGCACGTCCTGCACAACTATGTGGGGTACACAGATGTCCCCGATATCAGTCACATCAATACCACTGCCATGCAGCATGAGTGTGGCCTTACCTTCGCAGCAAGGTCTCATAGATGTTGTAGGTTGTATCAGAAAGCATGGTACGAAATTGCTGCTGCGTCTAAAAAGCTCGAGTGTTGCATGATTTCCACATGGGGTCAGGCCATATTCTGCAAGCTAGATTACGTCGTCTTTCCAATCAAGAATCCTCAAACAAGCAGATCCAATCATTGGGAAAGCCTACTTACCATTCTGCTATCAACCCTACCTGCAGGCAGTTAGAAGCGCAATATAGGGAGCTGCTCGCATGAATGTGAAAGAAGAACTGTGTTACGGCCAACGGAGCAGAGCACTTTTGAAAGCCCACCTGCCACACTATTGAATACAGATTCAAGGAGATGGGAACTGGTGTCTTGCAAGGTTGGCAAGCATAGCCATAGAGGGTATTAATGCGGTGTTAGCCTCTCTGGGGTGTGCCGTGTCCCTTGGAATGCACACTACTTACGCCCGATAAAGGGACTACATCATGAGTGGGATAATACTGAAACCTGTAGCTGAGGCAGGAGGGAGATGACTGTCTATGCAGGAAATGTGCCATCTTATATACGTCCCTTTTTCCTCCATCGCGTCCGTCTGTCGCGCCCAGTTTGCTCGCGTTTGGCCCCAAACATTCACGTTACATAGGGCACGGTATCAGGTACATGGTGTCTTGCTGGGTTTATTTTGTTCCTTATCCCACCCTGCTCTTTAACTTGCGAGAGCGATATACCATTGATCTTGCGCACTTGTTGTTCGCGTGGCCATCCCATTTCAAATTTTCTTGGTGTTGAGTAGAGCCTGTCGAACGTCTTCCCCTGTCCATGAGCCATCGGTTGGGACCAGCACTTCCCCCGCGACTGTCTTCGGAGCCAACTTTCGAATGGATGTGATCGTGGATTGCTTGTTCGCCTGAATTTGGAGATTGTGGAATTGAGGGTCTCCGCTTGTCATCTAAGTGAAGCCTCGTTTAGAAAGTGGTCCATTGGTTACAAATAAAATGACGAGAACTTACACCTTGCATGTCCAAGCGGTAATTAGAAGTGCTGTAAAGTGTCGTCTGCGTGAACGGAAGCCCTTCCATTTTGTGAGTGGGGATGCTTTCGATAAATTCGAGCAGGACGTTCTTCGCGGACTTTGATTTGCCCATTGTGACTAGGATGAGTGTTGGGATGGAGGTAATTGCTGGCAATCAGATTAGACGAGATCCTATTATTGGAGATTCGGATGGGAAGAAGATGAAGGTGAGAATGGGAAGAGTATGGCTCTCTTCGTGCTAGAAGTCCCAGGCATCTTGACTTATTATATAGGTGAGATTGCCCATATGTAGTTCATGTTTCACATTATCCTGATAGCCCTGTTGACAATCTTGTAGGCAATCCGTGCTTCGGGCACTGTTACGTTGTGTCTGCCGACCTGCAAGGTTCATGCCGAGCTATGATTGGGATGGTCACAGATCTAGTGGCAGATTGCGCGACGTGGTTAGCCGCTCCATCGAGCCTTGTCAAGGCGCTAAGTTGGAGCGACTCCTGCCATTTCGAAGGGCCAACATCTCCCCTGCGCCGCCCAGATCTGTAGCCCCAAGGGTCCACACGAGCGGCACGACGTCAAGTCCCTCCTCTTTCTTCCCAAGCGTGCTCTCGGTAACCACCTCTCCTCTTTTTAGCGCACAATGAGAACGATGGACTTCGAGGCGCATCATACCTGTTCCTTTAATCATGCGGTCTCGACTTACCTATTTTACTCGGTTGCGATATCCTTCTGCACGGACCTACACCTAGGCGCTCTACCCCTCTGAGATCGCCACGAGGCGAGGTGATACAGGGGTCCGCGTGTTACAATCCTGGAAGGACAACCAACCAACACTTCACTTCGGCGGCAAGATAATGAGCGATCGCAAATCAGGCGCCGTTTTGGGCGCCTAAACATGGTCAAGCTTTCTGCGCGCCCGTCCTACGGTCCTCTCCCCCGGCTTATGCTGAAGATCAGAGTTCGTCCTTCCTGCACGTTCAACCCGCCACAATGTCTGCAAGCTCGGATTGGTCGGCGCTTACTGACAAATCTGGTTCACATTTCTGGGGTCTAACCACTTTCCTTATCGGTCCTTCACCCTTGGTGTGCCAGTGTTTCTTTTGTTTCCTCTTCGTTTCGTTCTGAGCAGCGCCGTGCACAACGTGTTGAAAATTAAGCGCCCGATAGCCACTTTCACGTCCTCTCCTGGGAATTCTGGCTCAAGTGGCCCACAAGAAAGCTAGATAGAAGCTGAGCAGGCGGCTAGGACCTGAAAGCCTAGCTTTGTCCATTGGTCGAGCGCGATGATACGGGCTTCGCGCCACCTCGCAGCTGCCTGCTGCCTATTCTGCCTGCCTACCAGGCAAGATTTAGGCGGCAGATAAAACATCTAAAAACGCATACAGTGCTATAGATAGATGTCAATTTTGGCTAATTCCTGGAATATTCGCGTAAAGTCTACGTATTCTCTCACCTTGGCAGCTTGGCGAGTCGGGCTCATATCTGCCAGACACCAACATTCCTACAGCAAAATCTTGGACGTTCGTTGCTACATTGGTGAGCACATTTACTTTCAGGTCTACGTAACTAGTCTGTTTCTATCAATCGACATATAGCGTCAGTCTTCAAATAAGTGGCATACCCGTATTACGTAAAGAGAATAATTGGTAGCTTTTGGCATGATTCTGCTTCGGCATCCCCTTTCGTCCGAGCGTAGCCTGCAGCAATATCCAGTCCACATCCCCAACCTCTACACAACGCACCATGAAAGCCATCTCCCAGTAATTGCCCTCTTTCCGTCCAATGGAGCGACAGCCCTTGCGACCGCTCACAAAGGGCTGCAAGTCAGAGTGACCGCATGGTCATGGTTCCAGCTGCTTCCGGCGGGCAAGTCCTCGAGTACGGCGCACTCGGGCGTGAACTCGACGACGGCGCAACCCGCGGGTACAGACTCGCCTGTGTACTTGAGCCGGACGACCTTGAGCGGGACCTTGCCCGCCCCGCCGAGGGCCACGTCTCTGTCGCAGACCAGGTACTGCGCCTCCGGATCGGGACGGGGAGGCGCGTAAGGCCCGCTGAGGTAGCCCGGGTCGAGGGCCAGCCAGGAGGACTGGCCCACGTTGATGCTGACGTCGTGCTCGGCAGGGTACTGGCTGTCGAACTCGGTCACGGGCTGCACAGTGATCCCCAGCGGGTAGACACCCGGGATGTCGGTGAAGATGCCCGTCTTGTAGATGTTGTCCTCCCAGAAAACGGGCGCCTTGTCCTTGCCGGCGGTGACAACGGCAATGTTGACACCCTGCGAGATGCGCTGGTAGTTCAGATAGTATCTGTCCGCGGACGAGTATCCCTTGGCGTAGAGCTTGACGCCCTTGGACTGGGCTGCAACTTCGCGCTCCAGATTGGCGTTGGTGGAGTGCTGGGTCGGGACAGCTTGAGCGGAGCTGAGGAGGGCGGCGAGGCCGGCAATCGTGTAAAGGTAATGCATGATGGTTATTGTGCGTTGGGACTGATCAGCTACTAGTTGAACCTTTGTGGCTGTTGGTTTGAGTAGGTTGAGATGTCAAGAAGCTTGAGAGTGATGAGAGTGAGGGCAACGATCGACATAATGTGCGAACAGTGCTTGACTTTTATAGTCTTGGGGATCGTACCAATATCCATATTTAGACACCGCTTTGCGAGATTCAGTCTCGGGCTGAGGGCTGAATTGCAGGTCCCTGGCTGCATGACGCAAGGACAATCGTGACTATGCACATCATCACCGGCGTTTCCGTGGGCATGGCACTTTGGCTTGTTCGGCCGAATCCAGGGTCTGTTGAGTGTGCGTGTGATCCAGCTCACGGCAGAAGTTTTCGAAAGGGTGGCTAGTATATACGAACGCAGCCTTCCACTTGCTGACATGCTGCTGTGGTGCGTTGGTTTTGCATAGAACACGAGCCAAAGTGCAACTTATGCGGGGGTAGAATGTGGTTCGGACGCATTTTACCTCCGCACAACTTGCACAAGTGCCGGAGGCTGCAAAGCCGGCTGCAACCACAAGCCCGCCTTGGGGAGATGCAGATACTCCAACGCGCGGGCTCAGCACCATTGAGACGTCCACATGGTTCGTTTCTACGGGTGACTTTCGGCAGATGACAAAGTGACGTTGCATTTCGTATTCCTCGGTTTCTATACTCAGAAGTAATGACCAGTTTCAAGGTCCCCTGTAAGACACGGCCAGAAAGCGAGATCGTGTATCCTAAACAGAACTCTGGGCTTTCGGTCAATATATTTTCGTGTTGTAGAAGTTGTGTCATGGTTAATTTCAAGATTTATGCTTCTGTCCTGATCAGAAAGGGAGTTTCTTCCGCGTAGTGGGGGGGTTCCCTGCTTCACCGCTTATCACGTCATCTTTGGGCAGTGAGGTTGCACTCTTGCTAGTCTCGCTTAAGTAGGCAGCTCCAAAGAGTAATTTGTTGTCTGCTGAGGAAGGCGCGTCTTGCTAGAATCTGGTTCTATAGCCACACTCGCTTATCAAACGCAATCAATCCAGGAACGTCCAGTGACTCGCACTTGGCTGTACACTGGGTGGCACCAATGGCCCCGTTACTATCGACACCGTCCTTGGGGGCCATTGAGCTCTGAGCTTTGGGCTTTGTTCGCAGGTTCCCCGTAGGCGATGAGAGGAAAGGAATTTTTTCGAGGGCTTTCGAGGGGCAGAGTTGTTCGCACACTATGTTTGACGGCCTTTCCAGAAACGGATGCTAGATTGTGGGGACGTGGGGGACGAAGCACCCGTGGGAGCGAGGGATATCAAGAGCGGTGACAACAATGGCACCAATGCTAAAGGTGTGATGACAGGACACGTCGTCATTGTCGGCCAATGGAAAATCGGGACCTGGAAACCGACTTGGGACGCGATGGACTTGCTTAAGATGGTGGAACGACAAGAAACGCTGGATCTTGAGCATGAGTGGTGGCCAGGGTCAGATCTGACACATCCTGCGGCAATGTCACAACAATATGGAGACCAAAATGTGTAGACTTGGAGGATCCCCGTTCGGAGGCTGGGAGAAGATCAGCGCCCTGGAGTGCACGTGATACCATAAGTCGCGCTCCTAAGGATTTGAACTTGTAACACAGCTCGAGCAAGAGGTGATTCAAAACTACAAAGAGTGCCCCGGGTCCTCTTCTCTGTGTCTACTTGATCTTTAGGGTCCTTAGGCGGTCACCTCCGCTCCGGGACGGGTGACCATTCACCCGACGGCTGATGTCGAGCTGGCCAAGGCGCAACAACCTTGGACCCAACAACACGGCTTGGCCATGTCAACAGCCCCACACCCGAGCGCGGCTGATATGGGGACAGAGAACATCACCAGCATGCGGGCGGCCTGCTTTGCCAACGACACGAAGACGAAAGGAGGCAGGGTACGTGTACCACGTATCCGACGAGCCAGCACAACCGCAATCCGATGGCGATCCCTGCGAGACCACTTGCCCCAGCTCCACCGCGAGAGCTGGTGACTTCCGGGGAGCCGGTCGTCCCTCCGCCGCCGGTTCCGGGCAGACAGAGACGAGGCGGGCGGGGCGGGCCAGGACGCAAGAGAGCCGCCCGGGCCGGCGTCTGCGCCCGGTGCCGCTCCCGAGAAGACATCATCCGGGTCCCCGGCCGAGACGGGCGGGTCCTCTGTGCTGCGTGCCGGCAGCACCTGCAGCACTCCGGGCCTGAAGGCGAGGACGCTGCCGGCAACCGCCACATCAACAACACCATCTCCTCGCCAGCTGCACTCAAGGCGCACGTCGCCCACCTCGAGCAGCAGCTGGTCGCCGCTCAAACCCTGCTGAGCAGCCTGGGTTATGCCTCGACCGACTCTGTGCCGTCGGCGATGTTGACCGCCCGGGCGATGCTACCCCCGACGCCCTCAGCCATCGAGTTTGAGCTAATGACACGCTTCCCAGCACCTTTCCCCGTGCTGGACCACACCGATTCAGCCATGTTTGACACCTTTGCACGCACTCTGTCGCCGGGCCCGCGCACGTCCGTAACCGCTCTACCCGGTCCCAAACCCCGAGATCCCCGGCTTAAACGGCTGCGTCTGGCCCCGTGGCTTGCCGCCCCTGTTGCCGACGGTTTTGCCCAGGCCCTCATCGCCTTCTACCTCGATAACGACCACCTCGTCTTTCCCTTTTTCGACGCCGATGTCGTCCTCGATGGCCTTGCAGAGGGCATTCCAAGCGATGTCTGCTCGCCTTTCCTGGTGGCCGCCCTGCTTTACATGGCCAGTGTAGGTGGCACTCCGACTTGCCTGCTTGGCGGACCTAGCTGATGGCGGAGAAAACAGCTGGAATACGCCTCGATAGACCCCCCGGCCATCCGCGTCTCTACCATCTTTCTCGACGAAGCCCGCCGCCTGTGGCCGCGCAGCCCGGCCCCTGACACGGTCGCAACCGTCTCGGCGTACGGCCTGATGAGCGCCGCCCTCCTCTTTGTAGGCCAGGATACCCTTGGGCTCGAAACTGCCACTGCCGGCCGCGCCATGGCCCAGAGACTCGGCTTGTTCGGCGTCGACCCGGACGGCCCCCAAGCAGCAGTGAGGAGACTACCCCTTTCGACAACAGGTGGCGAGGCCCTTCGGCGGCGCAAGTGGCTCCGGGCCGCTGCGCACGCGGCATGGGGCACATATAACTGGCACACGTGAGTCTGCTCTCATTCTTTTCTGCTGCTTAGACCAGGCATTGCTGCTTGCCACTCGTCTGTGGCTTTGATCATGACCTGACCTAACCAATGGAATATGTAGCAAGCTCATCCTCTTCTACCACCACCCGCCCATTCTGCACCCGCCGGGCCTCAGCATTCCTGGAGACCCGCCCTCGCGGTACACTGCGCTGACTTTCGTCCTGTCGTGCGGCCTGTGGACGATCGCGCACGAGGTCATTGCCGTGTACGCGGCCAACATGGCTGGTGCGATCGCTGCCCGAGCACCGCTGGCGTTTGCCGAGGCAAAGTACCGGAAGCTGCTGGCCTGGACGGACTCTGTGGACCACGGAGAGCAGCGGCAGCAGGGCGTACGTCGGGGAGACGAGAGCCCTGCCGACGTCCTTGTATTCCAGTGAGTAGTTGGTGTCCGTGTCTTGGTCTTCATTTGCCTGTGATTGTACCGGCTTGCCGTTCGACATGACTTGTTTCTCCAGGGCATAGCTATCACCACAGTTATAATCGAGCATCCCGATGACCTCCCTGACTGACTGATTAACTGACGCATGTTCCCCCGGCACAGCATGATGTTCCACTTCGTCGTCGGCAAGATCTGGTATCCTTTCCTACAGGTGACGCCCCAGCCACGACTGCGCTCCTTTGCCTCGCGCGATGCCACGCCCTGGCACATCTACGCCGCCTCGGTCAACCAGCTCAAGGACCTCATCCTGCGCTACCGCGCCAGCTATCCACAGTCCCTCTTCACGCCCTGGTACAACCCGGCCCTCTTTATGCTCGCCGGCGCGCTCCTGCGTGATCCACTTCCTCCGTCCCCGCCAGGCATGTCCACAACTACAACTACAACCACCACCACCACCAACACCACCATGCTGCAGCTATCGCAGCAGCAGGAGAGGCAAGAGCAGCAGGAGCAGCAAAAGCTGTCCCAGGCTTTCCTGATCCGCAGGAGCTACCTCGTGCTCTGCCTCCGCTGCTGGCAGGACCTGCACGTGTGCTACCCAAAGTACCGGCCGGTGATGCGGGCCTTCCTCGCGCTGGCGCTGCAGGCGGGCGCCATCTCGGTGGCCGAGGCGAGGGCCCACGTCGCCGAGCTGGACCGCCGCGGAGCACACCACAAGCATGTGCGGCGGCAGCGGCAGCCGCAACCACAGCCACGGCAGCCTGGGGAGCGTCCGCACCGGGGTATTGGGGGCCGTGACGAGGGATCGCACCAAGATGAGTCTCGGAGCGCGGCCGCTGGTGCAACTGCCCGGGATGACGAAGAGCTGCACGCAGAGGGAACCATTCCAGGTGCAGAGGAGGCAGGACGAGACGGTGGCGGTAATGCCCGAGCGAGTTCTTCAAGACTCGACACAGAAATGCATGGCGCTGGGGCGATGGCAACAGTGACGATGACTACCACCGCCGAGGACGAAACTCTACCGGGAGCCACAAGAAAGGAAACGGCTGCCGGCACCGCCACCAACCCCACCGCGCTCGGCGGCCATGAAGAGGATGAGGAGGGGGAGGAGGTCATCGTCAACGCGACCCTCGTGTCCGAGTTCGACCTCCCTTCCGCGCCGCGCGAGCTCTCCGTGCGCGTCATGGAGGAAAAGTTTGAAGAGCTCGCGCTCTTTGCAGAGTTTACTGCCGACCAGGACCTGGAGGTGCACGGAGATCAGCACCAGGGCGGTGGCGGCGACCAATAGCATCTGCTGAATGGGAGGTAGATGTATTTCGTTTCCGTTGGTTTGGGGAAAAAAGAAAGAAAATTGGAAAGGCAGATAATTTGAGTCAGAGGGGTGCTTCAATCTTAGAATTGATTGAATGCGTATTGTGACTTATCACGATGTAGTGAACCCATCGGGCGGACTCATAAGTGACACCTGAGTAGCCCGAACCTGACATGTCTGAAATGGACAGAGCCGGGCGGGCGTTCATGTTATAGGAAGCTCCGGGGACCCAATCTTCGTCTTCTTGTTAGCTAGCTACTTCCTGCGCCTTCCCACTTGTCCGCATTAGCGTGGGACTATGGTTGCCCGAAGGCTGCTAGTCGCGTGACTTTACGTCCGCGATTTTCGGCGGCATATCTAAGCCCAAAAACTGCTATACGTCAGCATTTCGTCTTGCTCAGTGAGCTACACCGCGCAAACACGGCAGGCAACCTGTTTAGGAGCACAAGCGCAAGAATGACCCAGTGATGCGCTTGGAGCGTTGCCTCGTTCCCAAGTAGTGTCCCAAGGAACAAAGCAGGTCCTTTCTCGCCTCGAGACCAAGCCTCAACACCCAGAAACAAGGCAGCAACACACACGGCCAAACAGAAACAAGGGTGGTTTAGAGGAGATGAGTTTACTCACAAGGCCGCCCGGCCTCTTGAACTTGACCTTCTCCTTGGGCGCCGCGTCCCTGGCGGCGCGCCACTCGGCCTCGGACATGACGTTCTTGGGCACGAAGCCGTACTGCTTCTGGTAGTAGTCAACTTTCTTCTGGGACTCCTTTTCGCGGCGGCGTTCTTCGAAGAGGCGGAGCGGATGGCGGAGGAATGATGATGATGATGACGAGGACACTGGCGCTGACTCTGACGCCGGCGGTCGCGAAGTGGATGTCGATGGCGCGGAGGACGAAGCTGAAGAAGCGTGATCGCGGGAGGGATATAGCTCCTGGTGGTCCTGGGATGGCACAATCTTCCTGTCCCCAGTGGCAGCAGGGCCGGCCATGTTTGCAGATCGACTAAGCTCCGCTACGTCATCATCACCACCACCACCACCTTGCGAGTAAGGCGGGGGCATTGTCTCTTGCTCAGCGGCTGCATACCCAGCTCCCTCCTCGTCATCCGGCCAGGCGTCAGTACGGTCTCGATCATGACCCTCACCAGTCGCCGGTGCTGGTGCTGCCGCCACTTCTGCCGAAGTCGGGATGGTGACTGTGCTGATGGTTCGCGAGGCCGCTGCAGCTCGCGCACGCTCAGACTCGATTTCCTCCCTGCTTGGACCAGGTGAGTAGTCTGGCGGCGGGATAAGAGGGATGTGCTGGAGGTTGTTGGCTGCCATCGTGATCTTGGGTATCCCGCTGGCGACGGTAATCGGGTGCTGGAAGCCGGGCTGTGGAATCGTTGGCACTGTCACGACTAGACAGCTGAGAGATGAGGTGGCTAACAGGTGAGCTCGTCGCAATCAAAACACTGCTCCTTATTACGACACCCTGGCTGGGTAAAGCCAAGATTGTCGCAGGCAGAACCGGCAGGGGTCAACTTTGGCGGAGTAGGTGGCAATGAAGGGAAGGGTTCTAGAAGGGTTCGACGACAGCTTAATCAGGTCGGGGAGTCCCTGCAAGATATACCAGAAAGTGTGGACTGGAAGCTCCTGCACAACGTACAAGTGCACCCCAGGCTTGACCTGCAGCCATACGGCGCGCGGTCGCATGTGACCTCGTTTGGCAGACCTGACCCACCATCTGGGCAGCTCCCATGCACGCTCGAAAATGCACAAGTCACTATGCTGAAAGCACAGCCCCCCGCCACAGCCTGTTCGTCCAATATTCTCCGCCGCCAAGCACGAGCATCCCCAAGACGGTGATATCCTGGCCAAGCTCTATGTCCGCCACAGGAGACGAGCAAGAGTTGGTGGGGCGCGTGGCTATGCCAGCGCACACCCATCCGTCATCCATAGAACAGACGTCGCCAAGCCGGACCCCGGCATCCGCCATTGCTTGGCCGTCCGGAAGCCTCCGGCCGTGATTCAACTAGTACGATCTGCCTCAGACGACCATCCATCACCAACCACCGGGCTGCTTGTGTTGGTTCATGGTGGCTGTGACGTTGGAGGTTGCGGGTATGGCTGCTTTCATACGGCTATCCTCAAGGCAGTTATCCGCACTATCCCATATTGTTTCAAACTCGACGAAGCTCGAACACGGACATGGTTGATAAAAACAAGCAATGAACGATCTCAGACCTCCTGGTCCAGAGTTAATCGCCAGGCAGGATCGTTATATCTTGCATGTAGATCCTTGCTCATGTGTTCAAGCAGCAACTCAAGCATATCCCCGCCGCGCTCCGCCTGTCTATCACGGACATGGTCCATCAGCCCCGGGTCCACACCGAGGGCGAACTCGACATCGGCGCCGTGTCCGAGCAGGATCCTGACGAGCTGCTCCGCGTTGGAGTATGCCGCGCTTGCCAGGGGCGTGAGGCGCTGCTCCGGTATATCATCGACCGCCGGTCGTGTCCAACAGACATTAACATGTGCGGGCCGAGGCTGCCTTTCGATCAGACAGCGCACCATGTCTTGCTCGAGACTGGAGACGGCGTGGGCGAGCGCTGTTCTACCCTGGCTGTCCAAAGCCTCAATGTCTGCGCCCGCGTCCATGAGCAGCTCCAGCACGCGGACATCACACGTATTGATAGCGCGCTCCAGCGGCGTCACTCCTTCGTTAGTGGTGCTGTTAGCCATGGCGGCAGGGTCTCCATGCTCAAGCAGCAGCCTTGATATCCTGAATATCTCGACTACAGAAGAGGAGGCCGAGAGCGCCGACATCAGAGGGGTCTCGCCCGCGTTATTTGTCCTCTTGAGCTCGTCGGCAAGGGTGGCGCCGGCAGGATTTTGTTGTTGTCCCAGGTGATCAACCAAAAGGCGAACCATGGGCTCGGAACCCTGTGATGCAGCAAGGTTCAGCGCAGATGAGCCTACCAGGTTTCTGACATCCGCGAATGCTCCGCGAGCGAGCAAGAGCCGCGCCAACTCGACGTTGCCACATATAACGGCAACCATGAGCGGAGTCGTGATGTCGACTGGTCCGGACCAGTTGACATCCGCGCCGGCATCAATGAGGAGCTGGACCTCGTCGACATTGCCGCTGATGCTCTCTGCACGAGCCATCAGGGGCGTCCTTTCGGCTTTGTGTTCCAGGTCAGGGTCGACACCCAAGTCCAGGAGCAGCTTGACGGCTGGGGCCTTTGCCCCAGCGAGGACGCGGTGCGTCCGGCGCAGGTGCCAATCCGCGTCATAGCTTTGGCCAAATGGTCTAGGTTTGGACAAGGCCAGCCATATGGCTCGCAGAATGTCAAGCCGGTCGCCGCCCCCGGCAGGTACCGCGTCGGCCGCGAGATCGAGGGCACCATGCCAGTCGTCCCGGTGTAGCCAGGGATCCGCGCCAGCCTCGAGAAGCACTTGTACAGTGCTCATGTGGCCCTTTTGGATGGCGCAGAGCAAGGGCGTCATCGCCCTACTGTCGCGGGCATCGACGATGCTTCCCCGCGAGATGAGAAAGCGTACGATGGCGTCATGGCCGCGGTTGGTTGCCTCGTGGAGCGCCGTTCGGCCGAGCCAGTCACGCATCTCGAGGAGTGAGCGGCGTGACCAGGTCGTGACTTTGCGGCTTGTCCCATCGTGGGCGCTGATGAGCAGGCGGAAGAGCTCCAAGTTGTCTTGGCGGGCTGCTGTGATGAGGGGTGTCGAGTAATTGTTGTCACTGCCACGGTCCCTGCCAGCTGCGGATGGATTTGCGCCATATTGGAGCAGGAGGGAGACAAGCGGCAAGTCTGCTCGCCGTACAGCGATGAGCAGCACCATCGTGCCATTGTAGTCATGGCTGTCGCGTTCCAGGTCATGCTCATCATAGTAGTAGTTTCTCGTGCGTCCGGGGGCCGGCTCGTTGGGGTCAAGACCGAGTTCCAAGGCGCGCCTGGCAAGGTCGAGCATGCCACCGCGCCTGGCTGCGTGCCAGAGCGGCGCACTCTTGTTGCTGGCATATCTTACGTGCCTTGCAAGGACTCTGGAGGTCAGCGCCTGGTGCAGCTGGAGGTTGACGGCGGCCAGGCAGAGGACCGAGGCGGTGCCCAGGTACTGCGCGATATGGATGAGCAGCTCCGGGTGCAGGTCGAGCAGGCCGCTGCTTGTGTTGTCGTGGGCTCTGTTTCTCTGGACAGTAGCGGTCGGTGCCATGGTGGCCCTCACAGGGTCAGCCAGCTGCCGTGTTGATTCTGGGGTGTTACCCGTGTGCTTACAAGACGCCCTTCAGGCGTCCGTTTGGTGGATGGCACGTTTCGCTTAGTCATCAGACACTGCGCTGTCTAGGTACTCTCGGAAAGGGGCAGCGCAGCCAACCACGGCGGCCGTGGCACTCAATCAACAACCCCTACGCAACGTCACAATGTGAGGAGCGCCATGGCCTCGGGTGCAACTGACGAACAGAGACACAGACGTCTGCCCGTTCTGCCTGCCGAGATCCTGGTGCATGTCGCGCGACACCTGGACACGGCCGACGCGCTCGCTCTGGCCGCCACGAACCGCCGCCTACACGCGACCCTCACCGGCTTTGTGTACGCACGGCACATACGGTATAGCACCTTCAGCAGCGCGCCGCTTTGGCATGCTGTTTTGAGCCGCGACGGCGATGGACTGCTCGAGCTCGCAAGGCGCGTGCTGGACGCCGGGGCTGATCCTAACGAGCCCCCGCCACGCCGGAGACACGTTGCTCCAGGGACCTTGCTGGCGGACAACGAGAGTGCTACACTGCTGCTGGCAGCTATCCGTCGTGGGAACACGCCACTCATCTCACTCCTGCTTGCAGCCGGCGCCAACCTGTTCGCCCACGGGCAAACTGCCCGCCCACCCTTGGCCGAGGCAGCGCACAAGGGTAGGCTCGACATCGCACGTCTGCTGGTCCGGAGCCAGGACGAGTCCAATTCTGCGACCACGGCCCGGTCCTCCAGACGGGCATTACTCGACCAGCGAGGTGGCGACGGCAGGACCGCGCTGCACCACGCCGCCGAGCGAGGCCACGGCGAGATGGTGGACTTCCTCGTCTCCCAGGGCGCGCGGGTCAACGCCCGGGACCTGGATGGCATGACTCCTCTGTTGGGCGCCGTGCTCCGCGCCCATCTGGCCATAGTCCACGCCTTGCTTGAGGCCGGTGGAGACATGCTCCTAGCCAGCCACGATGGGCTCTGCGCCCTCGACCTCGTCGCGCCCATCGTCCCGGTAGAAGGAGGCGACCACCGTTTAGCACTCCTCAAGACGGTCATTCGCGCCATGGGCAGCCAGGCGCCCAAGTCCAGCGTGTTCCAATGGCTCGCTTGCGCTAAAAACATGGTAGTAGAGCACCTCCTAGCTTTTGGCGTCGACCCAAACACCACAGAAAATGGGATAAGTGTCCTCGGAGCGCGTGCTTGCAAACTGCCGAACTCGCAAGACATCCGCGCCGTTGGGCTGCTCATTGATGCCGGTGCAGATGTCAACCATATCGAGAAACACATGGGTTTCACGCCACTCATATTTGCTGCTACCAACAACAATATCGACGTAGCCAGGCTCTTGCTCGCTCATGGAGCATCGACGGCCATCAGAGACTTCTCTGGCATGTCTGCGCTGGCTTGGGCCACTTGCAAAGGCGACGAGGATATGGTGCGGCTACTTCTCGGTCACTTGGAGCGAGAGACGCCGCGGCCCGAGGCCACATCGTCGCCACAGAGCGCCACGGCAATTCCAGAAGTCCCAGGCTCCGCGGTCAAGGAGCAGCTTGCGTGGACAGACGACCAGGGGTTGACTCCGCTGATGCACTGTTTGAACTCCTCCTGGCCGTCTGAGGCAATAGCGACCCTCTTGCTCGAGTCCGGCGCCGATGCACACGCCACCCGCCCAGACGGCGTCTCGACGATGCAGCTCGCCATCGACACGGCCAACGTTTGCTTTCCTCGGCTCCTCCTCGACATAGGCGGCGTGGACCTCGAGGAGCAGGACCGGAACGGGGCCACACCACTCGCTCTTGCCGCCGACATGGGAGAGCTCGAGATCCTGTCCTACCTACTGCACCGTGGCGCTGAGGTTGACGTGCTCTGGACGCCGCCACTGAGTGGCTCGGAGCGGCGCATTACTCCGCTGGCCCAAGCCATCGAGTCGAATGCCCGGGGCGTGATGCAGATGCTGCTCGACCACGGCGCAGACATCGACATGGCCTTCGACGTGCATCCCCGGCTGCCCACATTGATCAAAAGACGACGTGTCAACAAGACCACGGTCGATCTGCTCTTTGGGTTCATGACCGAGGACCAGCGCGCAGAGTATGAAGAAATGGTGCCGAAACCGCGGCGAAAGAGGCATAGGCATTAATAGCGCAGGAGCAAGAATAGTAAACACAGACGCTTACACAGACTATAGAGTGCCTCCACCACAAGCAAAGGGCGACAAGAAAAGCGGGAGATGAACGGAGTCCCCTAAAAGCTCCGGAAAGGCAATGATAGTCATGGAGCATGTAGAAGTCATTGAGAAATACCAGCCTGCAAGTCATGAAGGGGCTCGAACCACCACTGAAGACCAAGTAGGTCGGCCTGCGTTCCCAGCAGACTCCTCCTAGTCCAACGGGGCACGGCAAATGCCAATAACACTGTCGAGGTTGTGTTGGATGTCGGTCAACCTTGGAGCCAGCCCGACGAAGTAGGCGTCGACTATATGTTGCAGGAGACCTTTACCGGCCAGCCAGCCGTACCAGAGCAGAAGAATCACGTACTCGAAGCAGACGCCCACTCCTTGAGGCAGGCTCTGTTGTCCCTGCCTCATACCCATGTACATCGCTTCAAAGGAGGCCTACCTGTTTTGTACACGACTAGGGATACTTAATTCGCTGACAGTGTCCTGCCAATCAACGTATACAATTCAAGGCACGAAACTTAGCTCGAACAAGTCAACATGCTCTCATTGCACAATTGTTTGACTGCTTTCCTGGCCCGTCACGCATACAACAACAGACTCACACGAGCTGGCTAGAGGCGCAGGAAAAGAAACGCCTCCGAATATCAGATTTCGTCAAATCTCTGAGCCCAATACTCCCACGAATCCTTGTCAAGCCCCTCTTCGTCTTCCTCATTCTCGACGAGGTTACCTGGCCGCTCACACAACCTGACACCCATAGCAGCTAGTTCCTTCCTGTACTGATCTACCAGTACGCTGCCGTTAAGCTCAGCAAGAGCTTCTTTGATGCGGCGTGCCCATTCTGTCACTAACCACTCCCTCATGGGAAGTTTCATGGCCATCGCCCTCCAGTACGCACAATCTAGGCACGGAAGCGATTCTCGTGCATTGATTGAAGAATCGTCCTCATCCAAGGCAGGGTCTCCAAAATCCGGTTTTGACTTGCCCTTCCCTTTCGGCTCCTCATTCTTGCCGGACGTACCATCATCACTTGGAGCCTCATTTTTTTCCGACTTATAATCGACGTCTGAGGCCTCAGCTTCGTCATAACTTCGCACACTGTGGTGTGTTTTGGAGTGGTTGAAGCTGTGTGCAACGAAAGCATGAAAGTCCGCGGCAAATTCTTCGAATCGGGCGTGGGCGTCCAGATCGCGCTTTCGACTCGAGTCCGTGGCAGAGTGATGACCATCGTCCCACGGTTTATCGCAAGTGTGTTCGAGCCAGAATGCCTCAAAAGTGAGTAGACGGAAAGCCTGCTGGTAGGTTTGGACGCTCCATGTGCATCCCCAGTATCTGATGAGCTCCGACATCGCCGTCGAAAGCGTGTCTGGTTCTTCATGAGGTGGCCACACACTGAAAAGGTCGAGGATGAAGTATGTCAAAGGTGTGCGGCCTCCAGGTGAGCATATACAGGCAGTCTCGTCCTTGATTTTGAGTGGCAAGACGATCCGTTGCAGGTTGTGCCACGGAAAGTAATCCACAGGAAACCGGTTTACCTGTTGTCCTATAGAGAAGCCAATGAACCCGGCGAGCATGTGCGCAATCGTGGTACGCGGGATGGTGTGTTGGTGTCGGCATGCGACGCATCTCCTTGATGCGGCGCAGTGTGGTGGGTGATTAGATTTCCAAGCATTAGAGAGGTGACACTTCACATCGCTACCGTGCTCGACCAACCAGGTTATTGTCTCCCAAGCACGGGTAGGTCTGTGCTGTGCAAGCGAGCGACCAAGAATCAGATACTCAAGCAGCGTCAATCCGTCCGAAAAGGGCGCGTTAATATCAAGAAAGCCTACTTTGAATAAAAGATGTGCAATCTCGACCTTGAGAGCTGAGAGCTCTGCGCGCGGACCCACGCCGTGGTCTGAGCTGGCCAACTTTTGCCGGATAGCGTCGTCGAGAACTCCGTGGTAAAGTGGGAGAAGCTGATCATCGCTGTTGGCATCAACCAAGTGATTCGGAATCGAAACCCCCAGCTCACGGAGCCTTCGAATCACGGATGCATAGTGTCGATCAAGCAGCTGCCCTTGATCCAAGCCATATCGTGCGGAATCGATCAGTCCAAAATGGTATGATGCAAGCTTCTCGAGCGTTTGGCGCCGCCGTCTGAGCTCCTTGAAGTAATCAAGAGGGCAGCGACGGCAGTCCCAGACTTGGTTTTCGAGGGATAAGTGCCGGGGGCGCATAGCACAGTTGTTAGCAAACGGAAGTGCCAGGGCGCCGGCATACCAGCAAGAGTGCATCACCGGTCCTTGAAACCACCCAGCCACACGCGCAAAAGAATTCTGGCTCATCTGACACACTTGGACAACGGTCTCCGCTATCCCGATCCCACTGCTCTTATCAGTCGCCTCAAGAAGCCCTCGGAGGCGCTGATTAGCACAGCGAGTTTCGAGGTTGTCTGTCAGTTTCACAGCTGCTATCAAAGCTCGGAAGCATCGGAAACTCCCTACACTGAGCGCCAGATGAAGATGAGTCAGGAAGCCAAAAGGCGGCGTGTCGTCAACTAGGCCAGGGTTCAATTTCACCATCTCGTAGACAACGTCCGGCTCCTTGCAAATGATGGCACGGCTAAGTGATCCCACATCGAACACTTGAGGCAACAAATCAGCTTCTTATATCTTGAAATGGGCAGTAACATGCATGCCGACGCTTGCGGAGTCGTCTAATTTGCTTACTGTTGCAAAAGACCTGTTCAGAGCCCAGGTTTTCGATCAAAGATCTCAGGGTTGATGCATCAAACGTTGCACTGCTCTTCGCATCCTCGTCATCGGTAGGGATCAACAACCGATGGACCTTGTCATAGCCAATGCTGGGGTAGTCGATCGAATAGCTGTGTAAAGGCCACCTACCTGCAATGTTAGTTCATTTGCAACTATTTCTCGAACAGAACTCAGCGTGTACACTTACCGTCCTCTTTTGTTCTGGTGAGCCACGGGGACGCCATGCGTCCGGATCAGCTCGCTTGCAAGGATAAGCCCTGTGTCCTCATTACTACTTTCGCTCCACAAAAAAAACTACAGAAAGCCGTTAATGTTGCCATAATAAATTGCGCCACACGAGGCGCAAAAATGAAATGTAAGGACTGATATCTCGTCAACTCGATATAGGACATCTTACAAGATTGACAAATCTGTGTAGTAGGGTCTCGTTGAATGAATTGACGTCGGTAGGAGAAGCTCGACGGCACCGGAATATTTCTTGTAGCTTGTTCAGCGCTAAGTCGACAACTTTGGCTGCTAATGGTTCGGTGAAGGATTTTGGTCGATCACGGGCATATGCAATGTATGATTGGAGCGTATATAGCACTCTGAAGGAGGGTGATGTCATTTCGTCGACCATCGAATGATAGGCAAGTCTGGGACTGACACTGAAACCCCCTGCACCTTGACAGCGGAAGTAAGTAGCTGTGAGCGCGATATCGAGGACCTTGCTGAACCAGGTGATTCGAGCTTTCGCAGACTGGCTGGTCTTGGGGCGATGTGTTGCAGCCTTGAAGTACCTGCACTGCGGACGGTGTTGGAAGTCTCTTTTTCGCATCAGTGAGACTGTGGAAAGGCCCAACTGTACTTCCCATGCTTCTGTCTGTTTGTACGGCACACATTTGCATTCAAACCGCGATGGCGCGGTAGGAGGCATTGATGCGGACAGCAGTTCTTGCATCTGGTCCCTCTTCGCTAGTCCATTCTGGAGTTCGTCTTGGCGTGCGACCAGACGTTGCATGGTTTCGAGGGTGAGATCAGCAGGCCTCTCAACGTCGCTTGAACGCTTGGCCAGCATCAGGAGCGCTTGGCGATTAAAGTCTGCGTGGGCCTCGAAGGCTGCAAGTTGTGCTCTGCTTTGTTCCTCAAACCGCTGCCCAAGGCTGTGAAATTCGTGTCCAACGTCGATGGTCGTCACGTGTTTGTTTGTTGCTTGCCGAGAGTGATGTCCTGACAACATATGGATTTCGTTGTGTATGCCGTAGAGAATTCCTGCCACTCCGGCACGGAAGGCCGCCTCTTCTGTGTCTTGCGTTGTTTCGTTCTTTTTGTATGCTTCTTCATATATTGCAATAATGGATGCCTCTCTCTCATACAACCGCCTGAGGAGCTTGAAGAAGGAAGCGTACTTCGAAACGCCGTGGGTGGGGAAAACGATTTGGAGGTCGCTTTTGGAGAAGTACGGTATTTCGGAGGGACCAGAATCGAAAGTGAGAAGAATTGTCCGGGGTGTCTGTCTAGCATTGTCCTTCTCCGCCGTGAGCAGACCGACTTCGGTGAGGACATGGTGGAAGTTGGGATCCTCGCAGGACTCCTCGACTAGGCGTCTCATCGAGACATGGATTTGCTCTCTCGGACAATTTTGATATTCCAAGCACTTTGCACGAACGGATTTGATGTAGCTCTTGGCGAATTGTGTACCCAGGTATAGGCGAAGCCTTGGCGAGATGCAGATTATTGCCTTGTCTACCGTGCCGATCTGGCCACTGCCGCCTAGTCGTTGAAACCCGGGGATGAGACAAGCTTGGTTGGCGACAATGTTGTGGCATGAGTCATGGTCGTCCGCACGACTTTCGAACAGGGGTGCCGGGTACCTGTCCGACAGAGTACGAGTATATAGTGACCGGAGTTGTCGGATGATCCATTTCGCAGTGGTCGCATGTGCAGGTTGTGCAGCATCGAGAGATAGGGTAGAATCGTGGGCGTACACGACGAAGGAAGAGCTAGCGTGGTGGGAACTTAGAATTCCTGTCTCTCGGAGGCTTTCGATAAGCTTTTCAAAGAGATGTTCGTTTGCTAAAGTTGTTGTTGTTAGTGTCGAAGGAAAAGCCCCATCGTAACTTGAGCGGGTCTTACCCTGTTCGGCACTCAGCATCTCGGACGCCATCGCGGCGAGCCAGCGGGGAACGTCAGCGTCCGAAGACGAGCATACATGATAAAGACGACGAGGAGCGGGAGGGGACAATCGAAAGTGAACGGACGCAAGGCTCTCTGAGGAGGAGGCACGCCTGATGGAAGAAGCAGGGTGGGGTCGCCCTTCTGCAATTACTGCGCCAGTCAGCCTGGCCAGATAGCCCGGCCTTGGCAGGCAGCAGCGTGGCTGCTTCATGCAGGCTCATACTACTACCCATATCTGCATGACGATCCCACGGGCCACAGGGCGAGGCATGGATGGGGTAGGCGACCAGCTCTCGTCTTCGTCCCACGTGCTGCTCAGAGGAATCCTCGGCCCCGACTCGTTCTTTTCAAGGCTTCTCTAAGGAGCACTGCCTGCCCCCTGGCAGTATGGAAGATTCATCAAAGTTGGCCTGCATAAGTACCTAGGTACCTAGTAAATCCCAGCCACTCACGTCGCACTAAAGATGCCGATTCACTGACAAAGGTTGTCGTTGGTAGGAATGGTTTACAGAGGAGCAAACGTGCATCTGAGTCTGTTATTACTCTATTTCCTCAGATTACACTGTTTCAATAACACTAACGTTCGTTCTCTCACACCTCCCCTCATCGTATCGTATACGCACAAATCCCGGCCCATAGCTTTACCCTTTCCTCGACTTTTCCGGGTCAACCCCGAGCTCCCGCATAGCCCTCTTGATGATCCCCTCGGCAACATCAATCACATCCCCGCCGCGCCGCCACGTGTACAGCGGCACGCCCAGGTCGTCCAGCGTGTCGTGGGCCCGCTGCACGCGCGCCTGCCACAGCTCGACCTTGCGGTCAACCGGCTGCAGCGGCTGCTGCTGCGCGTACGCGAGCTGGTGCGTCGGAGGTCCAACCTTGCTGTCCGGGGTCACTGCGTGGTTGTTTGGCATGGACGATGTCGTGCTGGCGGATCCACGACGGGAGGAGTCCTGCTGATGTTGTTGTTGGATTCCGTTGTCATGGCTGAGAGGTGTGCCGCGGCGGCGAGGCGGTGGCGGAGCTGGTGCGCCGTTACTTCTGGAGGTGTTCGACGACGTGGATGTGCCAAAACTGTCCTGACGGGACGCAGTTGGTCTCGGGGGCTGTGACGTTTGACCCTGAATGGGTGTCGATCGCCGTGGGGGTGGTGGTTGGGGCGTTTGACTGGATGCTGACTTAGACCCCGCTGTGCCGTTCTCCTCTCGGAATGATGGAACACCTTGGAGGGCTTTGGGCTTGACGGGTCGTGGCGGCGCCTTCTTGCCTGGTGCTTCTCCCTTTTGGGCGGACTCTGTCCTTGCGGGCATCTGTTGTGGCTCCTCCGAGAAGTCGATCAGGTCTTCTTCGGCATTCTCTGGTGGCTGGTTGCGCTGTGTCATCCTCGGCGGGAGGGCTGGCCGACTGGATGGATCGTCGTATTGACTGGTGTTGTTCTGAAGCCGGCTGGCGGAGTTTTGCCGAGTCGGACCACGGCTGCCCACGGCGAAGCTGGAGTCAAAGTATCCCTTCTTCTCTGGAGTTGTGACATCACGGATAAAAATGCCCAGAATCCGCTTCGGGTTGGCCACCGCGAGCTCAGTGTAGACCTCCAGATCAGCCTCGCCACTATCTCCGACAAGAATAAACTTGCGCTCGGGAAAGTCCTTCATGATGCGCTCCAGCGTGCCCTTTTTGCGCTCGGCCACAGGCTCAAAGATGCCCTGCAACATGCCGCTGTACGCCTTGAGATGGAGCGATCCCGGCGGCAAGCCCGCCAGCTTGAAGAACGTGGCCAGCACGGGATACAGCTGCCACGGGCTGTTTGAGCAGTAGTGGATCTTGACACCGAGCTCGTGCATCCTCGTGTACCACTCTTGCACGCCGTCGACGGCGGCGTCGTGCAGCTCGCGGACAAAGGTGTTGCGGAAGATCTCCTTGGCGCCGAGAGTGATGTTGGATCGCTTGATGGTGTCGTCAATGTCGCTGATCAGGCTAACGCCCTTTGGCTCAATGATCTGCACGGGTTCAACACATGAGATGTTCTCATTGGCCATGACCCGGACGTGTGTCGGCACAAAGTCGAGAGCGGCGCGTGTCATGAAGTGGCCAGAGTCGTTGGTCGTGATCGTCCTTGACTGCGACTGGCTGTCGTTGTAGAAGAAGAGAGTGATTGGGATCTCGACAAGCGGTGTCGTCATGAATGGCGCGATGCGAGCCATGAGGTTGGCGTTGGCCACTGAGAGCTCTGCGTTGCTGAGCTCGGTACCCGTGGTGGTCGCAGAGGTGTTTGTCCTGCGTATCGAGGCCCGACTCGGAGATCCAGGCCGCGATGTGATTGGGGTGGATCCTCCACTGCCGCGATAGATGCGTTCATGTCCCGCCTCTTCGTCATCTTCAATCGAGGGATCACTTGGCCGCTCGCTATAACCGCCCTTCTGTGCTGCCGCCTGTTCCTCTTTCCCTTGTCTTTCTATTTCCTTGGCCCGCATGGCGATGCGCTCCTGGTCGCGCATCTCTTCATGTTCCTGATGCCATGACGACGGACCCGTCTCTGCGGCATTACTGGTTTGCTGCAGGCTTGGCATGGGAATGCCACTGAGCTGCCTGGCGAGCCCAATCAACATCCGATTGCGGCGGGTAATCGGGCCGCGGTGCGGGTTGTATATCCATCCACGAATGTCGACATCCACGACCGCCTTCTCGTCCTCTAACCGCGACCACTCCTGCCGCCAGTACTCCTGCTCATTCATGCTCACCGCAGACGACTGCGGCGGACCGCCCGGCACTTCGAACTGCCTCTCCTCATTGCGGACGTGCCGCTTCGCGTACGAGGGGAACAGCACCATCTGCTCGTCGCCCTTGGTGATGATGGCCACGTCCGGAAACGAGCCCGGGATCGTGATCTTGGAGGTGTCCGGGTGATCAATCTCGCGGGCGCGGGTCTGGTTGTACGACTCGCGAATCTCGCTGGCCGCGCTCGCCCCCGCGCGGTACACGCTGCCCGCCATCGCGGCGAGCTTCCGCCTCCTGGACCCGGGCTCCCGTCCTCCGGCGGCGCCGCCGGTGCCGGCATAATTGCCGCTGCCCACCCCGTACCCTGGCATCGAGGATGTCATGTTGTTCTTGCCGTTACTGTTGTTGCTGCTGCTGCTGCTGCTGCTGCTCTTCTTCTTGAAGTAGGTGCTCTTCGCAAAGGACGGGATGGGGTACCGTGGGAACTGCCCATGCTTTCCCGCGCCGGCGCCAGCTCGCTGCTGCTGCGGCTTGCGAGCACCGGTGAGCAGCCGGCGCGCCTGGTCGACGAGGCGCGACTGGTCCCGCCTGCGGCGCTGGCGCTCGAGGATGAAGCGGTAGATGCGGCTCTGGAGGCGGTGCTTGACGCTGGGGAGGGTGTCGAGGTGGAAGTTGAAGAGGCGGTCGCGGTAGCGGTCGCGCAGCGGCTTGGGAAAGAGGTACTGCAGGAGGCTGCTGCGGTTGTGCGGGTGCGGGCGTAGCGGGAAGAGTCGACGTGGAGGAGCCAGCTTGTATACTCGTCCTAGGCGAGCAACGACGCGGATGAGCTGGTCGATCGGAGGCGGAAATACGTGCCGGATGAACGATGCTGGTCCCGTGAGCAGAATGCACAAGAGTGATCACACGGCCACGCTCAGATGGGTTGCGCAGCGGACTCTCCCTGACCTCGACAGCTCGAGCTCAATGGAACGTGCTGGAGTGCCGTGCGAGAGGGAGGCTGGCAATGGCGGTTTCGAGCAGGGCGGCGCGGGCACTGGGTATGATGTCGTCGTGGCGGATAGCACATGCTGCAGGATTGCCGGGGATGAGGCTCTGGAATGGTAAGCTGCCCTGCTTCGGCGGGGGCGGCCCACGATTGCATGGCCGAGCAGTGATGTCAGTTCCCCCAGTCCCCACACCCCGCTGCCCATCCAGCCAGCCCAGGCGCACACATCGAGCCACTCCTAAGATCCGGTCATGGTCGTGTCAAATGAGCGCAGCTTTAGTCACATCAGTCATCTGCAAATACACCATTCGCTCTCGGCACTTTGTCCACTTTGTGGCTGAATTTTTGTATGTATGTACACGTAAACCTCTCGAGCCCCAGACAGCGTCTCGAGTCTACCTCTTCTTCCCCTTGGGCTTGCCCTTGGCGCCCTTTGCCGACTTGTCCTTCTTGAAGTTGAGCACGGCCCCCTTGCCCGCCCGCTCCGCCGAGCCCTTCTTCCACGCCCGGCCTTCGGCACGGTCCGTCTTGGCGTCGAGCTTCTTGCGGTCCTTGTTGCTCAGCTTCTTGCCCTTGGCCTTGAGCGACTCCTTGAGCCCGTTGAGCTCGGCCCGCCCGGCGTCCTTGGCCTTCTGCTTGTCGTGCTGCGTCTCGAACCACGTCCGCTTCGGCCGGCCCTTGATTTCCTCCTCGTGCGCCATCAGGTTCTCGCCCTTCTTGATCTGCATCTCCACGTTGGCCAGCTGCTTCTCCTCCTTCTCCTCCACCATGATCGACTCAATCTCCTCCTCCATCTCGTCAACCTTGTCCTGCCACTTGTCCGCATCCGTCGGGTCGATGACCACGCTGCTGATCTTGGCGTTCTGCGCCTTGGCGGCCTTGACTGCGGCCTTGACGACCTTGCGGTCCGGCTCGGCCGCCAGCGTCACGGCGACACCGGACCGGCCTGCTCTGGCAGTACGGCCGATACGGTGAATGTAAATCTCCACAGACTGGGGTGCTTCGTAGTTGATGACCGTGTCGATGCCCTTGATATCGAGACCTCTGGACGCAAGATCTGTAGCCAAGAGGAATGATACCTTGCCGTCACGGAACTCCTCGACACTTGAAATACGCTGTTGAATGATGTTAGTAACTGTGATGAGACGATTTGTCGAGTTCCTAAATGGAGTAAGAAAAGGACATACCTGTGCCTGGTTCATGCTACCGTGAAGCTCGGCGCACGACATGCCGAGCAGCCCAAAGATGATGCGCGCCCGATGCGCCTCCTTCTTCTGCCTGAAGAAGATGATGACGCGCTCGCTGTGCATGGTCTTGCAGATGTGCACGAGGTAGCCCATGCGCTTGTCCTCGCGGCCGGGCCGGAGGCGCACAAACTTCTGCTCGAGCTTGTCGACCGTCTTCTTCTGTGAGTCGACCATCACCCGCACCGGCTTGTTCATGCCGACGCGGATGAGCCGGTCGACAGAGGACGTCATGGTCGCGGAGAAGAGCATCGTCTGGCGAGACTTGGGCAGCGTGGTGAGGATCTCGTTGAGCTCGTCGGCGAAACCGTCCTCGAGCATGCGGTCGGCCTCGTCGAGCACGAGAATCTCGACCCTGTCGGTCGAAAAGCTGGCCGAGTTGCGCATGTGGTCGATGAATCTTCCGGGGGTGGCGATGATAACGTCGGGGCGCAGGCGCAGCTCGGCCTCCTGGACCTTCAAGCTGAGACCACCGACAGCCAGACAGAACTTGATGTCTGTGTAGCTGGCGAGCTTGGTGGCGACGGCGTGAGCCTGGATGGCCAACTCACGGGTGGGCGTGAGGATGACGACGCGCGTGGTCGGCACTTTCTTGGGTCGGTACAGCAGGCGCTCGAGGATGGGCAGCACGAAAGCACCAGTCTTTCCTGAACCAGTGACGGCGCCACCGACGAGATCCTTGCCCTCGAGGGCGATGGGTATCGACTTGGACTGGATGGGCGTGGGCTTGCCAGTCCAGCCGACAGCGTTGAGGCCGCGGAGGAGAGGTCGAGAGAGGTAGAGTTCTCTGAATGACGAAGAAGCAGAGCCGCTCTTGGTCTTGTCCTCGGCCTCCTCTGGCGCGAAGAAGGCCTCGCGCTTGGCTGCCTCCTCTGCATCTTCCTCGTCGTCCGAGTCCGAGTCTTGCGCATCGTCGTCGGGGTGTTCATTCGGCGTGGCCACGGAGTCGTCGTCAGAGGCAGCCTCATCGTCCTCGTCCTCGTCATCCTCTGCGCCCTCATCACTCTCATCATCCTCGTCACCTTCTTCCAGCGCATCCTCGCCAGACTCGTCCGCAGAGTCGGCACCCATACCGAAGCCATCCGCAGCGAGAACCTCGTCATCATCATCGTCAAGGTCAATCTCGACTTCATCCTCGTCCTCCTCGTCATCCTCCTTCGCAGCATCGGCGCCGTTCTCAGGCTCGTCCACGACCTCGCCCTTCTTGACACGCCGCTTGCGTATTATCTCATTCAGGTCGACCGCCTTCTTATCGCCGCCCTTGACGCCAGCCTTCGTGGCCCCGTCGAACCCCCAGCCCTCAAAGTCCTCGTCACGGAAGTCCGCGGTGCCGTCAAGCATGAACTCAAAGTCCGAGTCCATCGCGCCGTCGTCGTCGGGCTTGTCCTCGTCCTCGTCCGCCACGGCAGCACGGCCGCCGAGGTCCAACTCTTCGTCCTCCTCATCCTCGTCGTTCTTGGAGCCTCTCTTGTTGTTTCCCTTCTTGTTCTTGTTCTTGGCTTGCTTCTGCTGCTTCTTGGACCCAGCAGCGGCGGCCTTCTTGCTCTTCTTCTTGGGCGGCTGCTCTCCCGCCGCCGCCGCGCCAGAGGCACCACCCTCCTCTTCTACGCCGGCATCGTCGTTGTCGGAGAGTGTGTAGACAAAGTCGTCTTCGATCTTGCGCTTCGACATTGTGTGCTTCGGAATTACTGGCCTCTGCCCCGGGGCGCAAACGAGGTGTGGCTGTGTTTGCCGGGCTACCTAAGCCTCGAAGGTGTCGGTCGGAATTGTCTGTCGTGTTCAAGACAATATCTTTTTTTCCCAGTGAGCCAACGCGGAGGTTTCGGGGCTCAATGAGTGCGTTGTGTTCTCGAGAGCCTGTCGAGAGATTGAAGACGCTTGGTCGAGGTTTGTCTCGAGTGGGTGGGCACCAGAGAGCTACAAGCACCAGCAAAGTGCGTGTGGTGCAGTCCAGATTATTTTTTTCTGCCGGGTTGATTGAGTCCCCTGGCGCCGCCCCACTCTCTGTCCGTGGAAGGCTTCCGTTGCATGTAAGAACCGTGGACAGCACCGCGACAGACTCGAAGAATGAGCGTCCCATGCAATATCTCGGCGCATTGGTTTGAGTTATTTACTATCATGATGTACCGGGTACTTACTGTGAGAAAAACGCAAGAAATCTATTCCATTGTAGTTGCGAAACCGTGAGCTGCAAGGCAGTGCTGTATGCTGGGCGCCTCCACCACCCACTCACCGCCTTCGACCACGAGTGAATGCCTGCTGCGATCAATCAACTTCTCGCTGAAGCACATGAGATGGCCTCGCTGAAACAAAGTTCAGGAGTCTCCATTCAGAAAAGCGTCAAGGAAATATGTGCAGTGAAGTCAAAAGTGTCACAGCAGCTGGCGCTTGGTGAGGGAACCCTCCGAGTCAATACTGAGTGTCCGGCGTGGTCACGGAATCAGACACACAAGACCAAAGAGCGGATGGGTGAATGCCTCAATAGTATCCTCATCGAAGTCTCAGCTAGGCGTTCGCACGGGAAATTCCTTCAAGCTCAATCGCAATCCACCACTTTGGTGCACCTTTCTCATGGAAAAAATGAGGTCGCCTCCATTTCAATAAAACATAACAGTCGTAAAAATCGGTTCGCCATAACCATCGCTTGGAAAAATCGAAGTCTTCTCAATGATGCTCTCTGCAATCACAATATCGAAATGGGTGCTTTGTCCCAGCCTCTGGCGCGGATCCATTTCGACGTTCGTGGCCGGATCTGGTTGCTCCCAGATCCCCATGCCGATGACCCGCCCCCCGCTCAGAGATCAATCAGCATTCGACCCCTCCGATCTACTGCAGCGGCGCTTTCCTCTCGTAGACGTGGTCCTTTTTGATGACATGCTCCTTGCTGACCTTGCTACCACCGCGGGCGTTGGCTGGGATGTGCGCCTCGTCAAAGCCTGGCGCGCGGTCGTGACGCTTGATGATGTGCTCCTTGATGCCTGCGCCGCGCGCGCCGTCGGGGATGTGCGCCTCGTCGAAGCCGAGAGCGCGATCGTGGCGCTTGACGTTGTTGTTGTCACTGTGCGGTTCGGGAGCGACCGTGGCGATTGCGGCGCTGGCGCTAAGAAGGGAAACGATGGCCGTGGCGAGCTTCATTTTGGGCTGCGCTGTGTGTCTGAGTCTTGTTTCGATCTCCAGATGGCTGTCGGGGTGGTGCGCTGATGGTGATCTTGCTTGTGCGTGCGGACAGGCGATACTGATGCAAAGATGGAATTGAAAGGGCGCAGGAGAGCGACACATTGTAGGCTCAGCTGGATACCCACCTCTGCAGCGAGGCTTAGCGCCGACATGCTAGAGCGAGGCGCAATTTCCACAGTGAGTGGATCTCCCGCTGTGCCTCCGATGCTCCCCAGACCCCCAGGGCTGATCAAATGGAGCACCTCGATGGTTGAACGATGCCGTTGCCATTCTTGGCAACGGCGTTTCTTCCGTCATAACATGCCCGCCGCGATATTGCTGTCCCATACAAGCTCCTGGCTCAGGTATGAACCCAGATCAATGTCCTGCAATGACGGAATCTCGGCCACAAGCCCATCCAGCCACCCGAGATCAGCTTCGCCAAGCTGCGGCGCCTGTGACGCGACCCCTGCCACGGCAGTCTTCTCGGACAACTGACCCGGGACAGGGTGCTGCTTGAGGATATTGCCCAGCCGGGCAGCACAGCGCTCTTTACGTTTCTGGTGTAGCAATATGAGCACAGAGGCCGTGCCTAGCGCCTCCTGGAGCGCCTCGGTTTTGTACTTGGCCACAGCGCTGCTCAGGCATTGCATCGCCTCGCCGACCAGGCCAATGGAGGCGCTTGTGTCGATAGCGAGCAGTATGCAGACGACTTGGAATGGGACGTTGGCCATGTGGTGCCATGGAAGGCCCTCGTCAATCATTGTCTGGGCAGCTCGGATACCGCTCATCGTCAGGTCGAGGATACGTGCCAGCAACGGGCCGGTAAAGGCAGCGTTGTTCGATTTCAGGCGGCGGCATATACACAACATCAAGTTGCACTGAGCCATGGTGGAAGGAACCTTTGTGTGTTCGCGGTCCAGGACCTCCACCAGAGCGTTCTCTAGCTCAGGCACACTCGGCTCGTGGTCCGGGTTTAGGATGGCCGAGTATGGCAGTAGTTCAAGAAGCTCAACGGTGAAGTCCCCGTCCCGAGGTTTTGGTGATATCGTCGTGGCATTGTGGAGGACGATGCGCGACCGCGCCATGTCGAAGGACATCCAGGTATTGAGGTGCTGGGAAATGCCAAAGATGCGGCGGCGTATGTCAGGATCGACAGTCTCGCCTATCGAGGTGGTGGGAAAGACCGAGTCCTCTGATGGCTCGCAGTGCAGGTTGGCGGCCTCGACAATGTGCATGAGGATGCCAGACGCCATCCAGGCGGCATGGGGTGTGCCGGTGATCCTGAGGTAAGTCACGCGTAGCACCCAGGCTGTGACCAGGGTCACTGTCGGGGTCATGGAGAGCGCTGCCTCGAGCAGCAGCCTCGCGTGGTGGACGAGATAGAACTCTGCCTTGGTGGGCTGGACATGCGAGTAGACATAGCCCAAAGCAGCGACACCACAGAGGACGGCATCGTATTCGTGCTGCAGGACCGGGTCAAACCAGCGCTTCTTCATCTGGCGGTCAAACTCCCTGCGGTCGATGAAGCCGTAGATTGGATCGACGCAGTTGAAGTAGACAGCCGCCAGGGTCTCCATGTCAGTCTGTGATAGAATGTGGATGACCGAGGGAGGTATCTGATCACAAGAGACACCTTCGATCTTGTCCCTAGACCCCATGAACGTGTTCCAGGCGAAGAGATGCGCTCGCGGAGCGTTCTTTGGGTCAATCCTCAAAGCCAGCCTCCTGATGAAGGCGGCGCCAGAGTTGGCCTCGAGGGATCGCAACGACTTCTCCTCGGGCGAGGGTATGGACAGGCCGCCATCGCAGGGATATACGGCAGCGGCGGGTAGAGGTCGAGCCTGAGCATTGTAGCTGGATACCCGAGCCCGATTCGCTGGAGAATTGGGACGCTGGTGGCTGGAGGCATTAGTGGCCCGGCTGAGGGGCGATATTGGGGATGCCTTGAGGTAGCCACAGTCGTACTCGAAGCGGACGCACGAGGTGCATGGCTGGCCGCCATCGCACTTGCGCTTGAGCGAGCGGCACGGCTCGCAGGCAACCTTGGCGCGTCTGCGTTTCTGCACGGCCGACATAGTGTGGGCCTCTCGACAATACGGTGTCGCCCCGTGATCTCAAAGTGGGCAACAAGAGGTTGGAGTGTAGCTGAGTTCAAGCTCCCGATGCCACAGCTGGGCAGCTGGGGCGAACGGCTAGGTCGGGCGGGGCGGCAACCACGGCAGGAGCGGGAAGGAGCGGGAAAATCGGCTGCGACCCTCCCGCCTGCGCTTGCCGGCCACTCACATCAGCCACCTGCATCACCAACCAACGAAAGCAGCCTTGGGTACCCCAGACGAGCTGGAGCCTCGCGAGTCGGCTTCAGCTCCAAGGGGCAGGGCGTCTTAATTAGAAATCAGACCTCCATTTGCAATCATTCCATTCCCCGCTCCTCGTCCTTCCATGTGATGTTTACTCGCTTGATATACAGGACAGCTACGCCATGATTGAAGGGCCACAATGCTCACTTGCACCAGTCCATTCTTTGACCTAATACTAACAGCAAACGTCAAAAATCCCACCTCCCATCCTCCCACGACCCTGAAACGCACCCAACTCTCAGAGAGTCATGTCTGAATCTTTGAAGACCCCGCCTCTTGGCGACAACTCGGACCCAGAGTCGTCCAGCGCCGACGCCAACATGCCGGAATCCAAGCCCGACCTCCAAACCATCCTCAGCCAGTCGCCGCCACCAGACGGCGGCATCAAAGCCTGGACGCACGTCGCCCTCCTCCACATTGTCTTCTTCAACACCTGGGGCGTGTCGAACAGCTTTGGCGTCTTCCAGCAGTTCTACGTCTCCGATCTCCTCGCCGGCCAGTCACCCTCGTCCATATCATGGATCGGCAGTGTCCAGACAGCTTGCCTCTTTGCGCTGGGCGTCTTCTCCGGCCGGGCCACTGACGCTGGCTACTTCCGATACGTCTTCTTCACCGGCGTGTTTCTTCAGGTCTTTGGCCTCATGATGGCCTCTCTCGCCCAGAATTACTGGCAGCTCTTCCTCGCCCAGGGGCTCTGCCTCGGTGTCGGCAACGGCCTCTCCTTCATCCCGGCCCTGTCAACCACATCCACCTATTTCCGCAAGAACCGTGCTGTGGCCATCAGTATCGGGGCTGCAGGAGCGGCCCTTGGCGGACTGATCTACCCTGTCCTTGTTCAGCAGCTGCTGCCCGCCAACAAGCTCGGCTTCGGCTGGACAATGCGTGTGATGGCTTTCCTCATGCTGGCAACCTACGTCCCGTGCCTCATCTGGTACGCCCCGCGGTTGCCCCCGCGCAAGACGGGACCCTTGATCGACACGACGGCATTCCACGAGGCCCCATTCCTGTTCTTTGCGGCGTCCTTCTTCTTCAACTTCTGGGGTGTGTATACCGCCTTCTTCTACATCAGCTCGTTTGCGAGGGACCAGATCGGCATTGCGAACCCGAGCAACCTCGTCATCATCCTGAACGGTGCTGGCGTGATTGGACGTCTGCTGCCCGGCATCGTCGCCGACCGGTTTACGGGCCTGTTCAACCTGTTGGTGCCCTTGTGTTTTGCGGGGTCTCTGCTCACGTACCTCTGGAGCCAAGTGCACTCTCCCGCGGGGCTGTACGTGTTTGTGGTGATCAATGGTCTCGTTGCGCACGCGATGCAATCCATGTACCCGACCGTGGCGACGACGATGACGCCTGACATCAACAAGACGGGCACGCGAGCGGGCATGATTACGAGCGCGGTCAGCATCGCCGTGCTCACGGGTCCTGCGATCAGTGGGGCCTTGATTCAGCAGGACCATGGCGGTTACCTGTACGCACAGATGTTTGCCGGGACGTCGATTTGCCTGAGTGCGTTCTGCATGTTGGGTGCCAGGGTTTCCAAGGCTGGGTGGAAGCTGGTCGTCAAGGTGTAGGTGGGAGGGTGGACGTCGAGCTCTCAAGATGTTATGTTTGTCTAATTATGTGCGAGACATCTAAAAGTGACAGCTATTCGAGTCAATTTAGTCCACATGATGGACGTCCCAGCTATAAACAGTCTGGCAAAGGGTGCAAACATGACGGATGACAGTTGGACGTTCGGAACCGGGTCCCACTATTGCCCGCAAGCCTGGGACTATGGTGCTCAGGGGATAATGGTAAGCGTAGAGTAATTAGCCGTGATACGCCGTCCCTAACCACCGGTGAGCAGGGACATGTGGAGCTTCCTAGCGAGTGAGCACTAGATGGAACCTTTTGGGATATCGGAGGATTGCCCGTTAAGTGGCATTCTTACATGGGGAACTAGGCTATGCGGAGCTGAGCTCGCAACTCGAACGGGGGAACATGACGTGCATGGGGTCCCCGGTCTGCGTTGGTGTGCCTGATTTGCCGAGGCTGGGGACTGTCTTTTGCTGGTGCGGACGAGGGGGCCGCACCTGCCGCCGTTCTCGCTGTAGTGGATACAATATCCCATGATGTAAGTTCAAACTCGTTCGATGACCGCCCGCCCGCCCTTGGATGCAAGGCCGTGTTGCAGACAGCGCGCAGGGATCGTCGATGCAGGAGCGGGCATGCGGCGGGCATAGGGCGGGCGTTGCAGGTCCAATTGATGGGCCGAGTGAGTGCTTGGGGCAGGAGCTCTAGCCTGTCCGCCCGTACTTAATAGCCCCGTGATTGCCATCAAGGGACGAGTGGGCAGGCTTTCATTTTTCGTCTCAATATTGTGACAAAGACGTCATATTCATTCACACAATCAAACAAAAGCCGTATCACGAGCGGTGACGCTTGTTGTTCCTTCTTGAGCCCAGCCTTGACACTCACTCACAATCAACATGTCGGACAAGAGCAGGCCCAAGACCACGATCACGACCACGGCTCCCGGTCAGGAGGGCCTTTTTGACGGCATGTACGTCACCCACGTCCCAAATCAAACCCCCCCATCCATGTGTGAAGCACCACCACATACAGCCCTCGCAGCCTGTGCTAACCACGACCATCTCCCGCCACAGCGTCAACCCCGGCGGCGCAGCCCTCGCCGTCTCCTCGGTCGCCTACATCGCCTTCATCCCCGTGACGAGCTATCTCGCGCGCACAGATTCGGTCCAGAACCTGATCAAGGCCCTTGCGGGAGTCATCCCGGGCTTTCATGCGTCCTCCGCGGTCCCAGGCGCCGTCTACTCCTCCGGCATCATCCCGGCCCTCAGCGCCGTGTACGCCTTCTGGACCTACGCCGGCTCCGGCGCCCTCTCCGCCACGGGCCAGGCCATCGGCTGCGAGGGGGGCTACAACAACGACCACCCGCGCCAGCACATCGGCGAGCTCCGCGGCTTCCCCCTGCGCCTACGCAGCGCCCACTACGGCCTCGTCGAGAACTTCACCCCCTGGGCCCTCGCCGCCGCCCTGAGCCAGGTCCTCGCTCCCGGGGACGCCCAGATCGTGAGCCTGCTCGGCGTGCACGTGCTCATCAAGCTCGGCGTGTACTACCCGGCGTACCTGCTCAACCGGAGCAATGTCCGCTCGTTGGCGCACCTGTCGGCCACCGCCGCGTGTGTCAATGTTTTGATCCGCCTGGCGAAGAAGTGAGCGTCGGGGGGGTTGCAATTGGGAGCTATGCTGAGCCTGATCATTGAATATCGGAAGTGACGCCGGCTTATAGCCTGGACCTCAGAGTCTCATCATGTGTGGATTTATACGCTGTGGTCATGAAAGGCAGGCCCAGGCTTATAAGTTCAAGATAGAACCGGGGCACTGCAGAAATGGCCATACGAATGGCCGTGTACGTGCGTCGGAGAAAATGTGCAAATCACAAGCAATTTACCTGACTTCTGTTCCTCTTACGTTGCGCTGGTTCATGTCCTGATTTACACCGATAATCCCAACCAAATTTCCATCGTACTGAATGCTTTCCTCGCCCATAGGCCTGAGTCGTATCGCACTACTACTGTCTCGAGAAAGCACGGAAACGGTGGAGATGGCCTCCTACTATAATGGAAGCGATGTGTTAGGCTCCCGCAATACAGAAGACTCTGTGAATGGAGATGAGAGATCTTGCTAGGACTATCATCGCAAAGTCCAAATTTCAGATCGACCCGCACACGCACTTGGTAGTTGGATGGACTATTACTCAGGAAGAAACGCTCTGGTACATCAACATCAACACGTCCAACCCCAACGGGCCCTCCGTAGTTGACTGGCGCACGTACAGCAACCCGGTCGATTATGACATCCTGATCGCCATAGCGCGCTTTTATCGAAAGCTGAACCTCGAGTTCCCCGTGTACGCGCCGTTCCAGCCCGATGAGACCGGCCCTGGGCTGGGCGTGCAGACGAAAGACGAGGGGGTGGCGTGGATCCGGGACCAGTCGCAGCCGACCACCATGCACCCCACGAGATCGTGCAGGATAGTGCCGCGGGCGCTGGGCGGCGTGGTGAACGCGGAGTTAAAGGTGGATGGGTTGCAGGGGCTCAGGTGGTGGACACGAGTGTGATGAATAAGCTGGTCGGCGTGGACATTTATCAGACTGTGTATGCGATTGCTGAGCGGGCGGCAGACCTGATCAAGGGGGCGGTTTGACCGAGAGCAGATGGGTCTTTCAACGAGCTGGAGAGGTAGTCTGTAGATTCTTGATCGATCGATGGAAAGGGCTTCGCACGATCGCGGTACTCCGTCTTCATAGAGAAGCTTCCTGCTCAGCTTGGACTCCTTGGGTCCCTATTTCGCAGGTGGTAGTGTTTTAGGCCTGGCACTTGGCGACAAGGAGGCTGAAGCCTGGGATGCATTCAATTTCCACATGATTTACCTGAGCACGGCTGAGCAGAGACATGGTCCAGCTTGTTGGCCACAGCCCTGAGGAGGACAAGATGAGGGGCCACTTGCTGCTGAAGTCCTCGGCCTCCTTTACCATAGTGGATTGAAACCATGCGTGCAAGTCCCTCGTGTAGGGCGATATATAACTTGCTCGCCAACCACGCAGTCAGATTTCGTCCGCTGTCACTGTCTCCGCCTAACTATGCAATAGTCACCCGCTTCCTTGTTTTACAAAGATTGCGGTCATCTCTTGAAGATTCTGACGAGATACGACGGTCTCTTCACATAGTATTGTCTCACTACTCGACCATATCTTCGCCATGAAGTCCAGCCTTTCCACTGTCCTCCTCGCCTCGATCGCGAGCACGACCATCGCGGCCACAGCAACAAGCACGATTGACCCAGCCGAAGGCCAGAAATTCTTTCTTGTGGCCCAGTTCTACGGCCAGTCTACAAACTACAACCCCGCCGCAGGGAGCTTCTGCGTGAGCCCTCATCCCAAGAACAACGAACAAGCGAGCAACATTGTCAAAAACTGCCAGTCTCAGGAATCAGAATTGTACAGCTTCAAGGGCGGCAAGATCTTCTACGACGGCTCGACTACGCGTCCGGGGACAACATGGACGCTTGCCGCAGACCCGGGCCTGCTGTCTGACTCGTGGTGGGACGTCACCTGGAATGCCAAAGCCTCAGGTACAGAAATGACCTACTCTTTGTCGATGGGGTTCATGCACAAGGGGAACGACACCCAGTCAGAGAACGGGTTGCGCTTCATTGCGTGCAGATGGGCACACAACCTCAATTGGCAGCTCTTCGCGCTTACGAAGGATGGCGCGACACCCATTCCAACGAATTGTGAGATTGTGCGCTTGTACAGAGGGTGCTCTTACCGGAGCAGTGGATGTGCAAAGAACCCGTTTTGAGCGTGCTCGGGCACAGCACGAAGGAGCAGTGTGGTATAGCAGTTGATTATGTGCAAGGACGTGCTACTCACTCTACTGTACTTGTGCCAAACTCACTCTGCAGAGAAGATAAATCGTGTGAAGAAGTATCTTTGGCCAGTCAACGCCTTCAGCCAGATATCCAGTTACTTTACTCAGGATGCAACGGTTGTGAATTTAGTGGTTAATCAAAAATATTGCAAACTCGCTAACGTTTGATCTGCATGCTATTCCAGGTCATCTATGCAACTGCCCCTGACTGTCTCTATCTCCATAAACCCCGCGGATCTCTGGCAAAACAATCCAGAGTGTATGTATCCGTCCAACCCACATACATCGGAGGACTCACAACGGACAGGCACCACTACACGTGTATGCCATCTTGCAAATTGTCTCGGCACCCGGGTTCTCGGTGTTTTTGCAAGTGAGTGACGAGTCACTATCTTGCTTGCACCTGTTCAACGTCCCGATGCCGTTGTAGACCCTATACTCGCCTGGATTGGGTGAGTCCGGCATCATCCACAGATCCTTGCCACACACAGAGGTTGTCCACTGTTTATCAAGAGGCCAGGGAAACCCGTTGTACCCTCCCTCCTCGTGCTCGCCGCCTACGTAAATCTTGTTGGCCTTGGCAAGGCCCTCGCACCCGCCCTTCTCCCAATCTTGATGGCTGATGGACCAGGAAGATGCGCCCAGTGCCTCGTTCTTGAACCACCGCATGCAGTCAATGAGATAGAAGCGGCCCTCGGGCTTTCCGGCGGGCGGGTCGGGTGTCTGTGTGGGCTTCGGCGTGGGCTCTGGCGTGGGCTCTGGCGTGGATTCGTTGTGATCCGGGTCGTCGTGGTCCGGCGGGGTTCCTTTTGGCTTGGGACTGCAGTAGAATCCCTTGCCACATGCTTTTCCACAGTTCGAGGCGCATATCGGCCCCGGCTTCCCGTCGCTCCACGGGATGGGGCGGGGCATTGGTACTCCGTCAATCTCGCCGCCATCACCATCACCTGAGTAGCCGCCACCTGGAGAGCACTGCCCACCAGCACGAGGCTGGAGGGAGGAAGGCCCGGACGACGCAACGCGAGAACCTATATTGCAAGCATTCGGATCCAAGACCCGGGGTATTTTGCAATACCTGCTGTTGAATATGGGCTCGTCTATCAAGCAATGGTCTTCTTCGTAATGGCCATTCCAGATGAACGGCAGCCCGACGGCCTTCCCGTCGACCTTTAGTCTGCGTTGAAGGCGAATAATCAGCACCTTCATGCTGGCCGGATTCTCCAGCTGCGTCTTGAAGTCGTAAAGACTGTGCAGGGAGCGCAGGTACGCCACTAGGCCACTTGTTTTGGCGGCGGCAATCGAGGTCCCGTCGCGCGCCTCATAGCCATCAGGCCCGTCGGGTGTGAAGACATCGTATCCTGGCGCGAATACAAGCTGGGCGTTGTCGGTGCGAGCGCGAAAGTACTGGCTATGCGGCCACATCGCTCCCTCTTTATCAACTGCACCAACGACGATCAAGCTGCCTCGAAGACGATTATCCCGGACAAGAGACGCAGGGTAGCCATCGTCTGCCATAACTCCAAGATGGGCCTCGTTGCCGGAGCCGGCGACCATGGCCACCCCGAGCGTTTGTAGCTTGATAAGCAGGGCGGCTAGACGTGGCATGAACTGATTAGACCGACTGACTCCACAAACACCCTTTCTCTGAGACGAAGCAGCCAACTTACTCATTACTCTCGGATACCGGTGCGATACGGCTACTTTGTCGGTAAAGAAGGACATGTTGACGACAGAGCGGCCCCGATGACTCGGCTGTGCTCGTACGTCTTCCACAACTTTCACAAGGGCCTCCAGATAGCGCTCTCGCACGATGCTTCCTGGTGGGCCCGGACGCACCTCCACGGGGATGATGGACGTCGCGTTGGCGACCCCGAGATTCCCACCAGCAAGCATCGCCGCTGTTCTTGTGCCGTGGCCGCAATCACCCTCAGGGTCAGGTCCATATCGCTGAAGCTCGGACTGGCCTTGAAGTAGCTGTACGCGCGTGTGCTCGAATTCCTGGTGCCGATTGTTAACAACACGGGGGATCAGGCAGCAGCCATCATAGGAAAAAATGCCCCATCCGAGGGCACAGAGCCAAAAATATTCAGGTGGGGAAATACTTACAGGATGTGTAAAGTCGAAACAGTCGTCAATGACGTACGCAAACTGGTCGTCCGTGACGTCTGTGAAACGCCAATAACGAAACTTGGTTCTTCCGGTAGCAGCATCGGGCTTGAGGTATAGCTCTTCACGCTCGAGCCAATTCGAAGGCGAGGATATCTTGGAATTGGACCAGTCGAAACTCCAGGTTCCGTAATTCTCGTCATCTTCATAAGGGGGGAGTTCCTCGTCTTCGCTCTGAGCGGGTTCGGACTGTCTCTCGTGTAGCTGTCGCCCTTTGGGTTCTTCTGGCGCGCTTGGGGTATCTCGCGTGTGACGCAGAATTTCGAGAGACGGTCGGGTTTCTGTCCGCAGGAGGGCGCCCGTAGAGTCACTTGCCGGGCTGTTCCCTGAAGATCGTCTCTGGTGGGCAACAGGATCGTAGACATCTCCACACTACTCCTCGGGCACGATCAGCAAAAAGCGCGCCACACAAGCCTGTGAGAGTCAATGCTTCCTGTGAGAACGTACCTGATCCATGTTTCTGAGCTTGTTTTTCAGATCGACCGGTAAACCGTCGATCCAATAGAAGGCGATAAATTCGGGCTCATTCCCGAAGGCCGGTAATCCGATCCTGATAACCTGCCGACCCTTTTCTGCCAGACCCTTTTCTGCCAGACCCTTTTTAATGCCTCCCATGATCCGTTTATCGAGGAGGTCGCATTTCTCGGGGTATTGGCAGTAGACGACGACATCTTCACGCTTACATGTCCAGTCGCGTGCAATGCCTTCGTCCTCCTCCCAGGAGTGCATCAAATCTTGCTCGCCGCGGGCATGAACCATGTGATGCGGTGGAGTGGCCAGCTCATCTATTCGAGTCCCTGCCGCTGCTGTGGGCAATGCCGTGGCACTCGTCTTGGCAGACAATTCGGAGGATGTTTTGATGGTGGCGGTACTGACAGCTGCAACATTAGTGTTGAACGCAGGCTCTTGGGTCGCACTTGCGGCTGCCGCTATGAAAGCCACATTGTTGGTGGGAAAGCACGTGGCACCTGTCCTGGTCGTCTCTCCATCCCAACCTTCCACCGCACAGCCATAGATGGTGTGACATGTCGAGACGACTGTCTGTGTAGTTGTGCTGCCCCCGGCTCCGACGCCAACAGATGTGAGCGTGCCACACATCGACGCGGACTGAGTCTTGCACGGATTGGGCTTTGGGGGAGGCGTGGGCACCCCATTTGGTCCTACACTAATGAGATAGGGAGAGCGATGTCAGCTAAAGCCTACTTTTGATCGCCGGGGAAGCCAGCAAGGGTTAAGCATTCGAATCACTCACGTGAGCTTTGGCCAGGGAGGCAGCGGTTCTGGTCCAGGAAACCTCCAACCGGGTGGAGGATTAATGGCACCTGGTGGAGGTGGACCTCTGTTGTGTGCAGAATTCTTGTATTAGCTAAGAATTTGACATAGGCGCAGAGATCTAACAAGGACTTACGGTGGAATAATACCAGGTGGAAGCCCCACTTTCCATCCATTGATTTTCAGATCAGGTTCGCAGGACTGTCAACAAAGAATGAAACATTAGCTCGAGTGTTTTTGACAACCTGATTAGAGGATCAGGTTCAACTTACATCAAAGAACCACAAGTCACAGGGTATCAAAGCAACCGGGGGCCCATCATCGTCATCATCGTCATCGTCTCTCCCAGGTTTGATTTCTTTGATCTTTTCTAGAACAGGTGTAATCCGCGGGGCAATGTCATCCCAGTCGGTGTACGTGACGGTAAAAGGAGGCGGAGGGGGTGGTGGTGGTGGGAACGTGGCTTCTGAACCTCCAGGATCTTCAGTGTTCGACGGCACAATTGTGGCGTTCCAGTTGTCGCCAACGGCACCCTGGGTGATTGCTGGCCATGGAGGAAGGGTCAATGTTCGCGTAGTTGTTGTGGGCTTGCCGGCCTTGGTGAAGGTAAGGGAGACCACCGTTGGTGCAAGCGTGACGCTTGGGTAGGGCTGTACCGTGAGCTTATTTCCTTTGGAGGAAGCTGGGATCGGTATATTGTAGAATTGTATCTCGTCCGTCGTGATTGGCTTTGGTTTTAGGATCAACTTTGTCGTCGTGGTGCCAACAGCCAATGTCGTCGTGTATGCTGAAACGGTAATCGTGGTCTTGCTAGGCAGAGGCGACGGGGCAAGGATGATGTTGCAGGGAGCGTTACACTGCATGCCACCTCCCTCGTAGACAGACTTGTCAATGTAGACGTTGTTGGAAGAGCCGTCTGAGCTACCGCTGCCGGCTTTCTGCAAGTCGATAGCCCAGTCTGAAGTGCCGCCAAAGTTCATACGCTTGTATTGTGCCATACGGCGCTGCTTTGTCGCGTTGCCCATGTACGCGACCCATTCTGTCGCTTCGTAGACCAGATAATCCGAGTCAGTCTTATCATCATACCAGGTCTTGATGAGACCGCCCTTATCGACAATTTCACCAATCTCGAAATCGGATATGTATCCAGCCGTGTCTGTGCATCGCCCCTTTTTGGCCAGCGAGTTCCCATTATCTCCAAGGAAGGTGCCTGATCACAGAGTCAGCATTAGACCAAGGCTTCTTACTCATATTCGAATAGAAGAATCCAGTGAGGTGCACTCACAATCGGGCCCACGACAACCAGCAGACGCCATCTTGAACGATCTGCCGTAACTGGTGATCCCGACCACGACCTTGTGGGAAGGAACGCCCGCTTTAGTAATCATAACTAACGAGCTATGCGTCTCCGTGGCATTGATATGTGACCGAAGGCAATTGCCGCCGGGGCAGCCGGAGCTTCCCCATTTGTTTCCAGCATCCCACTGGCCTAGAGGCCAAGCAAAGGTAGAAAGACGTCAGCAAATAACAAAGTCTTATCATAACTCAATGAGGGCAAAATGGTCTTACCATGCAGATCATAGGTCATGTAGACAATATAGTCGAGTACTGTGGCCATCTTCTTGATGGGAAACCCGCGAAGGTACCAGTAAGACGAGGCTGTAGCAATAGACAGAGACTTGCCCTTGGGTAATTTACCCCGGACGAGCTTCAAGAACTCATAATAATTGTCGCCATCGTCCTTCTCTCCAGGCTGTGACCCCTCGATGTCATCAGCGCCAGGATACTCCCAGTCGAAATCAAGACCGTCGATACCGGCAGATACGAGGAAGTTGACCACGTTCGTAGCAAATGTCTCTCGATTGCTAGGCGAAAAAGCCAGGCGAAACATGTGGGAAGTTGCTGGATCGTTCGAAAATGCCCAGCCGCCGAACGCTAGGATCTTCTTGTAGCCATTGCTACCAGTCTCCTGGTTGATGAATGCATCCCACTGGGTTTTTGTGTTTGCAGGGATGCTGACCTGCAGGCTGGGCGAGATTTCTGCGAAGGCAAAATGCACGTGGGTGTATGAACTGTCGATATCGTTGACGTGCATGTGGAGACACTTGCGTTCCTGGTTCCAGCCTTCAAAGTAGCCAATCTTGCGATACTGCGCGGGAGCAGTAGAGTTGTTGATGATGTCCATTCCGCAGTTAGCCACACAGCTGTTAGCGCCCGGCTTGCTCGTACCAGGATTCCCTGTGCTTGCCCTGTTGACGACACAAAAGTCCTTGTCGGTGCCACAATTGCCCCAAACATTGCAACAGACGGAGAGCGGGCAAGGATTGAGATCGGCAAGTTCCTCGTCGCCACTGGGCGGTTTCGAGCCTTTTACTGTCGGGCCACATACGGCGTTGGGATCTTGGTGCGGCATCGGTGGGTTGCCCTTGCTTACGCAGACGCGCTGAGAGTTTTGGATCGCATTGCAGCCAGCCCACCCCCAAGTCTTCTTGTTGAACAAGGAAAGATCATCGACGGTAATGCCGTGCTTGGCTGCAATTTCGTAACATCCGAACCCGGACTCGACGTCGTAGTACGCGCACACACCGTCTGCGCCAGGTTTTGGTTTGATGTCCGGGAGACTTCCCGAGGAGCAGCACACCGGTTGTCCTTTTTTGAGTGTTGAGCAGAGGTCCTTGGTCGCTTTGTTGAAGGATTCAAAGGCGAATGCGGCCAGACCACATCTCTTGGCGAGCTTTGGGCAGTCATCGCCAGCCTCGACAGTGATTGATCGACAATCGGCTCGTCGAATAAGGGAAGAGGTACTTCCTCTCAGACTCCGGGTGTCGTTCAAGGGAGTTCCATGGACAACAGCCGTCGGGTATGCCCAGATGAGGGTCTCGTTGAGGGACTTGGTGTACCAGCCACTGGGGGTGCTTTGATCCGTGGCGCATTTTGCATCATGCCAACCTCTCATGACCTGTTGGACCGCTGCAAAGTCAGCATTGATGTGAGCCACAACACCAAAGATGTCTCCCGTGGAGCTCTGCTTGTTGCAAAGATCTAGTGTAGCCATGCGTCCACTTGTGCTACTGAGCAAAGCGTCTTGATTCTGTTGCAATTGATCAGAGAATTGGTCGAGAATCGATGCCGACGTCTCGTGATGATCGACCCTGCTGCCAGAGAAAAGCCCAACAAGAGTGCCGCGTAGATAAATGAAGAGTATCTTCTCGTGACAGCTCGGTGCCTCAGCTCCCAGGTATTCCTTCAGATGCCGCACGGCCTGCAGCATATCCGGGAAAGGCCTCTCGTTGATGGATGCAACAGCTACGTCATCCGCATGCCACATCGTTAGCTGTGCTTCGACTTCAAACTTGATAGAAGGTCCATTGCTGCAAGTCGTGTGATTATCTGGCGGAGCGATTACTTCCCGCCGCGCGATACGACCGAGGCTGCCCGGATCGGCTGCATCGGCAGAGGGAGAGCCAGAAGCGCTAAAGGTAGATTGAGAAAGGAAGTTAATCTCTGTGCTCTCGTCTCCAAGTGTACAAGCGCGGATCCTAAAGCCAGACTGTGTCTTATCAATGGCCGTGTATAGGTTGAAGTCGAGGGCGATGGGCTCAGGGCAAACCGCTAGAGCTCCCACGTCGTGATAGAAAGACCATGTGTCCGGACCCTGGCCAGGTACGCACGCCTGTGGGCAGGGTTTGGAGTTGATGATTGATTGTTCATTTTGATCAAAAGAGTGTGAGGAGGGAATAAAGAAAAAAGGGACGAGAAATCGGTAGAACGCATCCCACGCGGGGGCTCCATGAACTCTAGACCTCATCGTGAGGATCGCGGCCACTTTGCACGCCCTACTTCACATGCCCGTGAATATTCAAAGGGAATGGTCTGCATATGGATGGCACGACTACTCTTTATAACTAGGTCGGTGGCAATTTGTCTAGTCCTACAGCAGCGATTCACTGCTGGTAGCCAGAACGGGAACGCACGAAAAGACCCATACTGTGCGCAACACAAACCAACATTGCACAGATGTACTCTCAAATACATCGAATTGCTTCACCCAATATCATCGAGTTGATGGATTCGAAAGCGGTCAATTCTCGGTCGCGGAAGAATCTCGGCTGATGAGCCTTGTAAAGTGCAAATATTCCATATTGCTACGTTACATACAGGGGGCGGAATCTGCCGAGATGTCAGCAAGGGCAATGCTTCGTGGGGCCGTCAGCCCTGTCGTCGCTGGACGAGGTGCACAGGTCGGTGGAGAAGGCGCCGCAGCTTGAGCCGGACCATATCCTAGTTCATTATGCATTTTTGCTGCAGACGTGGATCCTTGGAAAGTATACTGAGATGGGCACGCAAAAACTCTGCTTGCTTGCGGACGTGGTACAGGCTTCGCTTGGGACTGCACTTTTATTCTCTTGGCCCTTAGGTATGTGCCTTCCTGAGATGCTTTCCCTATACTCGTAACTGGAGCTTAAGCGCCTTGTAGGAAGTGCAGATCCAATAGGTCAATGACTCGTGGCTGATGGTTGAGCTCCTGCTACCACTTCACTATGTCAGGGGTTATAGGGCTGAGCGAAGGTGCCAACGAACAATAACGAATGAGCCGTTATTTGGAGGAGTCCAGGGTACCCGGCCAGGCAGCGGCTACTTGGACGAAAGCGGCCGCAGCTCCCGTCCGGTGCCCACTCAAGTCTAGCCGCGCTATGCGGGGCGAGTTGGGGGCCGGCAACCTTATTGGACTCAGGTCTTTGAAGTCCGAACCAAGACTGGAAAAAGATAACGGGATCCTTCAAGAAAAGTCACTTGCCCACCTCGCTGCCGGCCCGTTGTCCCGCATGCGCAAAATACAACACGCCATATAATCATAACGATGTCTAAGCGGCGATGGAAACAAACCAGTAGTGTATCCGGCTGGTTCAGCAGATATTCCTATCCGCGCAGAATACGACGTCCTTGAATCTACAGATGGCACGAGTCTTCCATAGATTTGGCAATGTGTTTAACGAATCTCCCGTGTCATTATCAGACTGACCGAAAGCCGCTGACATTGACAGTTTGAGTTTCGGATAGCGCCGCGCACAATGATATGCTCCACGTGGACCTGTAACTGCATTCAGTGGCTTTGGGACATCCTCGATTCCTCCGGGGACCCTAGAATATTTCGTCCAGGGCTCATGAGCTTGGTGAAGCCTGCAAGGCACCAAGCCGCACAGGGCTGAGCGGGACCTTGCAGAGCCGAGAAGCCGGTCACGAGTCATGCTGGCTTGCCGTTCTGTAATCCTAGTAAATCAGGGATATTGCAGCGACAGGGCGGCCTTCAGGGTCATCAAGGGTCCCTGGGTCCCGCTTGGTTTGGTGCCGACACGCGCGTAGGATATATGGATGGCGTTCCACGAATAGGATCTCAATCTTCGTATGGTCACATGCAAGGGTCAGAATCCTTACAACGCACTAATGGCGCCACGGCGAACGATCTGCATGCTTAAAATACAAGTGCGAGCCTCTAATGGTTAGTGTGCCTTATTGTCTACTGGCTTTGCGAGTCCAAGGAGCATTGAATACGAAGCCTATTCCTGAATTTGATGACGATGCCCATATTTCTCGGACATAGCCCCATTTCCGGGAGGCCATCCCACAATGCAATAGGCAGAAGCAATCGACTATAATGGTTCTCGTACGTTGTAACACAGTGTAGTGGCAATATCGGTACCTTTGAGGTCCTTCCACTGTTGTCACGGCGGCACCTCCAAAGTAATCCGAGGCCGGGAGGACACTTGACTTTGAAAACCGATGCAGAATCTACGGGGAGGAATTATATAAAAGATAGAACACTACGCCACGGGAGAAGCCTGATCTCTCCATGCCATCACCGGGAAAGTCCCCTTTCGCATCTTGCACCTTCGTCCCCCACAGGCTGTCTACCGCAAGATGAGTTTTCCTAGTCTCAGGTGCCTCTCAGTTCTCACTGCGCTTGCTGCGGTGCTTGCTCTCCAGGAGGTGCAAGCCAGCCCCTTCCTAGTAGCGACTGAAGCTTCCTCGGCCTTCTATTCGAGAGATGTGAAGCCCGGCAAAGATTATCAAAGCGACCCCAACACCATCTCTTCCTGCAGCTTTTGGTACGACAATGATGGCTCTCTGGCCTGCGATGTACTGCCCCCAGGCTTTGGCATTACACTTGAGCAGTTTGTGGCCTGGGTACGTATTCATCATTCCTCTGTCCTCCGACCGTGCAAATAGCGAGGTAGATACTGATCTAGTCTTTCCAGAATCCTTCCTTGACTTCCGCCTGCGGTAATTTCCGTAAAGGCTGGTCTTATTGCGTCGAGATCTCGCAGATCGATGTGCCCAATCCACCCGTGTCCCCTTCTCCGACCAAGGGTCCCACGACTGCAACAACCCCGCCAGCTACAACCACCCGGCCAGGAAACGGAGTAGAAACTCCCGAACTGGTGCAGCCAGGCATGGTCCAGAACTGTGACAAGTTCCACCCCGTCGAGGCTGGCCAGAGCTGCAGCGCGATTGCCGACAAATACCGCATCACGGTCGCACAGCTCATTGAGTGGAGCAATCTCAATGCCGGCTGCTCAAATGCCTGGGCTGGCTACAATGTCTGCGTACACACTATTGGGCTGGTCGCCACCACTGCCTCACCCACCACCACCACCACCAAGAAGCAGCCAGCTACAACAACTAAGCCAGGCAACGGAATAGAGACGCCTGAGCTGGTACAACCAGGCATGGTCAAGAACTGCGACAAATTCCATGCTGTCGAGTCTGGCCAAAGTTGTGGTGCGATCGCCGACAAAATACGGAATCACAGTCGCACAGCTCATCCAATGGAACAATCTCAACGCCGGTTGTTCGAACGCCTGGGCTGGGTACAGCGTCTGCGTGCACACGATTGGCCTGGCAAGCACCACAACGAAGAAACCCGCCCCTACGACCACCAAGAAACCGCCGGCCTCCACGACCACCACAGGCAACGGCATCAAGACACCCTCGCCCCTCCAGCCAGGCGTAGTCAACAACTGCGACAAGTTCCACGTGGTCAAGTCCGGTCAGACTTGCGCCAAAATCGCTGCCAACTACGGCATCACCGTAGCCCGCCTTGTCTCATGGAACAAATCTCTCACCACCAAATGCACGGAGCTCTGGCTCGACGCCAACGTCTGCGTGCACACCATTGGCTACAAAGCCACCACGAAGCCGACATGTGCGACCAGTGGCGCGAGCTGGGGCAGCAACAAGGCTGCCGCCCTCAAAAGCGTCACTGAGTGGTGCGATGGCCAAGACAAGTCTGATGGCAGCGGCGGATATGCTACCGCCCAGACGAAGAAGGGTTGCTTCAACGCTCCCGACGGAAAGAACAAGATTGAGTTGTGGGCTCGTGATGATTTTGGTATTGGGGCCAAGCTCACGGCTGCGCTGTGTGAGCAGATTGTCAAAGTCCCCGTCAACAGCTGCGCGAAAGGTGGCACGGCCGTCCATGAGGGATGGTGGGTCAAGTAAGTTCGAAGACTTCTCTTACGTGATACAAGCACCGAAGTTCAGAGCGGGCTTAGAGATAATCGGAGTAACTAATTATTGTGGTATCTCTGTAGGGCACTACTTACTTCAGGTAAATGCTGAGGAGCTCAAGCTGAAAGGCGGCTCCTTTTCAAGGCATGGCGATGGCTGTGTATCGACCTGCCTGGGCTCCCCATCATAATCAAGAGTAAACCTCAACCTCGCCAAATGCCTTCCTCGGCCAACTGCCTGAGCACGATCCCAGCTGTCTGAACTACATGATTGTGCCCGTTGGAGCCCGATTGAGCATAGCTGAGCCTATGAGCACACTGCTATTGAAGCGCTTGGTCTCGGAACACTTTACACTTTACTAGAATCTATTGCGAGCTGAAAGGGTTTCACATCTTGCCGTGATTGTAATTTAGGCACCTCGAGACTAGATTTTCAGTGACAAATGCGACTCCAACCACCACTGCCAGAGCCAGATCCCTATTCATTACTACAATAGCTCGTACGGGTAGTGAAAACTCCCTTCTCTATAAGACTATTCTACGAATCCTCCCGAGTAGATACTCGAGCTATTTCTATACTATGCTCGGCTGATAGTACGGCGCTGTATATCCGCTAAAATACGTCTCGACCAAAGTAAATCCGCGCTTAGTACAAATGATAAAAGTCTCTCACCTACTCTCCTACGCAGCCATCGCGAAGCTTGATCCTTGTGGGAAAGTGGCTCTGCATCAATATGGCAGAAGTGCAGGGCCTGCTCGGCACAGCGGAGTTGGTCCTCGGCAGGCACGGCGCGGTCGCCACCGAGGAGCCTGTGGATAACAATAGCAGGGTGTCCTCGGGCTTCAGGCTTGGTTAGTTCCTAGATCAGGCCTCGTTTGGAATGTACAGTCCGCGCCAGACAGGTGGCCGTATGTTACCAGGTGAGTTTGTCCTCGTTACGCGAGACTTTGAGTGGGGCTTTGCAACTCACATCAACCTCATTGTCGTCGTGCTCTGCGATGAGTTACTAGAGGTGGGCAAAGATGGCGTCGAAGAGAAGCAGGTGTCGGCACTCGTGGGCAGGACATAATCATGTACTGGAAGTCTGCAACGATGGCCTTGAAGTCCTCAGTCCCCCTTGCTGGTTTGTTGGATGGAGACATTCTGCTGCGGCTTCCTTTGTTTGGGCACAGGTTTGCAGCACTCGGGTTGTACCTGCCTTGCACCCCAAGGCAAGGCAACTGTCTCATTCCATTTCACCAACCTCCGCCCGGCCTGACTAACGAGCAAGGGAAGAGGCTTGTTACGGCATGCTGGGTATGTGCCCGTGGTAAGTGCAGTTGCATGTCGCACCCTGCAGCGTGGCTGCGAGTCCGTCGTTGACACAACATCAAGTCACTAATGGATAGTGTAGATCTGTTCCGGAGCAGACTTTGCGCCCATCTGCCCCTGTCACGCTCAAGGTGTTTGGGCATGTTTCACTTGTTCGCCTATGTAACTGTGCAAGGGAGGCTTTTGTGACCACGACACTGACCCTTCTGCACTCATTTTGACTCATTGCATCCGGCTCTCGGGGGCATCATGTTGCAACAGGCTTGTTCGCGCTGTTCTCGAAACTAGAGGGCTGCCCTGGGCTCTGATCGGCGCGTTCCGTGTCCGCCGCGTCGAACTCGCTGGGGGCGATGCAGTCAACATGGTCACGATAGGGTTTCTACCGGGTATCATAGAAGGGTGGTTGTCGAAGAGTTGTTCGGCTTGCTGATGACTCAAACGTGCCCTACACTCTCTCTTTGTTCGGGTATGCATCCGGACCATATGACACGGTCAGGGGTCCAACCGCTCGCCTGATTGCAGAGCATGGAAATGGCCTGCACAAAAGGCATTCAGGTGGTCGAGGCGTGCCCGGCGACGGCTGCCGTGACGTGGATAGCACGGAGCACGAAGTCTGCCCGCTCAGAGAGGCATAGAGAGGCATAGGAGACACACACACACACACACATAGTCCTGGGCACGAGCATTGGTGCAGCGAATTTGCAGCGCACCGGCACGCTTGGGCTCTCTGCTCTCGTGTGGTGGCCCGATGGGACAGAATTGCATCATCAGGCGGGCATGCCATCACGTCTTGACCGACAGTAAGCTATCACCCCCTAGAGGCCCGCTCACCAGAACCAAGTCCAACATGGCTAACCGGTTGAAGTTGTCTCTTTCAGGCACCGAAGTATCCCCATCGCACATCATGGAGTCTTTCCCGCGCGCGGGCCGGCTCGGCAGTCGCATGTCCGTCCTCTGCTGACCACAGCACGGTCATCACTTGGCTGCATGAGAAACACCAGCTATTCAAGAATTGGTGCGGGGTCGCCCTCGTCAAGAGGCACCGTAACGCGGCTCCAGAAACCACGGAAAATCGCGGCTCGAGTCCACCGAGCCAGACAAAGACGGGCACGCCCAGCGCTGCACCTGGTGCGCCTCATTTGACCGCCATCTAGGCCATGTCCTGGCTCTCTCTCTCGGGTCTGCGGAGGTGCCGTGTTGGCGCGGCTGCTGCCGAGGCCCGTGTCGATGCTTAAGTTCAGCGCATCATGGACTGGGCTTTGATTGAGCTTAGTCCAGGTCGTTTTCCTGAGCTGCTGCGACGCCACGATGATGGCTTCGAAAAGGAATGCGGTAGAGTCCTTTCTCACTCCGGCGCCATAAGGATTTTCTCTGTGACAGAATAGGCCGGCTAGGTCATCTTTGGGGGTTCGGTTGCTTGTCAATTTGCCCAGGTCATTGTGTCGTGGGCATCATGTTCTGAAGGTCGACAGACCGCTAGCGTCACTGACGGGGTCACCAATACGATCGATGCCGACTGCATGATAGAGCATGCCGTCATCGGATGGAGCATTCCACAAGATAATGACATCAAGAGAACGTGGCTGTCATGTTGTGTGGATCCGTCTGGGATCGGTAGGCACTCCGGTCTGTATATTTGGCTTGGAGGCCGTGACCCAGACTCTCTTCAGGAAGATTCGATCTAGCACGAAAAAACACGGATGTCGTCCAGATGTGTGACTCTCTTTGCTGTGCTATGGAAACCCCGTCTGTGCCGAGCAAATCCAACCGCTATGCCAAGTACAGTAACATTTAGCTCACCCTCACCATTTTGTGGAGCCGTGCGGAGAAGAACATGGGCGATCCCTCTAATAGCCACGGACGGATTTTGCTCCCCAAATTCCGAGTAATGTAGACAATGTCTCCTTGATGCGTGATTGGCTGCCTGCAGTCCGAGCCGACGTGGCAGTAGACGCATTCGACATCCCCACAGTTCCGCATGGAATGCCCAGGATGCTGCTGCTTTGGACCCCCGGAGGATTATAGAGGGACGCCGCTGAGTCAGGCCATACCCCAGGTGGCAGAGCATTATAAATTCAACTCGACGCTGTGTGCCTCGGAGCGACCCTTATTGTCCTTCTGGCCGGAAGACGACGATTTTCTAGCATTATCTCTCTGCCTGTAGAGCAGTTCTCATTGAAAATGGCCACTAATATTCTCCAGACCTGGTTTCCAACCACCAAGTCCCCGGTCGTCATGTGTCCTCCAATGTTCATGAGTGTCAACGGTATACTGGCGGCCGAGGTAACCAAGGCTGGCGGGCTTGGTTAGTTCATTGGGCCGTTGCCCCGTCCCTCTTATCTGTGTGTAAGCCTCTGACATTTTCTCTTTCTCACCGGACAGGTTTCGTCGCCGGAGCCTGGGACTTTACGCCTGGGAACCCGACGCTCGCCGACTTGGACGAGCAGCTCTCGGTTGCGCGGGCGATCCTCGCCATCCCTGACAGCGACACCCTGCCCGTCGGCGTGGGCTTTCTCACGTTCGACCCTTCCGTTGTGGACTTTGCCGTTACCGGCCTGCCGATCCTGCGCAAGCACAAGCCCGCGGCTATATGGCTGTTTGTGCCGCAGCCCGATTCGACTACGCACAGGGACATCATCTCTGTGATCCGCGCTGCCTCTGACAAGTCTTGGTCGCCAAAGGTCTTTGTCCAGGTCGGCAACGTGGCTGCTGCGCGGGAGGCGCTTGAGGATGGCGCGGACGGGCTCGTCGCCCAGGGTGTCGGTGAGTGTTTTCTTCCTTGTCGTGCCGTCAAAGTATACTATTGCTTTGTGGAGCGCCGTCTCGTACGAACGAGTGCGTTCCTAGGTGCTTGCATGAATCGTCAACTAATCATGCGACAATCCACAAAACAGACGCCGGTGGACATCAGTGGGCCCAGGGGTCCAGCGTGATCAGTCTTGTCCCGGAGATCAAGGCCTTGACCCGAGAAAAGAAGTACCGCGACCGGGACATTGCCATCGTGGCAGCGGGTGGTATATCACATGGTAGCAGTGTTGTCGCTGCGCTAGCCCTGGGCGCAGACGGGGTGGGGATGGGCACACGCGTGAGTATTGCTTTTGCCGGTTCCCGTCCGGCAGAGACTTGTCGAATAGTGGCTTTGCTGACTCGTGAACGATTGATGTGGCGTGGTAGTTCCTTGTTGCCGAGGAGGCCTCCTCGAAGCTGTCCGCCAGAGACGCCATCATCCAGAGCACTGACGGCGGTGCCAGCACAGTCAAGTCAGTTTTTGCTTGAACAGTCCTGCGATTAAGCTTTCTTGACAAAGAATCAGCGCGCGGTTGTTGATGTAGTGCAACCTTTTGATCCAAGACTGACTCTTGTATTCACAAACAGATCTCTGCTCCACGACCACATTGAGGATCGTTACATCTTTCCCGGGCCCTTTGATGGACGGGCCCTGGTCGGCCCCTCGATTCTCGATGAGCGCGATGGCGTGACTCTCGCTGAGAACCAAGGCAGACTCAAAGCCGCTGTCAGCGCGGGCGACACGTCAAGAGATGTGGTCTGGGCGTAAGTTATCTTCTTCCCCAGCAAACCCATGGTTGCCATGCCCACTCGGCGCCAAAGACATTTATCATTTTTCATGTAGATGCAGTTTAGCTGACTCGCTTGTGACGATGACAGTGGCACAGGCGTGGGACTGATCAACGAGGTGCTGCCGGCCGCGGAGATCCTCGACAGGACGAGGGCGGAGGCGCTGGAAAGCCTTCAGCTCCTGCAAGCTTTCGCTTAGTAGCTGGAACCTTTTACATGACGCTTAGTAGCTCATGCAACGAAGGAGACTACGTCCCACCTTTTCCCGGAAGTCGAAGCGCCAGACGCTTGGGGGCTGCTGTGAATGTTGGGTCATAGTTTGTGCTATGTGTAGGCTGGCAGTGCTATGAAACATATAAATGTATCACATGGTCGAGGCTAATGCTTCTTCGTCGAATTTCTAACATTCCAGAATTCTCTGCAGGCTTGGGCAGTGTTCCCTGCAGGGCGCTTGATAGAAGTCGAGACCCGCCACGCCTAGCCCCGTTAACCATATAATCGTTCAACTTGGCAAGGGGCACAATGTGTCGCAGCCACATAAGGTCGCGGCCCGAGATTCGCGCCTGGCAGCTATTAGCTCCCGCCCCTGCCCAATGGTAACGACAATGGGCTGTGATGTTGGCCGTGGTCCCGCGATGTGTCTGGTGTCATGTCGATGTCAAACAGCAGCCACTTGGAGTCTAGACTACTGGGCCCTTTCCGTGATCCAGTCGCGTGGCACTGAGACAGTCTGGCACCGCGTTCAGATGCACCACAATGCAAGTGCCAGCCTTGTATAAGAGGCCTTCTCCTTCACGCATTCCTTCGAAGTGCAATGTTGTGTTGCACATGGCATTTGCCACTTCTTCCCACTTACGATACAAGCTTCAAACATTGCTCAAGCACGATTCGAAGTTTGCCCCACATCATAATGAAGCTTGCAATCGGCGCCGCCGTCTCTGCCCTAACGACTCTCTCGCTGTTGACTCACGCACTGGCAGCCCCGACCCCAGCGCCTGACCCGGCCCTGGCCGTCATGGCCCCCTCGACATCATTCAATCTCAAGCTCGCCTCCTCTGACCGGCGCGTCGACGGCAAGTGCGCAAGCACATACCACACGGGCGCGGGCTTCAACGACATGGTCGTGGGGGCCTGCGACCCGGCGGCGCCACGCTCGTTCGCGCTGAACCCGACAGACTCGTCCAAGATCGACTATCTGGGCTTCGGAGCCACGACGCCGTCGCAGGTGCAAGCGTACGACGGGCTCGCATCCTACGAGGTGTGGGCCAAGGTCGTCGCCAACGCTGGGCTGAGCGGGACCGAGTTCACGTACTCGGAGTCCGAGGGGTTCCTACAGAAGGGCACGGGGCTGGGATTTCTGGCGTGCCGGTGGAGCCATTACAACAGCTGGCAGCTCTTTGCGCTGAGCCGGGAGCCTGATGGGTTCCCGCTGTCTTGTGCGCGAGTGGCTCTCAAGAAGAGTTTCTGAGAGGGGCAAACAGAGATGAGAGGGACAGGCCTTGGGGAACGGTGCAGGAGATGTGTAACACATCTGGTTTGCTCTATCTAGCATGCAGGAGCAGAGCGTGACATTCCAAGTTGCCCAATAGAATTGAGTTCGCCCGCGGCCTGGTCAGAGCTTGGAGCTGCCGGCACCAAAGTATTGCAGTGTGCTTAATATATCATCCGTGCCGATCGTTGGCCCCCATCTGGGAAACAGTGACTGACTTGGCCGATCCGGCTGACACAAATAGCACAGCTGGCCCACCTCGACTCGCAATTACCGGATCCGGGCAGGCGCTAGCAGCAGCCCCAGACCATGAATCGCCCAAGCTTTTTCCCTTTTTTCGGGGGCCATGCAGGGAAGACGTACCCTCTGGGACGCTGCCATTGGCCTGCTCGGGTGCTCCCCCACCAGCCCCAGCATAAGAAGCTGACCGGCATGGGCCATACACTTTCAGCTCAGCGGGCTTTGTCGTCAATGCCTGCCTGTACCTACTTCCTTGCGGGGGCTGTGCTGACAGCCCTGGACCGACCTGACGGGTTTGTGGCATTCGTCACGGCTCTGGCTCCAGCAAGACCAAAAGCCTTTCTTTTTCCCCTTCCCTTCGTCTCAATTCACCTTGAACAAGCAGTGCTCCAGTTCCAGAGGTCGCCAAGCGACGACATTGTCTGACCCGATTCCAGGCAGCCAGCTAGCTCAATGGCTCAATCCGACTGAACGGCCCATTCGGACCACCAACACCCCCCCTCCTTCACCCAGCGAGCACGATACGGCACACCCCATCTGACTTCTTGGTCCGGGACTTGTCATCATGGCCGACATCGACCTCGCCTACAGCTGTGTAGACACCGCCGGCGCCGCCTCGGCCAGCACCGTCGTCCTCAATCGCCTCCTCCGCACCCGCCAGGATGCACCCCCGCAGCTCCGCGACCTCGTCGCCCAGACAGCCGCCGCCAAGCAGGCCCTCAAGCGGCTGCTCGCCATGGTCGACTGCGATAGCCCATCATTCACGAGCGAGGCCGAGGTTGCCGAGCTCGGCGGCCACCTCGACGATCTCGTGGCCGTCTTCAGAGACCTCCAGGAGCACGCCGCGAAGGTCTCCCAGGCCACCCGCAGCATCGAAAAGTCCACCTGGACCCTGGTCTGGCCCGTGGCCAAGATCTCGGCCAGCGAGGAAGCTCTAAAGAACAAATTGGCTGTTCTCGGGTCGTACATGGACGGCTCTCGGGTTAGTGACGCTGCTGCCCCGGTAGCGGACCATCAAGTCCAAGCCAGCCCTCTGCCAGCCGCAGAGCAAGGTCCTGCAGAGCCAGTGGCCCCGAATGAGGGTGGAACGCAACCGATTCCGCCTCAGATCGTTCATGTGGACTCGGGATCAGCCGGCCCCAGTACCCCAGCCCCAGTCACGGGAAAGGCTCCTGTAGCCTCCCAGCAGTCGGAATCATCTATTCTTGACGAAAAAGTCAGACTGCGGATGCGGGAATTCGGCGCCACAGCCGTGAGCCTCGGCTCCTCGCAGGATGCCGCTGGGAGGCATTCTTCCACGTCTTCCGACGAGAATGCCGCGCCGCCCATGGGCGCAGTAATAGACAGCCCGCCACAGTACGAAGAAGCAGAGAGGCAATTCCGGCAGCTGCAACTCCAGCAATTGCAGCAGCAGCAGCAACAATTGCAACAGACTACCTCGGACAGGAGAGACACTACGAGCTCCTCGCGATCGTCGGACCTGCCCCCCAGTCCTGGGATCACCCCTCCGCCACAGCAACGTCAACAGCAACAGCAGCAGGTTCAGCTGCAGCGCCAGATGCAGCCATACCAAAGGGCCCTTGCCGCGACGCAGCCGATGCAGCGAAACATGGTTCCGCTTTCAGCACCCGCTGTGGACGCCATGAAGACCGCAGCCGCCGGTACCAAGTTCGGCATGATATCTGCACGCAAGATGAAGTCGAGCCTGCTGCTCACAAAGTCGAGCTCCTTTGGGCCTGAGGAAGACGGCGAGGTCGACGCGAACCTGCCTCAGGGTGACGAGCTGTTCCCAGACCGCTTCTTGGAGCGCGTGACGAGCTACTCTCTCGGCATCACGCCAGCATGGGCACCAGTGAGCATTCCGTCCAAGAAGAAGAAGAAGCCGGACAAGCAAATGTACCGCAACCGCTTCACCAACACGAAGGATCTCGACGTGACTCCGGAGCACCTGACTTCGCATTTCAAGGTCGTCGAGAAGGACATGTGGGACGCGATCCTGCACCGCAGGTCAGAGCGCGTCCAAGAGGTCATGGAGCATCGGTGGCGCGACGACATCATCGTCGAGAAGCAGGACAACATCACGGCTCTGCATGTAGCGGCAGCCCTTGGGCAGTGCAAGATTGTCAAGATTCTGCTTTCCGTGGGGGCCACTGCGAACGTAACAGACCGCTATGGGCTCACGCCTCTTCACTACGCCGCAGACTTTGGTTGCCCCAGGTGCATCCACCTTCTCATCAATGCCGGTGCTCAGGTTGACAAGGAGCTGCCCAAGCAAAACATCAAGACACCGCTGCGGTATGCGGTGGCCATGGGAAACACAGCTGCCACCGCGGCTCTGTTGGAGAGAGGTGCTCTGCTCCACGTGCAGGCCAGCACGGCCGAGGACACACTGCTCTACGTGGCAGCCTCGACGGGTGACGTGAAGCTGTGCGATTTGCTGCTCAAGGCTGGCGCGAACCCCAAGGAGAGTTTCGAGGTGCTGGCGATGGCAGCAAGCAAGTCAGTCGAACTCCTGGCAGCTCTGGTGGCAGCAGGTGCCGACATCAACCTGCAGGGCCCGCCGACACCTCCTTCCAAGGAAAAATCCAAAAAGGCAGTGGCCAAGGCAGTCCTGGGCCCCGGCGACACCCTCCTGCATCGGTTCGTCGCGCTCGACGACATGCGCATGGTCGATTACTTGCTGCTCTCGCTGAAGGCCTCGCCAAACGTCCCCGGCGACGAAGGCCGCTACCCGGTGCACATCGCGATAACCCCGAGCACGAATCCGGGCGCTGGGGCAAACTCACTCCGTATCGCCCAGGCCCTGGTTGCCCACGGAGCCGACATTGAGGTGCGGAGCGGCCTGGGCCAGACCCCGCTGCAAGTGGCGGTCCTCTGGGGCCGCGCCGACATGGCGCAGCTGCTCTGCTCGAGGCGCGCAAACATTGACGCCGCCGACGACGCGGGATTCACGCCGTGGACGGAGACGCAGCGCCAGGACTACCTGCGCCGGCAAGGGCCCCCGCGCCGAGTTGGGCCCTGGAGCGGCGGCGACTATCGAGGCGTGGCCGAGATGATCAGTGCACGGCGGGCTCACATGCAGCAGGAGCACCAGAAGCAGATGGCGCTCCGGCAGCAGCAGCAACTACTACAACAACAGCCGCCGCCCCACGTTGTTGGTGCAGTCAAAGCATTGCCGCTGGCACCACACCACCAGCAAATGGTCCAAGTGGCCGCCGCACACTATCCGGCCCCCGTGGAGCTGCCGCTGGTGAGCGCAGAATCGCGGCCCGCACAAGAGGTTCATGGGCAGAGTCTGAGCCCGGCGGCGGCGGCAGCGGCAACAGCAGCGGCATCTGCGGCCGCGGCAGCTGCGGCACAACGCGGGGACCAGCAACGAGATGGACAGCCTGCGCAAGTCAGCGTAGAGCTTCCTGCTTGAAGCGACGTTGACCGGTGCTGCATATCTGGGTTCTGGAATAGAGAGCGAGAGCGAAAGCGAAAGCAAAACCAAAGTGTACAATCAGAATTGTGTGGATATGATGATAAAAGAGATACCATTTGTCGTTCCATATAAAGGCTGCATTGTGCTGTGTGGGTGGGTTGAGTTGTGGATGGCAGAATGACACAAGGTGTTGACGGGATAATTAGATGACAACATCGGCCAGGGCACTGGCAACATCTGATTTTGTACAAAGCGCACGCAGCGACATGGTGCCCAACGCGTGGCAGACGAGGATGTTCCGCGAGGTCTTGGCTCACCGTTGCATGGAGTTGGGGTTGTCAATCGATCAGCAAGTGCTCGGCTGCGTTGTGATGCTGGCATGTAGACTTTCGGTAGTCCCAGTGGATGGCTGGCACGCGCTCGTCCAGACGGGTTGACAATGTGCTTCCTCTTTTCGCCTGAGAACCAGATGGCCACGGAAGGGGAAGAGTCACTGGGCCTATTCCCCTTCCCCCTTAGTAGGGGTCGTGTCCTAATGTAATTTGTGCCCCGTAGAAGGAAGGGATGGATCTTGTCTGGTGGGCCACCAGGTTGAGCCGTGCAATGATTTGAACGAATCTCCAGCTTGAAAAGAGGAAATCTCCATTGCTTCCAGGGTTCTCCTATATAAGCCCTGCAGGGTTGCGCTCGGTGAAAGCCAAATGGTCTCTGGGTTTCCCGGGCGGGCTTCGAGGCGAGAAAAAGAGAGTGTGGCTTACCATGCAGCCAAGAGTCTTGAATTTGCCCCGGCCCCCCATTTGGCTGCAACAGGGCTGACTCCAATGCCCAATGCCAAAATTGCATAATTGCGCTCATGTGGAATTGGAAGAGACAAAAGGCATGGCATGGCACCTGCAGCGAGGGAAGGAAGGTGGTGCAGGCAGGCAGGCAGGCAGGCACGGCTGGGAGGGATCAATGTGCCGCGCGATCCGAGGCCGCTGGCGGAACGGATACCGGCAACGAGGTCCCCTGGTCCAGGGGGGTGCGTGCCGGTCGCTCTTTCCCTTCGGGGAACAGTTGCTTCCCTGGGCTTCTCTGCAAGGCAACCACAGATAAGCGTAGATCTGTGGACAGTCGACTAATTAGAGCCAGACAAGACAGACGTGGCATCTTGCATCCCTGACATGCTCTTTCGTCCCCCAGGTCATCACTTACTGTGGTGGTGGTGATGGTGGTGAGCAGGCCTGCCGGAGCACAAGCACCGGGCGACTGGTAGTGAGCGGGTGTGGCTGCCTGCCAAGTGCTGCGTGCCTGCGTGCTTGGCGAGCTGGGCCGCCCTGGCACCCGAGCAGCCGCTTTCGTCAGGCCGCCGCGGCGTCTGCCTGGGGAGCCTGGTGGCCAAACCCTGCCTGCATGGCAACAGACAACCTTGCGTCTGGGCAGATCTGGTGGCGGCCAAACAACAACAACTACAGCTTTCCCTCGACGGCGACTGCTTTGCGGAGTAGACATGGCACGAGGTGGGCTGCCATGCGACTACGTAACGTACTCGTCTGCGTGCGGGGAAACTGCCTCGTCAGAGAACGCCGAACCATGCCAACGCGCCGCGCGTCTTATCTTTTCCTCCCAGGTTCCCCGTTGGAGAGAGATTGAACTCTAAAGCCTTCGGCCGCCCGTGACAGCATCGCCGGCGACGCATCAGGGGTGCTGGTGGGGGCCGGCCGCATCCAAGTGCAAAAAACCACCCGCCCCCCTTACGGAACGAATCGCAGCAATGCCTCGGCGCGAGCCCGTCATGACCGGTGATCCTGTTAGTCCACTTTTCCTCGCCTGACATCTGCTTGGCATCATCGTTGGCGGATTCGGGGTCGCATTCTGCAGATTGCGGCCATTTGCAGCACCGCCCATCCCGTCATGGGCAACACAAGAGCCATATGGTAGGCAGCAACAAGGTACAATGTAGAACCCTCTGTCAGCCTTGTCCCGACCCAAACTCGCCAGCTGCCCTCCTCCTCTGCTCGGAAAGCTCCGCGGCTCGACTTTGTTGGTCTCTCCTTTAGGCGGCGTGTTAGTCCCCCTCGTGGCGTCGACGTTCGGCTTCCCATTCGGTCCGTGGGCAGCTTGTTACGGATCGCCAGCGACCAGGCACGCACGCCCATCTTCCCGTCTGCTTTACACTCGCCCGCCTGGCACTCAATGGCCAGCTTGCACTTTATCCTCCAAGGCTTCTTCTCTCAGTCTATTGTCTCAGGCCGTCTGTGAGTGGCTCAACGGATAAGGGCCCCTTGACCTCGACCGATTCCTCGCCAGCCCCCCTCTGCTTGTTCATCCACCACAGGCGCCCCTCACCATGTTCGCCAGGCCGAGCGGGCCATGGGCCAACCTGTGCCTGCTGGCCGTCTTCGTCCTGACCATCATCTTCAGCATCTCGTCCCTAGTCTATGAGCGCCAGGGTCAACCTTTCTCGTGCCGGACCTGGGGCGAGTGCGGCTACCTCGAGCGCCCGACTTACAAGCACGACATCCCAGGCGATCTCGACGTTGTTGTCGACCAGGGCAAATCTCACGACGACACCACCCTTTACACGCGCGAGATCCTCAACCTCCCACACCCAAACCTCCTCATCCTCGTCGTGAGCAAGGACTCGGCCTCGTGGGGCGCCGACTCCCGCTCCTCGGGCCGTACCCCTACGGACCTGATCGACCTGCTCATCCGCACAGATCTCGACTTCACCAGCGTGTCCATCGGCCTGCTGACCACGCAGCGGGACGAGTTCGACTCGATCAAGAACGCCACCCGCGCCCTGCCCTTTGCCAGGACCTCCATCTTGCTCCAGCCGGCATCGTCATCCTCACGCCCTGATGACGACGACAGCGAGACCACGCACCGTGCAAACATTGCTCGCGCCCGCAACTACCTCATGCTCCGCACCGTGCAGGACGAGACGCACCTGCTCTGGATCGACGCCGACATTGTCGAGCTGTCCGAGGGCCTGGTGCAGCGCATGATGGACCAGGCCAACAAGAACCCGCACGTCGGGCTCATGACGGCCCGGTGCAGGCTGCGGGACGCCGACAGCGACTACGACACTAAGGCGTGGAGCCTGTCGGCGCATGCTGGGGGTTCTGATGGCAGCAACGATAATGATAATCAGCGCGCTGGTGAGAAAGCGGCGGCCGAGAGAGCAAAGATGATCACGGGCGCGGTCCCGCTGTCCGACCAGGCCAGCGCCGCGCAGGAGCTGCGCGACACGCGGACGCAGGCCGGCCAGCTGCTGGCGGGCACTGCGGACGATGCGCTCGTCCCGCTGGACAGCGTGGGCGCCACGATCCTCTATATCCGGTCCGACCTGGTGCTGCGCGGGGTCATCTTCCCGCCGTTCAATGTCGTGGGCACGCTCTGGGATCACGGAGGCTGGACGGGCATGGAGACAGAGGGAATCTGCTACATGGCTCGGCAGATTGCCGGCAAGGGGTGTTATCTGCTTGGAGGGCAGAATTATGTCAGGCACGCTGATCTGGGCAGCAGTGTTTCCTGATCTGGACCAGGGGCGGAGAGGTCGAAGCATACGAAAGATCCGCAAGATGATGCGGCGTTAAAGATCAGCGAGAAGACGGTGGTCTTCCGTGGACGGCGTCGTATTTTCCGTTTGGCGAAGACACAAGCCATCGAGAGACACGGCAACCCACAGAGAGGTCAGCTGATGGCCTCCTGAAGAGCACGAAAAGCTGCGGGCACCCTCTGGAACAGCAAGATCATGCTCTACGGCGGGACATAGCCAAGGGAAGTTCTCGTGCATGACTCCCAGCTTCCAGCAGCATAGGCACATTTGGGTATCCGCATCAGATTGTGCAGCCCACCGCCTGTCGGGCACGTACACCGAGGAGACGGTTGCTGTAACCAGTACACCACCGTACAAGTGGGCATCAAAAGACCCATGAGGAGTGCGCTCTGGCAACCGGCCCAACTCCCGAGCTGTGGCGTGGAAAGTAGCGCCACAAAGCCTGCAGGATGAAGACCGTTATCCTCAGACTACCAGTATAATGGACGTATATCTGAGCATCGTGTTTCTTCAGAGCGGTAATAGGTGAATATGGTAATTAATTCTTGTACATACATACATTTTGCCCACTTGCTGCGAGTACATAAAGGTTATCTATATACTGCAAGCATGTTTTTAGCGGACTTCAAAACAAGGTTTTTGCGAAGGGTTCCTTACGGGATTGTATTCGTCCCCGCGTCGAAGCAGGATCCGAAAAGGAACAGGTGCAAGTTGCAGTGGATGTTGTCCGCTGCGTTCAAAAAGGCCCTCTGTATGTTGACGCTTGGTGATCAGGCTGCCGCAGGAAGCCCCCGTTGGTCACGTACGTTCGCCTGCACTTGTGAGCTCGAAATACGGACAAAATCTCCGCAGGATACCAGACAGCCCTGACCAAGTGTTGAAACGTGACTACTGATTTGAGATTAAACTGTGTCTTTTCTGGAGAAATTCCAAACAGCGCAGTTTGTTTGTCTGTTTAACGCTTGACCAGTCGCGAGTGCGCTGCAGACCTCCCAGACAAACAGCGCAAGCGTCATCTTCATGGAGTATAGTTCAAAGCAGTATATCGCTCCGTGTAACAAGGTACATTTTGTACCTTAATGAAAGAAGCATGGAACCTGAGTGTGCTCCGGCAAATGGTACACATAACAACCTCTAATCAAGCCAGGTTTTTTTTTTTCTTCTTTTTTTTCTTTTCCCTCGCTCTAGCGCGCCATCCATTTCACGGCACAGCCTGAGCCGGCACGCCCTCCAGCGTCGGCACAATCTTCTTCATGACGCCCGCCTCGTCGAAAAACACCCTGTCAATCGTCGTCTCCCTGTGCATGCCATCCCCGCCGGGCACCGCGAACCGGTGATACGCGATGTACCAGTCATCCGTGCCGGGGACATTGACGAAGCTCTGGTGTCCCGTGCCCCGGATCCCCAGGCTGGGATCCTGCTCCAGCAGGGTCCCGTGGTTGGCCCACTGCCCGCCGAGTAGATCCGTGCTAGTCGCGTAGGCCACGTGGTACGTCGGCTCGCGCGTGTCGTCGACCGACCAGGTCATGTGGTAAAGCCCGTCGCGGAAGAAGACAAACGGCGCCTCAAAGTACCCCTCCAGCCCGGAGATCTCGCGCGCCGTGGGCCAGTTGATCCCCAGCATGTCCTCGTTGAGCTCGGCGATCACCGGCGCCCGCCCGTTGCCCCAGAGCAGGAACCACCTACCCGAGACCGGATCGTGGAAGGCCATGGGGTCAATGGCCGCGCCGCTGGCCCGGACGGGCTCCGGGTCGCGGTTAGTGATGATGGGCTCGGCGTGCGCGGTGAAGGGCCCTTCCGGGGACGGGGCGACGGCCACGCCGATGGACAGGTCGGCCGTCGCGGGGTTCGAGCCGCTGTGGTAGAAGTAGTATTTCTCACCGCGCTGGATGATCCCCGGTGCCCAGGCTTTGCCGTCTGACCACTGTTACAGCAAAATGGTCAGGCCTTAATTTCAGAATGACGATGTCGCTAAACATGTTGGTCAGCGGCATTAGGGAACTCACAGGAACATCAACCCCGTCCAGCGTCAATATCGGCTCGGCGCTCTTGGTCCAGCTGACCAGGTCCTTGGACTTCCACACATAGAAGCTCTTGCCCTCCCAGTTCTCGCCGTCGTTGGTCGGGTAGATGTAGTACGTGTCGCCAAAGACGATGATGTTGGGGTCCGCATTGAAGCCGGCCAGCACCGGGCTGACGCGCTTCTGCAGCAGCAGCGGCGAGGCGGCGACTCCCCATGGCAGAGTCTGCGCTGGCGAGAGCAGGCTCACGGCGGCCAGGAAGGAGAATGTGGATGTGAGTCGACTGTGCATCGTGTATGTGTGTGTATGTGTGTGTCTCTCTCTCTTTCAGAATGTTTTCCGAATATTGGTTCCAGGTCGAGTTAATGAGCCATGAAGGGACGAGTATCTTTTAACTGCGCTTTAAAACGGATTAGCCTTAGTGCTTAGAGACTTCGGCAAGATATCCGTCATGGGGGTTCTGGCCTTTAAATAGATGGGCTGACGTGGGCTGAGCCAAGTCCATAGGCTACCCAAGTCCAAGCGATCACCATCCTTGCCTCCCACCAGGGCCGGGGGCGAACAAGATTGTCCCCATCATGTTATTGTATGATCGCAGCATCTACATACGTATCGGAACAGCCCAGTCCACTTCCCCACACTCACGCCTACCAAAGGTGCCCCCCTGGTCCGGGGGTACCCTCCCCGTCGACCAATCACGTCAGGATGATCGTCAACCAAGGCATTTCCCCCGATGGGACGACAACAGGGGAATGACGACAGTGCCAGCGAAGCATGACCACAAGTCCTGCGGTAATTGGCTGGCCTGGGTAGGTCACATTACCCGACGTGGTTTTCTTTTTCTTGTCGGGACTGCGACCCCCCTCGCCCGTGCCGAACCTAGTTGGCTCTAAGCTTGCTTCTTACCACCCTTTCCTGCTAATAGCTTGTGGGAAATTGTCAGTCCCGGAATGTGGCGTGGTTTTGTTTTATGCCGTACAGTCCCTTTGCGAAACAATCATACACTGCCTAGTCACAGAGCCGTTTCAAGTAACATGTAGGCCACAGCCAGCCGTCCATCGTAAGAGCACCGTGGCAATGGGCCCAGTCGCATTGGTCTGCTACGAGTCCGACCCTTCCGCCCCTCCAGAAAAGGGACCCTCGGTTATATAGATCTATGACGGCGCCGGCAGTGGTGGTAATAGCCGACACGCCGTCACATCCTGCCGTCGATCACCCTCACCCCGCCTCTCCCTCTCCCACACACACACCCTCGTGATCCCGTGGCTCCGGTGCAGATTGATTTGCCGACGAAGATCATGCCACGACCACGATGAAGACCCTGCAAGTAACACACAAAATCTGTGCAGAAACAGTGAGGCCATGCCACACAGCCTGAAGAAGCCCCGACGCGACGAGATCAGTCCCTAGCCAACCACTTGTCGAACCACGCAAGCGCCTGGTCCTCGGCCCTCAGCGCACACGCCATCTCGTGCTCGTCGTCCGGGTGGCTGCGCACCGCAAACCCGTGCTTCGCCCCGGGGATGATGCTGACCTCGTATCGGCCGCCGGCATCGTCCCTGCCCTCGAGCGTCTCCTTCATGAGCCGGATCTTGCCGGCCGGCATGGCCATGTCGGTGTCGCCAATGGCCACGCTCAGCGGCAGCGACACGGCCTCGTAGTCGGCCGGCACGGACATGAAGGACGGGTGCGCGGTGAAGACGCAGTCCACCAGCGGCGGCGGCGGCGGCTGGCCCTCGGGAGCTCCCTCCGTTTCCTCCTTGGCAACACGGCTCCTCCTCCCTCTGGGCTCGTCCTGCGCCAGCCACGTGCCCAACTTGCCACCCCAGCAGAACCCGGCCACCCCAATGCGCAGCGGCGCCGATGAGGACCTGAGCTTCCTGACAAAGTCGAACACGACGCCCTTGCGCCCGACCTGGCGGCAGTGCCACACAAAGTCAAGCATCAGCGGGACCATCTGCGCGGCGTACCACGGCTTCCAGAGCAGCGTGTCGGCCCACGTGGCCGCGGGCGCCAGGACCTTGTCCATGACGGCGAGCCCGTGCGCGGGGACCGCGTGGCCGTCCATAAAGTCAGGCAGGTACACGAGGTACCCTCCGCGGGAGGCGTAGTGGTCCGCGAGGACGCGGTTGTTGGGGAAGCGCCAGCCAAAGGCGTCGGGGAGGAAGAGGATGATGCCCCTGGGCGTGGTGCCGCGGGGCGGCTGCGCGACGTAGGTGGGCCGGCCGTGGATCGTCTTCTCCTCGCCCTTGGGGTGCTCGGTCGTCACGCCGCCGCGGTAGCAGTCGGGACAACTCATTGTCGTAATGTTTGGCCCCGAATGGCCACTTCTTGGTCTGGTTGTCGGCGTTGCACCCGATTTGCTGCCGTGACAGTGGCGAGGGGGGGTTGGCTTGGCTGTGTGATGCGGTGTCAGATTGACAGACGAGGCACGAGACATGAGAAAGAGCCTCTTCACTTGCCCGACCAGGGGCCGCAGCTTTGCATTCTTATTCCAGGTACGGCCGCTCCGGCCTATACGATGCCCGTCGTTCGGGGCCGAGAGCGGCGTCTCGAGGGGAAGACGCACGTGGCTCGCGAAATTATTCAATTGTGCCCGGCCTGCCGCGCGGGCAATACGATACACCGAGTATCAGATTACTGACGCGCACATGCGGAGTTAGCCGGAGCAAAATCCGCGCTGTCGCACAGGTCGCCCGGGGACCTGCCGAGAGTCGCCGTGTTTAAAAGTGCACAATCCCGCACGTTAACCAGGGAACCTTGTCCTGCTGAAGTATGGGATCCACGGGCCAGTGGGTATTCTGCACGACGCCCTGCAAGACTGCAGCTTCACTCCTGCGGGAAAAAATCCGTAACGATCGTGGCAATACCCGCGCCAGTTGCAGTTGGCGGGGATGAGGACTTTCCAGGTATAAAGAAGAGTTTGTAGACACATGTTGGGATCTCCATGACCAGCCTCGACTTGAGCTGTGCGGCATCCTCCAATAGCATCAAGCAAAAATGGAACGTTGTTGGATGAATGATAACACCGCTACCCTACAAGCGCCTTTCCTCCTCACCATCAGCTTCCGCAGCCGGCCCGGCCAGCATTCTTGCTTTGTACTGGTTAGCCTCTCACATAACGTACAAACGCTGCCTCTACCATTTCGGTATATACCTGTAGCTATACTCCTCAACTGTTGTGGCAGGTTGCACTCAACCTCGAGAAAAGAGCTCTGCCAAGGCCATTGATAAAGTAATAGCTTTCAAAATGGTTCTCTTTTGTCATCTCTTATCGACTACTGTCTCAATACTACTCGAATGCCTCAGCCGATTCCTGTGGGATGATGCGGCTGGTTTCAAGGGTTCTCTAGGCAGCCATCCAACCTTTCCTCGCTCGATCTTCATGCAAATGGGGAAACAGCTGCGGACGAGATCGTCCCGGATTGCGCGAACCAGCATGCCGGTCGGTGAGAATCAAGTCAGGCAGATATGGCGACAATCCAGGAATCAAAGACTTGTCAGTCATGAGTGGCACTTCGCAATGCATTCTTGACATTTTTATTACGCAAAGGCTGCCTTTCTCGTCTGAAATTCCCCGATACCCGGGGCCCAGGTATGCTCGTGTCAAGCTCGTCTTTACTTATGACGTACAGATCGACCCAGGCGTCATAGTCTTACACCGTCTAGTGCTGACTTAAGCTTATTGGAACCCCATGCCAAGCGAACCCAGCAGAGCAAGGGGGAAATAAGGGAAAGCTGACAACAAAAACTCACGAACCCGATACATTGCACGCCATATCCTTGGAAGGACCATAGGAGCTCCGATAGCGTTGTAGGCTTGGATATTGGCTTCGCAAATACATGAGTAATCACACATCGTGCCCAGCAGACCAGATCACCAGCCGCCGTCATGACAGACAGCGAGAATCACAAGGCCAAAACTAACTTCAAACTCAGTATTATGTACTTCGTACAGATGATCCAGAGATACAAATGTCACACCGGCACACGAGTAACTCGTAATAAAGGTCCGCCTGCGACGGCCACAATCTGCAGTGCACGCACATGTGCCTGGAATCCGCACAGCTTACACTCCTGGCCGTACACGTTGTGCTCCAAAAACTCCTGATCCCCAGACATACTTGCCTTCTGGACGACCGGTATGCATTGTCGATGCTCTTTTCCTTTACACTTTCATGATCTATATTCCAAACAATTTGTCGAGAATGCCGGCTACTCGATCTGGCGTCTCCCCTGCGCTTCAACCAACTTCGCTGGCTGCCACGCGAGGCTGATTTGTCTGCTTCTTAAGGCGAGGCCCAGCCGCCAGCGACGTCGACCCACTCGGCGAGACACGAACCTTCCTTGCCCTCGACATCGACAATATCGGTGTCGCAGCGACAGCGGCAGCCGACACCGTTCTCCTTGGGGGAATCGTAGTTCTCCCAGTACTCATCCTCTTCGATCCGCTCCTTCTCGTTGAGTGTCGTCATCTCCAAGAATGGCTCGCGAGGCAGCTGGCGGGACGGAGCGTTGGCGGGGCAGTGCTGGATCGTGGTGTGTCGGTAGCCAAAGTCGCGGAAGTAATGGATGTCCTTGGGACCAAGGAGGATACCGGCAGCGAGAGAGTGGATCGGAGCATCACCCCACTAATGGACAGTTAGCATTGTGCACTTTCTCAATCGAGGCTGGGACAATTGGGCCAGAAACTTACGCGTTCCATCCAGAAGCCACCGCTGCGATCCATCATCTCGAAAAAGTCCTCGTACTCTTTGCTGCGGAACCAGCTGAGGCGGGCAATCTCAAAGTTGGACCAGTAGTGGCACATGTTGTATGACTCGCCCTCCATGGCCTCGGGATCAATCTCGGGCAGGGCACCAGGGTCGCGCATGATCTCCTCGGGGAGCGGAGGGATGTAGTTGGGGTCGTCCTCGGGCTTCGCGGGCTTGTCACGAGGCTCGACAAACATCTCCCAGAGACCCTGCGAGGTGATGTTGTTGAGACGCTTGTAGGCCGAGGCATAACGGAAGATGTTGGGCACAGTCTCCCGAAGTTCCTTGACGGCAATGGTGAATCCATACGTCTTGTTGTTGTCAATCATGGCGAGGAAGGGATCGTAGGTGATGTCGCAGAAGTACTTGATCTCGGGCTCCAAGCGCCAGTACCACTCGTACTTGGCGAGGAGAGGGTGCTTGTAGAAGAACCTGGACGCAGGCAGTGTCAGAAGAGGCTCCTAGAGTCTGTATATAAAAGACGAGGTGTGGCAGTCTTACCCAGAGTAGAAGCGGCACATTGCGTGGTAGGACTCGAGACCACCGTACATGACGGCAGCGTCACCCTGCTTCGCGATGCCCTCCTTGGCGACCTTGGGATCGATCCAGTCGGGGAAGCCCCACGTGCCGGGCTCGACCTTGCCAAACTCGACCGGTGCGGAAGTGTAGTTCCTGATGACGTCCTTGAATGTCTGGTTGAACTCGCCGTCGTTGAGGAAGACGTAAGGGTAGTGGTACCACCGGTTGAAGTGGCGCTCGATCGACTTGACAGACTGGATCACACCATCGAGCTCCTTGTTGCGAGCCAGGACGACAAACGCCGCATTGGCACGGGGCTTGCTCGTATCGGGCTCGAGGCAGCCGGTCACGAACACTTTGTCGTGCTTCTCGCTGATTTTCCTGTTGGGGCAAGCCCGGTTAGCTCGGCTGTACAGCATGCATGTGGCGGCCACGAGGCTTTGGGGGGAAGGACTTACCGGATGGCGGGAGGGGCGCCAGCGGGCATCAAGATCCGGCCAGGCGAGTCTGGGTGCCGGACGAAGAGGAGGAGTATGATGATTACGATTAGGCATGGGAAGAGGACGACAACGCCGAGAGGGACGGTGACGTTGGAGTTGCCGCGCAGTCGCAACGGCCGGCGGAGGAAAGCGAGGCGGCTCTGGGTGGCCTTGGAGGCAGTCGACCGGCGCTTCTCGTCAGCGGTGGGCAGCGCCGAGCCCGACCCCGGAACGCGCTTGTAGGCGCGCCGGAAGAGATCCATGATGGCAGGTCTCTGTCAGGAGCGAGTCCCCAAAGGGAGAGAGATGGGAGCGAAGGGGACAGGCAGCCAGGCGGTTGGTGGTTGCTTTTGGCGAGATGATGGGTCAGCAAGGCTGGGCCTAGATGGGCGACGTGGAGAGCCGCCGGGGACACACAAGGGATGGTTGTGTGTCGCTATACATAGGGGCGGACGGGTGCCGATGAGGGAGATGGATGTGTGTGTCCGTGTGTGAGTGTGGACGGGAGGCGGTGATGGTGGTGAGCCTGACGCAAGCCAGGGGATTAATCAGGACTGGACGGCAGCAGCGTGCGTGGGAGCTGAGGTGGCTTGGCTCCCAGCGAGCAAGGCACCTGGAAAGACCCAGCTCTGGGAACGTGGCTTGACAGGCCTTGTTTCGAGTGGGAGGGGGCCGCCCGATAAGCCCCGATAAGCCCCTGATTCCTGCATTTCTTGGTGGGAAACAGGCACATATTACAGCTCGCAGGTGCTTGCAAGTCGGAGTGATATTGGACGACCCAAGCCTGGTGGTTGAAATAATTGACAATCAGGGCAACAGTATCATGCTCTTTGCCAAGCTTGTCTGGGATGTGTGGCACAATGAGGTACTGGGCTTCTGGCCGTATGAGGAAGGACTCTCGCCTTCTGGTGCGTTGAGGGCATCTAGGGCAAGATGACCCCCATGGGGCAAGATTGAGCTGTGCAGGCTGCTTCGATTGAGCTCATATGAGCAACGACCGTTAGCAGCGACCTATCTGGAGTTCTGGTGACACGATCATTAGCATTTTCCTCCAGCACCCTCGCTGGCCCAACAATGGGTCGATAACCAGCTGGCCGGGGCGTGGCGGTGCAGCGTGGATTCCCAGTCGCACCAGCCACGCTCGTGTGGCGCTGTGACCTCGCGGCTTCCAATGTTAGGGTTGGCAGTAGCGTCCTGTTTACATAAGCCATCGGAAAGGGCGCGATTCGGCACATGGATGTTGCCATAGCTGCTGAGGATGTTGCAATCGGTTGGACAACCCTGCCAGGGATCAGAGTCACGACGCCAGAATGACAACACGACCACCCAATATCCGCTTGGAGCTTTGCATATCGACGCGCGTACTTGCCCTCGCACCATTTGAATATCCGGCAAGTCATTTTAGTGCCTGCTCTTGGCGACTGCTTGGAGTTGCTGCTGCCTCTGCACGATCTTGAGCCAGATCCTCAAACCAAGATGGAAAGCAAGATGAAAAGCAAGACGCCTTCGAGGGCGCAGATAGGGCGGCTTGTTAGCCCGGCAGATCGGCAAGCGGAGGGGTTGCTCGCCGACCCGACGGCGGACCATCCTTGAGCTGTCGACCTGCCCACCCAGCGAGCCCATCAGTCAGCAACCAACTTGGCCCCGCGTGCTATGCTACCTCGTGTTATTGTCTCCCACGATAGTTTCACAGCTGAGCATGCAAGATAGCGCCACGAACCCTGCTCCGCAGCCGGATGGTTAACCGCAGCTGCGCTGATTGGCACCGAGGGCGACCGTCGCGGCCGACCCCGCTGCGGAGACGGCGTGGGATGGACGAGGTGCCCGGCCGTCCACCCGTCCTGCGTCGGCCCCCGCCGGCTTGGCCTTTTCTTATTTCAAGACGGACGCGGGCGGCACTTCTCTCGTTTGCCTGCTCGTCTCCTCTCCTCTGGGCTGTGGTCTTCTGTGATCTTGTTGTATACAGCTTACTCGCCGGTGCTCCTGTCCGGATCCTTCTGACTTGAGCCATTCTATTTACTTAGGTAGTGTCTAACTAACACCTCACAATGGCCGCCTCTCTCGCCAAGAGCCTTCTGATCACGGCGGCTCTCGCCCCGGCTGCGGTCGTGGGCGAGACCGTGCTGGGTGTGACCGTCTTCTCCCGGCACGGCGACCGCACCTCGAAGCACTACCCGGGCTACACCCTCACCAACCTGGGCTTCCAGCAAGTTCACCAGGTCGGCGCCGCCTACCGCCAGACGTACCTCGCCGCCGGTGCCCCTAAGCAGATCCTGGGCATCAGCGAGGACAAGTACGTCCCGGCCCAGCTCTATGCCAGTGCTCCAGACCAGATGGTCCTCCTCAACACCGCCACTGCCTTTCTCCAGGGCCTCTACCCTCCCCTCAACGAGGCCGGCTCCAATGAGGACAACAATAGCCTGTCTATCCAGACTCTCAACAATGGCACCACCGTCTCCGCCCCGCTCGAGGGCTACCAGTATGTCGTCCTGCACGGCGAGAACACCGACTCGCCCCAGACCATCTGGATCAAGGGTGACGACTCGTGCCCGGCCGCCTCATCGGCCCAGAAGGGGTACTTCCAGTCCTCTGCGTACAGCACCATCTTGTCTTCGACCAAGGACTTCTACGCGGGGCTGTGGGACCTCGTGGCCGACGTCTACGACTACAAGCCCGAGAACATGTCGTACAAGAACGCCTACGACATCTTCGACCTCATCAACGTCGCCTCCATCCACAACCAGTCCTTCCCCGGGATCAAGCCTCAGGACCTCGCCCAGCTGCGCACTCTCGCCGACAGCTGGGAGGCCGGGCAGAACATCGACGCTGCCGACCCGACGGACAACAAGTCCATCGGCGGGCGCACGCTGGCCGGCGCCATCCTGAACCAGCTCAACCAGACCGTCGCCAGCTCCGGCAAGCTCAAGTTCTCCCTCTTCGCGGGCAGCTACGACACCTTCATGGCCTTCTTCGGCCTGTCCGGCCTGGCCAAGGTGTCGGACAACTTCAACGGCCTGCCCGACTACGCGAGCACCATGTCCTTTGAGATCTTCACCTCGGACAACGTGACCGCGTTCCCCGCCAGCACGGACGACCTGCAGGTCCGCTTCCTCTTCCGCAACGGCTCCGACGCGGGCGCACCGCTCGCGCAGTTCCCCTTGTTCGGCCAGCCCGAGGCCGGCATGAGCTGGAGCACTTTCGTCAAGGAGATGCAGACCCGCGCCATCACCGACGTCGCCACCTGGTGCAGCGTCTGTGGCAGCACCGAGGCATTCTGCCCATCCTCCTCCTCCTCCTCTTCGCCAGCCGGCGATGCCAGCGCCAGCAGTGGCAGTGCTTCCGGTGGCAATGTGGGTGGTTTGTCTAACACCGTGGCCGGTGTCATTGGTGCCATGGTCACGCTCGCCGTCCTCGCGATCTGCGGTTTCGTCTTCTTCCTCGTGCGCCGCGGCAAGCGCCCTGCTGCTCTCGGTGGTGCTGGTGCTGGCGGCGCCGAGGCTGCCAGGGCTGCGGCCTTGACCAAGGACAAGGCGAGCTTTTCTTCTTAGCTGTCCTGTGAGAGACGGGTACTAGTGGTTTGGCCAAACAGACAGTAGGTCTGGTCCCCAAGACACACAGCTCGCTTTCTCGTTCTCTCCTTTTCGTCCTTTTCTTTTCCACTCTTCTTTCTCTTTTCTTTTTTGTGTTCTTTCTCCAGGACGCAAATATTTGGGGGAACGCATGGGAATGGACAAAGGGGCAACAACGGATGGGCAGGCGCCAGAAGCTCCGGCTGACACGCAGACACACACACACACACACACACACACACTTACATACACATATATACCACGCAACTGGAAATAAGTGCGTCGGAAAAATGAAATAAAAAGTCTCAGCTTTAGGATAATGAATTCACGAATTTAAAACACCGTACCCCTAGAACCTAAAATACTTCCTTGCTGCACGTTGTCGTCGCGGTACGCCCCACAGCATGTGGAAGCACGCCTCTCCCACTTCTACCAGAAAAATAAGAAAATAAAAACAAATACAAGTCCTCCCCCGCCAACAACGTTGAACATCACAACCATCTCAATCGATTTTGATTCAAGGGAGAATTAAAAAAAGGAATATATCCCTTTACCCAAGGATAGCGACACATGACATACTTTTCGTCCAAATCTTGTTTACTGTTTTATTTACTCGCCCTTCTCGCTTTCTTCCTTCCTTTGTTCCTTTTGTCCAAGGAAAGTAATTTGCTCAACGACACAAAAGCCCGCGCCGCGAATCAAAAAGAGCAACGACGTCGACAAAAGTGGGACTCGACCCAAACAACCGGGGCCTCGGCTCAGGCAAGGATTTAAAGATTGATAAGATAAAGCTAGAGCGCGATAAGACCAGAGATAAGGGGAGGACCCTTATTACGTCATCAACTGACTTCAGGTCTTCCAGTCCTCACTTTATATCACAAACATTTGCGTCAAACACACGGCACATCAATTGCAAAGTTGTCTTTAAGAGTGGCAGACCATTGTTCATTCGTGTTGTTTTCCTAAGAAGCCTTTGGTGGGGCCACGGCGCATTAACATGATCCATGCTCGCGGGCCGCTAAATCGAAAAACCAGGAACGCCGTGAATGCAGAAGACTTCGTGGTCCAAACGCCTGACCATACAGAAAAGACAAAAAGACGCGCCTGGACAAATACCCGCGTCCATATGTAATGCATCGCCAAACGCCGGCCATGCTATGTCAAGAGATGTACAGTTGATTGGATGCCATGCCATGTCATCATATGCGGAAGGGCCTCTATCGTCTAAGACCCCGTCCTGCTGAAGGATGGATACATTCAGAAAAAGGAAAGGAAGCCAACTGCTGCTAGTAGTGTGGCTGGTGCTGGTGAGGATGCGGCTGTTGTTGTTGTGGTTGCTGATGGGTTGGCGTGTGTGTGAGATAGCGCATCTGCATCTGGCCGGATCCTAAGAACTCGGGCACGATACCTGTCCGCAGGTCGTTCCTCCGGCCAAGTGGCTGGTAGTGCATCTGAGTAGATCCCAGGTGATACTCCGTCAGAGGCATCGAGGGTGGCGGATAGAGGAGGGTGTTGACGCGGCGAATTGGCTTGTAGGGACTAGCGCGCTGCTGTAGGTAAATTGAAGGAGAGTTTGAGATGGGCGTGAGCGCGGCGTAAGGATCAGCCAATGGCGAGGATGCAAATTGTACCACACTGCCGGGGCTGTGGCGCTTCGAAGGAGTGCCAAAGTGCGAGGCAGACATGCCTGTTGGAGTTTGGGGGCCGCTCGGCGCCATGACGGGGGGTTGCGTAGCCCAGGTAGTCACAGGAGCGCTGACAGGAGGATAGACCGTCGCCATGGCCCGCATGCCTTGCCCCAGGGGTGGCAGCGAGACTGGGTGAAACGTTGTCTGCGGAATCGCTGCGGGTGCCTGCTGGCTCACAAAATTCTGGTTCGTATCGACAGACAGCTGAGGCACAGGCAAACGCACAGCATCGGAAGTGGGCATCGCATGGCGAGGCATGGCTGTCGGGCCCGTCGGGGGTTGCCGCGGCATCCTCTTTGCTGCAGGCTCAAAGACGTCTGTGCTGCCATCCAGACTACGCTTGCGTGCCAATCCCTGGCTCGGCTTCGCAGCATGGGGAGATACCGATGGGGCGGGGTGGTAAGTGGTGGGCCAGTTCTGCGCCACTGGGATCGGGGCGACAGCAGATGCGGCAAAGGCATGGAGGGGAGATGGCGCGCTTGGCATGCTGGAGGGTAAGATGTTGGTCGGAGATGGCAAGGGTGACGAGAACCGGGAGTGCGAGGGCGACACGGCGCTGAGAGCCGCGGCGACCGAGGCAGTCTGGCGGTGCATCTCATCCGCCTTGGCTACCTCGCAGTACTCATGGAAGCAAGCGAGCTTCGACAGCCAATCCTGCCACTGGTCTTTCGATGTAAGCAGTCCATAACGCATATTGCTGAGGAACTCGACCTCCATGACGTGGATCTCCCGAACCGAGATGCCGCTGACTTCGGCCCAGGTTTTGTTGGTATAAGTGTTATCGTCCAGAAACTTGTTGCCCAGCATCAAAGCCACAGTCAATAGCCTGTACTCGCTGCCAGGGTTGCCGTTCACCTTGGGGTTGGTCTTCTTGAGCCTGTAGACGAAGAGCAAGGCCAGCAGCACCACGTTCTGAGTGACTTGCGTTGTGGTGAGAATGCCGTGAACCCACTTCTTGTAGGCTGGGCAAGGCTCGGTATACTGTGACAGCCGCGGGAGGGGTTCGGTTGGCCGGCGGTCCTTGATATGCTCGGCTGTGCGTATCGTGTCCATGGTTTCGAACCAGAAGAAGCAAGTCATGAGGGCCGCGAAGTCGTCGAGGCGTCCGCCGTTCGGACTGATACATCGAGGCATATCGAGGCTGTGTGTGACCATCTTGGACTCCTTCTTCGAGACTGTGCCCTCCCACTTGGCCGCGGTGACATTTTCGACTACTGGCAACTGTGTTGTTGGCGGTGGTTGCGATGTAGGAGCACTCGTCTGTGGTCGGTACTGCTGTGATTGTTGTACATGCACGGCTGGTTGTGGTACTGGGAGTGGCTGGGCTTGCTGGGAGTACATGGATGCCGCCTGCTGAGTAGGTATTTGCTGTGATGCATGATAGACCTGCTGCTGCTGCTGTTGCTGCTGAAACTGGGGTAATTGTTGCGGTTGTTGTTGGTGGTGGTGCTGTTGTGGTGTGTGCGTGTTGGTTCGAGCGAATTGCTGCTGATTCACCAATGGCTCACCAGCGTTGCGTCCCGGCCGTGAGAGCGAGGCCATACCATGAGGCTGCCTGGCAAGAGCCACATGGTTTTCGTATGAGTTGGACAGAACGGGATTCACATAGGTTGCGTTCATGTTGTCGTCGCTGGGCGGCGTGCGGAGGCCGGCCGTGGGATACGGCAGTTCGCGGTTGTAGTGGGAGTGTGGCTGCTTCCGTCGAGAATGGTCCAGCAGGGAGGGAAACGAGGGTCCTGTTGTCGGAACTGCAGAATGTCCCGTGGTAGGTGGAGAGTACGGATAGAGGCTCGAGTGAGCAGTCGCTGAATACATGGAGACAAGAGGTCGAGACCACCACCGCCGTGGGCGAGGTTGGTGCTCTCTAGCTGGGAGGATGGAGCAGCTGTTTGGGAGGGTGCCGACTGACGGTCTGGCTTGATGGCAAGACCAGTTTCCTAATCGTGTACCATTTCCGAAACAAGCCGTCGTTTGTCGAGGACTCTATCTCCGATTCGTCAGGGCGGAGCACGTGCAAAAGCTTCGAGCTGTGTTGCTGGGTGTCGATCTTGGGAGGAGAGCAGACAGTGTGCCTCTTTGCGTGTCGAGCCGAAGTCGAAGTCGAACTTTGGGGACGGCTGGGTTGATAAGTCGTGTAGGAAACAGAGAAGCCGGCTAGGAGGCGGCTTCGACAGGATGATGGATCAAGTGGGCGAGGGAAGGAAAAGGTTTAGTACGACTTGAGCAGGCTGATATCCGGCAGCTGCTGGCGTGGGTCCAAGGGGTGAGGCTCGAGGAGGTTGCTTTGGGTAGTTGGATTGGCTATAGGTGTGCGGCGAGACAAAGAAAGAGAGACCAGGAGCCTGGAGCCGGTGGATGGACAATGTTGGCCAGGCTGGAACAGAATGACGACGGAATGAATGGATGAACGGATGAATGAATGGACGAATGACGGATGTTGTGGTCGGTCTGGTCTGGCGCCGGCGAGCAGGGACTGAGCGAGCATGCTGCCTCCACCAGGCGGCCTGGTCAAGGGCACAAAGTGGTGTAAAGTGGTCCCATCCTGGACAGGCTCAAGGCGTGGAGCCCTGGCTGGGCGGGTGTTGAGGGCGTGCTGGATGGCGCTGCTCTGGAAGGCGCGCTAGTGTGGGCGAGGCAGGCAGGCAGCGCCAGCCCAGCCAGCCGGCCCTGGAGGTCGGAGACTCGTGGAGTACGCCGCCCCAGCACAGGGCTCAGGCCTCTGGGCGGGTACCAGCCAAGTAATGGCCCAGGGGCGCGTGCTCCTCAATTTGGCTCCATGACAGGTCGGGGCGGGCGTGCCTCGACGACGGGGGTCTGCTACGGAACGAACACACACAGCAAGCACACCAAAGCACAGCACTGCACTGCACTGCGCAGCACTGCTCTGCACAGTACGGCACAGTACACAGCCCTCGCGCGGACCCTTTTGCAAGTGGACTAGACGGTGCCCCCGTCCCCACTTGCACCGTTCCTGCCTGCCGTCCGTCCATGACCATCCCGTCTAGGTTCACTCCGGCCGCCTCCAGGGCGTCCCTGATCCTCCACATCCCACCTCCTCCTCGTGAGCGAGCTCCTCTTCCTCTGCAAGTGCCAGTCTGGGATGGGGTGGGATGGTCGTGTCGTCTTCCGAAAGATCCCTTCTGTCGGTCGCGCAGAGTGTGCCAGACAGGCACATGCCATCATTCAGCTCGTCCGTGTCGCAATGGGCGTGCACAAACACATACACGCACACGCACACACACACACACACACACACAACACACACACTTCAACACATCGCACATGCTCCACGCCCCCCCCTAATCAATGCTGCAACTCACCCTTACAGTAGTACATCACTGACTGGCGCCCGCCCGTGGCAGCAGGCCATGGTGATGCATCATCACTCGCCCATCCCGCCTGACACCGTAATCACTGGCACAGGACCTTGACGGGGTTTGTGAAGCAAGGGTATATGTTAATAATATCTGAGCCACTCCCGGAACAGAACCCAGGAGCATTCTCTGCGCGCAGCTTGCCGGACCATGCCATTGGATTACTCGCGGCATGGGCTTATCCCTCCACTCGCAGGCCGCGCTTCCTGCACCAACACCCCAAAAGGCGTGGGCTGGGCTGGGCTGGCTTGTCCGTCCTCCGGAGACCACTTGCCCAAAGAGGGGGTTGATGGTCGGATCCAGCATCCATGGGTGCCCAGCTAGCCAGCGAGCCAGCCAAGCAAGCTCTGCCACGGGCTGCGTCGCCTAGCCTGCCTCGCTTGCCCTCGGAGAAGGCATCGGCCTCCTGAGCAAAGCCTCCTCCTGACGCTGATTCTAATTAACTACCTAGCTAAGGTAGGCAGGCAGGCAGGCGGGCAGGCGAGCCACTGGGAAGGAATCCACGGATGGTCGGGGTCAACGGTTGCACACACGCATGGGAGTAATTCTGTGGCCGCCATTCGTTGCGGAGCCCTGCCTTCTCCGTGCCTCCGTGCCTCGCATGCCTGCTCGCCCGCCTCCACGCCCATCTGTCTAGGGACAGAACTATCTTGGGGCTATGACGGTGGCGGTGACGCGCTGCGTAATGACGAGGGGCAACCTGCGGCGTGTCTACGCACAAGCCAGGGGTACTTGCGGCTTCTGGAGCTTTCTTTTGGCAAAAGGGCCTTTGCTGTATTCACAACGTCCGCTCTTACAATCCTCCACCGGTCCCGCCATCCAGGTTCGTGCCAAAGGAACGCAAGGCGACCAGACTGACCCACGGCCGAATTCAGACTCGGACAGGCCCCGTCATTGGTGGTACCGCGAGTATGGTGGAGGGTGGAGGTGGTGTGAGGCGATGGTCGTAAAGTGGGTGCAGCATCCAAAACGCAGAAAAGGAGCGAGTTTGCAGCGCTGGGAGCAGGACCAGCAACACGAACCAAAGTCAGAACGGGGGTCTGGGGGGGAGCGTGCGTGCTAGCCAAGGCGTCGAGATTCTGCTCTGGCAAATGCAAGCATGGGTGGTGCGTGTCGTGGGTGCCACAGGTAATAAACAGCATCCTTGGAGAGAAACACGGCACCCGCACACTCCTACACTTTCGACACACGGGACATCAGTCCGGCCGGCCTGGCGGGCTCACTAAGTTCTGGCCACGACAAGGACAGCACCCTGCTCGTCAGTGTTTGTGGATGGTCTGAGACAACGTCCGTCGGGACGCACCTGCGCTGCACTGTCGTCCGTGGGGCCAGCACCGAACACACAATCGCCGTTCTCAGTGCACCCATTGGTGTCGACACCTTGGACACCATCCGTCCCTTCGTCAACCATTTGGCAGGCTGGACTCAGGCGCGCGGGCGGGCGAGAGTTGTCCTGTGTGGATCTGCCTACGCCTGTCCTAGTGCGCATGCTGGTGGAACCTGGTAAAACCCACCTCCTCATTGCCTCAGAGTCAGCCAGACTCAGACCGGGGTCTTAGATCCTGCTCTGCCTACGCAGCTCGCCCCCCTCCCCTCTTCTGCAGACACAACCGGCGTGTGATCCAGGCCGGCGGGCGCCCTCCATAATGCTGTTGCTCGTATCGAGCGTATCAAAGACGTCCGTCGTGCCCTGTACCCACAAGGCGACGAGTGGCACTATCGTCACTAAGGGCTCTAGCACGGCCCACGAAGTCCGCGATGTCTCCGAGGCCGAGTGGACTGCCTCGCGTAATATGCTCTTTGGTCCATACTTGGCTGAATATGGAATGTTTCGCTGCTGTGCCGCGTGACTCTGGTCTGCCCTGTCTGCCTTCCTTGTTTCGGGGACGGGTCTAGCTGCATGCGCCTCTGTCGGACTGGGCATTGTTTGTCGAGTGAGCAGAGCCGATCCTGCCAGCACCCTCGGATATGATACGTACATTTCTGTGCAGGCATGCTGCGTAATACCAGCCGATTGCGAGTATTTGGGAAGTGTACCCTCGTACTAAGGGCATACGCAGTAATACTCGTTGTCGTCAGGATGGAGCCGACAAGGCTGCCCTGGTGGCTGGCTGGTGGGTAACAGCCAAAAAAAAAAATGCTAAGCGCGGCGCAACAGTGCATTGTCACTGGAGAAACTGTGTGCACTAAAGGCTTGTCAAGAGTCATTCCAAGGTTAAAGCGCTGGCATACTTTGCCCAGCGATGACGGGCCGGATGCCCGTGCCAGTCTCTCCAATATTAATTGACTGCCCAGGTGCCCGGCCGGCCTGTCCTACCAGTGCGGCTCGAGTCCGTTTCTTATTGGCACGGTCACCAGCTGCACAGTGCTGGAGCAGCCCTTGTCTCATCAATCCCTGAGCCTCCACGCGCACCTATTGGACATCCACCATGTGAACATCCCATGCTGGAATTGGTTGCTATGCATTCGCTAGCGCAGTCCCTCATCTGCCTGGCTTGCCAATCTTGAATGCCAGGCCTCATTCTCATGGCCTTGCCTGTTTTGACGTATTGGATCGGCAACATCGAGTTTCAAGCCACGTTCCGAAGTTGTGCATCCGCTTTAGGCGCCAGTGCTAAGCTTGGGTACACGCCCGACCATCATGCTATCGTAGCTCAAAGTGTGAGCGTGAATTCGAGCTGTACACGAACTGTGCATTTAGATGGGACGAGTCAGGCTACCACCTCGGTGTCGGGCCCCTACAAGGCAATGGGGATGATGATGCATATGAGGAGGCGAGTGGCTTTCTTGGAGCGTGCCCGGACGTGTTGCATCCTGCCTCGCATAAACTTGTCCTACGGTTCGACCTAGGCCGAGCGCGTTTGTCTCGATGCAGCGATAGATGGTCAAAAGCGGCTGCGAGCGAACACTGATTCACGGTGTGTCGTGCCCCGTATGGTTCACTGGTGCTGTTACAGCTAGAGATCGGCAGGTGAACGCAAGTCTTTTCCAGTCAGATGGAATGACGGCAGCTGCAGATCCTCTACTATGGTAGCACGCCTCCACATAGATAGTCCGCCGTGTTTGTTGTGTGCTTACTGCTTTCCACTTTAAATGGGCGTACATGCCACAGGCGATTGCACTTTTGTTCGGGTGTTTGCTCGTGGACAGTTTGAAAGTTTGCGCCGAGTGGCGGCGCCCACCGAAGCCTGCAGGCTCAAAGCTGCGACCGTCACCGGTGGGTGAGGGCAGTACTCAGAGCATGTACAAGAGTTGAGACACCTGAAGGCGGGCAAGTCTCGCACCTCGCTGAAGCATGGAAGGAAAATCCAGCACGGTTACACTTTCGTTTGACCAATGGCACCGCCTGGCGGGTTTCGAACCTCTAGAACAGTATCAGGCAAGGAGGATGACCAGACTGTGTGAGGTTGCGACTCGTGTTGTGGACAGACTCCACCAGTTTTGGCGTAATTGCTACCTGAGTACGCAGTGTGCATCGTATGACCAAGCACGATATCGATAGATAGGATGAAAGTGCGCTAACTTGTCCAAGGGATCAGGGAGAAATGGCCAGACGCATCGGCAGACAGCTCGCTCCGGAAGTTGTTGGACTCAATCTACCAAGATCTGTTGCCTTGGAGCACTTTACCAATCCATTGCAACCCGTACTCGTATGCACCCCGCCGAATGAGGAGATATTGCAGGAGCCTGTACGCCTGTCTGAACATTGATTTGATTGCACACAACATCTGTGTTGGATCATAGAGGCGGTCGTTTGGAGATGTTCGTGTTCTGATTCTTAAGACTCGATACCGTTGCCCGCCAACCCTGCGCGAGGAGGACGATCCGGCATTAGGCTGAGAGCTGGATGAGCCTGATTCGTCTTGGATTGTTGCTTGGGGAAGGGGGGCACGAGTCTGAATAAGTTACCTGGCGTATGGGTTCTGGTGGAGACCGACCTCGACGGCGGTGGCAGGTTGCCGGAGCCGTGCTGGGCACGGGAGCAGCAGGCCCTCTCACGAGATGCCGCGCGTACGTGTGGCTGTTTCGGTGTTTCGGTGCTGCTCAATGCAGCGACACTGTGCAAAACGGTAGACCGCCATGGCATGGCCCAAGGGTATCCATTCCGGATGTCTCGCCGGCGTCACCTGCTTGCTTAGCGGAAGCACACTGCTGGACCAGCGAGGTAGGGGGCCGTGTTGCTCTTGGCCAACCAGACGAGGACCTGCTGATTCGCTGGCGGGGGATAGGCGCTGGCTTTCCGCTCAGCTGAGGGACTTCCCCCTGGTCGACAAATTGAGGCATGTAGGCAATTAGTCGGCACCAGTCACATTGACTTGAGTCCCCGAGTCAAAATCGGCGCCGCGTCACTTCTGAGTTTGGAGTGCGTTCTGTCTCTCGGCGGGCGACCTGGGCGGGACCTCGTTTCGCCAGGACCAAACCTTGTGCGATCCAGGACGACAGCCAGCTTCCACCTGCGCAAAGAACACTTGGTGATGCTGGCGGAGACCGGACAGAGTTGTTTGGACGGGCGTCGAGCGCAGGGTCGCGAGTCTTGTTTCGGCCTAGTAGATTTCTTGATTACTGGTGACTGCAGGTACGGAAATACATTGCAAGTTCGGTCGCTGACCAGCCTGTGGCGTTGAGCAAGTGGACACTTGGGCCTCGGCTTGTCGCCAGGATGTGCTTCCGTAATTGTCTCGCCTGCTAGGTCGTGCCATTTGTTCCGTACCGTAGTTACGTTGCTGCGCAGTGATGGCCCTGGACCAGTGTCAAGCTGCCGGCCGGGTAACCAGGCCTACTGCTCCACGCCTCTCCAAGGCACGGCTGGGACAGGATTCGAGAGCGACGCGAAGCAAAGGGAAGGCGAGGTGTAGCAGTGGGCACCGAGGAGCGCTGCATCGTCGAGCCTATGCTGTGTGGCAGATGACGGCTCAAGAGGGAGGAGAAGACATGCATCCAAAAAGGATACGTACATGGAAGGGTGAGGGGCGGGAAGACGGGCGGGCCGGTGCAAAAGGTGCTAGCCGAATGCCCAGCGCTGATTGGGCCATGGTCAAGACGAGGGTAGTGGGGCGGATGGGCATCGAGCCTTCCTCGAGGCGGACAACTCTTGACGCAGCTTGAGTCCATGCATCTTGCCAGCCACCAGACAATAGAGCCGCCTCCAGTTGTCCTGGGGGATATTAGCGACAGGCAGACCTCGAGCAGTCCGTCCTCTTCGGTGTCCCATGGATCGTCGAGGCCCCTTGCCCCCTTTCTGGTGGTGTGGCACCTTGTTTGGCCACTTCACCCGGCATCATCCACATTGTGGCCATGGTCAAGAAGCAGCCGCCCAGGCAGTCGCGAACTCGATGCAGATCCGAGACATATCCAGCAGACGGTAGGACTTGGTCCTGGACTACGACGCTGTGAGGCCAACTTCGTGTCCTCGCCTCCCATAGGCAGTGCCAGCGCGAGGGCAGGCGGCCATGGACACTTGATGTCTCACATGGACAATCCGTGGCTGGCTGGCCCGGCCCGCCTGCCTGCTTCACCCAGCCACCGAAGGCTGATTGACACAAACACAGCAGCTCGCGACCCGGCAGAAACGCCTGTAGGTGACACTTGACAATATCCATCCGGCGCAAGCAACACGAGTTCGACAGATGCTGCACTTGGCCAGGGTCCCCGACACATCCTCTGCCTGCGCCCGGCCACAGCAGACTGAGCCTGGCAGTGTCCCCAGTCTGCGCTCTGCTGACATGGTCCTGCTGATTGATGCCTCTGGGCCCGCATCCGCCTTGTTCCGTGTCCCCATGTGCTTACCGGTACGTCGGTGACCCGGATCGGGTGCTTGTCCATGGAAACGCCGTGTTCACAGTCTTTGCCAAGGTGGGGGCCTCGCGAGTCACAACCAGGCGTAACTTGGGGTGACTCTGCGTTGTCAACCGCCCAAAGGGTCCTGTATGCTCTTGACGGGCTACAGACGAGGTCGACAATCTGACGACGGCTTTCTCCGCATCAGTGCAGCTGCAAAGAAGACGAAGCAAGCCTGATGATGGACCATGCCCCCCCCACTGCGCTGTTGACGGTTGACGTATCCATCACACTGCACTTGCCCTCACTCGGCAGTGTCTAATGATGGACAAATACCCAGCAAGTCGCTTCAGACACCGGGAAACTGTCAAATCCTGCTGCACCTTTGCCGCCTCCAATATCGATACCCGTGTTCGTAATATTGTGTCCTGCCACCTTCGTCCGACGTAGCAACCATGATCCGTCCGCCCGGTCTTTTGGCACGCGTGACAAGAGAGGCTGACATTGGAAGAGTTTGTATGTCTGGGGTGCTGGGTTCCAACACTGACAGCTGGATATGCACACGCACAGGATGGACAACAACATCATGCAGTCAGTCCTGAGCAGTCTTGGGCGGTTCGAGGACCGCGCTTTCCCCACATGACCCGGCGGACCCACCACGAATCGTGCAAGATTGTACGGTCCAGGCCTCGGCTATGACGTGACTTGACCTCGGCTGGCCAGAGCTCATTTAAGAACTCAAGCATCATGTCGATTTACCATTGAGCAACCGAGCAACATAATAATATCGCGATCTTTGACATCCGTGTCCCTGTTGGAGGTCATCGCGTGCCTGAACCTCGAAGAGACTGCCCTCCTTGGCAACTTATCCGCCCGTGCTCCGAACAACGTCTGAGCTGAGAAGCAGCAGAGAACGTTCGCCAATAATTGTTGAAGGTCTGCGATTCTTCTGCAGACGGAGCACCATAACGCTTGGCATTGCTGCATTTGGTGAAATAGGCAATTTCCGTGTGACGGGCACGACATCTTTGATCGTCCACAGAATGGCCGCCACTCTAATGAGGAGGTGGTTCCCAACCACGAGCCATCCCCTGGTCATCAGTGCTCCCATGGACTTCGTCACCAACGCGAGGCTAGCCACCGAGGTGACCAAGGCTGGCGGACTAGGTAAGCAATCTTGGGGACTTGGTGAAATCCGCTGCGACGGCCTCCACGCGCCTGACATAATCTCCCCCGTGCTACGTACAAACCACGCGCACCTGCTCACGAGTACAAAGGCTTCATTCAAGGAGGCCGAGACTTTAAGCCTGGTTCCGCACTCGTGACGAAGACCCTGGACGAGCAGCTCACCACCGCGCGCAAGCTCTTGGCAGGGCATCTCGGCAGCGCCAACGGGTGCAACTCCTCGGCCACACTTCCCCTGGGTGTTGGATTCGTCGCGTACGACGCATCCGCCGTGGAGCACTTCAACTCGACGACACTGCCTATCCTCGCCAGGCACAGGCCATGTGTTGTATGGCTCTTTGCACCATCACCCGAGCGGCCAGGCACGATCCGCAAGATTGTCGAGGCGCTGCGGCAAGCTGCTGCTGTTGCTACTGCTGCTGCTCTCTCCAGCGGATCTTCGGGAGGCGATGGCGGGGATCGCGAGGTCTTGGGACCATGGGACTTGCATATCGCCGTGCAGGTCGGTACCGTGGAAGCGGCGCGTCAGGCGGTCGCAGACGGCGCGGACATCATCGTGGCCCAGGGAGTGGACGCCGGAGGGCACCAGTTTGCCAGTGGTGCAGGCATCGTCAGCTTGGTGCCAGAGATTGCGGACATGCTCTCCAGCATGACGGAGGACGGCAGGAGTGATGGCGGGACACGCGAGATCGCCTTGTGGGCTGCCGGCGGTATTGTCGATGGCCGTGGAGTTGCTGCTGCTTTGGCGCTAGGCGCAGACGCAGCGGTTTTGGGCACGAGGGTGAGTGATTTCGGTGGTCAAAATTCAGGGCCTCGTCGTCTCTTTGTATGGCCAGGCTAACTCTGAGAATCCCAGTACATGGTCGCCACCGAGTCGGATGCGCAGGACTTTAAGCGGCAGGCCATCCTGTCCACATCAGATGGCGGCCAAAACACGGTAAAGTGCGTTTGACTTTATCCCCTTCCTCACAATATCTGCATTGAAAGACCTACAGAAGAATGCCACAGCACACTTGAACCAGGGCTAACAGGCATTGCGCAGAGCATATATCCACGACCACGTTCAAGGCAACCACTCCTGGCCTGAATTCTACGATGGCCGAGCCATTGTGCACCCGTCCTACACTGACCACGTTGGCGGATTGTCTCTGGACGAGAATAAAGCAATGTTCAAGAAGGCTAAGGACCGTGGAGAAGTTTCGAGAATGGTCACCTGGTCGTAAGTTTCGGCCTGTACCAGAAAAGGCTTATATTGATATTACTTTTGCTGATATGACCCCAGTGGCACGGGTGTCGGTCTGGTCAGAGAAGAACTGCCTGCGGCAGAGATCACTCGGAAAGTGCGAGAGGAGGCCGCCAAGGTCATGAAAGGACTTCGATGATTCCTCGTTTTATTCAGAGACGACAGAAGTCTCCAACGCGCTCGATCCCAAGCAACAGGGCGTAGCGGAAACCGCGTGAACGACACTCTGGAAAGCATGCCTCCCCGCCCGATTCACGAACGGTGGTAAAAGAGGAGAACAAAGGTAAGAATCTTCAAGATACAAAGCTAATGGTGAAACTACAATATCCGTGACCCAAAAAGCAAACTCGCAAAGGTCCGCTGCGGGCTGTTCGGCTTCCTGTACGGACATGTCACGGTCAAACCCAGGTCGTCGGCACCTGCATGGGTAGACCTCTTGCCGAGACTCCAACGGTCTGCACCTGCTGCGGTGCCGGCCCTGCGCCGCCGCGCCCCATGGCATCACCGGCGATGCTTCTGCCGCGTTCGCTAATCCTGCCAGCAACCTTGGGCGGGCTGCGGGGCAGTTGCGAAGCCCTGCTCGCACTCCTCCCATGACTGGTAGGACCACAATGCATATGCTCCTGGCTGGGATTCGGATCGTACGCCGCAAGATGACCGCCGAAGATGTTATCGTCGTCGTCCGGGTCGCGAAGGCGGAACCGATCTGCGAGTGACTTCGGCCTTGGGTTAAAGCGCCACAGAGGCGAGGGAGGGTGCCGTGGAGGCGGGAGGCACTTGGTGACGAACGACGGGCCTGTGGATAGAGCTCTGTTAGTCCGGGGAGCTGCGCAGAATGAAGCTATTGATTGATTTTGACCTTTGCCCACCAGCTCCGCACCCGGAGCAGCAGACATCAACGCCTCGAGCGAGCGCCCTCCCCAATCAAGCACGAAAGCAGCAGCCGGCCCGGAACAAAGAAGACTTACACAGCCCAGACGCCAGAAGCACCGCTCTCCAAAACCACCGCATCAACGACACCACGACGGGCACCCACACCACGACCGCCAGCACGCGCGCAGCAGACGTCACGTTGCCCACGCCCGCGCCGTCCCCGAGCAGCGCTACCAGCGCGGCGCGGATCCCGGCCAGCGCGGCCACCGAGCCGAGCACGAACCCGTGGGCATAGGCGCACGCCACCACGAGCCCGGCGAAGACCAACTTGCGCCGACGGCTCCGGCTCCTGTTGCGGTCGAACACGCGCACGGCTGCCACGGCGAGCAGGAGGAGCGCGAGGAGCAGCACGTGCACGCCGCGGGGCACGGCGTCGATCTTGGACGGGTCGACTGCCAGAGGAGCGTGCTGGGGCCCGCACAGCTCCCGCGCGAGGGCGACATTTGGGGCCGCGATGGAGTACAGGCGCTGGACGAGGTACCATGGCCCAAAGACGATGGTAACCATCAGGGAGATGGTGAGAGCGATCGGGACCAGGAGGTAGCCCCTGTGCTGGTCGTCGTGCCCGCGTTGTCTGCGCTGGCGATTGTTGCTGCGAAGGGGAGATAGGCGGAAGGGCCGCACCATCCTCTTGTTGCTGCTACTGTTGCCGTTGCTGCCGCTGTTGCCGATCTCGTCGTCGCTGCTGCCGCTCATACCACTACTACCTTTCTGTCCTGCGTCAGGGTTCTCGTCGGCGTTGCCGTCGAGCAAGGACCGCAACCAGAGCGTGCACCAGAGCACGGCGGCACCGAAAATCTCGAGCTGCACCAAGGCGTCGGCGACCAGCATGTCCGGGATGGACGGGAGGACGCCGCCGTTGTGGAGCACCAAGGCGGTGCCAGCAGCCTCGGCGGCGACCTGCTGCTCATCATCTCCCGAGCGTGGCTTGACGTCGAAGAACATGGCCATGGAGATGAGCAGGACAGGCACGCTGAGAAGTAGCTGGAGCGCGAAGAACCCGTTGAAGAGTCTTCGCAACTTGCGCCGGCCGGATACGGAGGAGAGGTAGAACGCGAGGAGGTATGGTGCGGAGAAGAGGACTGTCAGGATCGCCTGAATAAAGGCGCCTTGATGGATCTACGGAATTGGTCAATTTTCAAAAAGTCCGCAGATTCTGGGAGCGAGCAGCTTGAGGACTTACTTCAAAGAGCCGTGGAGACTCGGTGCCGAACAGGAACTCGCATGATTCCGGGCACGTGTCGAATAAAAACCCGGGGTCGTCTGGCGACTCGAGGAACAGAGCGCGTATGTCTGTCTGGGTGCACTGGTAGGGGTACATTGTGTGAGGAGGATCTGGCTCAAATGGGAGTGCTTTCGGAGCACTCGCGAGAGATTTGATGGTTGAACGATGCCGTCACGATGGATATTTAACATCTCTCTGGAGGTGCACGTGGGCAGCTGGCTTCGAATTTCACCTAGACACGCGAAAACGATGTTACAATGCTGTACGACTCGGTAGATTAATGGTTGTTGAGCCGTGAATGATCATCTTGCGAGTGCAGAGACCCAGTCTCCATGGCCACGAGCTGATTCTTAGTTTTTTTTTTTAATAACCGTGTCCGTTTGTTCAGCAACTGAGTCATTGTTTCTTGCGTCAATCATTGCACGGTTGATTGTCAATGCGATTTTCCAAAATAACAAACCGGCCTTCGAACTCGTTATTCGTTGTAACTCATTCAATTGACAAGAACGGACATGGTTTGCCTCATCCCCAAACACACACAGCCGAGTTTGCCCAGCCAGCCAGCCAGCCAGCCCTTTCGCGATCGGTTTCTTGTACCGCACCCAGTCACCCACTCGCCAGATCAATCAAGCCGCGTCCTCCTCCTCATTCACTCACCAATCCTCCCAACCAACCCCTCAAACAGCGCAGGCAGCACCTCCGCGGCATCCCCGCCAAACCAGAAGTCCTCGGGCCCGAGCCCCTCGGCGGCCGCCGGGTCCGGATTCACCACCGCGACCACGGCCCCGCGCCGCTTCGCCTTGCGCACGTACCCTGCCGCCGGGTAGACCGCGGCCGCCGTGCCGATCACGAGCATGACCTCGATGGGCCCGCGGTAGATCCAGTTCTCCACGCCCATGAGCATGTCGCTGTCCAGGGACTCGCCGAACCAGACGACGCCCGGCCTGAGGAGCGACGACGAGGACGCGGACGAGGCCTTGCACGCCGGGCAGTGCGGGAGGTCGGCCCTCTTGATTTCCGGGAGCGGGGTGGCCGCATCGAGGAGCGGTATGGGTTGGTCGGGCGGGTAGTCCTGCGCGGCTGCCGCGAGGGCTGGGCACAGAGGGTCGTCGGTGTTTTGGTGCTCAATGTAGTTGCAGGAAGGCGAGGAGCACTTCAGGGTGAGGATGTTGCCGTGTAGTGGTTTGAGCTGGGCGGCGGGGTGGCCTGCGCGTTGGGAGAGGCCTGGGGGTTGCGGCATCATGATACCAGGGGCTGTCAACCTCTGTCTCCCTCTCTCTCTATATATACTTCTGTGCTTTTTACTGGCATGGCCCTCGAATACTTCACGAAGAGGGGCGTGGACACAGAAGCAGCAAGTCAAGATGAAAATAGATTTAACTTACCATCCACGTTTTGCGTCAGACACATAAACCCTGACGCCCCCTTGACCTCGGCCAGTTTCGCCAGCGCTTTGTGGCCGTCGTTTGGCTCAGCCTTGAGCGCCATATGCCGCCGCCACGCGTAGAAGAGCCATACGAGCGCCGGGTCTGCGGCGAAAGCCTCGGGCGTGGCCAGGGAGGTCGGGTCGTGGTTCCGCCACAGCCCGCCGGCACCGCGGAACGTGGGCAGGCCTGAGGATGCAGAGAGACCGGCACCGCAGAGGGCGAGGATTCTGCTGTTGGGGCCGAGGGAGGAAAGGAGGGATTGGAAGGCTGGGATGGAGGTGTTGTATGACATGGTGCGCGCTGATGAGGGGAGGAGGCGTCGTGGCTGCCGGCACGAGCGGAGGGCGGTGATGTGGCGTAGTGATGGTGTGGTCGCGCGGAGGAGGACGGGGTGCCTCACCGAATGAGTGATCATACCTAACGTAGGTAGGGCCGGTGATACTTTACAGGCAGCAGCGAGTATTCTCTCGACTTGCTGCCTTACAAGGCGCCTGACTGGATGACGTCGAAGGATTGAGGGGTGGTGTCGACTGGGATACAGACAGGGTTGCCTAATGGCTGGGTTCTAGAAGTCAAGGCCCAGGCTGTTTGGTACGCGGGTATGATCGGACGACTACCGGGGAAGATGGATCATGGCGTCTTCCATGTGTTGTGACTACCGATGCGTTAATGAAGCTCGTGGTAGTGGTAGCCAGTGCGGCGAAGTCTGTGATTGATCAATCGAAAAAACCCTTTATATATATCTCTAAGGTTCTGGACCTTCAACCAACTCCGACCGGATGAACACATCTGGATCCACTGCTCGGTTAGCTCAGTTGGTTAGAGCGTCGTACTAATATCATCTCGCTCGAGATATATCTGGTCATGCGAAGGTCATGAGTTCAACCCTCATACTGAGCATTCTTTTTGCCATTTGTCGCCCATTGCCTCACAGGCATTCGATATTTTATTTCTGGAATGGTGGTTTGGACATCCGGTGGCGTTCAGATGTCGGACTGATGGTGTTGTGCCTTTTCGCCCGTTCTTGGAAGGCACGGACCGGAATGCGGGGCTACCACGGCCGTCGTGCCTGCCTTCCCGCCTGACAAACATGTCTCACATGCCGGGAAACCACCGCCGCCGGCCCGCCCGGAAGCGCTACAAGGCATTGTGTCAGCGAGCCTAGCTCTCACGTCAGACCTGACTGTGATTGCCGGTTGGCAAGCACAGCAATTCAATTGCTGAACAATCCTGCGCATCGCAAAAGCAAGGCCCGGAGTTTAGAGCCGACGTGGATGCATGCATGCACGATAGATAACGCAAGCGCGGTTGGCAATTAGCTCATCCTCCGAGCCCAGTCCCCCACAGCGCACGCACGCCCTGTACGCCCTCCGTGCATCGGCCCGGCCGGCGTGGGTCCCGACAGGGCCGATATCGAAGGACCCTCTCCGGTCGCCTAAGTACATGCCCCTCCTCATCGTCATCTTATCGCGGTCGTCCTCTTCTTGACCCGGGCAGCACCAGACCGTCTTTCTCCTTTACTCTTCTCCACTGCCCGATTCTTAAACCAGCATCCGATCGCAGAAACCAGCCCACAACTCCTCCAGGCACAACAACCATCCTCCTCCTCCTCACTGATTCACAATGGGCGACGCACCGGCCCCCACCTCCGCAAACCGGGACCTGGCAGGCCACAAGCTCGTCATCCTCTCGCCCTTCAAGGAGGAGCCCGCCCTCCGCGAGCGCCTGCACAAGCGCTTCCCCGGCCTCAAGGTCCAGCACTTTGACTGGGACGTCTGGCACAAGCCCACCCTGCCCAGCGCGCAGACCACGGACAACCAGGGCGGCAGCCTCGACTGGTCCGACGTGACGGTGCTCGTGACGGGCCCCCAGTTCCCCGAGCGGGAAGAGGCGCCCAAGCTCCAGCTCGTGCAGCTCCAGAGCGCGGGTGCCAACTACGTCCTCGAGAAGCCAATCTACAAGGACACGGACATTGCCTTTTGTACGGCCAACGGTGTGCACGGGTGAGTCTTTTGGTCGCGGCCGTGGTTGCGGAAACTACGAGGACTGAGGTGTCCGGGGTGTTGCCGATGGGACGGATCGAGGATTGATGGTGATGCTCGGCACTGGCTGTTTGTCCTTGCAAGAGCACATGTCATTCTCATCCCCGTTCTTGTCCCGGCAAACGACCAATTTTAACTTTCATGCGAACAATACGAATCAGCTGACACGATTACGCACGCTCACAACCACAGACCGCAGATCTCCGAATGGGTTATTGCCACGTTCCTAGCTCATCAACACCGCAGTAAGTCTCCCCGAGTCACCTGTTTCGAGGAAGTCCCACACTTGTGCGGAAGTCCTCTTGGATCCTGTGGTCTACCGGTCCCCTTGCCAATGGGCCGGGCTATACTCATGAATGCCATGGGAACTGTTGTTCTTTGACTTTTGAAAAGTCCTCGAGAGAAACGAATGCTGACATGATCACTTCGGCCCCCGTGTCTAGTCCCTTACTACCTTGACCGTCAGAAAGAAGCCAAGTGGACGCGCGACAATGAAATCGCCTCCGGGATCGAGGACACCGTCGGCCAGCGCGTGTAAGTAATCATCCACAAACCCCATTCTCCTCGCCCACTGCCAGCATGGCTCCCCGGGCCGCCCAAAACAGCACTTGAAACCCTAACAAATCGGTCCATAAAAAACAGAGGAATCCTCGGCTACGGCGCCATCGGCCGGCAAACCGCGCGCGTCGCCCGCGCCATGGGCATGACCGTGTACGCATACACCAACCGGCCCCGCACGACGCCCGAGTCCAAGCGGGACCACGCGTACTGCCCCCCGGGCTAGGCGATCCGGCCGGCGACCTCCCCGAGAAGTGGTTCTCGGGGGACCTGGACGCCTTCCTGTCCTCCGGGCTGGACCTGCTCGTCATCGCGGTGCCGCTGACCCCGGCGACCCAGGGGTTAATCGGCCTCAAGGAGCTGGAGCTGCTCAAGGAGAGGAAGACGTACGTGTCCAACATTGGCCGGGGGCCCGTGCTGGTCACCGACGCGCTGGTCGAGGCGCTCGACAACGGCTGGATCCGGGGCGCCGCGCTGGACGTCACGGACCCGGAGCCCCTGAATGACGGGCACGTGCTGTGGACAAAGGAGAATGTCATCATCACGCCGCATGTCAGCGGCGCGTCCAAGAGCTACGGGCAGAGGCTGGGCGAGATCCTGTTTGCGAATCTCGAGAGGCTGAGCGAGGGCGAGGAGTTGTTGAATCGTGTAGATCGGGGGAGGGGGTATTAAAGTCTTAAGGAAAAGCCACACGAGGGACTCGTTTGTCGATTCTGGAACGGAATGCAGACGTGTAACAACAACTAGGTCTGTAGCCTTCAAAAAAGAAAGACGTGGGTCTACAAACACAACACACACTGGGTGGCCATCGTCAAGATGATTGGAGCTGGAAAGTATTCTTATTCGTAAAAACAAAAACATGGACCGGTAAAGCCCACACTAGCAAGACGTGGACGGCAGCCCGAATATCCCCGTCAGCCCGAGGAAGCGTGCCCGGCTCTCCTTCACGACCATCCTGGTCATGAGCTCTCGTTTCGTCGCGGTCTGTATGCACGCACTGTTGAGCAGGCAGCTGAAGGACCATATCCCGTGCTCCTGCTCGCGGTACTCGTCCACCGCGCGCGGCGCCACCTCGAGGGACTTGTCCCGCAGGCTGCTCGCCGCAATCGACCCCGGCACGTAGCCCTTGGTCGCCCACCAGTACAAGTGGCTCCACGGCTCTCCGCCGGCCCAGAATGCGGCGTCAAAGGGGGCCGTGTCCGCCACAGACACTCTCAGAAACAGCACATATGTCTTGACGAGCCGGATGGCGTCGTTGATCCGGCAGTCGGCGTGCTGCCCGCTCTCGCGCTGCCACAGCCGCGAGGCGTGATACTGATTGACCCAGCTCCTGACGTTGCCCAGGTCGCCCAGCAGCCAATGTGTGTCGGTGTGTGTGGAGCCATCTTTCGCGAAGGTCGCGACAAAGACGTTCTCAGGCTTGATGTCGTCGTGGCACAGCTGATAGTCGTTGTGCATCTTGTCCAGCGCCGCCAGGAGGCGGTTGAGCGACGGGCGGAACATGGCATCGAGCTCGCGGTAGGTGAGGCCGAGGGTGCGCAGCCGGTCTGCGAGGTGCAGCAAGCTGCCGCCCTCGAGGTAGGGCATGACAAAGTGCCAGCTCGCCTTGGAGTGGTCTGTGGGCGACGTCAGGAAGTAGTCCTTGACAGGCAAGAAGTCGTCTTCGTCGTGGAGGTCGTCGCGCATGCCCCCGAGCAGTAGAGAGGCCGGGATCTCCGAGGGCCATCGTGTCTCTCTAGAGGCACCGGGGACGCAATTGCGCAGGGGGCTGCGGCGGATATTGAACGTCTTGATGACGGTGCCGTTCAGGCGGAAGACCTCGCCCTCGATGCCGCCGCCGAGGCGGCGCCACTGGTCGCGGTGGTCGAGGACATGGCGGGAGTCGTGGGTGTCGAGACTGAGAGCCCAGTTGTGCTTTGTGATGGCGGCGGCGGTCTGGTCGAAGCGGCGCTCGAAGCGGGTGGGCGAGTACTTTGCCCAGAGGTCGCTACGGGCGACGAAATGCTGGTAGACGGTGTAGAGGGCGCTGAAGGCGAGGCCGGCGACGAGGCAGCGGAGGAGGAGGCGGTAGGCCGGGCGGCGCCTCAGCTCTGCGCGCAAGGGGTAGAGTCGCCGCTGGAGGCCGCCATAGACCATGGCAGGCAGGCGCGCAGGCAAAGAGGCGGCGCGTCGTGGGATCGGGAGGTCGGCCGTCTCTGATCAGACGAGTGCATGCATAGCGTAGCTGGAGCGTCAGCAAGGGGAGGAGAGGCGGCAGCAGGCAGCCAGCGAAAGAAAGGGAGCGACTGAGGACGACAAGGGCTGTGTTGTCTTAACTAGCGGGCGGGAGGACCCTGAAGGCACTGGCCGTTGTTGACATTTGGTGGAGTGGAGCCCCCAGCACTGTAAGTGGGTGCCAGACAGCCCTGTAGCTCAAGCTGAACAATGGAAACAGAGCCCCGCACCAGCACCGGCGCAGCTGCGCCTTCCTTGACCAACCTGGAGAAGACTCAAGGTTGAACTGGACGTACAATCAGGCAGTCTTGCCTTGTTGCGCCTCTCAGGGCTGCCCCGTGCTGCCCCGTGCTGCCAAAACTCCGTCCCAAACCACCCGACATCATGATACCATGACCTGACACTGGCATTCAGGTTGACATTTGTGTTTGGCCTTGGCTGCTCTTGTCGTCCTCCCGAGCCCGGACCACGATGGCCAAGGCAGTGTCTGATAGCGGAGCCATGCACCGCTTCCTTCTCCTCGCCGTCGCGATTCTATCTCGTGCCTCGGTCCACGCTCTCCATGCTGCTGCTGCCTTCCTCCTCGACTGCGTCGCCTACCATGTCGGTCGGATCTGGCTTGTTATCGTTGCGTCCGCCGTAGTCCGCAATGGCCGTCTCGTCTTCCCCGCGGCGTTGCTGTGCGAGTGGCTCATGGGCATCTCGACGACGTCCTTTGTCTTCACCTTCAGCCTCGTCCTCGCGCAGATGGCGCATCCGCTCTTCTTTGCAGATCTCAACTTGGCCTATACGGAAGCCTGGTATGGGTTTTACCGCCATTACACGCTGCTTCCCGCCCTGAGCTTCCCCTTCTTCAGCGTGCTCTTTCACTATCCAGCCTGGACTGTAGCCACCTTGTCGACTGCAATCGCAAAGGCCCCTCGCTGGTTCTGGTCGCGTACTTCCGTCTTCGGCTTGACCAGTCTGCTCTGGAAAGTGCCCATGGCTGTGCTTTTCCTTTGGCTGTTCCTGCTCTGGCTCGAGATGCAGCTTAGGCCGCTCTCCAAGGTATGGCGTCAAGCCGGCAAAGCCGCCTATGACACGCGCTTAGCCATCGTGGCAGAGCTGGATCGCTGGAACGATAGGGTTTCACAGCCACAGCCTGGCATCATCACGACGGCAGATCTAAGTCGGCAAGAGCACTTCACTCACAGACCTCTCGCCAGCACCAGCCAGATCCGCCTCCTCCATATTCTGCCTCGAGGCAATTCAGCCATCGTTCGATGCTCTACCGTCCACGTAGACCTTGACCACGCGACCCCTGCCTTTGAAGCCATATCTTACACATGGAATGGCGCTGACAGAACGCACACCATCTTTGTTGACGGGCGGCCGTACCGGACCACCAAGAATGCCCATGACCTTCTCCTAGAATGCTCGCCCGTGTACTCGCCTCGCCCGGTATGGATCGACTCCATCTGCATCAACCAAGATGATGCACACGAGAAGAGCTGGCATGTCCAGACCATGGCACGCATCTACCGTCGAGCCTGCCGAGTAATTGTCTGGCTAGGGACTGGACGCCATGCCAATCTCGCCGTGCAACTACTTCTGGAGCTAAATCACAGGGTCCAAGAGGATGGCTTCAATGATAAGGCGTTGTATGAGCGCTACCTGCCACAACGACGGTCTCCACGATGGCTCGCGCTTGGTGATCTTCTCGAGCACTCGTATTTTTCACGCATGTGGATGGTACAAGAAACGTCGGCCCAGAGTGACGTCCATGTCATGTACGGCGGATCCCTGCTGCTGTGGAAAACCCTGAGCACTATCTACGCCATCACCCTGACGGCCCACCAGTTGAGCACGTTGGTCGAAGACTCTGCCGAGGTAGGGATGAAGCGCAACGGCATCCTCAACGGCCACCAAATGTTCGCCATTGACGGAGTTCGGGAGCTCGTCTTGTCTGGGTCCGGTCTGAGCTTGCAGGATGCCTTGATGAGATGCTGGACGTTGCAGGCGACCGACCCGCGAGATAAGGTGTTTGCGCTCTGGGACATTGTGACTGACCCTGTCGATCCGCTGATTGTGCCAAACTACACCAAGTCCGTGACCCAGGTCTACACGGACACCGCCTGCTATCTTGCCAAGCAGGGCTTGTCAGTCCTGCAGATCCTGCCATGCGCAGGTATTGGGTGGCCGAGACTGGTGCATCCGCTTCCTTCCTGGGCGCCAGACTGGAGCTTTGCCAGCCGTTCCGTGTTGGCCGAGCGCATATACGACAAGGCCCCTTACTCGACCGCTGGTGCACTTGAACCGTCGGGTGTCGATCTTGTCGGCGACAATGCGCTCGGGCTCGACGCCATCCTGGTTCCCGGCGAGGTGACAGATCTGGGGCCAGAGTTCGTCCGCCCTGTCGACCTAGCCTGGCCGAACCTCCGCAGCAGCCCGTCAGCCTCAGAGCTACCAGAAGTCACGTCTGAATGGCTGAGAGGGTCCCGCGAGGCGATTGTCGGCTGGATGCGGGGACAAGATCAGAGGTACGGGCACACTGGACAGCTGTGCGATGAAGTCTTCTGGCGCACGATGATGGTGGACGCCGGCTCAAAGGAGATGGGTCGCGGTGTCAAGGCATTTGCACGGCCCGCGGCGCCGCGTTTCGGGACCCATTACCGCTACAGCATGCAGGAGCTGTGCGGGCTTGAGGTCGGCACTGCAGAGGACCGCGCCGTCGACGAGCAGGAGCTGCGGGGCCTGAGCGAGGACGACAAGCTCCTGCTCACGTCCCTCTGGGTCACGACTGTGCAGATGCATTGTCTCTCACGGAGGATGGCTTTCACGTCACATGGATATGTATGCCTGGTGCCGCCGGGAACGGTGCCGGGAGACCGGGTTGCCATTGTGCCTGGTCTGAGTGTGCCCGTGGTTGTGCGACCCGTGCCCGGATCAGGGCTGGATAGGCGGTCGGTGGACGAGTTCCAGCTGGTGGGCGAGTGCTATGTCCATGGCATCATGGATGGTGAGATGGCCGACCCGGAGAGGTTGCAGAGGATCGCTCTAGTGTAGTTGCACGAGCTCGGTGGATTGTTGTACCACGGATTTGGTGCCTTCCGCGGGGCGGCCGGGTGGGGCCCCGTGTCTTTTCCGGATCGGGCAAACAATCTCCAACGACTGGCCGGACCAACCACAACGACTGTTCGCCGGCCCCGACTTTCCCAATCGCGTAAATAATCTCGCACTTTAGCATCCTCACGCCGGCACTGATGATCTATCTCCGCACTCGTGTGCCGCATACCTCGAGCTTGATTCTCTGGGTGGCTGTGAGCCTGTCTGTCTCGAATAGAGAGACGCAGCTCATCGATAGATCGGCCTTGACGGAGGTAGACGCGCCGCCCTCGTGTCTCTTGAGCACGGAGATTACACTTATCCTACAAAACCATAAGCTTCCATTTGACAAGTTGAAGGATGCATACACAGACATCAATGAACTCACTGGTGCATGCACTATCTCTGTAGCATACGGAGATAATCACGACCCAAATCCCGTTACAGTGTCTCCGAAGGCAGCAGTCTGCATCGGCCGTACTACTCATGGCCGGCCATCACCATGAGCAGCAAGTGTTCATAAAGGCCGGCTTGCGTCGTCGTCTCAAAGGGCCACAAAACACATACTCAGTACAGACACAATCAGTCCACGACAACATCCAGCTTACACAGCCATCACCTACTCAGACAGCTCCACCTCCATCACCTGCAACCCGCCCACCAACACGATGACGACCGCATCGGCAAAACCATTGTCCTCCGACGAGTACCCGCCAATCCGCACTCAGATCCTCGACCTACCCCTTTGCACCACGTCCGCGACATGCAAAGGGCGCACCTTTATCGTGACCGGCGCCAACACCGGGCTGGGCTATGAGGCAGTCAAACACCTCATCCTCGCCGGCGCAGCAAGAGTCATAATGGCCTGCAGGTCCACAGCCACGGGCGAAGCCGCCAAGGCCGAGATCCTCTCCTCCATCGCCGCCGACCCATCGTCTTCCGCGGACAGCAATGCAGCAGAGACGGAATTGCATGTTTGGCCCCTCGACCTCTCCTCCTACGCCTCTGTCAAATCCTTCGCCGCCCGCGCAGAGGCCGAGCTCGAGCGCCTCGACGTGGTGATCCAGAATGCGGGCATCGCGGCGTCCGACGGCGAGCTGAGACCCGAGGGCCACCGAATCAACACCACGGTGAACGTCCTCGGCACGCTGCTGTTGGGACTGTTGCTACTGCCGCAGATGGCCAGGACTGGCAAGGCATACTACGCCGCTGGTGGAAGTGGCGACGGGGCGTTGAGGCCGCACATGACTTTTGTGTCGAGCGGCGCTGGGTTCGAAGTCGGCCAGGCTGTCTGGGAGAGTGTCAAGGAGGATCCGATTGTTCGGCTTGACACGCTTGGTGTTGCTCCTATGGTGTAAGTCTCTGTTTCCCCCTTTATCAATCTCGTCGCTAGGGAGCCTGGACTCTAGGAGCGCGGCCCGCAAAAGCACAACTCATTTTCTTCAGGAGTGCAACCACACAGCGCTGACGACTTCGCTAAAACTAAAACTCACAGCTACCCTCAGAGCAAGATACTCCTGATCCAAGCGCTGCGCTTCTTCGCCTCGCGAGTCGCGCCCCTGGGCCGGACGGGCGTCGTTCTCAACGTGCTCAGCCCGGGCCTGTGCACTACGCAGCTCGACCGCTACGCGCCGCCCGCGTTCCGGGAGCAGATCGCCAAGGACCGGCAGAGCTATGGCCGCACGGCTGAGCAGGGGAGTCGCACTCTGCTGCACGGTGCGGTGGCGGGGCCGGAGAGCCACGGGAAGTATCTGTCGGATTGCAGGATCGCGGAGTAAGTTTTCTTTCTCCTCTTTCGTTTCCTTTAGATTTCGGCTGCTTTGGGATTTGGCCATGTTATTCTTTGGTGCCTGGCTTATTTGAAGCACTTGGACGCCCGCCGTGTCCTAAGAAATAACCTGCTAACGACTTCCTTCTCATGACAGGGACAAGCTGCCTTCCTGGCTGGCCACCGATGACGGTGAGCGATCCTGGCAGGTCGTGGCGGAGGAGCTGGAGAAGGCTGTGCCTGGGTGCGTCGAGGCCGCCACCGCGCTGTGATGTTTGGGTTGGAAATCTCTAGGTTGACTGAGACTTTACAATTTCACGAATGCCTCTACATATCTGAGCTGTCCGTAGTCTTGAATTTCGTACCCTTCGTTGATCTCGATGATCTCCACGATGGTATCAAGCCGAGCACTGACGTTCTGTCACGAAACTGAAATGCCGCCTGGCATGTCTTGACCGGTATCCCCTCTATTCCACTACAGTGTCACCTTGATGACTAGACGGACCAGGGATACAAACCCGCATCACTGAGTACTGAACTTCTGAATGCCAGCGACGATCAAAGTATGAAACAAGAGTAGCCCTGAACCAGATATTAACATTTGACCCTGCTCGACAACAGCATGACACGATCCTCGAACCCTGCCCTGGTGCAGTTGTTCACCCAAGGCTGCCCTGTTCCCAAGAATATTTAGACCCAAAGTGTTCTCTAGACTCAAAAGGTTGTTCCTCGTCGACCTTTAGTCTGGTGTGGGAGAGCTGGACAGACGCCTTACTGGAGTCAAGGGCGGCGAAAGCGGCAGTGAGAGCTTCACCGGCTTGATCAATTCTGGTTCCCTCGTTTTTCCTTCGCCCCTTGTGCTTGTCTTGGCAGCTATGTCCTTCTCCGTAAAGAACAAGCTGTCCGGAGTAGAAGCGATGCCTGAGTCGTCAAGACTTGCGTGGGGCGGCTCTCGAAGTTCAGAGTTTGTCGACAAGTCCAATTCCAGCGGATTTTCTGGAATCGCTGACAAGGAAGGCGTCCTTGGTGGCAATATGATGGCAGCATCTGGAGGATGCCCGGACTCGCCTAGCTCTTTGACGGTAGGAGCTGCGGGTCTCTTCTTAGAGAGCAACGAATGTCGCTCCAGCAGCGCCTTTGCTGTGACAGGCACGCCATCTGTCGCCATACCGTCTATCATGGTTTTCGCTGAGTCCAAGATCGTGCCATCCTCGGCGTATAGCTGGATGCATTCCATGACCATTGCCCAGCCTGTGACCACTTCTGTTGCCCTATCCACGGTGACCTCGAACCATTCCTTGTGCGTCTTCCTGCATTTCGCGCTCTCGCATTGTCTTTCGGCGCGCCATTCATTGATGAGCTCATAGTGCACAAGACTTTCAGCACGCTGGACGTATCGCACAGTGTCTGTGTTGTGCTCGGGGCGCGGCTTGTACCCGCAATCCTCCTCCCACTCGTCGAGACGTTTCTGGACAGCTCTTCCCGTCCAGCCGATTTTCACGTAGCCTGGAGAGAGATCCCGGCTGAATATATAGAGACACCCGCTCTTGAAGTCTCGTCCAATGAGTGGGTCTTTCATCCTGAGTGCGACGTTCTTGGTAGGCTCTTCGGCATGACGTCTGAATGTAGATAATCGCGACGGGGAATAGTCGGAACCGAATCGTCTTGCCGGGGTTTTGGGTTGTTCGTTTGATGCAGAACGAAGATTGTACCGCGCTTCTCGCGGCGCAACAACAGGTTGCTCCGAGGCTCGCTGCTTCCGGATCTCTTCACGCCATCTTTCTGCGAGGGGCACCAACAGTCGCTTGTCCTGAAGGCTATCCTGGTGCCTGGCGCCGACCCCATCTTTTCGAGGTCCGCAGCAATTGCTCCATGCGTATTCCAACAGCAGATCAAGTTCAGGGAGATCTTCAGAGGCGATGATTTGCTCATAAAAGTACTCCGCTTCGGCAATCTCGTCGCTTTCGAAATCGCACCTTTCACCGTCTTTTTTGCGGTATATGCACTGTCGCGGACCGTAGGGCACGAGCTCATGGAAAGCAGGGAAACGCGACACACCGTGGCTGGCGGTCTTCTCCGGCACGTTGACCCCGGCGTTTGCGGGTGCCTTCGAGCCCGCGATGATATTCTGCGCGACTGATATTTCGCCACCGGTCTCCTTGCGTATCTGGATCTCGCTCGTCCATTTTTCCGCCACGAGACGCAGCAATGGTGGGTTATTCTCGATGGCCCGCTGGTGCCCGGCAAAGTTGCCACGGGCCGCGCAGCAGTTGAGTCGCGCATATTCTTGCAACAGTGCAAGTTCTGGGGTTCCCACAGTCGTGGTGAAACCGTTCCAGAGCTCGCGCACTCTGGCCTCGCCCTGGCTCGAGCGATTGTTGCCACATCGCTTCCCCTTCTTTGTGGGGTATATGCACTTCTTCTGTGTCGTGGGGCCGAGGTCGTAGAAGGATGGAAAGTCTGCTGCCGCGGGCATATGGACCATAGAGGGCGCTTTTGTTCCAACAGCGTGCTACAGAGGTGGATGAGACGGCGAACCCGAGGTGCCTGCAGGGGAGGCTGTAAAGTGAGCTGGTGCCTGATATTGTATGGTATCGGAAAACCTTTCCGTGGAGCCGTCCTTGCTACGACAATGGGCGCTTGATACTCTACACAGAACGCGGTGATGAGGAGATCATGTATCGACGCCTGCTCCTACCGTTGGTGCAAGAAGCAATGCCACGAGGAGGTGGCGGCGGAACGACCCTACCTAGGTAGGCACATGAGTTGGCGCTAGACACCAACTTATCAGCCGCACGAGGCACACTCCTCCTGAACGAATCAGCCCGCGACACGCATGGCTGAGACGCGACGGTGCGCGATGCCTACTTTGGAGCGGCGATGAAAGGCCTGTCTAGACGCCCCTACGGTGGGTGGTCAGATGCTACCCGAGGCACATATTGTCCTGTCATTTGGGCGAGAAGGCCAATCATGATTGGCCATGGGTTCTTCGAAGCGCGCACGTCGAACCAACAACGAGGTCCACAAACGCCAATTCAACCAATGTTGTATCCTTTCCAACATCGGTTCTTATGCAAACAAGGCTCGGCGGAGTTTGTTGGTCCCGCGCAGCCTCATCGGGCATCTCGCTGCCGCCTACCTAGTCATTGCCAATGACTGCAATCATTACGGGCGTCCCAAACTGTGATGCGCCTTTATCGGTTCGTACAGTCTCACCCAGATCCTGCTTAATGCACCCTAAGTATTAAGTTGCGGAAGGTTGCTCGCGCATAGTGTCGAGTAGACGTTCATATATCTATACCCAGGAGACGTAGGAGAGGGCCAGTTACAAAAGCCTGTATATGCTATTTTCACCATGATAGTTTGGCCTTTAACCTAGCGTGGAACGGTCGGCGACTTGTGTTTTCGAGCTCCAGACATCATCAACTCTACCTGATGAATGTAACCGCCCAAGCCCACTCCAGTAGCAGTCAGGAACGCATCCGCAAGCTTCAACAGACCTCGCACTCTCCCCTTGCGAACTTGTGTTCTGCACGGTGGTGACTAATACCAGAGCTGTGTCTCGGTGGCGGGCATACAATACGCTCAGCCAGGCAAGTCTTCCGGCGGCGCACACGTTCGTCGTTCCAAAGGGGTATGGTACATCATTGAGCTCTCTAATAGGTCTAATTCATGCGGTGTTGTCGCTGGTAGCGTTCTATGGGCATACACTGGCACTGCACTCAGCGGTTAGGTTTGGTGGTTGGGATCAACTGCGACAGCGGTGTACGTATCATTATACAAGTCTCTGAAGTGACGGAAAGCCGGCCAAGCCTGTTGTATCGGAAGATCACTGGGCACATGTGGTCGACCGAAGCAATGATGTTGGCTGCTGCCAAAGCGAGAAGCCTCGCTTCTCTTGAGCTGTTATGGCTCGCTGCCGGTAGGTTTTGCCGGATCTTGAATCACAAGAAGCTCAGATCTCAACTGAAATACGACAGGCTTGTGCAGGTGGTTCAACTTTGAAAGAAGGTGCAGTGATAGGATCAATAAAAATCACGTGCTAATTCGGACCCTGGGTCAAATGTTAGAGAGCCCAGAATATGCTACCAATCCACTTGGAACAAGACGGATGGCGACAAAGACCCCACAACCTTGTGAGGAAAATATGCTCCAATGTGTTGCTGTTTCGTTCATGATGTTATGCCTACGGCGCGAGCCCCACGACATGGGGTTCCCCAACCGATGAACTGTCCATACGAATTCCCGCCTCTGATTGGTTTATATACGGGATTTCTATGGGACCGCACAGGCGGCCGTCTTACTACCGTGTCCCGGTTCGTCACACCAACCTGGCCACCTGGCCCATCCCCACGATAGCCAGCGGCGGCCATTGCAGAACCAGGTGCAGCAAACTCCTGGCCCAACGAGGCGTACCCATGCCGACGTAATCGCAGAGTTGACACTTGATAGCTTGGCGCAGGCGACGGAGGACCTGATTCGGCGCCACCCTTTCCGGTACCGCGGCTCGGTCCGCCCGGTGCCCCCCACACAATCCACCGCCAGACCGACGCCACCAGGAAAGCTGGAGATAGCTTATCAGATCTCAGCCCCGGCCTGTCGGCGCAGGTGGCTACGACATTGCCAAGGTCCGGCCCGGTCTAGGTTCGACCGGCCGCGCCGGTGCTCGGCCATATGACGGCACCCAAGTTCCCCCGCCGTAGAGCACCGCATACAAAGGTGTCTACCGGTGAGTTCTCCATCATCTCCCTGGTCTATAACCAGGATTTCATATATGTTCACTAGAGTCATGATGAGTGATTCTGTGGTGCTCGGCTGAGAGTGGCCCATTGCTGATCTTCGCTGATCTTATAGGCTGCTATTCATGCAAAAAGCGACGTCTCAAGTGCGACGAGGCCCGGCCAATATGCATACGGTGTCAGAAGGCAGGGTTTGACTGCGAGTTTCCGACTGGTCCTGCGACTGTCAGTGCCAGAGCCTGCCCCGTTGTGCCAGTCATACGAGACATATCTCGTCAAAGTATCAGCCCCGGCCCTACATGTACGCCGGCTGGAATGCGACTCAAGCCGGCCGAGGCTCTCTATTTTGACTTCTTTCGCAGCACCGTGATACACGAGCTTGCCACACATTCGTACTCGCCCCTCGACCTCACCCGGACCATTCTGCGGGAGTGTGCTCGTGATGAGGCAGTCCGGCTATCCGTCATCAGCATTGGAGCCCTCGGCCTTGCGAATCGAAGTCCAAGATCAAAGGCAGATGCATACAACCTCTCCAAGGTCAACCACGCCGCCTGGCGCGATGCACTCAGCCACCACACAAAGGCCATCTCTCTGTTTCGCTCGCAACTCGGCAACCGGCAATCCTCTGGTCCCCCTCCTCGTAGCATCCTCATACTCTCTGTCCTCTTCATCCTCTTCGAGCTGGCCCAAGGCAACACCCAGACCGTAGACAGCCTCACCTCCGTCGCGCTATCCGCCCTTAAAGATCCCCTCCAACTCCGCGCCGACACCACTGCAGCCTCAAAAGTCCCCGCAGAGCTCGACGATGAGGGCGTCAGAGGACTAGAGAACCTCTTCTCCCTTTCCACCACGTATGGCACCTTCGCTCTCCCCATGTACACGAACCAGACTCGCCTCATCTCCACCCTCGACATCTGCCCCCTGAGGACCGCCGTGCCTGGCGGTGTCCCGCAGGACAGCTATCTGCCCCTGCGCGCTGCTTTGACGCACTGGGAGGCCTTTGTCGGGCGGGCCGCGCTCTGGGGCGTTCGGTGCTGGTCGATTGTCACCAGTACGGGCCATGACATTACGGATCCAAAGATGCAGGAGAGTCGGCAGCGCTTCTTGAGCCAGCTCCTTGAGTGGGAGGCTATCATGCAGGTTAGCGCGGCTCGTGAGACGACGGAAGAGGGCTCCCTCGCGTGGCTCGAGCTGTTCTACGGGGTGAACTTGTTGTACGCATTCGTCGGGGCGTCGCTGGGAGTCAGCGAGTGTCGGTATGATCAGTATGTGGACAGGTATCGTGTCGGTATCGACATGGTTGAGAAGAGGATACTGGCTATCGTGATGAAGCAGCAGCAGCAGGACGGATCGGTCACAGACTCAAAATCATCGCCAGGGTCGAAATCTTCACCACCAAAACGAGAAGAATCACGACCACAGAGCAAAGCAGCAACTTCCTGCAGCCCAGCCGCAGAGACTACTGACTCGAGGCAAAGGCCATCGTCGACTACTTCATCAAACTCGTCGACATCAGCATCACCTCTCCCGAACACTCCGCAGCCACACCACGAGACAGATACTCAAGCCATCCCGCCGCAGTCATTCCCCATGCCGGTCCTTAACAGCCGCCTCCTGCAGTCTCTGTGCATATCCGTGCGTGCCTGCCGCGACCGGCCCGTCCGCCTGCGCATCCTCGCGTTGTGCAAGATTGTAGTCAACCAGGGGTCCACCTGGGACGACAAGGCGACGTACATAGGGTCCAAGGTCATGGTCGAGCTCGAGGAGGCAAAGAGACTTTACAAGATTCCTTCGAGCGGCATCGATGTACTTGCTAGTGCTGCTGCTCACGATAATGATGCAACCAGCCTTGGTGGTGGCGGTTCTGGTCATTTTGTTGGCAGCTCTACGACGAAAGATGAACCCAAAGAGCCAGTAGAGCCTGAACTGGATCTGACTGTGACGGGCTTGCCAGTCGAGTCAAGGCTCAGGTGGGAGCACGCGGAATGGGCACCAGGTCGTGTCGGGCTGAGCATGGCGTTCATATATCCCACCTCGGGCGAGACAGTCACGGTAGGCGTGGACAACACAGGAGAGTACGGGTATTTGATGTGTTGAACCGTAGAGCTATCTGGACAGCTCTGGCTTCACGTAATGGAACTCAATAGCCTTTCAAAGTGTATATATCAAAAGTCGCATTGCTTCCTCCAATACGATGCTGCTGAATCGCCCCGAGTGTGAGCGACATGTCCTATATTCGCCGACAAGATGGGTAAGGATCGGGTAGGTCGCACGGACTTTGTTATCACGTTGCTGTCCCGCCGGCATCAACTATACCTTGGCACAAAGTACAGACAGCCCGTAGGACTGGATGCGCATGTCACATGTGAGCATGGAGCCATCTGACAACCGCCACCGTGGCGCTCGTGAGACAGTTCTCAGCCCAGTGCGGCCCGCGAATCTGTGGAGACGACCGCGGCACCCTGCATCTGTCGCAATCTCCGAAAGTATATTCGAACCACCAATCCTCAGCCACGAGGCCCTTTAAGTTTCGGCATCCCATAATGAGGGACGGAACCAATGCAATGGAAGCCTTCGCAGCCAAGATATGTAAGAATAAACGGGTGTCGGCTGCGCGGATGCTGGTTGCAGGAAGGGAGACCAGCTATTGATGTCGATGCAAGTCTTGCCGACAGTGGGGCTTCGGAAAACCTACGCATGTCCGAATTCTTCAACACATGCATTGATCTACTTCTCAGACCGACCGACCGCGTCTCGTGGACCTGGTGGCGACGACAGGCTCCATCGCAAGACTAAGCTAGAAACTACTAGTCCCGTTACCGTGCATATAGCCAGCTCAGCCAGGCAATACAACCTACTGTTGAAACTGCACGTGCTCATATCGGCAGCCAGTCTGTAAATTCATCAGCGGTCAACACTTTGGGGGCAGCCGAGGTTATCATGCCCCCCCCCCCCACCTAGATGGGATGCGTTGCGCACAATGAAGAGGAAAATTTCAACACTCCCCGCAACTTTTGAAGCCACTCAGCTGAGCTCGCTCGCCGAAGGCTAAACCTTATCTGAGACCATGAGAGACATAGACGACAAGATTGTAGCTGCATCAACTGGTTATCTGTTCGGTCTCTGATCCCGTATCATGTGTATCGCCACTGAACCTTGATGTGCGCGAAAAGCTGCCAACTTAGCACTTGATTGGAACCATTCGTGGGATGAGGAGTATGGAAGATCTTGCTTATTTACTGTTGACAGCCCCGCCAGTCCCCGTTTTCATCAGTAAACATGCCTCGCATTTCTCGCCCGTTCGAAAGTGGCGGTGTCAAATGCAATGATAGAGTGTCTCAGCTGGTCTAAGAATGGTGCCAGGGCTGTTCAGCTAGCGATGCTTTCGGAACTTCGTCTACCAGCATGAACCATGGGACATACTGCTTGATGATTCGTCTCATCTGTGGTGCAGCGAGAAGCTTGCGGTGGAGCTAACGTAGCTGTGGAGGCAGCTTTGCTATCTTTCTATATCTGATTTCTGAGTATCGGTCCGAAAAGCACTTCCGGAATCATAACGAGGACGCATTTGGACAGCGATGAAACGGTTGAAATATTCATATTTCAAGGCCTAGAAGTCTAGAAGGGAGTCTTCCTCTTCTTATATCACATCTGCCCACAAGACGCTTCTATTACATGGTCGTCATTGGTCGAGAAACAACACATCATGCCTTCTCTGCTCCCGAACCGTACACTCGCAGATCTCAGAGATTCGTTTGCTCACCAGAACCTGGAGAGGTTGTCTAGATTCGAGCCTCCGTCTCCTCCCCCCACAAATGCCTACGACGAAATCCGCGGCTCGTTCGTTCTCGACAAACTAAAAGAATGGAGCGCGAAGAATAAACCCAGCATTGAGGCTGCCATGAAGGCCCAGGTCTTTGGCGCCAAGGGCTCCATCCAGTGGACCAACGCATTCTTGCCTTTCATGGAGAGCACGGCTGTCTATCTTCGCGACTGGGGCTTCCTGCTCGAAGCTTGGCGCGAGATCCGGGCCTACAAGAACGCGAAAGTCGATGACTTGTCTCGCTATCAGAAAATCGTCGAGCTTCACAACAAGGCGTACGAGCAGATCGACGAGCTCGCACATGAGTGGGGCATGCATTACGTTCACATCTGTGATCTCGTCTCTGAACACCCACAGGGCAAGCCGTACTGGGACGGACCGTTCTGCGGAGCATTTTTGCCCAACGACCCAGCGACAAGCAGCCCATTTATCGGTCTCGCTTTCAAAGGAACGAATCCTTTCCAGCCCGAGGAGGTTGCCGTCGACTGCTGCTACCAACTGATAGAGGCGAGCAAAGAACTGGGACACCAACAGGTGTCCGTGGGCGTATACACTGGTCTTTTCGGCACGTTCAATGTCCTGAAGACCTCTCCGTTTGCGTTGATCTGCCAACAGCTTCGCGAGCTCACGCGCTTTTTCAAGAACCAACCAACGAGGCCCCGCATCCATGTGACGGGCCACTCGCTCGGGGGATCCTATTCACAGCTCTGCTATGCCGGGCTGCTGACTGCCGCGCCCGATGAGTTCCCTGATAAGGCCACCATGGGTGACCAGTACACCTATGGCGCACCCCGCATCGGCAGCCAGGACTGGGCGAGGTACAATACCAAACTCGTATCGAAGGCCGACGGTCAGACCTGGAGGATTGTTCACAACGACGACCTTGTACCTCAGATCCCTCCGACGTCGCTCCAGCCGAAACAGCTCAATTTCCGCCATGTAGACCAGGGCGTCAAGATATTCACAGGCAGGGTTCCGCAAATCATTCCCAGCGAGATCGAGGAGCCTGATCCCAAGGTTTATACGATCAACAACTGGGACGACTTCGTCAACACCGTCCTGTATGGCGTGGAACATCGTGAGTACTCTCTCCTCCATTCCTCGGATCTGCACTCATGGCTTTGTTTCTAACGAGTCTTACTAGTGCCCAATCTCTACTGTGATGCTATCGTTTATGCTATCGCGAATGCGAAGCCCTGAATACCACCAGTGGCTTTGGTTCGTTGGGGGGTAGTTTCTACGACACTGTGGAGACTCCTTGTCGGGACTTTTAATCTCTGATATGTGGCGGCCCTATGCAGCAAGGTTGAGAGCTTAGTGGATTTCTGGGAGTCGCACTCTGCGGAGAAAGCCTTTGTTTATGTATAGCTTTCCACTGCTTTTCTTTGAAAGTTGCTTTATAGGGGGAGCGGAGTAGTTCCGGGAGGATATGTGATGTCCAGGTAAGCCCCGTTGACAAAGAGCGTTATTATAATAATGCCAGCCCTGACGCCGATCGTGCGGTAATTCCACAGACGGCCATCCCACGTGATCCCTGGGATCTTGCTCGGTCTTGATTCTTGTGTCGCCCGTGGTGATGAGGGTGGTGGGCGGGGTCTTGGTGTTGTCTGCTGTCTCTGGTGCCCGTTGTTTGTTGTGCGTGCGCTCGGCTGGGATTGCATGAGAAGGCGGGATCAGGACTCGTCAAGAAGTCAAGGAGTCAGCCACTCCCCATTGCAGCTTCAATGTACTGCCTTACAAAGCCATTGATACCAAAGATTTGGCTGTCGGGGCGGTGCAGCTCTGGAGAGTGTGCAGGTCGTCGGGCCCGACGCGCTGTGGACATTCCAGACACGACTCAGGAGGACTGGACCCTGAAAAAGTGACGTCACCATCTCCCACCTACTCTGAGAACCGACTAAGACAACAGGCGACCGACACGAACGACCGCTGCCAAACACAGAGCCACAGCACATTCAGTCAACTGGGCAGGCACATTCAGAACTCGCTGCTGTCGTAACTGTTTGAAAGGACCTATCAATTCTCGCCCCTTGCCTGTATCCTCAATTGCCCACCCCCGGAGGGCTGGAACAACAGCTCGTGGGCACATCCCGCGACTACTTCCATACCAGAACCATGTCCACCTACGAGGCGCGTCGCTTGCAGAACATCAAGAACAATGCCGCTCTCGTGAGCGACCTGGGCCTTCAGTCACACGCCGCCCGTGCCACAAGAACATCAGCCGAGAATAATGGCCGGTCGGCCAAGCGGCAGAAGACAACAGCTAGCAAAGAGCCCCCAAAACCAACCCGCACGTCCGCGAGAATCGCCAGCGCCCCATCACGACCCATTTACGGCGAGGATGCCCTTACGATCGTGGACAACAGCAGCTCGAGCCTGCGCGGCAGAGGACGAGTAGCCAAGACGAACAAGACCGCGCCCTCCTTACCATCTCCAGCACCCTTGACCACCACCTCGCAGACGACCCGGGCAGACCTCTCCACCATAACAGCAGGCTGGACGTCCTGGACACCACAGGCCCCTCCGCCGACCTTTGACGAGTACACGGGCGCATACCACTTTGGCTCCCACCCAGACTTCACCCCCAACAAGTCCCCCGAGTCCATCCTACGGGAGGGCTGCTTCGGCGGGTCGTACTTCCGCCCCCTTTACTCGCGACACCTGCGGACCACCATCGAGGATGACTGGCGCGAGCTGCCGCCCGAGTGGATCTCCGGGCTCAACGTGGAAAGGTACCTCACCTCGCCAGAGTACGACCCGGAGGTGAACAAGTACGGCGTCGCGTGCGGGCAGAGCATCGAGGAATGGGAGGCTGCGGGTTGGATCCGGCACGAGCACGATGTCCGGGGTTGGTTCCAGTGGTACTGTCGCTTCTGGATGGGGCGGCGGTGCGACGACGACGAGAGGCAGATTGGCCGGTGGAAGAAGTGCGTGGGCGAGACGGGCAGGTGGAGGAGGATTCTGCTCAAGAAGTACGTCGCGGCGGGGATACGGAATGTCATGGATGAAGGTGTGGATGAAGGTGACGGCAGTGAAGAGGATGGCGGGGGAAGACGCGGAACTGGGGTCAGCCCGGTCGTGCATCAGACTTGTCATCACTGGGCTTGGGAGGTTAGGCAGGATGCGCTCGATCGGTTCTGGAGGGAGGCTCGGTGAGGGTTTATTTCGAGACATGAGGCCGCGCAATTCACCATGAGGTTTGATGTTGACGTTTCACGTGAATGGCGATGGCGTGTCTCACGTCTCCTACGTTTTCCGGGCTCTGAAGATGAATTTTGTTGCCATGATATCCCTGCACTTATTATGGTGCTTGTGATTCATGATTGTGTGAGGGTAGTCGGCTTGTAGCCGGCCGAGCACTGATACGATGCAAGACAGTATATTTCATTGGCTACTCAGGTTGAGCATTTGCCGCAAAGGTCCATCATGAAGTGATTTCCGACCAGACTTTTATTCCTGCGAGCTAAACATTGATCTCTTATGGACACTCCAGACGTGTTCTACTACCAGCCGTCTGGTCTTTGAAAGCAGTTGACTAGACACTCTCCTCACTGCCAGCAGCATTGGCGAGGTTTACACTGCAATAGGACATCCACCTACCTAGCTTTTTGCCATAGAACCCTGTGATGGAGCTTCTATGACACCGCAGAGAAGATCCTGAGTGTCTTGCCTAGTCCAGAGCTGATATTAGTGATGACAGTGTTTTTCGGTCAACACGACCCGCAGCGAATGAGGAAGGCATCACTTTCTGTGACAAAACTTTCTCTGGCAAAGGTCAATCGTAGTGCCTCAAACCATCACTGCCCTTGGTTCTCACTACACTTTGAGCGTCTTGCAGCAACCTCTGCAACTATCGACAAGAGACGATCTCGTAAGCCAGCGACGTTTGAGTTCGCAGCTGCATAGTCAAGTGGCGTCATGTTCTCAGCGTCCTGAGAATCAACCGCGGCCCCGTGCTCGATCATTGCTTCCACTATCGACAAGTCCGAGCTGTGACAACAACGTGCCAAAATGCTTAATGGCGTTCGGCCCTCGTGAGATCTAGCGTCCACGGTCGCGCCGTGTTCTAGAAGTGTCTTCAGAATCACGTTTTCAAGATCCAGCACCCCGTAGCGAAGCTTCGCAAGCCAGTGAAGTGGCGTCTCGCCGTTATGATCCGCGAAGTCAACTGCGGCACCCGAGTTGACCAGAAGCTGCACGATTCCGACGTCCACAATCTCTGCTGCGAAGGACAACGGCGTTCTGCCATTGTGATCCGCGAGGTCAAGTGACGCGCCACCCTCGATCAGATGTTGCATGATTAAGGAGTCCCCACTCCCTGCTGCCAGGGACAATGGCGTTCTGCCATTATGATCCGCGAGGTCAAGCCTCGCCCCAGACTCGATCAGGAGCCGGGCGATTGACGAGACCCCTCTCGCCACCGCAAAGGACAATGGCGTTCTGCCATTATGATCCGCGAGGTCAAGTGTCGCGCCACTCTCGATCAGAAGGTGCGCGATTAAGAGGTTCCCAATCTCTGCTGCAAGGGATAATGGCGTTCTGCCACTATCATCCGCCCGATCAAGTGCAGCCCCTGACTCGATCAGGAGCTGCGCGATTGAGGAGACCTCCCTCGTCGCTGCAAAGGACAATGGCGTTCTACCGCTTGGGTCTGTAGCGTCGATAATGGCACCGTTTTCGAGAAGTGATCCCACGTTCTCGCTTGTGGATCCCAGAGCCGCGACGTGTAGTAGTGTTTCACCATTGCCTTTGCGCTTGTTGACCTGGACGCCATGCTTTAGTAGCAAACGCACCATTGCCCCATCGTCTTGCTCCACTGCCGACAGTAGCTCTTTAGTTCCGGCGTCCTCCAAATCTGTGATTGCGGCGCCGTGATTTAGCATTGACTCAATAACCACCGAAAAACGTCGTTGTATTGCATACATAAATGGCGTCGTTCCAGTATTGTCCCTGGCGTGAAGTGAAGCACCTTGCTTCACCAAGTAAGTCACAATCTCTTCTTGACCTGCATAGTGAAGAAGCGTTCGGCCGGATCTGTCCCGCATCTTAATTTTTGGTTGAAGGTAGCGAAAGACGACATCGAATATGGTTACATTACCATGCTCGGCCAGGTCCCACAGAGGAGTTTCTTTTTTCCTATATATAAAAACTCGCCCGAGCTCGGAATGTGGTCCTCGGGATTTGAGCTTCTCGACTGGGATAGGCTGGTCCATATTGTCGTTCAACCTGGCCCGGAAAGCATCGAGAAAAAGACGTACGACCTGGAAGCTTTGTGTTGCAAGGGCTGCAAGGAGAGGAGAACCATAACGTGCCTGCTCAGCGATCAAGCAGGACGAGCGATATGGCAATAAGCCAACAAGGTTTGCAAGATCTCTCTCTGCGAAGAGGTAAAGTAGGCTGACATCCGAGAAGTACTGACGAATCTGGTACTCCTCTGTGGTGGCGTTGCAAAGCTCCTTCCATCGCTGGACTTGTTTTCTGAAGCTGCGCACAAAGTCATTCTGCGTAAGACCAGATGACTGGGCTTGCTCAGCATGCCAGAGTACGTTGTCTACAGCGTAACTTATAAGTGGGTGTCTTTCTGTGAGCCATTTGCGAAAGATCCTATGAAGCCTCATTGAGTATTTCGAAAGGACAGATGTTTTGTGCACACTGATGAGGTAGTGCAAACAACAGGACTTGAGCGCATCGTGGCTCAGCGCTTCGAAACGTGGGCCTATGTCCGGCCACACATCGCGCAGGCCATCTCCTTCACGAAGAAAATCGCTGACCGACTCGTGTATGAATTGTACTGTTGGCTTCGCAGTTTTCGTGATCTCCACGAGACCCTTAGAAGAAGAGAGTAGAAATAAACGGAGTCTTTCTTGTGTGATCTCTTCAGTATCCCATTTTGAAGATATTATATCTGTGGCACCCAAACCTGAGTGTATCGCCAGATATGTCTCCTCGGGCGTAAGTGGCCGTTGAGCGAATAGCACCCACTGGATACATAACAGAAGATTGCTGCGGTTTTTTGTGTCCCGTTGCAAGATGTCTCGGAATAGTGCATGCAGATCTTGGGGGATCCTGTCAAGTTCTTTTCGCAGTGCTGCAGGATGAAGGCCTGAATCGGATTGTTCGTTCAGAATCTTGACAACCAGGACTACCCACATGAAAACACTGCCAGCCTTTGCTTGAATTTGGCTAGAGATATCCTGAACGGTCTTGCCTGTACCGATATTAAGCTTATCCTTGATATAGTCGGAAATGTCCTGTTCGTGTCCCTCTTGACCGTCGAGGATTAGTTCGAGCGCCCCTCGAACCGTGATATGAGGGTAGTGCCTACTAGCGAAGCAGACATGTAGTACCAGCCCTGGGTTGATGTCGATATTCCCAAGATCTTCGAAAAAATGTACCATGTCTCGGATTTCATCCGGATGGCACTCGTCCAGCGCGTCGATGAAGCATACAAGGGTGTCCTGTTCAAGCATCTGGATAGCCTGACAAAGCAGTTGCTGCAAGACCACAACGGTCCAGGTCGTTGGTGTTCCTCTGGTCTGCATAGACTCCAAGATGGATCTCAAATGTGGTCGTTGAGTGAGAAGTTGCAAGACCAATGACTGATACATTCCCTGTACAGTCTTTTCCATCTGATCTCCTCGCGCGTTGAAGAAGAACGAAATCACAACTTGCTGCTTCTTGTTCTTCTGCTGGTAGAAATGGTTGAGAGCAAACTTCATGATCGTTGACTTGCCTGCACCGGGCTTTCCTTTGATCCACAGTAAGCGACGACCTCTGTCAAGACTGTCGTCATACAGCCATTCCTGGAACTCTTTCTTCTCGAGCAACCATTTGCAGGTTCTGGCATGGGCAATTTTGATATTTGCTTGCCGGGCATCGATCTGTTCGAAACTTAGAGACTTCATGAGCTTCTGGAGCTTTTTTTTCTGCTCATCCAGGTTTGTCTCTGGCAGACACTGGCTGAGTGCGGGCGACTGCTTCTCTGGTTCTTGCATGCCGACTGCTGTTACGGAGGTTAATCAGTAAGCCTAAAGGGTCATGTCAAATTCACAGCTAGCAAACTCTTAACACGGGCTTAGAATTCAAATCTGGCTGTAGGAATGACACAAACTCTTTGGCGCAAGCCGCAGCAACTGCCGCAGCATAGGGTTGCCATTGTTTGTTCTTGTGCGAGTCGGCGTAGTCGCAGATGCCCCGAATCACGAGGAAGGGAAGGTCGTTTCCCTGCAAAGCAGCACCTTCCATCTCAAGACAGAGGGCATTATATCGTTGTCCGAGTTCGTCGCGGCGCAGCGCATTCTTGACAACTCGATTTCCAGAGGTGATGGCTCCGAAATGTATCCGTGGTGTACGGTCGACGCGATCTGGCCGGCTTCGGCGCTTTGATGGGTCGCAAAGCTCACATCCGTCGTTACCATCGGGATGTTCGTAATCATTTTCGTAGAGATCGTCGTCCAAGTGATTACATGTCGCGTACTTGGCCATGCGTGGATTGCGGTCGAGCATGTCGTCAAGCATCGCAGAGACTTGATTCCCCCTCAGAGCGTATTCTGCTCTAAGGGCATTCAGGACTATCTGGATTCTATTCGGTGGTGTGTAGACGGTCGCTGTGCTCTGGAATTCCTCGTTGCGGACGGTCTTGCCGAGGTCGTACTGGACCACCTTTGAACCGAAGACGACATCACCAAGCCGGATATCGTTCTTGAGCGTCGGTACCCCGCCAGCAACGCCAACGACAAGCTGTAGTCGCATCGACGGGAAGGTCCGTACCATGTTGTTCGAGACGGCTGCGGCACTGTTCATGCCCATGGGACCCAGACAAGCTATCGCAACGTTGAAGCGGCCCATACGTCCGAGCACATATTTGTTGTTGTCGCTTGGTTCGTTGGGGAGAGTTTCGTGGACTTCGTCGAGGAGCGCCTGTGCCGCTACGAACTCGACAAAGATGGCGCTGATCCAACCGATCGTGTAATCGCGATGAGTGAGTCTCGTGGGGGCTGTCGGTCCAGAGGTCGATGTTCTGGCGCGCCTGGGGCTCGGGGCCGCCGCGTCGGCGGGCTCGCCATCCTGGCACGAGCGACGTTTGGCACCGCGAGCACTGTCGTTCATGGCGATGGCCCTCTTGGTAGCGACATATTCAGACGCGGAATAACTGTTGTCGTGACGACACTGTTGAGGTCACCGATGTCACGCGAGCAAGAACACGAGGTACGAAGTGGTTGCTGATTTGGGAGATGTTGGCTGATGTTGGGGAGAGCCTTGTCAGGCAAGGCAGCCTTGGGAGGGGTAAGCAGGGGTTTGGCAACATCACACGTGCAGCACAGCCACGTGATTCTTAGATGGGAGGTACGTGCATGCTCAGCTTGTTACAGGCACATACCAGGGCAAGATGGATGGCATAAACAGTGTCCTGTAATGAGTGTGTCCTAGCCTGGCTTCATGATAGCCTGCACCCTCTGATGCGGACGCCGCCCCGGGGGCCAGGCCCCGGACACGGAGACCCCGCCCTTCCCCACTGCTCCGGAACGCCCACCTCGACCGCCACCTCGCCCGGCTCGCGCTCCGTCCCTAACATAGCCACCAAGCATACGCAACGGCCTGGGCCAAACTCCTTGGACGACACCACCCACCAAAGACAGATTGATGTCTCAGGTTGCGACCACACCATAATGCCAAGACCACTAACGAGAGCATCCCTCGAAGTCCCCATCTTCGGTTCTCCCTCGGCCTCCACAGCTGTCCTCGCTGGTGCCGCTCGTCTCGAGCTCAACGCCGCGGGGTCATACCCAGCGGGCGGGACAACACCCACTGTCACAGAAATCGCTGCTGTGAACACTGTACTCGACAGGCTTGAATCCAGCAGACGAGTCGGAAGCAGGCTGGGCCAGGGAGGCAAGCATGAAATACCGGTACGGGTCATGATCCGGCCTCGAGGACCGCCTTCAACGCCTGCTTGTGCTCCTACTTCTTCTGCCACAGAGTCAACACCAGGTTCTGGGCCGGCAGATGCGACAGTCATAGAACAGGAGCTGAAAGCGAGGGCCGGACATGTAGATTTCCAGTACTCCCCGGCCGAGATTGACACCATGGAGGCCTCGATCTTCGCGCTCAAGCCGCATCTGCAGCTTGGAAGGGGGGACGGGTTCGTGTTCGGAGCTCTGGCCGTCACATCCACCAATACAGTATCCTCAACATCATCATCAGCACCCTCATCCTCATCGTCGCCGTCGACAGTGTCAAGAGGTGCAGCACCATCGCTGCATATCTCCATCGACGAAGCCACCTGCACCCGCCTCGTCGCCGCCGCGCAGCCGTTCCCGTGCGTGTTCCACCGCGCATTCGACCTACTCGTGCCTTCAGCCTCATCTGCACGATCTCCGTTATCAATACCTCAGCTCCTGCACAAACTCAAAGATCTGGGGTTCTCGGGCATCCTCACGTCCGGCGGTGTAGGCAATGCCGTGGACAACATTAGCAACGGTAATCTCCCGGCAATCGTGCAGCTTTCGAGAAGCGCACAGGCGCAAGGGGCAGTGGGGAGTAGGGGAGCAGAAAATGGGATTGACGGGATTGAGGTCATCCTCGGCGGTGGCGTGAGAAGTGGCAATGTCGCCGAGATCCTCGCTGGGGTTCGAGAGCATATCGTGAAGGGCGTGGGCGATGGAGATGAGAGCGGTTCTCAGTGGGTGCACTCTAGCTGTCTGATTGCGCCCGGGTCGGAGGAGGTCGATGTGCATGAAGTCGCGAGGATTGTGACTGCCATTTCAAATCAGCCGCATGCACAGGAGTTGTGAGCCGGGCTGTCCCATATACGTTGAAGCTGGAACGAGACTCGTGCCAGAGCACCGCGGCGATCACACGGGACATGCGCAAAAATTGACGAGTAATACACCATGTAAGCATGTCAATATCCATATTGATTACCCCGCTTGGCAACTTCGAAAAATGGAAAAGAGCAGCACAGCCCTTACGACCTCGTGCTCTCCAACACCGCCTTGACCATCGCCGTTCCAATCTCAATCGCACCCGGAAACCGCGGCTCGAAGAACCGCTGTGTAACAACAAACCGCTCGCGCCAGGTATCAAAGTGTCCCAGGTTCACACACTCTGCCCATCCCCTCGCCGCAAAGGTAAACTCAAGATCGTCAGACCGGAAGGTGTTGTCCTCGATCGAGATGCGCAGCGCGTCGTCCAGCCGCGCGGGATCACGGAACAGGTGCTCTGTGACGCCGAGCCACAGCCGGAACAGCGGCGTGCTGCAAATCATGTGGTCGTACGGGCGGATGCCCAGCTCGGACCAGCAGTCCACCATGGCAAGCAGGGAGAGATGGTTGTTGGGAAGTGGAGCGACTGGCTGTTGCGCCCCTGTGCCACCAATGCTGAACTGGTCCAGCACGCGGTCGTCCAGGAGCGGGTTCGCATCCCAGCGCGGGCTGTCCTCGGTGCCAAAAACCCGCTCCTTTGCGCGGAGCACGCGCTGCCGTAGCTCGGCGGCCTGTCCGCCGAGCATCAGCTTGTACAGCTCTGTCGTCGAGGTTGCGTACTGGGCAATCTGCTTGCGAGCCTCTGGATTCAGGATCGCGAGGCCTGCGTACACGTGCCATTTCTGGCTGTAGATCCGCAGGGTCAGGTTGATCTTGACGTTCTCGATGCCGCCGACGTAGCGCGCACCCTCCCAGGGGAATTGCTGCGAGGCGTGCCAGGCCTTGCCCATGCTCAGGAATGCGACGTGCGTGACGGCCTGGGTGTCTGCTGTGATGCGGTCGTGCTCGTGGACCGAGAGGTAGACGTGCTTCGACTGCAAGCACCGCAGGACCGTCTCGACTTTGATGAACGAGTCATTGCTGGCCCGGTGCTTGATGAGGACCTGTCGTCAAGAGGGTCAGTGATCAGGAACCATCTCCACAGGATTGGAGCGACGAACAAGAGGCTGGTCCTTCGAATCGACCCGGGGTCCATGAAGCGAGTGGCACGAGACAATGTCCACGTCTGGCGGCAGGTGCTTCTCAAAGGCCTTGATCTCGGGATCCTTGCAGGACGTCTGGCCGCCCACAATGGCATTGAGCTTGGTCGCTAAAATTAGATTCCAGGGTCAGGATGGTCGGGTCACCACGATACAACACGGGACAAGGGCAAGACAAGCATACATGGTCCAAACTCGGCAACAACACGGTCAATGGCAGCAGCTTCCACGCTGTAGATGATGTAGTCGCTTATGCGGGACACGTAGTGGCCATTTCGGAGGATTTGTATATTGCTCTAGATGTGGTAGGCCACGGAAATCTCTCAGCATGGGCTCTATCCTGGACTGAACTAGAACAGAGGTCATGTACCATGCCAGCAAACTCTTGCTGTAGCTTCTCGTAATGCTCTTCTCGGTCACAGGCCATGATCCTGCACAGTGGGCACGGTGCGTCAGTCACAATCGGGTCACAAAGGTCGTCAAGCCAAGGCCGAGGCGGCTAGGGCGGTGTGCACAGTTCCTGGATAAATCTGTCTCGTATTAGCGTCTTGCTGGAGGCAGGCAGCGACGGGTATGTGGGACGGAAGAAAATGAGACTCGGTTTTTGCTTTCAGACAAAATTGAAAAGGTAGCTGAGAAGTTACATCATGGAAAGCCAACATCCCGCCGGGGCCGGAACGGCTGATCCGGCAGTCCGAGGGCAATGCTCGAGCCAAATGCACTCAAGTCATCATTTACAAAAAACCGAGTCCCGCTTGAGGGTGTTGTGCTGTGGGAAGAGAGAGATCCAAAAGACTTACCATTCAGGAGCTCGAGGCTCAGCGACCACGATGCTGCCAGCGCAGCACCATGCCTGGGGATGCAATTACCTCCATCCAGCTTCGCTGAGCCTCCGGGCATACATCTTGCCCATGTCACCCATGCCAATGATGCCGACTGTGAAGCCGTCCATCTTCAGGGGAATAGGCGCACTTTTCGAAGAGGCTGCCATGGTGGTCGACCAGGTGGACGTCGAGTCGCGCTGCAGGAATAATCGTCTTCGGCTTGCTCGATTGGGACAAGGCGGTCCGAGTCTTCACATTGCTGTCTCTAGCAGAGCACCAAGAGTATGAGTAGACTCGAGGCGCAAGGAGAGCAGTGGCGCGCTGCGCAGGTTGGATTGGGTGCTGGTGCAGAGAGAAGTGGGAGTGGAAGAGATCGTGAAATTTTCTGCGACACGCGCAGGCTGAATTTAAGGACGGGCTCGCAAGCGGGGCTGGAAGAGCTGGCAGGGAGCGGTGGGTCCACTGGTCCACATGTGCGAAGTTGGCGAGATTGCACTGTGCATGGCACAAAACATCACCACCACAGCAACATCGTGGGGCTTCAGCCGAGCTCCAAGTCCACAGCCGAAACAGCCAGCGCTTCCTCTTCGCAATATGGAGGGTCTATTTGCACTGGGCTCGAACGGCTCCGGCCAGCTGGGCATCGGCCATCTCGAGGATGTCTCTGTGCCGAAGCAGGTCGAGTTTGATCCAAGTGATTGGGCGCCCACGGCTGAAGACCCAGTCTGCAAGATCGCTGCTGGAGGAAACCACACCATATTGCTCACAACGTCAGGCCGGACATACTGGAGCGGCGACGCCAAGAATGGTTGTGCAGGCCAGCTAGACTCGACAATCTCGCCAACTTCAGCCAGGTTTCGACCAGTCACCCTCTCGGATAAGGCGGAGATGCAACCGAGGGTTAGCCTCATTGCCTGTATGTGGGCTTGCTCGATATTCGTCACCACGGAGGAACAGGGCGAGGCGCAGAAGGTGTACACATTTGGGGAGACTGTTGGCACTCCGACTCTTCTCGAGAACTTCCCGCCATCAGGCACTACCATCACTGACCTGGATGCAAGCTTTCGGCACGCCGTCTTCGTTTTATCAAATGGCGAGGTTTATGGGTACGGGACAGGCACAAAGGGCCAGCTCGGGCCCATGAACGACCTGCCCCGGGCGATCACAAGTGTGCCGCGCAAGATCAGTGGTGTCAACTTCGAAGTCAGTCGTGCAGTGTGTTCTCAATTTGCTACATGTTTCATCTCTGAGCCAGGCGACGGCAGAGTGCTCGTGCTGGGAGCCGACAAATGGGATCTTGTCACCTCTGCGCCTGTCGCCGTCCCAGATTGGAAGGCCATCTCAGCGAGCTGGGGCAATTTCTATATCCTCAAGTACGGCGGCACCATTGTAGCTTGGGGTAGAAATGACCATGGCCAGCTACCGCCGCCGGACCATCCAAGCATCACGGACATCGCAGCTGGGAGCGAGCATTGCCTTGCACAGACGACAGAGGGAGACGTCCTGGCTTGGGGCTGGGGTGAACACGGCAATTGTGGCCCATCCACTGATGGTCCTACGGGCAATGTCAGTGGTCGCTGGAACACACTTGCTTCGCTGAGCCACTTACCAGCAACTTCCCGCTTCACGCTCATCGGTGCAGGCTGCGCCACGAGCTGGATCAACATCGCAACAGATGGCCTTTTCATCTGAGCCTTAAAGGGCCTTGAAGGAGAAGCACGCGGCTTGTGACATCACAGCTGGCTCTTTAGCTGCTGCTAATCGCCAAACAGGCCGAATCTGCGCACATCTGAAAGCCGCTGAGTTGGCTCGAACCCAGGAGTGCTTGTCATCGCGCCGCTGGCGGTCGGATCCTGGGTGTTCTGGTTTGCCATTATGGACCGCATGTTCATGGATTGCGTCTGTCGAGCCTCGGCGTCAGTCATCAGCAGATTTGGATTCTTGGTAGAACAGTACATACCGGATTGTCACTAGCATCCCATCCAAGCTGGGCATCCTCTTCCTGATCATCGTCGCCCATTCCCACAGGATCCCACTGGTGATCATTGTCTTGCGGCACAAACAGAGACTCCTCTTGTTGGAAGCTCGGCGGAGGAGGTCGTTGCGATGGCGTAGGGATTGGCGGTCGGAGGGAAGGTACCGTATCTGACCTGACACTTATGGCAGCTGGTGCAGATGGTTGTGGAGCTGGCGTTGGTGCATGCGAAGCCGACCTGCTAGTTGCAGCTTCCAGCTGAGGTGGTCTCGCGTCTTTGGCCTGGGTTCGAGCTCGTTTGGTCTTGGCTGCAACTACTCCTCTCTCGCCCACCGTCATCAGTAGGAACTCGCATTTCATCTCGGCACCATCGTACTTGATCTGCATGGGCCGAGAGGGGACCGAGTACAGGGCCGAAACTTCGCTGTTCTGAGCGCCAGCATGCTGGATGATTGCGCGGAAGTCCTTGACGCTGATGACGATGTGCAGACCATCCTCACTGACGTCAAAGTCATTGAACTCGTCTCGTTCCACGGCGATTGATGTATGGAGCGGCTTCTTCAGCACCTCTGCAGCGTTCATAAACATCAGTACTGGGACGGAATGGAGTGAGACGACTTTGCGACTGACCATCACCATGCGAGACCTTTTCTGTGAAACAAGTAAAGTTGACGACCTGGTCAGCATCCGGGTGTATGTCAAGATACTCGATACGGGGGCCGAAATGATCCATAAGCTGGCGCAGGACCCTGGACGAGATGGACCAGCTGTTGACCGCTTCGTCCTTGTCGAACTTTGCGTGGACAGGTGGCGTCACCTCAAATGGCAGCCGATACTTTGTTGTAATGCCTGGCCCACGTCAGTGTTGTCGAGGGATGAGGGTACGGTGTGGTGACCAACCATTTCTGAACAGAATCCGTGCGACAAATCGACTCTTCTTGCCCGGCTCGTCAACGATTGAAATGTCGCAGCGATCAATTGTCGTGTCCTTTTCTCTCTCGTGCATTGGATCACCGCTTCTCTGCCGAAACAGCGAGAGGAGCGCCTGTATCCCAGGTCAATCTCGGAGCTCTTGTCTTGAGGGTGAATGGTGCGTCTCTTGATGGATGGGTACCTTGTTGTAGAGTTTGCAGAAGAATTTGTCGCGGTTCTGGCCGGCGCCATCGTATTGATATTTGATGAAGAAGCGGTTGGTGGAGAACGAAAAGTTGGCATAAGCCGACTTGGACGAGTTGAGTGCTGTGAAAGCCAGCTGGGGATGCCGTCAGGTCACTGTCCAGGTACATAGTGTGGAGGGGTAGAGGCCGCACTCACGCGATCTCTTTTGGCCTCCAGTGAGACCTCATCACTGAATTTGCTGAGACATGTTAAGGCATCACGAAGCGCACTCACACCCTCCTCGCTGAGGGAGAAGTGGACGACCATGCTGGGTGATGGTTACAGATCGACACGGCGTCGATCTGGGGCGGCTTTGAGCGGTGTTTGATTCAATGCGCCGCTCATTCCATTTGACAGCAGGTTCAAGGTAGTGTCGCCATGGCAGAAGTTTCCGTGTTCGCCCATGCGAAGGTTTCGACAAACGGGGAGCGTGCTTGTGAATCTTGAACTTGTGGTGCGTCTGGGTAAGCCACGTCGCGTCGCGGGGTAAGTGCCTGAGGTTGCGCTTGATCGACGCGTGAAACACTGTTCCCCAGCACTGTATTCGCCACATCAATTCGCAGGAGCGGGACAGTGCTTCACAGTGCCTGACCAGGGCACTAAGAGTGATGCTTCAGGCGCGTCACTCAGTGTACGCAATCACCACTGCCAGGGAGTGCTTCTTTGTAAGCTCCGTGAAGGGCGCCCGCACGCTCTCGCCAGCATCTTATCCCCAATCATACCATGCCGTCTTTAGACGAGACGAAGGAGATGCCTTCGTCGGCACAGCTACCGCCCGAGATCATTCTACTCGTGTGTCAAGAGCTTGCTGCAGACCGTGCGCTTGGCACTCTGTACCACCTGGCCCTGACGGCGAGCACCGTGGCACCGATCGCCCTGGAGCAGCTGTACAGGCAAGTCTGATCCCTTTCACGAAGCTGGCCTTGAATACATATTCTGACCAATTGTATGGACTCTCGCTGACCATCCCACCAGCCTGTATGACATTTCACCTGCGATCCTGGGCACTTATGGCAAGCGAGCATGGGGGACCCGGTGGAGGTCCATTCTCATGTCCACGAAAGGTCGCACAGCATATCCATATGCGGCCTATCTCCGGACACTATCTCTAGGCGGCAATCTAGACGATGTCCTCAGCGAGATGCTTGGGGACAAAACAGTCCGCCAGGCGTTCTTTGCTCCCCCGCTCGAAGGCTTGTTGTGCCTCTGGAACGATGCCACCCGAGCGCAGAGGCATACCAGGGCGTACGGGCTTCCGCGGATTGACCATGCGGTCACGGTGAGCCGCTGTGGCGAGGCTATCATCGAGTATATTGAGAAGCTCGCACGGGAGAGCGACGTCAAGGTGGCTCTTGCCCACCTTGAAACCAATTCCGTGCCCTCGGGGGTGCTGTCTGCTTGGTGCCGTCGCCTGGGGCCGGGCCTCATCTCCCTCAGGCTCAGAGACGGCGCCATTCTGAACAAGGATATCGGCGTCAGCCTGGCAAGCGAGTGTCCAAACTTCAATGATCTGACCCTGTTTTACTGCCTCACACAATCGGCTGAGGACAACTCCCCGCAAGACAATCTCCCAGCATTTCTCAACGAGCTTCAACCCAACACATTGCGCAACTTCGAGATCATGAGCAAGAGCAGCATTGGGCAGAAGTCCCTGGCTGCTCTTAGCCGGCAATCCAAATCACTCCGAAGTCTGAAATTCAGCGGTCTCAGCCTAGACGCGCTGCGGGCTCTTGATCGCCTGACGGAATGCACGGAACTCGAATGCTTCGGCCTGGAAAACGACCACTTCGATAGGACAGACCTTGTAGCGCAGGGGTTGGAGCTCGTCAGCAAGCTCTCTGCGTGGATTGGCAGATGCAGCTCGCTGCGAGACTTCCGCATCGTCCACGGCCATGATGCCCTTCACCTAGTCAGGGACCTGCTGTGTACATCGAACGCGCCTCTCGAGAGTCTGACGCTTCGGCACTTCTCATTGATGCCGACCGGCCAGAACCGGTCCATTTTCGAAGCGCTCGCGCGGCACAAAGAGACGCTGCGCGAGCTTACGATCGGCCATTTCTGGGATCCACAAGACAGTGTGGAAAAAGCACCCGTTTCCTTCCTGCACCCAGAGACCACAGTCATACTGGACAGCATCTGCGAGCTGAAGCAGCTCAAGGTCCTGAACCTCCAAGGCGCCTGGGTCGACAGCCTCGACTTTGCCCGGATCGTCGAGCACCTGCCGCAGCTCGAGGAGCTCCAGATCATGTCGTACGAGACCCTGGAGGATCACGACCTGCTCGCCTTCCACGCCTTTCCGAACCTCAGGTCCCTCATGATCGTCACGCCCACGACCTTCTCCCACGAGGCCCTGGTGTCGTTTGTCAAGGGTCTGGACCCCATCAGGCAGAACGGCATCCAGATCGACATCATGGCGCAGGACAGAGAGAACGCGCCGTGGCAGGACGTTGACCTGAACGAGCACATTGCTGCAGTCAACGGCAGCATAACTCTGGGCTATGCCAGGAACATCGACGGTGATGACGACGACTCCTCCAGCGATTCTGATTGAGTTTATAGAGCATACACTGAGCTGATCAGGTCTTTCTGGCTGGTCTGTCATCCACCGTGATCACTTAGAGCTCGGCGGGGCAGAACATAGTCTCGGGCGCACACGCCGTGACGTGGCTCCGGGGGGGGGGCTCCGTGGTTGCCGGCCGCCTTACACCGTACATGCGAGCTACAACCACCGCACGATCCAGGACGAGCCTTCTTGGCGACGAGCCCGATAATGTCTGGCGGGGTTGGGACACGCGCCACGGGACACCGGGTACTTCGCAGTGTTGGGCAAGATGCCTCGTGCAATCAATCCGCCGCCAGCTCGGTCCAGCATACCCCAGAGGACTCCACGGACATACGCCCGTGTTGGCTCACCTACTGGGCATTTGCCACGGAGCCTGCTCCCGACGAGACCCAAACCCGTTCTCTCACGATTGAGCGGCAGACTAATCAACACGCTACGCCGCGCAAGCTTTGGCTCGCAGGGCGCCCACCTCGAGCTGCCTCTTTCGCATCGTCCGCACCAGTTTCAGTGATCGGTCAACGTCGCAGAACTCCGGCAAGGACGATATCGGTTAGCGCCGCGATGTCTGGAGCAGAGTAGAGAACATGACAGCATTTCAACGTTCAGACGGTGTCGGCGCATCGCAGACAATCTGATTGATAGGTCATTCTGTGAGAAGCAAAGATAAATCCAGTAGACTTGTAGAATTGCTGTAACCCCCCCCCCAAGGCCTAGCAATAATAACAATGCCATGATGTATTTTAAGAGCAGACGGCCAAGGCCAGAGCAAGTCAAGGCCCGGCTAGATGCAATGACAGATGCAACGGCAGATGCAAAAACAGATAGATGCAAAGATGACTTGAGAGCACAAACCAATTACAAAGCCGAAACGGCGGCAAGCCCAACCTGCGCCTCATGCGCGACCCAGTGGTCCACCTCCTCTACTCTCTCGCTCTGCAGTACCGGCTCCCCTGCCGTGACCTTGGCCTTGCTCTCCTTGTCCGCCTTCAGTATCCGCGTCACCTCCTGCGTGTCCACGCCCAGGTAATGCTGCAGGAACTCGCCGATCTGGGTGTTCTCGACGTTGCCCCGGATGGCGTCCGTGCCCGGCCCACCGGAGCTGTAGATGTTGACGTCGACGGCCGAGTGGCCGTGCGTGCTCCAGCCAATCTGCGCGCGGTTGCTGATCATCTGTGCGAAGCTGTACTGCGAGATGGCCGGGTACAGCACGAGCGTGTTGAGTTCCTCGGGCGTGGCGTCGATGATGCCCAAGCCCTTGACGACGAGCTCGTCGTTGATGTACTTCTTCAGATGTGCCAGTTCATCCTCGGACAGGGACGCCATGTCCGCCTCAGCGGAGGACAGGGAATTGTCGGCGAGGTGCTGCAGCAGCTTGATGGCGAGGTATTCAGAGGACGAGGAGGCGTTGGCTAGCACGGCAGGGTACCACAGGTACTGCGGGTAGTCGGCATGGAGCTGCTTGGCGACAGACAGGCCGCCGGTCTCGTGGTCGCTGGTGGCGACCATGACGCCCTCGGCGCTGCTCTCGTCGAGGAACTCAAGGACTGCGGCGACGGTCTTGTCGTACTCGAGGACTTCGCGCACTTGCGCGGCCGGGTCGTTGCCATGGCCGGCGTGGTCGATTCTGCTGCCTATAGAATGAAGTCAAGGAATTAGCAAAGCGCTCGACGCCAAACAGTTTGGCAGGCTTTTGAACGGGCGGGACGCACCTTCAATCATGAGGAAGAACCCCTTCTCGCTGCCCTCGGTGGCCTTCTCCAGCGTGCGCAGCGCAGTCTTGGCCATCTCGCTTAAGCTCGGGTAGATGTCGTTCATGTTTCGGCGGTCGAGCTCGAAAGGAATGTCGTGGTCGGCGAAGAGGCCCATCATGGGCAGAGGCACGTCCTTCTGGCCCTCCCAGAACTCGTCAAAAGCCGGGCGGTCGCTGATGTAGTTCCAGCCAAACTCCTCCGTGGCAATCTTGACAACGTCGACATCGTCTTCGCGGCAGCTCCTTGGGTCGCTGCTGGGCAAGAAGTGGCACCGGCCACCACCAAACATGAGGTCGACCGTCCGGTTCAGGGCGCCCTTGCCAATCTGCTGCAGCGCGATTGAGCTTTCCTCGAGGCGGTAGCCGACGTGGCTGGAAAAGCAGGCAGGGGTGGCGTCGGTAATGTCTGTGGTTACGACGAGGCCGGTCATGTAACCAGCGCGCTTCGCGGCTTCGAGCACAGTTCCGCAGGGGGTGTGATCGGGCAACATGGCGATGGCGCCGTTGTAGCTCTTCTTGGCGCAGCCGAAGGCGGTGGCGCCGGCCGCGCTGTCGGTCACGAGGGAGGAGGAGCTGCGGGTGCGGCTGGAGCCCCAGAAATGCTTATCGAGGGTGAGGGTGTCGCCGTACTCGAGGCCTTCGACATGCTGGCGGAAGCTGCGGGTGAGGGACAGGGAGGCCGGGCCCATGCCGTCGGAGACCATGAAGACGAGGTTTCGCTTGCCCGAGGGCTTTTGGAACGAGGTTTGCTGGTGGTGGGAGATCCATACGGCTAGGATGAGGATGCCCGCGGTGGCGAGGAGGGCCCAGACGAAGAGCAGGACCTCGCGGAGGCGGAGGTAGAGAGAGCGACCGCTGTGGGTGGCGGCGGACTGGCCACGGAGGGCCTCGTCTTCTGAATCGCTCATGCGGCTATCGTCGACATTGCGGCGGTCGTCGGCCAGGAGGGGCGTCGTGGCGGAGGCCTACATTTCGAGGCGCGTCAGTCAAGCCGAGGATGGTAGATGAAGCGGGAGGGCAGGGCAAGGCTTACCATGATGCAATGAGGAGGTGCACTCCTGGTGCGGGCTCACTCAGTGCTGTTGGAGGGATGGACTGGGAGGACAGGCAGGCTGTTGTGGGCGAGGAATGAACAGAAAGGACGAGATGCAAGACTGGCTGAATCGCGCTGCAGCGCTCCTGACTCGACGGCAGGCGGGAGTGAAGAAGAGGGAAGGCGGATGTGGTCGGCAGTGGGATTGGGGAAGATGGGGGCAGTGGAGGCTGGGGATTGCTAGCTAGCGCGCGTTGCGCCAGGCATCACGAGATAAGGCACCAGCAGGCATGTGAGGTGCGTGCCTGCCTGCAGGGTCTGGTCAAGCCCCCGCGTGCGGAGGCGGCGGCTGCCCGCGGGTGACGTCAACCCTCCCAGGTGCCCTTACTCCACTGCACAATGGCTGGCTAATCGAGAATTGCACAATGCCGTCCTGCTCTCTCTGCAAAATCCCATGGTGTGCCATCGTGAGATCCTCAATTGCCGATATGTAGCTAGAACTTTATTCGCCTAGCGTATGGGAAATCCTCGTCACGTCGCGCCTCCCGTCCTCCATCCTTGCTCAGATGTATCCTGCTCACTCTTATGCCACGCACGCGTGCATGTTGGAGCTGGGGAAGATGAACAGATGTACTCTGTAGCAACTCCCTTACTACAGCTTGGCTCCTGGGGCCTTCATCTGAGAGACAATGCATGGCCACTACATGGCTCATGTCGCGAATTTTCCTCTGGAGCATGGCCCTTCCAACCTTGAATCCCTTTTCTGCAAGACCAGACCACTGGGCTCTGCTGCTCGCTCTGCCTTTCTCACTCAGACTTGCCCTCATCCAACAGCATCCCCTGCATCACCTCGACGATCTCATCCGCCCTCCTCACAATCAGACTGATGTGTCCCTCGCCCTCAAAGACCCGGAAGTCTGCGCCCTGCAGGCTCGGCACAGAAACCGTCGCCATCTCCAGCGGCACATTGACATCCACGCCCCCGTGCCAGACCACCACTTTCCCCCTCTGCACAACCACGTCCTGCAGCCGGAACCCCCAGTCTCTGCACAGCACCGTCGCCTCGATCGCCGCGCCCCACGACCCTTGCCGAAACGCCTCGCTCATGGTCCCACGCACCGCATCCCGCGCCCTCCCCTCGTTCTCCCGGATCACCTCGCCGTCCGCCTTGGGGAGCATGTACACCATCATCTCAATCACCTTGTCCAGCCGCCTCGTGTCCCCCCTTAGGCACGCGTCCTGTGCCGCCTTGCCCAGCCCAAAATCAAACATGAGCTTTGTGATCCGCGGCCACAGCGCGGCGACCTTGAACGTCCAATGCGTGCGCAGCGCATAGAAGGACCTGCACCGCGCAGTCAAGTACTGCGGCCACAGGCCAGACACGACACACACGCCCGCACAGCGACCCCGGAGAACCGCGTCGTGCCAGCATGCGAGTGCGTAAGGGCCACCGCCCGAGACGCCCACCACGCCGAAGCGCTCGATCTTGAGGTGGTCCGCCAGCTCGAGAATGTCGTGGGGCCAGCTGAGCAGCGTGCGGGTCGTGGGTGTCGGCGAGGACCTGCCCGAACCGGGCCTGTCGACGGCAATGAGGCGCATATGGTGTCGCAGGGCGGCGGCATGCAGGATCAAGCCCTCGGCTCGGCTGCCGGGGAACCCATGGAAGTAGAATGCCGTGCTGGTGCGAGCGGATGTATGGTCGCCCCAGACCGTGTAGGCCAGGCTCCGCCCATCGGGGAGGGTAAGAGTGTCCTCCAAGGGCTCGTGGTCCGCCATGGTGTGAGTTGTTATGCGAGTGATGCTGGGCGAGCGCAAGCGTAAGGCTGTGCCACGACACGCACACGCGGAACTGGACTTGGGGAGAGTAAGAGTTGGGCAGCCCCATCGCAGGGGATCCAAGGGCTTCTTACGGCCGTCATCGGGAGAATTGGAGATTTGAGTCAGGAGCCATGGCATGTCTCACCTGTAGGCTCTTGTGTGGACTATCAACGGCCCCGGGTTGTTGTTCTGCCCGAAGGCTGAGACATCGGACGCCGATTGGGTTTCGCCAGGAGCGGAACCAGACCTATGGAGAGGAATCGTCCGGGCGAAATAGAGATTGTAGAAAACCCAAAGAAGAGTGCTCTGTACATGCTCCTCACTTGAGTCACGCATCCATGGGTTTCGGATGGAAGCCAGCCAACTGCGGACACTACCGACGCCACTGCCATGCTCCCTGCCTCAAGTGCTGACCACAGCGGCGTCCGATTGTATTCCCCATTGGGCTAGCTTCCAAAAGCAGCAATCAATGTTAACTTCAATTACTGAAATAGTCAACCCCATTACACGCCCCGAAGCGGTAATCAATGTCAAGTTGCACCGGTCAACTCCACTACACGTGGAAAGTCGGCGTGAACTTAGAATCTGCCCTCGACTAGTCCGCCCGTTGGCCGTTGACTTCAGTTACACAGGATAAGCTCACGCCAGACAGCCAAAGCTTAGCAGGCACACTACGGAGCAGGGCTTCTACACAATGGCAGGCTGTGAGATCACCGCAATAATTGCGTATAAATTGGAAGCCCCCAGCGGTGTATCTAAACTCCAATTTCCCCTACGGCCCCGACCATGACAGCGTGTCGGCTTACCTCCCCAGCTTCATCCAGAACAATGACTTCGCATAAAGGCCAGTCCGAGAACAACAACAGAAATGACGAGCTCGGCCTCTGGAGCGTCACCCGGAATCCCCGGATAGGTGTGGACCGCAGAAAGTGCAGCCGCCAAGTCCCCTTCGAGGTCATCAGCGCCGGGTTCCCGCGCACAGGCACTGCATCGATGCAGGAAGCCCTCACGATCCTGGGCTACCCGACGTACCACTTCTCCAGCCTCTTGACGAACCTCAGGGACGCAGACATGTGGCTCCCCGCCCTGGACGCCAAGTTCTTCTCGCGAGACCACAGCATCGCGTACCCGAAGGACGATGTCGGCTCTCGCAAGGCGCCCTCCATTGGCAAGAAAGACTTTGATCAGCTCCTCGGCCATGTGAGCGCCTCGACCGACGTCCCGGGGTGTCTGTTCTGGGAGGAGCTGCTCGACGCATACGGCCCCGATGTCAAGGTCGTGCTGGTGGACCGGGACCTGGATACGTGGCAGCGCAGCTTCGACGGGCTGGTCGACGGCATCATGAACCCCTTTGTGCGCCACGTGCTCGCCACGCTGGACCCATTCATCGTCGGGCGCGTGTCCGGCGTGGGCGTGGGCTGGATCCGCGCCATCACCGGCACGACGGACACGGCGCTGGCCAAGCAGCGCGCGAGGGAGGCGTATCAGAAGCACTATGCGCAGGTGCGCAAGGCGGTTCCCAAGGACAGGCTCCTCGAGTATCGACTGGGAAGTGGATGGGAGCCACTGTGCGAGTTCCTCGGCAGGCCGGTGCCCGATTGCGAGTTCCCCCATGTCAACGAGGCCAAGGCTTTGGCCAAAGCATTCGAGGCTTTCTCGGTGCTCGCTCTGCGGAGAGCGGCCTTCAATCTGGCATCTGTCGTTGGTTTGGGCGTCCTTGTGGTGCAAGTCGTGAGGTGGATTTTGTAATGAGATGTGCAACCGACATGATTAGCGAGAATTTCATGGAGAGGGATTCCATGGGGCTTCACATTAGTTACACGCCAGTGAGATGACCACCAGCTTCTTGTTGATAACGCCTACATCGATACGATCCCTTTTTGGGATGACGAGCTTGTGGACTGACGGAACGAGGTGCAGAGGAGGCTGACGATCGATATGAAATCTGGTGTAAATCAGCAGGAGCGCCTCTCACCTAGGCATATTGTCGCTGCCGGATATATTGGCACTTCGGAGTAAAGTCTCGATAACAACTTGCCACCGTGCCACTGCCGGCGCGCCACTATTGTGGCTTGTACCTCTGCGTGTGGCAAGATCCTACCACTCACTGCATCCTCGCTGACGTCTACAATTGCCAAGCCTGCCCAGGTTGCCGGTCGGTACTTCTGATTGCTTGTGCCAGTGTGCAGCCGGCAAGCATCCTGCAGGCCCCTGCTCGACATTGTGCGGCGTGATGTAATGACCAATCCCCTCTCTGCTGATTGGCAAGACGAGGCAGCCTCTGCTGAGCGGCAAGACAAGCTGGATTTCTCGGGTGCTGAGGACTCCTGAGATATACATTGCTATCAAACACTGCTACCATTCGCAGACTCGATCCTGCCCACAACCTGTCGTTTATCACAAGCTACTGCCTAAAGAAGATCGTTGGTTCATCGTCAACATTGCCCTCCGAGATCTGATCAAATTTTGATCTGTCGCCGCCGCGATGCAGCTGTATTCGGCACTAGACCCGGGGCGATCCCAGATTCGACTGCTCAGGCTGGAGCCAGATCAGACACCTAGCTTAGAAGAGGGACGCTTGAAAGCGTCCTTCCACGTAGAGAGGGACGAGATAATGCCACCCTTGCGATTCGCCATGAAGACAATCTCACTCGATGAGAGCCCAGATTTCACAGCTCTTTCGTACGTCTGGGGCGACCCTACAGACACCATGCCGATCATTGTCAACGATATCGAAGTCGCTATAACACGAAACCTGTACAGTGCCGTGGTCGCAATGTCGAGATATCAAACGAGGCCGCCTTTTTGGGCGGATGCTGTCTGCATTAACCAGCGGGACAACGACGAGCGAAGCTCCCAGGTAAAGCTCATGGGCCGCATATACCGGAACGCCTTGAGGGTATGCTGCCACCTGGGTGAGCCAACACCCAACTTTGAGGCCTACGTACGGTACCATTACCGAATCGATCATAGACTGGACGATCCTTGGGCGCAGGTGCTCCACGACTGGGACCAGCAAGGCAAATCCGCCGAGTGGCAGGCGGGGCAAATCACCGCCATTCTTGTAGGACAGGTCGAGCTGCGCAAGCTGCCCTACTTCGAACGGATGTGGACTTTTCAAGAGAGTCTTCTTCCAGCTGAACGCGCGCTGTTTTTCCTCGGCGACATCCACTTCAGATACTTCAACACGCGCAGATGGGTATGGAAAGATCCGCCGCCCTTTGTTACTAGCGCGTGGAAACAGCACGAAAAGAATCCAGAGTCCCGGGAGTCATCGATGCAGCCGTGGATGGAGATCTTGCACCGCGAAGTGGCTTGCACAACTGCAAATGAGATCCAGTTTGACCACCTCCTCCAACTGATGATTTTGGGCTGTGAGCAGTTGGGCATTCTCACCCTGTCGTCACTCCTCTACATGACACGCCTGCGGCGGTGCGGTGACCTGCGCGACAAGATCTTTGGAGTGCTGGCCATCCTCCCCACAGTCGAGTGGGAATGCAACAAGCTCGGTGAGATACTAGACGCAATGCGCCGCCGCTTTAACCCTAACTCTATACCCGCTGTAGAACAAGCGGTCAGTGACCTATCTCGTCCCTTTTTTGACACTGCCGGTGCGAGGCAGGCGGCAAGGGACCGATACCTTGCCATAGACTATCGCAAGTCCGTCGAGGAGGTCGCCAGGGACGCGTTGTACTACATTGCGACGGTTGAGAATGGAAAGGGACTTGGTCCGATCTGTCTCTCGTACATGCCCTACAGGTCTGCCTTGTCGGGCAAACTGAAGGAACGAGGCAACAATGGCTTCAAGGGACAAATGCAGCACCGGGGAAGAGACGGGAGTCAGCTGGAGGCGCTCGAAGACAAGGGGCAACCCACCGGCGTCCTATACCCATCCTGGCTGCCCGATATCACGAGCCGCAGACTCAGAGCGAGCTTTGCTTCCGGCGGGAGTTTTCCGTGGCCCAAATGGTCTCAGAGCGTCGAGTGGCTACCACGGAAAGATAGCCAAGGCGACAGTGATCGACTGCGATTTCGTGTCAGACCACTGGGCCGCGTTTTGCGGACAATCATCTTCCCGACCATGGTTGAACGCATCCACGACATGGTTGCCGCCCTTTTGAAAGAAGCTTGGCCAAAAATGGATCCATCTCTTGACGAGATTGACCAGGAACTACTCTCGATGCTGGATGGGGCTCCTACTGGTCTGCTCCGCCCGAATCTACCAGAGGAGCTGCAAGGTCGGATTCGCGAACTCGTATCTCTCATCAAATCGCCGCCGCCGCCAGGTACTGAGCCAGAAGAACCAGACACGAGCCTCTACCAGCGCCTCCGGTTGCTTCTTTTAATGAAGAGGGAGGACAACTACGAACGGATGCACAATCGCGACGTGCCTGTCTGGCTCCTCATCACACGTACCATCCGCTGGCTGGTGCGTTCGCCCCCAGAAGCGGATAGCTTGCAATGGCGGCGCCAGCGGCAGTCGATCATGCACGCCAGAGACCGCCTGGCGGGACGGGTGCTGTTCGTGCTCGACTCGGGCATCGTCGGGCTATGCAGCGACGCTACCCGGATAGGAGATGTCGCTGCGCACTCGGACGATTTTGGCAACACCTTGATGCTGCGACCGGACTGTCGGCGTCACCATCAGGCAGAGGGAGTCACGTGCGATGGCAGTCCCGGGGCTGCGCACGAATGCTCGGACACCGATGACATGGCTCGGCAGACACATCTGCTGGTCGACTATGCGTGTATCGACGGCTTGATCAGTGAGCAAAACGGTGGCATGGAGACGGTGCAGGAAATCAAAGACATGGAAACGCACACCATTGTCCTGGGCTAGCAAGTTGTGTTGGTCGCAGGGGTCCCTTGATCTGGGGCACTGCCACTCGTATCTTCAGCCAACAGTGTCTCTCTTGGCCCCTATACTCTACAGTCCTTGATGAGTCATATAAGGGAAGGGCACTCGCCGCTAGATCTCCAGTTTATTCTCAACAATTATACATAACATGGAGGAACGACCCTGAAGCCCTACATGACACGTCCTTCAAGATTCTGGTTTGTCCGTGGCACTTAAGCAAACGCGCCTTTTGGGACCAGCCAGCATGACGTCCCCACTAGAATCGCTACCTAACGAGATTTTCGACTTGATCATCACATTTCTCATCGGTCACGATGTCACTTCGCTCCGTCCAAGCTCCGTCCCCGACTGCACTCCACTCGCCAGACTGTCGCGATGCTCTCGTTTGCTCAACAGCCGCGTGGATCATGTACTGTTCGGTACCATAGAGGCGCGTAATTCGGCTTTGCGACACGGTTGTGTCAGGGGCAACTTGCCTGCCATTCGAAAGGCAGTCTTGCGCGGCGCACATTCAGTCACCGTGCGACGACACCGTCGCACCAATAACTCCGTGCGGGCCGAACCACAAGCTGGTCACAGGGAAGCTTCAGCGCTGCAACTGGCTCTGAAGGCGAGGCAATTTGATGCTTTTGAGTTGCTGCTGAATCTAGGTCTGAGCATCGCCCCACGAGACTTTAGGGATACCACCATCTTGGGTGAACAAGTCAAGACATTTGCCCGGAAACTAGCCGAACCTCGCAATGTCCACTTCCTCGAGGCGTTCGTCAATGCACGGCGGAACACGCCATACTGGCACAAGGACACCAAGGAAAAATGTAGCCAGGCTGAGGCTGTGCTTAGCAGAATGCCATTTGCAGACGTCGTTCGGTGGGCTTCACCAACGCTCCTAGAGAAGCTTCTGGACAACGGTGCTCAGGTCAATGAGGCCGTGGTCTCTCGGAACGTGGTAGAGGGCCAGAGACTGCCCATCACCGCTCTGGGTGCGGCGTGCTTACGAGGAGACATGGATGTTTTCAAGCTCCTGGTCGCTCGAGGTGCACAGATTGGCATCTCAAATTCGCTCCGCCGTCAATATCCAAAGACACATTCTCACATTCCGATCTTCATGGCGGCACGACATATGGGCGAGACGGGCAGGACCGACGTGCTCGATGCCTGTGTTAAAGGCGGCGAAGATATTGACCGGCCCTGCCACATCCGCCGCGCTCCACTCCCGGACGAGTATCTTCCACCGGGATTCCTGCATGTGTGCACAACACCGCTGCTGACTTATCTGGACGCGATCAGCTCGTGGGAGGCTCGGCCAGCTAGTACTAGTCCTGGATTGCCGGGGCTCACGCCGACCGAGGGTGTGGCCCATTTCATCAAGACCTTGGGAGCAGCCATGCCGAGTCCGGTGGCGCCACCGTTCAAGTACAGCCTTTGCATTTGGCGGCAAGACCTCCACGACCGCACTTATGCTGGAGTGCCATCGGCTGTCGAGTTCTTGCTCGTGAAGTGGGGTACAGAAGCACTGGCTCAGCCCAGGTTCTTTACAACTATCAAGCTCCTCGTCGAGAATGATGGGACGGGACCGGACTTGGGAAAACTGATGGTACGCCTGGACGGACAGAACAACAGCTCGACGACCGACTTTATAAACAAGGAAGGGCTTTGGGACAAGTTCTTGGCAGTCTTGACACCACGAGTGAGCGCCATGGACCAGACGACCAAGAACATCCTGCTCCGCCGCGTCATCGTGGACAAGGGCGCGCTGCGCCATACTGTCTATTCCCCATCACGCTGGGTCAAGGTCCGCGCGATCGGTCAGGCTAGCATCCGAGCCCTCGTCGCTGCCGGGGCGGATATCAACGACCAGGAGAGCGTAAAACGCCTAGGCAATCACGTTGCTGGATACACGCCACTCAACCGGGTCGTCTCCGACTTCGTCCACACCGATAGCCTGGTCGGGGAATATCTCCACGACCACCCAAGAGACCACAGGTCTGCGTGCCCATACACTGCGGACGTGGTCGAGGCGTTCGGGGGATACCTTGCTTTCCTAGTGAGCCTGGGAGCAGATCCAAAGTCGGAGGAGGAGAGGTGGCTCTATGACGATGAGTCCAGTGCGGTCGAGATGCTCATCGCACAGATCAGGAAGAGTAGATCGAGACATGTGGGCGGGCTCGTCGAGCAGAGTCTTCTGAAAATAGCAGCAAAGATGCAGGGTCTGGAGGAGATTCCCGAGTACACAGGGGAGAGGGACCCCTTTTCTGAGCGGTTGGGCAACATGATAGGCTTCAGCATGAGTTACTTCTCTCGTGTGTCATGCCAGGTCGAGGAAGACGTGTAGATAACAAAACCTTTGTCAGGCTAGCTGAATGCTAGTCATAGAATGGTCTAATTACGAATAATGAAAGAAATGTGTTTAAGCGTCTTTATATCACAGCCAAGTTTATGCTCCTAATTATTTCACTGGTTCTCAATGAAATGATGTGGACATGGGGGTCCCAAGGGGCTAAAGACGTGATGGTGTTGATGTGTGCTAACATGTGAAGTCGGCAACCATCACACAGCACAGAGCTGATCATGGGCACGGAGATTTTGGTTCACTGGCCATAGCTACAGTGACATGCACCGGAGATAGGGTTGGGCTGGGTTTTGGGACCCTCAAGCACCTGTCTCCGCAGGTCGGTCTGTGCTGTTACGTGCCGGCCAGCCATGGACCATCGGAGAAAGCATGGTCGATTCAAAGACATCGTATATATCCTTGGCTCCGTCAACAGTCGAGAGCCTGTTGGTGCAGTTTATGCCAGACCGAAACCGATACCAGCAGGCAAGAACCTACTCATTGATCTAGCAGAGCAACACTTGCGTGCGATTCAGCATCGATCACAACCTCAAGCGCCTCCAACAAACACACACACAACCAACACAGCAGTTGCAAATCTAGGCAACGGATTTCATCCAACATTTCGAACATCAAACAGTCAAGATGCCATCCGACAACATATACAGTGGGTATTACGCCAACCCAGGCCGCTCGCTGCACGAGCACCTCAACCCACCACCGCCGCTGCGGCAGAAGTACCGGCACTACCCGAGCTGGGACTGGCATGTCAACGACCACGAGCAGCGGCCCAGGCACAAGGCCAAAGTGAAGAATGCGCGGGCCAAGGGGGAACGGTACGACCCGTGGAGAGGCGAGTATGCGTACTCGGACCAGTTCTGCCTGCCACCGCTGCAGGTCGAGCCTTCCAAGGGTTCCTGGGTCGTGCGGCTGCTGATCCTCGCGCTGGCGTTTGCGATGCTCTGCTTGTTGTGCATTGGTCATTTCTGGGACTGGTGGAAGGTCTGGCATGGCGGTGTAAGTGAGCCCTAGATCCGTACTGCTTCATCTTTTGTCGTTTTCTTTTATGAAGACTAACACGCCCACAGATGGCCACGCTGTTCACCGTCGCAATTTCCGCGACCCTCAGCATACTTACCTGGCTGCCCCAACCAAGAAACAAGTACGGCGAGATCCTATCATTCTTCATGCTCATCGCCAACTTCGGCATCACGGGGTTCCTGACCTGGGAGATCCTCACGAGTCCAAAGAACACCTATCTCGTGGGCATCAAACAGAACGACGAGGCCTACTGGCGCAGACTTTACGTCGTGGCCATCGCGCAGTGGCTCTACTCGACCCTGTGGATCGTCATCGTGTTCCGGGCTCGGTATGTTGTCAAGTTCTGGCTGTCCGAGATGATGAACCCGGCGAGCCTGTTCAGGAGACACGCAAGGGGGAGGTCCTCGTCGGGGGCAGACACGGACCTACTCCCGGCACCAGCCACCGGACGCCGGGCTAGGCGCTCAAGATAACTTGCGCGATAGCTCTAGCTACGCGGAAATTTTGTCACCACATCACGAATCTGGTTGCCGGCTGGAGCTCGAACGTCATCTGGTGAAACGTGCAGGACATATCAGGCCGACGGCACTTAGCCCTGGCTTGCGCACAGTCGTTGGGGGAGTGGATTGGCTGGCATGGCCAGTGGCGGAGGGAACATCAAGAATCTCCGAGGGGGTTTGCTAGGAGCGACTTGATGGGGCAAGAGTGGGCATTGTTGCGGTTGAGGTGTGCGCGTTGTCGCTGAGCGCTAGGAATTACAGCAGCCTGGTCAGTCGCTATGATGTACGAGCTTTGGTACAAGTCCTTTTAGCAACTTGCAATAGATTATATCATTCCAAAAAAGATGATGTCCCAAGACCGAGGACTATTAGCAACAATTCGATTAGCTGTACTCCCCACCTTGTTGCGTGCCATCGCTTCATGTTTTCAGTTTCATCCTCACCCGCCAATGAATCACACCGATAGGTGAGTTGATTATACCAAGCGCATACAACCCCAGACATCACCTCCCAAGTTTCCCGCTTTATACAAAGGCGTTCTATCTTGCATAAAACATTGATCTCGTGTTGTTTTTCGTGGGGTTTCAAGCGCAGCAGTATCTACATCGCAAAGGGAGAATGCCTGCATGCCAGTGGATCTAAAGTCTGTGAGGTGGCAGATACTTCTGCACAACACTAAGCTACTATACTATGTTCGAGCCGCCTAAATCAGCTGGCATGTACCGACCAAAAAACGGCGGCACGGACAGCACTTTGTCGCGTTAATCTGTAGAGTTCAAGGGCACCACAGTGTTGAGGAACGCCTGTCCAAGAACATCCACCAGCCCAGCCCTGAGGTTCGCAATGCCGTCGGCACCAAGAAGTCCCGTCAAGATAGGCACGGCCCGAGATCCATCACATTCGCCAGCAGTAGTAATGACACTACCAGCCACCACGTCTCTCTTGAAGTTGATGCCCGGAGAGACAACCCCACAGTTGTACTGCGACTGCGCAGCACGGAGCTGGCAAATCTCGCTCGTCTTGCAAGTACCCGTGCAGGCATCATTACCAGCCTTCCGGTTCTTCAGGGAAATGTACTCCTGGAACACGTCGTCGTTGTTCTCAAATAGGACGGTGAGATTGTGCCAGAATGCCGGAGTTAGCTCGGCAGATGGGTCAGTGTACCCGAGTTGCGTGCCGTAGGTGTCCTTAACCGAGTACAAGAGTCCCCAGCTTGGACCGAACGTCTGATAGGAAGGATCGCTTAGGTTCGTATAGTAGACATGCATATCCAGGACGCCATACGTGACCGGGTCGACGTCGTAGACTCGGAAAGTGGGGTTTCCCGAGGTTGGCGTCAGGGCTGGGGCAATGTACGACATCATGGTCGCTGTGGAGGCCGACTGCTTGTTGTAGTCGCTGTATGCTATCTCGAACTCATCCTTGTGAGTGTGGCCGTAGAAGACGGCAGCAATAGTAGCGTCGAAGCGTTGGATGATTGTGTCGAAGTAGTATGACTGGTCGTGGAATGCGTCGCTGGCGCCCATGGGCATGTGGCCGAGAAGCCAGACTCTCTCACCGGCTGCCTCGGCTGCTTCGAGCTGAGCTGCTAGCCACGAGAGCATACCCGATGGATCGTTTTCCATGGTCTTCTCGTAAAGCCAAAAGTTCTGCTTGTACCAGAAGTTGGTGTTGAGGCTGATGATGCGGAGTCCAGACGCGGTGAGTGTCGAGTAGCTACCGAAGTTCGTCGATACCTCATCGGCGGCAGCCGCGCCTATCCACGAGGACCATGCGTCGGACAAGGTGTCGTACGCGTATTGAGTAGAGATATCCGTGTCTACGGATCGAGGGGGGAAGGAGTTGACAGGAGATGCGTCATGGTTGCCTATGACCGGGTAGACCTGGCCAAGGGAAGCCATGTGACTATTCGCGCTCTGAAGGTCCAAGGTGACTTCATTATCAGTCACCAGCCCTGTTTCAAGCAGTCAGTTAGTTGTTTGATGAAATAAGTAGGATGTTTGTAGGCATAAGATACTCACAGACAGCTCCCTCAACGACATCACCGGTGAAGATGCTGAAGGCACGGCTAGGGACCAAAGACTGGATGGCGGCGTACATGCTCTCTTCGAGTGACAAGGGCGTGTCACAAGCAGAGTTACCGTACGGACCAGCTGGGTATTCCGTAACGCCCGGCTCGTCATCGGCAGTGTAAGGCCGGCAGCAAATGTTCTTGGTGCAATTGTAGCTGGCACCAGTGGTGTAGTTGAGATCGATATGGATATCGCTAATGTGTACCACCTTGATGGGCGTCTTGTTGCTAGGCGCAGGTCTTGATATGCTTGGCTTGGACGACAGAGGAAGAGAGAAGGATGTGTCGACTGCCGGCCACTGGCAGAGGCCGAAGACAGTGAGGCAGAAGAGGTCCGCTGTTTTGGTGCCTACAGTCATCTGACGGAGGTTGTGCGCGAGAATGGGGCCTTCCAGGCCGATTGCTCCAGCACAAACATCGGGATCTTCTTTTTTTGTGGCCGTACATACAGCTGTAATAACCTTTACGAAGTTGTCGTTGCCGGTATGTGCGAGCGCTTGCAAGACGAGCAGAAGCGAGTTGCAGCCGGCGCAGGTTGCGATGTCCTTGATGTCATTGAGGATGTCTGAGATGACATCCCGCTTAGTCAAGGCTAGAGGCGTCGAAGATGTCGTCGATAGCGCAGGGACCACGAGCGGGGCCCATAGAAGGAACAGCACAATTGATAGGCACCTCATGGTGTTGGTACTCGTGGCAAGCCCAGCTGGTGCCAAGAACGAGTGCCGAAGGTGGCATAACAAGGCTCGATGCCAAGACTTTTATGCTACTAGGATATCCCCAAAGCATGCGGAAAGCTGGCCGAAGTCGTCAGCTCGAATGCGGACATTGCATAAACTACCTAAATTGGAGGACCACCGTAACTGTGACCCTGTCGTGACTACCGACAGGGTTATTGGAGCACATGCTGTGGGTGCCGCCGTCATGTGGCTTGAAAGAACCTGAGAATGAACCCTGGTTCCTTACAGATGGTTCCCAAAAGCCGGGGGCAGCCTCGGCACGTGGGTCGATCCGACACCCCAGGTTTATCATGTACGCGTAATCATTTCATTATGTCAGCAGCACATGGTGATCTGTCACGATTCGTGCATCCTCGGACATCCTCATTGGTGAGGTGCTGGGCTAGCCGCAAATACGATTCATTTGGATATGGAAGAATACTAATAGACTTGGGTCTCCGCCGCCAGCCAGGGTCTCGAATGGTTGATGTTGTGGTGACCACCGTTCCGGCTGAGCATGGATGCGCAAGATTTCTCTCTATTTCATGTGACGTTTGGTCGCCAAGCTGATCGTCCATGAGATACAGATGCTTTTGAGGAGCTACACACCGAACCAAATGCTGGAAAGGCGTGACTTACACAGTTCCTGGAGTGGGTGGGGACTTCCCAGCGCTAACACAACCAAAAGACAGCCCCGACGACGGAGCGACATATGCAACAGAGAGGAAGCAGTGCCCGCCAATCTTTGATCATGTTGATACCGGTTGATATGCTCTGCATTCTGGCAAAGGCTCAGGGCAGCAGGAATGGTGTCAAGCCTGTGAGCAATGCCTGAAGGCAGGGCATGGACCGAAATCATCGGATTGCCTAAATTGGCAGCTGGCCCACAAAGGCTTAGCCCCGAGTTGGATTCTCTTGTCCGAGGCCGGCTTGACTTTCAGCTCCGCAAGGCATAGGACATGTGCTGGACTGTGAGTCAGCCAGAGCTCAGCCCTGGCATCGGTACAATCACCGGCCAATGGCATACAGCGCATGGCCTGGAATAAACTGGTATTGCCATGAGAGGCAAGAGAATTGATCTTCGCTCATGAACGGGATCAACTTTGCAACGACATCATCATCGTCATCACCACCATCACCACCACGATACATCAAACGATGCGCTTCTCCACGAATGCCTCGTCAACCACCACCGCAGCTGGCACCTTCACTGGCGCCGTAGTCGCATTATCCCGCAGCCCAGAGCACAACTTCTCCAAGCCCAACGTCTCCTCGATCACGCTCCTGGCAGGCCTGGGCGTCGCGGGGGACTGCCACGCCGGCGAAACCGTGCAGCACCGGTCGCGGCTGCACATCCGCCCGCCCCCCACGAACCTGCGGCAGGTGCATCTCATTCCGCTCGCCACACTGCAAGAACGGGGGCTGAAGCCAGGCGAGATTGGGGAGAACGTGGTCACTGATGGGTTGGACCTGCTGGATATGCCGACGGGGACGAAGTTGCGGTTTGTGGGCGGGTCTGCTCAGGATGATGAAGATGCTGGCAATGGTGACAATGCTAGCAAGGACGGGCTCCTCGCAGCAGAGCAGAGGAACCAGATCGACCACTCAATGACGGACGACGGATTACCACCCGCCATGGGCGATGAGACGTTATCGCCGCCCCCGCCAACGATAGTTCTGACTGGTGTCAGAAACCCGTGTCCCCAGATCGAGAAGTTCAGAAAGGGCCTGCAGGAGACTTTCATAATGCGCGACGCTGATCGCAGGATTGTTCATCGGCTCGCAGGCGTCATGGCAGTCGTCGAGGTCGGCGGCGTTGTCAAGCCGGGCATGAGAATCGAGGCTGTAATGCCATCCACTACTGCAACCGAAGGAGAGAGCGGCTACAATGGGCCGTTGCAGCCAGTGTAACGGCAGAGAACCCAAAGATCCCCAAATCTCGGACATATTTATTGATATCGGGCATCCCCGGCTCCACCGTCCGGCAGAGTTTACGCTTATGCGAATGTAAGACAACGTAAAACCACAACGGCCCAGACTCCTGCATGTGTCTGCTCGTCTAAGAATGGACGTGGCGCGCTGACATGCTCCCTCTGTCCTGGCCTGGCTTGTATCTAGCGTCGCCTTGCTTGCACGTGCCATTAACGTCGTTAAAATGTTCCTTCATGATATCTGTCACTAGATTCCGCCAATCCTCGTGTGTATGCTTCTGACAATGCAGGGCAGAACTTAAAGTATTTATTCTGGTCCAGCCCTAGAGGATGAAGTGGCGACGAAACCTTGTAGGTACTTAACGTTGGTACATCTGCTAATTAAAGCGCCGACGGTCCTGAGGTATTATGTAATCCACACCAAGGTCTATTTAAATCTCCCGAGACAGGCGCTACGTCTGCCAAGCCTTATGGGCCTAGAGACAATAGAAAGTTTTTGAGGCTGACGGTGCACAAAGCATGGTGGCAGCCATGGTGTAGGACTTTGTGAGTTCTCAAGGAAAAAGTCCCTCTGTTCTGATCCTCTGGTTTCCTCACTGTGCTCGTATGAAGGACGAAACTCGCCTGGTTGGTCCTTGCTCTCTTCTGCGACACCAATATCCCAGGGTCCTTCATCCCCGGGCCACGCGTCGGCCAGCACTTCTGACGCCAGCAAGCTTTGGGCTGATGTTAGCCTCACGGCCACAGCAGCTGGACCTCAGCCGTCCCAAGCCAGTGCAGCAACCAATTGGCCCCTCTGAGTGGCCCAGCGGTACGACTGCGCGCTGACAGGGGTGCGCCATAGGGCTCGGGCTAGCAGAGTAGAGCGGGTGGCAGCTCCCTCGACCCATCTTTTGCCAAGACGCGGTCTGCTCCATCCTCTCTCCATCTTCCACTTTCCACCAACACAACATCAACTCCCGTAAAGTGATCACCACTTCAGCAATGCGCCTCTCCAGCATTGCTACCATGCCGTAATCAGCAGCTGTACCTCCAAATTCCCAGTCGGCTACGACTCGAACACGACAGCCTCCAGCCGTCCACCTCGAAGCTCCATCGGCCGACCCTCCTCTTCATCTGCCCATCATCATGGCTCCCCGTGCCCACAGGGCCTCAGACGCCTCGACCATCGGGTCTGTCGCGCCCGATGCCTTTCCTGAGCTCCTCACGACAGCGCCCACTCCAGACGCCACCGAGGCCCTCAGCCCTGCCAGCGCTCCCGCCTTCCTTCCACCGCCTCCGCGAGCCGCCCGCGGCAACAGCCACGTCCACTACGGCCTCAGTGTGGACACCGACAACCTCCCACCACCATCCTCGACCTCTGCCCCAGCCGATGCACAGGCGGGCACGGCGGCTCCGACGTCCTTCCCCTTCTCGCCCGGTGCACTTCGCCGCCGGAACACTCGCGCAAACACATTCCGCGCCATCGAAGAGTTTCAGGAATTCGAGCTCAACCACCATGGCTGGCGACCTGGAGCTGAGCCCGGTGTCGACCCCGAGAAGGCCGATGGCGGCCACCCAGGCTCGACGCCCGACCTGCACGCCGCCTGCCAGATCACCGTCGTCGACTTTTCGCAGGAGAAGCTCGAGATCCACGAGTGCAATAACCAGCAGCTGATAGACTTTGTCAAGAAGCCCCAGCCGGACTGGGTCAAGTGCCGCTGGATCAACGTCAATGGGCTCAGCTGGGACGTCATCCAGGCATTGGGCCAGTACAAGAAGCTCCACCGCCTCGCCATCGAGGATATCATGAACACCCGCAACCGCACAAAGGCCGACTGGTACACCAACCACACCTTCATGATCATGACCTGTCTCAAGCTTGTCCGCACAGGAGACAGCGACAGCAGCAGCAGCGATAGTGACAGCAGCGATGACGATGACCACTTCAGCGTCCGGTCCGACAAGGGATGGGCCAAGGCCGGTCGTAGGGTCAAGACGTTCTTCACCGGTAGCGCGGCGCAACGGTCCTCGGCTACTCGGGCGCTCGAAGCCGCACGCAAGACTAGGAAAAGCTCGAGACCGGGGCCGGTGCCGGGTCACAGCTTTACACACACCGTCTCCGGCGTGTCCGAGGCATTCAATCCTTTCACTCTGACGACGTTACAGCGGTTCCATGCTGGTGGCAACGACGCGCGCACAACATACATGGAGACGCACTCCGCGCTGGTCCAAAAAGGGGTGGCAGTCATGGCGGAGCAGGTATCGCTGTTCCTGACATCGGACAACTGCGTCATTGCATTCTTTGAGAACTCTGCCGATGACGTGGAGGAGCCCATCTTGAGTCGGCTCAACAGCCCAGACACGATCCTGCGCAAGTCGTGCGACGCGTCCATGGTCACGCAGGCCATCATCGACGCCATCATCGACATGGCCATTCCGGTGACGGCATGCTACGCCGACGTGGTGGCGGATCTGGAGCTCGACGTGCTCACACACCCGAACCTCAAGCACACCAAGAACCTGTACATCATCATTTCCGAGATCAACAAGATGTTTAGCTTGATCAACCCGATGCAGGCGCTGATCAATGGCCTGCGCGACCACAAGACCAAGTACAATGACCGCGAGGCGTCGCAGAAGCTGCAGAGCTCTGTCGAAGGGGTCATCATCACGCCGCTGACGTACACGTATTTGGGTGATGTGTACGACCACTGCGTGCTCATCATCGACAACCTGAACCAGATCAAGGAGAGCGCAAACCACATGATTGACCTCATCTTCAACACGATAGCGACGTATCAGAACGAGAGCATGAAGCAGCTGACGACGGCGACAATCCTGTTCCTGCCGCTGACCTTCATCACTGGTTACTTTGGGCAGAACTTTGCAGACTTCCCTACAGCTACGGGGCCCGACAACACCAGCATCAATTACTTGTGAGTACTTGCGCGAGGGCAGCTTGTGGCGTGGAACACCATACTGACTGTCGCATTTGCAGCTGGTACATTGCGGTGCCGACCGTCTTTGCGACCATGTTGATCCTGATGCGAGACACGATCTGGGACTGGTGTGTGCGGCTCAAGGACCGCCGTCGGATCTGGGGCGCGCGTCGGAGGCGCAAGACACGGCTCGAGCGACGGCGCAAGGCGTCACAGGCGGCGCTCAAGTCGCTCTAGAAGAGCGAATGCCTGAGCGCGAGCGACCGGATTCTTGTTGCCATCCTGGTAACGCTTCTGCTGTGTGCACTGTGACGGGTGTGGATTAGATGCACTGGGCCGTGAGAGGTCACGGGTGCAATTGGTTTTGCTCGTGGTGATCGTTTTGCTACATAAAAAGCCGAGGAAAGAGGACATTCGAAACTGAGCATTGCGATGTTGCATTTGCATAGAAGATACCCAATTGAGATAGCTTTCATTGTATGCGGCCATCCATGGATGTCGTGATGTCTCTATGGTGGGTATTTTAGTGTGTATGAAGTGCCGCAATGCCACATCAACGCTGTCAGCTTGACACTAATATTGAGCCTTGGTCGATTCGTGAGCCACGCTGAAGGACCTGGACACACTCATTTCAGGCCAAGGACTGAAATTGCATGCTCCCTGGAGAGGGAGATCTGGCCGAGGACGCCAAGCCGAGCGGTTGGGAGTGTGGGTTCTGTTAGTCAGCGCGCCCGTCGTCGCGATGCAAGCAGTGCAGTGTAGTGTGGCTCGGCACGGCCCGAGCGGCACGACTGATCTCATCGGCTGACGACGACGTCTCATCCCGTGCCTCACCATCCTCACAACAACATCGAAAAGCTCAGCCGTGCGCGAGCACCACTTACTGTCGCTATCGTCTGAAATCCCAGTCCGCATTGGACACGCATTTGCCTTGATACCCCCAGTCGCATTGTTCCACGCAGCGTGTACACGATATCGCTCTCTCTCAGCTACCGGACATCATTCTCACTCCAGCCCACACGGGCTCTCGCCACCTAGCCATGGACGCTCACAACGCCGCAGTCTCGCGCATCGCGACACGCGTCAAGACCTTCTACGCTGCCAAGCAGCCCTTCCGGCTCTACCACGGGACCACAAACTCGACGCGCACCATCTCGCGCAGCGCCGCCAACACCGTCGACACCAGCAGCCTGAACCATGTCCTGCAGGTAGACACCACCTCTAAGACCGCCCTCTGCGAGCCAAACGTCCCCATGGACGTCCTCCTGGCCGCCACCCTTCAGCACAACCTCATCCCGCTCATTGTCATGGAGCTACCGAGCATCACCGTCGGCGGCGGGTTCAGTGGCATGGCAGGCGAGTCGTCCTCGTTCCGGCACGGGCCGTTCGATTCCATCGTGAGCTCCATCGAGATTGTGCTGCCCGATGGGACTATCACCACCGCCTCCCGCACTGAGCAGCCCGATCTCTTCTGGGGCGCGGCGTGCGCCTTCGGGACCCTGGGCATCGTCACCATGCTCGAGGTCCAGCTCCGCGACGCAGCAGCCTACGTCGAGCTGAGCTACCTCCCCGCGCCAGACATGTCGTCCGCGACCAAGATCTTGCAGGAGCAAACTGCGAAGCCAGAGATCGACTACGTCGACGCAATCGCCTTCTCCCCGACCAACATCATCATCTGCTCCGGAAAACTCGTTCCGTCCCTGCCAGCAGGCACACCCAGCTCCAGCGTGAGGCGCTACACCCGCCGGACCGACCCGTGGTACTACCTGGACGTGCAGAAGCGCACCTCAAAGACCACCACCATGACGAAGCCCACCACCGACTACGTCCCCGTGACGGACTACTTCTTCCGATGGGACCGGGGCGGGTTCTGGGTCGCGCGCTACGCGTTCCGGTACTTTTTCACGCCATTCAACCGCGTCACGCGCGCGCTGCTGGACCGCTTCATGCACGCCAAGGTCATGTACCACGCGCTGCACAAGTCCGGGCTCTCGGACCAGCACGTCATCCAGGACGTCGGCGTGCCGTACGCCCACGCCACGGTCTTTCGCGAGTGGCTGGACCGCGAGTTCAACAGCATCTACCCGCTGTGGCTGTGCCCGATCAAGATCCGCCGCGACGATGGCATGGAGGTAGCCGGGCACGGGCTGCACGCGGACTTTGCGGACCCGGAGAAGATGCCCGAGCCGATACTGCTCAACTTTGGCGTCTGGGGCCCCGCGGCGACGGAATATGACAGGTTCGTGAGGCAGAACCGCGACCTCGAGGCCAAGGTGCACTCCCTGGGCGGCAAGAAGACCCTGTACGCGCAGAACTTTTACACCCGCGAGGAGTTCTGGGACGTGTACAACTGGGACAGGTACGACGCCGTGCGGCGCAAGTACCGCGCCGACTGGATGCCCGATGTCTGGGACAAGGTCGGGCATGTCGACGAGGAGGCGCGGCGGAGGGCCATGGATGGGAGTCGCATGCCTGCGTTCCTGAGGGGCAAGAGGCCGTTCCAGGGGTTGTATGGCGTGTACAAGGCGTGGAGAGGAGGGGATTATCTGCTCGCGGGGAAGAAGGGTGAGGCCAAGCAGAACGGGGCCGAGGTGAAGAAGGCCGAGTAGAGGATTCTTTGGTTAGACATGTTCAGCATAACCCCTGGTCACTGGTGGTGGTGATGTGAGCACCATTCTTTTGTAACAGTATCAGAAATAGATCAGGCCCGCAGGTAATCTCGGGAACCAATTGAAGTTCAAGGTGACTTTGAAAACTACGATTATGTTTCCGTTTCTGATAGCAACGAATGTCACGGGGTGTCATGAAAGCCCTGCCTCGCCCCCAAGTTCCCCCACACTCCACCGTTATGCACCCCTGGCACTAGCGCCGATTGACCCCCCTCCGCACCAGAACTCCCGTACAGACAATGCAGGGACCAGATATGACATGAAAACCTCGAGGTCACATACCTTTTCCCTGCTTTCCTTCCAAGTCCATACTGATGCAAAACCATATCCACAGGACTCTTCCAAGAGTTCATTACGCCTTACACGCGAAGGGACGGGATAGTGGGCACGGCATCATGTATACGATCTCAAGAACACAAAAGGAGGGCATCGAGAGTAATGAATCATCATGATTCTTGGTCATTTGTTCGAGCTAGGCACTATATACAAGAAGATTGGGGATTCCTTGGGTCCTGCTTGCGGGGGATGAATCCTCATTGTCGGTCAAGATATCGTCATTGAATCCAAAGTCTTCGTTTAAGAGCGCTTGACGACGTAGGCGCCACGCTCGATGGTGTTGATGACAATGTAGCCGCTCTTGAAGTAAGGGTAGTGGCTCCAGGTGCCGACAAAGTCAATCTCGCCGCCGTTGCCGACGTTGTCGTCCTCCGGGTAGATGTCGAAGTAGGCGACCTGCTTAACACCCTTACCCGTGGGGTCGCTGGGGATGGAGGAGACGTCGATGATGACGAGGCCCTGGCCGTAGTTGCTCTGGTACGAGAGGCCGTTGTGGACAAACTGGTTGTGGTCGATGCCCGTGCGGGGCGAGCGGTACGAGCCGGTCTGCTTGGGCTTCTCGAGGTCGCGGATGTCCCAGATGTAGGTGATGGGGTAGCCCGCGGCGCCCTGGCCGGTGCCGTCATACTCGTCGTACTCGTCGTCGAGCACGAGGTACTGCTGGTTCTGCGGGTCGAGCACCCACCCCTGGTGCGTGTAGGACGCGCCCGTGTACGAGGTGCGCGAGATGACCTTTGTGTTCTTCTTGTCGGTGACGAGGTAGATGGTCAGCGTGTCCTCGTTGTAGCCGTAGCAGATGTCCTGGCCGTCGTAGCGCTTGTCCGGGCCCCGGTACACGAGGCACTGCGCGTCGTGCACGTAGCCGTCCTGCGAGGCGCAGCCGGGAGAGTTGAGGTTCTTCATGTCCTTGAGGTCGATGAAGATGAGGCCCGACTTGCAGGTCGAGGTGCGCGGCTGGGCGCCGACGGCGACGGCGTAGTCGCGCTCCTCGTTGGTCACGACGTTGTGCGAGCGGCCCGAGGGCAGGCCGTTCCAGAAGAGGGCGTCGCTCTGGCTGAAGGTGACGGGCCGCGACGAGTTGACGGTGAGCAGCTTGCTCATGTCGAAGAACTGGACGCCGTGGTTGGCGGCCTCGGAGCCAATGACGACGTAGCTCTTGTAGCCCTTGATCTCGCGCCAGATGGAAGTTGCGGCGCCAGGGGTCTGCGGCAGGCGGCCCAGGTAGATGAGCTTGCCCTCCTTGCTGATCTCGCTGAAGGAGGCGCCGTCGGCCTGCGAGATGGCAATGAACTCGCGGCCGTCCGGGCTCGTCCAGCCCCAGGAGCCGGCGCCCTGGCCGGTGCGGCTGCCCAGGTCCGCGTGCGAGCGGAAGTCGTACAGGTCGAGCCCAGAGCACTTGAACTGGTACAGCGGGTCATTGGCCTTGAGCTTCGCAACACCGTTGACGCAGCGGACCACCGTGTCGGCCGCCTCCATGCTCTCGTACTGCTCGGGAGCGAAGAGACCCTCGGCCGCGCGGTCGGCCCAGAATGACTGTTCAAGGCGTGTTGGTTAGCGATTTCTGACGACGTGGACGGGTCTGATGGGAGGGCGCCGCGCTTACCTCCTTGTGCATCATGATCTTCTGGTGCATAAGGCCGCTCTGGTAGAGCTCGGCAGACCGCTGGGCATCGGGGGCGATCTCCTTGGCCATGGCAAAGCCGCAGAGGGCCGCAGCAGCGGCAACAGCCTGGACAGTCTTCATCTTGGCGGGCGATTGGATTACCACGGAGAGGCAGTGGCTGAGGAGGCGAGACTCTGGAGAAGGGGACTCCGTGCAGTGACGCTGGCGTAGCACGAGAACCAAGAGCGAGGTAAGAGGGCAGCACGCGACAGCTTTATACCAGATTCCCTCCAATGCCCGGGGCCGGCCTGCACGGGTCACGAGATGCTAGTGGTGTTCCCGCCGTGAGAGCGTCTGTGACGTGACAATAGCCGGGCGGGTTGGAAGGCCAAGGATTGGTGGTCGATCTCTGCCTGCGTGCGGCACGTTATCGTCGAATCAAGTCTCGCGATGGGCCCGTCCCGGCCAGTCGCCGGCCCAGTGATGTGTAGGGAAGGGCCTTGTCACTTGCCTATTCCTGGTCTGCAGCGCAGGCACTTGCAGTGCAACCCCGGCACTTGGGCGGGAAACAAGAATAAGAAACCGGGGCCGCGCGATTCCCAGAGGAGCAGGTGCGGCAGTGGACGGCGATCCCATACCGGAAGCTCAGGGGTTGTCGTGATGGCGCCCCAGACGACGCACAAATGCACAGGCTGACAAGGGCTAGTAGACCAAGATTATTGACCTGATTAACTACCACAGCGGCAACCACATGCATGGTGACGGCAGACGATGCTCCTCTGTGCGGTATGGGGCCCTGGTACCCATCCGTGTCCGTTTTGTGATGCCTTTGTCTTCATAGCTTGCGAGCATCCGTACACGAGGCGGGGAGTGGGTTTGCCAAGGCAATGCCCATTCCAGGGCCCAGCCGCTTTTCGGCAGTTGATCGGCCTGGCTCGTTGTATCGGCACTAATTGTCCATGCCTCACCCCCCAACGCTGTCCCCTTGAATACGAGTCATGCCTCCTCCTGGGCAGTATGTGAATGCCTTCCTCCTTCCGACATGGATGAGCTCCGCTCCGCAATTGTTTCACCACTGGCAAATAACCTTATACGCGCCCGAAGCGGATAATAAGCAGCATATACTAAACAAGAAAGAGGCAACGCGGGAGGGTAGTTTTTGCTTGGTACTACCCTACCCCACAAAACAACACTCTGGCCCGTCCTTCCGTCCACGCTGGCGCCCAGTCCCTTTGATCTCGTTCTCGCCCTCTGAGAAATGCCCGTTGTCTATCTTTCCCCTGTCAGGCCAAGCGTGGGGTCCAGTTGAGTATCGGCAGACGAGCGCCACCTTCTCTTTCTGGTCGGCTCGAGCCGGTCTAAATGTAACGCTCGAGCATGCTTGGCGCTCTATGCAACACTCCGTGTTCTTGTGCGGCCTGGTCATCTCGCCCCTCAGCATGCATTCTGATGCCTGCTTGTGGCAGCCCAGAGCGTACGCCATTTCGCACAATTCTTGCGCGCATCACCGTTATCGACCGACCCGCATGTTCGTCTATTTCGCCACTACCACGATCTTCATCCTCTGTGGTCGTACGATGGCCGGCCTGCCTGCTTATGTCTGTGTGGTTACACGCGCTTGAGGCGCGATCGCCTCATGCGACCTTCTCTTCACTGAGCACCTGCCCCTATGTCTCCCGAAGTGTCCATCAGGGTTCTCATCGTCCTTGTCGACGAGGACGCACTGCCAAGCCGATCGCCCGGCCCATCAAAGAGCTTGGCCTGTCACCGTCACAAAAGGCCAAGCCGGCTCCCAAGATGTCATAGAAGCATTCCAGGCAAGCGGCGCTTAGCAGCTGGCTCTGCCACAGTTGGAGGATATGCGGCACAAAGGAGGCCTCGGTGTAACCTATATCGCAGCAGTGCCGATTCATAGCGACTTGCCCTCTACAGCCTCTTCTCCCGGCATTATGTGGAGCCAGTTGGTCTTGTGGGGTCTGGAAAGTACATAAGAGGCTCAAGGATCTTCATTCCGGGGGCCGTATTCTTGCGACTTTCCACAATAGGCAAGCGCTCACGGGTTGCCTGGGCTCCGCATATCGAACTCACCCGTCCTTTGTGGATTACTAAGAAGAGCTTTACACAATCGATCTTGTTTCTAGCGGAGCCAGGGCAAGCCTGATTCTCAATCGTATGGGCAACATCGGGCCAAAATTGATCGCAAAAAGGAAAGTATTTGTTCAAAGTTCTCGTGGTCCGGCCAAGCAATTGCCCAGAAAGGTTCGGTCAGCTTTTGGCGGGCGACTGCTGCACGACTTCTGTTTGAACAGCGGCAGGTCAATCTTAACAAGCACCCGTGCAAGCCGACGCCTCTTTAATTATACGAGGTCGAGATCATGGCCGCGTCCAGAAGTGATCCTGGATCTTGTTTAAAACACTGCCACACGAAACACCCTTCCTCCTGCTCTCAAAGACATCGTAATGGTCACTGTGCTTCCCGAAAATTGGATATATGCCACAGAGTCAACCTTGAATGACTAGTCCGGCCACGCTAGCTCTATTCTCCCTTGGTGCCGTCATTGCTAGTGATTTGACTGGGTATGTTGACGTTAGTGTTGGCCCACCTGGGCAATTCTGGCTGCTGTGAACCGCATTCGCGTTGCAGGAGAACCTTCTGCGAAGAATGCAGCATCCCAATACTTACGGGCCCCAACGGAGCAATTCTTCCACATCCGCAGTACTTTCTAGTGCGCATCCTTTGAGCCGATCCCACTGAAGTCGTGATAGCGGTGACTATCCTTGCTCAGCCGTTCGAGCAAGCACGCTATGCTAATGAAGTAAACGTGGGACATGGCCAGATGAATAATAGCGAAATGGTCGTCCGTGGCGAGAACAGGTGATATTTTTGGATATGGCATACGTTGTTCTCACCAGGTGCCTCAGTTTATCCGAAGATCCATTATCATCGTGCCTTTCTCGGACCAGTGGAAATATCAAGCGTCTTCTCGCAGTTTCTAAGTACACTGCTGACCGGGTCACGATTGCCCTACAAGTCAGCGCCGGGAGCCTGAGGTCGGAACTTCGCAGGCTCAAAAGTCCAGCTTCCACAAATAAAAGAGATGGGGATCATAACAACCTTTTCGCCTGAATGGCCGATCAAGTGCCAAATCAAGTGCCTGAAGTCGACACGCTTGTTCTCCACCCAAACTTAGACCACCTCCAGAAACAGGCGCACCAACATGGAATTGCATAAAGCAGATAAAGAACCGGTATGCCAACGAAGCCCAAGAAGACGGAAATTGGCGCTGTGAATAAAACGCAGCTGTAGAGTATTGCAGCCATGCATAGAGCCGGAAATGCAAATAAGAGCACATGAGCCCACGGAGCGATTCTGTCCCTCCCACAGTGGAAGATATAGAAGTGCTCCAGCTGCATTGCGCCAGCCACACTTAGCCCAATCACAGCAGGATACAAAGTCATCGTCCACCAGAATAGACCTCCGGCCGTAAACCAAAATTCGGTCATACTCCACACTGGCCCGCGAGCGTGAGCGCGCCCGGAACCACCGAAGTCGTTTGCCGTGTTTGTCATGGCTGAAGCGAGAATGACGAGCTCAAGCCAGTATAGAAAGCTAAGCCACATGATAGTGGGGGCCCATGTACATTTGGGGCTGCCGTCCAGTGCAATGAGCTCGCTGGCCCGTGACAGTTTGTTCGAAGCACATAAAGGGACGCGACAAGTGCTATGTAATGGCGTGCCAGATGGCAAGACGGAATGCACGCTCGCTGGTTGCTGTAGCAGTAGGTCTAATTCGATATCTCTATCGTTTTCGTATAAAGCGTGCTCCCTTTCTGGGGCTTCGGGAATAGAACGATGCCGGTGGCTAGGGCTGTCCAAGGACACCAAATAATCGTGGTAACCGGAGCATTTTCTGCCAGAGTCCAGAAACTGTCTGGCTATGTTTAGGACGGGAGCTGCTAGCAACGCTACGGCAATTACCTGGCCAAAAGACCATTTGTTGAGGTCCTCCTGATATTGTGTTTTGTTCTGGCTCCAGATGCGTAGGCTGATCAATTTCGTCAAACCCCAGGACAGGACCAAGACGAGCCAAAAGAGCTGTGTAATTACTATCAGTGGAAAAGCCAGAATTGACAACAATGGGTCGTTGCGCTATTTTGAGAGTCTTTGGTTCTCCTCGTGAGAAACGCACCTCGGCCAGCATCGAGTTGTAGAAGTCGATGTTCCACCTTAGAAATAGATAGAAGCCCACGCTCGGAAGAACCAACAGGTCCGTCCAGAAGTCCTGAATCAGACTGGAGCGTAGAGACTGATTCTTTCCCATTGCGAAACCCTTCTTCAAGATCCCCCCCACGAAGTATCGTATTAAATTGCTGACTGGTCGTCGAGCTTTGTCGGTAACAAACCGCGACGCTCGGGGAAACAGTTTGATGCACCGACTGGTGAAGCCATATGCAAGGAGTAAGACTCCGAAAATCATCCCTTGCATGGCGCTGGTGGTTTCGACACGGCTGTCTGGCGCAGGTAGGCCAAGTATAGCGTAAGAGACGTTATACCCATCGATCTCGTAACCCGCTCCCCAGAGTCTTTGTGCTGTAGATGGCTTAAAGTAACATATGGCGGGAGAGTGCGGTTTTACGGCGGTGTAAGCGCTAGCGTCGCCCCAGTTGAAATACCCTGTTGGTATCATGCCTACAATGAGGATGAGGAGGAGCACAACAATAGACATGAGTCTCAACGTAAAGCTGGGACTTATTTTGCCTCGGAAGTACGGTCGAAGTGTACTTAGGCCTGCTAGATGGGTGGCAGCCGCAAACCATGCAAGATAGACGACCATGAACCAATCGGAAGCTGTCAGCGGCTCTTCATTATCGCTAAGAGCCAGAAAGCCGCTGAGTAGAATGGCAAGGCCCGTGATGACTTGTGTATCGCACATATTTAATATGCACTGTCTCATACCATAGCTCAGTACATACTCATATGAAAGAATATAGCAGCTAGACCTACCTCATTAAAATTGTCGACGAACGTCGCCACTTGCCTTCGATCCTAGCGTGGCGCCGAATAAATGCCAGTAATCTTACGTCCAAAGGATTTGGCTTCCAATATGTGGCCAACTGCTCCCGTTGGGGCTGGTCATCATCATCATCCGATGGCTGTCGGTAGCGGTGGAGAAAAGGGTTATGGTCTGGCTCGTGAGCGAAGAGATAATTAAAAACCAACAGCAGCATTGCAAGGAACGCGGTGCCCACGAAGCCAACGAAGACCTGCGTACCAATGAGCATCAGTTTGAGGATCTAGCAAGGCGCGATGGGTCTGGACAGTCCATACACCAATTCCCGAGATGTCCGCATTGGGCTCACGGCTCAGGCCGGGATAGTCATCGAACAGCGCTTGTATGGAGCAGTCGTACTGATAGTCGAAAGGGCGGTTTTCGCTCATTTCGAAAACAAAAGTTGAGGTAGGAGATCAATGGGAGAAAATCTGAGAGCGGGCCTGATGCTTGTCAGAGCGTAAGCACATATTATAAGAGCCTCCATCAAGTCGGTGACGCACCCTTGTGCTGACATGCGCCTCGCCAAGATGCATTCTGCAGCCTGTGCGGTTACTCACAGCGTGGCTATGTTCCAGGCCAGGCCTGGCAGCCTGACACATTACCACTATTCTTACGATACGACCCCGGCCAGGATCGCCGATGATCACTATTGATAGGCTCAACAGCTTATCAACGATATCTGCGTTGAGGCTTTTTCAAGCAGGTCGATCAGCCGCCTTCTCGACGCCTCCTCCATCCCCCTGGATGTAGGCGCTAATGATGAAAGCATCGATGTTTCCCGCATGTAGCCTGCCAGTGATGTTCACGGCACCGATAAAACAGGCCTGACACCCTAGTGTATGATAGTGATGGGTAAAGCCGGGCAATCGCTCCTGCTACAGGTGTGAGAGCTCCAGCTGGGACGAGTACATCTTGTGGCGGCAAGACGAACAATGTACCGAAGAAGCTCCCTGCCTAAGACTGACCGCAGCGTCTTTCGCAAGCCACCAGCACCAGAAGCGGACTCGCCAGCAAGTCAGAGGCATACTACGGCAACGAGCCTAGGCTACGAGGACTTGGGCATAACCTTTTGCTTATCGTTTCGATGATTTGCGATATTGTGCAGAGCCGCCAGGGTACATGCAATGTTCTTTTCGCTGATTCGGCTCGCTCGTTGGCGTTGATAAGCCTGGATGCCCTGGCAGCGAGTTGGGCAGGGATCATTGGTCACACTGCAGAAGCGACGTCACGAGATCATACTCAGCTACCAGCCTTTCACTCCGAGATGTGCATGAATCTGCCTTGCGACTGGGCGGCGCTTTAAAAACACCACCTCTTGTGATCGCAATTTTGCGATGCTGAAACCCCCTTTGTTCATTGTTTTGATCAGGGCAACCAAGCAACTCCCACAACGCGCTCCAAGGCTTGATCTACCTTGGGAAGAATCGTGGGCATCCGATATCTGTGAAGCCTAAGCTAATTGATTCACAAAAAATCATGACAGGATCGACTTGAGGTAAGGGGGTGAATCTGTGAGGAGTGGGCCGGAAAAATGGCGTACATTGCTCTCTACTAGGATCCAATCATAGATGTTGGCCCCCACCCTCCCTCAACCCGCGAACCCTTGCCATTGGGGGTTCCGGGAACCGTGCTTAGCAACATGAAATGGCTCTCAGCCATACAACGTGAATGTCTGAAGGCGAGTTCGCTGTATTCATAGAGCAAGATGTCTGGCACTGGCCCAGCAGAAGATATATGGGCCATGCTGATGTGACATTCTCGGATCCGTGGTGGTGGTGCAAAGGGACTTGCAGGCCTACTTGACAATGCCAGTAATTTTAGTGGGGTCGGCCGGCCATGCATTTCCAAGAGCACGCACCTTGTCGTACCGCAGGTACCTCGAAGTGTTCCATGGCTGTTGTTCGCCAGGCCGCTGATCTAAGGTAGACATTCTCCTGCAACAAGGCCCATGCACGCCTTACGGAACACGGCCAGCTTGTGCGTTATACTGGATCGCCTTCGCCTAGCATATTGCTTGTGTTGAAATAGGCAGATAGCCAGATCCTGGCTAATCCAAACATTCACCATTTTAACAACTTGCTGCTCCCCTTTCCTCCAAGCATGGCGACTGCTTTGCAGCAAGCCGCGGTGCACCCTTCGCTGCCCGCCAATTATGCCATACTACAGGTCGCTGAGCCCAAGCAGCTAGGCATAGGCCGACACGGCAAGCAGATGCAAGACATTGGCTTCTGGATCTGCGGTCTTGTCCTTTATCGCTGCGACTATTCCGATGGAGGCTTATGGGATCGCTATCTCGCAAAGATGCGTAACGACGTCGACTCATACCATCGCGAAAACGAGATGCAGGAAACTATGGCAAAAGTGCTTCACTAGACTATATATTCCAGGGCCGTAATGCTCTAATTGGAGCAAATGATGGCGTCGTTCGCGAAGCGTACGAATGAGCGTAACGGCCTCTCTTCCGAGCGCGAGAGGCCAGGTGCGGACGACCTGAGAACAGAGGTCTCGCTCAGTTCATGTATGCTCTCCACGTTGGTAAGGCTACCCTCGACAGCATACGCGCGTACGAGGAATACGCGAATTTTGTCATCCATAGACCAGAGGTTGTGATGACTATAGTCCACGCGCCGCATCCGCTCGAGCTCCCACCCTCATAAGGAGACAGCTCTGAGGAGGAGAAGAGCGAAGAAGAGCGAAGAAGAAGAAGAAGAAGAAGAAGAAGAAGAAGAAGAAGATGGTGATAATGAGGATGAGGACGAGATCTGTCTTGATAAGTACGACGTGGGCTGGATGTATGTACTCAAAGAGCTCTGCATGACAATATACGAACATATATTTAACCAGCAATTCCGGAGACATTGGTTCCCCCGTCCGCCGAGAACCAAAGATTCGAGACGCCCATATGGTGCTGTTCCCAGGCAGCAAGGAGTATCGAACTAGGTGGCGGAACAGTCTTGGCAGAAAGCAACAACCTCAAGACAAGCCCATGGAGATCATAAAGTTGCGCAACTTTTGTCCAAGAGAGCTGCGGGCAATCTCTCGAAGCTATACGAGGTCGGAACGGGTAGAGATTGGGCCGCAGTCACGAGAAGTCATGCGAATGGAATGTCTACAGCAAAACCGACTCTGAAAATACCGTTCCAGTATTCGTTCTGCCACATTCGGAAGCATTAGGAATTTCTCCATGTAATTAGTCATAGACGTAGTATCGATAGTGCGACCTCGGCTTGTCACGTGCGGATGATTTTCCTCCAATTACTCGCATAGCCTCATGATTGCATTCAACCGTCACCAACGACGGGCTGCGGCCAAAAGCGAATTTCATTCTGACGCCTATCGTGCCTCTGCCAAGCGTAACATGGAGGTAGGCGAGATGAAGAATCTTTCCCATTCCCACAGGAGCGGTGAATGATCTGCGAATGACAGGGTGCATGGAGCGAATTCAAGTGTTCGGTAAAAGCCCGAGCCGGACTCAACAGAAAGATGGTCAGAAATAGCAAGCGGATGGAACCGTGTGGGTTGCAGTCTTGGGGTCGGTGGTGGTTGAGCTGCGCATGATGAAAAGGGACAGATCTGTCTAGAAATTCCCAAAGCTAGAAAAGGCTCTATTTGTCTTTCAAGCAAACGAGAATGACGCCGCTCGAAAGGCAAAACATCGGCCTGGCCGTGCCATGGTCCTCGTAAGCTTCCTCGTACCAGTTGAGCTTTGGGATGAGAGCAAACTTGAGCACTTCATTGAGATAGAGATCTGCTGGTCACGGGACCATCGGGTGGTACCGCCTGTTGTTGCACATGATGTCGTACCCTTCGAAATTTGTCAATTGCGCTGTTGCCTTAACAAGGCGCAGTCAGAAGTGAAGGCAGTGCCATTTACGCCAAGACAATTCTCACCATTTCCTGACCGGAACTAGCCGCTTCGTATTCCTTCCGTTTATGAACTTGCGGGGAAGAGGAGAGGCGAATCAGCACCGCCATCAGGTGAACATGAGCTTGGGGGCCGACTCCTATATAAATAGGTGAGCCAAGCCACGTGGGGGCAGAGCCAGGAACACACGTGCGTGGAAACTTATTCAGCGCATTCCATGCAAGACTAGGTGCTTGAGGCTGAGCGGCTGACAACAGGGCAGTTCATTCGTCGCTGCCGAGTTAGGGTTGCCACATTCGGCCCTTGCCTCACGTCTGACGATATCTCAGCTACCTCCAGCGTCGGGAATGGATGTTAGGATTTGTCAATGATCACGGCGACAATTTTGGGTTTGGTCACAGGATATTTCGACAAGAGCCTGCGGTAGAGTCGCTGAGCATAGAGCAATCGTGAAACTGTATAAAAGCGCGAGGTTTTCCGCATTGTTGTAACATCTGAAGCAACACAGCCAAATACACTTTCAATCTACACACCTAGTACAAGCATCTTACTCAACTTCAATTTCGTCCTTATACACCATCAAGCATGATGTCCTTCTATTTTAGCGCATTGGCTGCTCTTGCAGTCGTCGCAACCGCGAGCCCACTCCCAAGCACATCGACACCTGCAGTTCCCATTCCTTCCCTTCCGGCATGCCCACCTATTTTCCTCCACAAAGAAGGTGCCCTATCTCTCCCAGTTGTTGCAAGGATCTTCGCAGAAATATCAACCGCGCCCTTCTCCGGCGCAGGGTCCGCCTCCGACATTGAGCAAATCCGCCAGACCATCGCGCGTTATCCCCTTGCTGTTGACAGCCGCGACTTTGATGTCCTCGACACTGTCTTCGCCCCCGATGTGAGCGCAAATTACTCGTCCGTCGGAGTCATGCACGGTGTGGAAGCAGTCAAGGAAGAGATCGCGGCTACGGTGAGCGTCTTCACGCACACGCAGCACCACACGGGAACTTCGGCAATCCAACTGTGCCGTGACCAGGGAGACGAGGTCGCGGCGATCAGCGCGACTTACACCATGTCGAACAACTTCATCAGTCCCGACGGGGCGTTCCCCGCCGTGGTGCCCCTGGACGGGGGGAGCGTTTCGTTCGTGTACGCGATGTATCAGGACATCTGGGTGCGCACGGCGGACGATTGTGACGATTCTGGTGAGGCTCCGGTGCAGTGGAGAATTCGTGATAGGGCTGTGCTGTTTCTGGTAAGTTACTCACTGGCCTTCTCCTGGCGTTTGACATTGTTGCTGTACATACAATAGGCAATAAGCTTCCCAACCCTCGCCAATTTCGTGCTTTTGTGGCAATTCGCTGACCACTACTGGCACAGGGACCTCTTGCGGGCACACTACCTGATGGCCTATTGTAAATCTTGGGAACGCCTGGCAGTCTGAAGATTGGCCCCGACAAGTAGTCTTTGACGAAACTCTCGGCAAACAGGTGACAGACTGAAGGTAATAGCCAACGAGGGAGAGCGAGCCGAGGACACACGATCAGAGGACCAATTATAAGGGGATGACCTTTCACCAGCATTATTCCAAACACTTGGATTACCGTACACTTATATATTTCATAAATCAGTTGTAGCTACATCATTTTCCACAACTAAGGAGCTTAAGCACTCCACTATTGTCAAGGCCTCGTCGAGAGTCGATACCTGCTCAGGCATAGATCACTTTTGCTCCTCTCCACACCTTGCTTACCCCTTGTTCAACAGCGTGTGCTCTGTTTCGCACTTGTGACGGAAGCGCTCTGCAGCATCTCAGCATCGCTGCTGTCGAGGGCCTTGCCGTCCGAAGCAGCGTCGGAGAAGCGCAACATGGTTGCTGCTTGACTTGCTCGACGGCTGCTTGAGGACAAGAGCGAGGGAGAAGGCGAGAAAGGGGAGAATAGAGTCGAGACGATGATGCCTCGAGCCGAGAGGGGCAGAGGAAACAGGTTGTCGACGACAAGCTGGGGAGGGCCACAAGTCGACCGACTTGAACTTGCCATGGTCCACAAAATAAAGTCCCAGCTGCTTGTCCATGCTGGGCGAGAGCAGCCCCACTCTGGTGACTCGCTGGCCACACCACTTACACGTTCCCACCCACAGGACATTGACGGAAGGACGCTCCCACTGCATCAGTCTTGTTGGGTCTGAATCTCAGCTTTACAAGTGCACGCTCTCGAGCACATAAAAAGCCAGCCATGGGCTCAGACAGTCTGGCATCATGCTCTGCTACACTCAACCCAGCCAAATCAGGCCACACACCATGCAGCCCGCAAAAGCGACCAGGCGCAGCTCGCCTCCCCTACCAGCAGCAAATCAGAATGCACAACGCTCGTCAAAGTCACCACCTCCTGTCAGTCGCCCGAAAACACCCCCAGACGCCAACCAGAACGATCCCGTCTTCTTCTTCAAAGCCAACGAACAGAATGGCGCCTTTTGCCAGTGGTACCCTGCCACCTTCACCGTCACCAAGCAAGAAATGTCCGACCTAGTGGGCCACGAGATAGACCCCGACGACCCCTGGACACCCATCTACTTCAACTGCGCCGAGCAGTTCATGATGTACTGCAAAGCCGGCCGCTTCCGTGACAAGACGACTCAGCAACTCATCCTCGCGACAAAGGACCCGAAAGAGCAAAAGCGGATCGCGAGCAAAGCCAAGGGCTTCGACGCACAGAGCTGGGACAAAATCAAGAGCCAGGTCGTTGTGGCTGGCAGCATAGCCAAGTTCGAACAGAACCCCAAGCTGCGAAACCTGCTTCTCGACACTAGAGACCGGCTGCTCGTTGAGGCGGCATCGGAGGATCGGGTATGGGGCATTGGACTCACTGCAAAAGAGGCCATGATACCACAGAACAGGAAAGAATGGGGGGAGAACAGACTGGGAAAAGCGCTGATGGAAGCAAGGAAGCACTTGCGTGACAATCGGGTTTGAAGCTCGTGGTTGTGACTGTACATGAGAATGGGACAAGTCAACAAACTGTCAGAGCGAACGTGATTCTTGCTTTGAGAATGGCTCTCGGCAGGAAATGAAACATAAGAGAAATCGGTGTTGGTATTGGTGTACAGTCATGAAGACGAGTCAGCACATAAAACACATTTTTCATTTCTCGAATATGACCTTGATATTTGCGTGATTGATGAGTTGCAGATGGCGTTGGTCATCTCGACCACCTTGTCCATGCTCTCTCTACGGCGGCGACCATCATGAAGGCGAGCAGAGCTGTCGAATCTGCCACTTAGGTGTGCGTGGAGAATCCGCCGCCCCAGTCAGCCCAGAAGGCGCGCTCGACCATCTGCGACGACAAGATGGCGATATTGTCGGCGTTGTCGGCGATGAGGGCTTTGGGGTCCGAAACTACAATGTCGCCAGGCACAGGGAAGCCCGTCTACCAGACGCTCTTGTCTTCGATGCACTGATTGACGGCTGCCGGGTCCCCGAATTGGCAGTGGGTGTGGAGCTGCGCCATGTACTTGCCGATCTTGACCCATTTTGCGGTCGATGCCATACGTGTTCAAGAGGTCGTCGTGGAAGCCGTCCTCGTTGGTCAGGGTGCAATGGATTTCGGGCATGTCGGGCACCTCCAAGTCGTGGCCGCTTGGGATATTCGTAGGGCAGTCGACGGGCACCAGGCGGTCACCGGTCCGACAACCACTCGAGGTCTCACAATGGGCACAGTCGCCAAAGGGCCCCGTGTAGTCGGAGCAGCAGAAAACAAACTTCTTCTCGGCGCAGCTCCAGAAGCCCGACTTCTGGGCGCCCCGCATCGAGGCGACCAGCTGTGCTGGCACCAGCCGCGCGATGCGGTCTGCGTAGATCTCGAACTTCGCGTCGTAGCCGTCCGTGATTGTCTACTGGTACTTTTGCAGCGCCCCATCCAGCATCTTGGCCTGCGCACCCACCAAAGGCTGCTCGCCATCTAGGCTGGTGTCATGGTGGTCAAAGACAAAAGAACGAGTTTGGTGGAGGGCGAGAGATGCCAGCCGTCACGGATGGATGAAGATGAAGCTGCTCAATGCATGGCTAAGTACTAAGTAGCCAAGAAGGCGAGATGACCTGCTGTAATAGCCATGGCGAGACGATAGACCAAAAGACCAAGGTACGTATAATATGCATGTCATCGCTCCATGAGCATAGACCTCTACGTGTGCTTGTCATTTGGCCGGGGTCAAAGATGTTGGTTCCATGGGTTGAATGCAGTACTATAGTAGTGAGGCCGCGGTAGGGTATTAGGCAACAACAGGTACCAAACATAAAGTACGTTAGCGTATTTAAAGTAGTTCGACTTTGGCCGGTTTCTGCCGGTCTACATAACTCATGCGCCTTGCAACAAGTGCCTGCAAGTCTGCAAGTCTGCGGAGATGTGCAATCTCGCTGTCGCAAAATCTCCTGTCGATTCCAACCTCCAGAGAACCCCGGCCCTGCCTTCCCTTCGGGTGGCCTCACAATCGTGCTACATTCTCCATCTCCGCCATGGCACCGTCCGATGCCGATGCCGATGCCGACACCTTCCACGCCTTCCCGTCTCTGCCGGCCGAGCTGCGGTGCATCATCTGGCGCCTCGCTGCGTTCCCCCGCATCGTCACGCTGCACCAGCGGCCGCCGAGGCTGGGATCCAAGCGAAATCCAAAATACCTCGTCGACCAGTACTTATTCCATTGCGACTCGGTGCCGGCCGTCCTTCATGCCTGTCGCGAATCGCGCAGAGAGGCGCCCTACGTCCGCACCCTCCGCGACCGCAAGAGCCCACGTTACATCTGGCTCAACTACGAGCTCGACACCGTCCGCTTTGTCGACAACGCCATCTTCCTTGACAGACTAAGCGACCAAGAGTGCGCCGCCATGAAGCGCATTATACTGCACTTCAGCGAGATCGACCCTAATTACTTCGCAGTCGGCGTAAACGATCTGGACAGGTTTTGCAACCTCGAGAGCGTGCAAGTACATACCGCATATGGCTTCGCTCCGTGGAGCCATACGGTAGGATTCCTCGAACGTGCATTTCAACATTGGTTTGGGGGCTGCAACGACGGGTGGGTGTGTCCCGAGATCAGCTTGATAGACCTCGAGACTGGCTTCGAGGTAAATCGGGAGAACCAGCACACGCACTGCGACCTGGCACCAGTCGGGGTCCCGCGCGCGCCTAGGGTCCGCAGTAGGGGCGGTAGGGGTGGAAGGGGCAGTAGGGGCGGAGCAGGGGCAGAAGGGCAGCACGGGCAGTAGGGCGCAAGGGACTGAAGCATGTCCCTCTGAAATCTTCAATGGTAGCTAATTTCCCCCGGTCCGGAATTTCGCCGGGCACCGAAATCCGGCTCTGATTTTATTGTCCGATCGGTCAGGGAACTAGGCAGCAATATGCGCCTAGCCAAGAACACGCTTCCCCAAACGACACTCTTCAACAATCACGATCTCTTTGAGAACAGCGAGACATCTCTGCGTACGGCTGTCGACCAGCGCACCGTCGAGTATCACGACTACCTGTATGAAAACCATATACAAGGAAAATGGGAAGAGGCAGGCATGACGGTCGGGGAGACGACAGATTCGGCCTGCAACAAACTCTTTGGCCTCAAAAGGCGCTCCCTACGGTGCGGCAGCATACCACTTCACCGCAGTCGGGCCGGACCAGGTCTACAAGATTGCGTGACAACAGTTCACATCTGCAAGCTTTATGGAATTGCTGTTACAGGCGTGCTAGAGGCTGGCGCATAAGGTAGAATCCATTTCACTTCATGGAGAAATATCACGTATCAATCTATGTCAGTTCAGCGTCATATCGAACTGTATTTTGAATGCAGTGCAATGCTCTCGAGACCAGGGCATGTAACATCGTCACCACCGATCCAAAGATTCACGGCCTTAGGGCCGCCGGAGCCCCGGGCTAAGCCGGCTTATCCGTCTCTACTGGCCATGATTGTTCGCAGCTAACTCCATCTTCATCTTCCAGCCTGCTCTTGCAGCCGCCTGCGTTTTCTTTGTTCCTCAAGTATACGTTCGGCAGCTGTGCTATCCGGCAGACTGACGTCCTTCTCATATAGGTCCGGCCCATGCTGCTGAGCTCCAATGTTGATAAAAAGTTCATGGATGTCGTCCGCAGGCAGCCAGGTCAACGTATCCCAGAAGAGCCGTCTTCTGTCGATTCCATCGCAAAACTCGGGGTGCCAACACCATCGTTGATCTTGGTCAGGTACCACGCCTGGGCTGAAGTACCACACACCCCACAGTCGTCTGTCATGCAGCAGCGACGTCGTGGCACCATCAGCAGACCCTCCGACACCTGAAACGGGAACGATCGCTGGCACGGTAAAGGAGAGCTCTGCCTGTCGCAGTTTAGGCATCAGGCAGCCGCACGCCTTCGCAAATGCTTCGAGAACAGGAGATAGGGTGCCTTCATGGTCGGGCAGCACAGCTGTGCCCCTGCCAGCGATCGAGAACGTGTGCTGCCGAGTCGAGAAGCTCTCCGTTTCTGATTGCCTTGATACGGGCACGCCATCTTGGGATAGATGACTATTGGAATAGCCTGGCGGACTCTCATTCTCGGTGCTGATGGCGCCTCCTGTTCGTGGGTCATTGCCGTTGCGCATGGAAAAGTACGTTCCTCCCGAAGGCCTTCGACCATCAAGGTGGACCCGGATGCTTTCGAGGGACTTCCAGCGGCAGGTCAAGCCATCACCGTAGTCCGGGTCCTTGTCGGTGCACGAGCTTGGTGGCCAGAAGAGCGATGAGTCGAAGGTTCCAGAAAGATTGAGGCTTTTTAGAGCTGGAAGACTTGCAATTGCTTTGCCCAGGGCGTTGCTGAGCATGTCATAATCGCTAGTGCCCGTGTCCGTAGGGTTGAGATTGCCATGAGTAAAGTTGTCCGCCCATGGGATTGGCATCCACATAGAGATGGAAAGGACTTGTAAGTTCGTAAGGTCAGCCAGGTGTCTGGCGACAGCATCGGTGAACATTTGCCGATGGACACGGCGCAGGTCCAGGTATTTGATCTCCCAAATATTCAGCCGCCAGACCGCCCGCACGAGGTTGGGCATGCAGGCAGCCAACGCCAGGGGAACGTGATCACAGACGTTTCTGGTATGAACACGCTTCCTGAAAGCGCCGATTACTGGCACGGCAGGCAGTTCTGAGTCGGGTAGGAGGTCGACGTGAGAGTATCGGTGCCGCCAATTGTACAGATCCAGGATTCGGCCTTCCACCCCTGGCGTCGAATCTCCAGGTTCTCTCACAACTCGATCTATCATTCCCGCCACCCACTGCGGCGTGAAGCGGCGCAAGAACGGATGGTCAGCCGAGGAATAGACGTCGTTGAGTACAAGTGTCAATGAACCCGCCCTCTCATGATGCTCGTCCCAGTGCTGCAGCATGCTGAATAGGCTACGAATCGCGGCAGTGAAGGCCATGTTGTTCGCTGCCCTGTCTTCGTCATTTTCGAACAACCCCCTTTCTTCATCCGTATATTCACGAAGCACGACCGAGAAATATATTGAACGAACGTGATTGCGGCGGCTGTAGACACCGTCGACAATCAACCTAAAGCGATCTAGTTCAGTACTCCTCAAGTGTATTTCTTGAAATGTCAGCTTTTCCATGGTTGCCTGCCACATGCGTGAGACTGTTACCATCGCAAGCCGGGCAAGCTTGTCGTCCTGCAGATATTGTGCAATGCAATCGCGGATCTCTGCTGGTACAAGTTCCATGGCAGTCGATGCGTAGAAGGGTGGATGTAGGGGGTCGTGACGCTGTTTGTGCAAGGTGAGGTCTGAGAGACAGAAGCGCTCTCTTATGTTGTCTACCCCTCTTCTCCCCGCTTGCCACGGACCAACAGCAGTATGTTATAGCCATACCACCCAGGCGTTACTCCTGAAGTACAAGGCTGTGCTGGCTGAGTCAGCAAGTCTGCCCTGAAGCCATGGTGTACGCGTAGATATAGTAAGACGACAGCCAGTATGAGACCCTTCCTCCCTTGTGTTGATCAAGCGCTCTAGAGATTCTCTACACAGGTTGTAAGCCTCAATTCCGATTACCTACGTCACTCTATCTTACAGTTTTCAGCTCTCTATGAGTTGTACCTCGTGTACTATTGGTCGCATCGCTTAAAAGCCACCTCAGCCCGAAGATATGTGATACATCTCCATACAATGACATTGATCTCGGCTGTCGGGGAGGTGGGCCACAGCCGATGGTGGTCCAGACTTGTTTCTCCTCCTTCCACGGTTCTTTCATGCGTATATCCATCCTCTTGTACTTGTTGGGATGGACTCGTTCTGAGCCAGGCTGGCAACTGGAACCATCAACAAGTCGGGAGGACTTCCTGGAAAGACTGTCTAATCAGCAGAATGCATGTACGTTTTGGACGACATTTCTGACGGGCCAGAGTGTTCTGACGGGCCAGAGTGTACTGACGGACCAAAGCGATAACTATCAGTAGATTGGACTGCGACTACTCTGCTCTCCTCGGCCGCCAAGACCAGCTTCACAAGTCCAGCAGTGAAGGCAGACTCTCAGCTTTGATTCTCAGCCATGACATACACGCCTCACATGGCTACTATCAATTTGCCCTCTGGACCCTCCAAGTCTGCTTGATCCAACACACCTGGATCGTCTTTAGCAATTTTGCTTGCTTTGCGGAGACAAGCAATCACCGCTTCGTTAGTGTGGGCCGGGATGTGCCGGTGCTTTGGGCCTCCACCACTTCCAACATCAGCGGGGAAGCCTGAGGTTTTCACTCATCTCTCCAGTCGGGTAACAGGCTCTGTGGCGCCCATAAATAGCTTACCCTGCAGAAACTGATGCTCAAGTTGTATGGCACGCAATCTGCTAGATGGTGAGAGTGAGCATCCAGCTTACGGAAGCGACCAACAAGCGAGGAATGTTGTTATGCGTGGGCGCGGCCGATCATCATTGTGGCTGAGGTGCATCAAAAGCGGCCGCGAAGAATTCCGCGCTTGATGGACGATGGTCCGTTATGTTGACCAAGCAGACATTCTAGCCGCTGTGGGGGTTGTTCGATACAGGAAGAAAGAGAAACGTCTATGCCAGCTTGCTCGTCTCTGCCGTGATTGTGAGACACATTCTGCACGCAATCTCGTGTGAGAGCTGGCATTTATGGTGTCAACTGAGCGCGGCGTGCTTGGTGTCGAACCACTCGCGAACATCCAAGGACACAGGGGTCACGTTTGTCACGGGGCGAACATAGATTCTTACTGAAGGACAAGCAAATCCGCAGCCTTGAGCAGAGTGACGCGAGCAGCAATGCCTCAACCTTGCGGCTTGAACTACGAGTGGGGGCAAGCCGGAATGCTGGCACGCATGTGACGCTCCAGACATTACTCGTGGCGATTCCGATTACCCGGACATATTGGCTGGACTGACCGCCGACCAACACACCCTTTGACCTTCTCTTCATATGCTTTCGTGCCTAGGTCCCGGGTGAGCTCGCCGCTGTGGCACGGGGAGCAAGCGGTGATGGGATGTTGGTGCTGCTCCATATGCATGACCGAACCTTAAACCCAAAGTCCTGCCCTTGAACATGTATTTATTCCGCCCCGATCTTCCCGTGTCATACGCGGTTGCATGTACGTCGCTAGCGTCTGGATGTTTGAGCCCCTTGTTGTCTGTTGTTGGAGCGTGAATTCCAGCCAGCTGCCTTGAAAAGGGTTTCGCACCCTCCTTGCTTGTCTCCGCCAACGAAAAATTGGTAGACGCCTTGATGGCGACCGAGGCGATTTCTTTGTTTCCATGCCACCGCTTTTCATTACACAGACTCCTCTCCATTCCTCCCAGTTGGAATGTGCACGTTATGTGCCATTTGTGCTGTCCGCATGCACACTCCTGATGATTTGCGCGGCAGTACGGCATCATGGCAGAGGCTGCTTCCCTGAGATGCTTGTCTCGTGCATCTGTCAGAAACTCATGATATTGTGGCTCAGTGCTCTGGTACAATCATCACTATATATCGTGGCATTGTGCAGTTGGTGTGTTCTTTTGACACCCATTCCCTCAAGAACAAACAGGAACAAATTGACACACGGTGATTGACTTAGTGAGTGGCTATCCTAACGTAAGATTTAAGATCTTTGATTACACGTTAGAACGAGAATGGGTTGTGAAACGAGTGATAAATGCCATGCCTATGAGAGCTGTAGGTCAAGATGGAAAGGAATGAAGAGAGGGAAATCTGGAGTTTGATTGCAAAAGCGCGACACAGAAGCAACTTGTTAAGTAAGTGTACTCCGTCAGGGTCCAGGCGGGTGCTCTTTGCCCAAACCAATTTTCCAGGTGGTTTGCGATACCCCACCCGAATGAGGCCGAAGGAAAAGAAAGAAATCAAGGGAGTTCATGCTGCCTTACTTCCCCTTGCCTGACTCACGCCTTAGGCTTCTCATCAGTCGTCGTAGGCTTCTCGTCAGTTTTTTCATGTTCGTAGATTTCATATCTGAGGTATTGACCATCAGGCTTCTCGTAGATATGAAGGACCTGGTGCTTTTCGGCTGCTTTTTGGGCGTCGGTCTGGAGGCGCCAGGTACTACGACGCTCTTTATCTTTGATTGTCGTATGTGGTGCGCTCATAGTGAAGAACGCTTGTTAACCCGTGCATCCTCGTTCCACATTGGATCCAGGTGTTTATGCAAACTCACATGCGTTTAGCGTGTTTGAATTCCCGATAGAGCGGGTGCTTTTCGATCAAAGACTCGACGGTTTCGAAATTCTGAAGCACCTCCTGTGGACTTGCGTAACGTGAAATAACTGCGACTTTCTTGAAGTGCTTTGTACTACGGGTGATCCAGTATATGGTCTGGCGAGTCGAAGAAGCCATGGTAACCTCTCTCGCTATCTTGGATATTGCCTTAAGCAGATTGCAGTGATTGTAGTGATGGACTTGGTATTTTTTGGTGAAGGAGCAGATGTAGATGCTCTTCTGCATGAGTGGCAGCAGATGGGGAGTGAGGGACACGGTCTTATATGTCGGCTTCGCCGCTGAATCTTCTTCATTTTGTCACTGTTGGACGCCTTTGTTTTGAAGCAGAGCTTGCAAAGCAGCGTCAGAGGGGAAAAGTCTTTGTCGAGTCCAGATCTGACTTCAAGAGCCACATTCATTGGTTGACACACCAGACTGGTCATATCAGCAGCCGAGGGATGTCATTGTTGGGTGGCAGGTGAAGATCAAAGAGTGCCAATGCTTGGAACTGTTCCAGCACTTAGGCACCCTGCTGCGGGACGTTGTGCTTCGCCGCAGTAAAGAGTGAATAACCCAAAAAGTTCGGTACGGCTGCCTCCACTGGAATTCAGGATCCAAACCAGCCGTGGTCACTAACATGTAAAGTACCTACGACTTTTGACAGAATGGCCAAGCACGGAAATGGTTTGTGCTGGTTGTCGGCAGCCATCCCTGTTGAGCAAACACCCGAGGATTCTCACCGCGTCCGCCAATATGGCGCACATGCCTGGATGTTGGCACGCCGCATTGGCAGGCTTCGTGCTGTACGCCCGCACATGCCCAACATTGTTTGTGGTGGGGACGCGGCGTGCACATCACGTGGCTTGTGGGTGCCAACCAACACCACAGGCACTGGCCAGGCGACTCCGCGTCAACACATATTCTCCAGCAGCACCCTCGACATGTCTTTGAGCGTCAGCCGTTCTTGGGCGGTCGCAAGGCCGTTGGTCTTCTTGAACGCTGCCGCCCGGACGTCTGAATCCAAACTCCAGTCCCTTTCCACATCCCATTTCCACCATTCGACCCCGCCACACATGGCGGCGCCTGGCCCATACACCTGCGGCTTCCCCGTCGAGCCACTCGACAGGTACGAAACTGGAGGTTATCATCCAGTGCGACTCGGAGACACATTCAGTCAAGGCAGATACGGCGTCCTCCACAAACTCGGCTGGGGAGGCTACTCGACGACTTGGCTCGCTCGCGACGGCTTAGAGAACCGCAATGTGGCCCTCAAGGTCTCGTCGGCGGACGCTACCATCAAGAAAGGCCCGGGCGAGAAAGAGATACTCCAGATTCTTTCTGCACTTCCCAAGTCCCACTCTGGGAATGCTCACATTGTGTCGTTGCTCGACTCGTTCATGGTCAACGGGCCCAACGGAGCACATAGTTGCCTCGTGCTCGAGCTGCTCGGCCCATCCGTGTACGAAACAAACCTGAATGCTTTCATGAACTACGCATTTCCAGCTTCCCTGGCCAAGAAGACTGCCGCCCAAGTCCTCAGCGGCATCGATCTCATGTCTCGTCATGGAATAGGACACGGAGGTAAGTAAGCTAGCACAGCACACGTCGCAAGAACCAACGATGCCTTCGCCACTCAATCTTCATCACGAGGATGCACAATTTACAACTTCTGACTCTGGCAAAATGAGCAGATCTCAGCACAAATAATCTCGTGTTCAAGATCCCAGAAATCGACCGTCTACAGGAAAGAGAGCTCCTCCAGCTTTACAGCGACCCAGAAACGACACCCGTCAAGAGAGAAGGCGGCGGGCCAATCGGTGATGAAGTGCCGCCATATCTCGTAGATCCTGCAGAAATATCCCACGGCATGGTGAAGCGAGCTTTGAGCACCGACCCGTGTGTCAAGATCATCGACTTTGGCGAGGCATTCTTAGACGAAGACCGGCCGCTTAAACTCAACACTGCGATTACTGTTCGAGCACCAGAAATCATTTTCGGAGATGAGCTGGACTGCAGGGTCGATTTGTGGGCTATGGGATGCATGGTATTCCGTTCTCGTACTCCTTCAATGGCCTCTTGCTCCTTACCTCTGCGAACTGCCCTTTCTAACTTTCTCCATCTCACTCTCTGTGCCTCTTTTAGCCTCTTTCAAGGCGTCATTCGTGGCTGACATTCTCTCCATCTCCGTGTAGCTCTTCGAGCTAGCAGCAGCCCAACCGCTCTTCGAAGCAACCTCTGAAAAAGGAATCGTCGCACAAATGCTCGGGATGAGCCCCGACAGGCGACTCCCACCGCGGTGGCAGGACAATTGGCACGCCATGCTATCAACCGGAAATAGTAACGTCGGCGATTATCTCGACTGGACTCTCGACAAATGGCTGGAGGAAACATACTCGTTTCACGCCCCCGAAACGACATCTGCTACTACTACGGAAGACTTGTTCTCGAAAAATGATTTCGCGGATATCTGTCGGCTGATGAGGAAGCTGATGAAATTCGAGCCTGGGGAACGGGCGGAGGCAATTGAAATCCTCGAAGATCCTTGGTTTCGCGATTCAAAATTGCAATCGCGTTGTGAAGATTGTTGATGATAGAGCCACCATGAGATTCAGCGATGGTGTGCTACAATGACGTGGCCTTGGACTAAGAAATAGAGTTTGATGCCTCTCCGGCGGCGATCCTGACAAAGAAGACAGGTCCATGTCTACGTGCTTCAGATTTGATCAAAGGATATGGTTTTTTTGAACCCCGGCCACGGCGCATGGACAATGGCTTTCCTCGCCCGCCCCTTGACGGATTCGCCAGCGACTTTGGCCAACAGACGTTTGCCCTGCATCATCTTTAGAAACCACGGGGTGGTTACCTGGAGCATGGCAGCACTCCACAGAACATGAAAGGACGGATTCAATGCAACCCACTAGTCGCTGTTTCGTCTGTGAGCAAGACCGTACACAGAAATCAAATCCAAGCGCAGTGTTGGCACGTAGACAACAACGCAAGCCACATCTGGAATCTGCAAGAACGTGGGATAAGTTGTGCGTTATGTGCCAGTCGTTGGAAGGATCGGCAGGAATGCAAAGCCGCTTGAGCTATTCATCGCGAGTAGGCAAACACGACCCCCTGAAGCTTGCTGAAGCCACACCGGCATTGCAATCCGTCGGGATGAGATCCTGCCTGGTGAAGTTGGTCGCGCGTGATTGCGTCAAAGGACTGGCTCTTGGGACAGATGACATGGTCAGTGGAGCGCTTGATGGTGGGCACATCGGCAAGGCCCGTGCTGCCGCCTTCGCAACCAACATTGGGCTGTGCCCGACCTTGACTTCGTGCTCACCGTCTCTCTATCGACCCAACACCTCTCTCGTTCATCCACTGATACTCCCCCTGCGTCGCCTTTCTTCGGGCAGCTTTCTTCTCAGATCTCATCTCCTGCTCTGCAACAATGTATTCCTCCCACCGCTATACCTTGCCCTACCCAGTCGGCATCAATTTCACGCTTCAAGCTCACACACCGCCACCTTCGCCCGAACAAGCCCGCCTCAATTTAAGCCAGAGCATACCTGCACGAGCACCATTCCTTGGAGGCGCCCCTCAGCTGAGATTTCTGCGGGGGCTTGATACCGATCACCCCCGCAAAGCCCAGATAGTGCTATGTGAGGTTTCGCAGCCGTCTAGTGGACCTCCCATTCAGATGGTTGCCAAGATGTACGACCCCATGTTTCGCCCTGGCCACATTCTACCAATTGGAAGACCCAAGCTGGGACGAATCACCCAACGAGTACACAGAAATCGATTACAGCCGTGAAGCGGCCGCATATCAGCGCATTGAGTCATACAGGACGACATGCCCTTTTCCTGATAGCATACCCAAGTATTTCGGGACCTGGTCAGTTGAATTGACGGACCCCAACGAATCCAGAACCCCACCGAGGCGACGTGCCGTGTGTCTCATTCTGCTTGAGCATATCCCAGGTATCAGTATACTGAACCTGGCCGTGTCTGACGAGAAGGAGTACGATTGCTATAACGAGGACTATAGATTGTACGTCTTTACTCGGATCATAGAACTGGATTCATGGCTTGCACACATCGGCGTCCCTCACAGCGATATCTGGCCACCAAACGTCATGCTTGACCCACCACCGGTCCGGGATGACCCTGCCTCGGCCCAGCTCCGGCCAAGGGTCATCCTGCTCGACTTCGACTCGACTGAGATTGAGGAAGCCTCAAAGGACCGTTGGCCCCGAAATCCAATCAAAAAATGGTGGACCGGTTTCGATACCAGGTTGGCAAAGTGGTGCCCCAGGTGGTGGCGACTTGACCTCCCCGAGCGTCGGAGATGGCTCTTGAAGCAATTCGGGGGAAGTTCCACCTACCAAATGGCAAAGGATATGGGTGATCCGGAACGCTTGACGGCTGCGGATGAAATGTACCTCGATATTTGGTCCCATTCCTAACTTGGCCCAGGCTCAGGCAACACGCTAGTCCGGGTCTGCATGGGTAGCACTTTTAGAAGTGCTGCTTGCTCATGGAGGATCATCCCTCCCACGAATGTTCAAACAATTGCTCACACGGCCGCGATTTTGCACTATGTGATCATACTTTGGAGAGCTTCGCCCGTGACCTAAAGTTTGCCTTTGCCAAATGATGAAAAGTCGCCGTGTCGCCCAGCTCCCTTGCTGAACCCAGCAGCTCCCTGCACGCCCTCGAGCTCGACCACGGGGAAGCCTTTGTCCCATTCGTTGCTGATCGCGTCCCCAAACGACCTCGCGTCGAACGCGGCATGGTACGCCGACGCGCGATCGGCCCTCATGCACGCCTGTGGGAACGCCACCAGCTGCTGGGCAATCTTCTTGGCCTCGGCCAGCGCTTGTCCTTTCGGCACTACGCGGTTTGCCAGGCCCATGGCGAGCGCCTCCTGCGCGCCGACGGGGCGGCCCGTGAGGATCAGGTCGAGCGCCCGGCCGAGCCCGACAATGGCAGGCAGGCGCACCGTGCCCCCGTCGATCAGCGGCACGCCCCAGCGCCGACAGAAGACGCCCAGCACGGCGTCCTCCTCGATCACGCGCATGTCGCCCAGCAGGCTGAGCTCGAGACCCCCGGCTACGGCGTGGCCCGCGACGGCGCAGATGAGCGGCTTCTGGAGGAGCAGTCGCGATGGGCCCATGGGGCCTCTTGTGCGTGGGCCGGTAGGGGGCTTGATGCGGTCAGTCGTGCTGTCCGGGTTGTCCACTTGGGTCGCCCCTCGGGCTGCTGGGCTCAGTTTATTCATGGCGGCAACCTCGTGGAGGTCGGCGCCAGCACAGAAACACCCGTTCGAGCCGGTCAGAATGGCTACTTTCTGCGCCGGGTCATCGTCGAAATTGATGATTGCTGTGTACAGTTTTCTGCTCGTGGCAGGGTCAACGGCATTGCGTCGGTGAGGTCTGTTGATGGTGATAACGGTAACTCCGTCGGGGTTGGAGTCCACCAGGACAGCGTCAGGTTCGGGGTCCATTGCACGCTCTCAGTCCACGGTCAATGGCAGACAATAGAAGAGGAAGAGCTTGGGTAGGTAGTCTATCAGGGCGGGGATTTGTAGAGATTCTAGTTCAATACCTTAAGTAGCTTTGGGGGCCGAGGCAAACTGCGGGGTCCGTCGCCCGCCATTGGCTGCGATATCAAAGAAAAGGCGAGTCAACTTTGCATTCACTACCCGGCAGGTTTGTTTACAGCCAGGTTCATTCGATGGGCATTGTAAAACAATCTTATTAGTGCCAGTGAAAAGAATGCAAGAAATTTCAAGAGCAGAAACATGAACAAGCTGTGCAAGCCCAACCGCGATACAGACCAATGCTCTATTTCCGCGCCGCCCAGTGCAATGAGAAACAAAAGAAAGAGTGTTGCCCCTGCCGACCTACACACCAAGTCGTCGAACCCTGATGGTGACGCTGCGACACTTGGCAGCCTTCTGCAACGCCTCCTTGTAGACAGTCTTGTACTTGGCTACCGCAGCCTCGAGCGACTCCTGCGAGTAGACGTCCTTCCAGCCCGGATAAGTCTTGGGGGATATGCCATATGGCACCGAGACACACTCCTCAGCCGCCTCCTTGATCGCTCTCAAGTCGTCGGCGACGCCTTGCAGCTTTTCAATCGTGTCCACGGCCTCCTGGACCGCATTGAGGTCGCCGACAAGCGTCACTGCGTTGGTCATGAACCTGTCGATCTGGCCTTTCATCGCAGCCTCGGCGGCCGCCTTCCACTTGATGGCGTCGTTGATGTTGGCGTTGATTTCCGGCGCCAGAGAAATGAGCGCCTTCTGAGCGTCGGCCATCCGGCCTTCAGCAGCAGCTATCATGCCCTCGGACCATTTCTTGTACTCATTGACCTTCTCCCCAAACTTCTGGGCGTACGCTACAGTCTCGCCAATCTCCTTGACGGACTTGACCTCGTTGAGCACTCCCAGCGCCGCCCCCGAGATATAGGACTTGACAGCCGACTTTGCGATCGCCGATCCGATCTTGCAGATGGCCTGCACCTTGTCGCTCTGCTTCTGGAGCTGGTCCCGCGACATGCCGGCGGCGCACATGCCGGCGAGCTGCGGTCTCGTGCCTTCGCAGCAGACACTGTTGATGCGGTCGAACTCGCAGAAGGGGATGTCGTAGCGCTGCGTCTCGCACTTGGTCAACATCTTGAGCCGGTCGACCTCGCAGGTCCAGGCCTGGTAGAAGGGCTTCCTCTTCTTGCACCTGGCGATGCCGTCGCGGACGTCTTGCTTGCACTTGGCAATGGTGTCGCGCAGCGCTTGCTTGCAGTATGCCACCTGCGCCCGGACGCCCTTCTTGCACCCGTCCACCACGGTCCTCGGGAGCTTGCTGCACAGCTGGGGCTGCTTGGCCACGGCGATGACCTTGGCCGGCAGGCTGTAGTTGCCCACCCATTGCTTGTACTGGGCGTTGTAGGCTTCCTGGCCGGCCGCTTGGGCCTTGGCGAACCAGTACCCTTGGCTCACGCGCCGATCTCGCGGCCTCCTCCCTTCTGGAGCTAGTCCGATGGTTCGGGGCAGAGGGCCAATTTCGATGTCTTGGTTCTCAATCAGTCCTCGCTCAGCGATGAGGAGGTCGGTGTCCGGGTTAGATGAGCCAACCCCTTGACCCAAGGCCAAAGACGGCAGGAAAAGAATGAGGCCGAATAAAGTCGTTTTGAGCATGATGAATGATGGCCAGCGAAAGGGTTTCTGGTAGGAAGGATTGTGGGATTCGTTCCCTTGCGAGGTTCTTTAGTCACTGGGAACAGGTCGATTTATACAAACATCTGTCCGCCTGAGCACTGGGACACCTATATACCAGTTAAGCTATTGTGAATACACCAGTTTGGCGCCGTGGCAGATTTGGAAGATGCGTCTGTCCGCTGAACCTGGCTAGCGAATCAGCAACGACTGCTGGCCTCATTGAGGGAGCCGTGGCTAACGCTTCCATGTTACTTTCCGCTTTGAGTTTGGCACATTTTCTTGTTTCTCGTGGGCGATGCCCCATTTAGGCCTTGTGGTCCCCAATCAAGTCGATCGCCGACAGGGCTGAGAGCCTTTAGGTTTCGCTTCGCACCACCTGATTGGTACTTGGATCCCAAATTGGGTTGTTCTTTCTATAGCACGCGGCGGGCTGGGCTGAACCTCTTTGAACGCCTTTCCTTGGCAGAAACCCATCTGTCAAGTTCCAGACCGCCGGATCGAGAGGGCTGACACTCGTGCATCGTGAGAGCTGAGGATTGCCAAGAGTCGTAAACTTATTATAAAGATTCTTTGCCTCGAGTTTTAGCGAGTACAGCCTTCTTTAAGCATGCCAAGAGTTGTGTGGTGGCTTTCGTGAGGGCTGTGGTGACAGTAGCCCTTGTGGTGGCTTGTATCTTTGACGCTCATGGTGGTGAGCATCAGCCTCGTGACCTTAACCTCTTCGAACTGGAGGCCTTATGGAATGCAGGCGATGTGTCGAATGGTTCAGCTCTCCCAGTCATGGTGGTGGTGGCTATGATTGTCACTGCCGCCAACGTGGTTGAGGTGGTGCGGTGCGTCAGGGCGCCTGAACTGTTGATCAAGGTCGGACATATCACGCGAAAGTACCCCCAGAATTAAGAGCGGCTCCATGCTGTGCTTATTGAGGGGAAAGAGAAGCTGTGCATACACTGGGTGTGAGAAGTGCTCGTCAGTGGTCGTCACGGCCCTGGTTGAGTATGAGACTGTGGTGTTGATAGTGATCATCGGAGATATTCTTCTAGACGCTATCAAATGTAAAGAGCCTGGAGCAATCTAAACTTTGTTGGTGTCTTAATGAGGCAGGTGTCTCTAAATAGCGAGTATTTGGTTTTTGGACTGTCATGCTGCATGGAAGCCTTCCCTGCGCTAGCGCGTTAAATATTCTTTGGGTAAGGTATTGGCCACACCATCAGTTGGCAGTGAGCCAGCCGTCATGCTTCCTGAACTTTGGCGAGCCCCAGCCCATCTTCAGCGCTGCTACTAGAAGAAGAGCATGGATTACCTAAAGGACATGGCTGCAGCGCGAGTGTGCGATAAAGAATCTTTCAGCGTCACTGTTCACGAGTGCACTCTTGGCCACCATCAGAATGCTTGAATCCAAGAACGAGTTCATGGGCGCGACGTGTTCATACACTTGTAAAACATTCCAGATCTTTTTTTCATAGGCTTGATCCTTAGTTGTCTCGTGAAAATGACCAGGGGGTATCTCGCTGCCTTCGCCACGCATATCAAACCGACCGCTCAAACGCCGAACCGCCTTACCAAAACAGCGGCCTGCGCTTTGTCTCGGAGCACTGCAAATCCACCAAAGGTCTATATCCATTTCCTAGAAAGGCCCTATCAAGCCATGAAGAAGATAATCACTGCCGCAGCACCGCCCACCGCAGCCGTCAGCAACCGCCCGGAACCACTTATGCTGCTCGCAGCGCCGCTCTTCCCACCACCAATGTAAATGATGGGCTCGTGCCATCCACAGTGCGTCGTGAGCGCAAAGGTATTGCAGCTCCAGTACGTCGTCTGCATGTATTCATCGCCATACGCCTCGTCGAACGACGGCACTTGTGGCGGTGGCGTAGTTACAGCCGCTGCCGCTGCTGCTGGACCTGCTGCTGTCGCGGGTGCCACTGCCGCGCCTGGCGGCGGTGTAGCTTGTGCGAGGGCGTTCATGGCCCGTACTGTGTCTGGTGATTGGGCCACTGCTGGTGCTGATGGCGGCACCATTTGCAGCATAGACGATTGCGCCGTTTCTTGTTCCTCGCCTTGTATGCTTGCGTCTGTGAGATGGGCCGTCGCCCTGAGTGTCGCAGAGATGGAGCGCGAAGAGGTGACCAGTGTCTTCGTGACCACTGGGCTCGTGGTATTGGTATGGTCCTCGAACTGTGATGATAGCTCCATGCCGATGTTGCCAAATTGAGGCGCAGCCTCAACATTCATGCCAAGGCAGAGGACGGCGAGAAGAAATGTAACACGATGCATGTTGAGTGTGTAATGAATCGTTGCTGATAATAATGTGTACCGCCTTGCTGTCGTGAACTCGTTTCGTCATTAATGCACTGAGGAATGAAATATATGCAGCAAGAATTGTAACGTTTGTCCCACCAGGGGATTTTGAAGTGAAAGGAAGGAAATGATGGTCGAAAGAATCAGAGACGGGCGGCTGGACAGCTGTGGAAGGAAGTGAGTCCCTTATGGGGACAGCTCAAAGCCAGGTCCCTTGCCATGGGTGAGTATGGTAATGTTGGCACATGCTAGTTGACTCACATTCCGGCCCTACATTTGCAGAGCACTGAGTGGGAGCAGACGCAGTGTGAAAGGCTCCTGTCTGGTGTGGTTTGCTCCACTCTGAAATGGTTGGCTGTGGAGGATCGTGGGCGCTCGAGACCCTGCATTAGGCTGGAAGCCACTTTACGCGAGAACAAACCAGTGTTGTAATGGACAAACGCGCCTTGCAACTCGAGTGGTGCTGGGAGGCCATTTGCTGCGTATAGTTGGAGCCCCTTGCCAGCAGGCATGCGCTTTGCACGAGCTAATGAAGTCACTGAAAGAGCCTGAATTGCCCACAACGTCATCAACGAGGAAGTCTTCTGTGACCACAGAGTCACCCACCAACGCGATGGCAGACGATAGTCACGTGCTATCGCACAATTGATTGTAACGAGAAGCCAGAACTCTATAGTCTATTCTTCCGGAAGGAGAACTGCCGGTCTAGGTACGTCAGCATCTAGTCATCCCCACAGCGTACTGACCAGCCCCAACTCCACGGAAATGGCAAGTAAGAACCCTCCGCATCTCAATGATGCCATAACTCCGGTGAAGTCGCCATCAGTTTTGAAAGCTGAAACTGCCCATGCGAGCTGCAGTGCTGTGGTGTGAGTCTCTCGTCACGCGGTACGCACTATAACGGGATACCGGAATGTCATTAGTACCTCTTCCATATGACCAGAGAACCTGTATTCGCAAAATGGTACTCACTCGAAGATGACCTCATCCCCCATCCTCATACCACTTCCCACCCACATATTATGATTTACTCGGTCCGCATACCGCGCGTCGCCCGTCTCCATGGTGATAAAATGCCGCGACGAGTACGCCCGCGCATCGACAACAGCTGGCTGGTTCGGGTCCGCCACCTCGCGAAGCACGTCACGCGGGCCAGTCCGGTAGCCTTGGGATCTGACCTCGATGTACGCGGGGACCTCGTCGTCCGTCTTGAGCAAGTACATGGTGTCCATGCGGACGCTGAACGTGCGCGGGTCAACCGTCTGCGTGTAGTTGCCACCGGTAACCACGGTGCCCGTGCCAAAGGTGGCGCTCCACCGTCCGCCGTCGAGGGACATCCAGTTGCGCTGGCCGACACCGGGAACCGTGCCCAGCGCGATCAGGGGCTGCAGCTTGATTGCCATCCGAAAGTCGAAGGACAAGCTCGGAGCAGGCAGCTGCAGGTCAGGGTGCGGAATGTCACCTGCAATGGCGTATAACTGGTCACTCTGCATAGCGTTCGATGGGTGTTGATCGACTGTGGGCCCCCGAGTTCGGACGCGGGCGCTGAATGAGGATTCCGGTGAAGGGAACGGATGCAGGCTATCGTCAGACGTGTGAGGATGTCTGACAAGGCAGCATCCAGGTGTGCTAGATTGAGATCACACGGGCAGCTAGCAGTGAACGAGACAGGGCCACTTGTCCGAACAAAGTCTGGTACCAGGTCATGGAGTGCAAAGTGCTCAGGAGCGAGAGATGAGGGGCAGCCCAGACAGGAGGAGGAGGAGCTCAAATACGACCCTGGGACAATCAGAAAGAATGCATGTTAAAGCAGCGACATCCTGGCCGCTCCCCACCGCCCCGGGTCTATCAGCCAAGACCAATTGGACGCGAATCTGGTCGTTGCAGAAGTGATGCTTGCTTTGCGAGAGTAGCGCGTGGAATATCCAATCGGCCTCCGATCTGTACGAAATTATAGTGCGCATGGGTTCCCAGGACTGCAAGGGCAGCAGCTCTGCGTTGAAGGCTGGCATCTTGTCCCTCTTCGTTGTTGAAGTATAGTGTAGCAGCATTTCGAGCTAATCCTACTTGAGCATGATCCTTGGTTAGACCATCTCAACACCAAATGCCAGAGATCGAGTGCAAGGGACGTCACCATGCCGCTTCTGGTATGGGTGCAGTGCTTGCCTCCGCAAGGGCGCAGCTTGTCATCCATTCACCCCGCTCGTAAGCTGAGTGAATCATAGCTCCGCGGGGCCGGTGTCGCTTGCAATCTGAGCTGCTCAATCAGTAACATATATGCTCGGCCACGATCACTATCAGGTCAATTCTTCACTCAATCTGGTCACAGACTGTGACGCGACGATTGGTTTTCAGCCTTCTCTCATTCCACAACAGGTCATCAACATGTCTCTCTCCGCGCGTGGAGCCGCTCTGGCTGGACAGCCCGGTCACGGTCTGCCAACTGAGCATACCTTTGATCGCGACACGAACCCAGATGGCCTGATAGCTCCTGCCTACGCCATCAATGTCAGTAATCACTCTGCTGACCTAACCAATGCGCCTCTATCACGAGAAGGGGGGCGCCAAAGTCGTCATATTCTAACCGCTTTGTCGTTCCAGGAAACTGTTTCGGAGAACATAGCCACATTCGCCAAGAGTGTAAGTGTCGTAGTCGAGATTGCTCACAGTATCACTACCTTCCGGTCCTTGCTTACCTCTCTCCTGTCAGATACCGATCAAACGAGAGCACTTCCACTTCGACTGGCCGGCCAACGGCGGCCCAGGGCTACGAGCTGCTCTCGCCACACACTTCAACGACAATTTCCACCCGCACGTTCCTGTGCTCCCGGAGCATATCATTATAGGTGAAGGGGCGACATCAATTGTTGAAATCCTCGCGTTTGCGCTTATGGGCCCGGGCGATGGCGTCCTCATGAGCCGGCCAGCCTATGCCGGGTACAAGAAGGACTTCGCCAAACGAGCTAATGTGAAGATCTGCTGGGTCGAGACGAGCGCGGAGGAGTCGCTGGATCCTCAAGCATTGATTGCTGCGTACGAAAAGGCATTGGCCAGGTCTCACGAGCAGGGGATTGCAATCAAGGCGGTGCTGATTACAAATCCGAACAATCCTCTAGGTATGTGGCCACCACTGCCTCTAATGCTTCAGACCTGTCTCTCCCTGGCTCCTTACTCTGCTGCTATCGCATGACCAACACTGGACGAGGGCAACATATCCCATCCGTGGCGATAAGGCGCTTTGATGCCTCAAAGTTCTTGAATCACCTCAAAGCTGACCGTTTATATCAATGATACAGGGAGATGCTATCCCCGCGCCACCCAACTCGCCATCATGGCCTTCTGCCACGCCCACAACCTGCACCTCATCAGCGACGAGATTTTCGGAGCGACCGAGTTCAGTTCCCATCTATCTCCATCGCCGTCCTCTCCCGGCTCGACAGCCGACCGCACCCCTTTCACATCCATCCTCTCCATTCCGCAATCCTCGACCCAGCTTTCCCTGTCACGACGCCACGTGATCTACGGCCTCGCAAAGGACTTTGGGGCCCCGGGCCTCCGCATCGGCGCACTCGTCTCGCAGTCCAACCCGGAGCTGCTGTCCTCGGCCCACGAGATGCTGCGCTTCCACGACGTGTCCGGCCCCAGCGTGGCCATCGCAACCGCAATGCTCGAAGACCGCGAGTGGTGCAAGGCGCACCTGGACAAGACGCGCCGCGGGCTGGCGAGGGCCTATGAGCACGCCACGCGCGGGCTGGAGGAGCTCGGCATCGAATACGTCAAGGGCGGGTGTGCCGGATTCTTCGTGTTCCTCGACCTGTCGCCGTTCCTGCCACTCGTCGACGAGGGGAGTGACTTGAAAACACAGACAGAGGAAGAAGGCCCGAGTGCTGCGGAGGTCGCGCTCGTGCGGAAGCTCGTCGACCACGGGCTGTATCTTGCGCCTCGTGGCGAGAGCTACGGGAAGCCTGGCTGGTTCCGGTTCGTGTTTTCGCATGAGCCGCATGTCATTGACGAGGCGCTCAGGAGGTACGTCACGCACGATTTCCAGTCTTTCATCGTCGTAAACCGTAGATGGGAGATACCACTACCCTGCCAACCACAAGACAAAGCACTGACACTGCATCGGGTAATAGACTCAAGAAAGTGATCGCGCCTTAAAGGCATGGCTGGCAGAGCAGTATCATACACCACACAGGCAATTTTTCCAAATTCCAGGCATGCTAAAAACGCAAAGCTATGATGTCCTCGAACGCTCCCTGATTGAGCTGTCCCCTGTGCATTTTAGTTTTTGCAAAACAGTATAGGGGGCCCGATGCTATAACACGGTCCAACCCCACGCCGTCATGAGCTGGTACTGCGTTTTCCGCGTCGGCCGTCCGTGGATGAGCTCCGTCTTGCGTAGAATGTCGAGCATGGCCTCTTGCGTAGCCTTGTCGGTGAATATGTCGCCGACTATGTGCGCGATGTTAGTATCACTGCTTGTATACATGTGGGGTGCAGGGCTAAAAAAAAGAACGTTTCGGGGCACAAGGAACGTAGGCAACAGCGGGACTTACACATCGCAATACCCATCGACGCGGCGTGCATCGCGGGACCTGCCCAGTGGTTGCATGTGCCCACGCCACAGAGCTGGCGGACGTAGTGCATGATTTGTCGCTGGAGAGGTGTGGGGAAACAATCAGTTTCAGAGCTCGCTTGCTTTCACTCATGCAGAAAATTGTACTCACATCTGACGCCTCCATCATGGTCCTCCGCCTCGGCCCTACACGAGGGATCTTTGGGTCGAACCTCAGCAGGAATAACCTTGCCAGGGTGTGATTTTGGATGCCAATGACTGCACAGTAGGGCGTCAGCAAAGAAACCGTCTTTGAGTAAAGACAGGACTTATCGAGAAAGCAACTCACTGTGGCAGCTCGAATAGAACCACTTCTCCGGAAACCTCCCAACGCCACCATCCTCCGCCCCCGCGCCCTCGGCGACCTCGTCTTTGGCGAAGTACGGCTCGAACGAAGCAGGCCGTGTGTCCTCCCACATCATGCACCGCTCGTACAGCTCTGCCCACGTCCGCTCGACCACCACCACATTGGCCCCCGCCGCCAAGCCGGGACCACCACCGCCGCCAAAGCAGAAGTTGAGCACGTCGGCCAGCAGGACGACGGCGCGCGTGGACCAGGTGAAGTCGTCGGCGGGCTCGAAGCCGCGGTCCGCCTGCTCGAGGTCCGCCTTGACGGGGGACTGCGACATGACGGCGCTGTAGATCTCCTGGCGCACGCCGACCCAGTACGACGCGGCGCCCAGGCTGCCGCGCACTTTGCGCAGGTCGCGCACCTTGAGTGTCCGGTGGATGCCGCGGAGGTAGTCGTCGTTGCTGTCGTCGCCTATGTTTTGTGCCAGATGTCACTGATTAGCCTGGTGCTCTCTCTCCTGATGACTTCGCGCGCGGAGGCGCCAAAAGGATGGAAATTAGAGTGGGAGAACGCCCGATGGAGGGCCACAGGCAATTATTTTCAAGCGAAAAGAGAACGCACCACTCATCTCCTCCAACATCCTCAGGATGATGGACGTCGCAAAGATATTCTCCTCCGAGTCCATGTCCGTGACGCGGTTCATCATGGGCACGAGCTGCCGTATCGACTCCTGGTGGTACCGCGTCGCGAGCAGGGGGTCGTGGTGCGTCGTCTCGCACAGGTGGCGCGCCGCGATGGCAAAGATGGCCTTGAGAAGCGCGGTGCAGGTGAGCGCCCGCTCGGGCACGATGACCTCAAAGCGCTTCATGGGGTCGCCGCCATCAAGCTGTTTGGATGAGTACACAGCATGTCAGTATATTGCTGCTAGTATGAGAGACAGAACAAGGGGTCGCAATTATGGGACGATTGGAGACGGAATCCTTACGCAAGCGGCTACTGTCTGGGTATAATGCCGGAAGAGTTGGGCCTCGATGCCTGTCATGGACGGATATATTGGTGCTTTCAGCGTCGGCGTGGGCGTAATGGCCATGTGGTCCAGTGACGGCGGGAACTGGAACCCCTGTTCTTCGGTCTTGAGCACAAAATTGAATGCCGCGGGGCTGCTGACGAGCATTATATCGCTCTGGGGGACAGCCTGCGCGGGCGATAGGCCCTTTGGCGTGTCGAAGTTGATGAGGTCGTCGAAGATGTCCTCCATGATGTCGAAGTCATTCGAATTCGATTGCTTCAGGTCAATCAGAGCCGGTGGTGACGAGTCTGAGCTGGACTCGTGGAAGTCTGGCAGCGGCGGCGTGTCGTGGTCTGGTAGTTGTTCTTGTTGTGGATCAAGGTTGGGTATTGACCGGACTGGATAGATCATGATTTGCTCGTCTGGGCGGGGGCTGCCATCTTCCAAGAGGATATACTCTGAGGCAATGTCTGTGCTCTCGTCGACGAACGATACTACCAAGGGTTAGGATGGGCTGTATGGGTAGGATACGGCGCAACAAGGGAGACAAGCATACACTTCTTGGGGACCTTGAGCCATTTCTGTGCATCATTATAGTCTCCTGGCACGGAGAAAAGATGTGTCAGCACCATGCTGTGAGTCCAGCGCAGGCAAGGCTCCAACATACCGGGGGTTAATCGAACCCGCAAGGGTAGGTGACAGTCGAGGCCGAGCTGGGCACAACGACGACAACGAGGTTCGAGCTTGTCGCACTTGACATGGCTCTGTCTACATTCCTGACTATACTCGATGACAATGAGGGGACTCGGTTAGCATTGAGGACGGGGCAGCCAAGAGGCGGAACGACCAACACTCGCAAAAAGCAACGAGCAGGGACAAAGGGACTGGCATGCATGCACGTACCAGGGTACTTGACGCTTTCGAGAGGCCATAGTAGACCCCCGAGCAGTGTGAGAGGGCATGATGGGGCCCTTTGGGGGGACAATGCCTGTGAGACCAGCCGAGCCGAACCCCCCCTGGGAGTATTGCCTTGTGGGAGTACGATATGTAGGTGATCCAGGGGTCCGACAGTCGGAGGTCCTCTGCACAAGCGACACGGCTCAGGCCGCAGGCGGAACCGCGGCAGGCGGCGTGCCTGGAAGAAGCGAGAAGAAGAGAAAGAAGTAGAAAGGCACAGATGAACGAGCAAGGTCAGCGCCAAGTGGAGCACAGCCCGGCTGCCTGGTATCTCGACGGGAGCAGTGAAGATGCGCGCAGGCAGTATGTGTGTGTGTGTTGTGTGTGTGTTCTGGGGAGGGCGTTCCGGGAATCTGGGGTTCGGGACGTGGAGAGGGAAAATCTGGGGTTCTGGAAGGAAGACGCAGACTTCTCTCTCTGGCGGCGGTGGACGGTCAGCGACTCAGCCAGCCAGCCCCTGACCCCACGTTTCCCGGGGGGCGGCGAAGGGCTGAGAAGACCAGGTGAGCCTGCGAACTCGGCCGGGCAAGCGTCAGTCACGGTCACGGGGCCCCGGATCAATTTCGGTTTAATAACTGGGGCCATCGTGTGGTCGGAGCAGACTAAAATGCCTCTTTTTGCTTGGCTAGCAGCCCTGGGGGCCCATGAAAAGTGGATGCATCCCCAAAGGTCGAGAACACCATGTCGTGTTAGCTCTGGGGTCCCGAGGGCTGATCCCCCGGTGGAGAGTGCGGGAAGAGAGGGTCCACGACGATTGTGGCCCGGCCATTCTTGGTCCTGAGATCAGCGTTCCACGCAGGGACGCGACATCCGTAAGGCTCGTTCTAGAACTTGTGCAACTGCTCTGGACTAACAACCGTTGATCTGCGTGGGGCTGCTAAATCAAGCCATGGCTGATGTGTCGTCAACCGCCCAAAGCGCGGGCCAGGACTCGAGGATTCTTGCCAACGCCCTTTGCAATAAATGGCGTGTTTGCAGCAACTAGGCGACGGGCCATTTGACCTCGTCTGCTGTTCATTCGGGCTTGTTTCGCGAAAATGGCGCCCTAGAACACTTTCCGTATGGGCTTACAGTTACGATAAATGCACGTACTTTACTGATCGCCGGGAAAGCGTTATTCCCGTTTGGCATCACTAAGACGGTGGCTGCAGCAGCGTGATATTTTCCACCAATCAGGAGGATTGCATTGTCTTTAGTGCCTCCGAGTGCGCGCATGAACATCCAGAACTTTTTATATCCATGCGTCCCCAGCACCCAGCTCTGCTCCTGTGATGCGTCAATCGTACTCAAGCCAGAAACAGACCCCAGCCGCAATGAGGTCCAATGTCGGGCATTGTCAGACCGGATGTCTATGCACAGGTGGTCGGTGTACGCACTCTCACACCGCCACAAACTCATCAGGGACTTTCGTCGTCTGTAGCAGCCAAGATTCACGTTGAAAGACGCCGGCAAGGATTCTGAACGGAAAACGGAAAACTTTGAAAAGTCTCGTGTGAGCATATGTCGCGGAAGAACGAGGCCCCAATCTCCTTCAAGGGCCTGCCGTATGTCAGCCAGGCCCTTTTGGAACCGAGAGGGAACGCCTCGACACCTAAAAGCCCGTTCGCACGTAACTATGCGGAAGACCATCAGCGAACGAAGAGTGCTCGTCTCTAAATCATGGATAGTGTGAGATGCTTGAATTGCAGATGAAAATGCGACGGCCCAGAGAGCGATGCATCGTGCAAAGGCTATGGGTCCACGATCGTTTAGCGCATTGGAAAAGAAAAAGTCATTTTGTACGAGTATATAGACGGCCCATGGCAATTACAACAGAGACATTGGCAAGGACTGCATAGTCTGGATAATCTAGCTGGAGCACAAAGGGGTCAAGTTACCCAGCCCAAGACCGAGCCCACACGAGGTTGGCAAGATGGGTACCTGCACCAAATATAACCATTGACTGCTTCACTGTGCGAATGTGGCCAACGATGTGAGATAACAACCAATAGTATTCTCTACCTCTTGGCAGTTATTGCATGGCAACCTTCCTGAAGGATTATGATATGCAGGATAGGATGACCGAGGCTTGAATATCGGAAACACGGCGCCAAAAAAGAAATCGCAAATCGTCACCCAAGCAAATAATGTCCGTATGCAACAGCCCCATCGACTAGAGCCTAAAATGGAAGGTAAACTAAGCTCGCAAAAGCCCCCTCGAGACGAACGCTCCTCCAACTACTCATTTCACCGTCCACTAACTCCCTTGGAACGCAGTCCACCGCCCAGCCTCGACATCCTCCCTGATCAACTCCTTGCTCCGCGCCGGCCCAACCTCGCCAAACCTCCCCGTCTCCTCCAGAAACTTTTCCTCCTCGGTCGTGCTCCCCCTCGCGAGCGCCGCGTTGCGCCACGGGTACCGCCCGAACCGCCTCATGATCGGGTAGTGCACGTCAATCACCGCGCAGCGCAGGAGCGCAAACTCCTCGACGGTGGCGAAGCGCGGCAGGCCGCGGCGAAACCACGCGCTGAAGGCGTGCGTCTCGTCGGCAACGTCGTCGTATGGGGGCCGGAAGAATGGCGGGCTCTCTGTGCCCGTGCAGTGCTGGATGGCGGCTCGGCGCTGGGCTAGTATGGCCTGGAGCGCATCGTGCCGAGTCATGTCCTCGGAGTGGTCAGCCGCGGTGAGGACCAGGGCCGTGATGTACAAGTACTCTTGGAACGTGTACCCGGCGTTGGCCCAGTGGCCCCTGCCCTTGTCGTCGCCGCTATCGTCATCGTCACCGTCGTAGTTCAAGAACCAGTCCTGCGAGAGCAGCACGTCGTACACGAGCGCCTGGGCCACGGGGTCGAAGAAGTGCGCGACCCAACGGGCGTCGGTCCCGGGGCCGGAAGAGGCGTACATGCGCGGACACTGGTCGAGGAGCATCACGAGGGCGACGGCGCGCGGGATGTATGCCCGGTCTAAAAGATCGGACGGCAGGACGGGATACCGGGACGATGCTTCCGGGGCGGGAGCCCGCGATTTGGTGGTCGCCGGCAGCATGGGATCGATGAGCAAAGAGAGCAGGGTGTCCGGGTCGGGCCCATAGTTCTGGCTTAGTGCGCGGAGGATGGGCACCGTCAGTTGACGCAGTTTGGAGTCGAGATCCGGAGGGAGGCCCGGTTGTGACCACAGGGTGGCTTGGGCGAGGACCTGGTCTGGGTCATTGGCAGTTGGTGGGAACCGCAGGCCAAAGAGCTCGTCGAGTACCTCGGGTCCGAGGATGACGGACAGCTCAGAGCGACTGTCTTCCATGGCTTTCGCTGGTCCTTGGTGACTATGTTTGAACGAGATGCTCGTATGGCCAGAGTCCCGCAACCTCCAGAGGCGAATGAGGGGTTGTATAGCGCAGTTTGCTCAGTTTCTCCAAACACCGGCCCACATGGCTTAGCAATCACTAAAGCTCATCAGCAGGGGGGCGGAGAAATCTGAGAGAATCATGTAAGCTATCTGAGCTCCAGTTCAAGGGGGCGATAGCATGTCGAGTCCACAAACGACGTCTGGAGATCATCACTTGCACTGTGTATAACGTCGCCGACTCTTGCCTCTCATATGTGTTCCATGTTCGGCAAGAGTGTGGACGGACCATGTGGATGGCAAAGGGCTTAAATGGCCCAGGGTTGTCTGGTATTCCCGCGCTTCCAGTACTCTCGACAAGACGATAATAAACGAGCCAAGGAAAAATATAGACAAAGTGTCCCATGAAGCGCCCTGCGCTGGTGACAGCAAGTGTGATAATATACGCCACACCCCTAAAAAACACAATAATGCTTAGACCCGCGCCCCACCCCAAATGTATACCCCCTTCCCCAAATATCCCGTATCTTCCCGCAGCGGCGGCGGCGGCGGCGGCGGCGGCAAGGGACATTATGAGATCCACTTGTTGTGGTTGACCGCACTCGTCTTCAAGTGCTCGTACACCTCGCCATAGTCCTTGCAGACGTGCTTGGCGTCCCACCCGTCACTGCCCGACAGGGTCGGGTCGCCGGGGAAGGTGGTCTGCTGGCCCTCGAGCGCGACGTCGCCGCAGCACATGAGGCTCTGGCGGAGGTAGTCGAAGCAGTGGCCCACGTGCCAGACCTCCTCCTCCGTCATGGGGGTCTGCTCGGCGGCGGGGAGGCGCATGGTCGAATAGGCCTTTGCTATCGAGTGCTGTGATGTACGGTGGTGTGTGAGTTACGGGAGATCATGGGTAAAATGAGGACAGAGCGGAAATTTCCTCAGATGTTGCAATGTTTCAGAATACAGGAGTTCAGGGACTTACAAGACAGTGCAGCTGGTGCGTGACAGATGTCGTCACCACGTACTCGTCGTCCTCAAAGTCGGTAAGCTTGGTTGGGAGGTTGTCGTAGGTGCTCGGGTCAACAACATTGACATATCCGAGGCCGGCTGTAGCAGGAGCAAAGTATCTATTGTTAGCATACGCTTTGCGATTTGCCTGTTCCGGATTACAACTCATGAAGAGTCGATCGACATTGGGGAATACTCACGAGGAACCAAGCCCAGCCACTTATCCTGGACCGCGTCTGTGAAGAACTCGCTCGCGTTGTCGGGCAGGAAGCCCGGGTCCGGCGTGAACGACACAATCTTCTGAGAAACTGAAATCCCCCCAAAACCACTGGTCAGCACAATGCTCCCTCACACAATCCCATCCACGCCCCCTGTGGCGTGCCACCATAGCACACTAGCCCGCAGGTGGCAAAAGACCAGGGACAAAAAAAGGTGGTGGGATTCGACTTACACTCCGGTGCAAAACCAGTGAGATCCCCCGCGCCCTCCCAGAAATGCGCCCTGCCCCTCTGCGGCCGGAACAACAGCAGAAACATGATCATCACCAGCAGGCCCGTGTCGATAAGCCACCGGTGCTCCTTGAGCGCCGCTAGCAAGCCACCACCGCCGCTGCCCCCTTCCGAATCGTAGCCATAGTACGATCCTCGCCTCCGCCGGGACTGCCGCATGGGTCGCGAGTGCATGTAGTCGCCTTCCTCGATGAGCCGGATGCGGTGGTGCTCGTCGTCGTGCTCGCTGTCGACGTCGGTGATGGAGCCGTCGTAGTCTTCCTCGTCGCCGTCGGCAGCAGCAGTAGCACGTGCATTGCCGTGGTGAGGCTGCCGGTGAGGAGGTTGGCGCGGGTGGTGCTGGCTGTGTGGTGTTGATGGGTGGTTGGGGTTGTGGTTGAGCGAGATGGTCTCAAAGTGCGCGGGGGACTTGAGGTCGTCCATGTCGGTGGGATACATCTTGGCGGCAGTATCGTTTATGTTTGTGCATGTAGAAATGACGGCAGAGCTATACGAATGCGGAACGGCCAGACGCGCTGGTTGATCTGTCACTTTTCGTCGTTATTGCGACGGTCCGGTCCTGCGGTGCTGGCGGAATGTGGTCGCGGCCGCTTCGGGCTAGTCGTGTCTTATTCTCCTCAGGTGGCGGACAAATGCCAAGGCGGCGTGGTGTAAGTCGCTGGGTAAAGCGAAGGTCGACTTGAAAAGACGTGCGGCGATTGCAGAGAGTGCTTGCTTCGAGTACCAGCCGGCGGTAATACCAAAAAGTGATTCGATGTGAGAGCGAGGGCGTGAAAGGAAAATGAACGGACCGGCCGGAGAATCAATGACGGACACCAAGGAGAAAGCGCAACAACGACAAGGCCAACGACGAAGAAATGAGGCCGTAGAGAAAGAGGAGAAGAGAGCAAAGCCAGCCGCGACGACTCGAACGCGAGAGAGAGGGAGAGATAGTGAAGAGACCCCACGAAACAGCACCGCCCTGCCCTTTCGTATGCCTGCGACGTGACGGGGGTCTGTGACAAGTCCCCGCGCGCGGCTCTGGCGGGATGGTGCGAGTCGCCCTGGGTTGGGGGCCTGGATGCCTCCAGCAATCGGTGCGAACGGTGGAGTTCAAGGCCCAGCACCCAATCACAGTGGACGTTTCAGGAGAGAGCCTCGCAGTCTGGGCGTCGGAGCCTGAAACACAAGGCACCCAGCTCGGACAGGGCCAACGCGCTCTTTCACACAATCACCCAGCACAGAGAATCATCACGTGCGAAAACAAGAGGGTCAAGAATGCTCCAAAGGTATCTTGAATTGTCATCATCATGAAGAGAAGTGAAGCTATCTACATTCTCCACCTTAGTACGCAACCTGCGAGTTGAGCCCCTCCAGCTCACGCGCCCAGTTGCGGTGCTGCGAGATCTGGTACCAGAACTTCTCGAGGAATCTCGCGCCCTCCTTGGCAATCGTCACCGTCTCGCTGAGGCTGTCGGGCGACAGCTTGCCCACAGACACGACACCGTACGACTCGACCGCCGTAGCGTCCTGCGAGAGCTGCACGCTAGGCAAGTTGATGGCCACCTTCAGTAGAGTCACGGCCTCGCCCGCTGCGGCAATCGGCTTCAGGTGACCAAAGGCCTCCCGGATCCAGTGCACCGCACGGCCGCTCTGCGACAGCGTCTTGACCGACTCGGCACCGCCAGGGATGAAGAGCGCATCGAACATGGTCGAGCGCATGCCCTCGAGGTGGTGGCCGGGGACAACACCTGAGCCCTTCGACTTGTCCGAGCCAGCCGGGAAGACCTCAGATCTCCGCGGTCCGATGACGAACGGCAGAGCGCTTGAGGCGAGAATGGCGGCCTTGACAACGTCGAAGATTGTCTTGTCAAAGCCGTCGGCAATGATGATGGCAATGCGGCGACTGGCAATGGTCGGCTTGAATGGCGGGTAGTCAAACTGGCTGAGGCCCTTGGCCTTCTTGCCGTGGTTGGGGCGGCTGGTAGTCCCGGGGACGGGACCACCAACCATCTCGCCCACACTCTTGGCAAGGTCCAGGTCAATGTCGGCCAGACGCTGCGACATGCGCTCGTACACAATGGGCTCATCGCAGTGGTCAAGCTCAAAGGCAAACGCATTCTTGGCATGCGACTTCTCAACCTCGGACAGACTGTTGTAGAAGAGCTGCGCCTGGTTGAAGTGCTCCTTGAACTTCTCGCTCTTGTACCTGCGCTTGGTGCCTGTGACGGGCAATGGAGGGTCAATCTGAGCATTCTCATTCGCTTCCGCGGGGGGTCGGGCCTCGAAGCGGTTAGGCCAGTAGTTGACCTTGCCCCTGTTGATGGTGTGGCGACCCTGGCCATCACGGTTGAAGTTCATGACGGGGCAGACGGGCTTGTTGATGGGAAGCTCCTGCCAGTTGATGCCTAGACGGGACAGCTGGGTGTCGAAGTAGCTGAAGCTGCGACCCTGGAGCAGAGGGTCGTCCGAGTGGGCAATGCCGGGGACCATGTGGCTGGTGCAGAAGGCGACCTGCTCGGTCTGGGTGAAGTATTCGTCCACCTCGCGGTTGAGCTCGAGCTCACCAATGTAGCGGACGGGGATGAGATCCTCGGGCCAGACCTTGGTGGCGTCGAGGATGTCAAAGTCAAAGCTGTCCTCCTTGCCCTCTGGGATGCACTGGATGCCAAACTTCCACTTGGGGTACGCGCCATTCTGGATGGCCTCGTGGAGGTCCTTGCGGTGGAAATCGGGGTCCTGGCCGGCAATCTTGAGGGCCTCGTCCCAGACAAAGGAGTGGACGCCCAGCTCGGGGGTCCAGACAAACTTGCAGAAGGTGCGCTCGCCCTTGGCGTTGATGAGGATAAAGGTGTTGACGCCAAAGCCCTGCATCATGCGGTAGGAGCGAGGGATGGCGCGGTCGGACATGGCCCAGGTGAACATGTGGGTGGCCTCGGTGTGGAGGTAGACAAAGTCCCAGAAGTTGTTGTGGGCGGACTGGGCCTGGGGCACCTCGTTGTGCGGCTCGGGCTTGACGGCGTGGACAAAGTCGGGGAACTTGATCGAGTCCTGGATGAAGAAGACGGGGATGTTGTTGCCGACAATGTCCCAGTTGCCCTCCTTGGTGTACATCTTGACGGCGAAGCCGCGCACGTCGCGGACCGTGTCGGCACTGCCGCGGGAGCCCTGAACGGTGGAGAAGCGGACAAAGACAGGCGTCTCGCGGGACGTGTCGTTCAAGACCTTTGCACAGGTGACATCCTCGGCACTCTCGAAGAGGCGGAAGGTGCCAAAGGCGCCGGCGCCACGGGCGTGGACGACACGCTCGGGGATGCGCTCGTGGTCGAAGCGGTGGATCTTCTCGCGTGCTACCGAGTCCTCGAGGAGGAGGGGCCCCGTCTTGTCGTCGGTGTGGACGCCGAGCCAGTTGTCGGTCTGGGGCTGGCGAACGCCCCAGTCAGTGGTGAGGCGGTCATCCTTGGAGACGGTCTGGGTGTTGTGCTCGAGCTGTGCGAGCTTTGCGCCTTTCTCGCCTGCCATAGCTGTCTTGGCCTTGCTGAGAGTGTCGCTGATGAGGGAGCCCATTGGTAAGAATCTGGAGTGATGGGATCGTGGAGTGAGCCTGAGGACGAAGCTTGAGGCTTGGGGAACGGAGGGGGAGCAGGCGGCAGGCGATTTTAAGAGACCAGGACGGACTGGGCGGAGGAGCCACGCAGCTCGAGCAGTCATGATGATCGCATCTCGATGGCCCCGCGGGCAGTTGCGGGCAGGCCGCACCGGTTGACGTCAACATTACCGCCCGTGAGCCACTCATGCGCGCGCAAACCGCTGGGGTGAGGAAGCAGCGATGCGGGGCGCTTGCCAATGCGTGCTCGCTGGCAGGGCTGGTTCGCGGCATGTTCCCTGTCCCATGGGGCAGGCGACATGGCAAAGTGCCATGGCAGTCTTGTTTGACAGCAGAAAAGCGCCGATGTACGTGAGAGTGTTGATGTAATGACGGGAGCATTTCGCCCGGATGGAGCCCCTGTGGCTGCGTCCAGCCAATCATGGTGACCTGCCACCCATGTCTCGCCATGCGGCTCGGTAGTTGTGCCTGGCGTCGGTGGGCGGCTTCAGCCAGTCATGGCCCGGCCCTGGCGGTGGTCCCGCACTTGTGGCCGCGTCGCAATCGTCGATGACCATCCATGGATATCCAACGCTTGCTTGCAAGCTTTCAAGCCTGTGATGCTTGCGAATCGCCAACGTCTGATTCGAGATCGGGCCGGGGTCGGCCGCACTTCCGAGCACAGGTTTGGAGCTGCCAGGGCCAATAGTTGTCCCGCAGGCTCCTCCTCCCTCCCTCCACGTGGACATAAACGCCGGATTCGGCTCGAGCTCCGGGCTCCACCGTCTCTCATTATTCGACAAGCCCGATCTCGCAGCAAGAGATACTCCCAGTATCTGCATCGAGGACAATCAACTAATTGTGTCGACGGGAAGCAGTCGACGACCTCAAGTTGCAAGACGCAAACATCTCAGCAGGACACCTGCATAATCATGATTGGCGTCGGACTGCCACTGTTAGTGCCATCGCGGGAGCGGCTTTAGTGCCACACTAGCTCAACGCCATGGTTGCGAGCGCGACCGACAAGTTTTCACGACTAATCATCGATTTAGTATGTGGAGACCATGAAATCGCAGGTGTCTAAAAGACCCGGCCAGAAATCCCGGGTCTGCCTGGGTTCTGAGTCTCTAGATAATAGCCTTCCAAGGGAGAGCGTCACTCCATCGTTATTTGCTTGCTCTTCGAGGCAGGACCCTAGGTCCCAGTCGACGGGCCTGAACGGAGATCAGCAGGTCCTCGCAAGACATGGAGCTTGTCACTTTTCCAGGGTGCGAGCAAGTGACGTGAATTCAAGCGCTCATTGCGGCTATGTCTTGTTATCTAGAAATACTAAATTGCTCACTGAACGTTTCGCTTGAGAGTATCAAATACAGGGAACAACCAAAACTTTGTCCTGGAGTCGAACTTCGCGAGGCAGGTAGGTTCAATACGGTTTAAGTTTTCATCACCGATATGTATGGACGATCCTCCGTGTGATAATAATGGCCGGCATGTAGAGCTGCTGAAGCATCTCCATGGCATCAAGCTTGATCCTTCATTTTTAATAAATAAAAATCAATTACTGTCCCCCTATAGGCTGTGCCCGAGGGCATCTATTTGGAGAAAGGCCTCCCTGAGCATAGCTCTTGGCCTACAACTTCCAGCCTTCCATCTCTTCCCGTCATTCCCCCTGTCAACCTCAAAGCGGCTGAAGAGTCGTGCCAGCAACATCCTGGTGATGGCACAATTGCGTCCTCTCTCTTCTCGGAGACTTCTCTTAGAGACTCCCACCGGCCCTCACCCCTCCCCCGCCCTCGTCGTACCCTGAAAAACACATCCTCAAGCCCCAATCACCATCACCGCCCCCACAGACAAACACGATTTTAGTCCATCTTTTCCCCACCGCCCGAGGACGAGTTCTCAATATCTGCCCCCGCGACACCCGCCTTGCCGGACGCGCCGCGCGCGGCGGTCTCGATGAGCCCGTACTTGATGGCCTCCTGCTCGACCTGCTCGTCCGTGAGGAAGGGCAGCTCCTTGGCGGCCTGGACGTACGACTTGCCCTCGACGTAGCCCTTGGCGAAGATGATGTCGATCTCCTCGAGCGAGCGCCGCGCCGTCTCCGGGTAGTACAGGTAGATGAAGGGCAGGAAGCAGGCGTTGACGACGGCGAAGAAGAGGTACGTGCCCCACCCGATGCGGGAGATCATGATGGGGGTGATCATGACTGCGTTTTTGAGAGATTGAGCCTGGTCAGTGTTGCGGCACATATGGAGCTGAGAAGAAAAACTGAGGGGGAGAGAATGGAGCATAGGCAAGACAGCATCATGAGAGGAGTCTTCTTACCAATAACAAAGTTGAACAGCCAGTTCGTGCACGTCGACACGGCATTCGCCTTGCCGCGGATCTTGATCGGGTTGATCTCGGCAGGGTACAGCCAGGGAAGGGGCAGCCAGGTCGCACCAAACGAGGCAATGTACGTGAACAGGCCCACGGCGGCGCCCTTGGCGGTGTTGGAGTCGCCCGGGATCAGGCACGCGAAAGTAATGACCATGGACAGGCCCTGGCCCACGGTGCCCCAGAGGAAGAGCTTCCGCCGGCCCACGCGCTCGATGATGAACCAGGACGTGGTGGCAAAGGCGGCGTACACGATCATGTTGACGCCGCCCATGAGCAGCGCGAGGTTCTTGTTGCCCAGGGAGATGGAGGACTCGAAGAGGATTGGGAAGTAGTAGATGACGGCCTTGTCGATTGGAAATGACGAGTCAGTACTGGCTTTTTGACAGGCAAGATGGTTTCCGGCTCCCCCACGGCACAAGCAACGCATGTATAAACGTCCCTAATAATAAGGATGGAATCGCGGGGATACTCACATTACAGCCACCAATCTGCTGCATAAGCTGGCTCGACGCGCCGAGCATGGTCCTGCGGAAATGCTGCGTCTTGCCATGCGTCATGAGCGCCTTGATGGGCGTCGTCTTCTTGCCCGCGAAACCCGACGCGCGGATCGAGTCCAGGATGACGTCGCGCTCCAGCCGTGTCTGCACGCTGTCCACCTCGTACCCCCTGAGCGCTGAGATGACGCGCTCCGCATCCTCGTGGCGGTCGTGTGTGAGCAGCCACCGGGGCGACTCGGGCAGCCAGATCATGGGGATGCTGACGCACAGCGCGAACACGCACTGGAAGGCAATGGGGAACCGCCAGACCAGCTCGCCGCCGCCGTAGGACGCGCCGTAGTCGATCCAGTAGGCCATCAGAGAGCCAAACGCAATGATGCCGCCCTCGATGCAGATGAGCAGGCCGCGGTTCGAGGTCTTGCTGCATTCGGCTGTGTGGGAAAGACATCAGCTGTCTAGTCTCTTCACATAGCACATGGCGACAAATGATGTTAGGAGGAACATACCCTGATATGTCGGAATGGTCGAGGTATTGATACCGTTCCCGACACCCGTGATGACTCTGCCAATCGTGAATTGTGCGAGGGCTGCATGGTCCTTGTACGCCGTGACCTGGATCACCGCGCCAATGATCATGATAACACCACCGAGGATCATTGCTCGGCGACGGCCTAGCAGGTCACCAGTGGCAAGAATGAACAAAGCACCCGCGAGGCAGCCGATTTCGTAGATTGCAGTGACGAACCCCTGCATGGTCGGGTTGTCGCGGGTCGAGACCATGGTGTCGTGGAAGGCATCTGCGTCGATGATACCGCTCATGACACCCTGATCATAGCCGAAAAGGAGGAACCCGGTCGTCGCGACCGTCGAGACAGCCAGGGAGAGCGGTTGGCCGGTCAGGCCCATGAACTTGGGTGAGCCTGCCATTGCTGCGGTGATTGTGCCTGTGCTCTGGCAGCTCAGAGAGTCGGCCGTGCAAGTGCGAGAGTGGGGAGAAGAAAGCCGCTCCTAGGCGAGATCGTGAGAGAGAAGAGAGTCTCCAAAGGGGAACGAGCAGTCAGATGAAGCGGTACATGCGTGGTATTTAAACCATGGGCTAGGACCGGTGTAATTCAATGACGTTACGGCAGATCCAGGGACGTCGGGGGTCATGCTCGCTTACTGATTTGGGGTGACTTTTCTCGGCTATGGGCAGCAGCACGTGTGGCTCGGCATCTGAGGACGGGCAAACGGTTGTGCTCACATGCCAGGTGCAGGAAGCCTGGGGGGCCATCCGACAATAATTCCGCGGGCGGAGGACCGCCGAACCCATAAGGCTAGGACAGAGCCACCTTGGGCGGCGAAAAAACGCAAGTGTCACGCGAGCCAAGGCGGGGAAAAGGAGGAGAAGGACGAGGGGACGCAGGAAGCCAACAAGGTGATGGACCTATCATCTGCATGTTCCGAGGAGCAGGTGGAGAATTTGTCGACGGTGAGAACCGTGAAGCAAAAAGACAGAGCCTTTCGTGCCCGGGGGATGACGGCGGAGGCAGGCGGGGTGGAGCCGCAGCCAGGATCTTTCGAGGGGGCATGATGAGCGGGTGGCTGGCTGCAGCGTCGTTGTTTGGCTCGGCAGATGGACAAGGCCTGGGTTAGCCGCGGGAAGGGCTTGGGAGGCTTGCTTGGGCTGGCTTGCCCGACGCCTTGTCCACAGGCCCCCAGTCGGAGACTTGTGCCAGAAGCAGGATACCGACCGCCGTCTTTGGGGGGTGCCCCCTGCCCGCAGAGCCAGGATCCAATGCTACCTCTGCTTACTGGCCCCTCATCATGACAAACTCTGAGCTCCCGTGTTGGTCCTCCGCAAAGTTCGTTACAGATGATCAGATCAAGAAGGACTGAAGAAAGAGGTGCTCTGCTCAAGCAATTGGCCCAAACTCCTGCTGGACCCGGCTCTGTTCTGCTCCGCCCAGATGTCCTGGGGGATCACCAGCGGAGATCGCCTGTCCCCCTGGCACTACACTACTTTCAACAACCCTCCCACTCCACAACCCCACACGTCATCGGTCTGGCCGTGTATGGAGAACCAAGAAGAGCGTGCGGGGAGATTCGCGGCCCCGCCGACGTCCCTGTCCCTACGTTGCTGTGTGGCCTTAGCTTGGTGGTGTGACTGCTCCAAGCACAGTCGTTGGCCCCGGTGTTTTCTCCATCTGCCTTTTGTGCGCGAACAGAAATGATGCCCCTTTCTCTACACCAGCCTGAATCCCAGCCGGGCCCAGGTGCGGGTCCTCAAGGTCCATGCTGCCAGCTCTTCTTCCAAGTCGCAAGGGACAACAACGCCCCACTCGACTACTCGCTTAGCACAATCTCTCTGGATGACAGTCCCCTGTTTGTTGCCCTGTCCTATGGCCAAGCTGCTGCCAGTACTACCCTTCGTGGCTACCTAATCTCAGTGCCACCGACAACAGGACGATTGGATGGGTGCGCGAACTAAATGCGTCCCACGAGCCTGATGTGCCGGTTTTGATCGACGCCGACGCCGAGAACGCGTTCCTGAGCGATAGACTGACTGATGGTCCCTGCCAGGCATGTTGGCAGATTCATGGCGATTGAGCCGTTCCCGGATACCCCACACGCAGTTGTCCACAAGATGGTCGACATGCTAGGCCTGGCAGAGAGCGCGGTGGATTCGTCGAGGCACGCTGCCATGCGGACAGGTACGCCCTAGAAAGACGTCTTCTGTGACGAGCATATCGCATCGGGCCACGAGATGCCGAATGAAGGCGATCGCAGACTCGCTGTGGAGATCATAGCCCGGCTTCACTCCGTCGATGGTCTGCCCCAGTGCCTCGCCCACAGTCTCAGGTACATGAAAGAGGTAAGATCATCAGGCTGGACGGAGTTTGATGACGTCCGCTTCTGGCGTCAGCTGCAGTATTTCCTCGGAGGTGCTGTGCGATCCGCGACTCTGGTGGGCAGCTGTAACGAGCACAAACTCGTCTCTGCCGAAAAGTATTGTGCCTTGGATCTCGCCGAAGTTGCCTGTTTGAAGGAGCAGGCAGCACAAGCTCTGGATGGTCAGGCCATATTCGTGATCGACGAAGGGCGCTTTGGTATCTGCAGCGCAGTCGCGAGGGAGGGAGATGTGGTGATGGCAGCTTGCGGGCGGTGCATAGTGCTGCGCCCTGTCGCGCCATTACACCCTGTTGATGGCATCGGCGAGGATGTGGCCTCTGGCTGGCCTAGGAAGGATCCAAGCCCACGCAACGAAGAGTCTATCCCGCGGTCGATTAGCAAAAGTTTGTACCAAGTCGTTGACTGGGCAAGAGTGGACGGGCTTAGTATGAGAGACGTTAACAGAGACGAGGGATACCTCAGGCAGATTGTCAGTATAGCCCCGCAAGAAGTATTTCTGGCATAGGAACAAGAAGGAAGGATTAGAGCTCATATGTTTATCCAAATGCGCCGGGTGTATGCTCGATTGTATAAGAGCGATCTTGTTGGGCATGGTTTTAGGTCGGCGTGTCATGCGGCGAGAAGCGTGGGGTGGGCCCCTTCCATCAAGCATCGAGCTGCAGTCCCAAAAGATGGCTTCGGCTGCGGCTCACTGTATCCCTCGTCATGAGTGCACGCTCCTCAGCGCGCTGCACGTTGCCCATCCATGACTAACCGAGCACCGTGTCGGGATAAACTCAAAGCGCCAGGCCAACCCTTTTAGCAGGAGGGAGGTGCATCAATGGAAATTCGAACTACTATCTATGGTGCTTGTTTGGGTTACAATCAGAATAGACATCGAAAGCGGCACGCGGGAAAAGACATCACAAGCAAATAAGCATGGTAAGAGCCAAGGCACACGCCAAGTGACTAACCGTGGAATACACGGAGCCAAAATTTCCAACATCTGAGCAGTCCGTCCAACCGCCGTGCAGCCCATGACCAGGAAGAACAGCTCCTGCAATCCAACCCACAATGCACTGTGAAAGACAAAGGTGGGCGCTGAGGAAACTTTCCTTGATGACGGGCACTATCTTTGTAAATCCGATACGACGAACTGCTAATCTAGCGGTAAGTCTTTCGCCAGTAAATCCCTTCGTCTGGATCGTTCAAAAAAGTCAAACTCCAGTTTCGTGGCCTTGATTAAGCGTGTGCCACTCTTGAAGCACTTCGAGTAAGGGCTTCACTCATCTGAGACGCGCCAGATGAGTTTCTCTCCACTCACACCCCGGCGAAGCTCTCTGATTGCGTTGTTTGCCCTCTCGAGCATGGTCGCACCCTCGACAACGCGGAACCTGTTCGGTACGACATTCCTTTGGGCCAACATGGTCGGCATGACCTCCCTTTGCAGATAATTCTTGAAAAACTCATTCTAAAAACACAGGCGTTAGCATGCTATGGCCTCGTTTCAGTCCCTCGTCGATAGGTGCAGGCGCCACATGGCAACGTCATATGGCACACTGTGGTAAGCCAAACTCACTTCAGCAAAGAAATGCGTCCTCACGCCACGAGTAACGACCCCATCCGCCCATTTTGCGCTCGCCTCCACGTCCATGGAATATTCCGGTGCCTGGTCCTCCGTGGCACGTTTGAGGATGACCGGCAGCATGACCGCAACTATGCTTCCGCTCTGCGGGATCCTGGAGAGCGGGCTGAGTGATCCCGCCTGCGAGCCGATGCAGTCAATGATGAGCGGGTACACCGGTGCTGCTTCCTTGTTCTTATCTGCTGCCGTGACGTGCTTTAGGAGGTCCTGTACCACGCTCGGACTGCGGTAGTCGAAGCAGGCGGAGGCACCCAGCTCTTGGAGATGGGCGTGGTGCTGAGCCGAGGCAGTGACAATGAGTCGTTTGTACCCGTAGAATTTGAGGATCTGAAGCGCATATTGGCCGACTGAGGACGCGGCACCCCAGATCAAGATGGGTGTGTCTGCGTGCGTAGGGCGGTAATTCTCAGGCTTTGGCCAGGGTGTATCAAGGTTGAGGTCCTTTGACAGTGTGTTGAAGACTGTGACGAAATTCTCGGGCAGGGTAGCGGCTTCCTGGGCGCTGGTGTCGCGTGGGACCTGCAAGAACGCTTGAGCAACTCTGTTTTATGAAGATACCTATAGAATATTTTCTGGCGCGTGCCAAACTTACCTTGCCAAAGCACCACGATGGCACCGTTGCGTACTCCTGAAAAGCACGTGCCTTCTCGCCGAATAATGGAGGGCAAAAGCCAAAGACCCGGTCTCCGACCTCGAAACTGACGTTTCCTTGCGAAGACTTATCCTCAGGGCCAACCTGGACTACCACACCAACCATAGTTGAGCCCAGTATGGCCGGATGCTGGATGAGAAGCCCGCCATCGGCCTGGTGGAGATGAAGGGGCGTGGCGGCCGTCCATTCGACACGTATGAGCAGCTCACCTGCTCCAGGGTCGACCGTGGGGTAGGTTGCCAACTCGAGGGGTGCACGAGCAGCAACAGTAACGACGGCTTTGTGTGTTCTTGTTGAAGTCATTTTGTGGATTTGGAGTGTCGGCGTGGGTGTCGCGAACAGGGAGTATCGAAGTTGTAGCGGGTATGGGCAAGACTGGATGACGGGACAGGCCAAATGGACTCGTGCGAGAGCACTGCCAGCTTATGTACCCCAACGAGCAAGAGCCTTTTGCATTCTCGATGCTATCGGGCTACTGCGATGACTTCGTGATGGCAACGTGGAACTGACGTACCTCTGGACCCTTGACAAATCCAAAGTGGAGCCACGGCCGCCTCACGCGCTAGCAACATGTTTCCTGATTGGGAAACAAGTTGCGTCGCATTAGTCAGAGAGCCCGACACGCCGCATATCCTCGGTGCTGCTGACATCGCATGATCATTTGGCTCCAACGTCCACGGTTCCCCGTAGCAGTTTTAGGTGTTATCAAAACTTAGTGTTCTTGAAAAATTCAATGCAAAGTCAATATTTTCTGCTGCACCGTGAGGATTTCGACACGATCCTCATATGTGCATGTCTTCCGAAGGCTCAGAATTTTAGAGGATTCGGCGTTTAGAGTCTTGGAGAGTTGGATCAATCTCAATTGTTGGGGGGTCAAGTCGTTGCCGGCGACTTGAGGCCCCTTGATTCGCCATTGCCATTGCGTGTTCCTTCGTTTTGATCTTTCTACTTCACTTTCTATTAGACTATTATAGATAGGCTCTTCATGAAGGACTAAAAGTACTCTGACCACGAAGCACTCCCTGCTTCAAAAGGATTACCTGCAGACTCAATGGATGTGGAAGCCGAAGTCGCTGGCATCGAGCTTCCACTCGAGGAAACGACTAAGGAGAGCCTGGCAATGCGCGAGCTGTTCAATGTTTTGGGCTATAAATACTTCTTTGGTTTTGCCCACAGATGTCTTAAGTGTTCTGTCATTCCCAGGAAAGAAATTGGGAACTGATTAGCCTACCGGTCCGAACCTGATCAGGGTGTGCAACTAGGCCATCACAGGAAATTCTCAGGCTGGTCACTGATGATTCTCGGATTCTGTCTGCAATCGCTCTGACGTAGAAGTGTCTGCCTTCTCTTCTCAGGTTTATCTACATTGATCGACACAGCCGCTGTGCCGTTGTCGTCATAAGCGGGATTGGCATGATCACCCTATTCGTCCACACCTTCTGTTTAGAAAGCAACAGAAGGCACAGATTGTTGCTCACACACTTGTGTCAATAGGCCTCTTGCGTGCTACCTCGCTCTATGCGAGCGAGGCTACTCTCAAAACGCTGCATGTGGCCATATAACCGGTGTCTAGAGCGGGCCACTGACACTTGCATATTGCAGACGATGCAAAAAGAGTCCCGATCGCCTTCTTCTCGCTGATATCCATATGAGAACTTTGTTGCTGTGATGGGCACATTGATCGCCATCAATAGCATCGGTACACAGTCTACGCCGTTATTGCAGGCTGTATGTCTGTATCCTTCTACTTCCTTTACCCGGAGACAATGGCCTGCAGCTTGATGAAATGCAATCTCATGTTTCGCGAGTCGTTCATCATTTTGGCGATGGTCAGATGCGCGAGAACAGGCCTGTAGCGATTGCGCAAAAGTGGGAGAGAAAGATGCTGTTAATGAGGTGGACTGCGCGAATGCGGATTGCAAGGCTCCGACTATATTCATGGTGGCTCGGTTACCGACACTGGCGCGCATGTGGAGGGTAGCGAGTTTCAGATCAAGTCGCGGGTGTGTTTCGTAAACTCTTGGCTAGTGTCAGTATCCACGCAGGTCCCCAGTGAATGACTCGCTGTTTCGCTGCATGAATTTAACCCACGTGCAGCTCATCGACACCGAGGAGATCCCTCGTGCCTGTTCATCGGAATCTCAAGGTGCTGGACCTCGAACATTGGGTTGAACCCCAGGCTATAACCTGTCTTCGTTAAACCTTCACGGCCTCCCCGACGCCATTACCCATGCATGCTGTATGATCAGAGCCGGGAAGGCCCCGGTACAGATATTGTGGGGAATCCTCAAGGATTAGAGCCAAAAATATCGGACCTTCCGGGAGATACATTGGAGATTCGCTAGAAGCTCACTGTGGCTCATGTACTGGTGATCGGTGGGGATACTTAGAATCGTGGCTCGACAGGGGCATTTTTACGTCCCCGCTCAGTGACCTCGACACGCGCAAGGGCAGCGTGGGACTACGAAGTGCCTGCGCCATCTCGGCTCCGAGCACACGGGGTGTCCGGCATTGTCGGCAAATGGCTGGTCCGTCCTGATTTTCTACGAAATCAGCAGTGAAATCTCTCAACCGGTACTTTGAACCAACATCATGAAGTACCTGGGCTGAGGCACCGCGGGCCTTGGGAATTTCTTTTGCCAATGCAGAGGCCAAGTAACCCAGATGTACCACAGAGTTTTCGCCAGTGCTGGAGATCTTATAGTTTAGTCATTATCCAGGTGTTCTTTTGTTGACAACGGCGTGGCAGATTGCGGAACTGTATTCCGCGCCGGTTCCCGCTGCATATGCCTGAAGCATCGGGGAATTCGAGCATGAGGCTGTGTACGCGATAGATCATCCCAACGGAGGTTAGAACTGGCGTCTTGTCCTGTCCTGTATGGTACAGCGCTTTCTACCTTTCGAAATAAAGCTTCGGTGCTGACATGCCGGTGACAGGTGCCACCTGCGAACTTTGGACCAGTGAAGCTGGGGAGTGACTGAGAGCCTCCCTGGGTCTGAGCCTTTGTTCGGACACCCTCTGGCCAACCTGGGTGCACGACCGCATAGGTCCAAGCTGGAGGGCGACATGGGAATGATGCGACGTCGTGACAGAGTAACTGAATGGCATCGGCATCGCTGGTTACTGAGTCGACTGCAGTGCCTTGGAACACATTATCTAAGGTTGCAGTTTCAGGCACCATTGTGGCTGAGATGCGAGACGCCTGCGAGTCATTGAGTTACGAGGCATAAATAGGAAAGATGGCTATATTCTCGCTATGGGGAATGTACCCTCAGGGATCAAGCAAAATGCCTCTTGCTACAAATAGTTTAGCAGGGTTGACCCGGGATGCCCCTGTTCAATACCTGATAGTGTGCGAAAACTTCGGCATGCTCCATCAGTAATTCCAAGAAGCTGGAGCCCTGCCCCGCTGTGTTATTGCAGCCTTACAGCAGCAGGGCCAAGGTGCCAAGTTGACGTTTATGCATAATCGACGCAATTGTCATTACATAAGGTTGCCCCTTCAGGTCGAAGTCGAAAGTTTAATCCCAACATGCATTGTCCGAGCTTCGTAGACACCGCAAGCTTTGACAATATATAAACCAGGTGATGACCTCTCTCAACCTCGTTTTCGCAGGTTATCCCAAGCCCGTGCAGTCTCCTTGTGAACTACCTGCAACGCCATCATGTTTCTTTCTCATCTCGTTATCTGCTTTCTGCTGTCGCTGGCCGACGCATCACCTTTGGTCAGACGGCAAAATGTCGACTGCGCGCCGGATTCGCCGACTGGATTGAAGGCGGAGTGTTGGGAAAGTCTTGGTGTCGACAAGTTCATTCAAGATTGGATGGCCGCAAATGCAACGGCAGCCGACTGCGGTAACCTCGGGTTTGCTCAGTGCTATTTACAGTTCAACGGCTTGACGACCTTGACCTGCGATCTCATTACCTCATCGACATGCCCCCCACCGTCGTCGTCAGTCGAATACTCCAGCAATCAACATTTCTATGTGAGTTCTCTTCTCGGCAGCTCGAATACACGAACATCTGCGCTCATCACTTCTTTCTATAGGTGCTTTGGAACATCTACGCCGTTTACCAGTTCTTCAACCAGTACTCACAAGCCATGAGCAATGGTGTTGGCCTCGCTGGGCAGACGGTTGGCAAGATCGTCTCTGCTGTCGCTCCTCCGGTCGAGGCCAACGAGCCAGAGAGCGCGCTCCTGGGCGTACTGACTTCGACGATTGGTATCGTCAGTACATTCGCCGGCGTGATTCCCGGCGGCGCCGGCACGGCCGTCAACCTCATCGCTGGCGGCATCTCGCAGGCGCTGGAATTCAACAAGGGGGTCTCCGATGCTCTCCTGAAGCAAACGGCGAACGACCGCTTCATCCAGCTCGGCGACATCTCCGCCTCGCTGGCCGAGCTTGTAGCAGACTATCAGCTCAACCTGCTTGATGCAGTGTCAAAGATCCAGCGTGACGACGCTACATTCCGTGCAGCCTGCAGCACAGGCGGCTTCTCGCAACGCATCACAACCTCCCTCACTATCCAGTCGAACGAGCTCTATCGCCAGCTCCAGCTTTTCGTCCTGTCCAGCACGCTCCGCGCGAACGGCATCGTCTCGGCCAAGAGCACCGGCCTCAGTGCGCTGCAGGTCGCGACAGAGACTGACCAGATATCCTGCACGGCGCTCAGCCCCGGCGGGTTCTGCAACCAGTGGTGGATCGACAACGAGGGCAACACGTACTCGTTCCACAACCCTGGCGACACGGCCAACACCCACGTGGCGCTGACCGCGATGATTGTGGACGAAGGGTGGGCGACGCTGGACCAGGTGTTCAAGGTCGAGGCGTGCGCGGGCCAGAAAACCGCGTTCGACCCAGCGACGCTCGGCCTGGGGTGCATCGCGACGCACGGCTTCTGCGAGTGGAACTACCAGCCCGACCTGGCGCAGACGAGGGCTCAGCCGCAGTTCAAGAACTGCGACAATGACCCCAACTGGGGCACACTGTGCAGCAGCTTTGAGGAACGGATTCTGAGTAAGCATACTGACGATCACCCCCCCCCCCCCCCCCTAACAACATCTCCATCGTATCCATACGCTGACATTTGCGCGAAACTTCTAGTTCCGGAGTCGTACCTCGGGCCTATTTTGAAGCCGGATAAGAACGGGTTCAGCCAGTTTTGCAAGAGCCGTAAGTTACAGCCGAATATCATGATGAAGTACTTGGAGCTGACAATTCAATGATAGTGTAACGGATGATCCTCTAGGGGGGTGGAGCTCCGTGCTGGAAATCTGTATCGCATCCTCTCGAAGTCCGCAACAAAAGGATACCACAACTCTTATCTAGCTCTAGACTTGATAACTCTGCAGGTCTGAGATTGCTAGGTTTGGACACTTGTAGATATACAATCGAGACACCTGCGACCTTCTCAGCGGCATTGCTGTGCTGAATATGGCACAAAGTCCTTCGTGTCCCAACATCTTGCCGCCCATAGTTTGTCTTTGCTCCGGGGTCTTGAGAGCCCCAGTGGTACTATTGGTCGTTGCCGTCATCCCCGTGACACTGCTATAGTATGCATCAATGTCGCGGCAGACTTTATAGTACATAAATAAGTGCGGAGGGGTTGATGACTCGAACAATTCGTGCTTTGATACAAGAGATTCAACATTTTGGAGTGGCTCGTTGACGGGGCGTGTGGTGTACGGGAAGTCTACCTGGTGTTCGTAGCCCTGGGGGGCCATGAAGGGAAGTATATGCTTGGTTTCGCAGGGATGTCCTAGGCCTCTTGGTTATAGTATTTCGTCGCGGGAAGACTGAGTCATAAGGAATATCAACTAGGTATTCGATAGTCAAACATCGTTGCGTAGTACGGACACCAAGAGCGATTGCTGCCGATAGGTAGATTAGTAACTTTGTGCTGTAACCCAGGCTCTCTGGAGAAGGGGAAAGGTGCAATGCTAGATGACCACGTGATTCTCGCTATGTGTTAGATGCCCACTGTTGGCTGCGACACCAACAAACCGACTGCCCTGCTCTCATGGTATGAACAGAAATCCGCTTGCAGGGACAAGATCCTTCACTAATGCATCACTGTGAAGGCCGTTCTCTTTGCAAGCCATTGCTAATTCAGCAAATTCAGGGATTCGATGGGATCAAGGTCAATCAAGCTGATATGGTCAGCAGCTGACTCTCAGCTCGCCGGACAGTACGGCTGCCTGTTTTGCCTCTCTGGCGGTGAGCCAGCACCTCTACACACTCGCTCTCACACACACACACCACTTCAAACACGGCACAACCACATTACCCGCTCATGTGCCACCACTTTCACCCAGGGAAAGCCAACACATGTCCAAGTACCTTGGCCGGAACTATGAACCAAGAATATGATAAAAAAAAAGCCCGATGGCCTGTCATTTGCCGCCACGCGCCACGCCGACACGCTGCAGTGTTTCATCTTTGAAACAAAATCCCAATTGAGATTTTAGCTTTTCGCTGCTGACGGGATGTACGTCCCACTGCATGACCCTGTAGAACAGCTGACGCACCCGTATAAGCACGAATAGCAGCCGCCACCACCACCACCACCACCACCACCACCACAGGACAGGAGAGAGAGAGAGAGAGAGATTGCGTGTGTGTGTGTGTGTGTGTGTATGTGCGTGTGCATGTGTGAGATGTGCGGTGGGTGTGTGCATATACCCCAGGGTTCGCTTTTGGGGGGGTGAAGTTGTTGCTCGTATGATCGCAAAGTGTGGCTGGTGCGCCTTTTTGGGGGTTTACCGAGTTGTGGTGGACTGGGCGGCGGGTGAGGCGTGTGACATGAAAACAGACTTTCTGGCAGCAGGAAATCATCAATCAATCCTTAATAGCATGTGAGTACCGAATGCCGATGAAAGCCGGGCAAGCAAAGGCAGACAGTTGGGAAGGCCCGACATCGGCGGGGACAAAGATCGTCGACAAAGGAAGCTTTTGTGGCAGGATGGGGGGAAGGCGCCGCGCGATCAGTCAGACGAACAGCAACGCAACCCGTGGTGAAGCTGCTGTCGTCAGAGGGAAGAGCACAATTGTGGCCATGACCCAATGTGTGTGTGTGTGGCTGGCCAGCGAGATCGCCTTCCGTCGCATCGGACGCGCGCCCGAGATTCTTGGGGGGGCTTTCTCCAAGACCTTGGGGAAGGGGCGCGCCAGGACTTGTACGGCACCGAGGCACATCGAATCCGCGTAACAATGGCCTTTGTGTAGCGTAATGTGTGGCTTGAACCATATCCCCAAACTGGTCTTGCAAAAGATGGGGGAGTGTGCTTAAGAGTATTTCGGACACTGCGTTTACACTCAAGGCGTTGCGTGTCGCTGCCTCGAGGACTAGTCTCGCACCGCGCAATTCCGGCTCCAGCCTTTGGATCGGATTGGGGAAATGTTTTTAGACCAACGTATGGGAGTGCGTATGTAGCTTGTGGTGGTGGTGTGGGGGGAAGGTACATTGCGTTGGTATGAGTCTTACCGTCCTTGCCAAGCATTCTCCTTCAACTGCGTGGAGACACTGACAGACAAAGACAAAGACAGAGAGAGAGAGAGACAGAAAGAGAAAGAGACAGTGTTGTGTGTGTGTGTGTGTGTGTGTGTGTGTGTGTGCCTGCCTGCCAGGTAACTAGCGAGAATTGCCCGGATGGGGAGGGGTGCGGCAGAGATACGAGCCGAGCCCAGACCGGGAGACAGGGGAGGATGGGCAGGGAGGTGGTTTGGGTGTGGTTGTCCGGGCCACGGGACCCGAGTGCTACGTCTCTGTTGATTGACGTCGAGGGGTGGACGGGGTGAAAGAGGGTGTGTGGGTGGAGGGCTGGGTGCTGCTTGGGGTCGCAGCCGAGACGAGGCAGACAGTCTAATTGCCAAAGAGTGGCTGTGGTGGAGGGGATGGCAGATCTGCTGTCAAGGGTTGTGGCACTCGAGGCCAGCAGTGGCACGGCAAGGGAGGTAGATGGGCAAGGGTCCTGGGGACGAACACCTCGACTTGACTTTGTCTCACTTCATGACTCCTCCAAACTGGAAAAGGACTGAGACATTTGGAGTGAACCCGCAACGGTGTCTGTTGCAATGTTGTGTCCCGCGCAGGACGCTGCTGCTCACACCATGGCCTGCGACGCGTCAGTCGACCACTTCAAGTTGACCTCGTTCAGAGTCCGAAAGAAACGCAGGTCACAGATTGGACCTTGAAGGGAATCGCATCTGTCCAGGATCTTCCCGACGCCGGCAACACCCCCCAATCCAATTCAGGACTCTTCCCTCCCTCCCCACAAATCCCGTCATCTGCCCGCCGACAAGGTTTGGGGGGCCCCTGTCCTGCTGAGCTGCCTGAGTCACCATCTGCAAGCTCTTTCGGACACACAAGCACGCTGCGACAAGTACACGTTACCGCGCCCTGTCGCGTCAGTGCTGCTGCAGAAAGACATCGCGACTTGTAGAAACGCTAAGAAGCAGGGTTGTGTCCGCTTCTCGACCGAGCAGCTGAGTGGTCCAGGGAACAGTACCCGTGAGCCCACAGGCAACAGAGTGGAACCATCCGGCCGCAGGACTGGCTTCCAAGGACGCGATGACCTGTATCAGCAGCCGCCGGGCAGAACCGGCGGGCCAGACGAGTCAAGTCGGTTGTTGTCCAAGGGCTATACTTCCGAGCCGTTATTGCACCAGCGCTCTCTGCCCCGAGCGATTGCGATCGCGGCGATGAACTGATAAGAAGCACGGGAGGGACACCCCACAAAGTCCTACGCTAAAGAGCTAGGCAACAAAGGGCACTGGCAGGGTTGTGTGAGTCAAGGCTCGGCCATTTCTGGCAGCTTGCCAGGCAAAGTGACAATGGCAGCAGGGTGGGCTCTGATGGGTAAGGTGAGGTTTCAGCAAGTCTCCATTGTTTCTTCTCGGCCTCGCTTCTTTGCCTGGAGGGCCCAGAACATGCCCAAGTCGCCCAAACAGGGCAGTTGGCTGATGCTTCACAGTTCTGCCTGCGCTCTGGTCTGCTCTGTCTACATGTGGACATCCAAGAGTGTCCACATTTGGCAGGCAACTGCCCCGACTTGACATTGTTGGTAGCGCACATGAACGTGCGCCACGACCGCTATTGGTGAGGGAGCCAGTTACGGATTTTGGTTTCTGGGGGGTTCTGGCCCTGTCGGCCCATTTCGTGTCGAGTGTTGTGTGCGCAGGCCATCAATGGGGCGCGCACCATTTCTCTGCACGACGAGCAACCACTTGCACGCTGCCCAGAACCACAGCCAACAACCAACGAGGCACGCACTGCGCCGCCTTGTTGCGCCCTTTTGCGCTCCCGCCGCGCAGACACGTCACGGCCAGTCGCCAGGAACGGAAACAGATGTTCGCTCTTGCTGCTGCGCGAGGCCGACCAGCATTAAACGTACGCAATGGTCGCCTCGGGTACTTAGCCAATCGAGCCAATCGATGGGGAACGGGGTTTGAATGGTTCGCGACCCCCGAGGAGGAAAAGCAATTCTTTGCACATGAACTGCCACGCATTCCAGGCTGGTGAACTGAAGCTTTGTTTTGAAGAAAGTTTATTGGACTGTGCTGTCCATTGAGCCATTGCCAAATCAAGTCCATCGCCCGTGCCCATTGGCCAATCCTCGACACTAGAAATGCACCAAAAGTCCACCACGAATCCGACGCCGTCGTCATTCCCATCGTGTGACACGTGGAACTCTCCCTCCCTCTCCTCAAGTTCGCTCCTGTTCACATAGCGCACCACAGCACACCATAGCCCACGATCGATGCGCTGCACATCGCTGCTGAGCATAAGGCGTTCTTTGCCCATCCCGAGGTCTTCCTTGACTGACCACAAATGCAGTCATCCTGCGCCTGCCTCCCGTCCACTCCCCTCTCCCCTCCCCCACCGCGTCATCCCGCTGAAACCCCCCCCCCCCCCCGGCGCGCGCACCACCCTGCTTGCATCGTCCTCGCGTCGTCATGAATACTCAATCTCAACCAGCACTTTCTAAGCCTCCCGGTCCGGGTAACCTACCCGTCGCGCCCTTTATTTTTGCCACCTCTTTCTTTGAACAGCGCAGACGTGCATCAGCGCGGCGCGCGCTCTCGCGCCGATTCGCGAATCAGGGGAGAGAGAGCGAGAATGGCATCACTCGCGCGCATTTCTCTCTCTCCCTCTCTCCCTCTCACCTGACGCGTGCAGGTGTTCAGGTTTTCTCTTGACAGTGTGATGATGAGTAGTTGCGTAAACTATGCCGCCAAACAAGTACGCTACAGAGTAGTAGCATTCAGAGTTGCACACCTCGAATTTTACAAGCCCTCTCAAAGCGGAAAACAAAAGCTGACAAACAAAGCACAGCTGTCCCATCCTCGCCTTCCTTTTCCACCTCGTGACCAAGATTTTTAGATTCCAATACGTTCCAAAAAGGGTCCCAGATTTTCCTTACACATGAAACCACCACCACTGCAAAACTACCATTTGCCGCATGTGGAAGAATGGCGTGCAAGTGAGATACGCACAGGTGGTGGTGCTCCTGACGTCTGTTCTTTGCTTCCCTCGCTCTCTCCAGTCCAGTCCAGGCAGGCAATGTGGGGGTGGGTGGTGGTGTGATGTGTGGGGTTTTTCCACATCGAAACTCGTCTGGGTTCCGCGTGCAGGCAGCATCCAGGGTTGTTACCCGTCCGTGGTGGGGGGGCTTGTCACATCGGCCGCCGCCACCACCAGAGGAGTGGGGAGTAGGTACAGCACAGCGCTCCTTTCCTTGTCACAAAGACATTGTTGCCTGGTGGGCATGTCGCGCATCGCAAGGCAAGACACGAAAGACTTCGGGCCATGTTTTGAGGGGGTATCGCTTGGTGTGCATTCTCTATCTGCTAGACAATTCTGCCAAATCCTCAAAAAAAGAAAAAAAATGAGAAAAAATGATGTCAAACATGACGAGAGACCCGGTACCCTTTTCCAAGAAGTCCTGCTTTCCATCCAAAATACAAGGTATAAGTTGACCCAAGCCAATAACCAATAGTGATACCGCCCGTGCGCTAAATGCTCAATAGTCTAAAAAGTACAAACGTGCTGCATGCGTAGTGTTTTTTTTTTCGTCTCCACGAGAAGTGAAGGGCTTTTGCATTTAGTAGTACCGGTCCTGGCGCGCAGAACCAACGTAGTAAGAGTCTGCACCCCGCGGGCTCATACGGTCCCGCAAGCGTTGCTGCTGCTCCTCCTCGGCGCGGCGCTCGCGCTTCTCCTGCCGCCGCTGGTCTTGGATGTCCAGCGCGCGCATGCGGGCCGTCACCTCGGCGGGGTCAAGCACCACAGAGCCGCGGCGGTAGGACCGGCTGCCGCTGCTGCTGCTGACGGAGGGGACTTCAGGGACGTGGGCGGGCCGGCTGTTGATGACCTTGTTGGACTGGTCAATCTTCTTCTGGCGGCGTGCCGCGCGGTCCCTCTCTTCCTGGTTGTCGGTGAGCAGGTCGATCCGGCCCTTGTAGAGGTAACGCTCTTCATCGCTGGCGTGCGAGCCCCGCGATGCGCGCCGGGTGCCGCTGCCCTTGAGAATCCCACGAACGGGCCGGCCATTCACCATCTCCTCCAGCTGCTTGGGGTCGGAGACCTGGAAGAGGTCGTCGTTCAGGTGAGGGCTGGGAGGGGCCGTGTGGCGGACAGAGGTGTGCCGCCGTGGAAGCACGGTGGGCTCTTCAAACTCGACGGCAAAGCTGTTGCGCCGCGAGCGGCGGGCGGGTGAGCTCTTGCGGATGTCGACGATTCTGTCGCCCTCGATGTAGTAGCTGCTCGAGCGGCGCTTGGATGAGCTGCCCGAGTCAGAGCCGCCACGGGAGTGGGATGACCGAGGAGGCGTGGGAGGGTAGTTGTATGCAGCGCGCGGGCTGAGCCTGCTGGTGTAGGCTTCTTCGTGGTTGTAGGTAGTGTCGCGGTCGCAGATGACGCCGTGGCGCGAGCGCTTGCAGAACTCCTGCTCTGTGCGCTCGTATAGGCGGCCGTTCGGGGCCACCGAGGTGTAGATGTGTGTCTTGCACATGGCGTCGGCAGAGAGGCTGCGAGACCGTCTAGTGTTGGTGGGTAGCTCTGGCTGGATGACCAGAGGAGGAGGACGTGAAGTCCGCGAGTGGTGTTGGCCGGCGAAGTCGGTCACGGGCAGTGGAGTGACAGTCGCGGTGGAAGTTTCACGAGAACGAGTCTTGCCGTTGTGGATGGTGTTTGTGACAATGACTCTGGGAGTGAGGTTCGCCAACTTGACTGGTCTGTATGGGAAGAAAGGCGAGGCGTGTAAGTCAAAGAAAGGACGGTCGAAGTGAGGCGGGATATGGAGGGGTGTCTCACGGTACTTGTATGCGGCCTGGATGCCTGGGGGTCTTGACTTGTGTGGATGACTGAGGCAGGACTGTGGTGTAAGTGGTGTTATAGCTGTTGCTGTCAGAGGATGCGGGTCTGTAGGGCAGGAGATGTTGACTTGCATGAGCGGCGCCGGTGATGGTTTTAAGCCCAGGACAGGCAGGGTTGTCGTGGGCCACTTGCAGAAGGGCGTGGGCGTGGTAAAGGTAGGACGAGCCGCTCTGGGCGTAGGCCAGGGCCAGGGTTGGAGGGCCCTCCCAGAGGCTGTACACCCCCCCCTGCAGGCTCCAAGAACGCCCTGCGCCCAGCGTGCAGGAGCTGCCTGGCCGCCGATGACTCTCTGCCTGGCGATGGAGACACGGCCACCCCAATCCGGCATGGTCGCAGGCCTCCTCAGCCAATTGAGGCGTCCACAGCCCTCTTGCGATGCTCAAGTGACCCTGGCCGGGGGGGAGGGTGGCTTGGCGCACCAAACGCCTGGCGACATTCGGACACTTGCAAAGCGGTCGAGAGTCGTTGTGCTTGTGGTGACGGAGCAGAGGTGTTCATGGTCTTGTCCACGAGCTCATCATGATGGATGGCTGCCAGCCTGGAGCTTGAGGCCCCGTCCAGTCTGGTGGGTGGTGCCTGGCAACGACACACAAACACAGTTGAGCACACACTGTCAGAACGTTGGTTGCTCCTTCCCACAAGCCAGCAGACTGCAAACTGCGCGCCTGCCTTCCTGCCCGCCCACCGTCTCCGGAGTCCACACCAAGATTCCAACCACATTTAGAAGAATCCAAAATAGCAGTGCCTTGGAAACCGCAAAACCTCACGCCCAGGCGGTCCCTTCGTTCTGCTCCCGCGCGGGCGTGACAGTCTCCCAGCCAGATTACTGGGTGCCAGTCGCCCCGGTGTTTAATCCCAACTTCCGCCCTCCAGCACCAAAACTTCCAAAATAGCAGCGGTGCACGTGCCGTAATTAGCTGGGGGCCCCACCCCCCTTGCGATTTTCCACTTGTTGCTCGCGCCAAAATCGTCGACGACCGGCCTGCATTCGTCATTACCACCACCACTACCGCCGCCGCCGTCGCCTGAACTGGCCGGCGCAACATGAAACGAACATCGACTTGAGAAGGGGGGGGGTCCTCTCTTTTCTGCAGCAGGCCAGACTCGACGACCGAGCATCCCTGGGGGTCGGCCGGCCGCTGGTTGGCAACCGCTCAAGTCCTACCCAGACTAGCGAAGGGTGCTGTTTGACTGGAGGCAGCAACGCAATGACTTGCCGCTCGCAGAAGGCCTCATGTACAACATCTGCTCCTGGCTGCATGCGTAGACAACTCGCTGGCCAGTCTCTGCGTTCCGGACACTCTGCGTTTCCTCTCCTGCTCTCTGGCTGGCTCGGTTGCTTCCGTGCCCGCCAACTCGCCATGCCAGGGGTTGCTGCCTCTGGTCCCACCCCACGATCGACTCACAGCCCCGATAGTGGATTGTCCTCCTGCCACTGAGCAGTCCACAGCCCACTCGCCCAGCCGGGTCAGCCCTCTGACACGAGCTTGGGCCCGGCCAGCTCCCACAATCCACGGGACTGGTGGCACTTTGAGATGAAAATGCACTATTTCCAGCTTCAAAGTGGCGATCAAGGGGGAGGCGTTTGTAATGGTGCTATCAGATTCAGATCTGCCAGCCAGTACAATGGACTGCCTGCTCGGCGTAGGACAGCAACTAGTGGAGTCGACGTGACTGTCCCAGTTGTATGCCTAGTTTTCAAGCGCTGCAGCCTATCGCTGTCACTGGTGCCTCGAACATACCTAGGTACCCGGGCACACATCATTCCTGTGACGTCGATCTCCACGACCAGGCATCTGCAATGCTGGCGATGCATGTGCAACCCACCCAGATATGGTCAGCACCCTGTCGGAAAGGGCACAGGGACCGCCCTGTCAGCAATCAAAATCCAGAGAGCCGGTTTGTTTGTCCTGTGATGGAATGGCAAAACTCCCCAACTCGCAGTGTCCAGATTCCAGACATGGCAAGCACCGGGAGTCTAGGCCGACGCTTGCAACAGCAGGGATGACGGAGGCGGCAGCATGAGGGAGCCAGCAGGGACTGAAGTGGACTTTCAAGGACCAGCCATGACGACAAGAACCAAGAGCCCGCTAGCCATTCCACCACCGTCGTCACCTCGCTTGTGGGAAACATCATGATACCGCGCTGGGAAGGCGAGACGGGTACTCGACCCGGCGTGCCAAGGAGCGCCTGGCCTGTGTGAAGAAACTGAACAAGGAGGCAGGTTGCAACCAAGAAACCAGGGGGGGACGGTCGAAATTCAGCCCTACGCTAGGCGTTTTTCTGCCTGAGGTGCCATTCGCAGAGAATCCCCCATCGCCTCGGTCCAGCCGGGGCTGGGTGCCCACCAAAACCACCAGGCTCTGGGGCTGAGCAGCGCCAGCGACGAATGGCACCGGTCCAGCCGTCTCTCGTCGCCCAGGTTATTGAACAGTGCCAGCCAACCCCACCGCAACCAGGTGCCCCAAATTCTGCAGTGCAATTTTTCGTGCATGCCCCTTGACCGCTTGTGGTGGCTGAGGCCACTGTGCTCAACACCAAAACCTTGTCAGCTCGGCGAAGCCCACGCACAATGACGCGCTGGGCGCTCTCTGGCTCTTCTCCTGTCGCGCGCGAACGCCCAGACTAGCGCCGGCCCAGCCCGTCGCGAAGCTTCTCAAGTTTTCTAGTCATGGCCCACGGGCATGGAACAGCCCTCGACAATGGTGACGGTGGAGTTGGGATCGGATCACGAACCGGGACGGATGCGGGCCATGGTCGGTCTGTGCAGCCAGCCAGCGCACAGACTGGGATCCACGCAGCCCGCAACCTCGTCTGGACTTTTGAGAGTTTACCGTCGCTGGCAGGCGCAGAGCTGAAGCCATGGAAGACAAAGGTACCTCCAGGGCTGGAAACAATTTTCACCCGATGCTGACAACCTGCGAAATTCCTGGCGTTGAGCAGCACTACATTCGAGACTCCACCAGGGGCCTGGAGGGCGGCCTCTGCTCTGCTTACTCGCCCCCAACAATCGCCAGGGGAAACAAAGTGGAATTTCTATGTTGCAGCTTTCTGAAGCGCCACCGTCAATCGGACATGAACCAGTCTTTGCGGCGTCGAGCCGTAATCCTTGGCGAGTTTCATGGTGCGTACCTTTGCCAGGACACAATCCGCCCAGCTGATCACGATCTCGCCCTCTTTCATACCGTGCCTTCCCGGGCGGGCCTCCTAGGACTCTGCTCCTGCGCGTGACGTTCATGTCCTTCATCACCTGTTATGGTTATACTTCCGCTTGTTAATCCTGTTCTGCCTGGGCCCGTTCAGATTGAGGGCGCCGATGGGGGGGCTTACACCCTCCCTCCCTCCTGGCTCAATTTGGGGGCCGGCCAGGCTTGGGGCGTCCCTGTTCCCCGTGGCGTCCGGGAAGACCACTTGCTGACAGGTACCATTGCGCCACATTGCGGCGCTGCAGTTTGCAAGCGTTCAGGTGCCTGCATCGTGGATAGCTGGAGCGTACCAGGAATGATTGCAGTATGACGTGGTGTAGATGTGCATGTTGATCTTGCAGCCTCCCAAGTTAGGTCGACATGGATTGCGGAAGAAAAAAGTGCAAATAATTTGCAAAGTGAGACGGCTGAAAATGCAATGTTGGCTAGATCCCTCGTGGTGAGGCGGCACATTCTCAAGTCATTTATGCATTGCCTGGGCATCTGAGATTCATCGTGCTCTCAAGAGCTGAATAGAGCGGTGAAATGCTGGTTGCTTCGTTTCTACAACGGCGTCCAATGCCCGCCAGAAGGAACCCCACGATCCTGACTCCCTTCCGGAACATGAACAACGGATCAAGGCCCGTGCTGTTCCACTGTTACAACAGTCCTCTCTGCTGGATCTTACACCATACAACCATTTCCGAGCATTATTGAATTAGGATCCAAAGCCGCCATCTAGAAGGCTATCATTCTTCCCCTCTCCGACCATGCATCCTGTCGTCGCATTCATGCGATCGGCTCACAGACGCCGATGAACGGCGAGATTACACCTGTACATTTGAAAGTCAGCCTCGACGTAAAGTCACGGGAAGTGCCGGTTGAGACCACAACAACTTCAAGATTCTGCGTAGGACACAAGGGCGCCGGACCTCCCTCTCGGGGGCCGCGTATTGGAAAGTTCCGGTAGCCAGTGGTATTTAAGGCGAGCGCGAAAGGGGAGAGCCCAAGTGAATTTTGTGACAGGAACTTACTGCTGAAAAACAGCCTCCCGGTGGCGGCGTCGTGCAGCACGCTCGTCGACCCGGGCAGCACCTCGGCCTCTCCGCCCTTGCCGTCCTCGATGATCTTTGTAACTTCAAACTCCTGCCGCTGCTCCTCCTGCTGGCCCGCCGCCGCGCGTCCGTGCGTCGTCTTCCGGCGGTGGCGGATCCGTACGGCCGCGGTCGCAGGGAAGCTGTGGTACGGGTCCTCGTAAGCGGCGAGCAGGTCTGCCGTCCGGGGGAACGCGGCGATGTACAGGTCCCCCTCGCGGTCCGGGGTGATGTTGTCGAGCGAGAAGCCCGCCTCGAGGGTCGCGACGAGCTCCAGGTCGCCCTTGGCAGCCGTGGTGGCGGTGTCGCTACTGGTCGTCATTGTCACGGGCTTGTACACGTACACCCGGCCGAGGAGGGAGCTGGGCACGTAGACGAGGCCGTCGCCCCTGGGGCCGCGGTTGTGCGCGATGCCGTTGGGGAACTTGTGCCCCGGGATGATGGTCCGGCATGTGCTCTCGGTGCAGTGGGATACGTCGCCCCAGCCGAGAGGACCGCTGAGGGCGTTTTTCTTTTGCAGCCAGGCGATAACGGTTCATGTCAGTCCGTGATAATGACAGCCCTGATGGTTGGCCAGGGGGGGGGAGAACGACAAGGATCAAAAAAAAAAAAACTCACCAGCCCGGTCTTGTACTTGCCGTGGTCGTTGGTGAACCAGAAGTCATTCGTCTCGTCCCCGACCGGCGCGACACGGTTCGGCGTCACCAGGCCCGAGTGCGAAAAGGTGTAGATGTGGTCGAGCGACTCGCTCTTCGGCCCCGTGCGGAACACCTCGACGGTCAGGTTCCCGCCTACTTTGGCCTGGTCGAGCAGCTTCCCCGTGGTGTGGTCGGCCGACGGCGACGAGTTGACGACCCAGAGCCGGACGGACCCGTCGGCGTCATCTACACCCGACAGGCTGAGCGGGTACATCCGTCCCTCGTCGCCGGGTATGCCGGCGTAATTGGGTGTGGCGAGCACGCGTACGGGGAACGTGGAGCCAGAGCTGGTGTGCTCGTCAATGTCGACGGCCACTATGGCGTCCTGGACGGAGCGGGCCGAGACATTGAAGCGGCCCATGCTGAAAGGGATCAGGGTCAGTACTTTTTATAAACCTGGAGTTGCTTCGAAAGGATTGCTGATACGACGGCCAATGCTCGCCGCTCGAAATCGGTGTATGTGTTTCTTTCAATGGCCACAACTACTTACGTCGGCATCCAGTGCTGCCTTTGTGACGAATCCGAGCACGCAAGGAACAGCTGCCGTGTCGCCTCGGACAGCCACATGTCCTCGCATGCCTGCAGGCGCGGGTGCTCGATGCGCCGACACTTGTAGGGGAACGCGCTGAGCGGCTCGAAAGTGTGCCCGATCCCCTTGAGGTAGATGACGGATGTGTGTATCTCCAGCTGATATATGGCGGCCGGGAGGGCCACGAGGACGCCCAGCGCCGCCGCAATGAGCGACGTTCGAGCCATGGGGGGAGGCCTTTCGAGGATGGGGACTTTTGAACCTGAAATGGCGAGTGATTTCAAGGTCGCGAATGAGGAGGAGTCATGTCCCAACAATTAACTTTCAGGAGGGGCATGGCTTCTGCTTATAACCTAGCGAGCTTTTTATTTCTCGCATGGCCATACCAAGGAATGGAGCCGCATTCCTCGTTCGGAGCACCTGGGTATGGCTGAAGTGTAAGTCGTCGGACGTGGTCCCACCCGAGACAAGCTGATTGGGCCCAGTCCCGACGTGCGTCTGGATAAGCAGTGGCTGACCAGTCCCGGGGCCGGGGTAGGACCCCGAACGGCGATGTCACAGAAAGCTTATTGTGGGGGGGAAGGTCTGGCACAGTCCAATAACAACCCCACGATGCCAGGCGGAACATTCAAGATGGGCTCCAGAAGTGGACGGAGTTTTGGAACCGATCCCGGCATGCGTCTTATGGACGGCTACTTCCGGCAAGAAAAGAGATACAAAAGGGTTGATAATCAGTGACCCATCTGTTCTGCTCGGACCCGCCTTTTCTTGCTCTTTGCACTCTTTCGTTCACGGCATGCATACGAAGCTTTCACTGAAGTAATGGCATGCAATAGTTGTTCTAAACAACATGGTAAAAGAGGCAAATCAATCAAATAGTGGTCATGCTAGAAGAGGCCGGCCCTCGTGCTCCACCTGTGCGCAATTGTCGTGGCCGCAAATCAATCTCACTCACATCCGAGACCTGCCGGAAGAGCCGGCCCCATATTAGCATACACGAGAGCTCCCCATGTCTCGTCAGCACGGCCCTTGCACACTCCACTGACGACACTCCATCAACAAAATTGCCTCGGCGGCGGTTTGAGCACAACATGGATGTGAACAGCCGGATTGTTACAGCTGCGAAGGATCGCGCCCGTGTAAGGGGCAATTCCTCTGCAGAAGCCACGCTGCTTATGCGCTGAGCCATAGTGGTCAGTGCCCGTAGCGATGCTAATAATCCCCCCAGCCCATTTGCTTGTTGTTGAGCGGCCCCCTAGACAAGCATGGTGCCCTTGCCTTTCTATTAAATGAATCAGTCTAGATTGATCCGCGGACTTTCCGCTTTCCTGTCCGTTTCGGCAACGTCTTCGCGTCAAAATTATCGGCGGGCAAAGTCGAACTCTGCCGGGATGTCGGTTGCGTTTCCTCCAGCAGCGAAAATTCCCATGCTACAAGTAGAAATGAAGACGTAGCCTTCCTGCATCACCTTGCCATTGAACACCCAAATGGACAGAGAAAGGAAAAGGAAAGCGGGAAAAGTGGTGGCACACAATCGCCAACAAAGCCAGTCTCGAGCTCCGTCGGATCGCGTGTGCTTTGGACGTGTGAAACATACTGCAAGAAGATCATTCGTTAGTTTCGAGTTTATATATCTTGATACGAGGAAACTCTTACCATCTCAGTGTATTCTTCCCCCGTCAAGCAGCCATGAAAACTGCATATAGGTTGGCTCACAAAGGTTTCAGCAGGGCAGTGTTGTCAGGGAAATGCCGGAAATGAGATCGTTAGACCCCGGAGCCGGAACGGGACAGTAGTATAGCATTGAACGAACAGGCGTTCCCCCCGCACATGACATTGTCTCTTGTGATCATCCGTTTCGATGACTTCTGGACCCTGGTCTAGGTCAGTAGCCTCATTAAAGACACCTACCATATTAATCATGCTTTTGATCAAGGCGCGACTAGTGCCCGTCCAGTTCATAGAGCGAGCCGAAGCGGATATCGTTCGATTCGCTGCGTCGAGCCAACAGTAATGTTGTATGCTCTTCCTAGTGGGTGCGTTCGGGCTGTAGTATATCATGTCTAAGCTCAAATTTCCAAGCCGGTAGCGATCCTCATCGTCCGTCGTGCGCGGACTTGATGAAACGCAGCCGAGTAGCCCTGTTCAGGTTCAAACCTTGACAGCCTTGATACAAATCGGTGGACAGAAGCAGACAACGACTGTGACGCTTATATGGCATGATAGGACATGCCTCGTCGTTGCGGACCGTTTCGTCAGTTCCACGTTGTTGATCATACGTTCTTGCATGGAGCGCGAATACCGTTCTCCAAGATCCCATCATGCCCGATAATATTCTCACGTTGAAATTCTGCGTTCTTCTTGGCCGACGAAATCCGACGCTTCACTCATAATGGCACGGGAACGACACACCAGTTCTCGCTAAGATATTACTTATGCGGATATAATTTCGGCAGCAGCCATGTTTAGCTTCGAGCAAGCCCCTACTTTTGCATTCTGAGTACTGGGCATAGCTGATGCTCATCCCGCCTTATGTGACCGACTCAACACTGCCATGGCTGCTTCAATCCGGGGGAAACGTTTGTTTGACTTGCCTGTGACATCGCATCCTTGTATCGGTTAGGGCAGGCAGCAAGCAGGAGTAGACACCCGGTGATACAAGCATGAACTGCGTCACGAGCTCTACATTGAAGGCACCGAGACCTTCTGAGGTGGGAAGAGAAAGAACAGAAGAACACGTCGGAGGGTGCAATGCCTCGGTGAGTTCTCCTCCCTGGGATTGGTATGTATCTATAGGCATCCGAGATTCCCCTTCGGCTACAAAGACACTTCGACTCTCAAACTCTTCTGCAGATAAACATGGTTCCCGGGCAACCACTACAGTTTCTTCATTAGCTTCGTCTTGTTCCGCACCATCGGCCAGGGACTATTTTCTATGATTCCGGCGATTAGCGGCTCTTGGCTGTTCTTGGCTACGGCGAAGCTGTGCATCTATGCATCAGACATTCGCACACTCGAGGATGGAACATGGCCAAGGTCCTCATGGTTGTTTGGCTGCGCAAACTTCCAGTCGGAAATGATGGTTACAGCCTATGCCCGGACAGCAGCCATATGACCGAGGCCATCCATGACGGACTGGTCGCCTCTGGAACGTGATGAAGTTGGCCTCCCGGGGGGAGCACCACTCTCAGCGGCCGTCGTTATAATTGGTGGCAATCTCAAACTAGAGCAACGACCAATTTCACAAACACGCATCGCTATATGAGCCCGCTTGATATAGTCCAGAACCCGGGCATGGGATTATTCCATGCGTACTCCCTATGTGGGTCCTGTCCGGGTTCTGGGATCCAATCCAAGGAGAAAAGCTCCAGACACCGGTCAGCAAGCCAATCGCAAGTCAGTCTCGCATGGACAGTTGGGGTCTTCGGGCCTTCCACGGAATGTGTGGCTGGACGCGTTTCGAATTCGACATCGACATGGACCTCTCCCATAATTACCGACGTTCCTCGTCAGTGCGCCAGTCTTGCAACCTCGAACCACGAGGTCTATCACGTGCCGTCGTTGCATCGCATTTCGGCATCACACTGGGCTTGCGTATCGTATTTGGCAGATTCGCTCAGACTTTCTTACACATACCGCGTAAAAACCCCCGAGGTTCACAAATCGAGCCAGCCGGTGAGAAGAGGATTGAAGCGTAGTGAACAGTCAACTTGGCCATGCAGTTCACGACTCGCCCTGTTTGTTGCCTAGGTCGAGTGTGCGCAACGAACACGCCCTGCATATTCTCCATGGGGCCGATGAAGTTCAGGTGAGAGGTGGAAGTGACAGCGCTCATAAAGATTGCGTTATAGGCCATTCGCCAGACCGTTGGCGCTGGTCAGTGCTTGGGATCCATGTGTTCGCAGCGCATTTGAGAGCCCGGCGACCAGGTAACTGACGCCGCCAATCAACTAAAGGCAGGTGTCTGAATGATGGCAATGCTCTGCCGCACAGTGTGCGCGCTCTTGTTCACGTCTTGGCGACGATCGAGCGTCGTCCCTAGTCCTGGTGACCGGGAAGTATTGACCCAAGCTGACGGGATGGCTGTCGATCGAAATCGATGCCGGTTCGAATGCTTACGCAGGTCAATGCGCATGTTCTTTGCCAATCTCGCTGGAGCACGATGGTGGCTCAAGATTTGGGTGATGGCCGGGGCCAACACCCAGATCGGCGGGGAGATGTCCGAAAGAGAGCCCGCGGATGGGCAGGGAGGTTGCAGGGAACAAGGTGAGATTTGAAGCAGAAGTGGCAGTTGAGCAGCAGGTCACGGAAAGGATACGCGCCGCCAGGATCTGCGGGGGCCCAGCGATCTGTGCGGTGCCTGGCACGGTCAGGTCAGCCCTAGCTTGTCACAAGGCAGGGGGCTTCCCTGCACGCCTTATGGAACAGGCAGCCCGAGCGCGCATGAAGACTTGGGTTCTTGATGTGATGAAGGTCCAGGGACTCCCTGGTCTGCTCAGGACAGTTTGCTACGGCGCGTTGCGGCTATCTCGGCGAGGAGCCCGGCCGCCGCTGCCACGGTGCTGGCCGGCAGATTTGGGCAAGAAAGCGCCGACGGGCGAGACGGGCAATCAAGTTGAAACGGCGGCGCAGGAACTGCCGATCGTCCAGGACCAGTAGTTGTGAGGCGATGGTGTCGGGAAAACCGTTGAACGCTGGAGCTGCTGGCTGGACGCGGAGGGTGATGTGACGAAGGAAGGAGACGTCAAGAGGCTGCGGGGAAGGAAGGTGCTGAAATGGCAGGACACATCCAATCCAAGGCGGCCGCACCTGCCCTCTGCGCTCGCAGCAGGCTCTTCTCGACCGCCTTGGCCGTCTTGACCCTGCTCTTCCATCTACATAGTACGCCACACATGTCGACTTCATCCCATGTCCCCGTCCGTTCGGGCTTGGCAAGCACTGGATCACTGTCACTGTCACTCCAGCACAACCGCCTTGGCGAGATCCGAGCGGGACAATACAACACAACCCATCCCCCTACGATCGTCGTTCTGCCGGACCACTCTCGCCGAAGCGACCGTGTCGCCCATGTCTCGACTACTGTGTCAGACGAGCTTCCATCTTTTCGCTCCGGGACTCCACCTTCGGATTCCGCCCGCCCAGGTGGTGCTTGCGTCAATCAGCGGGGCCTGCACATCCTCCCCGTCTCGCCCGTCTCTCCGGTTCGCCCTTCCCGACGCCGTCTCCACCTGCCCTCTCCACCGCCAGACAAGCCTTCGCCGAGCGTTGACGAGCTCTGTCCACTCTGCTCACGGACCCAGCAAGCAACCTCGTGCCCAATAGGGGGACTTGGGTGAAAAAGCACGCGCGCTGGCTCTCCGACTTCTCCAACGAAAGTGAGAGTCTGATTCCCCGGTAGGGCGTCGTCTGACTGACTTCCGACGGCCCACCGAGGCCCCAGATACGTATCTTGGACACTACGAGGGGAGAAAACATGCACCTGGAGGCAGGTCTGCCCGGAGAAAAGTGTGGTGGCGTGGACCTGCATATGCAGCAGACATGGGACCCCGGCCATCCATCTGCTGGATCTTTGCTGGACCCATACCGGCGAATGTTCCGGGCGGCGTAGAAGTCGTCACACTTGACCAATCTCGGCCAAGATAACATTCGGCACCCACTGTTTCATCGCACGTCGGCAAGACTTCTACCAAGGAATATGACATCTTGCAGGGCCCAGTGACGCTCCGTAGCCCCGGGTGGGCTCGTCGGCAAGGTGCAGGCTGCAAGGCTTTAGAGACCGCCATCACTGGCTCGCTTCATCTTGCCGGGCACTTTTTGCCACCCAGACCGGCTCCGAAGTTCCAGGATACCCCTCGATCGTCTCCTTTGTGCATGGATGCCGCGTTTCGCGGCCTGGACGGGCCCTGTCGAGTTACGCTGATGGTGCTGCCCTTGGCGTCACCGTGGTCAGCAACGGGCAGGAGAATAATCGCATCCCCGACACTCTTCTGCCCTGCTGGACCAGTACCCGAGCCCACTCATCTTTCGCGTCGGCAACAGGGCATATTGCTTAGCCAAGCACTTTACCTGATTTCATGGGGTGGGCACTACCCTGTGCTCGGTACATATATGCACGAGGCGCACATCTGACCCCAGATTCCGGAGACTTGGAGCCTTTGCCTGCACTTAACTTCCACACACCCACAAGCACAGTTTCGGTCTTCAGTTGGTCTTGCTTCCGATCCATCGAAATTTGAGCTCAGGGCGGTTGATGTACTGTATTGACAGCATCGTCATTCGGCCGTCCCTGATCCACTGGCTGCAACGCCCCACGGAAGACTATCGCAGGAACATCCCGTGGTGCGACAAAGCATCAAGTAGAGGGGATCATACCCGCCTGGACATGGGGATATTCATCGAGCGCGGCCCAGATGTGGCCGGGGCTGTCATCACAATGGTCAGTTTCCCACGACATAAATACACTGCTCTCCATCAGCTAACCTAATCGCAGTATGTTTGGCTTCTGTCACGAATCCTTATCCTGCAAAGCAACCTCTTCCCGGCTTCTCCGCAGCCGCAGTATGCATGGAATCTCGTCTAACTTGCACCATTCAGATGTGTTGTCGGCTATGTCACATTCTTTCTTCGAATTTATACTGGCAATTACTACACGGGCATGAAGAATTGCTACCCGGGCATGACTCTTACACGGGCATGACCTTTTGCAGCCTCTGATTGGTCCATCCCTTTTTGTTAGTGCATCTAGATTCTGCCAACGCTTCCCTTGTACCTCGGGATTAGCTCTCCACCACGACGATCGACGAGACATATGGAAGCTATTCACTAGCTAGCTACTACACCAATTACCTCTTGTCGCATGTCAAGCCTACTGATAATGATTGTTCGTGAAAGATACCATATTTGTCAAGGTCCCAGGGCTCCAGGCGTGGTGTGTTAGGCCCCCTGCTGAGACCAACACTCAAACACACGCTGTATCAGGAATATCCAATAGCCTCATCTTCCAAGGCATCTGCATCACAAAGCAGGTCATTCCTTTGTGCTGAAATTGGTCCCCTCTTTCCTTCTTTCATAGTCAAATCAACTGCCCCTTTAACCATGCGCTCATCCGTGCGTGCGACACTCTTCCTGTCGCGATCAAGGCCGTCATTATGTCCCAGCCCGGCTCTCGATCTAGCTCAGCAAGCAACCAACGACTTCGAAGCTATCAATTACGTCCTCGAAAACGACAGCGGCAGAACCAATCTGAGAGTTCAAGACCACCTTCGTCTAATAGCACAGGGACGAGCATTGGCCCACACTATGGCGTGGGAGACGACGAGGCACTCTGTAATGCTTTCGCCTCGTACCCAGAGACCTTCACGACCGCTCCACGCCCCCACGGATCGCGTGGGCTGAACGAGCCACCATGGGAGCTGCGATTCGATCATGAGATTCACCTATCGAATGATTTCCCAACCCGAGGAAGACGGTCGCAACGAGTAAGAATGCCTATACCAGGCCCGGAAATCGACCAGCCACCTGCCTGCTCTCCACAACAATCAGCACAAGAACAATTCTCTCCAACAAGACCCCAGTTTCAGTCCGCCCTTAGGCTAGTGCGCGAGGTGATTGGGACAGATCGAAGACTTACCATCGAGCTCGTCCGGTCATACGAACGAGTCCGCCAATGGCGCGAGATATGGGGCTACTCGCCGCTCAGTTCAACTCCATTCGAATCATCTCCGCCATACTCGCCTCCCCGAGAAAGGCACTCTCCGCCTATCGCCTCGCCGCCCTCGCCCGACCACCCCTTGTCGCCTGTCCCTGACCCGATCCCGAACCCACCTATCCCAGACGACCCAGCGCCGTCAGCCGAAGTCCTGTTCGAGTGGGTGAATACTTTCGCGAAGGCTAATGGCTTCGGTATTGTTCGACGAAATGCCTACTCATATAAGGGTCGGAAGATCCGGTACTCTTTCCAATGCGATCGATTCGGAGAACCACGCCCCTCAGAGAGTACCGGTATTCGGCAACGGAAGTCTCGAAAGTGTGGTTGTAAATGGATGGTCATTGCCGAAGCACTGGAGGAGGGTAGATGGCTTCTACGACACCACGATAATTCCGAGCATAGCCAGCATAACCACCGGGCCAGTATCAAACCATCCGCCCATCCCTCCCACAGACGACTCACTACACCTATCAGGGCAACAGTCGAATCGACAAGCCGTCGGGTCGGAATTCGGGCCCGTGACGTACGCGCGATCGTCCTGGAGCAGCATCCCGAGTCATCTTTTACACGAAAGGATATCTATAACGCCAGGTCTCGTATCAGTCGAGACAAGTTGAGCGGCCACACTCCTACTGCAGCACTGATCAAGCTGTTCGACGAGATGGAGATTCCCTATCTTGTTAAGTGGGCGGATGATGAGCCAAACCGCCTCGTCGGTCTTGTCTGGACCTTTCCGTACTGCCTCCAGATGTGGAAGCGGTTTCCTGAGGTCATCAGCTTCGACAACACATACAACACCAACCGCTTCAAGCTTCCATTATTCCAAGCAACAGGACAGACCTGCCTTGGTTCTGTCTACAATGCGGCGTTCGGTCTGATCGACAACGAGAGACGGGAGGGGTTCCAGTTCCTCTCTGAGAGCATTCGACAGATCTCAGAGCAGCACTCTATTCGCCAACCGGACGTTATCATTACTGACTTCGACGGTCAGATGAAGGCCGCCCTGAATGATCAGTTCCCTGATGCACAGCAGCAGCTGTGCATCCACCACATCAATTCTAACGTCTTGCTCAAGTCAAAGCAGAAGTGGGTCAAGGGCCAATGTAGCAGTAGTAGTCCCGACAGCAGCAACGGGGAGGACTACGCTCCACAGGCACAGGCTGAGCTCGGCCCGAAAGACGGACAGTTGGTCAACGCGCAGACAGCTGAAGTCGTCCCTCATAGCCATCGAGGGGTTCTCATGATGTGGAAGGTCGTCTTGTTTGCGGAGACAGAGGAGGCTCACGAGAAGGCGTGGGGAAGCCTCTGTAGGGAATTTGACGATCAGCGGGCCATCCTGCGGTATCTCCATGGAACCTACATGCCTGTCAGGGCGCAGTGGGCACGATGTTTCATTCGCAACTATCGCAACTTCGGCATACGCGTCACATCTGGGACAGAAGCAAGCAACAACAACATCAAGAGCTATCTCCTGAATGGTATGAGCAATCTCTATCGGCTTATCGAGGCTATGCAGGACATGATGAAGGACCAGGAGCGAGATTTCAACGACGCCTGCGCAGCGGACGAGGTACTTACCGCGCGAGAGTACATAGGGTCCAGCTCGGAGTATCTAGGCGAACCCCGGACAGCACTCTCTTCGAAGGGTCTCGGGCTTATCAACAAACAATATCGGCTAGCAAGGAAAGCAATGCCGACGGGGAAGAATCTGTTCCCTGACCCCATTGGCGATTGCAGTGAGGACTGCTCGGTTTCGACCGAGCTTGGAATCCCCTGCTGCCACACAATCTACTCAAAGCTGGTGAGTGGCACGCCTCTCACCAAATGGGAGGTCCATCCTCGGTGGCGCCTACGAGAGCCATCCTCTCGAGATCCATACCGACGAATCCTCGACCCTAAGATCGCCACTGCTCTCCGTGGCAGACCTAAGAACACCACACAGGCTGTTCCAGCGCGGCTAGCCATTGAGGCAAGCAGCCAGCCGAGTGGCCAACGAGCCAGCAATCCAACAAGCCAAGCGACAGGGCGCAGACGAGGTCGACCACCAGGAAGTCACAACAAGTCAACGCTAGCTAGGCTTGCTCTGGAAGCGAGCCAACAGGCCAGCAGCCAGGCTAGTAGCCAGGCCAGTGCCTCATCCCAGCGCCAGACGCGCAGCCGGTCAGCTGTTCTTGGAGCTGGAAGAACTACAGGAGTACGTGCCAACGGACGGAAGACGCAATCTAGCATTCGCAGGCGAAGGAGTCAGTGGGAGCTGCTTTACAGCGACGAGGAGGTTCTTCCATCTATAGTAGTTAGAGGATAGAGATATAGATAGCTGCCCTCTAGGGCGTGCTGGAATTGGCCGTGTTCTGTATTGAAAACCAGACCTTGTTTTGATATACGCCTAAGACCTGTTCTAGAGGCCTGGTTGACCTGGTTGGTTCTGACTATACCGAAAGCACGGCCTTGTTAAGAGAGCTTGCTTCACCGCCTTTGCACTGATGTACCTGTGGGTCGAAGGAAAAAAATGAGCGAATCAGAGGCGATAGAAGTCATGCCCGTGTAAGAGTCATGCCCGGGTAGCAATTCTTCATGCCCGTGTAGTAATTGCCTTCTTAGTATGTCCTTATGGCAAACCTTTTCTCTAGTGGAATGCGGAGTAAAAGGTTTGGACTACGCCACCTCCGATTGATAGCAATCGGTTAATTCCGCCACTAGTAGGCTATGTTATGACAAATGCCAAGTTTATTCCTGTTCCAGCTCGCGTGGGTGAGGCAACCTCCAAAGATTTCCAAATGGTTTGTTTACACCGCAGCTTCAGCCTCGCGAGATGTTCAGGATACCAGCTCCGCAGCTCGCTAACAGAATCCTCTGCGTCCTTAATAATCGAGTCTTAGTCAACGAGTTAGGGGAGAAATCGTACCCGAAGAATGTCTGGTTTTCAATAGCCACACACTATTCTTCGCATCGTTCCTACCCTCCTGCGGCTGAGTACCTCAATCCCCAAATCTCGTAAATACCGAGCCGGTGCGACTGGTAGTGCATGACGGTCTAGATCCTGTCGTCATTGCGGACCAGTGCTCCGGTTATTGTGTCAGATGGTCGTAATAATTTATACAAGTCTGAAGCTTCCTAGAGCTGCTCGAAGTCTCCCAGGATATGGTGAGGCCTGAGCCCCGGAAGGTCGAGCTTTTTCTGCGCGTGCTCGACGCAGGCAGCTGAGCCTGCGGGATACGGGTGGGAGGGATCGATGGGTGGCATAGGGCGCCGGTCTTACGGCTGTATCGGCAGGACTAGGTACTCTAGGTAGTAGGGTCCGGCGGAGGGTCGAGCGAAATGTCGATGGGGTCGATGGCGTCGTCTTCTACGCACTGCAGGTGGTCCTGGTATAGGATTTCGAGCACGTCTAGGGGCAGCGGCACGCTGGTGTCAGCCTGCTATCCGCGGCGGTAGCCTTAGCTGCCGGATACGTTAGACGGCAGGTGGCAGAGCCTATTATTTCGCAGGCCCTGGCGGACGCCGATGTAGTAGCTAAACATATGGGCCACCTGGCCTGAGGTAAAGCCGTAGCCGTCCATTCCTCTCTACTCAGAGTACTGCGCAAGGCAGATAGGTCAGAACTCATTCCATGGAGAGATAGGTAAGTAAGCAGACTGGGTAACGCGGGATAAGACATACACTTATGAATTTGTACTGCTCCACGGGCTACGTCTCGCCGTGGGGAGTCTACTAGTTCGTAGATACCTCGGGGCGGTACGCGGGGAAATTCTTAGTGTCGGTAATACCGTCGTGGTTCAGCTAGGTAATACAGGTTATCGAATCCACGAGTGTCTCGTTAAAGACGTAGCAGAGGCCCATCCAGTGGCCGACCTCGTAGATAGAGGTACTGTTATAGTTACCTGCGAGGGACGCGTACGACCCTGGGAGGGCGTCTACGATAATAATAACACCGTCAAAGCTCTATTCGTAGGCATTAGCTATAGCGTCGGGAAATGTTGCGTACTTAAGAAATGAAATAAGTTAGGACAACATTCCTTCCTTGGACAAGCACAGAAGTAGGGGGTTAATATACCCACTGTAACCTCATTAGGTACGTCGGTAGGTATCTTCTCGACGATCTAAATATTAAGGTCGGCGTAGTTACTAGAGCTACTAAATCTCCGATGAGGGTGCTCTTAGGTTTGCTTCGCCGTAGTAAAGTTAACGTTAATGCGCTAGTTAATGTCTACCACCTCAAACGTGACCCCTGGCTAGTCAAAGTACTTGTTTATTAAGTAAGTCTGGTTAACAGGAAGGCGCCTATGTTAGTCTCTCCAACTAGTGTTAGCCTCGCCTCTGAAGATCGTTACGTTACCTAGGTATCGATCTGGTCCTTCCGCGCTAGACTAAATTTCTCAAATGAACCGACTATAATATGGTAGTAGATGTAGATTTTGAGCTTCTCCGGTGCGTAAAAGTACTTGTACTTGAATCCCTTGAACCTGGGCGGCCTACTCGGGACCAGGCGGTCGATTACCGGCTGCAGAAGCTTCTGAAGCTTACGGAAGGGGTTCTTGGTTTTGCGGCGCTCAATGATGGTACCGTGCTCGGTGGTGCCGGGAGTGAGGCAGCTTGACAGGATCTTGGGGGGGCCATTGACGTCGTTGATCTTGGTTTTCAAAGTATGTGAGACACATGACTTGCCTACGCGTATCTAGCGTCGCAACGAGCCCGGGCCCAGGCTAGTCAGATGCTCCCTTTACGAGGTTGATCGCCCCCAGGACGGCGAGGAATGCACGGAAGTGCTCCGGCGCGCGGAGAGTGCCGGCAGCTAGAAATCCTGTGGAGCGGAGGCGCGCGCCTTGTCTCTCAGCCGCAGAACTAGTATCAGCTTGGTGTGATGGCGCAGCGTCGCCTCCAGAGAGCAACCATGACAACACGAGCAAATTCAAGAGGGGCTCCGTCATCATCGAACCTTGTTGAGAGCACGGGCGACGGGACCACGCTATTCCTTCTCCAAGGACTCGTCCTGTGCTCGGTCACAAGACTATTTCTAACAGCAAAATCACAGACGTCCGGTGGCTTGCTCGTGCTCAGCCCGGGAGCAAGGTTGGCTATCGCCCCATAGTTCTACGTCAACTCACCTGCCCGGCCACAGCCGCGCGATTGATGTTCGGACATTGTCAAAGTAGGCTAGCATAGGACAAAGGAGAGCTACAAGCGCGGCAGTTGTGATCCTAGATTAATGGGTAGATTACTCCCGGCATTTGTCTTCCTTGTTTGGCAGCCACATCAACCCGCGATCATTGGATTCACCGGCTTGACAAAACACCATGAAGCCATCCTTCCTCACGCTCCTTGGAGCCGGCCTCGCGGCTGCAACGAAGCAACGCATTGCCTGGCGTGCCTCGGTCGACACTGCCAACGCCAGTCTCTCGTCTGACTCTGTCGGAAACAACACGCTTGCCATCTTTGTGTCGGCGCCCATTGTGGTGACCCGCCTTGCGTCGCAGCAGAACAGTGTCGTCGTGACTGGCTTGCTCCAGCCGGTCGGGAACAACACCGATGGCGAAGCCGAGCGCAGGCCGCAGGTTGTCTTTATCCAAACCATTTCTGTTTCGAACGACACGGCAACGCAGGACGCCAACTTTGACTTTGCCATCCCGACGCCATGGATGGACCACTTGCTCTCTCTGTCCGTCTCTGTCCCTGGCAGCCAGGACAACACCGAGACCAACGGACTTGTCGTCACTCGGGACGCGGCCACTGACACCTTTGTCGTCAAGAACCCCGGCGAGTGGGACCACGACGAGAACGTCCGGATCATCGCAGAGCTGGAGGCGGAGCTAGTTAGGACAATCCCGCAGGAACCCAGCAACCTGGGAGAGGAGTGCGGCATCCCCGACGATTGCAACGAAGCACCCGTCGACGGCAAGCCCAAGTCAGAGGACGGGCCAGGCCAAGACCCGGGACAATACCCAGGAACCAGTCCCGGCCAGTATCCGACCGATGACGAACCCACGACGACGGTCACCACTACCCAAACAACGACTGGCTACCCTACCGAGACAACAGTGTCCCCCCATTCCGACGTCTACCCGCACCCACGCCAGCTGGCCGTGTCCAGGGCCGTCGTCAACGCAAGGGTGACCTTTACCGGCTGGAACGGCAACATCCAGCCCCTGCGGCTGATGCAGGTGACGGCCTGGGGCAGCGTGTACAACGCGGCGGGCAGCTTTGTCGAGCGCGTCAACGCTTTCAAGACGCTCGACGTGGCAGGCACAGCGCAGTTCGCCTTTGACCTGCGCGCGGGCCAGCGCATCGCCGTCGACCGCCTCGTCGCGCGCCTCGAGGGCGACAAGTACATGGTTGGCACGCGGGCCGTCGACACGGATCCCCTCGTGCGCAAGACCATCACGCTCGCCCTCACCGTCAACCCCTGGCGCCTCGCCGCGGGCCAGACGGCGGCGTACACCAACAACTACCCGCGCAACGTGCTGTGCGACGGCATCCTCGTCGCCGACGCGTTCCAGCGCATCGCCGACTTTGCGCGCACAAAGGTCGTCGCAGCCGCCTCGATCCGCAAAGTCGACGTCTGGTTCCCCTCGACCAACCCGGGCACGTTCCTGAGCGAATCGCCCATCTTCATCAACATCCCCCATGACGACGCGCGGGATCCCGACGTGCTCGCCCACGAGTACGGGCACTACATGCACCTGCTCGCACGGGGCCAGGCGCGCCTCGCCGCGGGGGGTTCGCACTCGCCGTGCAACTCGCCCAGCAAGCAGACGGCGCTGAGCGAGGGCTACGCCTCGGCATTCGGCCTGCTCGCGCTCGACCTGACCATCCTCGCCAACCCGATGTACGGGCAGTACACGGACAAGCGGCCCGACGGGTCAGTGCAGGTCGACAGCCAGTTCGAGACGTACACGTGCAGCAAGCGGACGCTGCAGGACGACGAGGGCCGCATCACGGCCGCGATATTCGACCTCGCGGACCGCCGGCTCGACACAACAGTCCCGGCCGCCAGCGACGACTCGGCGCAGATCTGGCCCGGGTTCAACGTGCAGGATATCAACATCATGTTCCCGCAGTCGCTCGTGCTGTGGAGGGCGATGCGCAACAACCCGCAGGACATGACGGCGTACTGGGGCGCCGTGCGGGCGCTGATGACGACGGCCGGCGAGGCCAAGGCGTGGAACGTGCTGCGGTACAACTGGGCTGATATTGCCCGTTCGCCAGCTCCAGATTATGTGCCGTACCCACCCGTTAGGCCGCCCGTGGACAACTCTGAGTGCCCTGCCGTGTGCTCGCCTCATCCAGGACAGAACAAGTGCCATGTGCCCTCCGCACAGAACTGTGTCTTCCCCGCACCGCTTGCGAGCGCGAACCCGCGGTCGTACTGTGCTTGCCGGCCTGGGTATAAGAGCAAGTTTGGGACCGATGTATCTAAGCACTGGCGCGTGGCAACCAAGGGGATCGAGAACTTCGTGTGGGTTGCCGAGGGGGTTGAGTGCGAGACGCTGTGTGATGGGGTAATGTGCAGCGAGGTGCCGGTGCTGGACAAGCCTTGTGTTTGAAGGGGAAGCAGACTCGACGAGCTTTTCTACCATGAGTAATGGACGGACTGTGGGGAATCCGATGCCCATCAAGATCCCGATATATAGGTGGCAGGACTTGATGATACAAAAATATTGTAAAACTCTATAATAAATCTGCGACAGATCATGGAAGTAGCTCAATATGCTGTGACCAAGTGCATTCTGGCCTGCGCAAGCGTTGGGTACTCGGCGCCCCAGCAACCTAACATCTCTAGTACGTCTAGCACGTCTTCGCGCCAGGTCGTCGGTAGGGTTAGCTGCCGGGTAGTACTATCCCGCCGGACCGCGGCAATCAGGATAAGGGCGCTCCGAGCGCACGCATTAGCCATAGCGAACGTGCCCTGGAACGGGTGCCGGAAGCCTGGCCTATTTGTAGCTTTCTTTATAGACTGCTAGTCGAGCCCCTTTTGCGTAAGGTCGGCGTCGAAGGCCAGGCGACCAGACCGCATAAGCCCATTGAGACTGCTACTGCTATCGAGGTAAGCCGTAAGGAACGGCTAGTAGAGCCGGTCTATCAGGCCCACGACGAGTCCTCTTAAGGCGACCCGGTAGGCGTCATCCTCGTTGGCGGGCGCGGAGAAGGCAAGGCCGTGCGGAAGCAGACTAATCCAAGCTTGCACCTGTGACTCCCAGGACAGCATTATAGCCGCTATGGCAGCCAAGAAGGCCTCGACCGAAGCGGCGTGTTTCATGGCGAGGGCCTCGAGCTCGGCCGCGAGCCGCGTGCTCAGGCGTCGCAGCGAGATTTCGGCGAGGTAAAAGTACCAGGTCTCCTTGCCGTTCCCGTTGTGGCCTGGTGCTAGGAGGTGGAGTTTTTGGGACGGGGAGGCCGGCTCGCGTATTTGAGTGGTTTGGGTGGTCCGAGGACGTGGAGGTGTGGGCATGAAGCTGGGATACAGGCTCGACTTGTCGTCCCCAACGACAAAGTCAGGCATACGCAGAAACCTCCGCAGCTCCCGCTCGGACTACCAGATTGACCAGAAGAGTACACCGTGGAGCGACTCGAAGTCGGTGCCTCTCTGAAGGTCGTGCTCTTCTTCAGCACGCGGGCCTGGAGCCCTCGGGGGGTTCCGCCGCAGCTGCTGGCATATGGCCAGACCCTGAAGGACATACCTCCACGCCCGGACTGCATCCAGCGTGTACATCATGAAGACGAGGCTCTCCCTGTGACGGGGAAAGACAGGAACCGAGAGAATGGGGCACGAACCAACGGTACCCCAACTGGCAAACTACGCTTATCTCCCCTCACGCAAGCGCGAAGCCCAGAGTATTTGGACGCTAGCCTAATTCTTGCCTTCTCACCCCGGACAACGCCTAGGGCATGCTGCAATTAGTCACACCCTTGGCCAATCTTGCTCCAGAGCCCAGGGTGCACGTTATCACCGTAGATATAATGCCGGGTCTGGTCACTACCACCCAAGCGGTATATATATCAACGTCGACTGTGATCTCCCTGCCAACTGCAACCCTCTGTATCCTTACGCCACCCCCTTTCCGCCCTTGTACGCATTTGCTTCCCCTCTGCTCCTCATCCAATCTCAATTATGGCGATCGAAAACGCCCCTTTCCGACGAGAAGTACCAGTCGTCTGACAAGACCGACATGGCACCCGCTGCCTCCATCAAGGGCGGAATCGTCACGAATGACTTGGAGAGCGCCGAGGCCCATGAGGTTTTCAAGACCGGCGTGGACGGTGTCGAGTTTAGGACAGTGAGTTGGCAGCGGGCCACTATCGTCTTCTGCAAGATCAACTTTGCCATGAGCATCCTCGCCATTCCCGAGGCATTTGCCACACTTGGCTCAGTCGGTGGCTCTTTCTCCCTCATTGGCTTCACCTCTCTCAACGTCTGTGAGTCGAAACCCTAGATCTCATTTCTCTTAGCCTTTTCGCGTCACTTCGTACTAACAAGCCTCAAGACACCGGCCTTATCCTTGGCGACTTCCACAACAGACACCCAGAATGCCACAGTGAGTTCTTCGAAGTCGCGGGCGAGAATGCCCCCGTTACACAAGCTAATTTCGATCACGCAGTGCTGGCTGATATGATGGGCCTTATCTGGGGCAAGATTGGTCGCGAGCTCGTTGGTGTTCAAATAATCATTGCTCAAGTCCTCATATCGGCAGGCGGCATCGTCACAACGGCCGTCGGCCTGAACGCCCTGTCCAACCACTCACAATGCACGGTCGTGTTTGCTCTGTTGGCAGCCATTCTCATCACAGCCTGCTCGTCCATTCGTACCTTTTCAAAGCTCGGTTGGCTCACATGGTTCGGCATGATTACCTTCGTTCTCGGCGTCTTCGTCTTCACAATCGCTATCACCCAGCAAGACCGGCCTGCAGCAGCCCCCCCGACTGGCGACTTCGACCTTGGCTGGACCGCCATTTCATACCCTACTTTCGTCGTAGGCATGGTTAGCGCCGCGAACCTCTTCATCTGCACAAGTGGCTCGTCAATGTTCCTTCCCGTCATCTCTGAAATGCGCCGGCCACAGGACTACCGCAAGGCCTGCCTTTGGGCTGGTTTCATCGTCGATACCTTATATCTCGCCCTAAGTCTGGTTATCTACAGATATTGCGGGAAGTGGCTGTCTGTCCCCGCTTTTGGCAGCGCCGGGCCTCTCTTCAAGAAGATCTCTTACGGTATCTCGCTTCCAGGCCTAATCGTCGGTCTCGGCATCTACTAACACGTCGCCGCCAAGTACGCTTTTGTCCGCCTGCTCCGAGACTCGCATCATCTCCAGAAGCACACCGTCGTTCACTGGGGTACATGGCTCGGTGTGAACTTGGCTCTTGGAGTTGCGGCTTTCATCGTGGCTGAGGCCGAGCCTATCCTGAGCTACCTACTCGGCTTGGCTGGTGCCTTCTGTTTCGCCCCTTTCAGTCTGATCTTCCCCTGTCTTCTTTGGATGTACGATTCCAAGGGTTACAGAACTGGGTCGGTTGCGTAGAAGGCCAAGTATGCCGTCCACGCTCTCATCGTCTCCCTTGGTCTGTTCATGGTCGTTGGGACAGCGTATGTCTATTTCCACCCCCGACACTCTGGCAAGATAAACCGGTCAACTAACATGCTGTTGTCTTAGCTATGCGGTTGTTGTTGCTACAAAGGATGCCTTCGCAACTGGCATGATTGCACGCGTCTTTGACTGTGCCGCTAACTCTGGATCCAGCTGAATGCGGAGCTCCAGCACTGTAAACGATGCCTGGCAGTCGGTGAAGATTAGTTCATTGTCAGTTTATTAGGGTCAGCTACTCCAGGATAGAGGGTTGGGGATTAGTTCTTCAAGTTCGAAGCCGGTTTTCTTCAGTTTTGCAAAAGCAAGTGAGACATTGATTCAGAATGTTCCTCCTCGGTCGGAGTGTGCACTGGTGGAGAGTGTGTGCAACTATCTAGAAAATAACATTTCTACCGCACACCTCATTGCCAACCAGTTTTCCCTTGTCAACATCTGCCACATCCCAGTTATTTCGCGCCTAGAAAACTCATAGCAGCGCCACATCCCCATGGGCTCTTAAGAACGTGTTACATAAAAGAATTCACTTGGTGAGAGGCAGGGTTGCTGTTGTGTTTCCCTCACGTGCAAAATATTAGCACTCGGCTTTGAGAGCATTGCATCATTGGTCTTGATGGACGCGATCATCAACCAACTGATATTGGGCGATCAATCTGATCCTCCCCGATCTGTGATGAACTCGAAGCCATACACAACATTTTTTGGTCACTTGGAAATGTATATTTCCGATATCAATCATGCGTGTAGCGATCTCAGGGGACCGTGGCTAGTCTATCTCTATCTTGATCTTTCCAATGCCACGATCAACACAACTTTGCACGGCATGCCCTTTTTGATTCGAGAGAAGGCATGTGCTCCTGTAATCAACTTCACCTTTACATAAAGTAACTTTGCATGCACCACACGCACCAGCCAGGCATGACGAGGTGACATCAAAGCCTACCTCTGTCAAGACATCGAGCAATGATTTGTTGGCAGGAACCGTGAGATTCTCATGCCTGTTCTCGTCCGGGTCGAAAACCTCGACATCGAAAGGCTCGCCGAAATCACCGCCTTCCCCGCTTCCAAAGTCTTCGTAATGAACCATATGTTCTTGGTAGCCGTGCTCGTCGGTGATGCGAGAACATTCCTGCATCATGCGTCGGGGACCGCATGAGAATATGCGGGCCTTTGGGTTACCGTGCGTGTCTAGCTTCGGAATGACAGACTGTACATTGAGCCTTTGGCCCTCCTCAGATACGTAAAGGGTGGTCCTGTGCTTGGGGAGGCGATCCAAGAATGCTGCTTCCCTTGCACTGCGAACGGCGTAATGAAGATGCCACGACAAGCCTTTGCTTTCCCAGCGCCTGATGGATGGGAGGAATGCAGTGATACCAATGCCTCCGACGATCAGAACAAGTGGGAGACCCTCGTCGCACTTCTTGTCGTTCTCTTGAGCACGAGGATTATCGCCAGGTGCCATGGTGATCTCATCCCCAATCTTGAGCTCCTGGTGCAGATATGCTGAGCCTCCTCTGGAGTTCTGATCGAGAGACACAGCAATACTGAACTGGTGCAAGTCCCCGTCGACAATGGAGTAGGATCGGCTAAGTCTCCCATCAGGTCCAAAGTTGATCATTGCAAATGCGTAAGGGTCAAACTCTGGCTTCGTCAACACCAGCGTCTCCTTCATGTGGAAGGTAAGTCTTCGAACGCGCGGTGTGACGAGCTCAGCGTCGACCAGAGTGTAGCGTTTCTGAGCTCGCCTCAGTCTCGTGCTGGCAATGTCCAGCCACAGCTCGGTCATGGGAAGCTGGATGCAATCCGAAAGAAGAGTGAGCGCGACGTGCTTGCCTCTAGTGACGCGCTGCACGTTGAGAACGGACCACTTGGGATATGGTCGCTTGAGCAGAACCATCTTGTCGCCCTTGCAAATCATCCCCGTCTTCAGCACACGCATGTTCCAGCCCGAACGTCCTGTCTGGATTGTTCGCTTCAACATTCTCGGCCACTCGAAGCGTGCATTGAGCTTGTAGCACGGGTGTCTAGGTTCGCTGACCTCGAGGAGGACTTCGCCGCCGAGTTGGTATATGTCGCCGATGCAAACATTGTCTTCGCTCAGGTTTGTCGTAGCAATGTTTTCGCCGAAAGAGCCAGTGTCGTACAGGTGCGGGTTGGCAACGCTTTCGGTTTGCCAATCTTCGTAGTGTTCTGGATTGTACTGATGCACAGCTCGTTCTGTGCCACCGTGCGACTTGGCTGCGTGGTCGTCACCTTCCAATCCTGTTGCATCGCAGAATAGGGGTCCGTCATGTTCCTTCTTGTAGATGGCGGACGTTATTTCGCCTCCCAACCCTGCTTTCTTGACTTTCCCTGTTCGGGCTTGAATCAGGGTTGCCTCCTTCGGCCACGGTGCTGGCTTCAACGTCATCACAGTCTCTTTCGTGATATCGACTGCGCCACGACGGGCCATGATGCCGGCATGGGGGCGGGGCGAGTTCATGTGGTGGGGCGACTCGAGTTCGGAGGCGCTCGTAGGAAGAAAAGAAGCTTCACTCGGCCTCTGGTGGTTTGCACGAGATTGGACCCTCTCAGGGCTTGGTTTCCCTGCGTTTCCTTTACCCGATTTGCTCTCAAGTTAAGCACCTTCGCAGTCAGACGTGCAAAGCAAGCCATCACGCCTCGGGGTATGGTGCTCCTGCATCTGCTCGGGGCAGCGAACCCGTCGGTCCGCATCAACTTTCCAAACGCTAAGTGCGTCGGACCTTGGCCCCGGGTGCTCCGCGGGTTTGCCCCGCTTGCCGGCTGGACGGGGAGAAAGGCTCGCCGCGGTCCCGCCGACTTATCTAACTGGGTATTGCGATAAATGAAGGGCCCTCTATCAGATAGCAAAGACTCACCGGGCATCGCTCACGTGTGATCATTGTAATCAGGGACTCGACTGTGTCTCATGCAGTTGTGCTGCATAATGGCATCTGCTCAGATCACCACCCATTCATGTATGAAAACCCCGATAGGGCTGCGAGGCCCGTAAATGGGTCAACGATCTCGAATCCGTCTCACGCCAGTCTGGCCTAAAACATCGTCAACCGCTATCTGCTCCGAAGGGGCACAGTCGCCATCTCATTGTTCATCATGTGCTCGTCCAATTCAAGCCATTATCCATGGCCTGTCTCGACTAAGTGACAAGCGCCCCAGGAGGGGTCACAGCCAATCACTGGGCCAGGAGTCCATGTAAGGCGGACTACCATGGTTCTTGGGTCGGGTCCTAGGGTCCAAGAGCCTGCCGCATTTCCCCCGGATTCCTATCGTCCTATCGCACGAGCGCTTGGCCACAGGGGTACCGGGCAAGGCGGGGGCGGCTATCTCCAGCTTGGCATCTCATTCAAGGTTCTCATTCAAGGTAAAGGTCTCGAAGAGCGGCGCAGGTATGCCTGAGGACTCATGCCTGCTTCGATTGCGGGAACGTCTCTATCGTGCCCAGCACAGCATATTCTCTTCGCTGGGACCAGGGTTTCATTTCCTGGGGCTTTTGGGTTCAGCTTTTTGGTTCAGCTGAGCATATATCCCGGTGCTGCACGCACCAGCGCACCCCTTCTTTTTCCTTCTTCTCGTTTTCCTTTTTTTCCCGCCTTGCTCATAGGTTTATCGCTTTTCATGTTAATGTTGCTTTCACAATAGCTCCAACAAAAACCTACCTCAAACAAAGACATCATGGACCCAGAAACGGTCATTCAACCTCAGGCTCCTCCTGATCTTCGCATCCCGGACTCGCAGGTTACTGTGAAAGTGTCAATCATCGACACCACCAGCCACATGAGCAAGTTTCCCATGTTCGCCTTTGTCGATCCGTTGATGCCAGGCCATCATGAGATGAACTGCGGTGACTTTGCTTTCTTGGTTGAGCATCCCAAGAGCGGCAACAAGTACGACACTATGCTCTTTGACCAGGGCGTGCGCAAGGATTGGGAGAACTTACCCCACGCCCTTCGTCCATGGTGTCAAGCAAGGCGGCTGCGTAATTGAGGTTGATAAAGACGTTGCCACCATTCTCAAGGAGAATGGGAAAGACCTCTCCGAGGTGGGAGGCGTTGTTTGGTCACACTGGCATTTCGACCACGTCGGTGATGCACAGACATTCCCAGGTACCACGGATATCATTGTCAGGCCAGGGTTCAAGAAAGCGCATATCCCTGCGTGGCCAACCGATCCTGAGTCTCACATTGACGGGAAGGCCTGGGAAGGGCGCACACTTCGCGAGATAGACTTCGTAACAGAGGGCAATGGTCTCAAAATTGGCCGGTTCGATGCACTGGATCTTTACGGCGACGGAACCTTCTACCTCCTCAACACCCCCGGCCACACTGTTGGTCATCTATCGGCCCTCGCTCGCACGACGTTGGAGCCCCCAACCTTCATCTTCATGGGAGGAGACATCGCACATCAGGGAGGGGAGTTCCGGCCGACACAGTACATGCCCTTGCCCGCCGAGATCTCTCCCAATCCGTTCAGCCGCACTCTCCCACATGCGGCCTTGACCTGTCCTGGTGACATCTTCGTCGCGATCCATCCGAAGAAGAGCCGCACAGAGCCATTCTTCAACCCAACCACGGCTGATGGTGCATGGCATGATTGTCCGCATGAGGCGAAGCGCAGCATCGACAAGATGACCGAGTTTGATGCATACGAGAACATATTTCCGGTAATCGCTCACGACAACAGCCTATGGGGCACTGTGGATCTTTATCCAAAGCCAGCTGATGACTGGTACGCGAAGGGCTGGAAGGACAAGACACAGTGGGGATGGCTCAATGAGTTTGATCCGGGCAGCGAGGGATCAGAAAAGCTGGCTTGCAATGACAGAGAGAGTATTACTTGGTTAACTAAAGTTCTCAAGTCCTTCTTTACCCTAACGTGCTATTTTGACTGTTGCCATCAGTTGTCCCAAATCGGTCCGGGAAAATGGTCCACGTTCCATTTTACGTTGGTCACATACACAAGTCTTTTGATATTTTCCCCTAGCTTTCTAAAGGCGACGGCCAGGTGCGCTTTCGAATGTTGTTCCGAACAAGTGAAATGTATTCATGCAGACATGTTCCAGGTGGGTCGATTGTCTGTGATGCCTTTAACGGATCGCTAGATCCTCAATTGCCAATATCCTTCGCCGCCGTCTCATTATATCTGTCACCCTGCGGCTTCAGCTTGTTGATCGTGGCACGCATCAGCTTCAGTTCTTCTTCTGTCAACTCAATGTCTCGCGAGGCCCAGTTCTCCTCCAGACGCGATGGCTTTGTCGTCCCCGGAATGGAAATGATGCCTTGAGCTGCGACCCAAGCCAGCGCAACCTGAGCGACTGTGCAGCCCTTCTGCTTCGAAATTTTCTTGAAGCCCTCGCTGATCTTCTTGTTGGCGTAGAAACTTTCGCCTTGAAACTTGGGTACTGTACAGGGGCAAACAGTCAATATCCAAAGTCCACATATGGCGCCAAGCGTTTACTCACTTTCGCGACGATAGTCGTCCTCGTTGAAGTCTTCGGGAGAGTTGTAAGGAAAGTGCTCAACCAGCCAACCATGTCCAAGGGGACCGTAGGCGATGAAGGCGATGTCCAGCTCACGCGCTGTGTTGATAAGTCCGTCTCCCTCGTGAATAGTCTCGAAAGGAGAATACTCGGCTTGAACAGCATCGATTTTCGCAACTGTATTGGCACAGAATTAGCCGGTACCCGAGCAAAAGCAATCTCAGGCGAATAACTCACTGAAATTCGCTTTTCTCAGGGTCGCGGCCGAGCATTCAGAAAGTCCAATATACTTTGTCTTGCCCTCCGTGCGAAGGCTGTCCAAGGCTGGGATGGACTCCTCAAGGGGGGTATCTGATGCCCATCAGTCACCACCATCAGCGGAGGATCGCTAATAAAGGGGGAATACTGACTGGCGTCGAGGCGGTGGAGATAGTAGAGATCGGGCGTGAAGCCAAGTCGCTCAATTGTGCCGTCAATGTAACTCTTGATGTGAGCGGCTTTGTTGGTAACTTTGCCGTCTTCGAAAACGGCAACGCCGCACTTCGAAGCAACTGCAGAAACACGCAGATTAGCCAGTCTCCACTTCGAATGGAACAAGGGACACATACTGAACAGCTTGTCACGGCAATTGTGCTTTCGGATGAAGTCGCCAAGGATCTTCTCGTTCATGCCGTTTCGGTAGGAAACAGCAGTGTCCCAGAATGTGCAACCCAGCTCCAAAGCCTTCAGGAGAACTGGCTCGGCCTCTTCGTAGCTGAGGTTGTTGCCGAGTGCGAAGCTGATCCCCATGGCACCAAAGCCAGGCACTGGAACTTCCAGGCCATCATTGAAATGAAGTGTCTTGACCATGTTGGCGGTCGGAATCTTCACTTGCACTTGAGCGTGAGGTCCTCGGGAAGCTGCTTGGGAAGGGTTCCTGCACCTTAGCTCTTAGCTACTTTAATAGCTTCGCCGAAACCGCGACCTCCCCACTCCGGCTGACCCTTGCTATCGCATACTGATACCATTGTGCCGACTTTGCCCCGTAGGGTACCGGTGCTCTTAGTGCGCGAGCGTCGTCGGAGACTTGGCGCCAAAGCTATGGATAGGCTACTGATTGCACTGGCACCACCCGGGCTTGCCGCCCCATTCCCCAGGCTCCACAGGTCCGCTTCTCCTTGACCCTTGAGTAATGATGATTATGATAGTGGATAGGACATCTCAATGCCGATGTCGGTCCTGGTCCGAGTACATCTCATCAGCAAGCTTCCGACATCATGCTAAGCTTTCAGTCCGCAGCTGGGTCAGCTCGTGAACCCGTTTGCCCCGAGCGTATGAACCAGGACAGATGATTCTCTTGTCGCATGTCGCCCGATCCTGAACAAGGGGTCACAACAAGAGCGAATGCTCCTTCAATCTTGATGCCGAGTATAATTAAGTAAACCCTACAAATAAGGTCCCGAGAACACGATGAACCCATGACACCGAGCCTCGGGGTTTCCCGACGAAGAGACAACAAATTCCCGTGCCGCCTGTCACGGCGGCTGAGGTTGTTGCCGCACTTTTGGACAACAAAACCTTTCAGACTTCTTTTCCTAATCTCCTAATCTCCTAATTGATATACAAGGGACTTCTAAGCGTCGATTAAGAAATGCCTAAACTCATGATGGCAGAAAGGAACAGGAGGACTGGTCCATTTTGGATTGATGTCTTCGTCGTCGAACTGCACGACGGGGGCCAGCGTTCGAAGGTCAGAACCAAACACGGTGTCCTTGAAGTGCACGTAGTACCTTTCATTCTCTATCAACTTGCTGTTCTCCCTCCACGCCTTCATTATTTGGTAGTACAGAGGCGCGACGTGAATATCACTACCCCAAGGCGTGAAGTTGTACTTATCCTGGATCCTCTTCACCACCTCGGGCTGGTAAAGACGAACCTCGGGATCTAGGGTGGCCATGTTGTATGCGGTAAGTGCACCATGACCGTGGTATGAGCCGCCAAACTTGGTACGATCACGGATAGCGCAGGCGATGATCAGGGCCGTCAGGATACCCGTCGACATGTCGGATATGGGCAAACTTGGAAGCACACCCTGGCCGGCAGGCAGACCGAATGACTGAGCAATGACCCATGAACTACCGGCAGCAGCGTCCGCGACCTGCTGCCATCCAGGCCTCTCAGCATAAGGCCCATCAGGTCCGTAGCAGTTCTCGTCTACGTAAACGATGCCCCTGCCGCGCTTGTTGGCAATCTCCAAAGCAGCCTTGAGCCCGAAACCCCGACGCTCGAGGGAGCGCAGGCGGTAGCCCTGGAGGATAACATCGGCCTCCTCGAACAACATGATCAGCTTGGCGTGGTCGTCGGGGTTTTCGAGATCCAGATCGATAGTCGTCTTGCCTGCCATCAGAGATGATGGCTGGGCTGGAGTATAGTCCTTGAGCTTGGAAGAATTGACACGAATGACCTCGGCACCCATGGATGCAAGAGCGGCACCGGCAGCGCTTCCAGCAATAATCCTCACAAGCTCAACCACCTTGATGCCGGCGAGAGGTCGAGGATCCTTGAGCTGAGGCAATGGAGATGGCGCCAACGCGAGACATTGTGTCTGGCGAGAGTAGTTAATGAGCGGGTGACGGCCCAGGAGTTTGCCCATTTCAGTTTTTCGCCATCCCTCTGGGGAGTGCACGATAGAGCCTGACAGACCCTTCTCCACCATCAGCTGCTCGAGCTCCCGAGCACGGTACTTGCGGACATGATCTCCAATTAGTCTGTAGGCCGCGTCGTCTGTACCAACAGAGACATCAAGGTCCCTGCTGATGCCGACCGCAGCCAAAGCGGTCCAGGGGTCAAGAGAACCGTGGAATTGGTACCAAGTCCCTACATCGGCGGTCTCATAGATGGCAGTGGCGCGGAACACTAGGGATGAGCCAGTTTGACGATCCTTGTCCCACTGGGGGACACTTGGCAGCTTGATGACATCAGGGCCAGTGACGCCGTCAATCGCAACCAGCGCTGGGGTCGCAGGGTAGAGGCCAGCATGATCCGTGTCGATGTGTACCGCGCTGCTGACGTCGCGACCACGGAGGCGCAGAATCTCAAGTGCGACAATGCCAAACATGGCATGCAGAGTCGCAGTCAGAGCCTGGGACTTGATAGGACCGGGAATGCATGGCAGATCGTCTCCGTGAAAATGGACCTTGTTTAGCAAGGCTTCATCGGTCGTGAACCCCGGGGTTCGCTTGGCTAGGATGCGCAGTAGTCGCTTGCACTCCTCTGGTACAGGCAGGAAAGCCTCGTCAACGTAGGTGCCAGGGCCATAGCTTTGCGACTTGTTGCTGGAGGTCATCTTGCTTCGTCTGTTGTGGGTTCATCGATAAGGCGGCTAAAGCTCAGGTCATCCATGTGCCGAGGATTCTGGTCTTAAGTTCCGGTCGTGCACTTCATTCTTCATACCACGCTGTTTTCGGCAATCAGCGTCCAGCTTAGTGTCCGAGGCATGGGTGCCGTGGTTCGGAGCGTCGGGGATGCCGTCCCGGGCTTTCCGCGGGTGGATCCGGAGTGAGGGTCAGTAACAAACAGGGGCTTGCACCAGGGTCCGGGTGATCGTCTAAGTCTTCCGGCGTTCAATCACGGAGCTCCAGTTCGCGCTTTGCAAGCCGACGAAGGCACAAGAGCTGCCGTGATAGATAGCTAGATGGTGCTGCAACTCGGCCTCTTCCTCGCAATTCCTGGTGTTTGTCTCTCATCCACTGAGTTCAACCGTATGCGAATTGACTCGCGAGGATGTCACTTAACGTTCGCTCAGTCGCCGTTGTGGGTGGCGGCGTCATCGGCGCAAGCTGGGCCTACCTCTTCCTCACGAAAGGGCTGAGAGTTGTCATGTCAGATCCCGCCAAAGGGGCAGAAGATTCATTCAAGCTTTTCATCACCAAAGCCAACGCCGACTCAGATGGGTCTGCCAGTGACCTGCAGAAACTCCTGGTCAGGTTTGAGTTTGTTGATGACATTACGCCGCACTTGCCAAAGGTGGACTTTGTTCAAGAGGTAATGTTGCTTTGAGTCCGACTCCATATCCTGCTCATTGACCAAGGATTAGCTTCATTTCGGAACTAGCATGCTTACTTCATAACTAGAACGGGCCAGAGCGCTTAGAACTCAAGCAACGGATCGTGGCGTCGATCGATGAGCACACCCGCCCCGAGGTCGTAATCGCTTCGTCCTCGTCCGGCCTTCCCCCATCACAATTCATCACCGAATGTAAGAAAGCACCTGGTCGCGTTCTGGTGGGGCACCCCTTCAACCCGCCGCATTTGATCCCGCTGGTCGAAGTTGTCCCCCACCCCGGTACCAATCAGGCTTCCATCACCGCTGCTCTGGAATTCTACAAGTCGCTCGGCAAGCGGCCTATTCAGCTTCGCAAAGAGATTCCCGGCTTCGTCGCGAATCGTCTTCAGACAGCGATCAACAACGAGGCATACAGTCTGATCAGCAGAGGAGTTGTCTCGGCCCACGATCTCGATGCTGCCGTCTCATCAGGTCCCGGTCTTCGATGGGCACTCACTGGGCCGATTGCCATCAATACCCTCGGTGGTGGGGGGGCCATGATGGTTTTGGGCAAAGACTTGAAAGACTCGGGCCAGCCATTCAAGGTTGGGAGCAGGATATCCTACGTAACCGCTTCGTCTGGGACGAAACAGATATTGCGAAGTTGAGAGACGAGGTCAACAAGTCTTATGGCAGTACTGACTGGGACGAGATTGTGCGCGAGAGAGACTCCGTGCTGATGGACCTCCTGGCTTCAAAGTCCAAAGCAACCTCGTTAGACTGAAAGCGAACCGCTTCACTGTAACAACAGCTTCAGACGTAATCAAAAAGGCACACGGCTCGTCATGAGAACAGTCTGAGAAATCGTGTAAATGACGAAACCTGTAGACGGATGGCTTATGTGTTTGTCTTACTCCATGTTCGTGAACCCATGCATTTTTTATCGTTTTGTGCCAGCTTCAACCGTATCCATGTCATTTTCGACTTGTTGTGTTATCATTCCTGAGCGATCCAGAAATTGAGCCACTCGATGAAGCCCTTAAAGGGCTGCTCCTTTGCCCACATCTCATAAGGATCTGTGAGGCGCGCTCGTGACTGGCAGGTTCTGTTAGTGTGACGTGCATGCGGGGGATCTGCATTGGACCTACCGCGAAGCCATGACCGACGTCAGAGAAGATTTGCATGTTGAATCGCTGCTTCTGCTCGGTGCAGATTCCGACCACACGGGCGCGTGCCTCCGGAGTGAAGAGGTTATCGGTGCTGGGAACGGCGAAAGCAATAGACCCTGTTACATATTATTGTCAGCCACAAGGCGCCCTTTGCACAAGACCGGCCGCATGAGAGGTTGCTATACCCTTAGAGTTCTGTACGTGGCTCTCCTTCACAAAAGAAGGGTGAGCAATGGCTCCAGCTGAGCAAATGCCACCATCCGACAACTGTACGCAAACGAACCTCGCACCCCAGCTACTTCTTGTCAGCGAGCGCCAGCCATTGCTCTGGGCAATTGTTTGCCCGACTTACCAGTAGCCAACACAGCCGAACTTTGTCTTCCCTCCATTCCCGTACTGGGCCTTCACGTTCTTCACCCATTCCCTTCCGACGTCCTCCGATGCAGTCAGGTGCTTGGCCGCCCAAGCCCCAAGGTCGAAGTTGGGGTCGCTCAGCGGCGTAGCAGAGTGCTTTCCCACAGAATCCTGGAGGAAGTCGGTGTCAATGCGCCGCCCTCTCAATCGTCCTGTATTCGCCGGTGATGCACTTACCCCTAAGAAGTAAACGACACCGAGTGTCAAGTATCCACAAGCGGCATAGGCGTCCATCAGCAGCATGCTGTTGATGTGCAGCCCGAAGGCATCAGGGAAGGAGAGCAGAACATGGCCATTGGCAGCTTTGGAGTCGGGCGTCGCCACGTAGGTATCGACACCCTCGATCTGGATGGTCTTGCCAGTGGGCTCGCCCTTGTGCAAGTCGCCCTTGAGGCAGCACACGTCAGCGGGCTTCGCAAGCACGGGATCGTGAACGCCTGCCATGCCGCCCGATATCGCTGAGCTTGGACTGAGAATGAAATGTCCCAAAACTGGTTGTTGTGGACCGCTCGGCACTGTTTGCCAAGGGTGTGCTGGAAATGACGAGGAGGCACACCAGGTATCTCGGTATCTGCCGGGGAGCAGAGCCGGGCCGATCGCCGCCCATCGGGCGCCAACCAAACGATGAATTCGATAACTGTGCCTAAGCACAATTTCAATAAGTCCCAGCAATCAGAGCTCCGCACTTGTAAGCGGACGAGATAGGACGATAAGACTCGAAATCTCGGGTCATCCGGTCAGCGTCCAAATCGGCCACTGTCGAGCTACCCCAGCCCCACCACACCACTGCCTGGGGATAACCACCAGTTGGCACTCCTTGATCCTCCACTCCAGATCTGGGCCAGCTGGAACTATTCCTCGGTGGAAAATGGCAAGACTCTGGACGGACGTTGTCCGTGAGAAGAGGGCAATCCGCAATCAAAAACTTGCAAAGACCTACGGCGAAGATGCACCTTCTGATCCGCGCATCTTTGCTGCGAGAGATATCCAGGGCTTGCTCAATCTACTACAAGATCGAGAGGTCACAACTGAGGCCATCGTGCTTGCCCACATTGCAAAGTAAGAGTCCAGTCATCATGTATCCCCGTGGTCGTTGCCTCCGTTTAACGTTCATTAGAGCAAAAGAAGCCCATCAGAAGGTACGCTTACGTTTTGGTGCCCATGTATCAATGGGATGGACCGCTGATATGGTGGTTGCAAACAGACTGTTTGACAGAAATCTGCTTCGATGAGGCCCTTGACCAGGCGCGTGAGCTCGACGCCCTTCAAATGGAACATGGGCGGCTAAAGGGGCCTCTGCACGGCGTGCCAGTCTCGCTCAAGGACCAATTCAACGTTGAAGGGCTGGATCGACACTCGGCTACGTTGGCCGCGCGTTCCATCCCGCCGAGTCGGACTCTGTCCTGGTGGCGGTGCTCAGAAAGCTCGGCGCCGTCATCATCGCAAAGACAAACCTGCCTCAGAGCATTCTGGTATGGAAATGCACCGTCTGCTTGGGGTCAAAGTCACGAACTAACTCCCGGCAGTGGGCTGAAACAGAAAACCCGCTCTGGGGTCTAACCACGCACCCGATGAACCCTCACTACACTCCAGGTGGCTCCTCGGGAGGCGAGGGTGCTCTCCTGGCTCTCGGAGGCTCGGCGCTCGGCGCTCGGCTGGGGAACTGATATTGGCGGCTCCATCCGCATTCCATCCCACATGAACGGCTTGTGGGGTTTGAAACCAAGTGTAGGCAATCTGGGCTTCGAAGCCTCATTACCTGTGCCTGCCTTGCTGACTTGGCCCAGAGTGGCAGGTTCTCCTATGAAGGCGTCGAGGTTTCCCAAGATGGACAACATCAGATACCTTCTGCCGTTGGTCCTATGGCAAGAACACTCAACACTCTTACACTGGCCTCTAAAGCTGTGATCGAGGCGGCGTGCTGGACCCTGGATCCTCAGATGCCGCCCATGCCATGGAGAGATGACGTCTTTCAACAATATTCACAAAAGTCGCTGGTCGTTGGCATCATGGTAGATGACGGGATGGTGAAGGTCCATCCACCCGTCGAGAGGGTGTTTGATGAGGTTTGTCAGAAGCTGGAGGCAGCGGGGCACGAACTCATCCCTTGGGATACGTCTCTGAACGCCGATTGCATCAAGCTCATGGTGGGGGCAAATTCCGCTCAAGACCATACTTTGATCTGCCTACTGACCTCGACAGGATGCGCATTACGTTGTGGATGGAGGCGAAGATATTCGACGCGACGTTGGCGCAGGTGGCGAACCATTCCTGCCCCATGTCCAAGGCTTGGTGGAACGTGGCCCGGCAATATCCGTCTATGAATACTGGCAGCTGAACAAGAGGAAGAAGGCTGCTCAGGCTGCCTACAATCAGATGTGGAACGCCATGAAGTCATCGTCGGGTCGGCCCGTGGATGTTCTAATCGTGCCTACCATGCCACGCACCGCAGTCCCCCATCGGGCATTGCGCTGGCCGGGCTACACGAAACTCTTCAACTTCCTCGACTACACTGCCCTGTCATTTCCCGCTGGTAAAGCGTCCAAAGTACTTGATCCTTCGTTGCCCACAGGATACGAGCCTCGCAATGCCACCGATGCTTGGAACTGGGGCTTGTACGATATCGAAGCAATCGATGGGCATAGCGTTGGTCTGCATATTGTGGGTCGACGTTTGCAAGAGGAAATGGTTCTGGGGATTGCTCATCAGATCCAGAAGATACTGTAGATGGCAGCTCGGTATGGCGGTTCTGATCCTGAAAGTTCTGACTCGATTGTCATATTCATCATTGTCAACGATGATGTTCATGACGGGACTAGCAGAAAGTGGTCAAGATCAGGCATGGAAGAAAGGCTACAAAATCTACCTTGATTCTCCACTATTTGTACATGCGCAGGAACATCTCCTTATTCACGCCTTGTGACCACTAATCCTCCTCGTCCTTATTTTCTCAATGGCGCTGAAGACATCTGCCAACAGACCCATTTTGTTTAACCTTCCCGGTTGTATTGCGCTCAACACTCAACAATTTCCAGGTCCTAGGGGCCTTTTAAGGGCAGAACATGGGCTTTGATGCCGTGTCGCATCTCTGTATTTCATCCTGCTCGTGCAGCTTCGTCAACAGCTGCGTTCCGTGAATACTGGCTGACATTCCAGACTCAGTGTATCATCCAAATGATGATCCACGCGGGGACAAGGACATGAGACGCGCGACGCCGTACATTGGTTTGCACTCGTGTTGATCATTACGGCTTGACTACCCATTCTGTCAAGTGAAACCAAGGCGATATCGCAGAGATAGGCGTCCATCTGCTTTCCTAGACCTGTCAGTCCAACCGGGCACAACAGCCATCTGAGTTGTACCTACCGTTTAATACTATTTCGTCATATATGGAGGGAATCGTGCTTCGCTCAAACGAGCTTCTGTCGAAGATCAGTTTATTTACTACCATCATTCATTCAAAGTCTTCCTAGCACAGCTTTTTACTCAAAGCGAACGAGTCTCGTCGCGATGGCATACCAACAGCAACAATGGGGGGTCACCCACTCAAGTGACGTGCCGATCTGGTTCTGGGACGCGAATTTCTCGGGCGGATTGACTGTGCAGGAGAAGGATTGGCTGAGAGGTTGGAATCAAGGCTTCGCTTCCTTCGTCGAGGGTGACAAGCTCTAGTGGGGGGCCTAGGCATCCGAAAGAGATAAGGCGGTGGAGGACTGATGGCGAGACAGATGTGTGAACAGATGATAAGTGGGAAGACGTTCTGAAGGTCTGGAACCTGCTCAACCAGGCATGAGGTCAAATGAGCTCCCAAGAGACAGGATTAGCGTTCGGATGTCCTCTACGATATAGATGTGCCGTCCTCCTCCATGACCTGAGAATTTGGCTGGTCCAAGACCAACATTATCTTCGTACCAGGGGTCGTGCTCGCAACAGACCCCTAAACCACCATTCTGAACTTGAGCTTATTCCCCTTGACAATCTCGTCCTTCCGTGCCTCGAGCTCCGTGACATCCCACGTCGCCGCTACGAACCTCGCCTGGAGCCACTCCCTCCTCTCACGTGCGAACCACGCCATCCACTGACCGGATAACGCAACGTCGTCGGTGAGCTTGTCATGCAAATATGCGGGCAACCTCTTGCCCATCTCGGTGAGGTACGATCCGGGATGCGCGGCAACACAGATCAGCCCTTGGTCGGCGTAGTCGGCAGCAATGTGCTCCGTGAGCCGGCACACCGCAAACTTGGTCGTCTGATACCCGCTGGCCCCCGCGCCGATGTTGACGGCGCCGATGCTGGTGATGTTCAGGACCGTCTTGAGCGACGACGACTTCAGCACTAGCGGGATGAAGTACCGGGTGAACAGGTAGGTTCCCTTGATGTTGACCTCCCAGTTGGTCCACCACTCGTCCGGGTCGGTCTCGGCAACGGGCGCCCACTCGGACAGGAACGCGGCATTGTTGATGAGCAGGTCGACGGCGCCGAAAGTCTCGGCCACCTTTTTGGCCAGGCCCTCGACATCCTTGGCGGACGTGGCGTCCACCCCGCTGCCGTTGAGCACGTTGGGCTCCGCCTCGCGCCCGGCCTCGAGGGCTGCCTTCTTGATGTCCGCCACGACGTCCGACAGGTCCGAGCGCGCGGTGATGACGATGTTGCTGGCGCCGGACTGAGCGAACGCGATCGCCGCTTCGCGGCCGCAGCCCTTGGACGCGCCGGTGATGACGACCGTCTTGCCCGACAGGTCGGCCTGGAGGGGGTCGATGGCCGGGTATGGCCTCCCGTGCTTCTTGACGAAGGAAACGACACCCTCTGTGCCGGCGGACTCGCGGATGGCGGCAGACATGATCGGGTCCTAGGTGTTATTTCTTTGGGAGGTTGTTTCTTGAGTTGGCTCTGGCGTTTATTAGTGCCGTGGTGGTGGTGGTGTGGTGGGCGAGAGTCTTGGTCGGATTGCGGCTAGGTTCCAAGGATATTGCTCAATGTCAGCCAAGAGACCTCGAGCATGAGCTGAGCCTGAATTTTATACAGGAAGATTCCGCCCCTTGGACTCTCGCCTCAGATTGCGCGAGGTCACGGACTTAATGGATTGCCATATCTAGAAAACTGGAGGGCTATTCCTGTGGGGGCCTATACATGACGATCACGGACTTTGGAGCTTAGCTCCGCTTGGGATGGGGGCGACGCAACGCCAGAGGGAATTGAGTTCGTGCACTGTGAATCAAACGGAGAGAGGACGTTGCACCTGGTCTTTGCCCCTCGGCCAGGTAGCCAACTCTTTCTCTCTTCCTCTGACAAGTTAACGTTTTGGGGGAAGGTCGATTCTGCGGCTAGGAGGTTAGAAGTCTCCTAGCCACCAACCGCCGGCCGAAACCACAGCCTTACCAAAGCACGAAAAGGTTGTAGCACCGTTACGGCTTCCTTAAATAGTTCTCCGTAGCGCAAGCTGCCGCCAAGTGCTTGTGCAGGCTGGTGGGGATGTGGTGTCGGACTTGCTGCTCGGCACGATCGCGGGTTTTCACGGGCCCGCCCGTGCGACACGATGGGACGCGTTGCGGGAGGGCGGCAAATGTTCAACCGTCCACCATCGCCCCCATTATCGTCGTGATCATGTCCACCTTGACCACGATCGGCTTAGATAATAACGAGCCCTTCCTTGTGCTGTGACCACCCCATGAGCTGATCGAACTCATGGTCGTGCTCCTCTCCGTCGATATACCAGTAGGTGCCCAGCTTCTCGTACTTTCCTGCGTGCTCCTTCGCGTTCTCGGCATGCCGAAGCACGAGGAAAGTCTTCCGGTTCTCCCAGATCTTACCCCAGTACAATAACAACAGGGTTTCCAGGTTCTTCGCGCTAGCCTCGGCCATGATGTAGTCTGCTTCCATGCCATAGTGCAGCGTCGTCCCGGTCTCTCTATGCGTGAGCCAGAACCTCTGCGGAACCGAGCTCGATCCCGGATACCCTATACTGGTGTCGAACTCGACGACCTTGCCGTCAACTTTCAGAAACCCGCCCGTGACAGGCCCCGTCTCGCACGTCTCATCCGCGAGAGTGACCTCCACCTGCGTGATTCTTACGTCGATCTCCGATGCCCCGCAGTGGTAGTCCATCCTGTTCGAGAACCAGATACATCCGACCACCGACAGCCAGGACCAACTGGGCGCGATGTACATGGATGTGGGCTTGCGGTGCGTGTCCTGGACCTGCCAGCACAGCTGGTGCGCGAGGTCCTGCTCCCAAAGGCCGGCGAGGTATTTCCCACCGCGGCCGGTCTTATACGCCTGCTCCGCGATGCCCGCGAGCGCAATCATTCGGTCCGAGTCAAAGGTCAGGAGGCACGTGGAGTATCGCTCGACGATGCGCATCCACTGAATCGGGAGTTTCTTCTCGCTGCTGCCGTCTTTGTCATCGTGGTTGCTGTGATGGTCCGGCCGCTTCCTGCCCTTCCACAATCCCAGCGACTCGCGGTGCTCGAGACTGAAGTTGGAGATGGCTAGCATCCCTCCGCACAGACAGTCGGTGCCGCCATAGCACTCCCACTTGAGCTCGTGCTGGTCGTAGTACACAACTCGAGGCGCGAGCAGACGCTCCTGCAGGACCCAGCCGCGCCCAAGCAGCAGAGAGCTGTCACGGTAGTTGCTGCCAAAGGGATTGTGTGTGAAGTGCGGCTGCTGCCTGATGCGCAGATTCCCCTTCGTTGACGATCCCTTCTCTCCTTCTGGGACCTCGTACGTCTTGAATTCCTCCACAAGACCGCTACTCACAAACAGTCCCCCGTGAGAGCCAGCCGCGCACTCGGCGGCAATGTTGAGGTACGACCCGCCGTAGACCGCCTTCATCCGGGTCGACTCATAGCGCCAGTCATCGGCGTCATCCTGCACGATACACATGGTGTCGATCCAGATGTAGTCAACCCCGAGCTTGCGGGTAACCTCGATGGCGTCACCATACGTCCGCGGGATGGTGTCCCAGGGGATGTCGTTGGCCGACCAAGCAGCCATGTTCTTTTTCACCAGGGTGAACTCCTCGTTGTTGCCCCAGCGGTGGCTCAGCGTCGTGTACCGCACCAGCTCGCCATCTGTCTGGACGACTCGAACCTCATCGCTCGAAACCCGAACCAGCCTCGTGGGCGCCCTTGCCCCCTGCGACGGCACGCAGCCGTGGACCCTGTCGCAGGTCTCGATCCACTTTTTGAGCTGCTCTGTCGCTGCATCACCATCGGTGCGGAGGACAGGGTGGCATACTAGTGGTGGCAGGGCCCGACATCCGTTGCTCTCCCACCCGTCGGCTTCGTCCCGCCAGACATTGAAATGACGCCAATTGACAGAGTCCTCCTTGGCAGCGCACGTCCGGATGATTCGCCTTCCTGCCCCTCGCATGCTTTGATCTCCTCTCATGTTGGCTGCTGAGGAAGTAGCAGGCGACGCAGAGGGCTCCCCAGACGAGGGAACGGGCGGGGATGCCAGCGCATAGATGGGTGCTTCGAGCTCAATGAGCATCATCTCGTAGTCCTCTGCTGCGCCCTCGCACATCCCCTCACCGCCCCTGTTCTCCAGATCCTCGACCGAGCCCCGCAGGATCTGCTTGATCTCGTCGACCTCGGTCAGCGCCCAGACGACGGCCGCGCAGGTCTCGCACGGCGGCGCTTGTGCGGTGCCCGCCGCGCTCTCGCGGAACGCCCGGATGGTGTAGTGGTTCCAGTCGCCTGTGCTCGCATGTTGGGCCTGCGGGCACGTCTGTGGCGAGCAGTTGACGTGAAACCGGCGGCAGAGACATGGGGGTTGTGGGACCTTCGTTGACCGAGGCATTTTTGTGGCTGCAGTGGCGAGCGGGTGGTTCCGCTGATGTCGGCTGTAGTGAGGCTTGGAAATCAGTCACTAGACGAGAGGGTTTGAGAGCCACTGAGGGTTTTGTATACGTCTTTCCCTTCGTGAATTTCCTTGAGGAAAGAACCCCTGGGAAATAAGTTCCGCCGACTGCCGGCCGCTGGCTTGGCACTACAACGGCTGCCTTACAGCCCCTGCACGGTCGGAGGCAGGATCGAAACTCCGAGAAGACTGCGCCTTGTAAGTCAGAGGGCAACGCGATAGTGGCCCAGCAGCTCCTAAGCGTCGATGAGACCCGCGCCCTCTTGCATAGATGAATAGATTCTGCCTCTTGAACTCTATATATGAGATTATTAGACCCAGATGGACATCGCGCTGTGTGAACAATCTTTACGCCACGCTTGCGACGAGGATAGTGATAATCATTCCCACTCGGGGACTAAAATCTTACTTATTCTCTTACAGCCCGAACCCAAGCCACGGGGGCATTCGCAAATGACTGCACGAAGAACGTCAAATCTGTGTTTAGCTGTCGGCTCAAGGAGGTGCGGCCACGCCAAGTGGGGCACAAGCATCCATTGTCTGATCTGACGCCGCGTGGTATCTCGGAGGATGTAAATATAGTAGGGCTCCTTAGTGGTGCTACTAATAATGAGGCGGTCATGTTGATCCATGTAAGTTTGTCCAGAAACCTAAACAAACAAACAAGTCGATTCCCTCGGGCCGAAATGCTTGGGAGTGTCTTTCCCCTATACGTTGCGGGTTGACTCAGTATGTGGAATTAGCACGCTTCAAAGGCAAACCATTCAAGATTGGTCAAGAGTAATTGTCTCTCCGCTCTAATCAAAAACACATCTATCTACTAGAGAAGCCCCTCATATAGTCCGATCTCCCAGCCCCAGATGCCCCAACACCCTGCCCGCCGCTCACAGCCACTGCTTGCCGCCGTTGTGCGAGGTGAACGATCCACCCCAGCCCTTCTCGATAGAGGCGTCGGCCGAAATGCGAAGAATGTCCGCCGCCGGACCATCGGGGGTAGTAGCACCCGAGAGGTGTGGCGCAAACGCGGCGAACTTGGCAAACAGGGCCGGACCGTACTTGGCCATGTCCTCACTCGCTGTGGTTGTGTTGCATGTGTCAGCCAGCTTGCCCCCGAACCACGCCCAGGACGAGATATTGGAAACGAAGAGGGGCGAGTATCAAGAGGAAAGGATGTGAAAGCAAGAGAAAAGCCTGGGAGAAAAGGGACAAACTCACGAGGAGCGCGGGAGTTATCATTCTCCACCAAGCCCGGGCAGAGACTCATGAACAGGATGCCCTCGTCGGCATAAGCCGCATGATACTTGGCGATCACCATGTTCAGTGCCGTCTTGGCAATGGTGTAAGGAGCGGTCTCGTGGATGTGGAACTTGGTCACGAGATCAAAGTCTGCGTGGCCCGACGAGATGGCGATGACCTTCTTTGTGTTACCTGCGCGGATGAGGGGCAGATACAGATTGAAGAGGTGAATGTTGCCAAGCACGTTAATGTTGAAGTCCTTGTTATACTCTGCAATTAGGGTCTCGGGATCTTTGGCTCTAAAAAGACCGAGGGGTTAGTGATTCGCCATCAGTGGGCTAACTTTTCGTGTCGCGCGTACGGATCGGTGGTCACTCGAAAGGGCAGGCAGGCCATGACTTACTGCTCCTCAAAGGGCTTGACTGCAGCCCACTGTCCCATGTACGCAGCGTTGGCAATCAAGTAGTCCAGGGAGCCACCCAGGACTTTGGAGACTGGCTCAACAGTTGCCTAAATAATCGACAGGCCCGTGGTCAGTCATGTGGTTCCAAGCAGCCGGCCGTGCCAGTAGAACCTTGGCAGCAGCCACGGTCTGGTGCGAAGCTACAGCCCCTTCCCGGAGCACTTACTGCGAGCGACTTATAGTCAGCCAGGTCGGCCTCGAAAATATGGACGTTCTTCTGGTTGGGAAGCTCCTTGGCGAGCCTCTCCTCCATCTTGGCCTTGCTGCGGACCAGGCCGACGACGACATTATCCGGGTTGCTGGAGGCCTGGCGGAGCAGTTCGAACTGTTCTTATAATCAGACATAGTCAGGACCAATGGGAGCCAGCTGAGCCACTTACGCCAATGCTTCCAGACGTGCCGGTGATCAAGTAGGAAGGCATTTTCAAACTGGCGATGTTGAGTTGCTCTGATAGTGCACAAGATTGGTGAGTAGTAGTGTGGCGGCTATTCAGCGTATTTAGTGTCTTTGGTGTCTTTGATGGTGTTCTGTATTTCAGTCAGGTTGGTGCAGTGGTCCTGCCTTTGGCCCCCTTTATAGCTTGCCAGTTTCACCCGTGCGAAGATGGAGACACAAGACTTGGTCATATTGCCCCAATGACAAAGATCAGATCATGAAACGCGCATTAGTCAATGATTCGGAAATGGTGAGGCTCTTCGTCCGTACGAATCCGAGAGAAGCCCAGGGATGCCTCCAACGACTATCAGGTGGCCGACTATGGTGCATCCACCAGCTCGTGCTGGAGCCATTTTGGAACTGGAACATCCTTGCGTGATGCCTACGCTGATTGGCTGCTAGTGTGAGGGAGCTCCACCAGGTGCAAGAATCAACGAGCTGGGAGGGCATGGTTTCTTGGCGCCGTGCTCAATCAGCACCAGCTGATTAATACCAGCAAGGGGCCGAAGGTAGAGTGGGCCTCGCCGATAGTTGTCCACGATGGGGCACTTGTCACACAGCCAGCTTGGAGGCTCCACCGCAGGCAACTTTCTCCCTATTACAAAGCCCGTGCGACTGACTTCTGGCCATCCCGACAGCTGCAGACAAAGCCGCCCTCTGAAAAGGTTGCTCGAAGGCAGAAAGAAGCGCCCATCTGTCGCGCATCCCAGCATGGCTCAACCAGGATCCAGGGGCTGCTGGACTTGCAGAGGTACCGTTGATTTCCTAGACGTGGAGCTGGCTGAAACCTTGTCTAATGGCTGATCTCGTCCATTTGCTGCGCTGTAGATCGCAGAGTCCGTTGCGATCGCACTCTTCCGCACTGTCGAGCTTGCGCCAGATCAAAACGGCAATGCCAAGGGTATGGTTTGAGGCTGTCCTGGCCGCGAGAGCGCGACCCAAAGCGGTTCATCGTGGGACCTGCTCCAGTTACATCCACCAAGTCGCGATGGCGGCCAGGGGTAGGGGACACTAGTGGTGGTGACGACGAGGGGTGTGCCAGCTTCCAGAGCAACAAGTCGTACTGGTTCGTCCACACAGGGGCTGAAGACGTCGAAGTCTATCACGACCTGGTCGCGTCCCGTAGTGACTTGCACAGCTGGCAAAGTAGGTCCACCTAACCACATGCCACGGCAGAACGTTGTACTTCCACGAAGAGCAAGGGGTTGTGGCTTTCGCTTGTGGCTGACACGTGAGATCGTCCCTAGGATTCGTCCGGCTTCAATGGCCGAGGTTCCCTCTCAACAGCCCGCTGATCTGGAGCTCGCTCGAGCTCGGCGACCTTGGCAAGCCTCTGATGCAGTACTGTGAGTCCATTAGCCATTAGCGTTCCCACTCTCTCGAGAGAGAGGTCAGGACTCACCGCTCTGCAAAATCGCACATAGTCTACACCATTGCGTACACGGCGATACCTACTTTTAGCGCCTACTCGACCACCATTCGAGGTCTTCTAGTCCGAATGGCTTTCAGCAACAATGGCTTGCCTGCCCAAGCTCTGCGCTATGGAATGCTTGCCTTGGCCAGCGTCCATCGAAATGAGGACGTCTCGATCAGCATGAGATACAAAGGGCTCGCGCTGCGGGCGCTGGCAAACTCAACTGATGAGGTTGCCCGCAGTGCCGGAGAGGCGGCCAGGCATGTTGCTGCAGTGATGCTGCTGTCCTCGTTATATGTTGGTCCTCTGACTCGAGACTCTTGCTTGGGAAGGATATGACATGGCTGACCTTTTTCTGCCCAGATGCAAGCGTGCTTCATGACGGGGAACGAGTGGATCAGCTACCTCGCCGGCGCTCGGGAGCTAACCAAGAAGTCACGGTTTGCCCTCATGGTACACGACAGCGACGACATTTCCGAGCTGATGGACTGGGTGTATCACCAAGACGTCTTTTCGCGCTTCAGTAGCTTCCACTGGCGCCGGGGCTATGGCAATCCGCATCGGCGTCTAGACGAGGTGCCTGAATATCAGCCCTACGTAAGATTCTCTCCCAGATCGCCGTTGTCGATCCGCGTGCTGCTGCTGACAGGGATACCAGGCCCATCCACTCCAGGCTCCGAAACCCAACCGCAAGATTCTGAGCCTGTTTCACGATGTCTTTGACGCTATGAAGTACCAGCCGCTCACCGCGAGCGGCATGGGGCTCACTCAAGATGAGGAGCTGGCCCGGCTGCTCGACCTGCAGGAGCAAGTGCGCAATGCCAAGTATGTGGAACAGTGCCCACCACGGTCGGGAACGCTTGACGTTATGGAGACGGAAGACGAGCTCGCGAGGCGGGATCTGGTGGACATGCCTGCGGTGTTTGAGCTGTACCGGCTGGCGGCGCTCACGTGCCTGGCGCGGACTGGCGAGTCGCGGTTCGGGCTGCCGGCCAAGATTGATGGCCTTCTGGAGGACGCTCTGGGGATCATGAGGCGGATGGAGACGTGCCAGCGGCAGTTCCCGGTGCTGGTGCTGGGGACGCAGGCCAAGACGGAACCGCAGAGGCGAGCGGTGGTGGACCTGTTGGACCGGACGACGGACGCGCTGACGGGGAGGACCATGGCATGCCTGAAGCGGTCGGTCGAGGTGTCGTGGGTGCAAATGGATCTGCACGCAGACCAGGACCTGATTCTCGACTTTAGCCAGCTGATGAGGACGCTGTGCGGCAACTGCTCCTCCGTGCCCAACCTGGCCTGAGGCAGCCCCAGGAAGGGATCGTGCAAACATTGGAAACCGGACCACCACCTGGATCTGTAAGGTGGTCCGTACATCAGGCAGGCATATATTGTACGCAACATGCATGAGAACTTGCAAATTTGACCGAACAAACGGGGTGATGGACTAGTGGCATGCGCATCTGCCAATCTTCAATCAATGGTCAGATTCCTGGCTGTGGCTGCAGTCACGCAGCAGCATATGCCTGCCTGCCTGAACTGATAAGCTCACTTCCTCGTCACGCTTCACGCCCAACCAACACCCGCGACCTCCTCCTGGTCGACATTCCCAACCCCGCATAGACATTTCGCAGCTGCTCCTGCCACCTCCTCACGCTCCTGGCCAATATCGGCGACGCACCGCCAAAGGACGATGCCGCCCAACTGTCATTTCGAGTGCGGCACCTGCCTGAAGGAGTTCCCAGCTGGCTGGCACGCACGCGAGAATCACTGCCGCTCGACAGGTCATTCCAGCCCATCCCATGAGTGCGATACGTGCCATCGCTGGTTCTCTTCCGAGCGCGCGCGCCAGCAGCATATGGATGCTCTCGATCACTGGGACCAGAGCTCGAACGAAGGCAAATAGTTCAGTGACAATACCGAAGACGGCAACGACGACGACGACGACTCAGATGACTATTATTGGGAATGCACAGAGTGCAACGATGCCTTCGACACCGAGCAGCAAGTCGTGCAACACGAGGCGGATGAGCACCTGTACTGCAGGCCCTGTGAGCGGTACTTTCAGAGCGACAACAGCATCAGGATGGTAAGAGACCTGCACTGCCTACAGCAGAGAGGCATCATCCTAGGCTCGGTCACTTGGAGAATAATATCTGAGCTCAGTGGAAACTCACAAATGTCTCACCCCAGCATCTCAACTCACGTGTCCATCGTGGAGCCAACATCGACTGCCCCTTCTGCGACCGTAGCTATACTGCCGCCACGGGTGTCGCGCACCACCTCGAGGCCGGCTCCTGTCCCCGTGCTCCAAATCTGAATCGCGACGAGATCTTCCGCATGCTGAGTCGTGTAGACCAGCAAGGCGCCATGACCAAGAAGTTGCTTAGCTGGCACGGATCCACCACGTACGAAGCCACTGCGCTATCTTGGAACGGACGCGCTTATGAGTGCTACCTCTGCCACCGCTCTTTCACGACTTTGCATGGACTCAACCAGCACCTTGGTTCTCCCATTCGTAAGTTGCCAGACACTTTGACCCTTGAACATCTTTGATGGCCTTCATGGCTTTGATGGCAGGCCGCCAGCCGATCTATTTGAAGGGTGAGAAGTGCTAATATCTCTCTCGTCCTTCGCCCGTTCTTCATTAAGACCAGCAGGCACTCTACCACTGCCCAAAGCGGGATTGCCGCCAGGACTTCAAGAGTATTGCGGGTTTTATCAACCATCTCGAAAGTGAGACCTGTGGCTACATGCGCTTTGGCGACGTCCAGAAACGCGCACAGGACATGCTGAGAAACGGCCGGCTTCTGGCGTATTGAAGACATCTCAAAGTCTCGCCTCCAGCCGAGCTGTGGGCTAGTATACGACGAAGTAAGAGGGCGTTTGGACTTCAGCAGCGCCAGGGAACAACTTTGCTTTTCCGGCTGGGTCGATGTGTTGTCAAATCTCTGTCCTGGAGGCAATGGCGTGACACAAACGTATGCGAAATGCCATGTTGGGATCGGATCGGATCAATGCCAAGTTGTGATAATAGCAATACCACAATTTATGAACTGTAGCGATATTGCCCCACTTCTTTCTTTATAGAACGTCGACTTCGCCGCCCAGGCCGGTGGTAAGCCAGCCAATCGTTCCTTGCTCTGTCACACATCCGCACCGTTGCACGGCGACGTGCCATCACAGCTATGCAACCCCTCTCTGTAAGCATCCCACACTACACAGCAGACTGCTCTACCTAGGCAGAGCCGCAAAACAGCAGCAAAACCATGGAGTTGCGCTGTCGTGCGACACAACCTCCATGCAAGCAGCTCGCCCTGATAAGGTGCTGACTCAAGCCATGAGCTTCTATCTGTGACTCTGAGGTGCTGATCCTGGTTGCAAGCATACTCCAACTCCAATACCATTCCAGGCGACACGGGCTTCAGAGTGAAGATCCTGCCTATCCGGGAAGAAATAGCATATGCACTCCCTCATGGTCAGAGGGGCGGAGGTTGTCACACAGCAAGAGGGGTTCATTTCTGCCGTGTTATGTGCGAGCTGTTGACAGCTCCTGCAGCGACGGCCGCGGGCCGCGCCATCAGGCTGACGAATGAGCTCTGAGCTTGGACAGTTCTATCGTGATGGCGGGGTAGATTCTGATCAAAAGAGGTGTGCTTGCGTGCATGCGTGTGTGATATGTGCGCGTGGGCTGCGTGCGTGTATGTCATGCGTGAATAAGCCTGCCGCGTTGGTCCCATACAGGGTTTTTAACAGAGGAGGTGGGCTTGGCACAGAATATACGAGCAGCGTGAGGGTGTATATCAGATCATGGCTGCGCTCCACGAGACTTTCTACGTAGTGCCGGCCGGAGATCTCTTTCGTCCCATCCTGTGTTTTACAGTGCTCGCACAATTGCAGCATCCTCTCTGGTCGAAAAGCAGCGTAAAAGGTCGACCTTCAATGCAATGGAGGCTATAAACTTTAACCTCGTGGCCATCGGAGCTGGATGCTTCACGATTTGTTACGCAGCAGTATGGACCACCAGCACCAGTCTATGGCGGGCCAGACTCCTGTTATGTTGATCAGTGCTAACGCGACTATCGTGTAGGCGAACGTCTATTACAGTAGCTTCCACGGGCCACTAGCCACATTACCGGGCCCGGCTTGGAGCAAGTTCACCGGCCTGCCCGTCGTCTACCATGTATACCACGGCACGAGAATGTATTTCCTGCACGATCTGCACAAGCGCTATGGTACGTAACCTACCCTATCCACTCTCGCGACACTAAGGAGGAAGAATGTGACCATGACAGCTCACAACATCATGCTACCAGGTCCCATCGTCCGTGTCACGCCCAGCGAAGTCTCCATCTCAGACCCAAAAGCCGCAAAGGAGATTCACAAGTTCCGCAGCGAGTACCTCAAGACGCAGTTCTACGAGGACTCGTCCTATGACGAGGCCCAAAACGTCTTCACGACCGCGGACCCGGTCTACCACGCAGAGTGGCGCCGCCTGTTCGCCAAGGCCGTCTCGCAGTCGAATCTGATCACCTTTCAGCCGCTGATCCAGAAGTACGTGGAGATGCTGATCAGGCAGATCGAGCGGGAGCGAAGGGAGCAAGGCTATGTCGACCTGGTGAAGTGGCTCAAGAGCTTCACGTCCGATGTCACGGGGGAGCTGAGCGTGGGCTCGTCGCTGGGGATGCTGGAGACTGGTGAGGTAGGTCATGCATCCAGCCCGCCTTTGGTGATGCCGGAACGACTGTACCGAGTCCGCAGGCAGCTTTGGCCAAAGTTCTTAATGGGAAGCTGAAATTCATACCGATCTCTTTCAGGAACACCAATACGTCAAAGACATCAAGCGCGTCATGCCGCTCAACATCTTCCGCCTGGCCCTATGGCAAGGGGACTTCGCCAAGACGCGCCACCTCCCGTTCTTCCCCTTCGCCACGCTCCGCGGTGTGTCCACGCGGCTCGCCTCCTTTGCCAAGTCGTACATTGACGACTACCGCGCGCGCCTCAGCTCGGGGGCCACCTCGCACACCATCCTGCTCGACAAGGCGCTCGAGACGCAGGCGCGCGAGGGCAGGATATCGGAGCCCGAGATCCTGTCGAACGCAGTGATCCTCATGCTCGCGGGGACGGATACCACCGCGAACACGCTCGCTTATATGCTGTGGTTGCTGGCCAAGTATCCGGATGTCAAGGCCAGGCTGGTGGAGGAGATTGAGCAGGCGCAGTTACCGGGTACTCCGGGCATTGAGGAACTCGGGAAGCTGAAGTATCTTGAGTACTTCATGCTAGAGGTCATGAGGCTGTATGGCGCGGCGCCGGGACCGCTACCCAGGAAAGTGGTACGTATGCACGTTTCGAAAAGCTTTGATGTTGAGTTTCCTAGATGCTTGGATTGATGATGGAGTCGGTGATAAAACACAGTGGCGTCTGCTAACCACCACGGACACAGCCTGACGGTGGTCGCACCATCTGCGGTCACTTTGTCCCCGGCGGCACGACCGTCTCCCCCCTCGCCTACAGTATCTCGCGCGACCCGGCCGTCTACCCGGACCCAGACACGTTCAACCCAGACCGCTGGGCAGGCGCCACGACGGCGATGAAGGAAGCCGACTTCAGCTTCGGCGGGGGCACGCGCATCTGCCTGGGCATGCACATTGCCAACTTGGAGATGAGGATGGTCGTGGTCGCCTTCCTGCGGTCGCCGCTGCGAGACGCGCAGCTCGCGTACGGCGTCAATGGGTTCTCAGAGGCGGGCATGAAGCAGCTCGAGGCTATTGCTGCGAGGCCGTGGGGTGATCAGGTGCTGATTCACTAACGCACCCAAGGTAGGCTGGTGTGCAGCATGGGCCACGGGACGTCCGATGGCGGGCTGAGCATTAGTCTACAATATGGTTCGGCTTGGCAGATCGGTGTTCCAGCAGGTGGTTTATTTTTGTTCGGCATCTCGTGTCTTTGTGTTTCTATCTGCAAGTTGCCGGGTCAGCAATGTGAAATGACTCAGCACGTTACTAGGTGAATTGTCAATTTACTCAAATTTTCTCAAGGTTTATACTGTGAAAGGCGTAAACTCTGGACCAGTGGTAGTATACTCCCGAGACGTGTACCAATATTGAAAATAAGTCTTCCACCTGAGCCGTCACAGCCCCCAATCTCATCCTGCAGGAAGTACAAGCTAATCGCATGAACCTTATCTGACCAGGCTGCAAGCTAAAATCACATGTCAGATCACAGTCTGTGCTTGTGTTCTCACGAGCCCAAAGGTCGGTTGCAGCTGGTCTAAAAACGTGTTTCAGGCATGCAAATGCGCAGCGGCATCCAAGCACTCTGCGCATGGCCTGCGGAAAACTCAAATGTGTCTGACATTTGAATGCTCCAGGGCAAAGGAATGCATTGAGGAAGTTACCACGGCACGCTAGATATGCATGTCAACAGCCTTCGGCACGGCCAAAAGGCTGTTCAGGGTTTGCGGCTGAAAAGAATGAGATGATGTCTCGCACAGCCTCGAAATTTCCTTGGACGGGTTTCAAGCCACCACTCAAATGGCACGTAGCAACGTTCAAGACACGGGCCGGCCCAGGCATGTCAGACTTAGTTTGTGCGCGGCAGCTGTTGTAAGAGTTGAAACAGGGTTTCATTTACGCTGCTTAAGGGGGATGCACAACGACTATATTACCCACGATACCATTCTCCTCCCCAGGGTCTGCTCGTGCACCAGCTAGCTACTTCGCATTCTCAGGGTCAACCCCTTTCAGATTTGCAATATGATCTTCGACTTGATCGGCCGTCTGGCCGTCACATACATCAACTTTGTCGCCAGCATCGGCGTCTACCTTGCAGTGGCCGTATTCTGCGCCGCTGGCAATTCCACCATCACCACGGCCGTCCTGGCCCTGGCTCAGCGCGGAATCAATGCGTTGACACAGAGCCTCAGCGGTGTGGTGCTCATTGTCAAGAGCATCTTCACCAACGAGACCAGCCCGCAACTGATTCGTTATCTTGTCAACCACCTTTATGAGCTGCTCACATTCACCTACGATCTCATCCGCCCCTCTGGTGTCATCACCACCGGCGTGGCTGGAGAGGCTCCTGTCAACCCGTTCTGGGAGCTCGACCCAGCACTCAAGGAGAACCGCCAGGCCATCAGCGCCCAGGTCCAGCGCGTGCTCCTCTCGATCCGCAACATCATCTTTCTGGGCACCCAACGCACCATCCCAAAGTCGCTCGCCGACGTGCCGATGAACATCCGGCTCGCCAGCGACTTTGACGCCTCCGGCAAGCCCCCCTCGCCCATCTACGTCGCGGGCCTCAACGGCGGCGTGACTGCCGCCCTGCGCGAGGAGAAGTGGATCTACATCAACGGCATCGGCAACGAGCGGGTGTGGTTCGAGAGCGCGTGCCGCAAGCTCCGCGACGCGTTCAACCGCGAGATCACGGGCGTGTACAACCGCAGCGACGGGATCCTGTGGGACATGATCCAGTGCTTTGGGGAGCACTCTACGGTGGGCAACGCGCAGGGCGCTGCAGCCGACAACAGCCTGATCCAGCGCACCGAGTCGAGCGTGGCCGCGCAGAGGGCCCTCGAGGACGAGATCCGCAAGGCGCTCTGGCCGGCGGACGGCTCGGTGCCGCCCAAGAAGGTCGTCCTCGTGTGCCACTCGCAGGGCTGCCTGCTCACCCGGCTCACCCTGCAGGCGCTGGTGCAGGAGAACGCCAAGGGCTCCCAGCGCCGCGCCGACATGCGCGAGCGGCTGCGCGTGTTCCCCTTTGCCAACCCCAGCATGGACTGGTGCGTCTCCGACAACGGCGTCAAGTTCCTCGGCAACTACGCCCATACCACGGAGCACTTCGCCCACAAGGTCGACTTTGTCGCCATGCTGGGCGTCGTCTCGCACATGGCCGACCCAAAGTCCGGCTTTGACAACGAGACGTCCGAGGTGTTCCTCAGCAAGGGCGGCGTTGGCCACCTCTTTGGCGCGCACTACTCGCTCGACCCAGGGGACTACGAGAACAGCGAGGGGTCCAAGCTGTTCAATGCTCTGGGTGGTGTGCCCATTGCCTAGTCAAGCAGAACTCCTCAAACGTGTCTGAAATCATGGGATCCGCTTGTCGAACGCTACCTTGTTGAAGACTTTTTAATGATACAGGGCCGTGTCAAGATCTCACCTAAGAAACTGGAATGATAGTTATCTTGTGCTGTATGTCAATCAGGCCTCTAGGGTCATATCAATCCTGGGCGGCATAATCTCAAGGCCTCATAGGTAGCCAAACTTTGAACCCGCCTTATCCACATGCAAGGGTGACCCGATGTGCGGTCGATTACATGGTTGTGACGGTTGTACACATGCTACAGGTTGTCACGAGGAGTGCATAACACGAGCTCTGTTGATCACCACTCATCATGATGTGTGACGGCTTACGCGGACAGCATGCAGCTTCGCTCCATGACAAGAAATACAAACCACCAAAGCCATTTGCAGATTCGATCAGATTCGATCATGACAGCGGGGGGGACTTGCTCGTGCAATCGCCCCATACCTTGGGTGTTTTCTGTGCTTGATCTTCTGCTCCCATCATCTCACCTACCTGCAGTGCATACCCAAAAACGCCCTTTGCCAGATTCTCGAGAAACAATGTCGGCCAAAAGCACAATCGCGATAGTTGGCAGTGGATTCGGCGGGTTCACGCTCGCCCACGAGCTGTCTCTTGCCAAGTACGATGTGGTCGTGATCTCGCCCATGAGGACGATCCAGTATACTCCACTGCTCGCAAGCGCCGCGGCGGGTATGTTCAACTTCCGGTACGTGAAAGAAGTCCTGCCGTATCCTCTACACGGAACGAATCTCCAGCTACCATTTCGCCCCTGTTCTGACCCGTAGCGCAGGCTCGCCGAGGACCCAGTCCGCCGGCGCAACCGCCTCCCCGGGCTGCAGTACTACAAGGCCTCCGTCTGCGACATTGACTTCTCCGGCAAGACGCTCCGCTGCACTCCCGCGGTGCCGGACATTGCCGACAACGAGCTGTCGGGCGACAAGCACGCCTTCACCGTGACGTACGACACCCTCGTGCTCGCCCCGGGATGCACCGTGGAGACATTTGGCACGCCCGGGGCCGACGAGCACGCCATCTTCCTGCGCACGACCGACGATGCGCGCAGGGTCCAGAAGCGGCTGCTCGAGATGGTCGACGCGGCGTCGCTCCCCGGCCTGACGCCCGCGCAGCAGCGCGACATGCTGCGCGTCATCGTCGTCGGCGGAGGGGCCATCGGCATCGAGGCCACGGCCGAGCTGTACGACCTGTGGCACCACGACCTGCGGTTCCTGTACCCGCACCTCGACGTCGAGGGGGAGAACGGCCTGCTGGCCATCGAGGTGCACGACGTGGCGCCGGGCATCCTGGGCAACTTTGACAGCCGGCTCGCCGAGTACGCGCTGCAGAAGCTGCAGCGCCGCGGGGTGCGCGTCGAGACGGGCAGCCACATCACCAGGCTCGAGGACGGGGCCATGTACACCAAGGAGCGCGGCGGGGACAACAACCCGCTGCGCTACGGGATGCTCATCTGGGCGACGGGCAACGGGGTGAACCCGCTCGTGGGCAAGCTGGACGTCAAGAAGGCGGGCAGGATGCAGCGCATCGTCACCGACAGGAAGCTGCGGGTGCAGCAGAGCACACCGCCCCAAGGCGGTGGTGGTGATGATGCTGTCATGCCCGACGTCTACGCGCTCGGGGACTGCGCAGACATCGAAGGGTACTCGCTGCCCATGCTCGCCGAGGTGGCGGTGCAACAGGCCAAGTACCTGGCCAAGCAGCTCAATGCCCGTGGAGAGCGAGGCGAGCAGGCGGACGAGGGCTTTACGTATCAGCAGCGGCCGAACCTGGCGTACCTGGGCGAGCACGACGGGGTGATTGGGGGCCGGGAGGTCTGGACGGGGCGGGCTGCGTGGCTGGCCTGGCGCAGCGGGAGCATCTTCCACTGGCCACGGAGCTGGCGGCGGACCATCATGATTGGCATCAGCTGGATATTTAATGCCATTGGGGGACGAGATATTGCACGGCGGTGGTAGGTAGCCGCGGGAGATGATGTCAGGAACGCGTAGGTGGTGCGCCGGAGCAACCGGTCCGGACCTGGGGTAATGCGGGGTCCGGGGCCGTCCGTCCAGTGGCATGGAACGGGGCCTGGCCCGGAGCATTCCGTCCCGGCGCATGTCAGCAAACGTACTTCACACATCACCATTTTTGAATCATGCAACCTGCGAGCATTGCCAAAACATGTGATGGCAACAGATCGCCAGCATGACAACTTCTTGAGATCTCAGCCCCCCTTGCCTGCCAGGGTAGCAGCGGTGAGCCAGTGATTTAACAGACATTGCCAATCCCCGGGTCAAGCCAAGCCGTCACTCCCACGTCAATACTGTAGCTACATAGGCTTCCATCGCAGGCAAGGGCCACGAGTTGGCTTCGTTCCCTTAGCACTAGCAGCACCGCAACAATGACAGCAGATGACGTTGGCAATGGCCAGGCCGTGATTGGCCAGGGTGCGCGTACTCAGCAAAAAAACATTTTGTTCACGTGGAAGAACCTCATATATAGGCTCACCATTAGAGGGGAACCTCTCTACACCCTTTTGACCTTTATATAGCATCGTACAATCCCTTCCAAGAGTTACCTCTAACCCTGCTGGAAACATGTCTTTCGCAACACGGACGACCACTACCCTCCTCCGCCCCAGCCGCCTCCTCATCACCAGCGCTTCCAGAACAACACCCATCACGGGACGCCTCTTCTCTTCCACAGCCGTCAGCATGGTCCGGATCAGCGAGGCCATCAAGAAAGACCACGACGACCTGCGCGAGGCGCACCGCCGGATCCTCGACGCTACCACGCACGACGAAAAGGTCCGCTGGCGCAACCAGTTCACCTGGGAGCTCGCCCGGCACTCGATTGGCGAGGAGCTCGTCGTGTACCCGGCGTTCGAGGAGCACCTGGAGAACGGCAAGGCCATGGCCGACCATGACCGCGCCGAGCACCAGACGGTATGCTTGTGACTTCCCTTATCATATTTAGACCCGAGCACATAGTTCAGCCTCTACCCCAAAACCTTATATGGCACCCACACAAGCAATCCGCTAACAATCGTGTGTGTCACCCCCTAAAAAAGGTCAAGGAGGAGCTCGCAAAGTTTGAAAACCTCGACCCCGAGGACCCCAAGTTCAGCTCGACCCTCGACAACCTCTGGGCCAACCTGGACAAGCACATGGCCGACGAGGAGGCCAACGACATGCCGGCGCTAGACTCGGCGCTGGGCAGCGAGGCCCACTCGGACAAGCTGGTCCGGTCCTTCAGCCGGACCAAGAAGTTCCTCCCCACGCACTCGCACCCCAACGCGCCGGACCAGCCGCCCTTTGAGACGGCCGTGGGGCTCCTGGCCGCGCCGATCGATCATATCCGGGACCTGTTTAGGAAGTTCCCCGAGGATGCCAAGACGGGAGAGCTGCCGCCGTAGAGTGTGTGTCTGCTGTTGGAAGCTTTTGTATGATACAAGTTATGTAGTTATGTCAAGGGCAATGATCAGCACGCAGTGGTTGCTAGATCACTGCCAGATGCTGCACCAAACGCCCCCGGTAATGAACATGATTCTCTCTATCAGACCGCAAGACCAGTCACCACCAGCACCACCACACCATTACTTTATGCTCGTGAGTCATTAGTTCTATTATTTGTCTATCAGTGGGTAAAACCATTTCCTTTGTATTTTTGTTTTCTCATATCTACAACGTCATCTTCGAGTACGTGTAGCACAGCGGCCCGGCCATCGTGTCCATGTAGTCCTGGACGACGGGCTTGGTGTCGGCGAGCTCCATGACGGGCATCTCGTCGGTGATGGACGCGCGGATGGTCTCGTCACGGTCGATGAAGCCCGCGTAGTCGGCCAGGCGGGTCGCGTTGCGTCCTTGCCACTGTTGTTTTTGGATGAAGGGTCAGTTTTTGTACATCGATGCATGCGGAGGGAGATTTGGGATGGACTTACTCTGGCCCAGGCACGATCCACATTGGCGTGGTGCAAAAAGAAGAGCGGCTGCGATTTGCGAGAGGTTAGTTTATGAGTGTCTCTCGTGTACTGCGTACTGTTGGTGATGAGAAGGAGGGGGCTCACCTCGTTGGGACTCGTGGCCGGGCCCATGTCGCCGAAGATGACGCTGTGGATTTGGGCGTGCGGCAGGCCCTCGAGCATCTCGGACATGCGGCGGTACGTGTCAAAGTTGTCAATGGTGCGCATGACGGCCGAGCTGTAGGCCGAGACCTGCATGTCGCCGATGATGATCTCGCCGGTGACCGGGTCGTGGCCCTCGGCCGAGTTGAACTCGCGGGTGAAGCAGTGCAGGCGGTTGCCCACCGTGTTCATGTCGGGCCAGCCCATGGCGAGGGTCAGGTTCGTGTTGGCAAAGGGCCCGTCGACGACGCAGCGCTGGAAGCCCGGGGTCGGGTTGCCCGTCTTGACGCCGTTGCCGCCGAAGCCCGTGGCCGCGTCCCAGATGGGCGACTCGGGCATCGTGCGGCTGTCGGCCTCGATGGACCAGTCCCAGTACGGCTGCACGCCCTTGAAGCCGCACTCGTCACGCAGGAGGTTCTCGTGCAGGTGGAGGAACCAGCGGTGCCAGGGCAGGAAGTTGGCCACAAAGTGGATGTCGAGGTTGAGCGAGAAGTGCGTGTACACGAGGTCGTCCATCCGCGTCGTCACGGCCTCAATCTGCGAGTACTTCTGCTTGGGCAGGTTGCGCACGCAGACGGCCGCCCGCAGGTACTCGGCCTTCTCGGCGTCGGTGAGCTCGCGCCACTCCTTGCGGACGACGGGATTCGTGCAGGTGGTGCCGTTCTGACGAGGAATGACGCTGGCGGCAGCGGTCGAGGCCGCCCCGAGGGCCAGAAGTAGCGATTGTGGAAGCATGATAGCTGTGTGTATATGTGTGTGTGATGATAGCGAGCGTGCTGGAGCGAGTGTATGTATAGTCGTCGATGGAGAGTCGGCTGACGAGAGAACTCAAGATGCGTAGAGTCAAGCAAGATGGCAGACTGCCGACTTTTATAAGCAATTGAGAACATGTGCCATCGTCTGATACCCGTCTGTCATGACGGGAAGCTTGACGATGGGACGGCAGGCCCGGCCATGGTTGCAAGCAGGGCCCAGTGTCAAGATGCCCAGAAGGGCAAGGCTGCCGTCGAATACGATGCTAAAGCGGAGTATTGCCCATGCTCAGATCCACCCGCATAGCCGTCCGGCATGAAATCGCCAGGGGCAGGGGTCCTTTGCGGGCCACAATGCCATTCACTCCAAGCTTGTCCGAGCCGCATTCCCATCTAGGTAAGATTCTACTATTTGTCTGGGAGGGTGCGCCGATGTACTCTGCACACACAAGACCGTGGCTGGCATCAACAGCAGTTGTGCCCAATCTGAGGCGCTGTTGTGGTGCTTCGCAGAGCAGAGCACCTAAGTATTTCAGCTTTGCATTGCCAGGAACTGAGCAGCGGAGGGCGCCCAAAATTGTGGGAATGGCGATCTTGCCTTGAAACAGCTACTGCTGTCCGAGCCACGGGCATGGGCATGGACATGCATGGCCTTCACGAGAAACCTTCTGCTCGATCCATCGACAAAGCACCGCGGGAATTCCCATAGGCTGGCTGCTGGGCGTGGCCCAGAACTATTATACAGTGTTCTGGAAGCCCAAGATTCCACTGCCCTCACTCGCGCGCCGAGTCCCTCCCTCCCAAGCCACCCCCGTCATTCTGCTCCACCTTGTGACACAACGCTTTTTCCCCCTGACCTAATTTCGGCATTCGTCTGTCGCGCTAGCGCCTAAGGGCCGCTCGTATTCTGGGACGGACGTTGAGGTTGAGTGATGGCCAAGAGGGTGATCGTTGACAAGATCAATTCACCCGTGGTGACCAACCGTGCGACATGCTTCTGTTCATTAAATCAAACTTTCGCGGCTTCGATTGCCCGAGCTTCGATCGTTGTCTATGGAGTTATGAGGCTCGTTCTGTACAGTCATGCACGGATACCATTTCCACGATCACAAGTGCTGTGGAAAGAGCAACTGGCTTGCCAGTGGCGGGAACGAAAGACTAGCTGCTGCCAGGATGCAAAAGTGCCAAGGCAACCTTCGCATAGCCCGTTCTCCGCTGCAGTCTCTGGATCGCGAGATACACAATATCCTTAGTGGGGTCCCTCAAGCCCATACGGTGGTCGAGAATTTGCGAAGGATATTGCTCTGCCATTTGAAAGAGAAAGGGTCTACATGTCACACATTCAAAGTCCCGCCAGACGCCAACTCCGCAACTATAGGATCTGATATGTCTAGAATGGCCCTTGCAACCACAACAATGGCTAGATGCGTTATGCCCATGAGGCAGCGAGGCATGCTGCCAACAAGCACAACTCAAGCGCGTTAAAAATCACCACAACCAGCCATCACAGATAAGTGTTTGCGGATGTCCCAAGATGATTCTGTGTATGAAACTCAATCCTCTGCTGCCCAGAGACGAAAATATGACGTGGAAAATCATTCAACACAGTGCACAATAACCCAAACACTACGTCGAGCCATCCAAAAGCTGAGAAAGCCAGTGCACAATATCTCCCACCAACTTCCTGGCCTGCTGTAACAGCCCTCCTATCGCTCTCAAAATCTCTGCCAATCCTTCGCGAACGTTTGTAAAGAACTCGGCTGCGGCAGTAAAAATACTCTCGATGCCGCCAATGGTCCAGTCCCCGGCGCTCGTAATCACTCTGATGATTTCGATGACCAGCAGGCACATGTCGAAAAGGACCGCAAATAGAAGGGTAACCAGCACGAGATACAAAAATACATAGCCCAGAGTCTGTCCCCATGGACTTGTGCGTCCCTGGCGTACCTGCGCGGTCGAGGATAAGGATTGTCTGGGGCTAATCACGTTATTACCAGAGATTAGCCGATATGAAAAGTTGCTGGACGACGCTGTTGGACCGGGCACGTACGAGCTGTTGGGCCGAGGTGGACCCATATACACGTTGTACGTTGGCAGTAGAGGCGCGTGCTCGCCGTTTGTAGGATGCACGAGCCTCTGGCTTCGTGGCTGCTGTAGCTGAAGCAGATTTTGTCGTGGTAGCATTGACCCCCCTAGAGGAGCGTTCAGTGCTTGCCCAGCTTGGGGGCTTGACATCGCATGCAGCGGCGGCGGCATCATCCATGCGCGCGGTCCACTCGTGATGGCCTCGCTAGTCACGGCATCCATGACACTGCGGGAACCTCGCAAGGCACCACCATACCCATGCAAGACTGGCAGCGTGGCAGGCCTCATGTTGGCGACAGCAGCGTAACTGGTCCGAGGACTCGACACGCCGTAGCCATATCGCGCAACATATGCCCTCAGCAGTTCCTCCTCTCGGATTCCGGCAACGGTCGTCGTCGTCGTCATCATCGCCGTCCCCGTCTCTACGGGGTTCAGTCCTGCGGTGATGACGGGGACATACCCAGCGTGCGTAACCAGCTGCCGGTACGACTGCTTTGACAGCCACAACGACCGCTGCGGTTTCGTCCGATAGTCTCGCAGCTCCCCCAGCGAGGCGCTGCGCACTGTGCGGGTGTTGACATATGTCCTCAGGTCCAGCACGTCTGTCGGGTTGGACAGTTCCAGGACCATCTCGTTGTCTGGGTGCTCATGGGCAGGCTTGATCGGGAGGTAATGCTTTCGCAATTGCGCGTCGTTGGGAAACTTTTTGATGAGATCTGTCTTTCCGAGGGATGTCATCTTTGTTTGAAGGCTGTTAGCTCGTACTTTGTGTGCAGCCACGGTCGTGGTTAGTAGATCTTCATCATCGAGACCACGTACCACAAAGAAGTCAACCTTGCCGTCCCTAGCCTGCGCCGAGAGCACAACAACTGGGTGATCGTAGTATTTGCTCCCAGAGTCGAGACTGTTTGGTGCTGGAGGAAGCCACATGATCCGCCCAGCGAGATCGTGGCCACTGCCACCAACCTGTTGCGGTGGCCATACCTCTCCGTTGTGGCCATGGTGTAGCTGGGGATATTGAACCATAGTTGCTGTGCTGGAGTTATTGTGCGCCTGACAAGCATACAACCTCGAGGTACGTGAGCGAGAGGATTCGTTTTATGACGAGTTCGAGGAACGTCAGCCCAGGCGGCCTCACTCCCATCGAATGGTGAAGTGGTGGGAGAAAGGCGGGGTTCAAAGAGACAGAAGCTGGAAAAGAGGCTGTACGCCTTGCCTGACATCCATGCAACACTGCCTTATGGTGTGTGCAACGGGCCAACAGCCCAACCAACAAACGTTGGTTCAGACCAGTCACAGTCCGGTCCGCAGCCGCCGGCCAACTCTGCGGCCCAGGCCGCTTTGGGGTCTCCGCCGACCACCTAGGAGGTCGCAAGCAGGGCAAATAGCATTATTCCTGATATACTTGCATTGCATCATTCCCTACGAATAGCAAAAGAAACCCGGTATCATACGATCAAGAGCTTGCCTACCGGTCTCCATCCAAGACATGAAGGGTAATGGCGATACTGCACCGCCACCCCCGGCACCGCCGGAGCCCGTGCAGCGCACCCAGCTGCCGTCAAAGCCTACACGGAACAAAGAGCCTCGCCCTTCTGTGTACCTCGCTTCACTCAAGGCTGTTGGCCCGGACTACTTCAAGCAATCCGTCGAGACACCAGTTCGTGAACCTCCGGCCGGTCCCACGTGGTACTTCTTTCACGGCACCTTGACAAATCCGCAAGTTCTCAAACACATCCTCGATCTTCAAGAGGAACCTGTTCTCAGGCCGGCCACCATCATCGGCTACGCACTCACAAATTGGGGCCAGTACAAAGCTCTCATAGACGGAGTGCGGGACTAGCCAGTGGATGGCTTTGCATACCCAGTCGCAACGAAGGAGGACGAGGCCAGGCTCGCGCGCTACGAGACCAGCGCGTACAGGGCCCACCGGTGCATGATCCAGTTCAAGGATGACCAGGAGCCGCGAGAGTTTTGTGGAAACACATTCATGTATGCTGGAGATGCCAAAGCGCTGCAGGAGGGCAGGTTCGATCGGACACTGTGGGAGCGGCCCATGGGTGTTGTCCTGCCGCATACTTGGAGGAGTTGACGGAGGTTTTGTTAGGTGAAGACTACATTATATCTGTAAACTGAGATTTGTATGGAACCGTACAAACCTTTGTTCGATATGACAACAGACTTGCCCCGCCCAGGGACCAAAGGGCGGCTGGACACCATTCGGCACGGGGGAAGGATGCCAGCACTCTCTCTTTCCTTTCATGTGCCGCACAAACGCATATCGAGGGACTTTGGGTATCGGCCGACTAAGCCATAATCGAGCAAGGGCGACACGGCCGAAGCTCGTGCTCAGGTCATGGTGCGACTGGCCCTCGAAATCAATTCCCAATGCCAGCCGACCGCTACAACAACGAATCTCGAAGGTGAGCACATGTTGCCCTGTGCCCTTGAAGTTCTCGCCAAGTTGCTCAGCTATTCATGATGATGAGCTCCCATCCAGGCAGAATGGAGCAGCAGAGAGAGAGACTAGCGCTGGGGCAGGGGTATGTACGGCACGGCCCTGAACGCCGTCACGCCATGCGCATGGCGGCTGCCGCCCCGCTCTTATCTCTCTCGTGACTCGAGAAGGAAACAAAGTCCAGCGGCAGTTGGCCCTCAGCCACAGAGCGGGCGGCTTGCCTAAAGTTCCCCAGTCCCGTTTTTTTCCCACACACACACACACACGCGACATGCCTGTTACTCCATGACAGTGCGGACGACTCATGGCGACACCCGCACAAGCCACCGTCCATACCATGCTGCCAGACACACAATTCCCAGCCTGCTCGGCTCCGCATGTCAGGGTCCTCGTGGTTGGTGGGTCCTCCGCCAAGCCGGCCACCATGATCCGGCAGCGACGGATCGCCCGGATTTGGCAAGGAGGTGAGGAACGAAACGAAAAGGCCTGCTCAGCAATGGCCGTGACACACACACACACACACACACACACACCCCGCTGACTCGTCCAGTCCATCGCCAGCCAGCTCGGTCTAACAATCAAGCCTGAGCCTGAGCCTGAGCCCGCTGCCACGGAGCAATGTCGCTGCCGCCGCCATGGCCGGAACAGCAACAGCGTTCCTGGCGGCTTCGTCTCCCGGCAGTGTCTCCTGCGAGATGGTGCAGGCAAGGACCTCCCGACGACACTCGCCATCTCACAGCCGCTGTCTATAGAGGACCTCTTGCACTATCCGGGAGGCCCGCGCGCACGGCTCGAGGGCATCGACGTGCTCATCTTTGTCGTCTCACTCAGCGCCCGGGCGAGTTTCGAATCCCTCGCCCAACTCTCTGTTCTCCTCGAGGACAACACCACCACCGCTGCCGCCCTGGACGAGCTCGGCCTACAGTCTCCGCAACTCATCAGGTTGCTGCTTGCCGTCCAGCAGCCGCAGCAACAACAACAACCAGCCCAAGTGAACGAGGTCTCGGACGACCAAGTGCGGTGGCTGGCAGACGTGCTCACTGGGGGGCGGCACGTCGTGGTGCTCGCAGGCGATGTGGAAAGGGCAGCGAAGGTGCTCGAGGACATTGCAGGCGAAGTCGTCACCACCACCGCTGCTGCCAGAGGTGTGCCCAGGAGTGGTGGTGGTGGTGGTGGTGCGTCCGTCGGCTCCGGGGACGCCAACGTAGCAGTCGGGGTGGACAGGCCCCTGTCCAATCAAGCCGTCGAGGACGCGCGGATCGGGCACGACGGCTTGAAAAATGGGGAGTGGGTGCGCAAGATCTTTGGCAGGAAATAGACACCAACCCCCCTGCCTTATATGTGAGCAACTATCAACATGATTGTCATTTTTCTGGTGCTATATGTGACATAGCATCCAAGCTATCAGTATACTACATGACCCCCGCGAAGCAGTGCCATACTCAAAACTAAGCCCTGTTCCAATGCCAGCACAGCTTTGTGGGCTCGTCAGATGGCTCATCGTGAGGCATCCCCTCGTAGTCATGGAACGCCATGATCCCTGCTTTCTCAACCGCAAACATTGGTCGGGCTCTTTCCGTGAGTGCGACCACGCCATAGCACAGCTCTCCAGTGATCGATTTTTGGTTGGGCAGCCTGTACCGAGACCCCGGCATTGTTGCCCCAAGTCTCGGACAGCGTCTATATGTTCTCCTGGATTGGCCCGGTATTACCTGATGCAACAAGTCGCATTATATAAGAGTTGCATTCATGGAGTCAGACTCTTTAGGAAAAAGGTTGCCTGGAAACAAGGCCGTTCCAGCGAGTGACTTTACCAAGTATGAGGCTGGTGGCAAGGAAGGGCAGTGGGTAACTGATAGTTAGCCTGAACTCGTCTTTTAGATGACTTCAATTCGTCATGTTTGCGGACAGCTTTGCGAGTCATCGCAGCCATCACTCTGAGACTATTTGAGTGAAGTGTTGGTTTGTATTGGCGATGAACTTCAAGAAAAGAGGGAGTCTACTCAGCAATCAATTGTTTGTTGTGACTAAAGCACCGGCACAATACATCCACAGTTGTCACGTGCAATGGATGATATCTTTATAGAGTTGTCCGATCATTCATGTTCTTCGTTTGTCTACATCACGTCAAGGCGTGCCTCTTCAAAGTCTTAAGCTAGATACGGAATGAATAGCTAATGTACGCCTTGCTGAGAGTGTCGTCTCGAAACCATTGCCAAACTGATATCTTCAAGCCAGCTCGTCCGGGGAGTCATCACGGATCTGTATTCTGGATCTCCTTTTCGGCTTCTCAGACAGTGCATCATCCTCATCCTCCAAGCGTGGGCTTGTTGCGACGCTACTAGTAGCATCCTGACCCGGTAGCCCATCACAGGCAAGCGCGTCCCATCCAGAACCTCCAGTCGCCATGACTAGGTGCGCGTTGACATCCGCCGAGAAGTATTTCTCACGTCTCGTGCTCGCTCTGACTCCACCTTCGAGTGCCGACAGAGCGCTTCGCGTCGTACGCATCTTCTTCTTGGGCTTGCCGCCTTCGCTCAAGATGTTGCTGCGAAGTAATCTCTCTTGCCTGAGACGCTCGTCATATGCGACAATGCTCCGGACATATGGGGCTACCTCAAGAGTGATTAAACGCATTGTGCGATCAAAGACAGAAGGATCGAAACCACCTGCTGGTGCTGCCCTATCAGGCGATGTTGCCAGGATGTCGAACGCGTGGCTGTAGTCGAGTCTGACGATATTCTTGACTTTGGGAAGTACAAAGGAGGATTGTATCAAGGACGTTGCTATCGCTTCAGGAGATGATACATGAGGGCCTCTCTCGAGATGTGTAGGTTGCGCGAGATGATGGCACGCTAGTCGTTCGATAGCAATGGAGGCATGCGCAGAGAGGCCTGGAGACTGTGACCATGGATGGGCTTCCAAAAGTTGGCGGCCAAGCACGTGATCCTCTTTCGCTTTGCTGGGTAAAGGCGGAAGTGTGGTATCGAGATTGACCTCATAGCCAGTGGCAAATGCTCCCGAGGAACATATGTCGGCATCACTCAACGCGGTTGTGAAGGCATCAGCGGCAACGAGAAGGTCCAACCGCCCACGCGCCGAGACATCTGGAGTGGACATTTTGCTGGCCCACGAGCCGAAGCTGTTCTCGGACTGTCTGATGTCGATGCCCCATTCGCTCCACACATCGTGCAGGAGCTGCTCGCCTGCTGTATTTGCAAGGCTGTCGGAATCTGCGGTATCCCGTGAGAACCAGCCCATGCCTTTCTGGTACGTGCCAGTACTGACGACGCGGACAGTGTCGCCGTTCTCATCCTTGTCGACACCTTTAGGCCAGCGCGGAAAGAACCAGTTGAAGCCGCCCTGGGGGTCGCCAACTCCGATCTGGCACCAATAGTTGAGTTCTGTGATAGCTGCGCGTAGATCATGCTGCCGAGTTTCATAGAGGGCTTCAACGGCTTCTCGTGTCAGATTGTGACCTTCGTTGGCGCCAATGAGGAGAAGTAGGTCGACCGCAAGATCAGTTGGCGGAGCTGAAAAGCGAAGAATGCCATGCAGATGCGGAAAGGAGGCGTACACAAGATTCTCCTGTGTACAAGTCATCACAAACGGACGTCGCGACTGAAGGATCATGCCAATAACCGTGGACCAGAATTGCTTGTCCTCTTCGTAGAGGACATCGACTTCTTCCAGCAGAATCAGCGACTGCTTTTGCGACTTAGTAGGTCGCCGGACCTCGGACTGGACTTCGGTGGAATTGACTGCCTTCTGGGGTTTCAGGAGGGTAGTTGCTGTCGAGGGCTGTTTGGTCTTGGCGGTCTTCGCCTTGAAGAAGCTCGTCATGGTTCCTTGCTTTCCTGATTTGAGATCTCGCGACACTTCATCCTCGACCTCGGGTGTCGCAGCCTCCTCCCCAGCTTGATGATGCTGGACAAGATGGTTCCGAGTCATGTCGCCAACACGTTCTAGAATGTCTTTGCCAGAACGTCTTGATCCCGCATGGATCTCGAACACCTCGAAGTCGAGCTCTTTCGCAACGGCATACACAGCAGCTGTTTTGCCACAGCCATGAGGCCCACTGAGCAGGATCGTGTTACTCAGGCGCGCGCCAGCGACGATCGGTCGGCTGACAGTCTTCTTTTTGTTGCCCTTCCCATCTTCTGGTGCCCAGTCCATCTCGTCGTCCGAGTCCGCGCCTGCCAAGCCAAGCTCATCTTCGTCTGAAACAATGAAATCATCAAGCTTATTGCGTCTCCGTTTCTTCTTGACTGGTAGCTGAGCGTCCTTCGATTTGCTGGTTGCCGCGGCCGTGGAGCCCGTATCGACTGATTGTACTATGAGGGCATGCAGCCAGTCTCGCAAGATCTGGGCCTCAGGCCCTGTCTGGAGAACAGTTTCGGCATTGGTCGGGGCGTACTTTGTTGTCCATGCCATTGTCTCGCACGTAGATCTGTCGAATGCCGATAATTGGACGGCGACCCTGTCGAAAGCGGCTTGGACCGCTGGGTGCTGCCTGTGGCCCTTCGTGCCGAGTGTGCGCAACTCTTTGACCACGCGCGCCTGAAGCTTGCGTCCACTCTCAAAATGGCGACCGGGAACCCGCAGTATTGGCGGTGGCGGTTCAAAGCCCTCATTGTTCTGACATCTCAAGGTTGAAACAACGCTCTCGATGTTGAGTTGAGAGACCGCCACGGACATTAGTGATTCATCGTCAGCGATGCTGACGCGTTGGCCTTTAGCCTTTCGCCGTGTCATGCCTGAAGCTGGTGCATGCATGCTTTTGTGGTGCCTCGCTGGTGCCATCTCATCGTGGCCACGGACGTGGCTCATGTCCTTCCAAGGAAAAGCCGGGTATTGCGCGCCAGGAAACTTCAGCAGCCCCGACTTTGCGCCAAAGGCAGGAGCATTAAATTGAGGCGGAGGCTGCTTGTGGCGTTTCGGTGAGCACGGAGTTGAAGTGAAAATAGTGTGGCGTTTCTGCTTCGGAGATGTGGCACTCTTGGCATCACTCTCAATGGGAGTATCTACTTGCGGCTTGCCGAGAAAGAAAGGGTGCGTCGACTTGCTGGACACAAGCTTCGCTGTGGACGGCGGCTTGGTCCTTTTCGCAGGAGGCTGCTTCGTCGAGCTGGGTGACGTGTTTTGCGGTGGGGTCGGTGTTTCGATGAGTTCGAACATTCGAAGATTGCCCTTGGCTATGTCATCAATCTTTCTGGCAATGCGTTGCCGAGCAGCCAAGTCTTTTATACCATATCTCATGCTGATGATCAGGGCTTTCTTTGGCCTGCCTCGTTTTTTTGGTGCCGGGACATCGGTTTCGGGTAGTAGTTTTGGTTTCGGAGGAGACCCAATCGTGCCAGTCTTTGGGTTGAAGAGAAGGAGCTTTTTGGGTGCAGGCACAGCCGTGGTTGAGGTCGACGGGGTGTCAAGAACTGGGGTGCCATCGTCAAGACCCAGGAAAGGAGGGTGCTCTGAGACTGTAGGCGGCTGCGAACTGGACGGGGTTGCCAGGGTTTGGCCGTTGGTCAAGTCGATCTTGCGGCGTTTGGCCTCGCGGCTGACTTCTCCAATCGAGTCCCTGCCACCGAGGTCAGGCATGTCGTGAGCACGCTCCGAGGCTGGACTGCACGATGGATCCGGGGTGACGGGAGTCGGCACGGCGCCATTCTGCGCTATGATTGCAGGGCTAGGTGCCGAGAAGAAAGGATGTACTCGTTTGTTGTCTAGGGTGACTGAATCACCATTTGCGGTCATGTTGGTCGCATTCGAGGAAGGTGCGAGGAGGAGTCCAGCGAGGACCCCAGACATGCGAAGAGAAGCAGCCAAGGCCAGGGCTGTGTGAAAGCTGTGACGATTCAATCAAAAAGTGATGTTCGGTAGCTTTGCGTGTCTTCGGTTTAAACAATCCTTTCGCGAAGCCTGCGTTCGCTGTCTGGATTGTTGTGTCGTGGTGGTCTGGTGGCTGGTTGTGTGCTTGGGGGATGGATGACGAGCTCCAGAGCCTCTAGCAGAGTACTGAAAGTAGATGCGGTTTGGCAGTCGCGTCACTTGGTGCAGCGCAGCGCGTCTGGCTGCTGCAGGACACGCGCGGGTGGAGCCGCCCATTAAAGACCACCGCTTGTAGCATAGCATGGATAGAGGCATGTCTGTCTGGTTGGTCATTCAGGGCTGTCCAGGTGGGCCAGGACCCGCCAGCGCGCCGCCCCACTGCTTCGGCTCTAGCTTTGGCCGACAGGCAGGCCTGCTCCAGCTTTTTTTCAATGCTGGCAAAAAAAGTTGCGATACTCCGACACAGCTTCAAAGATCCGGCACCGCCAGCAACTCGTCGAGCCACAATCTGCGCCGCACCACCCAGCAACATTTGCTGGATCGCACCGCGTCAGAATGGCCTCCCACTTCCAGATCCAGAAGCCATACGTGCTGGCTTCGCTTCCGCGGCCTGTCGATCCGACCACAGGCCGTTACGTTGTCGGCAATGTCTTCGGTTCCCTGCCCGGATCTCGCAAGCGCAAGCGGTCCGAGCTGGCCATTGGCACTGATGGCGACTCCATGAACATCTACGACGTATGTTCCAACATGTCCCTATCCTTCTAGGTCTTTGGCTCTCAAGCAGTTGCTGACTCTGTTGCGCACTAAAGGTTTCCTCGTCGAGGCTCGTCACTTCGTACCCGATCCCGCCCCAGTCGTCCTTCTCATGCCCTGCCTATTCTGTACGATGCCGAGTCCCCGAAAGCAGAGATGTGACGCGTTATACCTATGTCGCGACTCGTGATGCCCCCGAAAACACAATCACCCTGTTCAAAGACTACGTCGATGCATCGGGCAAGACCACCGCCACAACAAAGACTTTGGCGCTTGGCGCAGGATCCCCCGTCATCTTCCTGACCCGCACGTCGACCACTGCGGATGAGGAAGAGGTTCTGTTGGTGCGGACAAACGGCGAGGTTATCAGCTTGGATCCAGAGACACTTCAGAAGAAGTGGCAGAGCCCCCCTTCAACTCTCAAGCATGGACTTGAGCCGGCTTCCCTTAAGGAGGATCTCGAAATTGAGTTCTGCAGCTCGGTTCCCGTGGCTGATGTGGTCCAGGGGCTCTTCAAGGGCAACACGGCATCGTTCAGCTTGTTTCCTGCCTCTACCCTCACCAAGGATTCACCCACGGAAGTCCTGGTCCTGGTCTCGAGATCTTCATCCCAGCGCCACATCCACGTCGCCGGCGCGCTTCCAAGCAAGCAGAACTCGCTCGGCCTGGGCCAAAAGATTGCCGCAGTACACGTCGCTCCTCTACAGACTTCCTACGTCAGGTCACCTGGACAGGCCAAGCCACAGTACCATCTCGATGCACGGGCAGGCCATCTTCTTGAGCTGGCAAACGACGTCTTGTCCACATACGACTTGACCTTGAGCACACCCCGACCCGCCAACACGATCGAGCTCGAGGATGCGACTTCATTCCTTCGGCTAACTCAGACATCCTTGCTGTCATCTGCCAATTCCCAGCTCGACATATATAACCCCCTGTACCGATCGCTTCAAAGCTCGACGCCTCTCGAGATTGAGAACAACGCCAACGTCTCCACCCAGAAGATCGCGCTCGTCTCATACTTTTCCAAGATTGAGCTAGCCATCGCCATTGTGGACTCGAGCTTGGTGGCTATCCAGCTCGAGGCCCCCAAGGCTCGGACAAAGAAGCGGCGCGCCGAGGGCTTACTCGTCGACTCGCTCGGTCGCGGCATCAGCAACAAGGAACGCCATCAGAACCTGACGTCTTTCCGTGTGCCCAAGCCCTCGGCTTTCGCCAACTACCTGCCAGGATCCCTGAAGGATAACTACTGGGACACGTGGAAGGCGGAGGAGGCCCAAGCCGACAAGCTGCTGGCTGAGAACAACATCGTTGCATTCGAGACCCTCCTTGCCCCCAAATTCAGCATCAAGATTCTTGATGAGTCCCAGGTCAACGGCGCGGCACAGGCCGACGACGTTGCTGCCGGGTCCTCGCCGGCTGGCCTCACCTGGAGATGGCCAAGGACCCGGGAGTCGTACCACTATGCCGACCGGCGCTGGATCCTCTACGGCATCAGCCGCGCCTTCAGCTGGAACAGCGAGCTCGCCGGCGGCGACGACACTGTGCCGCAGCTCACCTGCCAGCTGCCGCAGAGCAACCTGGTCTACTACCTCGTGGACGCCGGGCACCTGACCCTGTCCAACGTCAAGGCGGCATTCCGCGAGTCTCTCGGCCACAGCGGCAAGTCCGACGCCCACATCGCGGAGCAGCTTGTCCAGCGCCTGGCAGACCTGGACCCGTCCCTCGAGCTCCTGACAGCGTACATCTCCGCGACCACTCTCAACGCCGTGGAGCTTCTCATCGCCGTCCGCACGCTGATGCGCAGCCTCGAGCTCGTCCAAGACCCGCGCCAGCCCCCGCCCAAGCTGCTGACGGACGGGTCCGTGGAGCAGGAGGAAAAGACCGAGGCCATCGAGCAGATGGAGATTGACAGCCTCGAGGCGCAGGTCGAGCGGGCCGAGTCGTACCTCAACGGCGACGGCGGCATCCGCGGCAGCGGCCTGAGCGTGGCCTTTGCCAAGCTCGCCAACTGCCCGGCCGTCGCGACCATCAAGACGCTGCGCGCGACGTTCAAGCCCGAGGAGATCCTGTCGCTCATCTACCTGCTGCGCGTGGAGCTCGTCAAGGGCGCCTGGACCTCGCGGTACCTCGACGTGACCGACTTTGAGCAGAACGAGGACCTCGATGCCCCGCCGGACAACATCATCAAGCTCATTGCCGACCTGCTCGGCCGCTGCGTCGATTCGCTCGGGCCCGGCGGGTGGCTGCTCAACGACGCCATCCTGGCGGGGGACGAGTCGGGAGACTTCATCTCGTCGCTCAAGCTCGAGGTCAGCGCCGCGCTCGAGGGCCTCGAGGAGGCCGTGTACCTGCGCGGCATCGTCGGGGAGACGGTCAAGTACGCCGAGGCCGCCGCCGCCGTGGCCCACCTCACGACAGCCCCGGCTAGCACCAGCAGCACCACCACACCACAAGCAGCGACGAACGAGAGCACAGACGGCGCGAGAGGCGACGAGGGGGCAGCCATCATCTCTGCTACCAACGCAGTGGGCAAGGCCTCGACGGCGAAACCCCTGGCGCTGCACATCCGGGAGCCTGGCTCCGAGGCGCTCCCCTTGGGTCTCAAGACGAAGCAGCAGGCTGTGACGACGACCAAGATCGTCTCGGGTGGCGAGATCCTGAAGCGCTCGAGCAGAGAGACGGGCCACCTCCGCAGTCAGCAGGTCGGGCCGTACTCGCTGGAGCGCATCGCTATCTGAGTTTGTCTTATCTATGGGGAGGAAATAGGGGGGCGTCTCAGCGCACAGGTTGTCGAGGAAGAGAGAAGAGAATGGGCCGAGTCGCTATCGGGTAGCGTATCCGGGCCGGAAGTCTTCCAGAATGCGGAGAAGCAAGGCTGTGCTAGTGGGTGGGTGTCACAAGGTGGCGCAAATGCCCCGCCCGGCTGATATGTTGATTGACCAAGGCATACTTACAATATATACAGTTGGAGATCATGACGAATGAATAAAAGTCCTGCATCCTCAAGCCAACTCGGCTACTCTTCCTTGTTGACTTGTGAGGAGAAGCCAAGCTTGCGACCCAATACGCCTGCGGAGCTCTCTCGGCATGAGCATCGAGCGATCCGTCACCATTGTAGTCAGAGCCATCCACATCGCCCTAACCTAGCTGCCGAAGCTGAGAAGGCTATGTGACGATCGAGTTGTCATCTTCATAGGTGACCTGAAAAGGTCATGTGTTCCCTGTGGATCATTGCTGGCGGGGGGCGATTTGTCAAAATGTCGTCCATCTTGCCTGATCAAGTGCGAGGCTCTGTCAACAGCTCAGGCTGCCACTGTTGCAGTGCATGGCTAGTGCCATGCCACACAACGCCGCCTGGCGACACAAGGCAATCAAACGCCATATCGTGCTCAGAATTGACAAGTGACAACGTTTCAAGACTTCACCGGGCTGCCATACATAATGTTGTGTAAGCGTAAGTAATCTCGAGGTTCTCGTGATGCCAAGCATCACTGGGCGACCCACCTTGAGGCTATTGGCTCACACCAGCAGCGTGTGGAGCGGTGGCCGCCGGGCGCAACCTGCAATGCACGTCAACGAATATACATGATGCCCTGCATGCTTATCAGACCGTCACGATGAGGCTCTCGGGAGTTCGAGTCGTCGAGGTTGGCACGTTGGTGCGATGATAGGGATGGGCAGGCTCGGCTGGGTGCGGCCGGTCTAATGTAACCGGGTACTGCTCCCAGATCCAACCATTGCAGGGCATGACGCCAAACTTGAGCACGTGGACACCCAGCGCCCTAGTTTATGAGCCAGTGAAGCAGAGCCCGAGTCTATGTCATGGTGTTGACATGATTTGGCTGTTAAGGTTCCGGCTGCCAGCGGCGCGTGCGAAGGCTTCACATGCTTGCAGGGCGTTGAGTCACGGCAATCGGCAGCACTAGACAGGACGAAAGGTGTTTGGAGAGCGCGTATATCAAAAGCGACCAGTCGACATGGTGCATCTGCACCACATGGTGGCTGAGTTGTTGTCTGGGTCTCTCTCTCGAGCAGTGTATCGTCCTCGCTGGATTGGGCGACCGAGGAGCCGGGCCGCAGCCCATGGGGACCCCCAGGGACACCCTGACGTGCAGCAAGGCAACGACGCTAGCAGCTAGCTGTATGGTTTGGGGTTTCTGGCCAGACGGCACAAAGCGATGCGATGCCTAAGGGCAGAACTGTAGGTCTGGGCCTTGACCAGGCTGGGGACAGGCCCGTGAGCTGGTGTGACCTTGCGAAGACCAGGCAGCATGGAGGCTGGCTGGCGAGGGCAGCCGATGAGTGTCACAAAGATGGGACGAGACTGACTTTCTGACCCTGAAGAAGTGCTTGGCACAGGAGTTCGTGTGCTGAGACAAAGTGTGGGGGAGCTAGGGAGGCGCAGACGACTGACTGCAAGAGAAGGACTGAGTGGAACAATGGATGAATGGGCAACGGGTGGTGGGGGTGGGGATGATGGCATCCTGGCCGGCGCAGCCAATCCCTCGGGCGCGTGGGCTTACGTCACTGCGTCACTGTGGGCATGCCATCCATGCCTCCAGGGCTGCCATCCATGCCTGCCACCCTGGGCGGGCGATGCTGCACAGCCCGGCGAGGAAGGCGCGACTGCTGATCAAGGGCCACTTCCATGGTCCCCAGCCCGTGTTGAAGTCATCACAAGTGCCCTTTCGGTTGCTTCTATTTGTCACATTCTGGTGTTTTGCCACGCACATGGACTGCCTGGCGGGCCAGCATCCCCCGCCGCGGGCTGCAGATAACAAAAACGACACGACGGGAGAACCAGCAGAGGAGGAACCCTCAGACCCCTACTATAGGGAGGTAGGCCCAGGGCCGCGTCCAGCACAGTACATACCTTATGGTGCTATTCTCGGCCTGGGCCCCAATCTTGTTTTCCTCGCGGCCTGGCGTGTATGTCGTGTTGACGTCTGCTTTCATGTCCCGTCCCTTGCCCATTGGGACATCCACGGCCATAGGTAATCCCAGCGCCAGGCACGCCTGCGGACGGATGCTGCCGGGCCCCTGCCCCCGTCTTGGAGCAGAGTAATCTCCTCGTCTGCACTGACTGTGCCGCCAACGCTGCGCACGTCACCACCCCAACTCGCCGTCCCCAAAGATCGCTCCCCTGCCTCGTCCAGATCGGCAAAGAGACAAGCGAGCACCCCGGGGCTGGAGTAGAGAGAGAAGAAAAACAGTCATTCTGTCGGGGGCCCGCTTCTGGTGGCTGCCCTCGCCCCCCTCCTTCTCGGGTTCAGGACTTGCACTACCACAGACTGCAGCACTCTGGCCTTTTGTCTACACCACCACCACCATCGCGCCGACCGCAGCAATCTCTCTCGACCTGCTCTGCTAGCTGCATATGCCAGACCCAAACGCCTTTGGATCGCTCTAGGTCACCGAGCCTCGCCTGCCTGCTCGACTTGCACAACACCTCAGCCCGGTCTTACGCCCGCACAGTCGTGCTCTCCTCGCGCCCAGCGCAGCATCCTAGCAGCAAGCCTCGCGGACAACCTTCTCCTTGGGCACCTCACACATCAGCCAGCGAGATCCCCCCCGGCGCTAGCATCTTTGTGCGCTGGCATATCTACTTCCCAGGGGCCGCTCCTACGACTGCCGCTCGTATTCCACAAACTTCTCTGGCTTATGTGACCTGCCCGCATTTGCACCACGCCCGCGTCCCGCTTAACATTTCTTCAGCACAAATTCTGACGCGACGACAACACCAAGGGCCAGCCAGTCAATCGAAACCACCGCGGCCTGTCTCTAGCAAGCCTCTATCGTCACGGGAGGGGGTCCCGTTCCCTCTTCCCTCGTCTTCAGCAGTCATGATTGTAAAGACAACCACTGACGGCCACATGTCCGCGACCCACGTCGATGACGTCGACGCATTCTCCCGCACGCTCTATCGCCGAGCACGCACGGCCGGCCCTGCCTTCAGCGACATTGCGTCTGTAGTCCGTAGTCTTCACACAGTTCTCAAGCACCTCAAGGTCGAAATCGAGGACCCGGCCTCTCTTCTCGGCTCCGGCTCCAGCTCTGTCTATGCTCGGCAGCTCACACCACTAGTCGAGGACTGCGACTTTGCCCTCCAGCAACTCGAGGTCGTTCTCGACAAGTCTGGCACAGAGACTGGCACCGGCGAGAGCGAAGCTCTTGGCGGGAAGGCCATGCCAGGAGAAAAGGGCTGGGTCCTAGAGACTGGAGAGCGCGACCGACTCGAGCTGATCCGCGCCAAGCTTGCAACCCAGAAGCTCAACATCGACATGTTCCTTGACACAGTCCAGCTGCGTAACACAACCAGGCGACGAGAAGTTGCTACAGCAGACACCAGCCATGTTGACATGGACTCGATCAAGGACAAGGTTGATGCCATTGCCACCAGGATCTGTCATTTCAAGGATTCAGACTCCGCCGATGACGACGAGGAACTGTGGCAGAAGTTCCGCGACGAGCTCATTCGCGAAGGCTTCTCAAAAGATATTTTGAGGCAGAACCAGGCATGTCTTGTCCATGCTCCCAAAACATGCATTGTGCAAATTGACTAACATTGTCTCAGGATGTCCTCCGTGCGTACATCCGCCAATTGGACGAGCAGGCTCTAAGCCACGACGGCAACATGCCCTCTGTTCGTGGCTTCCTTGAGAATTACAACCCGGCGGACGATCCGGGTCTGCAGCTGGCTCCGTATGAAGAGTATCCTGCACCATCAGAGTTGAGTGCCAATGCCATGTACCACAGCCCCCGGCCAGAGTACACACATAAGGCTGCCGCGGACGACACACAAAGTCTCGACCGGTACAAACCAGCCGCGCTGAGAGAGCAACAATCGGCACTCTCATACGAATATTACTCGTCCGACAATGAAGATATGGACCCCGCCAATGCCATGGCAGTGATGAGCACACGCGATCTGATGGCGATAGACCGCCGCAGCAACGATCTTGCTATCGCTCATGCCAACAGAGGTCTTCCAGCTCCTAACGAGCCGTACTTGAGTGGCATGGACCATCATCCAGTAGGATCCCCCCCATCCACTCGCTACGTCCCACCGTCTGCGACCCTGCCAGTATTGCTCCCGCCGCCAGCCTCTGACCACGGTGGTGACCTTGTTGGATCTGACTGTCGATCCCCACCGCCGCTGTTGCATGGAAACTCCGTGTCGGCGCCACTGCTTGGCGCCGAGGATGGCGGATTACCAAGAGCCACACGCCTGGCCCCGGACAGTCAGGGCAACGACATTCCGCTCGAGGCCAAATGGACGCGTATCAAGCGCAGTTTAGTTTCCATCGAGGTTTTGGCACAGCGAGGACTTCGCTTTGAAGCACGCCCGACATTTGTGGCAGTACTAGGTGCATTGAGCCGGGAGAAAGTTGAGGAACTCGCCCGTCGCAGCGCCGAAGTTCGCGAAGCGCGTCGTGCACATCAGACCAACGACGGGGCCATGAATGGTGCAGCAAAGCCAAGGCGAGCCGAAGATCGCTACTACCCGGACAAGTATCGGAATTGGGACATCGAGACGCCCAAAGACCCTAACCATCATGGCTATACAATCAATCCAAGCGGCCGGCGGAAGAACAGCCATGCCAGCGAGATGAGCGAACTTTATGATACTAGTGATGAGGACTCCGAGTCGGACTATGGCTACACTGACGAGGAGGACCACTACCCACCTCCACCACGCCACAAGCCGCAACCATACCACCATAACCAAGAAGATCTGCGAGCGAGAGGTGATAGTGTGGTCAGTAACGGCAGTGCGGGGTCAGACCAGACGAAGGAAGATGACGACAAAGGCACAAAATCCTATCCCTTTATTGTCTCGGCTCCCCGGGAAGAGTCCAAAAAGACATCCAACGGAGAAGGAGCCAGTCCAGCGGCCACAGTCCAGCCGAAGCCGATCCTCAAAAACAAAGGCGAACCAACACACGTGCGTTTCGACACGGAGCCGCAGGTTCTTGACGATAGCATGAGCTCTCCCTCACGCAGCCTGCCTCGCCGTAGCGACAGGACTCATGGCAGTGGGCGAGAGAAGAGCTATCATTCGGACCGATATCTCGATCGAGAACGGGACCGAGAACGGGACCGGGACCGGGACCGGGATCGGGATCGGGCCAGGGATCGTGAGCATGGTAGCGACAGGTACGACCAGCGCCACCGTGACCGCGACGAGTATCACCGGGACGAACACGAGTCCCGGTCGTCCCATCGCCGCCGGGAGAGAGGAGAGAGCTTGTCGAGCAGTGCTCCAAGCTCATACAGCCGCAAGAAGGATTCCTCTTCGCGGCGGAGGACGCGCAACGGTGCGCTAAGCGCGGCTGGTATCGGCGGTGCGGCAGCGAGTCTGCTCGCCGTGCTGACGGAGGCTGCTGCTGCGCTGTAGCTTCTCATTTTTGTGTTGTTGTACTTGTTCAGTTGACGAAGCCTGTTTTCTTTGTGTACCACCAAGCGACAGGAGGTTTTGCTTCTTTTTGTGTCCCCGAAATATACCCCGGAGTTTGTAGTTTTCCAAGTCAGTCGCACCCGACTATGTACACGAGTTTAGTTTAACAAAGTTGCTGCTGAGATTTTATCATTGAATGATTCCTGATGACATTTTGGTCCGTAACTAGACTAGACGATGTCAAAGCTAGGTGAAGCTGACCAAAGCGTGTGGCGAAGCCGGAGTGGACATTCCAAGATCGATCCACCGACACCTGACATTTGTGATTCATGTCTTGTGTCCAATATAACGAGCGAGCAGGTCGTTTCCGAAAGGGCTCGGTTCAGTTCGAAACTCTCCTTGGACTACTGTTTTCCTTACTTTCAAGGGCGATTCCTCTTTTGCGCTTTCATGTCTTTAATATCTTTCTTGGCTTTCCCTTCTTCCCTTTTTTTTCTCTCTCTCTCTCTCTTTCTCTTTTTTGAAGTTTTGAAGTTTGGTGATTTGAGGATTCTCCGTATCTGTTGGGTCTTTTCTCCCCCTCCTTTTTTCCCCATCTTTTCGTGGATTTTGGCCTTTGTTCTCGCTACCACAAGCACATACGCTGGTGGGCGAATTCGCAACTTTTCGAACGCCGCTTCTCTCAACTCTTGTGCCTCAGCTTTTCGGTTGCAATTGTGCCATGGAGAGGAACAAGTGCATGTAGACGCCCGAGCTTTATCGCAGGCCATCTATGTATGGCACACCACACGGTTGCGGGACTTGTCGGTGATCATTATATTCATGTCTTCGTTATGAACCGTCTCCTATGGCTAGACCAATATGTATGCTGCCTCCCAAATGCCTAGATATGTAATATATATACATGTATGCTTCACCTCCGTCTCATTCCCCGCCTTGTTGTGCTGGGCCCCGCCGCATCCTCTACAACAGCAGCATCATGGTGCCTGCCGTATCCTGCAAAGTCTGCCATCGTCACCCTGTCTTCCTGGCTGTCTCTCGGCACTGGTGCATTCTTGTCCCCGTTGAGCTTGCTCTCGATTACAGCCCGGTGCTTCTTCGCCTCAGAGTCGACATACTCAAGCTGAGTCGCAGGCTGCGCGGCAACATCCATTTCTTGGTCAAATGTCGCACGAGTAGCCCCGTATCCAGAGAGAATCCCATCCACGCTGGCATTGGACGCCTTCATTTTCCTGATCTTCGCCGCAGTTGAGCCTGCTTGGGCACTCGATTCGGCGCTGGCACTCGAGGTTGCCGAGACGTTGCTCTGAGCTCTACCGAGAATCTCGCGTTTGCGTCGGGCCGGCTTGGCGGACTGAAAACTGCCGTCCCCATCTGAAAGCTCGACATCATGCGACAGCAGCGAGTTGAGCCGTTTGGACATTTCCTGCTTCGCGCGATGAACCTTGGCCTCCCGCTCCTCGTCTTCTGTCCGCACTGCTGCTGCTTGGCTTTCCGTCTGTGCGGAGCCTGTGGCCTGAGTGGGCGGTTCAGACTCCTCAGAGTCGCCAATCTCGCCGCCAGTTGGGAATCGTTTCAGCTTGCGAGGCACGATTTCAGACGCCGTACGCTGATTCAGGCCGTTCAAGGTGTTGTCATGCACCTCTGTCAGAGGAGCGGTGTCAAACCCGGCGCCGCGCTCCTCATCCTGGAAAGCCAAGGCCGTATGGTAGCGGGACTCACTAGTCTCCTGCCTGTCAAGTGCTCTCTCCTGGGGAAGGGTGGAGCCAGATTTGCTTGTATCGAACGCCGTGCGATCGACTCCTGCTCGAACTGGAGGGTGCTTCGCAGCAGCAGCTGGTTCCGACCGCGACCGAGCCAGTTTCGACCTCTCATTCGGAATCTCAGCGACACGCGATGCCTTCTGGTTGAGCTCCGGGTACATGAACTGATCCCAAGGTGTCAAGAAGCCAGTCGATACGCATTGCCACAGCCACTCCCTGTCTACAACGGGTATGCCGAGTGAGACAGCGTGCTCGAGTTTCTCTCGTCGCGCCGTTGCCAGTGAGCAGCAGACCAGCAGAGTTGCACGGGCGTTCAACTTTTCGGAATACTCGGCCCCAAGCTGCACGATGGTCTTCTGGACCTGGTTCAGCTGCAGGTCCTGAAATCCGGATGTGCAGATGACCAGTTGCGAAAATCGGTCAATGGGAAATTGGGGGAATGGTCTTCCAAGCACCAGGTCCACCGGATGGACAAGCTCCCGACTCTGGATGCATTGCTCAATATAGAACTCCGTGACGATCCACACGCCCTCTGGACATGTTGGGTGCGTGTCCGGCTGCGAGCTCTGAGGTACAAGCAAGAACCGTTGGTCTGTAGGTTGGGTGTGTTGTCTTGAAGCAACGTCTGTAACTGAAGATGCCAACTCTGCTCCGTTCTTCATCAAATGGTCCTTGACAATATCAAGGCGCTTGCTCAAGAAGCCGTGCACGAAGAAACGACAGCCACCGAATATTGGCCCGGCGACTTCAGAGGAGACGTGGGAGTCGGCTATTGTTTGTTGTTGCTGAGCCACAGGCTGGACATCCCCATTTGTTGTCATGTTGCCCACAGGCAGACTCGTTGTGCGCTCGAGCGGGGGTGCTTGGGGAGCGTCGGCTGACGCGCGGTTTGTCAAGATGTCCCCCCATAGATTGTCTCGCTGGCTGCTGAGCTTCATGCTCGCCGACTTTCTCAGTTTCCTCCGTCCTTCCCCTGGGGGTGCTCCGTTGCTTTCTCTTGTGCGCTTGCCCAATGCTGTCTGCCGCATCTCCTTGCGGTTCCACGCACCTTTTCCCCGCTCCTCGGGCGGCATCAAAGGGTCATAGCAGGCCTCCGATAGTATCATGCCACGCTCGACACTGTCGTGAAGCCACTCTATCGACACGGTGTGGATGCCCCAGTTCTTTGCGGCGCGGTACTTCTTGCCTTCTGGCTGGTAGGTGATAAGGTGGGTCACGCTTTTGGATAGGTCGCCTGTGTAGTCGCCGCCGTTGCTCCTGACCTTGTCCTCGATCATGGTGCGCACGTCTTGCTCCTCGAATCCAGTCAGACAGCAGAGAAGGCGCTGGCGGTCGCGCTCCTCAGGCAGCGTGCTGCTGGGGATTCCGCCGCCCGTCTCGAAGGTCTTGAGGCGCCACTCGTTCTGAAGGGCAAGGAAGTCGATTTCCTGGTCGGCCATCCACAGGGCTCTGAGGGCCTCGATCCAGCCGGCAGCCATGGGGACGATGTCGGGGCGGTCGCGGGCAACATGGCGGTACTTTGGGGTGTCGTACTCGCCAACGATGAGATGGGTGGCATCTGGGGTGAGGTCGTACTTGTGGGTGCCGCCCATCTCCTTTGTGCTGCGGTCGATCATGGCGCGGAGGTCTGGGGCGATGCTGGTGCAGCAGAGGACGACGCCCTTGAGGGGTATGGACGAGTCAAAGGCGAGCATGGCCGGATCCGAGGTGGGCGGCGTGGCAGCCATGGCGGCGGCGGGGCCCGAGCCACGACTCATTTACGGGAGCGCGGCCGTGACTGCACGTGTGTGGTGTCGGTGGTTGAGGTGATGCATGGAAGTCGACTTTGGGAGATGGGAGGACGAGTCCACTGGGGACTTTGCGTGGTTGCCGTGCTGAGAGCACGCTGCGCGTATGGTGTGTGTATGTGTCGAGGTGCTGCCGTAGGCGTTGTGCTATCGTGAGGGGCCCATGGACGTGGTGTTGTTGTGGTCGTGAAGTGGCGGCGCTGTGGGATGAAGCCTTGTGGCAGTCGATGATGGCAGCAAAGCTTTAGAGGTGTTGAAGCAGGCAGGCGGGCCAGGCGCGGTGCCGAGACGCGTTTGGAGCCGGTAAGTGGGGGGTGCCCCTTCCGTCGCGTGCCTGCCTGCATCGAATCGCCACCAACTCCAAAACTGCTGCCATCCACCTCCGGGGCATGGCTGGGCACACCCTCACGAAGTCTCATCATGCGCTGCCCCAACGCAAAAGCCTAATGATGATGAAGATGATGCCGTGCTGGCTTCGGGCTGTGCACCGTGGCCACTCGGTACCCAGCCTTCAACAACGGGCTCTGCGGCTCGCTAATCACCCATCCCTTGGGCACCCAAACCCACGGCAGCTCCACGTTCCACGTCTGCTCAAAGCTTGTTCTGTGTCTCGTCCCTGCGGCGCCTGCATGTCATGTTCTGGCTAAAGCAACGTGGGATATCCTTGCCCTCGCATGCACCAGCCCAACTCATGTCAGTCCACGGCCTCCACCAGTCCACGCGTGATGTTCGTCGATATCCTCGAGTAGCTCCCGCTGTGATTATCAATATCATCGGCCGGCTGTTTGCCCTCATTGCGCCCGTGACCCCCCCAAAAAACAAGCAACGCTCGACTGGCGTCACGGCCAAAAGATGAAAAAAAGGCTGGAAATGTCTTGGACCAGCCAGCTTGGATCTCACGAGAGAACAATGGATCGAGGGCCGCCCCGCCCATGTGGATGGTGTTAGCGCCCAGCCTAGCACCCCTGTCCTGGCCTGCCGGGCTACACAACGTCGTCATCGTGCGCCCGCCCGGACAGCCCTCCCTGCATCGCCTTCCTCCCACCATCCACACTACTGCGTACGAGGGCGGGCCTCGCACTCTGCCTGGGCGCGCAACCCTGCAGCACTGAGGCTCCCACGACTCCCACTCGTCCTGTTCCTATCTGTCAGAGCCTCGAGGCTGGCTTGCTGCCTTTTTCATCACAACCCTAGCCCAGTCCAAGCCTGATTCTATATCTACCACTGCCCGCGCATTCTGGGTTTCTCTTGATTGACAACATTCTCGTCCTCGAAAGCAGCCTCTCTCTCGACCATTCAAACCTCAGTCGAACTCCATCATGGACACCCGCAGGCCTCATAGCCGTGGTCGGTCACAACCGTCCGTCAGATGGGCCAACTCGCGCAGCCCCTCTCGCTCTCCATCCCGGGGCTTCCAACCCGACGGCCTGAGGGCGGATCCAGCCTTCGTCCAAGTCAGCCCACGGGACGCAACCCCCTCCCGTTCTCGCTCGCGGCCACGATCATTGGGTTCCCGTGGAAGCCGCTCCCTCAGCAGGTCTCGCAGCCGCGGTCCCAGCACAGATCGTTATGGGAACCCTCTCCCCGCCGACCCCGACGAGTCCGCCCGACCACGATCCCGCCGTTCGTCTGCGTCCTGGGTAGACAAGGCACCCAAATTCCGTGACGAAAACGGCAAGCTCGTCAAGTCTAGCCTCGCCATCCTCGGGGCCATCGGGGCTGCCGCGTACGTGGCGCACAGGACACTGCCAAAGGTCATCCCTGGCTCGCACGACGATGGCGGCGACGACAACAAGAACCGACACCAGCAAAGGTCGTCGTCCGGGGATAAACATGGCAGGCGCGACGACGGCCACAGACGGCGTCATGGCGAGCGCGTAGAGCGGCACCACAGATACGCCTCATTCTACGAGGAGGACGGTCCGCCATCGCGGCCTCGAGAAGACTATCACTACCCCGACGAGCGGCGGCAGTTGCCTTCCAGCGTCAGGACTGATCGGGCAGAGCCCGCGTGGAGTCGAGAGTCGAATGTCACCACGACAAAGTACATTGAACAAGCGCCACGGCCGGCATCACGAGGCGTCGCGGGCGTCCAGCCTGGGCTATACACAGGGAACGATGACAAGGTGCTATATATCGATGGCGAAGGGCGGCGATATGTGGAGGAATATCGGAGCGATCGGTTCTGGCCAGGCGGGAGACTACCTTGAGATGGCGTTGTGCTTCTGATCAAGTGATGTTAGATAACGACGAAACGAATTAAATGTTACTGATTTAGCACAATTGAGGACTTGGCAAGGCACAGCTGTGACCATGATTTCCTGCACTAACATGACATGAGCTGTAAGTCCCCGCATGCCGTAGCCACAGTGGCATCCACAAGTGTCATTCAACTACGGCAACGCTCGCCAGTCCCTTTCCAAACGGTCAACCTGACGACGTGCGCGCCCTTGTTTGGCGACAAAAATTTCCTCCCCTTCGTGCACCGTGGGGTGCGCCGCCTGCTGTTATTTCCACTCCTAATCTCAGTGCTTGGCAATGCACTGCACTGTAATGCCCGACATCGCTCGCGCGAGACTACTGATGATGATGAAGATGATGGAACCAAAATTTTGGTTCGAAAAAACTCCTGGAAACTTGGTACACATCATAAGCACTCGAACGGGTCTCGATGCATACGATTGAGGGGATTATCTTGCTTGATCTCGCCTGGGTAGGATACGCTCACATGCCTGTCGTTCGAGAAGGCAGGGATCACGTCACACTCTCGAACACAAAGAAACGAGTCTTACGGGAAAACTTCTTCACGATCTCTCTTGGAAGCTTAACTTTTATTCAGCCACGAGGATCATGCTCAGAACTCGGCCTGTCCACTGGCCGATTCTCTATCATTAATCAGGGGGATCCTGGCCGTTTCCATTAATACAGCAAGAGTTCCAATGCCCATTCCTCAGACATCGACTCGAACCTCATGATCGACCCCAAGGTTTCTTCCACTGCCTCAACGTCCAATTGCAGCTTCAGTTCTGGGTCGCCAACACCCATGCGCCCGGCGTGAAAGACAGCACAGGTCGATCAGCCTCACCTTTCCAGTACGCGATAAATATGTTGTCATTATGGGAAGGAAAGCGACGGTTGAAAAGCGGGTGTTGCAAGATCCGCAGAGCCTCGCGAAGTGGGGGAAAGTCCGGCTCGACGCCCTCGAAAGGGACGTCCGCCGCAGTGAATCGGAATGGTCCTTCTCCAGCCCCTGGCTCGGGCCATCTCAAGAACTCTGGGAAAACCAAGGTGCGAGAAGGCTGGCCAGCTGCGGGAGGTAGGTAGTGCGGACGTACGGGGTAGTGGCACAGAACTTCCCGATAGACATGGACAATGCGCCATGCTCTCAACCGCGGGGGGTCCAATCCTTGAGACAAACGCAGGACACGGCCATCAAGAGTGGCTCCGCAGATGAGGACTGTGTGCTTGTCTATGAGGTGGTACGGCTCGTTCCACTGCTCTCGCCTGTGTGGAAGGAAGAGAAACTCTATCGCGGGATTCGGCACGGGAAACTTTGGCGGGCCCCAGAGTAGATGTTGACCTACGAGAGGGTCGTTTCTCGAGTAACTCCAGGCGACTGACCGGCTCTCGCAGCACGCTTGGAGTAAAGCATTCGGCCACCGATCATGTCGGCACGTCATCTGAGCCGTACTGATGGGACGGTGCTCCAGAACTTCCAGGCAGTGCGCATGGTCGCGACACCACACCTTGAACACTGGCTCCTCAAGTGCCATGTGCCACACTAGAAGCCTAAGCTCGCTCGGGAGTTGCATGAACCGCGGGAAGCCGAGCTGGGGCTGGCTTGCGTCACGGGTAGCTGTAGCCACAGAGTCGTCGGGGGAAGACATTCTGAATGAGTGGCACGAACGCGCGATGGCCGCACTGGAGAGTCCTGTTTGACTGATCATAAGTTTCCAGCTCAAAAGGCAGAGGGTCCAAAGCTGTTACTCACGGTGCTGATCTTGAATTGTCGTGCTCCTGTAATACCTTTGTGACGTTAATGTGAGATGAATCCGATGCGGTATGCGGTCCTCCTTAGAGAACAATGGCCAGAACTGTTGCAATTGCTCGTACGACCCTCTGAGCACGGCAGAGACCCTCGAGCGGTGCCGACTAGACCGTAGCTTCAGACACAGCTGGTCTTAGATGCGCGCTGCCGGTCAAATACTATGATGTGTTTTTGCTATCTTCGCATTTGACTGTCATTGCAAGGAAAGACAGTTGCACTTCAAAATGAGCAGTACACCTTTATTGTTTGAGAGTGGATTTGATTCATAGTGGCTTCTGGGCCACTCGCAGCAGCCAATTGAAGAGTGGCAAAACCAGGCGTGGCTGCCCCAGGCAACGGAGAGCATCGACCTGTCTAAGTAGTGGTAGACGGCCTCTAAGAAAATTTCTCCGGGCACTGAAACTCTGAGCATATCACACTGGAAGGAATGCAGATGTTCATGGACTTGGCTTCCAGTCCTTCGTCTGCTGATGCCTGCTTTCACGAAGGTCTATCCTTGCCCTATGCTGAAATGATGTCTGCTGTCTTTGTCCCTCAAGCTCGTACTAACCAAACGCATCGGCCGTCGACTCCATAGACCACCTGCTCCGGAAGCCTCCATGAAACCAATTCAGACGTGGCCCGAAGAACTCACAGACCTGGACTAGGAAACCGCGGGAGATCAACAAGACGCGTAGCTATTATTTCTGGATTGCCTCGACCCATCCGTCCGATGTGAAAGGCATGTACCTTGGCTGTGGTCGAGTTCTGGCAGACTTGTCCCAGGTTGCCAGCTTCCAATAAGCAATGAACACGTTTGAATTGCTGGGAACCATGTCTGCGCTGTATGGTCCACCCACGAAGTATTGTGTAGCTTGCCAAATGTGCCGATATTCTTGTTTAATCAGCTGTGCATCAACGTATGGAGTGACGTATCGGAAAGGCCCGTACCCATCAAGCTGATCATGCCACCAGTATGAATCAGGAAAGATGAGGGTACAGGAGCTGAGAGATTCGGCATTGCACTCTTTCCAGCGCAGAAGCCGCCGGAGCCATACGTATGACTGCTGAACCAGGAATATATTGTAAGCTAGCCACGTAGAACGACCTTCCAGGCTTTCTGGGAAGTTGTCCCGGGACACGTCAGATCCAAATGCAGCTCCGGTGAATGGTGACAGGTGCGGGGGTGCGTGCTCGGCGCACATGAAGCCTACGTGCTTGATCCCCTTTGGGAGCTCGACAGCCCACTCGTCCCGCTTGAACGGCAGAAGGAAGACATCGGCGGTGATGTTTGTCGAGGTGGGCATGCGGAACTGCATCAGGGCCCCTGTAGGGCTGGCGGCTTCCAGCACATGGTGGTAGATATTAGGGCGCGCGACTCTCCTGCTCGCGTGGCAGGTATGCATCAGAGGATGTGGCCGGCGATCATGGGAACAGGTTGCCCTGGCCAGCCTCAGGGAAGCGCTCTTAAGCAGCTTCTCGCAATGATCGTGTTCGTCACACCAGACCACGAAGGCTGGCTCCTCGAGTGCTTTCTGCCAGATCAGGAGCTGGATTTCTGGTGGAAGTCGCGCGAATTGTGGGAAGCTTGTGGGTTGTTGTTCAGTGGTGCTGGGCTCAGGCTCGCTGTCGTCGACTGAGAGAGCCGTAGTCGCATCCTGTCCAGAGGCCATGGTGGATGTCTAACATGTGTAGAGGTTGTGCGTGCTGAAGGGGGAAGCTGTGTTTCATCATGACTGGGTTAATGATTGTTTCAGCAGGAGGAAAACGGGAAGCAGATGATTCTTACCCTGCGCCTGTATGGGTATCATGTGGTGTCGAGGTGAGTCTGGTATGACCTTGCCTGCTGTTTTGGCTGGCTGCTGTGTGTCGGCATCAAGATGCCGATGGCCGAGGTCAAGAAATGTTGATTGAGGCAGTGCGAAACCAGGATCAGGTTGCCGGAGACGAGATGGAAGACTGATGTTTTGGCTGCCAATAGGGCCTGCAAAGCACACCGAGAGAGCCCAGGCAGTCTGCTTTGTCACTGGGGAAAGAGTGTCGTCGGTTCGGGACGGCTCCTGCTTGGGAAGTGGCACTTGACGCCGCCCGAGCACCACAAGGCTAGCTGCCTCAGGCAACGCAAACGAATCAGTGCACGTGGAACCGAGTGCGCCTGCCCTCACTTGACCAGACCTGCCCGGGAAGGAGCATTGGACCTGCGCACGCGTATCAATTGCAATCCAGGCACTGGGCTGAGGCACCTGAGCAGTCTCCAGTAGTCACACACCCTCACGCAACAGTCTCGCAGCAACAGACTTGACGAGAACATCATCACCGGTCCCAACTCATACGCAATGCAAGCCTCGCCTTCGCGAAGCCTCGCAGGCGCTGATTGGCTGCACGGCTCTCCCACTTGCCTCTTTTGGAGATGTTTGTGTTGCTCCACTTTTGCCCTCAGAACGTCAAACCAAACTTGCACCAGTCATCTTTGACAGGCAGCACACATCACAAAGAGCATCACTTTTGGTTTTGGTCTTGGTCTTAGGTGTTTGCATGCCAAAGATCTATCTGAGTACTGAAACCATTCAGTGCCAACGATTTCTGCGCCACTGCACGTTCACTCATTTGCCGTGCCCATGTTGCTTTGTCAGACAACATGATTCAGCCGAGCTCCCCATGCTAAGCTCTGATGGGGGCCTAAACCCCCGAAAGAACAAACCAGACATGTGTTATCCCAACCCAATTCCCAGAGAACTCCGTGTGCAAGACAAAAGAAGGAAAACAACAATAAATCCTCAAATATTGATTGCAGTGGCAGAAACAGCCCTGCTGCCAGTCCATGACTGCACATGGAGCGCCACCCAGCTGGCAAACTGACAAGTGGCCTGCCCCATTCTGCTAGATCACGGATAGGCGCTTCAGAATCCGTGCCTGCACACTGCACGTGGCAGGGGACTTCGACCGGCTGTTCAAGTCCCAGCTGCAGGACCAGAACTGATGATGCCCACCCAACAACTGCCTTCTGTCGTTGTGACCGCCCACATTCAAGATCAATCGTGTCAGATCGGTCTTTTCCAGTGCAGAACCTGTCTACTGGCTGCTCGCGTCACGCTCCACCTGCAAGACCAGGGGAACGATCTGTTCCTCGAGGACGTCGCCGTCGGCGCTGAACGCCGGCCCACGTGGCTGCCACCGTCGACGATTGTCGGATCCGACGTTGACGGTGACCCAACCGTCCTCCTCTGAGTCCTGGTACGCCTTGACGGCGGCTGCCATCTGAGCATCCGCCTCGGCGTCTTCGGCCGAGCGCCGGCCCTGCTCGAGGTGCTCGCCGTAGAGCGCAAGCTCGGCGCTGTCGACCTCGCAGTAGTCCGCGTCAGCTGGGTAGTACGCCGGCGGTCGCGGGTACTCGTCTTTCTGGAGGCGAGGTCCGGTGTTGTTATCGTTGTTCGGAGATTCGACGGGGACGAGGTGCGGGACCTTTTCCTCGAGATATTCGCAGATCCAGGCTGACTGGGGAAAAGTGCTGGCGAACCGCCAGGCGCTGACGATGCGCGCCTCGTCGAGTGGTGAGGAGAGGCCGCCGTGGCATCTCCAGGCGGTAAAGATGGCGTTGGCCTCGGGGAAGCGCGCGCTAGCCAGGGCGATGGCCAGAATGTCCAGCAGAACGTCGCTGCCGCGCAGGGCATGGCCGCCGAAGGTGAGGAGCACGATGACGACCTCCATGTTGCTAGGGGTGCTCGTGCTGTCGGCTGCGACGGCACGTTCCAGGCAGATCTTGCAGAGCCGGACCATTCTCTCCATCGACACCTTCGAGGCGCTCATATGCTCGAGGCGCCACTCGAGAGACTCGGGTAGCCCGTGCTGCGCGAGCTTGGTCGGGGGCGCCAGAGTGCAGTCTCGGTCGACGCCAACGTCCGCGATGAGGTACTTGATGATGGCGTCGTGGTGATGCTCGATGGCCTTGTCCATAGACGCAGCGAGGATCTCCCTGGAGACATCTCGGTCGAGGTCGAAGATGGCGGAGTCGACTTCCTCGATCATGTATTTCAAGGCCGCCAGATTGTCGTGCACAACACACGCAGTGAATGGGCAAGGCAGGCTCGGGTTGATCTGCTTCTTGAAAGCCAGGGGGTTGTGCTTCGCGCACTCGGCCCCGATGCGGCGAATGGTTTCGATATCCTCGTGGCGCGTGATGGCCCAGAGGAGCTCAGACTCGGGCGTGTAACGCTTGCCCTTGAGTGGTTTGGGGCCGAGGCTCACTTGTGCGGTGAGGTCCGCGGGCTCAGTCGTGGCTGGCTCCTTCATTTCGGCCACACGAGCGCGAGTCTTGGGGACATGTAGCTCGTTGCCTCCTTTCGCGTCTGCAAGGGACAGTGGCTTGAGTTTGAGGGGTTTGGTGAATAGGGGCACCCACTGGGCGCTTGATGCGTCGGTTGGTGAAGAGCAATTGCTTCCCTGTGTCTTGTCCATTCTGATAGGTCTGTCTCTGTGGTGCAGATGCTTGTTGTTGCTGTCCGCAGCCACCGAATGGATGTGCTTGGGATTGCCAAAATTTCAGCTGGTCTTCTCAAGTTGTGTATGATTGTCTCAAGACGGAGAGTTGCGTTCTCGTTGAATAGCAGTGTTGATTGTGAGCTTCAATGCTTGTTGCCGTAGAGTGTGAGTGTGATAGTGGTGGCTTGAAGTGAGAGAAGACATCCATCATCGCATGTGAGTCTACCATCAATATATGGTTGCTCTAAGCAGTCTAGGTGCCCTGGGCCCTGATGCCTCGCCACGGCTCTCATCTTCTACTCCGAGGATATCTTCGTACTTCCGACATGTTGCCTTGAATGCTTCAGCTGATGGCTGAGGCTACTATGGAATCACGCCGGATGGTATCGACACGGGGTGGGGAGAGGCTGAAGCTTGGCGTATGGACATGCCCGTTCGCCATGTCGCTGAAGACCGGATTCTGGACCGCACTGCTGCAACAATGATCATGCTTGCTGCCATCATACTGGCTGGAATCTGCCTCAAGATACCTGGAGGGCAGTAGGTAAGTGGATAAAGGGGTCGGATGATTGGCCGATGGCGAGCAAGTTCCATCAGGCATACATGAACATTAAAGACATGACGTCTGCGAAAGGCCCAGACTTTCAAGAGGGAACGAAACAGTTGATCAAGGCCAAGACAAAACTTTGAGCATCTCCAATGACTGCCTTAAGGCCTTCTAGTACTTGACGTAATGGATGACAGGCGACCAAGCCAGCCAGAGAGCTACAATGGCAGATTAAATAAGTTCAGTGGGCAGAAGAGGAACAAGAGAGCTACAGAGAGCGTCATTTCAGGCCCTCCTGGCAAGGAAGCAGAATTTGGCCAGGGTGGTCTAGTGACATGCAGATTGGCGTCGGTTGGAACACCTGCAGCAATCAGTGACTTGTCCGTTGAGCAACCGAACATGGCCAGCTTTTGGATCTTGCTTGAATTCTCTATCAACGCATGGCCTTGTATTCTCTCGGTGAGCCGAGTGTGAGCTTTACCACGAGACTTGAGGCTGGCTGACTAGGGCCAGTGCACAAAGAGGTGCTTGCCAGACCGCCCCTGGGCAACCATTGGCGTGTTTCAACGCCAGACAAGCCGGCCGCCTAGATGAGCTAAACATGGCCTCTCGAGACCTGTGATTGCTGACTCGCGCTGTTTTGTTCCTCCGGTTTCTTGCGTGACCCCGTGGGGTAATGTCCCCCACCGCGCCCATCCAGCTCGCACGAAATTTACTGACAAACATGGATCAATTGCGAGTTTCGCCTATTGGATTTGTGCCTTGATACCTGCTGTGCCTTGATGGTCTCACTACGCAACAGCCGCCGTCTTGCCGCCATTCCGCTGCCTCTCCTCTAGCTGCTCCTTTGGGCTCTTGAGCTCGACCTTTGGAAACCGGTCGTCCTTCTCCCACGGCACGAAATCGCTGCCCTCCATCAGCCACCTCATCATGACCTTTTCGTACTTGTCCACCCGCTCCTTGTGCTCCGCCTCCGCAGCCAGATTGTGCAGCTCGTGCGGGTCAGAATGCCGATGATACAGCTCTGCAGGCTCGTATAGCCGGTACACGTACGCCCATTCCCTGTCGCGCAGACTCACGGCCTTGCCGACCAGCTCCGTGTCCTCGTGCTGTAGGGCGGCCTTGATGTCGTACGGGTAGGGCGCCTGCTCGAGAAGGGGCTCCTCGCTGGTGAGGAACCCTCCCTCGGAGAAGGCGTAGGGCTTGTGCTCGGTCGCATCGCCGCAGAGCACAGGGATCCAGGACTTGCCGTTGTGCGGGAAGTGCTCCCCGATGCCGCTCATCTCGAACATGGTCGGGCACAGGTCGACCATTTCCGTCATCGCGGCGACGGTCTTGCCCCGCGGCAGGCCCGCGCCGCCGATGATCAAAGGCTCACGTACAAGCGCGTCGGACAGGCCCGACGGCCACTTCTCAATCATGCCGTGGTCGCCCAGGTACTCGCCGTGGTCGGTGAAGAACATGGTCACTGTCTCGTCCCATAGGCCCGGCACCGAGTCGACCTTGCGCAGAATGCGCCCGAACTGGTCATCCAGCCGCGTGATCATGCCGTAGTACGTGGCTTTCACCTCGCGCCAGACATCGTCGGTCGCGCGGTCCGTGCCGTATCGGGCCCGATTGGCAGCCATGTATCGTGGCTCGTAGCCCGTCTTGGCGGCCGGGTTGGACGTGGCTAAGGGGGAGGAGAGCTGGGTGCGGTCATACATGCTGAAGTATGGCTCCTCGACGGCAAACGGGCAGTGCGGGAAGATCAAGGGCATGAACAGGACCCAGGGCTTGTCAGTGGGCGGGCAGTCGAGCCACTGCTCTGCGGACCGGATGACGGCCTCGTCGTAGTCGATGATGTTTTGCAGGTCGCTCGCCGGGTCGTCGTCCTCACCATCCTCGTTGTTGTTGTTTTCGGTTGCGTTGCGCTTCCGCAAGCCTTTGTAAAAGAGCCGCGAGAAGATGTCCTCGGGCGGAGCTTCGAGCTTCTGCTGGCCTTTGCCAAACCTCGGCATGAACTCTGGGGTCTCGAGGAAACCGTACTCGTCGAGGCTTAGCTCGGTGACGTGGGGCGCAAACGTGTCCCCCCTAGGCGCAAGGCACGCGACGTGGTAGCCGCCCTCTTCCCTGAGGCTGCGGAACAGGTTGGGCTCCCAGGGCTTGATGAGGTTGTTGAGGCTGCGGTGGCCGCTGACGTGCGGGTAGGTGGCCGTGAAGATGCTGCAGCGCGACTGGGAGCAGACCGAGGCCTGGGTGTAGCAGTTTGTGAACAAGGTGCCGCGGGCGCGGAAGCCGTCGATGTGCGGCGTGCGCAGGAGCTTGCCGTCACCTGTGGGCGCGTCGGTGCAGGCCAGCGAGTCGTAGCGCAGCTGGTCGGGCATGAAGATGATGTAGTTGGGGCGGCTGCCGCCGTTGGCCGACGAGACCTGCAGCGGCTGAGGCCTCGGCGGGAGCCGGTGCGTGGTCGCCATGGTGGGAGGAGTTTTGTCCGTCAAGCGGGAAAGAGATGTGATTACCAGAGCATCGGAAGAGAGCTGTGAAAGGCAGAGTACGTGCGCAGGCCAACGACCGTCGAGGTCCCGCGATTCTATAGATGCTTTGTGCTTGGTTACGCGACACAATGTCAAAAAGGATGACGTTTGGTGGTGGACGCTTTATATGCACGGCGCAGGCTCGGAACGACCCCCGACAATTGACGCCCTTGCGGGACGGACGGGTTGGGGAACCCCAGGTTCTCCACTGCGGCGCCGGATCTCGTGCGGCGGCTTCCGGTCCGGAGCGGCGGCCCAGGTTTTGGCAACACTCTCTCTCCTCAGCAAGCCTTTTGCCTCAGGCCAGCGCTCTCTTCCCCGCCTCCTCTCGCCGGGCACCAACATGACGAATAGTCTGATCAGGCAGACCATCGCCAGCCATTACGGTGTGCTCTATGTGTACTTCGGGTATTGTGAAGCCGACGCATCGGTACTCCCCTGCCTGCCGATTGGTCTGGACGTCGCGCACAGCTCATGGCCTTGTCGCGTGTGACAACAACTCATGCCGGCAGTCGGCACTTATCAGGCCAAGGGGTCGGATGCTGACAGTGAGCTGTGTGCTGCAGAGTCGAGGAGAAGCGCACTGGCAAGTCAAGTCCGCGCCAGATGACGATGATGTCTAAGCAGAGTGGGCTGTCCGGCCCAAGTGTGGACGATGTCGCACAAGGCACCAGGATATCGAAGACAACTCCCAGAGTGACATGGTCATAGTGTGTACCCCCGGTCGAATGAGCTTGCAGCCGCCCCTTCTGGGGTTTGTTCGGGATCCGACATGGCGTACAGAAACTGCGCCTCTGAGCACGCAATGATGGGCGATCCGGATGATTTGTGCCGCGGCGTGCCGATCTGTGTCGCGATGCCCCTCTGTTCTTCACGTTGCCTTGCTCCGCATTGAGGTAGACTGAGGCAGAGTTGTAGAAATGCCACCGCTAGCAGCGGGCTTGTTCTGGCCGGTTCGATGGCGCCTGGCTGCCGAGCTTGGTGGAGGTAAATGAGGAGAAAATGACGCGAGGTATGCCGTTGGGTCTTGGCAGTCTGATACTCACGAGTCTGGCCATGGAGGCTTGATCTTGCAGATACCGAGCCAGGAAGGCATCCTTGCGTCCAGCATAGTACTTTGTTTGTGACCTGGGTAAGCAGCCGTCAGGAAGCTTGCGCTTAAGCTTACCGCGAGTATAGGGATAGAGGTGGTGGGCTGCTGGGGACACGAGATAGGCTGGTAGCAATGCCTGAGGGTGCTAGACGGGATGCTGTCGCTCCTCCCACAAGCGGCTAGAGGCAGCGGGAGCGGGTGTTGCACTGGCGAATGGCGACACTGCCTGGGCCGGAACCAGAAGCTGGCGATGGGCTCAGAGTCAGGGTTCCTGCCACAGTCCCTGCCGCCAAGGCGCTGGCCAGAGCTGAGGGAAGGTTGCATCTGCCGGGAATTGATTGCAACCCCACGCGATGGTGCCGGCAGTCGATCTGGAGCCGCCAGCGGGTGTTTTGCTCGACGAGCCAACCTTGGGGCGAAGTAGTTGGTGGCCACGCCTGCCTGGATCGTACCTTCCTTGCTTAAAAATAACTTGCTCACTGCCATCTTGCAACCCATATGCCAACTCCGCCTAGGTTATCTGTAGAATTTGATTCGGCTCCTCCCTTCTTTCTCCCTCGTTCTCCCTCTCTCTGGGGCCTGCCGCAATAGATCCCTGCATGGTGGCTGCCGAGCCTCTGATATGTCGATGCGCTAAGGGACCTGCCCGAATAGGCTGTCCGCCCCCCGCGAGGCCGCTGCCCCGCCAGCTTCCACGACTCCACGACCATGATCGCCATCCATGCAGTGCTTATCATCACCATCACTGGCAGCACAAGCACAAGCACAGGCACAGGCACAGGCACAGGCACAGGCACACAGCACGCGATGATCACCACATGCCCAGCGCAAAAACCGCATCCCGCTCCCCTTCAGGCCTCCCCAGTCATGGCTCTTCCCACTGCCGATCCTCAGCACACGCTTCCCCGGCCGGCCGTCTACTTAAACTCGACGACATGTCCGCTTCCACAGCCATGGCCCCTCTAGCTCCTGCTTGGCCAGGCGACTTGACTGTCTCCCCCCTCTGTCTTTCGACTACAACCGCCTGCCCACCATGAGATTCTTCAGCTCCCTCCTCCTCGCGGCACCCCTCGCCGCCGCCGTCCTCCTCGACCGCAACGGCAAGATCGTCTACGACGGTTACAAGGTCTTCCGCGTCAATACCCCCGAGGAGGGTATCGCGGCGCTTGACGCCCAGATCGCAGAGCTTGAGGGCATCGATGTTCACCGTCATGCTGACCATTTTGATGTCGCCATTCCCCCGGCCAACCTCGAGGCTTTTGGCGCCCTCAACCTCGACGCCCAGGTGCTTTCCGAGGACCTCGGCGAGCTCATCGCCGGCGAGGGAGAGATTGCGGAGTATGAGGGTAAGAGCTGCCCCGTGATCTTTGAAACCCCCTGTCCAGTGCAAGATTCCTAACAAAAGGCGTTAAAAAGGTACCACCTCCATGAGGCTCAGCAGCGAGGACGGGGAGGTCAGCGCGGCCGCCCTTCCTAGCTTGTCGTGGTTCAGCGCTTACCACGCGTACGACGCCCACTTGACCTTCCTCCGCGACCTGCAGGGCGCGTTCCCCTCCAACTCGGAGATCATCACGGCCGGCACTTCGGTCCAGGGACGCACCATTACCGGCATTCACCTCTGGGGTAGCGGTGGCAAGGGCTCCAAGCCCGCCATCTACTTCAACGGCAACGTCCACGCTCGCGAGTGGATCACCTCCAAGGTTAGTCATATGGTGATCCCGACGTTATCACGTGGCAGCACTGATGATGGTATACAGGTTGCCGAGTACCTCGCCTACCAGCTCGTGGTCAACTACAACAATGACACTGCTGTCAAGGCCGTCCTTGACAAGTACGACTTTTACATCCTGCCCATTGTCAATCCCGATGGTAAGTAGAGGTCTAGCATCTCATTAGGAACCCGATGCAGACACTGACAGCCCCTGTTCCAGGCTTTGTCTACACCCAGACGACGGACCGCCTGTGGCGTAAGAACCGCCAGACCCGGAGCGGAACCTCTGCTGTCGGCACAGACATCAACCGTAACTGGCCCTACCAGTGGGTTGGCTCCGGATCCTCGACGAGCCCTTCATCTGAGACTTACCGTGGTGTCGCCGCTGGCGATACCCCCGAGAACACTGGTATTCGCAAGTTCGGTGACACGCTGGCCGCCGGCAAAGGTATCAAGCTCTACATTGACTGGCACAGCTATGGCCAGTACATCCTCTTTCCTTACGGATACAGCTGCAGCGCGCAAGTCAGCAATTACTCCAAACAGCAGAGCCTTGCTCAGTCTGTCGCCAGCCAGATCCGTTCCTTGTACAGCAAGAGCTTTACGTATGGTCCCATATGCACGACTCTGTACGCTGCCAACGGTGGCTCCACCGATTATATGCAAGACGTTGCCAAGACGTGAGTTGCACCCAGGTCGTTAGGCCCACCGGATCAAATAGACAGCCGCTGACTCTAGTTCTCAATCCTGTAGCGAGCTTGCCTGGACCATTGAACTCCGTGACACCGGCTCCTATGGCTTCAACCTCCCCGCCAGCCAGATTCTGCAAAGTGGCCAGGAGCAGTGGAAGGGCCAGCTGTGGCTGTGGCAGAACATGTGAAGCGCAGAAATGGACTCGGGCTCCACTGGGTCACATTGGAGACCTGTAGTGATGCAAACCATCATTTTGGTGGTCGCATACTTGACACTTGCACACTGGTCGTGAAAACGATATTCAGTTCATGTACATAGACTTGGACACCAACCGATGCAATACGGGCATGGTTATCATTGGTTCCCGATGACGGCCAGTACATAAACAACCTGCACAAATTCGACATGCGTATATCAAACCTGTTCTGGAGCGCAAGTGAGCTGAATTTTGTCCGTGATGAGCAGCAACAGTCAAATGTCTGAAGAAGAGAGAGAAAAGAAAAGCAGAAATATCAATGAGTCAGTGGCATGTACAAATCCCGAGGCTTAGACTGCACGGACAGGACCATGTTTCGGTTTGCCGCGTCTTTCCAAACCTCCAACGGTGACCAGCCTTCTATCGTGCCAGGATCAGTAGACAACTCCATTCATCACCCAGCAGAAGGGTCAGAACGGCATACACCACGCTGCGCTTGGGGGGCCTCTTTCGACCGTGGCATTCTCAGAGGCTACGGCGTCGCCCCTACACGATATCGAACAATCAATGTGACGTAGACACATACCTTAAGTGCATACGTCGTCCGCCGTTCTCCACAAACTGAGCACGTCATCACCCTCCCCGATGCCTCTCTTAACACTGCGTGTGCGAACTTCTGATAATAACACCAAACAGAGTAAATGGCTCGATACTCCTCCTCGAGGGCACTTTTGTGGCAATAACTTGCAGCGTTCCAAGTGCGTGCCCGGGTGAAAAGTCGTGCCGGGGGTGTTCGCTAGTGTACGCGTTATTGCCTTTTTTTCTTTTTCTTTTTTCCCCCCTGTTTCTCTTTTTCTCTGTTTTCTTTTATTGGGAAACGACCCTGTTCTATCTCTACGTCTACGGTTGTGTACAGGAATCTATTTCATGAATGCTTCCTTTTTTTTCTATCTTTACTCTTTTATAAAGAAATAAGAAAAAAGAAAAAGGAATTGAAAAGGTAACAGTAGATGCACAGACTTTATCCTCTTATCACACAGCCTCCTTTTTCGTTCTCTTTTTCCTCGTTCTCTCATTCTCTTGGCAAAAGTCTCCATGTCAATAGAAGGGCATGGGACCACATGGTGACGTATAAAAATCAAATCAAATGCCGCTCTAGGGCGCCAAGGTCATCGCAGGTCTAGCAAAGAGAGAGAAAGCACACACCTCCCCAGCCGGGTATCAGTGAGGGAGACGGAAGCTGCGCTGGGGTCTCCCAGGGTGAGATCGGGGTGACGCTTCAGCACACAGAACAGACAAAGATGTCATAAGCTAGGCGTACAGATAGGAAATTCTTTCCCACTTGATTCTTGTCCGGCTTGTTGTTCTCGCTCTCAGAGGGGAGGAAGGGCATGGCGAGGGGGATGCCCAAATGCTTGGGAAACTCTGATGCAGCCAGCCGGCGAGTTTGGGGCCGTTACGACAACCTAGAACCGGGGCCGCACGAGAGAGACTTGCGATGTTGCCATACCATGTTACGCCATGCCAGATGGGAGAGACAAGCGTCATTGCAAATTCAGACAGAGAGAGAGGAGAGAGATGAAAAGGGGGGAGCAGCACCGTTCAGCCTACCTACTTGGTAGGCAGTTTGATCCCCAACCGTAAAGGTCCCAGATTACGTCTCCCCCAACGTGTATGTCAACACACCCAGAGAGTAAAGAATGAGTTCTCGTCCAGACCAGTCCAGACTCTTTCGTGGGGGCTGCCAGACACGTCACACGTAGGCACAAAGGAGTAGAGCTAGTAGTGGCCACTCTTAAGCGTCCTTGCGGTAATGAGAAATGTGATGGATGAAGGGGCTGTGGCAAAACGTCTACGTTATGCGTGACCCTCCACTCGAACGACACACACACTCTCAGCCTTACTCCCACGTGTGACCCGGAGTGTCATTACATGCATGCGTCTCAAAAAGGAGCCTTGGAACTGCGCTTCGCAAAGCTTGAATGTGTCAAAACCGCGCCCTCCCACCACTCTCATGTCGCAGATAGTCTCGGGTGCTACTGAGAAACAGAATGTCTGTTGTCGAAATACTGGCCAGACTTGCACTTACGGCAGCGTTGACGTCGCCTATCCGGATACCGGCTGGGTGTAGTCGCCACCATGGTGCATAACTTTCGAAAGGAAGCCCTCGGTCGAAATTAGTAAACAAAGGACTGCATGGCGACGTGTCCCCATCCTGGTGCCGTCTGCATCCTTGACCGAAAAAACGGAAAGCCGCCGAACTTGGGTCGTCTGCTCTTCTCATTCCTGCAATGCTTGGACTTGCACTTCTTGTCTGTGGTAAGGACCTCTAGTCACTGTGATGGGTCGGTCAGCTAACACGCCCGCACGTGGGCCAGCACGTCAGCGCGGAAAATTCGCTGGCAACGCCAACCATCCATCTCGCGCAAGGTCGCCACTGGCACTGACGAAAGACGGCAAACAAGCTTCGACTATTTGCACGTGCAGTATGAAATAGTAGACCATATCTCAACGAGCTGGTGTTGTGGACGAGGAGGGAAGGCCGCGCGGAAATCCTTGGTCTTCCAGGGTCCAGACCTCGGAGTCACGGATGGCAAAGCATGATATCCCCAAAAGGTTGCGCCTGCTGAACCAACGGGCCATCCCGATATCTAGCCTCTGGAATGCACCGGTGTTCGTATCCTACGACCTGGCGGCACTCGGCTGGATTGGCCGTGCTTGTCGGTTGCGGTCTGCGTCCCCGCTAACTGGCCGGCCTCGGCCCGCAACCGTCCGGGAGGCTCGGCCTCTCCCATGCGCGACCGCAGATAACTCGGGATGGGCTGGTAGGGTGCCGGAGCTACAATGCAATCGTCATACTCAGATCACCACCGAGGATCACCTGCGCATGATGCCGTGATGCACTCCTTGTGCGTTTGATCGAGAGTCCACACGCGGTAGACCCATCAATTCGTCTACGGTCGAGCAGCAGCACGTGCCCAGGTGTTGGCTTCTTCAAAGGGCAATGCCGGGATCCGTTCCACAGAGACACACCCAACGGGTTGGAATGATGGTTGGCCGCGAAACTCAAAAATGGTAGCAAACCGAACTTCCGATCCAGCGGCGTGCATCTTGATGGCCGACAGCAACAGCACCAGCAGTGCCGGCAGCCGCGGTCGCGCAGGAACAGCCACACGATCTGGCATGCTGCCCGGGTTGCCCCTGTGGCGGACCGAATCCCTTGTGGTGGCATCGTGCCTGAACATCAGACTACGACGACGATGACTGAGCCCCTGGGGCTCTCCTTGGCTGGAGAATTTGTGCCGCCACACTTGTCTCGGATCCCTGCTGTGGGAGCACAATGGGCGCCCAATAATCAGGAATCGTAGGAAAAGTGCGACGCCTCGCATGCTCTTGAGCGTGACCTGCCAAGCAGCACAGTCACCTAAGCATTGCCTGGCCAGGTTTTTCTTGCCCACTGGCTTGGGCTCGTCACCACTTGTGGGCTGCATGAAGCTGGCAGGCAGGGTTGTAGCCCAGAGCGCGACCAGCCAGGCCGAATCAGCACACGACAGATCTGCCGGGCGCCCGTCTTGTCATGTCGCTCCGCAAGTGTCGGCATATGGGCCTGCCAGCAGAGGGGCTGATGACGACAGTGGCTGCAGCCCGCAAGGAAAAAGGCGCCTACGCGGCAGCACATCCATGCACGTCGACCATGGCCCCCACTCGCCCGAACCTTGCTCTGCGGGTCTTTCGTGCTCTCAACAGCACAACATCAATCAGAGAGGCAGCTGCAGAAAATTCCGTAGCTCTGCCGACCTCGCGAGCTGCCGCAGTCGCGGGGCCCTTCCGCGTTTTCTCCATCCTTGTGGTGCTTGAGACCAAGCATGGTCGGGCTCAGCATGCTATCCTGGAACTCATGGGGGTCCTCGCATGACGCCGACGTGGTGCTGCCAAACGAAGACTTTGACAGCGCCAGTGTATGATGAATCGGCAGCACGGCACCTGGTCCACTGTATCACTGCCAACGCAGTCGAGGATCTGTCTGGTGTCTACAGCAATACCGGCGCCGAGCTAGCACAAGGATCGTGCTGCCACCTGCCCAGATCTGAGCCGCGCGCCTTGCTTTTCAGATCTTACACTGATGCCTGGGCATCCCTGGTGATGTGTTGTCCCGCGGAAGATCTCAATCAACGACGAGCTTATGCGCCAACCACATCGGGGGACGCTTGCACTCGTTTGGCCGCGGTCTCTAGCTCGTGCAGCGATTCTGCTGCCATTTTTCTCACGGATGGTCCTTTGGCCATTTGCCGTTTCGCGCAGCTCGGTCACTGCGTTTGTTGTGCCTGGTGATTCAACGCATCCATTGTATGGACAACAGCCTTTGCTGCTGTCAACAGCGGCCCCCTTGTCGTGAGCGCGTGACGTGGGGAAAGGCGCCGGGGCCCGCGATTGGCTCGTACTGGTGCCGAATATTTGAGATGCGTGCTGCCCGATTCGACACGGCGTCGACTGGTGTGGACAAGGGAGTGCGCTCCACGGCGAGAGTGGGCTTGCGCAAATGTTCCCTGTTGGGGACCTCGCCTGGTCTCGACGGCTTGGCACTTGGGTGACAGGCGAGGACATACTGCGCAGGTCTGGAGAGTGTTATGTGCGCAAGGTGAGCCTATGCTGCGAGCTACAGCCCTGCCAGCCGGACCCCGGGCCCTGCCCCATGGAGGAAACAGCGGAGACAGCGACGATCTCTGGTTAGATTTTTCTCCCCCGCCGACAGCTGCCACGCTGTGTTTGGGGAAGTTGAGGTGACTGCCGTGACCGCCCTGACTCGTGGACATACAGCCAGGTCATTTTCCTCCGCCGCACAGGAGTTACCGACACCTCGCATGACCAGATGCTTCTGGATTGGCGGTGTTCGGGCAGAGTCCTTCGGGTGTCGAAACAGGGCCTGTGCGCGAGACCCAGTCGCCTGGTCGGCGGCCGTTGAGCGGCGCTAGGTGATTACACGCGTGAAGCATGCTATTTTGGGGCTGGCAGCTAGCGCGAGGTTTGTGCGCGGTCGAGAGTTGCTTTTGGGCGTTTCACTCGGGGGGGAGCACGCAGCATAGTAGCGAGGGCGAGGGCGAAGGCAAGGGCGAGGCCGGTCGGGAAATTACTGTTGGCAGGGCGCTGAGACGACAAAGCAGTCGTCGTCGCTGTCGTCGTCGTCGTCGTCGTCGTCGTCGTCGTACGTTTGCGCCAGGGGACCATATGCAGCAGACGGCGAGATCGGTGAGGGCTGGGCGAGGTGGCTGCTGATATGCTGGGTCTGCAGCAGGCCACCGACTTCCCATTGGTTACACCTTCCTGGCCGAGCCTCCCAGTAATCCGTCCATTATGCTCGATGCTGGGTCAAGAAGCGCTGCACGGGCCATTGGGCACAGCATACACGCAATGCACCTTGACAATTGAGTATTCCTCTGCTGTGATGCTCCCAGGGAGTCCCTGCCTGCCTTGGCGCACAACTGTTCCTAGCGGCAGCGGGCAGTGCTGGCGTGCCCAGGAAAAAGGATGCGGTCAACATAAGCCCGCCACGACATCATGCGCAGATCGTTGACTGCCCTGGCTGCTCGCAGCACACCAGACTGGACTGGCTGCTCATGGGACGCGGCGTTGCGCCCGCACCGCTGATTGATTGATCCCCGGCCTGCCAGAGAGCCCACCGCTAGTCGGCCTCGGTGCTGCGCGTGAGTCGTGTTGACCATCCAGGCCAAGTCCTCAATGCCCCGATGGCTCCAGTGTGGGTGCCGGGCCCATCAGGGCATCGTCATCACGCTGACTGATTCCTGAGTCCCTGGGCACTCCTACCGGCTCGTGCGGAACTGTTGCTTCTCGCCATCACGGCACAATGGGCGATAACATGTGTTCCTGACGAGCTTGGAAAACCTAGTCACGTCCAGCAGTGGGCCAGTAATCACGAGCACTGCAACCTTGGGGGCTGAGGGCAAGCAGAAAGGGTCCTGGCTGCAGGTGCCGGCTGCGTGGGCTCGCTGCCGTGCTCGCGCTTACTACGTACGGGCGCACACACACACGCATTGTGGGATTGTACTGCGGCCGTCATCGACGCCGCGACTACGCGGCACCAATACCCACCTGCAACCCTATTTCCTGCCGGCCCTCGTCATCCCCAGCTCTTTAACCTCGTCGCCGTCCTATTGCTGTCAGCACTCATTGCCATCAGTCAATCCGACACCGTGACTGCAAGCGTGCCTTCCCAGTTTGCTCCCTCTTCTTTCGTTGTCGTCCAGCAAACGCCTCCGGCCCGCACAGCACCGTCGTCTGGACTCACGCACGGCCACCTGCTCCATTCCGCCCGCACTTCGTCGTCCACGCAAGCACGCAACGCAAGGTTGCAAGCAAGCGGGCAAGTAACCACCCGTGCCAGCAGAGCTTAGGTAGGTCGCCATCGTCTAATATCTCATACTCTCTTGACGTCCAATCCGGGCCTGATATCAACCTCTCATCTCCCCCCTAGCCCACTCCAATCTCGTCACAGCCTCACGTTTTTGTTTTCGCACTCCTTGCCATATATACCATTGCTTCTTCTGCCCCGTGCTGCTGGCACAGCTCTCGTCGCCCGGTGATCCTCCGCCGAATCCGGCTGTCGATCCCTGCGACCTCATCACCGTCCCGTCCTCCGGTTCCTCCGAGTTCGCGACGGCCAACGCTACCCAGCCTGCCCGTGCTTTAGAAAAGGAAGCAATCAAACCCTGCCCTGCGTTCCTGCGCATCTGGGGTTGGTAGCCGTTGTTTGGGCATTCCATGCTGGGCCTCAATAACAACAAACCAACACCACCAAAAAGCACTCTGAGCTCGAGCCTCCCCTCCCCTGCCTGGTGCGCTGGCGGCGAGTGCTAGGATCTCCCCCGTCTCTTGTCTCCGCCGCAGAGCGCCCACACGCGCACTGCTGGGAGCCGCCCTGTGATTTCCACATTGGCCCTCTGGTGATTTAGCCTGGGGCCACGCGCAGGCGCCCACGCCCTCGGTCATCCCCGTGCATTGAGCTTGCGGGTGCCGGGCCCTTACATGCAGCCGGCCTGCCAGCTGGGTCCTGTTTCATGTTTTGGCTGTCACGAGAAGCAGCAAGCATCTCGTTCGTGAATCATTCCGATTCGTACATGAATAGCCTGGCCAGCCCTGTTCTACCAGAGAACCTGCATAACCCTGCTCTCCTCCTCTGGTCTCTTCCCACTTCAAAAAGGTCGTCCACACATGAGCATCATAGTTGTTGCCCATCCGCCACAGGCAGAACGAACCTATTTGTGCGACCTGCACTTCCACACGACTCTACCCGGCAGAGGCCCTAATACTTTTTAATCTAATCGCCCTTTATAACATGACAGACACCCCGCGGCCTGCACGAAGGTCGACCCACGACATCAGCGACGACCTGCGGCCCCTGTCCGCAATTGGGACACCCACCGTCTACTACAGGACGCGGCCAAGCAGGCGCAGCAACACTCAGCAGGGCGGCTTGCCCATACCCCACATCCGCCCACGGCCTCGTCGCCCGCAAGCCATCCACATCATCTCGTATCCTTCCGGCTACATCCCTCCCGACCTTCGCACGCCAAAACCTGCAAAACAGAGCAGACGCAAGCAGCGCCGCGAGCAGCACACGCGTATCGAGAAGCGTAGCAGCTGGCTGAGCACCGGCCCAGAGCCTCCTCGCAGTGTCCTCGACAAGGTCCTCGGCCCGCTCAAGCTCCATTTCAGCCAGGCCGATCCTCTTGCTGCCGCACAGCCGCCAGACTACGACACAGCCGTCCGCCCGGACACACAGCTTTCGCAGCGCCCTCTCCTCGCCGAACTACCACGGCAGTCTGCCAACTGCTCTCTGTCGTCCTGCGCTGACGTCATGGTCGACACGAGACGGTCTCCAATGCTAAGCGCGGCCCTCTACCCAGCCCACATGAATGGCAGTACAACTGCCGGGCGCTCTCTCAAGAGCGTCATGAGCTCCGTGACAGAGGTGCCGCGGCCTGTCGCCTCTGGAAGCGGTCTCTCCTGCTCAATAATCCTTGCCGAGCCTAATGTCTTCCTCACCGGCTTCGACCACGACGGCCACTCACGGCACGAGTCGGCCAATTCGACCGCCTTGTTGCGCGGCAAGCTGCAACTAAATGTGTCCAAAAACGCAAAGATCAAGGCAGTCACCCTGAAGCTTTCCGGACGAGCCCGAACGGAATGGCCAGAGGGCATCCCTCCTCTCAAGGTCGACCAGTACGAGGAAGAATCCCTGAGGACACAGGTGCTCACATTCTTCCACGCTAGCCACGAGACGTGGGGGACCGAATTTGGCAACCAGTGCACTTTCACCCTGCGAGGCAGTGGCGAGAATGCAAGCTCCTCCAGAAACAACTCGTCGTTGATGATCCCCGGGATCTTGCCCTCGTCAAATTCGTCCACCTCGATACATCAGCGGAGCAGATCCGGCAGCAGCTTCACAGCAAAGGATTACAAGAGGTTGTCACTGTCAAATGGCCAGTCCAGGAGTTTCGGCAAGGGCGAGACCCAGTCCAGCGCCAATGCTCAGCCAAAGGGCTACAAGGTGTTCTACCCGGGCACGTATGAGTACGCTTTTGAGCTGCCTATTGACCACCACCAGCTCGAGACCACCAAGTTGCAGTTCGGGTCTGTGAAGTGGGAGCTCGAGACCGTGGTTGAGCGAGCAGGCGCATTCAAGCCCAACTTGCACGGCACAAAGGAGGTTTCGGTTGTGCGCGTCCCTGACCAGCTATCCCTTGAGATGACCGAGCCAATCTCAATCAGCCGCCAGTGGGAGGATCAGCTCCACTACGACATTATGATTTCTGGAAAGTCCTTTCCCCTGGGCTCCAAGATTCCAATCGCCTTCAAGCTCACGCCCCTCGCCAAGGTTCAGGTGCACAAGCTCAAGGTATTTGTTACCGAGTCTGTCGAGTACTGGACAAACGATCGCAGGGTCACACGCAAAGACCCCGGCCGCAAAGTGCTCCTGCTGGAAAAGGTTGCCGGCAAGCCTCTCGACAAGCAATACGAGAGGTCTGAAGTGCGAGTGCTGAGCGGAGGCGAGCTTGCGCCAGAGGAGCGCGAAGAGGCTCGTCGCATCGCCGAGCGACGGAGGAGTGTCGAGGCCTCGCGTCTGCATACCGCTGCGCAGCCGCTGCCAGAGCCTACGGAAAACCTACTTGGTGACTTGGACCTTGGTCTCGAGTCCTACTGGGGATCCACGGAGATTGAAATGAACGTGCAGTTGCCGACGTGCGAGCAAATGTCGAAGGAGAAGAACATTCGGTTGCATCCTGACTGCAGCTGGAAGAACGTCAATGTCTTCCACTGGATCAAGGTGAGCATCGTCGACACTCGTTTGTCCATAACAGACTGAACTAACCTTGAACCAGATCGTGATGCGCATCTCCCGTCTGGACCCCGAAGATCCCACCGGCAAGAAGCGCAGGCATTTTGAGATCAGCATTGATTCTCCCTTTACCGTGCTCAACTGCCGGGCGACGCAAGCCAACACTGCTCTTCCCGAATACACTGGTGCCGAGTTGCCAATGTACCGTCAGCATGCGAGGTGCGGATGCCCCGATGCTGAAGTCTTGGCCACAAACCCGAGCCCAGCATCGAGCACAGGCACGATCCCCGGTATTGATTCGTCGTCGACGCTCGCCGGCACAGATTCGCCGGGCATCGCGCCTCCTCCGGCAGCTCATCTTCAGCAACACCCGGGGGCATCCACACAGCCTGTGCAACGGCCTGCAGCGACCGCCACGGCTCCGCCTGGGCACCGGCCCATGCACCTGCTGCGATACCCCAGCTTCAATCCGCCAGCATTCGACGAGGACGAGGCCCCGCCTCCATTGGCCACGCCTCCTCCGCAGTACGATATTGTCATTGGCACGCCCAGCGTCGACGGCCTAGCAGACTACTTTTCGCGTCTGGCTGACTACGACGATGGGGACACGGACAGCGATGAGGAGCATCATAGCCGGTTGATGGATCGTCACGGACGGCTCAGCATTGCCAACCCAAGAACGCCGGGGGGTCGCACGGTCGCAAGCCGCAGCATGGATATTCCAAGACCAAGCGTCACACAAGCCTAGCGAGCTTCGAGCTGTGACATTGTGCGACGGAACCATACCATGCAGCAGCCCACTCTCGAATGTGGCAAGCTACAAAGCAGAGAGCAACACCCACAAAACCAATACCACGAAACAAGCGAGCATAAGCACCATGCGTGCACACCATGAACGAAATGACGGGAAATGGGACTGTAGATACCAGGGACAGGAAACACGGAGTCCAAAACCGGCGCATTTAGTCATTCCTGGTTGATTTCTTTTGTAATCTGGCGGCACTTGGCAAGTGCTCTTTTTTCGAATACTTGGAGATACCTATCCGCGTCTTACACACAGGTTGTAGGCGTTGAGCACATTAAAGGAGCGTGGGAAGGACGGCAGATGGAGAGGCAAGCTCGAGAAATATGATATTTGTTTCCCAAACATTGGAGATGGTGCTGCGAAGTGGCAAGATGATTGGCGTAACTTGCATTTACAGTACAGCAACCCAGGCATCTTTGCCAAGGCTTCGGTGCATGTGGGATGTCTACGTAGTGTTAGTGACAAAGAATGGACAATTACGTGCAAATTAGTGTGTACTTCTCTTCTCCCTGCAAACTCGTGGAAGCAGAAGCGCGCAGCAGAGTTTACTGGTGCTCACGACTCTCACCCACACGTTCTTGTCTTGGCTGTTCTTTTTTTCCTTCCACGTGGTCGACCGACTACGATAGTCTCACAGATTTCTCCCGGTCTTGAGAGCGATGGGTGATGGGAACCACGAGTGACCAGGACAGTGGGATACAACACTTTAGCCGGCCACCGCGCGCGCACAAGTTAGCATGGCATAAGGCAAACCAAGGTCGCGTACATCAAAGCCGAATGGCCTAGCCTGAGCTGACCTGCCTGTGCCGGCTTTTTGTCTGCTCTTGTCCTGCCTATCCTGTCTAGTGGGCGGGTGCGGACCTTTGTCTGGGGCAAAAACCTGGCCGGGGCCAGGCAGGGCTGGGCCGGCTGTTTTTTCTTTGCCGTGTTGATCTCGGATGATTATCCTCCGTCTGGAGCCGGGTTGAGGGCCAAGTGCCGGAGCCATCCCCGGGGAGGGTCCCGGTTGTCTGTGCCCGCCCAGTGCAGGTGGGTCGGAAAGGAAACCGCTGTCCACCATACCGCGTACACTTTTGTTGCATGTATTAGGGCCTATGTAGACATGTGATGACGACGACTACGACAAAAGCTCGCTGGGATTATTGTGGCTATGTCCTTTGGGTAGGGGGGATTTGTTGAAATGTCACATACTTGCTCGTCGTGTGAATTTACTGAAGAAAAGAAGAAAAAAGGAGTCGAGCAAGCTTCCGCGAGACGGCCGGCAGTCTTTTGTAATTATACATGTACCATTTCTGCGAAACTGGCATCCACCTGGAAATGGGAGTGTACATGTGAACGAAGGATTACTGAGGCGTGTCTCAACCGCTAACACAAGAGCTTCTCTAGTTCACAACCTCGGGACACGGCGATCGTTCCTCATTTCCTCCCCGTTTCCAAAGGAGATGTCGGCCCACGGACCCGGGTTACACCAGATCTGGAGAATATGATTCAGCCCCCTTGCGAATCGAAAATTGCCAATGTGGCTGTTGTGTTGCGATGCGGGGGGACAGGGCAGGATGGATGGCGGCTGAATAGAGCTGGGTGTTTGCCCCCAAGAGGATCGACAGGGAGAAGCGGCAGATGTCATTTATCCGAAGGCTTGTGCTGCCTCGTGGAGATTGCCGTGGGTTTGATGCTGTGGGTTGGTGGTGTCTGGGGTGCGTCGATGGCCCAAGACGGCAGCGGAGGACGCAGATCCGGGGGTCGCGTGGAGATGGTCGCGATCCACATCAATGCACATCCACAACTGCCTGCTTGCTTGCTTGCTCCTCCCTCCCCCACTCACATGTGACTTGCAAACACACACAAACCGGCCACTTCCAAGGTTGCAATTCTCCCGCAGCCGGTCGGGCCCAGCCAGCCATGGCTTTACCAGTGGTTAAATACCCTGCGGCTCCCTCGACGGCTCGACTTACACAATGCCAAGCCCAGCCCAGTCTCGCCAGAGCCCGTCGTCGTCACTCGGTCCTCATCTCGAAAGAGCCCTGATATTTGGCTGACGCCCCCCCAGTCTTGCCGTCTCGTCTCGCCTCGTCTCATCTCGTCCCTCACGACTGTCACCATGCGTACCCAGCATCTCGGCATGGTGCTCCTGGCGCTCGCCAGCGCCGGCGAGGCCCAGCTCAACGCCCTGGCCAAGCGCGCCGGCAAGCTCTACTTTGGCTCGGCCACGGACAACGGCGAGCTGTCAGACACGGCCTACACAAACATCCTCAAGTCCGAGTTTGGCAGCACAACCCCGGGCAACGGGCAGAAGTGGCAGTACACGGAGCCCAACCGAGGCCAGTTCTCCTTCAGCAACGGCGACGTCGTGGCCAACTTTGCCGCCACAAACAACCTCATCCTGCGCTGCCACACCCTCGTCTGGCACTCGCAGCTGCCCAGCTGGGTCTCGAGCGGCTCCTGGACCCAGGCCCAGCTCACCTCCATCATCGAGACGCACATTGCCAACGTCGTCGCTCACTACAAGGGCAAGTGCTACGCCTGGGACGTCGTCAACGAGGCCCTCAACGAGGACGGCTCCTGGCGCGACTCGGTCTTCTCCCGCGTCTTCGGCGGCGGCAACTTCATCCCCGTCGCCTTCAAGGCCGCCGCCGCCGCCGACCCCGCCGCAAAGCTCTACTACAATGACTACAACATCGAGGCCACCGGCGCCAAGCAGGCCGCCGCCGCAAACATTGTCAAGCTCGTCAAGTCCAGCGGCGCCCGCATCGACGGCGTCGGCATGCAGGCCCACCTCATCGTCGGGCAGATGCCCAGCGCCGCCTCCCTCGCCGCCACCATGAACTCGTACCTCTCGGCCGGCGCCACAGAGGTCGCCTACACGGAGCTCGACATCCGCCACTCGAGCCTGCCGGCCAGCAGCGCCGCGCTCAAGCAGCAGGGCGACGACTACGCCCGCATCACCCAGGCCTGCCTCGCCCTCAAGGCCTGCGTCGGCATCACCATCTGGGACTACACCGACAAGTACTCGTGGATCCCGGGCGTCTTCCCGGGCCAGGGCGCCGCCCTGCTCTGGGACGACAACCTCCAGAAGAAGCCCGCCTACACGTCCGTCAGCTCCGTCCTCGCGGCCGCCGCCACCGGCGGCACCAACCCACCCCCCGTGTCGTCGAGCACTACCCTGATCACCTCGGCAACGTCTACGACTACGGGTGGCGGTACCACCCAGCCCACCGGCTGCACGGCCAAGAAGTATGACCAGTGCGGCGGGGAGGGCTGGATGGGCTGCACGGTCTGCGCGAGCGGGTCGACCTGCAAGGTCTCGAACCAGTGGTACTCGCAGTGCTTGTAGGCCTTCTGTGGGGGGCCGAGGAAGGGATTTTCACAGGAGTGGTCAGGTGGTGATGGTGGACTGGGGTGAGGTTTCTTGTTGGAAATTCACTTCCTGGGAAGGGAAGGAGAGCCGGGCAGGCGTTCCGTCGCCTCGAAAAGGGTTCTAAGGTATATATATTGTTCAGGGCACATGCCATCTAAACATATCTGAAAAAGCTTGTTCTTCAAACTGCAACTATGAACCGGCTTTTGAAAGTTGAATCGTGAGCCCCCCGGAGGGGTTGAGGTAACACTGGTGAACTCAGTCGAGAACTCGCGGCTGCTTGTGTTGCATTTGACTTTTCGAAGTACAACAGAAATATATAACATTGACCATTGACACCCTCAGCACTATCGCTGCGTGGAAAAGGAAAAAAAGGGATTCATGCACAAGGGGCTCGCATCTTCCTCCTCCTCTACACCCCGAATGCATCCAATATCATCACACCCTCCCCGAGTAGTTCCCAATACTCCAGCCCACCAGCAAGCCCCCGAAGAGATCCACAACCACCGCCGCCATCAGATCCGCCTTTCCCTGGCCCTGGATCCGGCTCCCGTACAGCCCGAACCGCAGCAGGCCCAGCGGCACCAGGACGAACACGCGGATCGGCACGCTCGCGTGGATGAGCTGGTTCTGGGCGATCGGGTAGTGGAGCCCCGTCCAGAGCTGCGCGAGGCCTAGCGCAAGGGTGAGGATGCCGCGCATGCCGTTGTCCTGCTGTTGCTGCTGTGGCTTTGCACTGGTGGTGGTGGTGGTGGTCGGGGGCTGGGCGAAGAGGTCCCGCGCCCCGGTGATGAGCAGCGCTGCGGTTTGGAGCAGGACGAGCGGGGGCAGGTCGAGGGAGGTGAGGACGGTGGTGAAGGACGACATGTTTTTGGCTGCTCTTGCTTCTTTCTTTCGGATGGCGGGCTGTACTGCTGCTGCTGCTGCTGCTGGGTTCGTGACGGTGCTTGTTGTTTTCTGGATCGTTTCTGCTGTTGTCGTCCCTAACCCGCCGGCTTGTAAGTGCCGTATTTTGTTCGGGATACTTCTTTCCCTCACTTTCCGGAGCGCCCTCTTTGTCAGGGGAGGTAAGATGGTGGTTTGCGGGTAGACTCGGTGATTTTCTAACAAAGCACTTCGTGCGGGTTCCAAGAAATAAGACACAACCGTATGATTGAAGAATCAAGTACGCTAGTAATTGCTTTCGAATTACACAGACCTTCGCAAACTCGCAAGCATGGGATACCAACACTTTTTATATCCTCCTCCTCCCCTCCTCCTCGGAAATCATCTGCGCAGCCGGCTCTCATAGAACCCGCACACAGATGCAGACGAGAGGATATAGCTTACCTGCAGCTGTGTAATACACGATGTTCCATGTCCGTCACACCCCTGGACACGCAGGCTCACGTCAGACCCGGTGGGGGGGGGGGGGCGCCAGGCGATCAGCTCCGAAAGCAGCGGGATGCACATGCACGTGTGGAGCACGGGTAAGTCTCTCTGGAGGAGAGACAGGATGTGAAGTTGTGAGCCATGCACGGCGTCTATATTTACCAATCAGAGAAGCGGAAGAGAAGAGGGGTTTTGTAAGATAGGCTCTGAGTAGAAGAACGCTATGTGTGTTTTTGTCGGACAATGTTTTGAGATCCCCGGCCTTTCCGAGCAACATTGAACAACGCTGGCACTTGTACTTGACCTTTTCTCCTTCTGGAAGCATTTTGTGGCTTCGAGTTCCCAAAGCCACTCTTCTCCGTTCGCATAGATCGGACCCGCGGAACCTATGATCTTCTCTCTCTACAGGATGTGCCCATCGTCATCATCCATGTTGTCTGGTAGCGGCAACTCTTGAATACTTCTGAATGTCAGCATTGCCGTAACGGCCAACCTTGAGGCACCCCTGCCACGTTCATTACTGCACCCATTCGACTGGCCCTCTGTCGGGGAGTCGACGAAAGTATCGTGTGAAGGAATAACTATCTCGAGGGTGAGGGGCTTCAGGCACGTGTCCTTTCTACAGCGTGTGAATGAGTGAACGGAAACAATTTATATAAATAGAAGAGCGTCATACGTAACAACGAACATCAATTGACACCGCTAAGTTCATGAAACCTGGACCACAACAGCCTACGCTCATCACTGCCCCATCTCCCCCTCATCCGTCAACATGTCATCCACGACGGATCCCCGCCGACTGGACGCCGCGACAGACAGGTCATGATCAGTGTCCTCCTCGTCAATGCGTGGTTGCACAGCAATGACGGTAGGCTCGTCCCCAGTGATCGTCCGGTCTTCGTCCAGCATCGACGGCGCGGCAGACACGCTCCGGCTCGCGGTCCGCCTGGGAGCCGTCGAGCCCCGGTCCTGCTCCGTGTACGAGTTTACAATCTTGCCCAGGCTCACGTGCAGCTTGTACAGTGCATTGCGGCCCGTCGCGTCGGTCAGCAGGTTGTCGTCCACGGCCGCGTTGGCCTCGGCATAGAGCTCACGGATCTTTTCTTCTGAAGAGCCTGGCGAGATATACAGCTTGCCCAGCAGTGGCGCTATCGTCTTCTTCTCCTCCTCTGTGGAATTCGTTAGCTTCACCAACCCCTACTCCAAAATATTATGTATGACCTGCACTTACTGCTGAAATTGCTGTCGAGCTTCTCAAGGATGTCCCGAGCAAAATCGAGATGCACATCGCCATTGACATTCCGCTTGTCCGCATCCATGTCCATGCCGGGTGTGAAGCACTTGCGCGGGTCAGTCCAGTCCACCAGGCACGATCCAATAGAGTTCAGACTGGCCATCTCCTCGTTGACGTCAATGTCGTCGTCATCGAGTCCCTCGCGGACGTTGTACAGAGTGTGGAGGGCGTCAAGGGCCACCGAGCGCATCAGATCCTGGTTCTCGGTCCTTGAGAAACAGAACACGGGCAGGAAGTAGTTGAGCGCTTGTCGTACTGCTTGGTTCTCAGCCGTGGCCGGGTCGAAATAAGCAACGATCAGAGTCTTCAGAAGCTCGCCAGACGTGTCTCTGTCTGTAACAACGCGGCCGAGCAGAAGCTTGGAGACGGCGACAACAGCTGCGCCTTGTACTTCCGGATGCTTCGTGCCTGACCTCAATGCCTTGACATAGACTTTGAGCAGTGTAGGGTTTGCCGACAACAGTTGCGCACCGTGGACGTTGAGGATATCTGTAAGGATATGAATCGCAGTGATCTGCAGCGCCGCGTGCCCCTTGCTGTAGAAATGCATGAACAGTGTCAAGTTCTCCTCGGCAAGTGGGCGGTCCAGCAGCGCACATAGGCCGAGACAGACAAGGCCGCGCTCGCGCACTGGCGCCTCATGGCTGCGCACTGCCGGGACAACCAGATTGTTCAGCATCGCCACCAAGTGGTCATTCTGCTGAAGATTGCCCTCGACGCTTGTGAGCATGCACTGGACAACATGAAGACACTTCATGTTGATCATGATCTCCTTGATGGCCTTCTCGCGTGCCTCTTCTTCGCTGAGCTCGGCTCCCTTCTTCTTGCCTCGAGTTGGGGTGCTGTCGCGGCTGACTTCTGATCTCGCCGAGTGGAAACTTTCGTCTTCGTCCATGTTCTCCTCGTCGATGAGCGTGTCGTGGATATCTGCAACAGACTCGAGCACCACGCTGCAGAACTCCTTCTCGCCGGCGTTGTCCGGCGCACAGAGGTCCCGCAAAACCTCCACCGTCAGCTTGGTCACCTCGTCCGGAAGCTCTGCGATGGACAAGGACTGTCGCAGCAGCGCAAACATCTTTCTGCGGCCAACCTCATCGGAGTAGTCGAGGGTCAGTGCAATATGTAGCAGCTGCTCCACTATGAACTCCTGCTCGACTGTGTCCTCCTCCTCTTCATCCTCGTCCAGGTTCTCCTGATTGTTGAGTTTCCTAATAGCCTCAATTAGGACGTTCAGATAACGTTCGAGGAAGAAGGCAAGCTTTGTAACTTCGGGCAACTTCTCTTCGAGGAGCGACTCGTACTTGCGGTTGCCCTCTGTGCGGCAGAACTCGTTGAAGCTGCGAGCCATGAAAACAGACTCTGCGCTCAATGTCTCCCAGAACTGGTCGTCAAAGGTCACTGCCTCGCGGTAGTCGGGCCGGCCCTCCCAGAACCCTTTCATGGCCTCGAGCGCGACGCCATTCTCGACACCCGAGTTGACCACATCTATACGCTCAAGCAGCTCGAGCAGGCCGTCAAAGCTAACCGGAGCGGCCTCGGCTGGCCGGTCACCGTCGGCAGGCTGTTCTAGCCCAACGCAGTCCTCTATCCAGCGTTCGCGGAACAGTCTGCCGGCAGCCTTCCGGACGTTCTCATCTCGATCGCGAAGACCCCAGCGCAGCAGCTTCTCTCGCATAGAGAGCGACAGGTGGCGGAAATCACCCAGGGCAGGAAGCAATCTGGAATAGACTGCCCTGCGAGTCTGCGCATCCGAGTCGCGAGCACGTTCCAGCAGGTATGGCAACGTGTTGGGGAGGATGGGCAGGTTGACCAGCAGCGATCGCCGCACGTCGGCACTGGGATCGTTCTGCAGCACCTCGAGCAGCTTCTCCAAGAGACCCGTCTCGGCGTCGTCGTCGCTGTCGTCCGAATTGGCCATGCCTTCTACCTGATTGCCTGCCAGTCGTCCGAGGCCGAGCACCGCTTGGGCTCGCACCATGGCCTCCTTGTCGCGGATGCGCTTGAGAAGTCCTTGGCGGAGCTTCTGAAACAAGTCGTCGTCGATGGCATCGAGAGAGTTGATTATGTGTGAGATCAGCTGTGTAGATCTGAAGCGCGAGAGCTTGTCCTTGGCCATTAGCAACGGCAGTATGGACTCCATGAGCTGCGTCGTCAATCTAGTGCTTGGTGTCTCGGGCATGGTGCTAGCATCCGCGTCCTCCTCTCCCAGCATCTCGTTGTCCTTGTCGTTGGCATGTCGAAGGAACAGGCCGACAAAGCGTATCGTCTTATCGCCGACGCTCTCGCTCTTCTTCACCGGCATCGACCGCACGACGCAGCGGACGAACTCGCGGTTGAAGTCATTCTCGTCAAAGTCTTCGGTATTTGTCTGGTTCTTGGTGGGTTTTGTAGGCTCGTAGCAGCAAGACTCGTGGATCTTGCGTAGGTTGACAACCAGCTTTCTGTGGGAGGCTGTCGTCTTCTGCGCGTCGCGGAAGACGGCGGCGACTTGTGTGCGGAGGGTAGAGTCTGGGCCCTCGTCGGGGATGTCGACGTTGGAGGTGGCCGTGGCGCGACCACCGCCAGCGGCTCGTGAAGACCTCGAGACTCTGGCTGGCATCGTGGTCCGATTCGTGTCGCAAGGGTCCTTGCCAGCGGCGGGGTTGTTGTGTTGTGTGCAGTTGTAGTTTTCGTTGCCTGGCGTTGAGTAGGTGGCAATATGTGTTGGCAATATGTGATGATTTTGCAAGTTTCTGAATACACACTGCCGTAGCCGGACAGATTCGTCTTCGACTTTATCACTGTGTCAGTCGAAAGGGTAGCCGAAATGCAGAAGCATGCTAAAGGCGCGTGTCGCGAAGCAGGGTGCCCGGATGGGAAAGTGGTGTTTTGCGCCTGGCCGGCCCCCTCACCGCACGCTAGGCGGGCAGGCTGTAAACCAAACAATGGGGGTTTCGCCCATGTCAATAAACTGACGGGTCATCGTGCCCCGCGATTGGGCGGCGGGCCAGGGGCATGCCACGCTGCTGGGGCAACCACCCAATCCCCGCTGACTAAGGACATTGGGATCAAGACTCGAGGCAAGCGGGGTCTCTGATCCGGCTCCACTTGTTTCTGGGCTTCAAGACTGTCCGTATCTAATCGGGGACCCTGCGCTCCACTTTATTTTTCTTCAAGCAGAAAACCAGCTGCTGCTGCACAACACTTTGGGTGGTGTTCTGCTGCTTAGGATCGTGAAGCCGACTGGGAAGAACCATTCGTGCGCCTGCACCACTTCCACCACACCACACCACAACCGACTGTCTCAAGATGGGAGGCAAGAGAGAAAGAGCCCAGCCGGGCGACACAGCCACGGCATCGACCGGCGACATTGAGACACCCTCCGAGCCGCCGTCCAAGAAGACCCGTGTCGAGGCCAGCCGGTCGCTCTTTGTGCGCTCGCTCGCGCCCACCGCGACACCAGAGTCCTTGACCGAGTTCTTCTCGCAGCACTTCCCCGTCAAGCACGCCCACGTCATCACCGACCCCAAGACCAAGGAGTCTCGCGGCTATGGCTTCGTCACCTTCACCGACGCCGACGACGCGAAGGAGGCCAAGGAGAAGCTCCACAAGCACAAGCTCGATGGCCGGCCCATGTTCCTCGAGATCGCCGAGGCGAGACACCGCAAGGCCGGCGACGGCCAGACAGAGGCCGTGGCCAAGAAGGAGCAGCGGCAGGCCGAGCTCGCCGAGGCCCGGAAAGCGCCCAAGCTCATCATCCGAAACCTGCCGTGGAGCATCAAGAAGGGAGACCAGCTCGGCGCCCTGTTCCAGGGCTTTGGCAAAGTCAAGTACGCCGACCTGCCGTCCAACAAGGGCAAGCTGTCTGGCTTCGGCTTCATCACCATGCGCGGGCACAAGAACGCCGAGAAAGCCATGGAGATGCTCAACGGCAAGGTCATCGATGGACGGACGATAGCAGTCGACTGGGCGGTGGACAAGAACCAGTGGCAGAAACAAAACGCTGAAGACGACGATGACGAGCATGAGGACAAGGAGGACAAGAAGTCGGAAAAGAAGAGCAAGAAGAAGTCAAAAGCGCAGAAACCTGACGAAGAGGACGAGGAGGAGGATGACGAGCAGGATGCCGAAGACGATGGGAAAGCGAAGGATCCCGACGACCAGCTGGACGCAGATCTGAGGAACTTCTTCAAGAACCACATGGGCAACATGGAGGACGAGGATAGCAACGACGAAGATGAGGACGACAAGGACGAGGAAGACGAGAACGCGGAACCAAAGAAGCAGCTCTCGACAGACAACAGCACAACATTGTTCGTGCGCAACCTGCCATTCAGCACCACAGATGAGGGTCTCAAGTCCCACTTTGAGCAATTCGGCACCATCAGATATGCGCGGATAGTCATGGACCGCGCCGCCGACCGACCCGCGGGCACGGGCTTCGTGTGCTTCGCCGACGCGGCCGAGTTCAAGGACTGCCTGCGTGGCGCGCCGCGGATACAGCCCACCACGACGGCCGGCAAGAAGATGTCGATCTTGCAGGACGAGCGCAAGGATCCGGAGGGCAAATACACGATTGACGGGCGGGTGCTGCAGGTCTCACAGGCCGTGAGCAAGGACGAGGCGTCGCGGCTCGCGGACGAAGGTGCCGCTGCCCGCGGTGGCAAGGACCGCGACAAGCGCCGCCTGTACCTCCTCGCCGAGGGCCAGATCCCGGCCGACTCGCCGCTGCACAGGTTGCTTACCCCGTCCGAGGTGCAGATCCGCGACCAGAGCGCCGCCCAGCGCAAGAAGCTCATCCAGGGCAACCCGAGCTTGCACTTGTCCCTGACGCGCCTCGCCGTGCGCAACCTGCCCCGCGAGATGGACTCCAAGACGCTCAAGGCCCTCGCGCGTGAGGCGGTGGTCGGCTTTGCGACAGACGTCAAGGAAGGTCGCAGGTCGCCGCTGAGCAGGGAGGAGCTCACGCGCTGCGAGGACGACAAGGCGGCCGACCTGAAGCGCAAGGAGCAGGGCAAGGGTGTGGTCAAGCAGACCAAGATCATCTACGAGAACGCGCAGGGTTCCAAGGTCGAGGAGATCGACGGGGCCAGCAAGTCCCGTGGCTACGGCTTCATCGAGTACTACACGCACCGCATGGCGCTGATGGGCCTGCGCTGGCTCAACGGCCACGCGATCAAGAACAAGGCCGGCAAGTCGCAGCGCTTGATTGTCGAGTTTGCGATTGAAAATGCGAATGTCGTCGCGCGGAGGAGGGATATGCAGACCAAGTTCTCTGGCGGTAACAGCAGCAGCAACAACAATTACAACAGGAAGGATGACCGGGATGGCAAGAAGGGTGGCCTGCCCAAAGGCAAGGACTTTTCTGTGTCGAACAAGAAGGGCAAGAAGGGTGATAAGACCAAGGGAGGGGACGGCAAGCCCGCGACTGCAGCTGTTGAGGGGAAGAAGGGGAAGGAGGAGGCGAAGAAGGAGGGTTTCCAGCAGCAGATCATCGGGCGCAAGCGGATGATGCGCAAAAAGAAGGCTCAGTCGCGGGGATGAGCTTGAGAGTAAGGAGAAGAGACTTGGAAAACCCGGTTGGCGTCGAGCTCGTCTATATTCAGCATGATTGCATCGCATAAATTTACAGCATTTCCCCACGCCCTTACAAATGTTTTTGCGTGAATGTGTGCGAGTGTTTCAGTAACAAATGGTCCATTCGGCACAAATCAGTATTTCACGTGCCATGAGCTCATTCATCAGCGTCATCAAGGAACGGGTCAAAATTTGAATGCAATTAATCCAGAAATTGCGGACGTTGTAGTTATACCTAAAGTTGTACATGGTGCTCAACTGACAATGGGTGAGTAGAGACTAGCAATGAAACAAATATGAACAAGCAATTAGAAAATCAAGATTATCGTAAATCACTTCGTCCAGAACCACCCACTGGGTTTCCGGTGCCCTGATTTGCCGTCGCCGTCGTCAGCTTCGAATCCGGTATGCTCGTCGTGCTGGACGTCATGTTTATCGCGCTTCCAGCGACGAGGACCATCCTGTCCCCACTTCCAGGTCCGACTCCATTGGGACGACGAAGAAGAAGTCGATGATCCCGAGAATTCTTCATCACTCTCCGAGCCCGATGCCGAAGTGGAAGTCTTGATCTTGGTCGACTCGGACCTGCCAACCAGGTTGCCGTCGGCATCGTATCTGAGCCGTGTCTCGGTTGTCTCGACTTGACCATTGTGCTCACGTCGCTTCCGGACTGTGTCAACTCTACCGCCATCCCAAGTCTTGCGAGAGTCTGTCTCCTCTGTCTCCTTCGGAGCGTCTCCATTCAGAGCATTGTCTGTGCGGGTCAAGTCTGTTGATGATTCTGTAGACTGGGAACGGGGTTGATGAGTGCGAGCTTCATTGAGTGCCTCGAACATTAGGTCCCACGGTGACACATGACGCGGTTGTGTGTCACCCGTGTTCTCCCTTGCGTCTCCGTAAAGGTCCTCCTCGGTGTCTGGGTGCTGCTGAGGACTACCTTGCTGCTCACCCGAATCGGTCTCCTTCTTGGAGGTGGAGAACCTCTCATCAGGGGATCGGCCCTGGTGCTTGGTGAAGCCTGTTAGCCACCGTCCGTCAAGGCCCCAGTCCATAAGCATCGAGGCGATTTCGTCTCCCAAGCCGAGATGCTCCCAGCTGTGGAGCTTGGGGTGCTGTGGGAAGTACGGCGCCCACAAGCCACGGACACTCAGCATCCGTACCCAATTCGACACTGGCATGCCATGCGCGAACATGAAGTCTACATGGAGTTTGTTGGCCAGCAACTCGGGGCCTCGCGGCAGGGGCCGACCTGAGCTGACAAGCATGAGATCCTCGAAGGCATCGCGAAAGGTGAAGTCGTTGTAGCCTTGGGTCTGGCTGACATCCCGGGGAACTGGCTGGGGAAGATGTTGCAGGTTAAAGGGGGAGTAGGGTGAGTGACGAGCCCATAACTCTGGGTCTGCGAAGTTGTCAAAATCGTTGGCCGGCACAGCGACGGCCGATTCTGGTTGTGTTGACGACATGCTCGTGGTGGGCGCAGCCGCTGTTGATGATTCTTGCACGGGTGGGTCGAGGTCAACCAGTCGTACTCGGCCAGGACTGGGGTATATGACAAGCGCGTCTGTCTTTGGACTCGGGCTGGAAGATGGAGTGGTTGGACCTTGTCGCGGATGAGCCGAGCTGGACTGCTCTGGGCTGGAGGGCTGCTGCGCGCGGTGCGAGACGGTGTCAATGCCGCGACGGATAGTGTCATCCACAGAGTGTCTGAAGCGGACGAAGACGTTGTTGGTATGAGGCCTGTCAGGATCATGAACCATGTTTCTGCAGGGAAGTGCTGGACTGAAAGTGGCGCCACGGTCGCTAGCGCAAAGCGGCGGGCATCATCAGGAACGTCGTTGTTCACCAAAGGGGGACCGGCAGACTTCTGGGTGCTCAGAGATGCGTCGGCAGGACCAGGTAGTGAGGAAATATCGGCGAAGCGACTGGGAAGAGGCCAGAGTTGCCTCGAGGTTGGCGATGCAACGTGCGTTGGGTGACGGCAACGGGAAGCTCCGGGAGGCGAAACAGGTCGAAATGCGGGGAAGCAGCATGGAAGCTCTGTGGAAGCTCCGGGAGGAGGCGGCTGCACCTGCCAGCAGGGTCCTCGCCCCGCCAGCCCTGCACAGCTCTGCGCGCCTGAAGTTGCAAGTGGACACAGTCGCGCCGCGCCAACCCGCCCACCGAACCCCTGGCAGCAAGCTCGAATCCCCTGCGTCGACATCCTCACGACCGCCACCACCACCACCGGCACACGGCCATGGCTCACGCAACAAAAGCCGCTACACTCTCTCCTCCTTGACACTCTCTCATAGTTGTCCGCGCTGGTGGACATGTCCTCTCGCAATGGCGCCGCCGCCGTCGTCCTGCTCGCCGTAGCAAACATTCTCATTCCCATTGCCATCCTCGTCTTCGCAACCGGCTTCTTCCCGTACAAGCCCTTCTTGCCTGGCCTTGCCGAGTATGTCGACCTCGGCCATGGCTCAGAGCCACCACAGGCTCCCTTCAACCGCCTCATCTTCATGGTGGTCGATGCCCTGCGCAGTGACTTTGTTTACCTGGAGGGGTCGGGCTTCCAGTTCACTCAGCAGTAAGCTTGACTCCATTATGCTTGGCCCTCCACGTTCATGGTGGGCGTGTACTAATACTCGCTGGGGCAGACTGATTGCTGACGGCCATGCCTTGCCATTCACGGCCCATGCGACTTCGCCCACTATCACCATGCCACGAATCAAGGCCATCACGACCGGCTCGACACCTTCCTTCCTTGATGCCATCCTCAACTTTGACGAAGCGGATACGTCCTCCACTCTGGCTGCGCAGGACACCTGGCTCGCGCAGCTGAAGCACAAGAAGCCTGGCAAGCTGGTCATGCACGGCGATGACACCTGGCTCAAGCTGTTTCCAGGCGTGTTTGACCGTGCCGATGGCACAACCAGCTTCTTCGTGTCCGACTTTACCGAGGTCGATGCCAACGTGACGCGCCATGTGCCAGAGGAGCTGCAGAACCAGGATTGGAGCACGGTGGTCTTGCACTACCTGGGGCTAGATCACATCGGACACAAGACAGGCCCACGTGGTCCAAACATGCTGCCTAAACAGCAGGAAATGGATGGAATCGTTCGCCAGATATACGAAGGTATCAAGAGCCAGCCACATCTCGAATCTACTCTCTTGGTCTTGATAGGTGATCATGGAATGAATGACGCTGGAAATCATGGTGCATCATCGGCCGGAGAGACTTCGCCCGCGCTCGTGTTTGTGTCACCCAAGCTCAAGAAGATTGCAAAGCCAGCCAAAACCCCGGCGCACTACAAGGAAGACTTTCGATATTACTCCTTTGTGGAACAATCCGATCTGGCCCCGACTTTGGCGGCTCTGCTAGGTTTCCCGGTACCCAAAAACAGTCTTGGATCATTCATCACCGAGTTTCTGCCGTTGTGGGAGGGTAAGTTCGTCTCAGTTAGACTCCTGCAACCTATCCACTCACTGACTGGACACAGGCAATGAACGTATCGACATCCTGCTGCGCAATGGTCGGCAAATTTATGACATCCTGGCGGCTACGTTCGGCATTCCTGCAGCGAATGAGCCACTAAGTGAACAGTTTTGCTCTGGGGCCTCGTCAGATGCGGAGTCTCTAGCGTGCTCGTGGCGACGCATACAGGACTCCGCCGAAGGAGCGTACAACGGCTCACCTGTTGATCCCAGCTGGTTCGATGATGTCACAAAGGTGAGTCCTCGTGTAAATCTGCCTCGTTTTGTTTTTATGCTCATTCATTCGCAGTGGCTTCAAGAGGCACAGTCCTTGATGACGAGCATGGCGAGCAACTATGATGTCCCTCGCATGAGCCTTGGAAGTGGTCTGTCCATTGCTGCCGCTGCTCTCGCGGTAGCTTCCGCGACACTTACACGGACGTCGTCTCTTGCAGGCCTCTCGCCGTACATACTGGTCACACTGCTGTATGGTGTGATGATGTTTGCCAGCAGTTACATCGAAGAGGAGCAACACTTTTGGTACTGGACTTCATCACTATGGCTCTTCTACCTGACGATGAAGAGCATTGATCGTAAGAACGCCAAAGCCACGAGAAAAACATTGGTCAAGATGGCAACTGCGCTTTTGTATCTCCGGATCCTCCGCAACTGGAATCAGACCGGACAAAAGTTCGCTGGCGAGCCGGACATTGTCACGGTCATACTAGCGCCTCGCCCTCCTCTGTTATGGAACTTGGTCTTGTCGGCATACGCTCTCGTCGCCTGGCAGCTCTATCACGAGTTGAAGGACGTGACATCTGTCATATCAGGCTCGCTTGTCACCGGTCTGGTCACGTCGGCTGTGTCGTTCAAACTGGCCTTCACCAGAGAGGATGCACCGGAGCTCATGACTGGGTTCGCGAGCACGCTCGCAAACCTGTTCTCCGGTCCGTCCTTGGTGGAGCTCGCTCGGGCTGTTTTCATGGGGCTCGGCCTGGCTGCAATCTACCCTGTGTACCAGCTGTTGCGACGACCGGCCGGCTCGTCACCTCTGTCGGCCATGCGCATGCTCCACAGGCTTTATACTGTCTTTGCGATGACTCAATCGCGGGCCACCAACATACCTCTGTTCATCTTGTTTGATGGCATCGCAGGTCTGCTTGGCAGAATGAGCCTGGATGCTACGGAAGCGACAACGACCTCGTTGCTGCTGCAGTTCGCATCCTTTTTTGCCATGGCAGGCAACAACGCCATCTCGGGTATCGATCTGTCCAGCGCCTACAATGGTGTCAGTGGCTTCAACATTGTTGCCGTTGGCGCTCTGACTTTTCTCAGCAACTGGGCGGCACCGGTTTGGTGGTCGTTTTGGGGTATCTTGATGCTGCTTGAGCACAAACACCGGAACGCGGGTATTGTTACGACTGAGCAGCAGCGCCCACTCCAGCAATATCTCTCTCTGCAGACAGTGTTTGTGGCAGTGAGCTTGGGCTTTGTCATGGTCGCATGTATGGTGCTCCGGACGCATCTGTTCATCTGGACCGTATTCTCACCAAAGTACCTGTACAGCATGGCCTGGAGCCTTGGCCAACATCTGGGGATCAATGTGGTTCTAGGTAGTCTACTGTACTGGCTCGGACACTGATGAGTTGCCGTATGGAACAATCACATGCAACAGCAGACCTGGAAGCAGGTTTGACAGATCATCCAAAGGGTTTCTCTCGAACCCATTCCATATTTGATGTGTGATGATGAATTTGCCCGTGCTGGGTGCGGCTGTCGCCTCCGGCGACATTGTTGAGGAATGTGACAAGTTGTTGTCGCGCACCAAACGTCAGGATCCGATGGCGCGCTTTTGGAAAGTCGACAGCGTCAATCGGGAAGATGTCTCAGAAGATTGGCGCCGCATGCCTGCGTGGGGGTTTAACCCCGTTCGTTCATTCTGGGTGCACTTCGGTCATATCCCCGGAAGACTCGGGCCTTCCATCTGTCTGTTCTCTGTCAATGGGAACAATCCATCCGACCGAGGCTGAGATCTCACTGCCCGCCCCCCTGCCCCCCCAAAACCACCGTCCGGACCGACCGAAGTCGCCGACGAGAGCAGCTTTTAATCAACGACAAATCATTCATGTGCGTGGCGCTCCGGATTAGATTTTTCGGGGCGGATTATGGTTTTCCTGCGCCATGTGCTGCCCACTGCGTTTCTTTCCGTCCCCTTTTTAGGTTTTTGAGCTTGCAGACACACACACACACACATTTTTTTTCTCCAACGGTTTGTGTTGGGAAAGGGGGCGTTTATGATTTTCAGGGCTGGATATAGTTTAAATTCCCCTTGTCTTTTGTTTCTGTCTCATGTACGAGTTTGGTGCGGTCTCTTGCTCGTGGTGTGCACACGACAGGTGATAGAAGCCATTTGGGTGGGAGACCCCTCTTCGAGCGAGTGAGCCCTTCTACCACTCGTTGCTGATGGGAAGGCATGAGGGGTGTGTCTCTTTTTTAATTCGAGGTGTTATATGGCTGGCTGTTTGCGGGTGCTTCCAAGATATGTGTGCGTGCATGTGTAGCCTCACTTTCACAATAGCATCGGGTGGGCTCCTCACCATCAACCCACTACCCCGCGGTGAAGGACAGACAAAACAAATTGATACGGTGAGCTGGCATCGTCGATGATTGGGGTTTCCCTGGCTGAGTGGGTGTTCCTTTTTCTCTCTCGGGCATCCTCAAACCATCTCTTCCCTGCCCGCTCTGTCACTTCTGCATGGTTGCATTGGTTCTGGAGTGTGCAAGTAGCCATGATCTACTATACCCGTGCTTGTGAGCAATGTGACAAATGGGCAATTATGTGAGCTGCGATGGTGCGCCTCGAAGCCACTTGGCTGCCCCTGCAAGTGGACTGTGTCCAGTGCCGGTAATTTAGGAACGGGTGCCGCGGTAGCGGCGTCAGCTTGAAAATAGAAGAGTCTGGAGGTGTTCCCGCCGCGCAAGGGTTCCAGGCATGGCACCCCTATTCTGTCGGGCAAGTCAATAAGAATGTCGTGAAACAGTTTTAATGGTCCAGGGTGTCCGGGGATTTCACTAGAGGCCAGATTTCGGGCATAAACAATTGGGGGCTGAGCCGGACGAGGAGGACAATCCAGCCAAAAAGTGCCATGGCCGACGACACTGGCCGAAGGCTGACAGCAATGGCGCGAGCTAAGCCGATGCGGCAGCACGGACGGGAGCGGTAAGGCCAGTCGAGGGGACTAGTGGTGAGAATCAAGAGAAGCGGATGAGAGAGGGATTAGTCAGTTAGGGGCACATACGTGTGCGGCTGTCATAGCGCCCAAGATGGAGCGGAGGATTCGGGGCGGGCTAGAAGGCTTCGGCGGGTGGGCACTGCGGGCCTGACCAAGGCCACGGGGCTCATGCGTGTGATGCCGCCGGAGCGGTGCGAATGACACGGACGGGCACCGGACCAGGAAGCAGGCACCAATCGCGGCGAGGCAGGCGAGCACGGCGACGGGGGCCGCGAACTGTTGTTGTTCATGTGTGTGGCCCAGTGTGTGTGACAGAGTATGCGAACGGTCCAACCCTCTGATGGCCATCGCGTTGTTGGCTTGTTGTGCTGCTGCTGCTACTGCTGCTGCTGGGCGATCCGGAGCAGGGCGGGCTCTGGAATTCTTGGGCCCTTGTCGGATGCGGGAGATGAAATCATCTTGGGCGTGGGCGAGTGGGAGCACCGGCAATGTTACACCCCCACACACACCTTTCGATGTTATCCATGGATGTCTTATTGACAGCGGGCTCGAAGAGGCCAGCTTGCTGACAGGACCACCCGTTACGACGGCGACCATTATCACCACGCCATCCCACGCGTCCGCACACAGGATGGTCATATCACTGCCCACTGGTCTACTGCCCCTTTTCTCAAATTGCCTGGAGATGTGATGTGGCTAACCGAGTGGGCTGTTTGTTGCTGGTGCTGGTGGTGGCAATGTGGATTCGAGCTTGTTGCTGTTTCACTTGGGACTGCCTTGGCTGCTCCAGCCCAGCACCACGAATGGGCCCGCCCCTGTGCCCTTTCTTCCTTCCAAGGTTGTTGTTGTTGTTGCTGTTCCTTACTGTCAGGCTCTCAGCTGCCGCTCCGTTCTGTGAGAAACACACTGCCAGAGTAATCCACGCGGCTCAGCCCTCAACATCCAGACGTGTCAATAATCTTCCTCTGGTCTCACCCTTCCTTTCTTTTTCCTTTTTTGCCCCGGTCGACCGACCGATCCGTGGCGACCTGCACCCCCCACCCTCTGCTGTGCCGCTGTAAACACTGTCCGCTGCTTCCGTTCCTGAGCGCCCTGGCTCTGACTCTGACTCAGCCCGCCTCGTGGCAGTAGAGGTTGTTGTCAAGCGAGCGAGTGGGCGGCGCCTTGTCCCACCCCCTTGGCACCCCCCGGCAGGGTCGCATGCACTCTATTCCAAAGCTTGTTGGCCTGACCCTAACCTAACGCTCCTCGGCCTCCCACTGCTGGCGCCAACGCTCCACTTGGCCTGTCCTGCCATGTCCCACGTTTACTTACTTTAGCACAGCTTACACCCGCCCCAGCACAACACCACGCACACTCCTCGCATGCACCTGCGCCGCCCATAACAACTCATTCAGTCGAGAACACGGTCCAAAAAGCACATAGCTCGAGTCGCAATCCTCTTGCCCAGCTTGCGCCAGCTTTGTATCCACAGTTTGGGCACCAGGTCCAGCACGCGACCTCCCCGACACATCCGCCGGCTCCCGCCCTACGTCAACAATCTCCAAACCAAACAACCAAGCCCAACGGCCACCACAACAACACCCGATGAGCCTGATATGAAGCCGCAACCATGTGGAGGCGGACATACATCTTCCTCGTGCTCGTGAGGCTCTTCTTTGCCCTCTCCCCGAGTTACCTGCACCCAGACGAGAACTTCCAGGGCCCAGAGGTCATTGCTGGTACGTCACACACCCGATGCGAAAGGCCATGACTCTATGCGGGTGTACGTGTTGGTGGCTCTCAAATTTCTGACCCTTCTTGCTTTGGCGACCACAGGCCAAATCTTCAGCTATCCCGTCCGGCTCACCTGGGAGTTCACTGTCGACAATCCGATCCGAAGCGTACTCCCGCTATGGCCAACCTACGGCCTGCCGATGTTGCTGCTCCGGTGGGTGTGGATCGGCACCGAGCACGATGGCGAGATCCCCCCGATCGCTGTCTTCTGGACACTCCGCGTCCTCATGTTTGTCCTCACTTTTGTTCTCGAGGACTGGGCGATCCACGAGCTGGTCCAGTCGTCCCGGAAGCGCCGGGTCGCCGTCCTTCTCGTGGCCTCGTCCTACATTACCTGGACTTTCCAGACGCACACCTTTTCCAACTCAGTCGAGACCCTCGTGGTCGCATGGAGTTTGGTTCTGATTGAGCGCATTCTCGAGACAAAGCAGGCCTCGTCGCTTCTGGCGTCGATGGTGCTTGGCGTTGTCGCAGTGTTTGGCGTCTTTAATCGCATTACTTTCCCGGCGTTCTTGTTGATTCCTGGTCTTCGCTTGATACCCCATTTCGTTCAGAGGTTAGTACTGATGCGTATCCTCGTGACCGAGACGATGCAAGTGATTGATGCTGACTACCTATGTTCGTTTCCATAGACCTTCGTCTCTTGCTGTCATGACAGTCTCTGCACTGGTGACTGTGTTCCTCGCCATCATTCTCGACACTGCTTTCTACACGCCGCATTCGATCACCTGGTCCGACCTCATCAACAACCCGGTCATCACGCCACTGAACAATTTGCGATACAACATGGTACCAGCAAACCTCGCCGAGCACGGAGTGCACCCATGGTACCAGCACATTTTGGTCAACCTGCCGATGCTGCTGGGCCCTGCGGTGGGCCTGCTACTGACGCGGCCGCTTCCAAGTCTCCGACTCTATTCGGCACTATCCGGCGTCGTGGTCCTCTCCGCTTTCCAGCACCAAGAGGCACGCTTCTTACTGCCCACAGTGCCGCTTCTTCTATCCTCAATACGCCTGCCGAAAAATCAAACGCTTCTCAAGGTCTTCGTGGGCAGCTGGATCATCTTCAACGCGATCTTCGGCGTCCTAATGGGCACATATCACCAGGGCGGCATTGTGCCCGCACAGGTCTTCCTGAGCAACCAGCCTGACGCGACCAACGCAGTGTGGTGGAAGACATACATGCCGCCAATTTGGCTGCTGGACGGCAAGAACGAGGTCCTTACGACGGAGGACGTGCCGGGGATGAGCGGGGAGTCGCTGCTCGAGAAGCTCGCGGGCCTGGCGACGTGCGATACGCCCGCCGATCGCAGGAACACAGAGTACCTCAAGGAGACGAGCGGGACGTATCTCGTGGCTCCCTTGTCCGCGACATGGCTGGACGCATATCTCGACAATAAAGGCCTGGAGGGGCTCAGATTCCGCGAGGTTTGGCGGCACAGGCAGCACCTGAATCTGGACGACCTAGATTGGGCCGAGGATGGGTTTCTACCGACAATCAAGAGGGTTGTTGGCAGGCGCGGGCTGGCCGTATGGAGGGTGACAAAGAGCTGCGGTCAGCCGAAGCGGTAATCGTCTTGCTTTTCTTGCTACTTGCAGCATGGAGTTGGGGGATAAAATGGGGGTAAAATGGGAAAGGCACTCTACTCAAATTTCGTGACGACGTTATGACCAACAGGTATATAGAGAGGAATGGACTCTGGAGCGCTCTCTTGTTTGCAACTTGCTAGCCAGGCGACTCTTGTGGTGAGCGGTTCAATTGAATAGTCTGCCACCGTGACGGCCGAGACGCATTGTCCCTGTATTCAGCCCGTCGATCTCAAGCCTGACGCGGATCTCGGGAGCTGTTACGCAGTAAGGGCATGGAGCACAGCTCGAGATCCACTTGCACTTTGTTCCTGGGTCTCCAAGGGTCCGTGATGACTAAGGAAATCCCGATTGTGGGGAAAAGAGACCTGGAAAGCTTCGGCCTCTGCTCTGGAGGAGAATTGAATGACACCACTACCACCGAATCACACCACCACCACCCCGGCGACGATAAAACAATTCGTCCCTCCAGCACAGTCCCTTTGCCTCAAGGGCTTGCGCACGATTGTAGGCGCGAACGACGACGACAACGACGACGACGGAGCTTGCTACGAGCAGATCAATCCCATATTCTGTCGAACGAACCAGCCGTACCGGATCCCCGCCCACGGACATCCCGCTAGACGGCTACCTTGAAAACGAAATTTGTGTTGCGAGGGGCACACCCCGGATTCCGACGACGACAAGAAGCAGCAGCAGCAGCAGCGTAAGGAACGAATCGCCGTGAACGGGGAGGTGTGCTAGGCCATACTGTGCATAAAGTCGCACGAGTATTACACCAGGGCGGAGAGAAGAGTTGCGACCAAGCATCGGCATTGGCATTTAGAGCAGGACCGTATTGTTTCTCTTTTGGGCTGGTCGGTCTCGGCGTAGCAGTGCAGGAGCGACAGACCAGTTTCTTCTCGATTAGTCGCAAGACTGTACACAAATACGGCACGAGATAGTCGCGGCTTTAGAGAAGTTGAAATGGGCGGCACAAATCTCGAAGTGTTCAAGGTTCGTTCTCTCTCTCTCTCTCTCTCTCGCTCTGTGGTGATATGAGGACCCCGCCTACCTGTGCCCGGTGGCCTGTTTCACAACCACATATAAACAGACAAGACAAGACAAGACGAGCCGTCACCATGTCAAGGTCCCGATGCACAAAAGATCCCACACCCACACCACCAGGGAGGCGGCGCAAGCCAAAAGTTTCTAGTTCAACCCAGCTAACCCCCGATGGCGGCGGCCTCTCTCCAACCACAGTTCGGCATGTACGTCATGTTCCCCATCGGGATCATGTACTACTTTGGCACGAACCTGGACGAGCGGTTCAGCGTGCCCGACTTCTGGCCAAAAGCCGAGCAGGGGAACAAGGTGCCCTTTGAGAAGGACGAGATCCACGCGGAGCTGGCGCGCCTGCGCGCGCGCAGGCTGTACCTCCGGGACCAGCGGCTCGCCGAGGAGAAGCGGTTCAATGTCGCGAACGGGATCCGGACGGACGATCCGCGGACGAGCGGCGTGCCGCTGGGGGGCGATGGGGATGGGGAGGCGCAGGGGGCTGGCGCGCAGGAGGAGGGCCAGCAACAGCAGAAGAAGAAGTCGGGGTGGTTTTGGTGATGGAAACTCGGAAGTATGGGGAGGCGAGTGCTGGTTCGGTCCAGGCTGTTTCGGTCCAGGCTTCCTGAGATAAGGCCGGAAATGGTGCTTGCCAAGGAAAAAGTCTGTGATGTTATCCTTGGCCATAGCCGTGGCCGTGGTCGGGAGCCTCGCAGGGAAGCGTCCGGTGAAGGCGAGCAATACGGGTGCCGCAAAAAGCCAGGCGCACCATCTCACGATATTGACCAGGCGAAGCGACTGAGGAGCGAGGCTCGAAGCCCTGCTGTGCTCCTCTTGGCGACAAAAGATCGACAACGGCTCGGCCGCGTGCCGTCCGGCCCAGAGGCTTCGAGATCTAACGACTAGGTTGAAAGCCACAGTGTGCTGTTTACGAGTTACAAGGATCATGTGCTCAGGGCCCTGACGAGGCCATGTATGCGCTGTATTCGATATTTGTATGTATATATATATGTAGCATCATTGATCGTCCGGATCAGGGGCGTCTATCTCTATCATGAGGTAATGTACAATAATCTCAATCTTACAGATTCTCCATGCTTTGCACGTGAGAGTGCAAGCACAAGCACAATCACGAGTCTAGAGACTCGTCAATCTTGGCCCATGCCTCTTCTGAGATGGCGCCCTTAATGGCGTTCGAGTAAATAGCCTGCACGTCAGGGTATTCCTTGACGGCCGCAAGGAAAGCGGCCAAAGCCTGTGCGGCGGCCTCGTCGTCGACCGCAACCATCTCGGCCGTGGGCTTGTAGATGATGTCCGACTCCAGAATCTGGAGCCCAAGCTCCTTCGCCACAGTCTGTGCGACATGGTGTGTCGAACCGGGCTGTGTCCACAGCAGGAAGTTCCCCTCGTCGTCCTGCTCCACATCCTCGGCGCCCGCCTCCACCGCCGCCATGAGCACATCATCAAACCGGTCCTCCTCGGCTGGCTGCTCACTTTCTGCCGGGGGGCCGAGCACGATCCGCCCAGTGCGGGTGAACTGGAACGCCGTGGGCGCCGCGAGGGCCTTGTGCTTCTTCGCCACGACGCGCAGGTCCTTGATCGACCGCGTCTTGTTGTCCGACTCGATGTCCACGACGATGGCCACTGACGATGCCGCAGTGGGCCCGCTCACAATCACCTCAAACGTGGCGGCCTCGAGCTTTTCGCCCGTAGTCGATTTCCCCTGCCCGCGAGCGACGGCTGCGTCAATGTTGGCCTTGGGCATGCCGGCTTTCTTGGCGGCCGCGATGACGCTGGCAAGCTGTGAGTTGAGGGCTGGGTCGCCGCCGTAGAGCTTCGAGTAGAGCGTGAGGTGTTTGGCAAAGACATTGCGCTGGGCGGTCTTCTTCATGTCTGCTGCGCCCTTTTCGTGGCGGATCTTGGACCACCGGTTATGTCCACTCGCCATGGACGGGGTGGTCGCAAATGTGCGCGCATGTTGTCGCTGTTGTTGTTGGCGGTGTTGCTGCTGTTGCTGTCGCTGGAAAATGGTGTGTTTGCAGTGGGCGCAGATCGAGGAAGTCGGTGCCCTTGTGCTGATCAACAGGCCGGACCAAGCGGGAGCCGCCGTGGCTGGGCGCCAAAGCAGCGCTGCTGAAGAAGCTGGTACTGAGGGCATTGGGGCAACCTGATGTGCGGTAGGGGGCCGTTGTGCAGTCTGAGCAAACTTCAAATTTCTGGGCGAAGCACTTGACGATGCGGAATTTGGTGGGGAGAGAGGCGCTCCGAGTGGGCTGATCCTTGCTTGACCCGTGCCTGGGGCTAGGAGCGGCAACGCAAGCGCCCTGAAGAGCTCCTTCCCCGGATCGATTAGGTACAGTGCTGGCAAAGCACATGCCAACGTGCTTGAACAGCCCACTCTTCGTGTCAAGTGCTGCAGAAAGCGTCAGAACACGGACGAGCATATGGGAGAGAATATCCGGGAGGTACTGCTGCTGCCGCCATTTCTGGTTCCTGACATGACTTCGTTCCTCCAACAATGCGACGAGTGTCTGCAGCAGGACAGCCAGGGGCAGTCCAAGTGGTTTTCGACCCTGGCGGTCCAGCTCCGCACCAGCCCCTGGCGTCACCGCCCCTCCTCCACTCACAACGCTGCGAAGCTTCCCACCAGCAACCGTCTCTGGTCTGGTGCCTGTATAGTTGCGACTTTCCATCTTAAGCAACACTACACGCTACACCAGCAACCACCTCGCAGCTGCGCCGCTGTCTATTTGCGCGCTCGCGTAGCCGTTCGCGTGCAGGCATCAGGGAACGAGCTCTTCCCTTTCCTCTCTCCGACTGTCCCCCACGCAGCAAACCCGATCGCCGTCCTCCCCACCAAGTCACAAGAAGGCCCCGTGGCCTCGCCAGCTCCTCAGAAGATCTCACCGATTGCCCTGTCCCCATTGGCAATCTCGCAGCCTGTCGACGGCTTCCTCCTTAATGAATCGACATGGCTTCCTCTGAATCGTCTGCGCCTGCCACTGACGGCGCTGGCGATGCTTCTGCTGCCCCTCCGGTCCAGTCGATCTCTCGAGCCGCTACGTTGGCAACCAACAACCCAGAGCTCGATCTTCCAAAGCTCCAGGCCCTCCCCGCAGAGCAACAAGATCTGTTTCTCCTCAACTTCGTGTCCAGCCTCAAACAGCACGTCCTAGGCCTCGCTGCAGACGACTGCACAGCTCAACAGTTCTATCTCAAAAAGGAGGTCTTCCAGATCATAAACCTGACCACACCCCCGCCCAACCGCGTCGTCCGCAACAGTCTCGGCAAGATCCTCGCGCACATATTCGAAAAGGGCGACCGCAAGTTGCTGATCGAGACGATAAATGACCTCGCCGGCATCGTTGCCAACTCGAAGTCCAAGACCGATGCCGAAACCCGCACGCGACATGCTGCAATTGTCTGCCTCGGCGATGTCTACGCCGCTGCCGGTGACAGCGCCGTTAGTCTGCACCAGCTTGCTTGCGCAGCCCTGATTAAGGTGCTCAAGTCGTCGACCAGTCATGCTGGTTTGCGCGCGGCAGTCTTCGTTGCGCTTGCCAAGCTCGTGACCATGATTCAGGGCAGCATTGACGAGAATATCGCGAGGGACGTCTGGAAGCAGGCTCGCAATGCCATGACTGGCGAGAAAGGGGCTCTGACCATCACCTGCGCCTGTCGCTGCCTGCGGGCCCTGGCAAGAAATACAGCCTATTTCGAGAACTCGAGCGATTTCGAGAACCTCAAATCGAGCATTTTCAAGACGATAGACTCGGCTCAGGCGCATGTCCGACACGCTGCAGCTGACTGCCTGGCAGAAGTCATGGTCAAGAGCCACTCTGAGAGTGCCGCTGCGGCTGCGCCAAAGGCCAAGAAGCTCAAGTCCAAGGCCGCTAAGCGGACGTCGAAGGCCCCTGGTGCCAATCTGGACGATGAGGACGACTACCCTTCGCGACCAGGCACGCCCACGGGCAACAGTAGCAAGAAGGGCCAGGATCTGATACTGAGTCTCAACGACATCCTCAAGACCTTATCCACGCAGTTCGTGCGCTCGTCGACGACGAACAAGGCACGCGCGGCTCTCGGTGTCTGCTATGGCCGAGTCCTCAAGCGGCTGGGCGAGAAATTCGTGGAGGCGCAGTACATGGCCGTCCTGGAGAACCTCACTTTGGATGTGCTCGGAAACGCGAACATTCTCAACAACAGATACAGGCTGCTGGTCTCGAGGCGCATTGTCGACACAATCCTGCAGGTAGTCATTGGACAGCGCATTCTTGGCGAATCGGCGCAGATCGCGGTGGCCAAGATCATCATAAGCGACGTCTTCAAGAACTACCCGCAAACCCTCAAAGAAAGACCCGAGCCAAGCAAGCAGACCTTGATTGCCACTCTTGGCGCCGCCACATCACTGGTCGAGTCACTCGGTTCAGCCTCAAACAACTTTGCGGAGTCCTGCCGGGATGGGCTGCTGCAAGTGCTGCAGCACCCCAGCTACAGTGTACAGGTGTACGCCTCGAAGTGCTTGAAATCCTTTGTCCTAGCCTGCCCACAACAGCTGTTGCCATGCCTCTCCGTCTGCATGAACAGCCTCGGTCGGGAGATGGGCCTGCTCGGAGGTCCCAAGGGCTCGCCACGGAGATGTATCGGCTTCGCGCACGGTCTCGCTGCCACGCTTAGCGCCAGCCCGGCCCGTCCCCTCTACGGATCGCTCGATGTCGACAACAGAGTATACTCGATGGCGACAGATCTTCTTAAGTCGAGCAGCCAGGCTGAGCTGCGCGTATCAGCAACTCAAGTACAGGTAGCATGGATCCTTCTGGGTGGTCTTATGACTCTCGGTCCGAACTTTGTCAAGATCCACCTGTCACAGCTCCTCGTCTTGTGGAAGAACACAACACCGAAACCACTGGCCAAGGACAATTTCGCCCACCGCAGCCTACTTGAGGTCTCGTATCTGACCCACGTAAAAGAGTGTGCTTTGGGCTGTATTCTGTCGTTCCTCCAGTTCAATGCGAGACTACTCACCGTGGATGTTTCCAAGCGCATTGCGACAATGCTGCAAAACACGTCGGCGTTTCTGAAGATGCTTCCCTCTAAGAAGACTTCTGAAGATATCACCCAAAGACTGACGCCTGCCCTGCAACTTTTGGACTTTGAGATGATGACTCAACGCCGCGTTCTCCAGTGCTACACCAAACTCGTCAACCAAAGTCCTGCCGGGGGCAGCGAAGCACTGTTGCAGTCAAACTTGTTGACGCTAGCCATTTCACTATTCGCGGACCCTGAGAACTACGCACCAAACACACTCAGCGCGTCCATTGCAAGCGCAGCCGGAACGTTCGAGACAGTCTGGGATGCGAATGACAATTCGGGCTTTGGCGTCAATGGCCTTGTCCGAGGTTTCAAGATGAAGAAGCTGCCTGGACAGAAGGACGAAGCTGAAGACGCAGCTGAGGTGGATGAGACAAACCCCGACAGAATCATTGATAGCCTCATCCAGACTCCGATCTGCCCGACATGGGAGAATGACGCTGCCCTATTGTACACCAACCACGGCGACGAGCCTACACAGCTGCCAGACCCGCCTGCCACCGAGGTCGTCAACATGGCCATACAGCTCTTTGCCTTCGTGTTTCCATTGACTCCTCCGAAAGTTCAAGAGAGCATCTTGGAACAGATTGTGACCTTCATTTCGGCAGGGTCGTTGCAACGTGACCCAGGACGCAAGGCAGCGATCAGTGTCAACGTTGCAAGTGCACTGTGCTCCACGCTCAAGGTTGCTGTCAAGGAAACTCGCTCACCTGCAGGTGACATCACCACAATCGCTGTGGAGAAACTGCTCCAAGAGCTGGTCCGTACCTTCGTCATCGACCCTGATCAATACGTTCGGCATCTGGGATACGAGGCGATCGCACGTTTATGCAATGCTTCAGGCAATGCTTTTACAAACCACGAGGTCAAGCATCTCGTGGACACCATCGTTGGTAACAGGGAGCCCACTGCACGTGCTGGTTGCGCCATGGCTCTCGGCTGCATTCAGGCGAAAGTTGGAGGGATGGGCGCTGCATATCACCTCAAGACAATTACCGGCATCCTCATGTCTTTGTGCAATGACCCGCACCCAACCGTGCATTACTGGGCAATCAAGGCGCTTGGTCATGCCGCGGGCGCTGCCGGTCTCAGCTTCGGCCCGTACGTGTCAGGCACACTTGGTATGATTGCACAACTATATCTGTCTGAAAGCCATCACACAGAAGTGGCCTCACCGATTTCGATGAGCCTAGAGATGGAGCTCTCGACTGTCGGTGCGCTTACACGCTGTGTCGACGCGATCATCAATGTCGTTGGGCCTGACTTGCAAGACTCTGTCAAATCTCGCGAACTTATCTTGACACTTGTCAACCAGCTTCAAGAAGAAGACGACATCAAGGTGCAGCGCGAGGCGCTGACGTGCCTTGAGCATCTATCCATGTACACCCCTGGTCACATGGTCTTCACAGACTATGTCAGATGCCTGCAGAACTATCTCGACTCGGAATACCCGTTCTTGCGAGATGTGGCCATTGATGGTCTCTACAATCTGATGAAAAGAAACTCGTACGACGTCCTCGCCGCTGCCAAACCAGGCATCGAAGAGCAGCTGTGGCTTATACTTGATGACGCCCCGCAGCATGACGGGCTTCGCACGCTGATCCGCAACTGGATGAAGCAGACTGCACTTAGAGACACGGCAACATGGCTTGCTCGTTTCCAAGGAGTCCTGAAGCTGACCAGACGCAAGCCCCAAGACGTTGTACAGCCTGTTGCAAAGCCAAGCGCCACAATCGATCTCCAAGATGACGAAGTCGCCGGCTTCGCTGGAACGGCCAAAGAAGAAAAGGATGCGCCATCACGGTCCGAGGTTGAGCCGCTCAGGTGGCAAGTCCGGACTTTTGCCATGGAGTGTCTGTACGACCTTTTCATGCTGATCAATAAGGATCTTGCCGTAAATGGAGAGTCTGCCGCCCAAACCGCGCTCCAGGCCAAGATCGCCGATGTTGTCCGCATGGCGTTCTCAGCATCCACCTCTGGGGTTGTCGAGCTGCGCATCTGGGGTCTCAAGATTGTCGGGGCAATCCTGAAGATGTTCGGCAAGACGCCTGATCCTGACTTTGACGAAGCCATGCTTCTTGAGCAATATCAGGCTCAGATTGGCTCAGCGCTGACTCCCGCATTTGCAGCCGACTCGTCGCCTGAGCTCGCTTCCGAAGCTGTCAATGTCTGCGCCGCTTTCATCTCGACTGGGATCGTGACCGACGTGGAACGCATGGGCCGCATCCTCAAGACACTCGTGACGGCACTTGAAAACTTCTCGTCAGAGGTGGAGAACGCGGGGATCGGAGACCTCAAGGGTCTCAGCTCAAGTGCTCAGGTCATGGTCAAGATGTCCGTCTTTTCCGCGTGGGCTGATTTGCAAGTGGCGAGTTCTGAGCAAAAGTACCTTCTCGAGGTTCTGAAGCCGCACATTGGAACGCTTACGCCACTCTGGCTAGCCTCCCTGCGAGAATTTGCCCGACTGCGGTTCGAGCCAGACATCTCGATGACCTTGGGACCCCCATCGATGTCAGGCAGCTTGGACTCGATCTACTCTGCCCTCAACCGCGAGACCCTTCTCAAATTCTACCAGGACTCCTGGCTGAAGCTCGTCGATGCTATTGCCAGTCTCATTGAGCAAGATAGCGAGTTCGTCTTTGATGCTCTGGATGGTAAGGAAGTCGACGCTCCTGGCACAAACGGCCATAGCAAAGGCGCCGATATCAACTACCGCGACGAACCACTGGCGTTCTTCTTCGTCCTCTTCGGCATAGCGTTCGAGGCTCTGGCAGCCAGGCCGGGCCAGTCTGACGCGCTAGCAACCCAGGAGCAGACGCTGGAGATCCTGCAAGCGCTGAAGAAGATCTTGCACCCCAGTGTCTCCGGCCATGCCATCTATCGGCCCGCCATCTTTTCGGAGACGATGGACCTCCTAGACCGTCTCATTCTGACAGAAGGGCTCGACGTGCAAAGCGTCATTGTGGATATTGCCCGCGCTCTATGCGTGGCGCATCCATCAGCGCGGAAGAAGGAGCAAACCGAGGATGGTGATCTCTCGGAGGACATTGAGCAGCTGTTTGAGCTGACGCGCATTATTGTCCTTGTCCTGTCTGGCATGCTGCCCAACCTCAGCGAGGCGGGCCAACCCGTGCGCTTCCAGCTGACGGAAGAAGCGGTGCTGCTGATCCGCTCGGCTCTGAACGCCATTGTTGACGCTGCGGAAGTCTTCCCGTCCATCATCAAGACCGACTTGCACGCCTGCATCATCCACATCTTTGCCACCATCATGATGACCCCATCCTGCCAAGATGTCATTGTGCCTCAAGCTCTCCCAATGTTCAAGCGCTTCATCACAAGCATGCTTGGATCCCGCACCACGCAGGAAGCCCGATCAGTCACAGATGCGCAAGTACAAGGGTGCTTGCGTCGACTCTTGTCCATCTACCTCAATGCCCAGAAGCGAGAGCAACCCACGTCGTTGCAGAATGTCAAGAACTGTCTCCTCGCCATCACCATCCTGTTTACGGGAGGCAACAACCGCCTCGCGGCTAACAACCCCTTGGCTCAACGATTTCTGGAGGAGGTCCTGGACTGCTTGACGGATCGCATGGTAAGTCCCCCCATTCCTCCTCACCTCCTCGGAGTGGCACTAACCACATCCATAGACTGCCAAGATCGCTGCCAATTGTGTCAAGTCACTGCTCCTCCAGCCGTCGCCTTCACCTGCGGACCAGTCCATCGCGCGTCACCTGCTTCCTCGCCTGGTTGCTTTCATCACGGACACTGATCCTGAAGATCCAGAGCAAGCGCGGAGCTTGGTTGCGCAGACCCTGACCCAGTACGTCAGCGCTGTAGGCAAGGACCACGCGCCAATCGTCATGTCTGTAGTGGCGCCCGCGCTCCTGTCGCGCGCCAATAGTGAGGGCGCGGTCGTGTACCAGGAGACCAGCGCTCGTCTGCTCGAGCTCGCTTCCGCGGACCAGCCTGGCTTCCGTGGTGTCGTGGGTAATATGAGCGCGGGACAGCGGGCGTTTATGGAGGAGGTGATCAAGTCTGGGCAGCAGACTCGCGTGGTTAAGAGTGGGCAGGCAAGCAGCCAGCCTACGATTGCGCTGAAGATGAACTTTGGTGGTTAGCCGACGGGTGTGCAGTTTGCTGTAGCAGGTTAGCATAGTGGCAACCCCGGATGCCAACGGTCATCGACGTTATATTACCATCCATGAATGTAATGCTTTATATTGATCATGGCGCTTTGCATGCAGGTACTTATTGGCATCATGCATGCTACAATCGGGCTGGGGCTGTACGAGGGCAACTGCTCCCAAAGTGTGGGATGCGACGACGAGGATCTCACCGTCGCCTTGTTCTTGTTAATCGTCATCCCCACGGGGAAATTATCCAACCTTATATTAGGTAGTGTGTTTTCCGGCGGACTCCCGTCCTGCTGAACGCTATCATGATTTTTCTCCATCAAGTCTTCTTGTTGTTATCTTTGTTGCTTAAAATATGAAATATGAAAAAAATTAGAAGCTTTTGTTCTTTGCGTTTACTTTCGTATGGATTTTGTTTTGATCATTGCGTTCCTTTATTTTATTTCTATTTTATTTTCATTGCTTTTTGAAATCTTCCACAACCTTCCAAACGTCGGTGGTTATCATGGCTCATATATTACTCGAAAACTCACGCTCAATTCAAATCTCGGTTATGCATCATGGGCAGTTTTTGTGCTTTCGTTAGCTTAGTCGGGATAGGTGAACCTGGATTAACGCATATCCGTCCCCTCCCCTCATTTAAACATGTCAATAACACAGTTGTTGGAAACCAGAGCGCTGCAAACGCGGCACTTCTCTCCGTTCAATCCTCAACTATGTTTATACGATTCTACTCCACTCCGCGAGTGGAAAGTAATAATGCACCGATCTCGCGAAGTTGGTATCACTGCCACCGCATGCCGGCACGCTGGGCCGCTCGAGAACACACACACACACACACACACACACACACACACACGGTGCGTGTGCGAAGCTATGTTTCAATTCTTCATGCGCGATCATCACAAATTGGCATGGATTTCATTCCCACGTTTCTACCGTGGGCGAGGATTACTGGCGGTGTGTATCTCCAAGCTCCAACTTTGGGACTAGACGCGACAAACGACCGGTGATCTAGTGCCCTTGCCCGTGCCCGTGCCTGTGCCCGTGCCCATGAAAGAGCCTCCTTCGGGCGCTAGTGACTCGCGCGCTTTTTTAAGACGAACACGTGCTAGCCTAAGGCTCGTGCTTCTTGAATAATTCCGCGTTGGGGGGGGGGGGTTCCGGGGACAGAAAAAAGCATCAAATCGTCCATATCATCTTGGTGGCCGCATGTACGGAGCCACGTGCTCCGGGGGGGTTGAAGCAGGACAGGGTAGATATCTTTGGAATCCTGGATCTTACACACTCTTTTTTTTTTTTTTTTTTTTTTTGCTAAGGCTGTCTCGTGCTTGTGGCGTCTGTGGTGGTGTGTGTTTCTAATTAGACACATACCGATTCATGGGCCTTGTGAAATTGGGCATGGTCGGTCTGATCCGCTCTTGGCAGTCTTCCTCCTCTTGGCAATCTTTCTTGGGCGTTCCGATACTTGAATGTGATGCTGGTTGCGAGAAGAGAAACACATGTTGTCGCTTCGAGTGGAGAGCTGCACAGGGATCTGGAAACCCGAGGTCTCTATTCTTGGGTTGGTTGAGCCGAGAAACTGCTCTCGCAAAACACTAGAAAGCTTGGCCTGGCGGGGTTGATGGAGGTCTTGGCGGTTCAGATCTAAAGGTAGGTTTTTGATCTTTGTTTGCCTTGGCAGAGTTTCGTTCCTCTCTGCTGGACGACGACAGATATAATACATGGGGGCCAAACGTCACAAGCGCGACAAAGTTCATCCTTTTTGGGGGGCGCAATTGTGATTCCCATGCAATGCAAGTGAGAAACCAGGGGGGGGAGATATGATGCTACGGGGGATATGTTACTGGGGTGCGCGCCAGACCACCCCCTGTTCCTAACCCCAGAGAGTGGGCGCTCGTGGTTTTGAATGATTACAAGAGACCGGGGTGGAAGGCGCCCCTGCTGAAACGGTGCGTGCTTCGAGTGTTCGAGAGGCGCGACATGTTTGTTGGCTTGACCGTTTCGGCAGCGGCGGCGCAGGGCCAGCCTTTCTGGTGGTGTTCACACTCTGCGATGCACTTTTGGGCTTGTATGGTTGTTGTGGGAATTCATGCCTCTTGGGTAGATGCTAGCATGCCTGTAATCGAACAATGGAGAGGTTTCCATGGCACAACGCGGATTTGGCGGACTGCGGGGGATGACTATCCTAAGTCCGTCACTTTGAGGGGTCATTTGCCATTTCACGTTGGAACGAGGAAACATGTTCTACACCAGCCGCCAATTGAGCAGCCAGCCGGGTTGTAGATTTCGACGAACAGTGTCCTAGCTATGCGTGCGGATCCGAACTCGGCAGACAGATTCCTCCACTCGAGCATCGTCTGTCTGAACCAGTTGCGCCGTCCCACAGTCCTACTCCTCGTCGCCAAACACGACGGCGTTCTCGTACGCCCAATCCCGGATGGCGTCAAAGTTGCGGCAGGTGTGCAGGGTGCTGAAGTCGGGCCAGTGGCCGTCGTGGCCCTCGTAGTACTTGAACGTGTAGACGCCAATGTCGCTCTGGCACATGAGGTCGATCCGCAGCATCTCAAGGCAGTGGTCCAGGTGGCCGCGCAGGTCCATGGGCTCGACCTCGATGTCGCCGCCCGTGTGCGAGTACCACTCCGGGTAGGTCGACTGGCGCAGCAGGTTGAGGCAGTGCAGCTTGTGGAAGACCTGGATTCCCGCGCGGTAGCCCTCCTTGCCCGTCTTGGGGTCCTTGACCTTGAGCGAGTTGGGGTCCAGGCCCAGGCGCTCGAGCTCCTCCTGCGTAATCATCTGGTCGCCCACGTCGTACGTCACGTGCTCCCAAGCATCGTCGACCTCGGGCCCGTAGCCGACGTACTTGGTCCGCTCGAGCACGGGAGTAATGTTGTATCGTTCCGTCTGGTATGAGGCGACGCCTTGTGCCGGGGCTGCGCGTATGAGTGTTAGCCGGTGCTACAAGAGGGAGGCGCGTGACACTTACAGTAGGGAAAGTAGGGCGCCGAGAGGCTGTTGGCGTGCTTGGTGTGGATCAGGAGCGACACGGACAGGCAGGACAGCGAGAAGAGCAAGAGGGCGACATGGCAGACCCAGACGAGGTAGGGACGCAGCGACGACTCTGATGCCGGCTCTGGCTGGTAGTGCTGCTGGCTGAAGGGGAACAGCAACGAGTTCTTCTCACTGCTGTAGTCGGGGCCCTCCTCCTCAATGACGGGGAGGTACTTGCTGCGCAGGGACCGCTTCATGGTGAAATTGGTCCGGTTTGGGGGAAGAAAAATGCAGCCAGTGCAGTACAAATAATAATAATTAAAAAACCACCACGCTGGGAACAGCAGAATGGCGGGATCTGGAAAAAAGAGAACGAGTGGACGAATAACACAAGAAAGAGAAGCAACAGAGAACGACCTGGGACCTGCCCTCTGTAGTCGGAACGAAAGGATGCTGAGAGCGAGATGGGCAAGCAAAGAGAGAGAGGGAGAGAGGACAAAGGGACCAAAGCCAAACCGGGCTGGCAGCGGCGCTGCTATGAGTAGCGGCGGTACTCCTTTTGAGAGACGGCGGCTCCGGCCCCTGAGGTCCGGCCTGTCGGCGTGCGGCTCGTGGGAGCTCCAACGGCGGCGGAGACGACAGCTGCACCTGGCGGCAAAGATCAGGCGAAATGGGGCGGCGGCCGGGGTCGGTGATTGCCTGGTGTAACAGTTGCAGTTTCACGGCCGCCCACCGCTGCACAAGTGGAGGCGGGTTGCCCAGGTACTTGATCGCGTTAACGAGCGTGCTTGGAACAAGGCGGCGGGCGGACGTCCTTGTCCTAGAAGACGGACCAGGCAGGGCATGGCATGCAACTCGGCAACAACAAGCCTTTGCTCCCTGTACGAGGCTGGTGGCCCGTGAGCAGGTGTTGCTGGACGAGGTCCCAAGGCCTGCCAAGGGAAAGAAAGGCCTTGCTGCCGCCGCCAGCCAGTGTCGGCGCGACCCGACGGGCCAAGACAAGAAGCCGCATGGCCAAGGGTCTTGTTTGGAAACTGTCTGGGACTGTGTTTGGGCAAGCTTGACTTGGCGTAGCGTGGGCATGCTGCTGGGCCGGGGGGTTCGCGTGTCTGTGGCCAATGGCAGGAGCGCCCCAGGGCCTGAATGGTGGTTCGTAGAAGCCTCGTGGCAGGGCAGGTCCCCTGCCGCCAAGTCTGAAACTCTTCTGTTTGATCGCAACCCCGGCTGTGACAGGGCCTTGGCGGTGCCTGCCCTGGTCGACTGCCCGACCAGCGCCTGCCTCTTGCTCGCGATGCCCTCGTCGTCCAGGATGCTGCCACGGCCTACGCGTCGGGCTCGTCACCACAGCGCCAGCACCTGCACTGCACTGCACAGTCGTTGCAACAAGTCCCGGCGCTAGTATGCTACTCCGTAGTAGTATGTACCGCATCCATGGAACAGAGGGCCCATCTCATCTCAGACTCCACGATCCTCGCACCCTCACGGAGCATGGGCGGCGGACTGTAACCTTCTCCTGAGACTGGTTTCGGTCCATTATTCCCGCAGACAGGCAATGCCATTGCTGCACCCCGGCCCAGCACACGCGCCATGATCGTACCTCCATCGGACGATATATAACGAGCTCAAATCTTCTCATATCCTCCCCCTCCTGTTTTGCCAAGTCATTCCATCATTCGACTCACACTGCCTCGCTAGACGCGACTTCCCTTCTCCTTCTTCCTTCTTGTTCTATTCTTCCATTCTCCAGGGCTAGTCCCCAGTCTTTACCACACCCCCCCTGTTCATTCTATACACCACGATCGTTTACTGCCGGCCAGTTTCGTTCATTTTCGCCCCCAACGCTTTATACCCACAACAGGCCATCGTCCGCTTCCACACACACACCTCTTCAATATGCGTGTCTCATCAGTCCTCGTTGCCGCCCTTGCCTCGCAAGCCCTGGCCCGCAATGACTTCTTCACTGCCGCTGCCATTGGCAAGTACGCTGTAAGTCAACAAACGCCACCATCCCGCCAACACCCCTGCTTCTCCCAAGCCTCGAAGCATAAGCCGGTATCCATTCCAAGAAGCAACACTAATCATCATCTGTCCATATACTATAGGCCCTGATGGCAGTTACCGTGGCCCCCGCCGCTGCCCACCCCCTGTCGGCCTTCCTCCCCACTCGCGAGGTAAGTAGTCATTATGATATACAATGATCATCCCATCACCACCAAAAGATCGCACGACTAACATGCATGCTACTCCAGCCCCACCACCAGGGTGCCAAGAACAAGGCCGCCGGTGGCCGCAAGAACCAGCGTGACCTGCTCGAGGAGGAGGATGAGGACGAGGAGGATGACCTCCTCGAGACCCGCGCCCCTCACCATCAGGGCGCCAAAAACAAGGCCGCCGGTGGTCGCAAGAACCAGCGTTCCGTCGAGGTCGAGGCCCGCGAGCCCCACCACCAGGGTGCTAAGAACAAGGCTGCCGGCCGCAAAGGCCAGCGTGATCTGTCCGCTGTCGAGGCTCGTGAGCCTCACCACCAGGGTGCCAAGAACAAGGCGGCTGGCGGTCGCAAGAACCAGCGCGACGTAGCCGAGGAGGAGGTCGACGAAGAGGAGGATGATGAGGATGAGGAGGAGGATGAGCTCGAGACCCGTGCTCCTCACCACCAAGGCGCCAAGAACAAGGCCGCCGGTGGCCGTAAGAACCAGCGCGACCTCGCTGCCGTCGAGACTCGCGAGCCTCACCACCAGGGAGCCAAGAACAAGGCTGCCGGTGGTCGCAAGAACCAGCGCTCCGTCGAGGAGGAGGACGAGGAAGAGGACGACGTCGAGGATGAGGAGGAGGACGATGCTCTCGAGACTCGTGAGCCTCACCACCAGGGCGCTAAGAACAAGAACAAGGCCCAGGCCAACCGCAACAACAAGCGCGACGTTGAGGAGGAGGATGACGAGGAGGAGGAGGACGAGCTCGAGACCCGTGCTCCTCACCACCAGGGTGCCAAGAACAAAGCTGCTGGTGGCCGCAAGAACCAACGCGATGTTGAGGTTGAGTCCCGCGAGCCCCACCACCAAGGAGCCAAGAACAAGGCCGCTGGTGGTCGCAAGAACCAGGCCCGCGCCCCTCACCACCAAGGTGCCAAGAACAAGGCTGCCGGTGGCCGCAAGAACCAGCGTGACGTCGAGGTCGAGACTCGCGAGCCTCACCACCAGGGCGCCAAGAACAAGGCTGCCGGCCGCAAGGGCAACTAAGCTAGAGAAGGAGAAGCATGGCCCGACGAACTCGCCAGAGACATAGGGCACTAATTCATCGGGAGTCGGCACCAGCTACTGGCCCGATATCCCGGGGTGTTTGGCGACTTTTAATACTTGCCGACCGGCATTGGCTGGTCGGCTAGAGCGTGCTCTTTCTTATCTTTCTTTTGTTGTCCCGCGAATTTGCGTGGGCCGACGTCGTCGTGTATTCTAGTTCCCACATCCTCTTGGGATGGGTGGCGGTGTACATTTTTCCTCTTGATCTGTTATTGGGATAAAAGTTGGGCGAGCAATGAAACGAAACTTGGTTCGTCAATCATAAAAAAAACATTAAAAAAAGTCAGAAAGTTCTTTTCTGCGTTCCAAGGCGTTGTTGATTGCAGTGTGACGGGACCTGACAGATTACTCACTACAACTCTTGTTGCTCTATACTCATGCACGATGATGTATTCTGATTGGGCAGGCCTAGTGGTTCCATTGGTGACACTCAACCCCACGCAGGTCTGTCTCCTAGCTTTCTAGTGTTGTGCTTCGCGGCACCGTCGCCAAGGGCATTGCGGTCACTTTTATAGCCTATTTTGGTATAGATAGCCGTAACAGACCAGGGGTGGTTTCGACCTTCGCGCTTACTGCTGCTGCTTGGCGACCAGGAACTGAGCTCGTACTGGCAAAGCAAATCTCACGTCACCCGACTGCATAAGGCTACGCGTCGCCTTGGCATAGTATTACTAAACCAATTCGACTCCAATAGGCAACTATGCTCCCGCCGGTTGAGTTCCACGATATCCGGACTCCCGAGGTCTCCGCAAAGGCGCATCCAAGAACACATCATCGGCAGTCCTCAAATGGCCAGTCGGTATCCCCCACCACCTACACCTCTGGTTCTTGCTTCGTCTATAAGCATCAAACGACATCACGCAGCACGCAGCACATTTCTCCACAAAGATCATGAAGATCATCATCATCGGCGCCGGGCTCGGCGGCCTGGCCGCGGCCGTGCGCCTGTCCATGCTCGCGCACGAAGTCGTCGTCGTGGAGAAACACCCGGCCCTGTCTCCTCGCGGCGGCAGCCTGAGTACCCGCCCGGGGGCCTCGCGCATCCTGGCGGCCTGGGGCTTGCAGGCGGACATGGACGAGATTGCGAATCGCACCGAGGGGATCTTCATGCGCAGTCTCGCGACGGGGCGTGTCATGACTAGTTTCGACGGGAGCTCCGCGAATGGCCCTGGTAGTAGTAGTAGTGGTAGTAGCAGTGGAGGAAGCGGCCAAGCATCATCGTCATCATCATCATCGCTCCGGCCACCGCACTGGGGCACGACGAGGGAAGAGCTGATCCGTCTCTTCTACGACAAGGCCGTCCAGCATGGCGCCTCCATTCGGTTCGGCTGCAGTGTGACGGAGGTGCACGACGAAGCTGGCCAGGACGCCTGGATCAAGCTCGCAGACGGTGAATGCCTCGCTGCCTCCATGATTCTGGCCGCCGACGGCATCCGGTCGCGTACGCGGGCTGCTGTACTGGCCGACCTTGTACAGCCTGAAGCGATGCAGCCGCTCGTCAGCGACATCACTGGCTACGGCTTCAAGCTCCAGGCCTCCGTGCTGCGGGAATCCGGCGATGCCGCCGCCCTGGTCGAGAATGTGAGCAGCAACGTCTGGATGGGCGGGCCAGACAATGTATTTGCTGTGTCTCGATACAGCCCCAAGAGCGAGTCGGTGGCGGTGCTGTGCCACACGGTCGACGCGGCGAGGAACTCGGAGCAGGACAGCCTCTGGGACGACAAGGGAGACCTGGCATATCTGCGGGCCGCCTTTCGCGGAGCCTCCGGCGCCATCACCGGCGCGCTGGAAATGGCAGAGTCCTGTGACCGCTGGAGGCTGGCCGAGCTGCCGAGCCTGCCTAGGTGGACGAGCTCCGCGGGCAGGATTGTACTGCTCGGCGACTCTGCACACGCGATGCACCCTTCCGCCGGGCAGGGCTTCTCTCAGATTGTCGAGGACATCGAGGTGCTGGCCGAGCTCATCTCGCGGAGTAGTAGTATAGCCTCGAGTCCCCCCGCTGGCAAGCTGGGCACTGACGCCGTCGCCGCAGTCACGCGGGCCTGGCAGGGCATCCGGAAGCCGAGAGTCGAGAAGATACAAGAGTATTCACGCTGGAGCACGGCTCAGGTCTCACGGAGAGTATCGCGTCCCGGGCCGGCCGACAGCCAGTCCGCTCAAGTCTTGCAGGGAGGGGACGAGGAGTTCCGGGATCCCACGTTCATCCAGTGGACTCTGGACTACGATGTGAAAGAGGAGGTTGACCTGCTCCTTGAACTAGCCTAGGTGTTGCTTTCTCTGCTCTTGCTTGCAGGTTGACGAAGCAAATCGAAACTTACCGTGGGACATACGTACAGCTGGAGCCTTGTCATGGATGAAATTATCGTAAAGTCGGCCTATAAGTGGTCGTGCTACGATATCTGGTGACTTCTGATCTTCATATCACAATGAATGAGGGCGGGCCAGGCCATATGCATAACCAAGCATATGCTACACATTGTGCAGCCCAATTCAAGTTATTCATGTCAGGCCCGTGACTTAGGCAGGTACAAGAGCACGTGACGATAAGCACCTTCTACATGCTTCCGATAGCAACTCATGCTTATCGATTTCCCCACAGCCGAACCCCCATCAGTGCGGAGTTCGGATACTCCTAATACAGCACGTCACTTTGGGGGTCACATCAGACCGGAGCTTGGCCGCAGAGCAACCACCTTTTGGTCAAGGCAATGCGAACTCTACAGCCTGTTTCGAATTAATGCCGAGGGCCAGCCATGGCGACTTCCGAGGACGAACACAAGCAGAAGCCGGCGGAGGGCCAGGACGTCCAGATGACTTCCGACGACATATCGCAGGAGGAGCTGCAGCTCGAGCAAGCTCTCAGGCATCTCAAGCTGCTGCACATCAAGGTACGCTCATCTGGTCCGCGGATTGTTGTTCGCCCTGCCACATTAGCAACTTGAGCTGAAACTTCTCAATGCAGTCGCGCGGCCTCCGGACGACGATACCACGCATGCTCGACACCATCACCACCGGTAGAACCCGTACGCGCGCGCCCCCCCTCCTCTCATCGCACTTTGCCGGAGAGGCTGTCTGCGACAACAACTGCTGACGAGGTTCATTTATAGCGGAGGAAGTGTTTTCGACATTCAAGACGGCCGTCACAGACGCGCAGACCGAGATCAGGGACTTTGCGGAGCTCTACAACAGCGAGGAGAGCCGCAAGGTCCTGGAGCAGGCGCAGAAAAGCCGCGAGGCGGAGCCTAAGGGCATCAAGCCATGGCGCCACAAGGACGACCCGAACTGGTTCTTCCTTGACGAATAGATGGGCGAGGAGCCGGGTCCCCCTCTCCCGCGCTCTCCTCCCTTTTTGAAATTTCTAGCGATTCGTACAGCATGCGTAGGCGTCAAGGGTTGGAAACTGTGTTTCGAGTTGTCTTTTTTGCGGTGGAATCTGGAACTGGGGTTCAGACTTGTATACAAGAGACTGTTTGACGGATTGTGTCTTCTGCAGAGCTTGTTGGATGTGACCCTCAGCAAGGCAAACGCCGTCCTAGTCATTGGGAGGAAGGTGCCTTGACTGGGCAGATCAAGACTGGCTGGCTCTCTGGTACATCGTGCTTACATCGCTCTGCAACAACGCAACACTTCTTGTCCATACCAAGCGATGAGTATTGATATAGCCAGCCATGGCGTTGATTATTGACTAAACGTTGCGGTGAGGACATCGAGACATGTCGCTTGTCTATGGTAGCTTGCACGGTTCTGGTCGTCAATGCGTCGTTCAACGTGTGTGGGGTTACTCCTGGAGGGACCTGGAGAGCTTGGAATCCAGAGCTTACCCGGTAGCGTGACTGCAGTGCTGCACAGCACAGACTGCCCTGTGGGTGAGTCATCCATCCTCTGTGACTGTTTCTCAGCCAGGCGGCGGCAGCAGCGTCGGGCGCTGGCAGTGGATGTGGGTCACCTCACCCCCACCAAAGGCCACTGGCGGATCAAAAAATCCAGGTGAATTTTCGAAATCGCCCTCTGGCTGCCCCTCCCGCCCTCGCCTGGCCTGGCAAAGAAATTAGGCACGGCTACCCCCCCATCCCGCCAGCCCCAGGCCTTCAAAGTCAACCACATCGCGTCCAGAGTGCGTCACCTCCCAACACCACTCACGCACCACGCACGCAGACCCGGTCGCGAGCCAGAGAGACACAGGACCACCGCCTACGCATCGGCAATCAAACCGCAATCATGTCTCGGTTCTTCCGCCAGGGCGACGACAGCTCCACCGAGGAGAGCTCCTCTGAGGAGGAGTACATCTCCGAGGAGGAGGCGGAGGAGGAGTCCGAACAGGAAGAGTCTGAGGAGGCGAGCGACGAGGACGACTCTGACGACTCCGACAGCGACGCCGAGGGCGGCAAGAAGACGGGCGCCTCCCGTTTCCTGAGGGACGACAATGACTCCGACAGCGACGAGTCCGACGAGGAGGGCAACAAGGTCCTCAAGAGTGCCGCGGACAAGCAGATTGCCGAGCTCGAGTCCACGATCGATGCCATCGAGAAGCGCCAAAAGATTAGCGATTGGGCTGCCGTCTCAACAGGTAAGATTCGGACCCATCATGTGCCTGCATGCAGAAGGACAAGAAGGCGCTCCCAGCCTTGCTCGTCCCCAGCACCCAAAAGCCATCTCTGCTAACAAGGCCATCATGTAGAATTCGACAAGCTCAACCGCCAGGCCGCCAAGATGACTGTCGCTGGTCGCGGTCCCAAGGTTTACATCAAGGCTCTCGTCGAGCTCGAGGCTGCCATGAACGAGACCATCGCGAAGCAGAAGGTTACCCCCAAGAAGATGAACGCCACCTCTGCTCGTGGTCTCAACGCCGTCAAGCAAAAGATCAAGAAGCTCCTCAAGGACTACCAGGCCCAGGTCGACGAGTTCCGCGCCGACCCTACCGAGTTCCTGTTCTCCGACGATGAGGAGGAGGAGGTCGCGCCTGTCAAGGCGCCCAAGACGGAGATCTACATTGACAGAGAGGCTGCCCAAGACACCGATGGCTTCGAGACGGTCAGCAAGGGCGGCAAGACCATGCAGTTTACCCCCGAGAGCATCTTCAAGCACCTCCGCGCCATCTTGGAGTCGCGTGGCAAGAAGAACACCGACCGGCTGGAGCAGATCAAGATCATGCAGAAGCTGCTTGGCGTGGCTGTCACACCGTATCAGCGCATCCGGGTCCTCCTCACCATCATCTCGGCTCGCTTTGATCTGAGCATCAGCGGCACAAATATGCCTATTGAGCACTGGAAGGCTGCTGAGAAGGAGCTGTCCGACCTCTTCGAGACTCTTGAGAAGAACCGCGACCACATTGTCATCGAGGGTGCCGAGGAGTGGGAGGACGACGAGAAGGCCCCCACCATCCCCGCCGGCGAGAAGTACCTCAAGGTTCCTGGCAGTGTTGTCTCGTACGTCGAGCGCCTCGACGATGAGCTCACCCGCTCTCTGCAGAGCATCGACCCTCACACATCCGAGTACATTGACCGCCTGACGGACGAGGCCGCGCTGTACAACGTCATCCTCCGCGGGCTTCTGTACTACGAGAATCTCCTGCGGGACAAGTCTCTCGAGATCCCCCAGGACAGTCTTAACCGGATCGTCATGCGTCGTCTCGAGCACGTCTACTTCAAGCCCTCCCAGGTCGTCAAGATCCTCGAGGAGAACGCGTGGAAGCCCGTCCCGGCCGACATCGATTCTGACATCACCCCTCGCAGCGAGTCGTCGGATGCCGGCAACCTCGTCTTCACCCTCTGCAAGTACCTGTTTGAGAAGAGCGAGGGCATCATCCGCGCTCGTGCCATGCTGTGCCAGATCTACTTCCTGGCTCTGCATGACGAGTACTACCGGGCCCGCGATATGATGCTCATGTCCCATTTGCAAGAGTCCATCAACACATTCGACGTCCTGTCTCAGATCCTGTATAACAGGACCCTCGTCCAGATTGGTCTCTGCGCCTTCCGCAAGGGCCTCGTCTACGATGCCCAGAACACCCTGCAGGAGATCTGCGGCAGTGGCAGGCAGAAGGAGCTGCTGGCTCAGGGTGTCATGATGCAGCGCTACAGCCAGGTGTCGCCCGAGCAGGAGAGACTGGAGAAGCAGAGACAACTGCCGTTCCACATGCACATCAACCTCGAGCTGCTCGAGTGTGTCTACCTGACATGCAGCATGCTTCTCGAAATCCCCCTTCTCGCCCAGACTGGCTCCTCGCCGGACGTCAAGAAGCGGGTCATCAGCAAGACCTACCGCCGCATGCTCGAGTACCACGAGCGCCAGATCTTTACCGGCCCCCCCGAGAACACGCGCGACCACGTCATGCAGGCCTCGCGGGCTCTGGCCGCCGGCGAGTGGAAGAAGGCCACCAACTTTATCCACAGCATCAAGATCTGGGACCTCCTGCCGAGTGCCGAGGAGATCAAGACCATGCTGTCCAAGCAGATCCAGGAAGAGGGTCTGCGGACGTACCTTTTCACATATGCTCCGTTCTACGATACCCTTGCTGTTTCCACGCTGTCGGCCATGTTCGAGCTTGAGGACCGCAAGGTCGCGGCCGTTGTCAGCAAGATGATTAGCCACGAGGAGCTCGCGGCTGCCCTGGACCAGGTCACGGCCATCGTCATCTTCCGCAAGGGCGTCGAGCTCTCGCGCCTGCAGAGCCTGGCGCTCACCCTTTCCGACAAGGCTGCTGCCCTCATCGAGACGAACGAGCGGACACTGGAGCAACGGACACAAGGCACAGCGAACGCGTTTGACCGGAGAGGACAGAACCAGCGGGGTCGCGGTGGCGGCGGCCGTGGTGGAGGCCGCGGCGGCGCGCGGACAGGCGGCACTGGCCCGAGACAAGCCGGTGGCACGCAGTTCACCGGCGGTGCGCTGGGTGCTGCGGTACGGGGTTAGGCGCTTGGCAGGAGAATGACAGCAAAGCGGCGCCCAAATAAAATGGACATGCGAAATGGGAACGGTGTTACTTGTTTCTTCATAATTTCTCATTTGTAGTGCATAACAGCAGGGTCATGCTTGATGATAAAGAATCAAAAAGACATTACAAAGCTTTCTTGTGGTCGAAAACTCATGTTATGAGCCAGTAATTAGCATGTATGTGACGCGCGCACGCTCCGCACTGCTGCCGTTGTCCACCACTCCAAGAACACCAAAACGCAAAAAAGACACTATCGATCCAAAGCCATGGCATGCTCGTTTACATTTCTATCCAGACCGTGTCTGCCTGTTTCTACATGGGAATCCGCCGTATCTCCTCAATGGTCCAGTACTTTCTCATGTTCTCTGCGCCGAGCGTCTCGACCTCCTGGTCGAGGTGCTTCCACAGCACGCCGCCCCACGACTCCATCTTGCTCTTGAGCGTGGGCATGTCGAGGTCCTTCTCGCCCGTCTGGCACTCCTGCAGGTAAGCCTGGAGCAGGTCCATGCCCTTGTGGATCTCCTTGTGCTGCCTGAGCAGCTCGGCCGCCCCGTTACCCTTGCCCTGGCGGAACTCGGGCATCTTGCGCGCCAGGATGGGGAAGATGTGCTGCTCCTCGATCCCGTGGTGCACCTCGAGCTGGCTGATGAACTGCAGCCCCTGGGCGATGAAGCTCCGGATCGACATGCCCGCGGGGCGCTTGTTGGTCGTGGCCGCGGTCCACAGCGTGTTCCAGGTGTGCCGGAAGTGCTCGTGGAAGTAGTTCATGTGCTCGGCCAGGCGGTTGTACTGCCGGAACTCGTGGGGGGAGAGCGGCGGGAGCTTGTCTTTTTCTTCTTCTTCCTTTTCCTTTGCCTGCTTCTCTGCATCTTGCGAGTCCTTCTTCTCTGATGTGGGTTTTGTCGAGGCGCAGTCTTCTGAGGCGCATCCTGAGGTGGTGGTGGTGGTGGTGGTGTTTTCGGGGGCAGCAGGGCTCGTGTCGACGCCCGGGTTCACGTTGAGCGTTGCGGCTTCGGCGCCGGTAGCCTCGCCGGACGAGGCCGAGGTGGACATGGTCGCTGTTGATTTTGTCGTTGTTTTTATTGTGTGGAGAGGAAGAAGTCGCTTCTGGCGCTGCTGGCGCTGACCGCGAATAATGTGGTGGCTGGAGGGCAAGAAGTTATACCGTCGGCGCAGAGTGCTGTTGTTGCTGACGCTGTAAAGGTCGGCAAAGTGGCGCACAGCTCCGACGTGCTTCCGTGCGACTGGACCTCGGAAGAGTAGTTGGCAGGGTCGTGTAGCGGTCGCCTGGGAGAAGAGCGAGGCGATATTATGAGAGGACGTCGGCAAGGTATTATAGCGCGGGCGCATCTGGAAGAGGTCACAACACAAGAACAATACAGCAGAACAGAAAACTCCCCTTGGCGGTGATGTCAGAAGCTTCGTCTGAGATCGTGAGTGGGGGGGAAAGAAACACAGCCTAGTTGGGAAACCCAGGGCAGGAGGGGCGGAGAGCGACAGGTCTTAAATACAGCCAGCCAGCGCTTGGTCTAAGCACACACACAACCGGGAGAACTAGAAAAGAGGCAATCACACGACCAAAGGGCTCACATGAGTCGCCCGTTCGAGTGAGATGGGTGATAAGACGGATGGGCAGAGCTTTCTGCAAGCTCCGGCGCAAAAGAAAATGTTGCCGTTCTCTAAGTCAGCAATTGCAAAGCATCGGAATAGACAACCTCCCATTGGCCGCGCCGACGGTTTCGGCAGGTCCACCCCGCCCAAAGTGCCTGCGCGCGCCTCTTAGTCAGGCCTGACAAGCCGAGAGCTGGTCCACACTCTGGCGGCGTGGCGCCCTACTCGTCACGCCCGGAGGCCGACGGCACGGCGGTAACCAGGCAGTTGCCAGTGCCTTGACACATGCATCAGGTGCGAATGAAGAAAATGTTTGAATTTGAATAGAGGTGTACAGAGGACATGTCAAGTGCCAGTCCAACACGAAGAAGCGAAGAGCCCAGATCTCATTGGGCGTGTGGTCCCATGGACCGCACAACAGGGTCAAGTGCATCACAAGCCGTGGCAAAAGCTTAGTTGAACAACAGCTTGAAACTGCGCGAGGGCCTGCCGTTGCAGGTCGCCCCGATCAGGCGATCGCTCCCGAAGCCCTTGAGACATACACCCTTGTTCTCGCTCAGGGGCTGGAAGGTGATGCTCTTCTCCCCGTCAAAGGGGATGAGCTGGCCCGTGTTAGTCGCGCCGCCTGCGGACAATGACAATGGTTAGCACGGTGTGCACGAAGTGTCCATGTCAGACTGCAACAAAGAAACTTACTTCCATCGGCACGCCCGCCGCAGGAGAAGACGGTGACCTGGTCGCCGGCCGGACGACGACTGTCAAAGCTAATGCAGCCGTTTGTCTGGGACAGGTAAGAGTCAGCAAGTGAATTATGCCTAACTGGGTATTCGTGTGCAGTCCAAGGGCGAGACTCACCAAGACACTGACGACCAACGCCGACTTTCCATGAGTGCCATCATTGTGCTTGCCCTTGGTGACAATGTCAAATTTCTGGCTTAGCTCCGACTTGCATTCGACGAGAGCCACAGGAATTAGATTTTCCCGGAAGTCGCCCGCCGAGGGGTCGACCGAGAGACACCGGCCGTCCGAGGACTGGATCGACACGGACTCAAAGAAACGGGTAGCCGTCTTGTCGAATGCCTGGGCTTCCGCGACCGCGGTGGGGTTGAGAACTCCCCCGTCGCGGGACACGGAGGTAGGCTTTGAAGGAGTGGGTGTGGTGCCACCTTTGCCACCTTCGACAGGCGCCGAGGTGGTGGTTGCTGGTGGAGGAGGAGGAGCAGCTGAGGTAGCAGTCTCACTAGGTGCGCTGGTGCTGGCGGCAGGCGTCTCGCTGCCCAGGCCATCATTGGGGTCGCCACCACCGGTGTTGTTGGCGGGTGATCCGCCAAAGGCGAAATGCTGATCTTTGTTGCCGCGGGTGCAGGGTGCGATGCCGACTTTGTCGCCCTGGACAGTCAGACAAGAGCCGGCGACGTTCCGGGGCTTTAGCCGCAGAGGCCCAGGGCGACCTTTGAATTTGAACAGCTGAGAGTCCGTGACTTGGCCGCCTTCAACAAGATAAAGAAGAGACTCCGTCAGCAATGGCCACAGTTGAGATGTCGGTCTGGGTCAAGGACTCACTTCCATCGGCACGTCCACCGCAGGAGAAAAGGTTGACCTGGTCGCCTGGTTTGCGGCGGGTGTCAACATTGCCGCAAGCACCAGTCTATGTGGTCGTGTCAGTAACAGGCACTGGTCACTTGGACTTCGCCCACAAAGCGCCACACGATATGACCACTCACCAAGGTGTTGACGATGAGCATTGCGTCCTGAGCGTTATTATGCTTCCCGCTAGTGATGACGTCCCATGCTTGGCCGTCAGTTGAGCCACAGGCGGCAATTTGGATCGGTGTGAGGTTGGCGCGGAAGTCTCCGGAGAGCGGGTTGACAAACAGGCACCTGCCATCAGATGTCTGGACGCATTGTTAGCCCGAATCCGTGCATTCCTCCCGTCTGTGGGAACACTCACCTTGATCTGCGTTCCGCTGAATGCCCTGACAGCGGTGTTGTCACGGGGATGAGCCTCGGCTGCCGCCTTGGGGTCGAGAGCCTTTACAGCTCTGTTGGCAACATTGGCGGATACGTGGTGCACAGGGCCCGCAAGAACGGCGGAGAAGAGGCACAGGGCGGGGAGGATGCTCTGATGATACATGGCGAAGTGATTGGGCAGGCGAGCTTTAGTTTGTGGGGTGACGATTCTGGCTCTGAAGCAAAAGAATGGAAAGCAGAGTAAACAGTCGTCAAGACCGTGCCGCACAGCGGGAGTAGAAACGAATGAATGGTGGTGTACACGAAGAGAAGGAGCGTAGGTTGAGATGGCTACTCAAAGAGTGTGAGGCTCGTGGAGAGGACAGGAGCCAGAGGCAGCATCGCCTCGAGATGAGGGTGTAAGCCAGACTTAAACAACCACAGACGGACTGTATGCCACGCCCAGGCGGGAGTCGGCGCATGGGAAGTGTGTCCATGCAACGCTAGCCCGCCCTGTATGTCACGTCGGGCCAGGCATCGTGGACGAGGTCGGCACGGTCGGCACGGCACAGCTGGGCATGCCGCTTCGAGCAAAGGGACAAAGAGGGTGCTGGGAAGCGAAGGGGTCACGATGGCGGCGCACTCGAGGCTGTTTCAGAGGCCTGGAGGTGTTGGTGTGTTTCGTTTGGCAGGATGGGTGGCGGCCCCTTGCATGGCGGCCAGTCTGGTCCTATGGAATTGTTATCTGCTGGGCGGAAGGATCTGCCTATGGAAGGACTTTGATCGCGAGCGGGATCCTGGCTGGCACATTGGCAGCTCGAGGATTCCCGGTTTGGCATGTCGAGGAGGGAAGGATAAGACGACGGCCCAGGGAGCTGGTCGGGGGTGAAACCAGATGCGTTGCAGGATCCAGGCACACCAATGAGCAGCCGCCCTCGTCGTCCCAAGGCCCGCAGCCAGGGCAGGCGCGACTGCAGCAGCCCTGCCCCACCCCGCGCCTCTACTTGCACCTCGCATCGTCTCCCGAGGTCATCCCAATTCTCGCTGAGCAAACAATCATCACGGCTCGCATTCGCGCGTGTGTCCAATGTGTTTGGATCTACAGTTTCGTTTCGCCCACGCCCGGCCAGCAGGCCGCTTCTGTTTGAACTCGCCTGCGCACGCCCAGCGATATAAGCTTGACTGGATTGACGTTGCTCCAGACCGCTGCCAGCGGCCTCAACACGCGCCTGTCCAACATCCACCACGTCTCGCGCTGAAGCCCATTCGACAGCATCGAATTTCTGCCCGTTTGGGAGCTTGACCCTTGAGACACCCTCCTGAATCGCCCGGGTACACCCTTGATGCTGTCAAGGCAACGAGGGGTTTCCAGATGTTCCTCTTAAGTCCTAGGCTGTCGTGTGCCTTTGCCAGGCTTCAGCCCCAGCGTTACGCCTGTCAAGAGGCGACAGGGGGTCTCTCAGCAAGAGACTTCAGACGACCACTCCTGATCGCCGCATGGGCAGTGAGCTGCCCTGCAGGTTCCTCTAGAGGTCTTGCAACAACCAAGCCCTGTAGACCACCCGATCTCTCCCGCTCTTTGCCTTGACGGCCACCATCCTGGAAAACCCTCCCAGTCCTATTTCCGAAAACAAGCTCTGATCTGATGCAAGCCACCACTTCCCCCACCCGACCCTACTTTGTATCGCAAGACAAGATGTCCTGTTGCACGCGAAGACTTGCCATGCGTAACTATTCAGACCCCAGCCACGCCTCGCTGACACTCACTACTGATTTGTGGGTCCATGGCTGCTGCCAGAGTTCGATGGTTCAGATTCCAGGTTTGAAGTTGAAATTGCATCTTATGACAGAGTAAAAAAATCTATGAAATGCTGAAACTATGACGACTCGCGCAAACCGCAGCTGCTTTCCCCCATGCTGACGCTTATTCAAAGACGGAAACCCAGACATCCATGGATGCTGGCTCGACCCCATTGAGAGCCTTGACGGCACTGATGACTGTATCCCGCGCGGTCATGATGACCTCCTTGGTGCGGGCGTTGTCGACATACTTCTCAACCTGGTCCACAAAGTACTGGCTCATCACAGTGCCAACCTCCCACGATCCATCCAGCATCCCCGCGTCCGGCACAACCGACGTCTCCCCAACCAGCTTCCACCCACCGCCGCTCTGCCCGCCTGCCACCTCTTTGATCACTCGGGGCCCGACAGGGGTCCGCACATTCTCGTCGCTCTCTGTCTGCGCACGGAAGCTCTCCGACATACCCCTGGCCACGATAGACAGCACGTGCGGCACGGCAGCTGGGTTCGTCGCGTGCATTGCGTGCTCGGCAATAAGCAGCTTGTCCACCCGGCCCCTCAGGGAGGCGAGCACGCTCGCCAGCACGGCCGAGTCGGCAAAGTACCAGATGCAATGCGCCAGGACCGCGACGTCCCAGTGCTGCGGCTTTCCCCCATCCTCAACCTCTTTTGTGCTGGCGAGGAAGTCCTCGGGTGTGGCCTGGTGCCACGAGATCCTCTTGCCGACCGGCGAGTTCTCCGAGATGTGCTTCTGCGCCTGGCCCAGGGTCAGCGGCGCGCCATAGTCCAGCGACCCCGGGTCCACGGCGTCGACATGGCCATCGGGCCCCACGGCCTCAGCGAGGACCGTGGTCGCCGTGCCTTGTCCGCATCCGAGTTCCAGAACGCGGGCGCCGGGCTTGATCACCACGGCGGCCGCGGGGGAGGAGAGGCTGTTCCATGCGTTGATCAGCCGGATGCGGTGCTCTGCCTGGACGAGCTCCACCTGGAAGTGCTGCGGCTCGTGCAGGTGGTACTTTGCGAGTCTTGGTGCGTCGGCGGCGCTGAGCACGTCGGCGCTGCTATTGTTGTTGGCTGTGGTTGATGTAGACATCTTGTTGATATTGGCTGTCATGTGTTGTGTTGCTTTTTGTGGTGAGGAAGCTTGTGTAGATGTGACTTTTGCTCAATTGCGTGATTAGTGTGTGTTCTCTGGTGCTGATTTGAGTTCCGAATCCCTCATGCTCTCTTTTCACGGCGGCATGGCCGACTCTTTATGGTCGCTCGACTCAATGCGCCTTTGGCTCACGATGCAGTTCATTCTATCTTAGACGCTCCGCTCTTCCATGGATCTAACCCCAGCCCGGTCGGAAAAAGTGTGTACTGCATTGAGCAAAGTTGTTGCGAGGTGGTGCCTGCCAAGAGAATGATTCAGAATGACAGGAACCGGGGTTCTTTGCTGCCATTGTATGTGCGGAAGGGTTGTGTTCGTGCCTTGCCGCTTGTTTAGGAAGGAGGGGGCTTGCTAGAGCGTAGCGCGGCTCGTTTGAGAGCCCATGCATGAGTCATCCAGGTAATGCAACGCTGATTGGGGGGAGAGAGACTCCGAGATGGCTTTGTAAGTCCGGGAACCTGGGACTTTGGGAATGCGGCTCACATTTTTGCGGGCGCCAGGGGATTGCCGTTCGGGAAGGGCCTGTTTCTCGACCAATAGATGGTTTCCAATTCTCATTCTTGCCTTATTTTGCTTGCTCGGGTTTAAGCAAGGCCCGGTGGATATGACGATGTTGCGAATGCTTGTGTGTTGAGCGGCTAAGGCATGGGCAGGCATGGGCAAAGTATGCGCTGCAGTCGGGGCTTTCACTGTGCGCAACGCCGGCCCGCGGATCAAGGACGTCCGAATGATGGTTTGCTGGCTTCTTGTCCGAGATCTGTGCTCTGCTCCCTGCCTTCCAAGATGGTCCTGCCAGGCTTGGATTGGGGGCAAGTATTATTGGAACCAGGTCTCAGAAAGTAGGTGTGTTGCACCTAGGTCCCAGGTCATCCATGGATTGCGGCGGGAGTTGCTCAAGCCATTGAGCGGCGAGTCATCCAGTTCTGAGCTCAATCATGGCTTGCATCTGTTGTGCTGCGTTGTGCTGTCCCAGCTTGTGCCTGAGCAGACTCTATCGTGTGCACCCGACACCGACACCAAGTGGGCAGCCCGCGGTCGCCCTAAAGCGTCTGACAGTAGGGACAGGTCGCCGTTGCTAGTGGCCGCCTTGACGGCTTAACCTTTGCTCCCGCTTGTCCTGCCACGCGTTGGGCCGAAGGCTGCTAAATTTAGGGACAGGCACGGCCACACTTTGGGGGAGACATGTCATCCTTTAGCAGCCCTCACAACGAGCCACTGCCAAGCAGAGAGGCGACGCAATCCTGCTGTGTGCTCCCGTGGCTGATCTGCTATGATCGCTCGAGGGCGGGGGCTGTACGGACTGTAGAGGCACTGTGCTGCAGTGAGCATCCTCTTGGGCATTTGCACAATGTGAATGCAGTCAAGCACAGGATATCGTACTTGCACACTAATCAGAGCACACTGTGCCTCCCCTCCCAAGCAACCGCCATGCGGGCCCCAGCACTGCCACGAACTGGGCCCTCCGTATTCTGCAGCCAAACGCTGTGCGCTGTCGGCGCATCAGCCTCAGTGCCGGCAATTGCGAGGATCCATCCATAAGTGGGCGGAGGCCATTACGTATGTCTCCGTGCAAACAGCCCAGACTGAGGCGGCAAAAAGTGCTGCGTTGTTGCAGATGGAACGTTCATCGTCTTTTTGCTCTCTCACCTTCCCATCATTCCGCACCACCCTCATCCTCAACACAGACTTGTTCTGGCACCAACGAGACTGTCCTCGTTATTCACCCTCGTTTTCCCATTCGCGGCTCTTCTCGGGGCCACCTGATCCACGAGCCTTCGCTTACCAGCCACGAGCAGGGGTGCCTGTCCAGGAGGCAACCCACCGAGCCGCTGGCGTCAGATCCCCCAGAAAACTGACAGAGCTGCTGCGACACTCCAGACTCGAGTTGCATCATTGCACCTCTTTCTGTTGAATATCCAGCAGTCACGACCAACTCACAAATCACGAGGACCGAGCAACACTAAGGTTAATTGGGGCTATTTGTTCTCTTCGCTGGCGCCGTGGCCGCCATCTTTGCACCTGGCCCTACCAGTGAGTTGTACGACATTTTGAAACACGACACGACTGGCGCGCCTGCAGGTCCGCCGCCCTTCTCATCCCTTTTCGTTCTTGCCTCAGTCACCCCTTCGCTCGTCTCTGCGTCGTACATTCTTGTGCCTACGCCTTCTCTCAGGATCCCTGGACCTGACTTCCAACAACCACCGTTTCCTCCCGGTCAGCAGCGTCCCATTTGTGGCTTCCCACCAGACCGTCAATTTCCTCGAGATTGCCATCTTGGCCGGCGCTCTCGTCTTTGCGGACTAGCCCGCCCCCAGGGCCCCCCCAACCCTGGTCGACCCTCACTCTCGGTCCTCAAAGCTGGGTCCTTGGGATCCCTTGATTTCCTGCTCCAGCCAGTGCCGACTTGCATCTCGAGGCGTCTTCTCGCCCTATTTCTCTGAGCCGGCCTCTGACAGCCAACGACTTGGATTCTCGTCACACTGCATCGCACGGCACTATCAACAGCCGCGCCTATTCTTCTCAGCGTGCCCTCCTGCCAGGCCGGAGCACTTCGCGCGGCTATCGACTAGCTGCAAGGGCGGGGAACCTTTGGAAGCCTTCTAGAGCCCTTCAGGCACGCAGCACACACAACCATTAGGTCAGCATCGCTGCGACGCTGCCTCGCAATCTCCTTTTCGCAGCAAGCAGAACACCTCTAGCCGCCATGGCTCCCAGAGACTACTACAACACCGGCCCTCACCACCGGCCCAATCCCGCCCCTTCGCCCTATCACGGCGACTCGTACAACTCGGGCTACGACAACTCCTACGAGCCCTCCGTCGTCTCCTCGAAGCCGCCGACCTATGTCTCCCAACTGCCACAGACCCAGCAACAGCACGACCAACCCGGCGCGTCCGCCGCCTACAAGTCGCCGTTTGTCACAGACTTTGACGACCACGTCCACCCCATGCAACCGACTCCGATGGGCAGCCAGCAGAACTTCGCTCACGACACGCGGTACCATGGCGCCGACGGCGGCGACGTGTCCCCCGTAGGCGGCGACGACATTCCTTTACAAGCCCACAACAAGGCCGGCGGTCCCACGGCAGGCATTGGCCCGATGGATTCTTCAGACCATGTCTACGACGCCTCGCAGCAGCGTCGGAACACGCGCCATGGCGAAGAGGCAGGCAAGCGAGGCCTGCATTTTGGCGAACTAGGCATGTTCGGCTCAAACAAGCGGAGGATACCCTTCATGGTGTATCTCTTCACCATCATACAGGTCGGCGTCTTCATTGGCGAGCTGGTCAAGTCTGGTATGTCCTGCTCGGGATGATGCAATCTAGTGTGCCATGATTGGTTTGCTAACGTCGTTGGTTCCTCCTGTAGCTCAATTGACAGGCTCACCGATCCAGACGCAGCCGTCGGTCAGTCCCATGCTCGGCCCATCACAACAAGTCCTGATCAACATGGGATCTCGATACGCCCCTTGCATGCGCAATCAGCCTGGAGTCCAAGACTCGACAATCGCCATCAACTGGGTGTGCCCGCAGTCGACGACACAAGACCCCGAGGCAGCGGTCAACAAGTGCACGCTCCAACAGGTGTGTGGCTTTGGCAACAGCGTCCCCAATCCTCTGTACCAGACGCCGCCAGGACTGAAGCAAGACCCGGCACCAAATCAATGGTATCGCTTCATTATTCCGATTTTCATGCACGCAGGATTTGTGCATATTGGTTTCAACCTTCTGCTTCAACTCACCATTGGCAAGGATATTGAGCGGGCTATTGGCTCAATTCGATTTTTCCTCGTGTACATGAGCGCTGGCATCTTCGGCTTCGTCATGGGCGGCAACTTCGCTTCCCCCAACACATCGTCAACGGGCGCGTCCGGCTCCCTCTTTGGCATCATTGCCATTACGCTTCTTGATCTCCTTTATTCTTGGAGCGACCGCCGCCACCCTGGCAGGGAACTCATTTTCATCATTATCGAGATCCTCATCTCCCTAGCGTTGGGCCTGCTGCCTGGTCTCGACAACTTTTCGCACATTGGCGGGTTTATCGTCGGCATCTGCGTTGGTGTCTCGGTCCTGCACTCGCCAAACAGCCTGCGCCGCAGGATTGGCGAGGACCACTTTGGCGGTCCATCTTACTCTGGGCTTGGAACGCCAGGTGTAAGCAGCGTTGCGTTTCCTGCCTTCTATCGCAACCCGATAGGCTTCTTCAAAGGCCGCAAGGGTCTCTGGTGGGCGTGGTGGATCCTACGCGCAGCGTTCCTCGTGATGGTCATTGCTGTCTTCATTGTCCTGCTCAACAGCTTCTATGCCAACACCAGCTCCTGCTCGTGGTGCAAATACTTGAGCTGTGTGGTAAGTGACTTGCCCGCCACGATCTTTGCCTCAGCTGCTAATTTTGTGTCTCTAGCCCATGGAAAGCAACCAGTGGTGTGCAAACGACTCTTTCCAGACTGTGGTGACGAAGCCGCCTACGCCCCATTAAGACTTGACAGGCGTTGCACTCGAGGATCTTCAGTGTACCAGGTTCAACGCACTGAAGCATGATAGATAGGAATGAAATCAACCATTCAAGGAACTCGGGACATATTTTCCATGCATGTCATCAATGTGAAGCGCAAAAAGTGCCCCGCACATGTGCTCGCATGTTGGTCGCATTTTTGCTTCCCGCGTTCGTCGATACCGCACCGTCTGCGGTCTTGGCGCGTACCAAATTGGCCAAATTCCGCCAGAGGGGCGGCTCAACCCGTCAGTGGCTTTCAGCCGTGCGCGAAGGCATCGTTGCCCGCCCATCAGGGCGAGCCTATGTGACAAAAGTCATCGCTGTGGGGACAGTACATGCTCTCTCGCGGCACTACGCCTTGTATTTGGGTAAGCCGTAGGCAACACTGTTGTGCACAGCAATAAATCCCGCGGGGTTTCTCTTTATTTCTCTACGGCTACCTTAGAGGACAAGTTCCCGGGGGAGCGATGATATGAGATGTCTTGGTCATTCCATAGCGGACTCAGTGTCGCTCCTCTGCAAAGATTCCTGTTGTAGACCGCAATGCAAAGGCAGTGGGACGCTCGGCTCCAACAACGCACATGTGAGGATGGAGGATGGGCGGGCTACACTGGCAGCCTTGTGTGAAGAGCCGGCATCACGAATATCCTCTTCTTCCACTGGTTGGGTTTGCCTTTCGCTTTGATGGGGGTGGGAATTTTTCGTCAAAAGCTGGGAATGCATAAAAGAAATGGGCCCTAGGGTGTTTCGTTGCCGTCGACTTTGAGCGAAAGGGGGCTTTGCAAGAACACGGAGCGCTTGAATCGGGGGCCAGCTTTTTTTTTTTTCATTTATCTTTCGGGGGTCACGGTGGGAATTTCGGCTCAAGTCTTGTTGGTCATTTGAGGCGGGGAACAACAATAACAATCAACATGGCATGCAGATGGGACTTTATGTGTAATGGGAGTACTTTTTTCCGATGAGACTTTTGTATTACAACTATCTTTGTTTGAGAAACGCAGGGCAAGATGGACCAGACTGTGAAAAGCAGAGGAGCCAAGATGGCGGTTGGTGGATTCTCAACACGTTGTGCCGTGCCTTCCTCAAAAAGGAAATGCTCGTCAGCTTTCGACCATTCTGGACACTGAATTTCTTCGGAACAGGTTGGGCTTGTGAAAGCATCGCGAGGTCCTAAGGTTCGCCCAAGCGCCCTGCTGCCTGCCACTCCTTGGCTTGTATGTTCCCAAAGGAGAGGATCATGCAGCTCCCGTGCTGCAAGGTGGTCTGCCGATGGGTCTCACTCGCCGCTGAGACGTTCCTCTGGCCCTTGAGTGATGAGCCGCACAAAGACGCCTTGCTGAGAAGTGTTGCCGCCTCGTAGCCAGGTCCCTCGAAGATGGCGGGAGATATTCCTCTCTAATTCCCGTGTGGTCCGATAGTATTGCTGGAAAAGGGGGGACTCATGATGCGGCGCGTTAGAGCTGGCGCTCGCGAGCGCTCGCCTCCGCGATGACACGCGCAAGCTCGTCGCGCGACATGGGTGTAGGATGGAACTGTGCGGCCAGATAGTCATCCGTCGCACCGGCACGAGCACCCGCAGAGCCAACAGCATCAGCGTCCTTGACCGCAATGCCTGACTGGCTATTACCGCCGCCCGTGTTCTCCTCCTTCGCCTCCGCGCCATCCACAGCGTCTGCGCAGCCACCACCGCAGCCGACGAGATCGACATCCTCCGCCCCATCGAGCCACTGGCCCATCTTGGCGTACAGGTCCAGCCACCGCCGCTCGTCGCCGGGCGTGGGCAGCGTGAGGTCCATGTCGTGGCCGAGCCGGGCCTGCGCGGCGCCGAGGTACTTGTACCCGGCCGGGAAGGGGGCGAGCTCCTCAGGGGAGAAGACTGGCGCCTGGCGGCCGCCGTCGACGGGGACGACCTTGTCCTTGGAGTAGATGAGCTTGACGTATTTGACCTTCCACTCGCCCGCGCGTCCGTCTCGTCCGTCTAATCGGTCTCCAACTCGGCCACGGGTGCTGCTGGTGCTGCTGGTGCTGCGCTCGCAGAAGAAGTGGAATTGGCAGTCGCAGTCGACGTCGTACTCGATGATGGAGGAGGAAGAAGAAGTGTCATCTCGATGGCTGGAACCACTCGCAGCAGCAGAGGCGGCGGCGGACCGGCGCTCAACGAAGCGCTGTGTGATTGTGGCCTTCATCTTGCCGACCGCGCGGCCCGTCGCGGGGTTCAGGTCGACGAGCGTGCCGCACTCGCGGTGCATGATGAAGTCGCCTGCCGCCTTGCCCTTCTTGGAGGCGGCGATGAAGTCGTCAATGTGGAGGCGCTTGCTCCAGGCTGGTTGGTTGAGAAAGGAGGGGGTTGAGGGAAGTGGTCAGTCCATTGTCTTTATACCTTGGGATTTTGTATGATAAGGAGGTTGGGAAGGGATTCTGTCAAGTACGGAAGGCGAGTTTTCGGCCGAAAAGAAAATATGGAAATATTGGTTGCCAAGGTTGAAATGGAGAGGATGAGATCGAGGGCCAAAGGGGTATTCAGGTGGTACTTACTGGTCCAGACATATGCGTCCTCGGCAAACAGCGAGCGATAGTTCTTCCACTCAGACGCATCGCGGTAGACCGGCCATCCCTTGCACAGCTCAGAGACGGCGAGACGATCGAGGAGATCCTCCGTGGTGCCGCGGACGTGGGTGTACTCCTTGGCCTGGGGGTCGCGGGGAGAAGTCATGGTTGCGGAAGTGTCGACGTCGAGGTACGGAATCAGTGTCAAAAGCCGAGGAGTCGTGCTTGTGTAAAGTTTGAGGTGTTGTGCAGAAAACGTGTAGAAAAGGCTGCTGAGGGTTTGTGATGGAATCTGGTAAAGGTGATAGATGGTGGGCGCGATCTAACTTGACGATGTGTATAGTTGGGAGGAAAGAGAGGCTGAACCAACGAGGAAGCTCCGCTGGCTTATGTATGGTTCAATGTGCCAGAGATAACATGCAATTATTCGTTCCTGACTTGGCGATGACGGGTGTTGACTGAGGCACGCGGTAGAGCTGGTGATGAGTCAAGCTAGCGTTGTTGCAACGCGTTGCGATTGCCCCAACGTAGAACTGTGGGCTGTCATCACGAGTGCAGCTGCAAAGGCAGCCACTCCCAAAGCTGGAGGCGTTTGAGGCAATCGTCGCCTTGTGCTCAAGACAGATTAGCCATGTCATTGTTCATGTCAAGCCCTAAGCAACGTGTGGGTGAGGCATCAAACGCACCCAAGCTGGGTACGCCCAGTTGCAAACGGCCCGGCAGGGGGACCAATCTGCCTCATTCTCACACAATACCCTTCTCAGCGATGCAATCCAGGAATTCATAGTAGAATGTCTTGAGCCCGCCGCGAACAATACTCCCTGCGAGTGACTACTGCAAGAGTGTGCTGCCTGATCGGGCAATCCGGAGCCGCGAGCCCGGAGCCCCAGTCACACCCGGCCCCACTTTCCTCCGGGCACCGACATCGCCTGGACAAAGACAACTCCGCGACTGCTTGAAAGTCATGATCGTCGGAATCAGCGCTAGAGGTGATGCCGTGCGGGTCACTAAAGCATCACATGAATCATATGTGGACCAGGCAGTGCCAAGTATTATTGTTTTGAAATATATCATTGTCCTTCTATTTGAGAGTGAGTGTGGTCGCTATTGTATCCTGGTATCCTATGCAGAGCTTAAAAGAGAGTGGGAGGTGAGGGATTAGACAATAGCCGAAAAGAAAAGCAACCTAAGCGCCATCCATGCGTCGTGAAACGTTGAAACCAAAAATCAACAGATCTCTTCTCCTCCCTCAATAGTCATTAGTGATCTGTTTTGCTCGCCACCAGTCAAACGCCTCCAACCACGAGCTGAGCTCGTCAGAGCCTAGGCAACCTGAGTCGGCCGAGCCTCGAACCGCTTCCTCTTGCTAGACTTCGTGCGGCTGTCATCGACCTTGCTGCTGGAGGTCGAGGTCGCAGCAGGCTTGGTGGTCGTGGACAGAGTAGAGCCCGCCGGGCCTGCGACCAGGGCGGCATTCGTGGCACCGGCAGCGGCGGCAGCAGTGCTGGTCTTGGTGGAGGAGTCGTCAGCAGTCTTCCAGTAGTCGGCCAGCCAGGTCTCGACGTCGTCGACGTGGTTGTACGGCTGCATGTTGGCCATCCACTTGATCCTGTCCTCGACCGCAGTCCAGCTCATGTCGCCACCGATGGGCTTAGCGCTCCAGCGCTTCTCGGTAGGGTCGATATAGTGCGTCTCGTCGTAGCCGAGGTTGGGCAGCATGGAGACGTTGAAGGCAGCCATCATCTCGTGGTCCTCGTGAATCAGATTGTGGCAGTGGAACATGTAGACACCGTCCCAGGGAGCATAGTAGGCCTCGACCGTCACCTTCTCGTTGGGTCCGAGCCACACGACGTCCTTGAGGCCCGCAGCCTCGTAGGGCATGACCTGACCGCGGCCATCAACGCGCTTGACAACCTTGAAGTCGACCAGGTGGATGTGAATGGGGTGAGACCAGCCGCCGCTGCTGTTGATGAGCTCCCAGACCTCGACACGGCCGCGCTTGGGCTTAGCAAGCACGCGGTTATTAACATCGGCAAAGGACACTCCATTGATTTTCCACTCGCCGTTGGTGCGCTCGAACTTGAATGAATGGTCTACACCAGCCTTGTCCGGAGGGTAAGGGATAGTACGGAGCGAGCCGGGGAGGGAGTTGTCGTCAGAAGAGCCAGAAGAGTCATCCGATCTCTTATCAGCGATGATGAACTTCATGACCTTGTCGGTATGCAGGAAGTCCTCGTCAGCAGCGAAGCTCCTCGTGTTACGCAGAGTAACGTTCTCGCCCTTCCACTTGGAAAAGTCGACGACGACCTCGTACCGCTCGGCCATGGAGATGTACATGTCCTTGACCTTCTGAGGCCCGCTGAGGAGACCAGCATCCGAGGCAATGACGTTGAACTCGAGCTTCTCATTCTGACCGGGCTTCAAGTCGCGCTCAAGGTACAGAAAGAAGGAGCGGGAGATGGCAGCGTTGAGAAAGCGGAAACGGTACTGGCGAGGCTCAACCTTCATGTAGGGCCATGGCTGGCCATTGACATGGATGATGTCGCCATAGAGACTGGTTGTCTCCCTGGCCGGGCTGTAGAGCGTGCCGTCGTTGTTGTACTGCTTAGCAGACAGGACAAGGGGCACGTCATAGGGACCCTTGGGAAGGCCAAGAACATCCTCCTTCTCGTCATGGAGGATATACATGCCAGCCTGGCCAAAGTAGGCGTTTTCCGCCGTCTGGTTCCGCGTCAGCTTATATTATGTCGAGAGCAGGGTAAGCAGAGGGAGGACTCACGTGATCAATGGCGTGGTCGTGGTACCACAGCGTCCGGGCGGCCTGGTGGTTGGGATAGTAGTAATCCTTGTACTCGTTGGGCTTGATGAGGTCTTCGGCCCAGCCATCCCAGGGAGCTCTCTGTTAACAAGAGTTGTGAGTGTCTGTCATGATGCTTGGTGGGGCCACCACTGGTTACTAGTTGCTATGTAGACTTACCGAGTAGGAACCGTGCAAGTGGATGGAGCTGGCTGTGGGAGACTTGTTGATGAAGCGAACGACGGATTCAACACCCCTTTCCATGTAGAAAGTAGGTCCGGGAGAATATCCATCGTACCCCACGAGCTTAGCAGGGGACTTGCCCGGATAGACCTGCTGAGTCAGGGGCTGGATGTTGACCTCAAAGTACTGAATCTTGCCACCAGTGACCGGGTTTGTCGTCTCCCTAGAGGCAATCAGCACCCAGTCATGATGAGACGGCCTGGGATCGACAGGCGGCCGATATAACAAGCTGAAGAGATCGACTTACTCGGTAACATTCTTTACGGGGGGAATGGGGAGGGGGAACTGGTAGAGCCAAGTATAGGGCGGGCTGAGCCAATCCTTGGCCTCGGCAACACCGCCGAGGGATGCTGCCAAGGCCAGAAAGGTGTTCCGCAGCGTAATGGGATGCATGACTGAAGATCCTCGAAGTGCCAAGAGAGAAGCTTGAGTAGTGCTTGCCAAGAGGCGGGAGATGTGCAGGGGCTTGCTGAGAGGATGGCCGGAAAAAAAAAACCTGTTTTCGTCTCGAGGACCACGGCTGCTACTTGTAGGGATTCTCGTCGAGGCGGCCGCCAGACATGGTTGTTGATACTGCCCAAGCTCGACTCAGTCTAGACCCGTTGAGAAAGGACCCGGGCCCGCAGCTGAGATTGAGCGACACGACGGAGGTGGCCGGACATGTTGACTGGGCGAGGTGGTGCTCACACGCCACGCCCGAGGCATGCCCGAGGTCCAGATCATGGAGCAGGGCTCGAGGCTCATGAGAGACTGCAGCATGAAGGCGACGAGAGTTCTGCTGGCAGGAATGCCAAGAAGCTGAACCTGCAAGCCACGAGATCCAGGCCTGGGAGCATGGACGAAGATGGCCGGGCGGCAGGGTCGGACGATGGGCAGTTTTGGTGGACATTTGGCACCCGATATTGGAGCTGTAGTGTCGAGCCCGGTCGTAGCTGGGGCTGATGGGCCGAGGAGGGGTCTTGGGACACTGCCAGCCAGCGATTCTGGACGTGGCCAGGCCAACAAGACCCTTTGCGTTGTCAGCTGCATGCGAGGCCAGCAGGAGCCGAGTATAGCGCCCGCCTGCACTCCAGGCGCTATCCAGGGTCCCCTTCGCTACCGCGTCGGCTGCGGGCCCCTTGCAAGCCGCACGTGCACCGGGAAGGGGGGTCCTGTGTCGGGACGAGGGACGGGAATGATACGATTATGTTGTCAAGGGTCTGGCTGCCAACCCTCTGCTACCGAGGGACTATGGCACGCCTCTGACTGGCCGGTAACCCGAGCTTGGGCCCGTTGAGTTACCACGAGGCCCGCACAATGCCTGCGTGGTTTAGAGTTCTCGGGCCCGCCCAACGGCGCGGAGGCCGACGGTCTGGATCAGCTTTCTTCCTAGCCTCCTTCTGGGGGAGTGTCGGCAGGCGTTAAGCGAAAGTGGCGCCCCTTCCCCCATCGGGACTCTTGCGGAGCGAGCAGAGGTCCCTTTTGGCCCAAGCCCAGAACCTTGACGTCAAAAACCCACCCCATCCTTCTTATCCCCACACCCATTCTATAGCCGTCCAGCTCAGCCTCACATGCCCCATCGCTCTGGACCCTGTCGGGCTGTGTCTTTGTTCGCTGTATTTTTCCGTATTTGTTTTTCTCGTCATCGGATTCTCCAACGTCGGGCCAGACCCGAGCTCTCGGTTCCCCAAGCTGCTCGCGTGGCCGCAAGGTATCGGAGATCTCCAATGCTTTGCTCGCTTGGCGAAGCTTGTCCACCCCTGGCCGTCGGGACTGGCGACGTTGCTGTAGATTCCAGGCCACGTTCTCCGACGCCGTGGAGGGCGGCACTCTTGTGAACACAGAGGCATCCGCTTCTACCTGAGCTAGGCACGATGGATATATCAAGCACGTGGCTCTCCGCCTTGGCCAGGAGAACCAAGACTGCTCGATGCATTGCCCCAAAACAACACTGCACATTAGCTCCTGGATCCATCAGTAAGCTTGCTACGCAGACTGGGCTCCGTCTGTAGCACATCGTCGATTCTCATACTAGTCGACTTTTTGTTGGCATCGCCAAGCCATTACATAATGTTTCTCACGAGATGTCTTTTGCTGCTCTCTGCCTTGGTGGCATTTGCCGTGTCGCAAGACGTCGGCTTTTCGCTAGATGGCATCATCACCAGCGCAACTGCGACAGACTCGTCCTACAACACTGGAGGTTTCATCACCACCAATGGCTGGAGGGTCATCGTACCCAAGAACCTCCAGGTCGGCTTCCCCGCTGCCTGGGTTTCGTGGAAGGACTTTGTGGCCGCGTACAGCGCAGGCCAGTTCCACGACTTTGAGGTTTCGGTAAGCCATGTCTATGCCTTGCACGCGACGGCTGTAGCTAACGACGGTTTGCTCCATTTTCTCAGGTCACTGGTAATGTCGTGCCTCAGCTTGGCGCGGTGGCTGGCCAGATCTACATCTCGCAGCTCTTCCTGCAGGGCAGCCAGGGCATCATTTCCCAGGTCAACAACGACGGCACCATCAAGATCGCCAATGGGCCAACCATCCGCATCAACGACCCCAACGCAGTCTACTCGGTTGGCTACACCGGGTCGCCCTTCATGACGGCCGACGACGAGAACCCCAGCATCTCTTCCTTTGGCGGCTTCCCCATGTGTGTGCCGCGCAGCCCGACCGACCCGCTGTGCCCGGCGAGCAACCGCCCCGGGAACAAGCAGGGCATCTTTACCGCGCTTGACCCCCTGGCCATGGCGCCCTTTGTCCCTGGCGACTTTGTCGAGTACTCTGGCTACACCAACGGGGCGGGCGAGATTGTGTGCTTCGAGATCACGGCCCTCAACGTGCAGATCAGCACCGGCGGCGCCTTCAGCTTCATCCGGGTCGAGGATGCCATCATAGGCGTCTTTTCGGGCGACGGCAACGCCGAGTCGGCCAGGTCGCGGTTCATCGGCTACACATCTGAGACGGCGGGCTCGCCCGTGTCGGTCCACGCCATCGAAGTAGACCCGTGCACGGGTGCCGAGACGCTCCGGCAGGTCGCCGGCGACTTCATCAGGCAGGGCGACGTGCGCAACAAGTTTGTGCTGGACAATCCCGCCTCGGCGACCGACACGTACACGCGCGAGTACGTCGTCAAGACGGCGTCGGGGTCCAAGCTGACGACCAACAACATCAAGGCCGGCTACTACATCCAGCCCGTGACCGAGTGGATCCAGCCCGAGCTTGCCGTGCCCGGAGCGGCCCCTGTTGCCTTTGAGTTTGCCAAGATGAAGCACCTCACGCAGGGCCTGGGCCCGGACGAGGCCGGCAACATCTGGGGGCCCCTGAGCCCGTTCCCCCAGTCGGGCGTCACAACCTTTGACATCTCGACCTGTCCCAAGATTGTGCCCTCACCTTCATCTACGGCCCCGGCCGACACGGCCACCACCGCTGCCGGTGCCGCGGCCACGCCCACAAAGGACACGGTCAAGGTGCTTGCCGCAAGCTGGACCAGCTCGGGCAGCGGCAGTCTCCAGGTCGCCTGCACCTCTTCCAACACCACCACCACTCTTGGGTTCATGTTGCTCGACTACACGTTCCCGCCCGGTGGCGGCCAGTCCGCCGTCAACCAGAAAATGACACCCTCCCCCACAATCCCAGGCCAGTGGACTATCACGGTCCCCAGGATAAAGCAGCCCTCCTCCGTCGTATGCAAGACCCTGGCCGGCGGCAATGCCACGGCACCAGTCACCAAGGGGAAGCGGCGGAGCGCCAAGCTTTACTGAGTGCCCCGATGGGGGGGCCAAGAAATGAATGGTCTGGAACGACTCGGTGGTCTATGCCCAGACAGGAAAGTGCATACAAATCCTAAGCAATGCAGGAGTTTGGAGGGGCAGGGAACGAATTTGCCTGCATTCTACTCGTTGCAGTTCCGACATAGCGGTCTTTGTCATCATGATTGTTTTTTGGTGGTGCTTGGTGCACCCAAAGAAAGATATTACACACACGATCCTTAATCAGATAATAATCTTTGCTGCCATGCATACCACGTCAACATATGTATTTGAACCATCGTGTCGTTGGCCAATGCACTTATTGACGTGAGCCCTCGTAGTTGGCAGTCTCAAATGTAACGCTGCAGCTACAATGTCCCCTGGTGTAACCCACCATCTCGATCCAAACCGGCCAACATCCACAGCTAAATTTGCTATGTTGTAGAGCAGCCGTCCGCCACAATATCAGAACACGCGCTTTGCAGCAATTTCGGCCGGGACAAGGTTGTCGACTTTCACGGAACTGCCGGCACAAACTGCCCAGGCTGCCTATCTGGTGCACATAATTTCAGTATCGGATGCATAGACTCGCCCCGACAAAGGCCTTCTCAGCGGTCGAGGCCGAGGGCACGGGCCGGGTGCGGCCGCAACTCGACTGCCGCTCTACAAGACCTGCCCTTGCTGTTTTACTGAATGTGGACGATTCGCCGACGCCGCACACGGTAACACACACGAGTGATTTCAGCCCTTGACGTGGGCTGTCAAAGACCCAACGCCCAGCGCCACGCCGGCTCCTCCTGCTTTACCCTTTGTAGCTGGCCCGGTGGTCTGGTGTCTGTTCTGGAAAGGTGCCCTCGGCCACGCTAGATGGCAATTGTCACAAGCGAGTCATTCGCCACCAGCTGTCCCGAAATGTCTCGGACGTGTAGGGAAAGACATTTCACGCTTGATCCCCGCACGGGCTTAGACCGTCTTCCGTTGTGTCCCAAGCGCGCTTGTGACCGGTAAACTCAACCACGCTGCAGAACTTCCCCCAAAAGGCTAGAAAAAGCAAGATCCCCAGCCTATCCCGAGGGCGGCTTAGCCTCAACATCCACAAATCTCGATCTAGAATTCCTCAATCACGGTTCCCCCGTCTGTGCGATTGGGACCAGATGTGGCAAAAGGTTGATTGTATGCTTAACGCGCCCCGGTCAAAAAAACACTTTCAAAGGTTGATGTGTTTATTTTCAGCCAGCCATGCAACTGACTCGCGAGGGGGCCGAGGTTTTCGTTTTCGGCATGCATTCATTCACCGACGCACGCTAGCCCGTCACAATCACCACAAAAGGGTAAGGCTCGCCGTGGCCCATGTCCGACCATAGCCCGGCAGTCTTGGCAATCTGACGTGGCGGAACGCCCAGCTCGTGTATGCGCCCTGTGCTGCATTTGCAATGCGAGTGATGAATGGATCCCGTCAGAAACGCGAGGAGGCTTGTCAGTGGCCTGGGCTCGGGGGCCACTACCTTTGTTTGCCATGTGGGCTCCTCCAGCCATTACTGAACTTTACTTGTCACTGTCACTGTCGCTGTCACTGTCGCTATCACTGTCACTGTCACTGTCGCTGTCACTGTCACTGTCACTGTCACTGTCAGAAGAACTCTGCTAGCCCCTGTTCTCAGGGTTCCCCATCCCAGGGTCTCGCGGGGAATGACTAGTCCTAGAGCAGGGGCAGTGCCCTGGCCGAGCTGTTGCTGTGTTGTCACGTATGCAGTATGCAGTCGCATCGAATAACCGGTCAGAGCCCTTGCATCTGTCCTGGGGTTTCGGAGTAAAACCCCAGGTTAGATCTGGCAGTGACAGGGGATGAGCCCAATCAATCTTGGGTATGATCGCGGGCCGTGGCCGGGTTCCCTCTCCGAATTCTGCCCCTGCACAAACAGCGTGAAAGGGGGTCCAGGCCGGCTTCCCCAAGAGGGCCTGGCCCTGTGCCAAGGCGAGCACGTACATAAGGTCCATTACAGCCGCATGTGGGCTCTCTCTCCACAGCCGGCAGGGGGCGCACTAGGTGCATGACCTTGACGCTTCGTGACGTGACTGGCCCGGCCAGATCACGGAGGGACGGAAGCTTCCACTCGCGTGACACCACTTGTGCAGCAGAGTTGTCTGCTGTCATGCAGGTCCTCAGCTCGTCCAGTTCCGCATCGTGTGTGCGGAGTGGTGGAGGCAGCAAAAGTCAAGTTTCGTCTCACAACGCTGCACAGGTGATGTGGCCACCACAACCGCTCTCAACGGCATTTCACAACGGCTGCAAAAACTCTGCCATTGTTCTGCCGAGTACATGGCACAAACTTTGCTTACCGGGACCCTTGACAGTTCTTCCTCGGGTGGCCAACCTTAAAATAAAACGAGCATGGGGGTGTTGGGGTAGTGGTCCCGCCTCGCGCTTCAGCTCCGCCGCCACTTGTGGCCTCAATCGAAAGTTCCCTCCCAGGTTGTGCTAGTCTTGTCCCATTCTAGGCTAGCTGAGCCGGAGCTGTCTGTTCCCTTTCGGTTCTTTGCACGCAAAGCAGCGAATCACAACACCACGCTTGAACAAGCGTGCATTGTCCCGCACAAACTCTAACAGAGTAGCGTGCGTTGTGCCCCTAGCCTCGACCGCCGCCCTGGGCGTCTAGCCCTCGCAGACAAAACCAGTGACGTTACTCGGCGGAGGGCCTACTATGGTAGACAGTTACTTGTGCTGCACGTGGTCGGACTTTAGGCAGACATTTTTGCTCATACGTGCGTGTGCGAGGGCAGCACGAGTCAACGCCACATGCTGACATGCGGCGCGCGCAGGCACCAGATTCGCTTTCTCCATAGACGCACAGTATATGATTATCCTAATTGGTAATATGCTTACACATAAGCTTTTCACCTAAATTATCTGCAGTCCAGGCTCAAAAGTCCGAGGTCCCGGGACCGCTTATGGCCTTCGGCAGTCATGGGATTCTGTTTCCCGGGAGAGCATAAAAATGACTACCTCGTTTATCCACAATGGCGCAAGAGATTTGGAGCCCCCCGAGAGAGTCCAAAAGCAGACACACATGCTGCCAAGACAGACCGCAAGCGCTTATCACCACTCTTTACGCCGTCGTGCTGAGAAATTCGGAGTACTCATCTATTAACAGCTGACGTCCGAGGAGGTGTTACGATAATTTTGTGGAAGCGAGCGAGGCGCCGAGACGACTCCACTCGTAGCACGCCTTCTTTGCCAAGGATACACGAGTACAGCATCCGTGCGCCAAGTGCTCGGTAAGCTCCGTTAAGCTTTTCTTGTCCTACACTTTGCGCACAGTCGACTGGAGCTCATGCTCCTGACTGTCCACAAGCATGACCTGTTGTCCAGGAAGCCTGGCTCGGATTTGGAGCGTGGGCCCAACCATGCGGACGCCGGCCGACTCCGAGCACACTTCTCCTCGGGGAAATGGGGCAAATTCTTGTTTGCGTTCTCGGCCTCGGTCGGGCGACGGGATGCGGTGAAGCCCTACCTACCATCAGACTCGCGTCACAGCTGAACACCCTGCGCGGGCGGAGCGCAGCGACGTGTATGCTGCAGCAGCAAAGACTTGTCAAGCTGTAACTAGGGCCTCCAACCTGCAACCAACCTGCTGGGCAGTATGTGTCCCAAGCCACCTGGCCCAGTCGCGGAGCATCCAGCCCGTGGGGGTATGCGCAGGCAGGCAAGTAGGCAGTCAGCCAGCCAGCCAGACGTGCTCAGCAAGTCGATGCGGCTGAAAGCTATGCACTGCGGGGGGCCTGGCCTAGACCACTTCTCACACGCAGAGCACACACGTACACACACAGAAACACGCATACCCGCGGATGCACAGCTTGTGCGTGGAGTTTGGAGTCACAGGTTGTCGTGCGGGAGAATCCTTGAATTGCCATCCTCTCCTTCCCTCCCCACGCGATCCCGATTGCCACTCGCTTATTGACACATATTTGGGATGCGATTGGCTCATGTGGTCCCGGGTTCGATGTTGCTTTGCAGTAGGTGTCCCGCCCCTTATCCGATGGCCCGATGCAGTATCTGCGGGATTGCACATATAGTTCTAGACCCCAGCATCGGAAGCTTATCCCCGTGAAGCTCGATGCTATAGACGATGGCTTTGTTGGATGAGGGGGTATTTCTCAGCTCCATAGACATATCTTTCAGCTCTGATGCAGGCTCCTTCCGCTTGGAGAAACTATCTGTGTTGCTTGACATGAGCGTGGCATGATGTTGATGATGGTACGAGCGGGCACGAGCTGGAGTTGGTTGGTTTTGATACTTGTCAAATATATTGTGACTGTGTCAGAAGGCGGCCGAATCATCTGTGTCTGAAATCACGCTGAGAAGGGCAATCATTGAACACGGCTGCCAAGACTGCCATCCTTTGTGGCTCTGCTCCGGCCGCCAGGGCACGTCATGACACCGCCAATAATTTTCTCCCGTCACCGTCTCGGGCGCCTCATCATCCAGCCACGGCGGCATCGTGAACAAGTTGCACCGCTCATCTTCTTCGTCATCCTCCTGCAGTGCCGGCCGTCGCCACCGCCAAGTCCCTAGTCACTTCGCTGGCCGCTATAGGGCGACAGCTATAAGCCCGGAGGAGAATGCCCGGCCGCTGGCGCGCACGCATCACCCTCCCCCTCCCGCAATGTCCATGAAGACTTACTAGATCCTTGAGTCTTTGACACTTGACAGACGCCGCAGTGAAAACCAGGGTCCTTCATGTTCCGGACCCCGTAAGCCACAACGCCGAATTCAAAGCCAAGAGAAGGGGGCCAAGCGATCACCGCGCCTCGAAGAGCCAAGCTTTGGGCGATCTCTACCGCTCCAGAACTTTGCGACTTGGCAGCATTCTTGCCAAGACAGCGCGAGGTCCAGCTCCCCCCTCCCCCTTCACGGCTCACCCGTGGCCGGTCCCGACCACTGGCGCCGGCGCCTTGTTACGTGCAGGACTAAAGGCCCCAAAGATTGGTGTCACTGCAAGATTCCCGAGCGGCGTAATGGTTTCGTGCTACCCAGCCGGACGGCGCCTGGCGGCCGCATGCACTTTACTGCTTCTGTGAGCGTTTTGACGGAATGAGAACAGTCTGGCTTTCTTTTGCTAGAAACGTGTGTCCGCGCACGCCCATGGCGTTTCCATGGGACTTTCTTTTATAGTGTTGGAGGCGTGCGCTGGGTGCGCCGCCACGGTTGACGATCTTGATAGCGCACTTAGGGGATATAGTGTTTTGGTCTTTGGCAGCCGCAAATATGCAGGTTACCGAAAACCTAGTGATGTATAATGTTGTTCGGGTAGTGGAGGAGAAAGTTGAGGATTCCGAGTTCGAGATTGAGGCGACAGTGTGGTTATTGCGAGTATTGAAGCGGGCGTTGGCTGCCCACCACATGATAAGCTTCGTAGAACTGCTGCTAGACGAGCTGGGGGGTATTGACTTATGGTCATGAAGCTTTGTGCAAGAGACGGTCGGTTGTCTCGAAAGATCATGAACAGTATACAGAGTATGTTTCTATGGCCGAGTTTAGTCGTGGCCACAGGCAAGAGAGGCTGTTGATTCGCAGCAGAGAGGCTGGAGCATACCGCTGTCTTTACGCAACGACTCGGGCAGTCCAGACATCTGCGGCTTTAAACCACCACTGACGAACCGCGAGTTCAGTATGATAAATCTACTGAAAGTGGCCTCCTCGCAGCAGAATATCGAAGTTTGATCCAGAAGTAAGTGCAGGGGCGCGTGGTATCACACCCTTCAAATGCTTGAGGACACTAAAGTTGCCTGGGCTCATCCATATTCTCTCTCATGGCTGCTTACGATCAGGCTACTTCGCATTGTGGCCATTGGTGAATCGTGATTGCCTTACTCCGTCGACGCATCGCCATGGTCACGTTCCAGCACCACTTGACTACTTCGACTGATGCAAGACCTGATCTTAGCAAGTGAGACAGGCAGCTGCAGCGTGGTCAAGTTCCCCAGAGAATTTATAGTATATGAAGCTTCGCTAGACGGTTCTATAGGCCTATCTGAGTCAGCCATGTCGACCAAGAATCAAAACCACCTATAAGATATGCTCATTCACGAAGCACTATGTGCGGCCACGTTGGTGAGATGAATAGTCTCACTCAGTACGATCGCTCTAAGCATAAAATTGCATATAATGGAGTTCGGGAGTAAGGGAGATTGGAGGGGAAATCTCTAGCGGGAAAACTATAGAGGAAAAATTGATCAGTCACGTCCTGCTGACTATCCCGAACTACACCTGGAACCACCATTAGTTCGAGCTAGGATGCTTGTTCAGAGAAGAGCATTGGTCACCACGGGTACGCAGAGAGACTGTCCAATCATTCCTTAAGCCCACACGGGACTATTCGCTGCCAAGAGCCGCCAGGAAACGACACCAACAAATGATACTGATGCAGCCGCTGGTGGCCAGCTTAAGATGCTGCAGCCCTGAAGCGAAGCCTTACGGTGGTCAATTCCCATTGGTGGTCTGCAAAGCCAAGACAAGTCTCTCGCTAACCCAAGTAGAGGTTGAGTCGAGCAGAATCATCTTGATGTACAATCTGACTGGACTATAGCCGGTTAATCCTCAACGTAAACTTTCACTGAAAGAAAGGTCGAGCTCGTTACAATATGGGAACAGATCTTGTGGACGCCAGAAGTCCCTTCAAGACGTGCATCGTGGGAACCACTTCCCCGGGTCTGGTAATTGCACGACAATGTGGCACCTAATTCTCATTGCCAAGACGCTGATGGGGCTGTTCATCTACCGATGTGAATGAGCGCAGAACTGGCATTTGCTCCGTAGCTCCGAATGCGGATCCCCGGGCCCCGGGAACTAGTCCGGATCCCTTTTCTCTAGACTAGCCCACCATTAGTGGCTCCCCTCCTCCCTCCGCACATCACATCCGTACATTTCGCAGAGACACAAAGATGGCTATCAAGACGGTCGGCGTCGTTGGCACTGGACTGATCGGAGCCTCGTGGACGGGCCTTTTCCTGGCTCACGGGTTGCGTGTGCTGGTCGCCGATCCGGCGCCAGGGGCCGCGGAGAAGCTGGCAAAATACCTCGAGACCATCTGGCCCACCCTTGCGCAGCTCGGCCCAGGTCTTGCCAGCGGCGCATCGTTGGCCAATTACGAGTTTGTCGGTACCAGCCTTGGTGAGCGGTTTGCAGAGGTCGACTTTGTGCAGGAGGTGCGTTGTGGTCACAACCGAGGTTGTACCCTAGGGGGGAGACACAGCGTTCTTCTAGCTGACGTCAGTCGCAGAACGCGCCCGAGAAGCAGCAGCTCAAGACCACCGTCGTGGGCGAAATTGACGCAAAGACCCGGCCGGACGTCATAATCGCCTCGTCGTCGTCGGGCATCCCCAGCTCGCAGTTCGTCTCTGAATGCCGCGTTAACCCGGCCCGCGTCCTGATCGGACACCCGTTCAACCCGCCACACCTCATGCCGCTTGTCGAGGTCGTCCCGCATCCGGGAACCGACACGGCCAAGACAGAAGAGGCCATGGCCTTCTACCGCTCGCTTGGCAAGAAACCTGTTCATCTCCGCAAGGAGGTCCCGGGCTTTGTGGCCAACCGTCTCCAGGCAGTCGTGTGCAACGAGGCATACAGCCTCGTCACGCGCGGCGTATTATCAGCCGAGGACCTTGGTAAGCCTGATTAGACCCTGGAGATATTCTGAAGCAATGAATAATAGCGTGTCGCTAACCGAAACTGGCAGACCTGTGCATGACCAGCAGCTTGGGCCCGCGATGGGCAGTGACGGGCCCGCTCGTGTCCAACGCAATGGGCGGCGGCGGCGGCGCTGAGGGATTCCGGCACTTCATAGAGCATCTAGGCCCAGCGTTTGATTCGTGGCTCGAGGACATCCGGGCGAATCGGTTCCAGTCCACCAAGGAGAGTCTCGATCTCCTGATGGCACGCGTGGACGAAGCACTGTCGACGTCAGATGCAGGGGCGCTCGAGGCGAGGAGGGACAGATTGTTGGTCCAAATGCTCCGCCTATTGTCAGAGTCGTGACGCTCTGGCAGAAGCTGGGCTGGGCAGGGCTGGGCAGCACCGAGCAGCAACAAATGGAGGGCATGCAGCTGGACAAAACAGGATTTTGAATAATGTAGTCACGGCCTCGACAAATCATTAGCCCTATCCCACTTCGATCAAACCGTGTTCGGTGACCTGGTCTTGTGTTGGCAGGTGACTTAAGGGGGCATGTCACAGATGGACCCGGGAACCGACGAAGCACTTTGCATGAGCTTTCCCAACATCTGGCTTCGATAATTGATTCTCTATCGCTGCCTTTCGCAGACACCCTGAGTATCAGAGACACGTAACTAGCCTTGCAGCTTTTACAGTCTTCAATCTGCAACTTGCGGCTACAGTACCCTCATCAGGCTGCTGCCGACAAGAAACGATGCTTGGCGTGCTCAATTGAGGGGTAAATGACACAAACAAGCACTGGACTCGAGTTTTGGCAGAAGTCCGCATTGCGACACCACCCCTCTAAAGCGTCACAATGTCTCGCGGCCGTTTTGATTTCCAACCACTACAGGGCAGCGAGATCCGTCTGCTCTACTCCACGGTCAACCCTGAGGGAGAACTTGTCTGGACTCTCAAGTCAGCGAGGCTTCCCCACCCGAGCGAGGAACCAGCAGTCAAGTTCGATACACGTGGGGAGACCTCAGTCGTACGTTTCCTCTAATATGTAATGGACAGGAGCTGCAGATACATCACAATCTGAAGGAAGCTCTGCCATATCTTGCCCGCCGACAGCCAAATGCCCTGCCGATATGGATCGACGCTATCTGCATTAACCAGGACGATCCCATCGAGAAAGACCGCCAGATTGCCTTGATGTCAAGGATCTATCGGCAGGCCGAGGTGGTCTGGGCATGGCTGGGGGTGTTCGACCCAGATGCACTAGCGCTGCTTGATAGGATTGCCGAAGTTGGGATGGCGAGCACATCGCCGAGCGATCTAGTTCGTTCATCGCTCCTCGACCCTTCAGCAACGACTCGCACGCCAGCTTCCGTCGGACTTCCAGATCTCTCGTTGCCAATATGGGAAGAAGCAGGTGCTGTCCTGTCTAGTCCCTGGTGGTCCCGCTTACGGGTGGTCCAGGAGGCCGCACTGGCCACCAAGCTCGTCTTTCTCAGCGGCAACATACAGGTTAACGGAACTACTTTGCGCGATGCCCTCAATGGTTGGACAGCCCTCGGGAATGACCTGATGGACGTGGATGGCCGAAGGCTTCCTCACTGTGACAACAAGATGGGCACGGTATTCATAATCCGGGACTCGGTCCAGGCTGCCCGACAGAGCCAGCAGCTGCCGAGCGCGCGGCTGTGGTCATTCCAGCTCCTGAGCGCTCTCTGTCTCACCGCCGAGACTCACCAGTGCCAAGAGCGCAGGGATCGTATCCTGGGTCTGGTCAGCTTAGCGGACGAGGAGTTCATTCGTGCCTCGGGTTTGCTCTCTGAGATGCGACTTTCCTGTGATGACCTGTACTCCAGTGTTACCCACACACTTTTGAGCAACTGCGGCCCGACACATGTTTGGTGGACCATTCTTCACTTTGCAACGGCGCGAAAGAAAACCCCAGGGCTGCCGAGCTGGGTGCCAGACTACTTCCGGTTGTCACAGAACAAAGATGGGTTTTGGACTAGGCTGCCGGTCCACCTGAGACTCTGGGGGACCAGACATTCAAAGCCAGCTGTAGAGCGACGGTTGCACGCCAGCCTCTTCGAGATCATCGTATCTTGACAGTGCGAGGTGTGAAATTCGACAAGGTTCAAGCTATCTTACCCGAATTTCCCAACTCGGAGTTACAGGAGTCGGGATTGACAGAGGCTGTGAGCCTCCCCTACGGCATACATCGGTCCCTCGATATATACCGCTGGGAAGCGCAGATGATGCGCGAGCTATTCGGCACCCATAAAGTACCTGCCGCAGAACCCCAGCGTCTAACCTGCTCCTCGTCTCCCACGATCACATTCGACACGTATCTGCGGACTCTGTATGGGATCTGCCACACGGACCGGCCACTTGCAAGCACTCTGAACGAGTTTCGCGCCTCTCGTCGTGACCTGGTGGCCATGGATGATCATGTCCGCCAAGGCGGGCATCCTCGCGACCTGGAGACCCTGAGCTCATGCTTTTCGCATTCGACGAAGCCCGCAATCAAGAGCACACTCCTGTTCACCATGACTTTTGCCAACAGGAGAGTCTTTATAACCGAGGGAGGTCGGATCGGCTATGGGCCTGTCGCTGCTCAGGTCGGCGATACTGTTTGCGTGTTGAACAACGCGTGGACGCCGCATCTGTTGCGGAGCGCTGGGATGCAGTCGACAGGGCCTGTTTACGGGCTTGTTGGGGAGGCGTACGTTTGTGGCATGATGGATGGAGAGATGGAGAGTCTGGAAGAGCTAGAAGAACAGGACTTCAATTTGGTTTAACACTGCGGGCTAGATTTAGTCAGCTGTCAGCTACCGCTTTGGTGTCAACAGGGTAATCTTGTGATGGCCACACACCTCGTTCTTTCCCCAACCTGTCTCTCATGCCTCAGTCGCCGGTGCTTTCGATGATTGCTCCCCATCCAAACTGAGCAGCCTGCGGAGGACGATGAAAAGTGCTAGGAGACTTATGGCACACACGATGATCTCCGTCTTTGATGCTCGACTCCGAGGAGCGGGTGTCTCGGCCACTTTCTCTGTGCTTGGGAGTAGGGGACCGGAAGCGTCGCGAATCGGGTGGTCTTGCATTTTGTGCGAGCGAGCGAGGTGCGTCGCGGCGTTGTTCGATGGACAGTGCTGGGCAGAGAAGGAGAGGCCAAAATCAGCTGGAGATTGTGGGTAAACAGGAGGTATCGGCCGAGGAGAGTGTGAGGATTGGAAAAGATGAAAACAGGCAAGAAACGCGCGAGGGACAGAGACAGATCAAGCTCCAAGACATATCAACCATATCCTTCCTCTGCAGACCATGCGGCTCGCACTCATCACTTCGAATACAAGGCCCAGTCTCCATCTCGTATCCGTCGATTAGATTCTATCCACTTACAACCTGCCTTAGCCGTCTAGAAAGGATCCACAGCTCGCAGTCCTAACCCCAGACCTGGAACGGGCCCCACTGAAACAAGATCGAACCATGGGCCATGAATCTGATGCTCGTTGCCAGAACATTGTCAAAATTATGTCAGCGAGGATACCCCTATTACTTATTACGATCTGGACCCTTCGTGGTGACACTTGAGGAACATTTTGACAAGAGATCTACAATTGTGAAATTATGCTCTCTACGCCGGATACTAGCCCAAGTGGCGCGCCAAATAATGAGTGATCGATCGATGGAACCATGCTACCACCCCGTCACTCAAACCTTCTCTTCAGCAGCGGCAGCATTCTCAACCGCTCGCGCCGTCTCGCCACGCCTCTGACTCTCCGTCACATACCCCCTGAACTTCCTGGCAGGGACCTGCTTCATAAACATCTCGTCCAGCTCCTCATAACTCCGCAGTCGCGTCTCGGGCTGGTACCACCAGATGAACAGGATGGTCGGGAAGCACAGCCCGCCAAACACGAAGCCGAGCTTTCCGCCGAGGTTCGCTCGGTCCGGGTTGAACAGGTAGGGCAGGACGAAGCTCCAGAAGACGCCGAAGAGGGAGTTGACGGCGACGCCGATGGCGAACGTCTTGACGCGCAGCCGCGAGGTCGCCGTCTCGGCGAGGCACACGTACGCGCTGGCGCCGATGGTGACGTTGTACAGGAAGCAGTACAGGAGGATCATGGCCACGGCGCCCCGGAGCATCTGCACGGTGCCGCCGACCGCGAGGCCGCCCATGACCCACAGGACCGCGGTGAGCCCGATGGTGCCGTACAGGGTGAGCGTGCGCCGGCCCGTGGTGTCGATGAGCTGCCACGAGATGACGTTGCCCAGCATCGAGAGCACCTGCTGCACGATCTGGAGCTTGAACGAGTCCTCGACGCTGTACCCGGCCAGCTGGGCGTAGTAGGTCGAGTACGACGCCGCGAAGACGATGCCCGTGAACTGCTGCGCGACGAGCGGCGTGATGGAGACGATTGTGTGGCGCAGGTTGGACCGCCGGAAGCACTCGGCGTACGTGGCGCCGTCGGTCTCCTGCTTGACCTCCTCGAGGGTGACCTTGATGTTGGCCAGGCGCTTGGCGGCTTCGCCGTTGACCGAAGAGTAGCCGAGGCGGTTCAGGCTCTTGAGGGCCTTGTCCTCACGGCCCTTGCTGACGAGCCACCAGGGAGATCTGTACATGATGACGACGATGCCTGATTAGTAAAGGTTGTGGTTTAATGGGGATGTTGGCGGCAGGCGGACTTACTCAGGCATGAGGAAGACGAAAACCGCCGCAATCACGGCGAAGCCATACTGGGCACAGAAGACGGCACGGTACGACCAGGCATCTCCGGTGTCGCCGTGGAAGTTGACGATGAGCGCCACGATAAAGGGCCCAAGGGTAAACGATAGGGCGATCAGGCAGGTGGTCAGACCACGGAGGGCAAGAGGGACGATCTGGGCAATCTGTCAGCTTAGGGAGGGCTACAATGCGTCTCAACAAGGCTGTGTTGCTTACCTCTCCGACATACGAGCCCGCGACGGACTGGAGGATACCGGTAGCGAAGCCGTTCAGGAACTTGCCGCCAAAGAACATCTCGTTGGTGGAAGCCACGACCTCGAGCGTGATGGCGGCGAATGAGACAACCAGGGCACCGGCAATAGTGTTGCGGCGGCCGATCCAGTCGGCAATCTGGCCAGCGCCAATGGCACCGAAGAACATGGAGGCGCCGGGGGCTCCGCTAAAGGCGGCCTGCCAGTTGGTGTCGAGAACATAGTTGCCCTCGAACAGAAAGCCAAAGTCCTTGCGGAACTGGGGGATGCCGACGACGATGCCCGCGGCCTGGTTCTCGAAGCTGACGAGCATGATGGCCCAGACGCCGTATAGGCACCAGGCAAACGCCCACGGGTTCTTGCGGATGGCAGCCCACTTGCCGATGCTGCGCTCCTCCTCGTTGGAGAGGTCGGCGAGGTGCTGGTCGCCAGGGACGCCCTCGTCGTGGAGGACGTCCGCCTTTGCAGACGTTTCATGCTTGGGTTCGCCGCTCATGTTGCGCGTATAAGGGATGGGGAAGAAGAGAAGTCTTTCTTACTACTGGCGTAGAAACTACACTTGAGCTGAGCTCATGCGGGAAAATTAGTGATGGGCGCGGGATGCGGTCTGCGCACATGAACCGGGACAGGAGCGGTGACAAGAGTGGCAGCGCCAAGCGGGCTGCTTTATATACACCACGCCATGACGACGATGCCCGAACCACAAGTCACGACCCCAATCACGTTAGCTAGGCGCCGTTGGCCCGGAACAACGCGGCGAATCGGCAGCCATTAGATCGGATTCAGAGGTTCCATGCGGGGAGGAGGCCTGCTGCTGCTACATAGTGCCCCATGGGGCTCCACGTTCTCCAGTTACTACTCCACGAGGCGCGTGCGTCGGGTGCTTCCACTTGCTCAATGCGGCATCGGCCACCCACCCTGCCCCCCGCTTAATCCCCGGCACCGTGGTTCATGCCGCTCGTTTCGGCAGTCTCAGCCGCCCGCGCCCGCCTGCTGCCCCCCGATGATTACCCTTGTCCGGCGACAAGACGCATCCCCCCCCAACAGATGCCACCACCGTACGAGGCGGCTCTGCCGCTTGACTCGGGGCTCCAGCATAATAGCGCCAGAACGATTCGAGAAAGCCTGCTGGCAATAGGCCTTTACCAAGTGCGGGCCTGCCCTTGGTTGTTTCTTTGTCACGCAGAGCACCGGAGAAGAGAGAATTCGGTAACGACCACCGCAAAAGTCCAAACATAGTCAATATTTTCTCTTGCCAGGCGCGGTGCAAGGCAAAAGAAAGCGCGGGGAAATACATGCAGACTCGGCCAGGTCTTCTCTCCGGGGCGATGCCGTCATGTATGTATCCAGTAAATCGTCTTTCGCAGTGCATTCGCGCCTTCCAAGACCGTCGCTCATCCGTGTTTGCCCGCATCCTGTGAGCACAATCGGAGCGTGACACAACGCCGATCCAATAAAGCTACCTCGGGCTCCATACTGCTGGTGCTTGGACCCTGTCTGTTTCTAGGCGTCCGGGGGGGACATGGGATGGGGGCCACAGCAGCAATTCGACCGCGAAAGAACGCGTCACAAACAGTCATACCCCTCGCACTCGCGCCCTCCTCACTGTGAGATAACACGGCCGGCATTGCACGCGGTCTGCATGCAAGGATGGCGTTTCCCCTGCATGTCGTCATGTTGGATCAGGGACTGTGCAGGTCCTGTGGCTAAAATCCATGAAACATCCAACTGAGACCACGTGCGCAGCGGCGATCGGGTGGAGGCGGCAGGGCGGGCTGGCGACCAGGGATGGTCCCGATCCTGGCGTCTCGGTACAGTGCTAGCAAGGTCCACCACACTAGCATTCATTCATTCCCGTCCATGACATATGCAAAACATTCCGGGCAACAAATTAAATTTCGCTTTTGTTTCAATAGCCTTTCGTGTGTACAACAGAGGAAGCCCTCAATGTCGGACCAGTGTGTGCCCTCCAATTTCCCAATCTCCCAGTTTCAGAATACAGCGCGAGCGCGAGAAGTAGAGAAGAAAAGCCGAATACACACTTGGAGATATTCCCGTACGCCTAATAATACTCAGGTCCGTCCCCTTCCAGCTCGCGCCGAGGCCGTGGCTGAGCCCTTGTAAGCTGTTTTTTTGTTCAAGCTGGCGCCAGCCTCCGGTCGGCCGTCGGAATCGGAAGAAAGCATAGCCTCGCCACAGGTAGAAAATGCTGCGATGGTGGTCTCGACATCGCGTGGCCAAACTCAGCCAGCCTCTTCAGCAGGCATCTTTCGGGCCTAGAGATCCCAGTTCGTGATCCTCATCACGCGGCTCATCCGGTTGGCGAGGCTCATCTGGCCGACGCGCTTCGTCTGGCTTGAGGTCCAGTAGTCCGTCAGCGTCCTGGCGACTGTCCTACATGACGGCAGGTCCCAGCATCGAACCCGGTTCGCCCATGTCCATGTTGTCCATCGGCCCGACTTCCATCCGCCCGCTGGCCTCGACACCAGACATGCGCGCCTCGATGGTGCCCATGCGCGACTCCATGGCCTCCAGACGCTTCTCGATGCTCTCCATTCTTGCCTCGATCCGTCCAAACCCCTGGTTCAGATCGTGGCTGATCCTGTCGAGCTTATTGGTGAGACTGCGCAGACTCTGAGCCATGGGTGTGTTTTCTTGTCCCGGAGGAGCAGCAGGGACCCGGGCCTCGTGGTTATGCCGTGAGTCCTGGACGGCGAACCGCCACTGGTTGCCGAGCTGGACTTCACAGACGGCCTTGGCGCGCCACGGGCAGTCGACCTTGCGGGTGCTGGGATTCCGCTTCTTGGCTGTGCTGTTGTACTTGACGCCTCCCCGGTCGCACACGAGATCGTATCGAGTCGGCTTGCCATCGCGGTAGTTGCTGGCGCGCAGCTTGACTACGCCATAGCCCTGGTCTTTGGCTACGCGCTGGACTGCTGTGAGGAGGTCTTCGAAGGTGCGGTAGATGCCCTCGGGGGGCGGAGCGAGGGCGCCCGGGGCTTCCCCAGGCGCCATCGACGAGGGCGTCGCCTGCGCAGACACCACCCGCGGCGTGTTGAGAGCACTGCCGTTGGGATGAGTCCCGTTCGGCACGCCCGCAACCGCGGGGTGATGAGGTGTCTGCGGGGGGAGGTTTGAGAGCGAAATGGTGGCGGTTGTTCGGGGATCCAGTGGGAGAGGTCGAGGGTGCGCCGGAACGCGTGACGGGGTCGGGGGCGTCGGAGAGGCTGGGCAGGCGGGCAGGCCTTGGGGCGGCACAATCAGAACAGGCGGCGAGCTGAAGATGGGCGAGAGAAGCGTGGTGGTGCTGGTCGTATGGCGGTGCGTCAAGATGGAGATGGCTACACTGTGTTGGCGGCGAGGACGCGTTGGGATGAGACGTGCAGAACGTGTTTTTTGGTGGAGAGCACGACGGGTCGAGGTGTTTGGAGAGGAAATCGCACGGTCTGGCCTGCCTGTGAGCCAAGCGTGACGAAGGCTGGGTGTCACTGGCAGCGGGGCCAGCTGGCACCGGCTCCAGGGTAAGTGACCCCAGCTGGCACCCACGACGCGCACCCGCAGGCAGGCTCCAGCCTCTTCTCACATGCATTCTGTTCCAGCCAGCCATACTGCTCTGTCTCTTTTCCACGAGCTGCCAAGAGACTGTTATTGTCGGCCAAATGAAACGTCAAATTATGGCCATGTCTACAACTTCGGGCTCTCCCTTCAGCATCTCTCCATACATGATGCCATGGACGTATGCATCACCAACCACCTTGTACCTCACTCCATCATCGGCAGGGCGAAGCACATATGGTGTCCGAGCGCCCAGTAGGACAAAGACTTGGTCGCCGGGCTCTGTGTGCTCTGGGCACAAGCCGACGAAGCCAGTGGTGGTGATGAATGGCCGCCTCGAATGAAGTCGTCTCAAACTCTCCCGGAACCAAATGGGGTCCGTTGCAAGCATAGTCTGCTCCGTCTCCAGTGTCTCGTCGGCCCCGTCATCCCCATTGCCTCCCTGGATACTGATCTGCGCAACCCCCTCAGCAACATGGTCTACTGGATGGCTTCCCTGCTCAACCTCTTGCAGTGGACTTTGTGGCTGCTCGGCAGCTTCGCCGTTTTCGCTGCTGTCATCTTGCAGAGTCCTCAAGCCGTATCTGATCAACGCAAAGTAGTCGTCCCACGTGATGTCGCTGTGCTGGCCTCCATACTCGGCTATCGCAATTCTGCCAACGTCGTCCCTCTCATCCTCGACTCTGATACGAGGTGACTTGCTGCAGTACCGACCAATCTCGTTGACGTACTCTCGTGCTGCGTCAACGTCCAAACCCTTGAGCCAGTCTGGATCCCACAGCACAGTGCTTCGCTCCTTGATGGTATCGACAAAGACACCCGACAGTTTGATCTCGTCTCCGGCAATCTGGACTCGACCCTCGGCATTCGTACTGCCACATGCTCGGAACTCTGTCTCAAAGGCTACAACGCAGCACGGTGCCCTCAGGCCCATGCTCCAGTCCGGCGCCCAGCTTGGGAGCTCGGGGAAGTTCCTGGGAAACTGGCAATAAGCAAGAACGTCCACCTGGCCTTTTCTCAGCATAACTTCGGCGGCACGCTGGTATATCTCTTCGCATGAGCGGGAGTAGTCTGGGAAACCCTCAAAGTCGGCCTGGTCTGAGGTTAGTCCCATAAGGGAGAAGATCCGGTCGCGAGGGTCCGAAGTCTGTGGCAAGTTGTAGTCCGTCTCCAGTACCAGTGCTGTGGCCAGCATCGTGAATAAGTTTACGCGCACCGCTGACTCGTCTTCGAACGGCCATTGATATCCCTCCCTCCGTGTGAGGATGCTCAGCACGAACGAGCTCGGGATGTTCTCCAGTAGTGGTCGATAGTCTCGAAGTATGTCGTCTCGGTTCTCCGGTGCAGAATCCCCATCTTTCTCCATGGACTCATCCTCCGCCTCTCTGGATGGAAAATATTCTGCATCCGGCACGATGACACTGTGTACATGCAGGGCATCCAAGCGCCATGGCCCGCACGCAATGGTCAACTTTCGGGCCACGGCGTATTCCTGGATCACCCACAAACGCGTCCAGTACTGCCTCTTGCAGTACTCAAAGTAAGCGCGAGCCAACCGCTTGCGGGTCTTTTCGTCTCTGTGGAGATCCCAAACCAGGTTGAAATCACCAAGGGTAAGTGCCTCGCCGACCTCCGTAAAGTGTTCGAAGAGAAATCCGCAGTCTGGCCACGAGGCGCCCACCCAGGCAATGACATGGTCGGCTTCGCTGTAAATGTGTCTCATCTGATTCACCTGGTGGCCCTTTTCGCTCTCGTCGGCTTGGTTGATACAGATCTGATCTACCCATACTAGCTCGCCTTCGTGCTGCGTGGTCTGTTCTTCTAGATCAGTGGATTCGTCCTTGTGTTGGCTCGCAGCTCCTGCATGGCGGCGGATCTCACGCAGCGCCATCTCGACAGTCTCGTTGACGTGGCAAAGCATGCCGTTGATGCTGATCATCTTGGTCACTGCATGTTGACCCCAGGCATATGACAGCGCTGTGTATTTTGGACAATTTTTGCCCCTCGTGGCGGTGAGGAGGTTGCAGATGAGGATGTCATTGTCCTCGCCGCCTTCAGCATCGCCTGGACGACTGTCTCGCGGCAAGACCTGCAAAAGGCGGATTTCCTCGTCGGGGTCATTCAGCTGGTCGTAGCGTAGGGTTGCCATGGTGGCGGTATTTTGACCGGCTCAAGGTATTTCACAAACATCGCAGGAGCCAGAATCCACAATGCGAAATCGAGAAATTCCCAAGTTGCTGCGCAGTCAACCTGTCAGCAGCAGATGGAGCCGATGAACCCCACCAGGATTGGCAACAGGGTCGCAGCGGCAGGCCCCATGCAGCGTGGCGGACTAAGTGACGTGATGCGTCCACAGAGGTCTGTGGCGCAAAACCATGTTTATTCTCCGTGATAGTATACAATCTGTGGGCAGCAACATTCTGCGTCCGATCACGAAAAGAGTTTGATACTCAGCACTTGGAAGGTCACTTTGTCATTCGGTCACATTTATATCCTTTGTCATTTGGGCTGGCCAAACGAAATCTGGCTCTGATCTCTTGCATACTACGGGGTTATTCTGAATACAACAAACTACCTGTACCTGGTCCTCGCTCGATCGTTCTCTGCATTCCATCTCTCTGCACTTGCGATCATTCTTTCCACTACCGCCTTCCTCCATTCGCTTCGGCACTCATCGACGAAATGCACCGCAGACCTCGGCAAATCCCACGCCAAGACCCTTTCCGCCCGCACGCCGTCATCTCCGGTCCTAAGAACACCCAGGGCAACATTCACTTGTCCTGGATTCTGCTGGTGGGCATAGAATACCGTCGCGGAGCAACGGGCACATGAATATCGCTGCACGCCGGGCGAGCTGCCGAATACCATCAGTGAGCCCAGCCCGTTGGCTTTGCCCTCCCCACCACGCTGTGATTGTGCTTGCTCAACCGCCGCCGCCGCCAGCTCAGACGTGTCCCGGGGGAACTGTCTGGCCGAGATTGACGACGGCGGGTAAGCGATGTGCCGGAGCTCCGCTGTTGTCCAGTAGGTGAGAGGTGTGCCTACAACCTTGCTGCACGAGCCGCAGGCGTCGACGACGACTCTCCTCTTGCCCGTCTTGGCGTCGACAAAGTCTGGAGAAACGACCCCAGTCGCACCTAGGGTCGATGGTGGTGCAGCAAGACGCTGCAGCTCACCCCGGGGATTCAGCAGCACAAGGTCAACGCCGCCACAGTAGCATCTGATCGGCACCTGCTCGCCGTCCTGCTCGGCTTGGGACTCGACCTCAAATGGCCAGCTGTCTCCCTTGACCTCCTGGCTCTGCAGGCGGTTGACCATCCACATTCTCGGCCTCCCCATATCCACTGGATTCGCGTCCCGCGTCCACGGCAGCGCCCCGCCATCAAGCGTGCCAGCCAGGAACTTGTTATGTCGGATCTTCACCAGCTCTCGCGCCTTGCCCTGTTCGTCTAGTGGCAGGTCCACATCGCCCAGCGTGGACACGATAACGCCATACGACGCTTTGCCGTCTTCCGTACAGTCGAAGAACATGAGCGTGCAGCAGGTCGCGCAGAAGAAGATGTCCGCATTCGCCGAGAAGGGGGACCGCTTGATGGTTCCGGCTTCCACGCAGGCGGCTACAGACCGGGCGATGGCCGGGGAGGTGCCGCTGGTGGTTTTGCTGCTGCTGACAGGATAGTTGTTTTCCGTTCTCTCCTCCTCCTCCTCCTCCTCCTCCTCCTCCTGCTCTGGCCATGCCGTGGTGCACGTGTACAGCCCTCCCGTAAAGTGCCGACAGGTGCTGCAGTGGCAGCATGTCGCGCTGAGCGGCAGTCGCAACAGCGGAACCCGCGTGGTGAAGCGGTTGGCCTTGCAGAGGCATTCGGAGACGAGCTCGATCGTGTTGGGGCGCATCCTTGATTGTTGCAAGATTCATACGGCGGACGGCGGGGGCTGTGTTTAAGTTTCACACCGCAGACGTGTCCAAAGTCTGCTGACGACTAGACTGGTGGTTTTCGAAGAGAATTTGGGGAACACAGGGTCATGCGAGCGGACAACACGTGTAGCCCTCGCAGACTATCTACCCGCAGAGCTTGTATGAAATAGAACAACCTGGGGTTTTTGATATGTAAGCACGAGGGAGAGCTCCGGCCGGAATGCTCCGTACAGTGGTGGAGCTAGCAGACGATCTCGATCATTCGCCGGCAGGTGGATCGCACCGTTTTGAACTTCTCGACATTGGCAATTACAAGCTTCCCAATGTCACTGACGTCTGCACTGCGTCGGGATCACAACAATGTACCCAGGGAGCAGGCTTACAACATCCGGAAGCGCAGTGATTGGTGGTTTCTGGCCAGTTTGAGCCTCTCAAAAGGCACAGTCAAAAGATTAGGCGATGACTAGCTGGCGTGAGAACTCAAAACCACCGAAATCGTCGCACTGGAGGTCAAGTGGTGCAGGTCCTCTTGTTTTTTTTTCTTTTTGGTCACTGAGCATGAATGAATAGCGGTACGGGTTGGGAATCTTCATAAATCCTTCTTGTTCAGGACCTGGCAGTTGAGCTCTTGTCCTTGGTCACAGAGTACCCCCGTCATCGATGAATAAATTCGGCTCTATGCTTCGATATAGACTCGTCAATCCCCGAGCCTCAGGGGAATTATATGAACCCTATTACTAAGGCAAATCGTGAACATGCTGTTCTATCTTAAATAGTTGGCGGAACTGCGAAATCGCAACCCATTTTCTAACCGTCCAACCTATGAAACTCGTCGCAACTTCATGCCTTCAACGGCTTACATCAAGCCACCTCCTCAGCGACGCCCTCCACCGCCTTTACAACATCATCCACATGCGTCAAGAATGGACTGTGCCCGCATCCCGCCAGTCTTACCTCCTTCATCCCCGGCGTGCTCGAGATGATGCGCTCCTGCTGCGCCAGGGGCACGACGTAATCCTGCTCGCCGACGATGTACGTTTTGGCGATGCCCTCGAGCTCCGAGGCCAGAGTGGCGGCTGGTGTCAGAAACGCGTGCGTGTTGAAACGCTCGAGCTGGCTGAAGACCTTCTCGGAGAGCTCGCGCGGGACGCATGAGTAGAAGAAGTGCAATGCCTGGTCTTTGCTGGCGTCGTCGGTCTTGAAGAACGATACCATCTGTGAGGAGTTCTTTGAGTGAGCCTGGGTTATTTCTTTCTTCACTTCGGTCCCGCGCGGGAGCAACCTTGCCGCTGTCGGGTCGTCATCCCCCCTTGCCCAACACAAAGCTCCTGCAAGGCGACGCGTGCGGGACATGATTGCCTTCAGTTGTGCAGCAGCGAGCAGTGCAGACGCATCCCAGGGATTAAGTTGTCGCCGTCAACGACGTACCTTGCCGTCCTCGCGGACATCAACATCGAAAATCACGGCCGACGCCGGGTCGCACACCGCCATGACTGTGTCCTCATGGCTGACAGGTAGCGTGGAGTTCATGTACACCACCCCCGCGAACCCTCCCGCCTTGCCCTCGCGCTGCCGCTCGGCGACCGTGAAGCCCTTGATTGCTGCCGTGCTGAAGAACCCGCCGATCGAGTGGGCCAGCACAACAACCTTCTTGCCTTCTGCGAAGCTGGGCTCAACCGCTGCGCGGAGCACGGCGACGTCATCGTCGGGCACGGCCACGCCGTGAGTCGCGCTGCCGAGACTGGCGAGACGCGGGGCGAGCACGTCGAAGCCCGCGTTGCCCAGGGCGGTGGTGAGGGCCGAGTACACAGCTGGCGGGTGGTAGGCGCCGTGGACGAAGAGGATGGTGGGTTTGTCTGACATTTTCGAGGATAATCGAGAGGGACTGGCTATGCAAGAAAGAAAGAAAGAGCTGGAGTCACAAATCAGTAACGGGGCCAAGTAACGAAATCAACTTCAATACGCGAGAAGTCTTTCGCGGCTTCTTAAGGCTTTTTGGTCGACATCTCGCGGTATTGATAGCCGACAAACCCCTCCACCAAGCTTGTCTCAATGGGGAGAAATGCCTGCATGACGTAAGACTGGCGGATCGCGCGCCCCTGCCTTGCATGCAGCGCGCTTTCGCCCAATTGGCCTGGCAGCAAAGCTGTGTTCGATAACTTGGCTGTGTTGTAAGCACTAAGACGCATGTGGGGACTGATAGGCGAACGAGGAAGCAGCAAAGGTTCGCGGTGCCCTTACGATCAAGCTCAGCTGAACCGTACCAAATGCATAATACCACGCAAAGTGGCCTGAGCCCTGCCTGCCTGAGATGTATCCACCTTGCAAGGGAATGTGACTGGGCGTGATGGAACGAATTTTAGCTTATCAATAGATAACAGTAACCTGTCTTGTTCAATGGTCAGGTTTGGAATGTGTTAGATGCTTATGCTAGACTAGGCAGCGAGTTCGAACTTTGTGGAGGTCTATTCGCCTTGAATAATTCGAACATGATATCGTGCATGGAACACCTATTCCCCACTTAGCCTCGGAAGAGACAAATGCAATATCATAGATGTATTGGAGACTAATCAATGTCTATAAGCATACTTCAGCTTCGTATTTGCGGTGGCATGCGACTTTAGACCGGGAAGCCCTAGCTCCCTTACCACAAGGATGGCTAGCATTTCGGAGGGATGCCGCTTCTTTGTGGGGACTCAACTCGCGTTAATCATGCCTTGCTATCTAGTTAGGCAGCGCGAGGACAGGCGAGGAGGCAGTAAGTATTCGCTTGTTGACAGACCGTGTCATGATACGCCAAAGCGCGCTCAAGCCTAGCGTGAGTGCCATTACTTCATGCCGCGCTAATGTCAATGGGATCGTCGAGCGGCAGTACAAAGGGGCTGGGTCGGTGGTGCTTCAGTAATGTAATCGCAAACGAGCTCTTGTCTCCCCAGGGTTCAGCGCCACTTCAGAATGCCTTAATGTGGTTACCGCTTTTGCGCTCATGTCGGATCGAGTGCTTCTTGATGTATGTGCGCCAGAGCCGACAAGCCTCCGTACTTCGTAGCTCCACGTTATCCTTATGCTTCTCGGGGTAACCTGGTGGTAAATGCCCTTCTCGAACCGCGCCTGTAAGTGTTTCTGCCGATCACCGATACCTTGGCCGTCGTAAACTTCTGGCGGATTGTCAATGTACTCTTATCAGGTTCTGATATTGTTTGCTAGAATCCCTGGGAGTTCCTCATAAGTTACGTACCGGAGGCTCGTCAGTCCATTTACTGATGTGCGTGGTTATGACGTGATCGGTCGAATGATGTTGCTGCTACAAATAGAAACTTTCCAGTGCGGTGCCGAATGTGTGCTTCAATCGGGACTGGCTGGCGTCCATCATGGAGTATGACCAGAATGCGCTATCTTGATTGGCTCCTCAAGCCATGCTCGGTCGCAGGGCCCTCAACGCCTGCCAAGGTCGGCGTTTGGTAGCAAGACTTTCGTAACCCCGCGCGGGGCCACAAGCAGCACCCTCTTGTGCTCTTGCTCTCGAATTGCTCGGCCATTATTGCAGCCCAAGGTCCTATCGTCATACCACGTCTGCCAGAGGGTGCCCAGCATCCTCAAAATAGAGATGGAGGCACTGGGTGCCTTGTCACTAGCCTGCAACATCCTGCAGCTTGTAGACACCGGCTTGAAGGTTACGGCAGCACTCAAGCAGATTCGCGATGAGCACAAACCCGATGCTAGCGTGACGGCTAACGCGACGACCCTTCGGGAGCTGTCGCACGAGATCGACCAGTCCCTCAAGGCACAGAGCTCGCAAGGTCCTCCGGGCAATACGAACCTCTTAGCACGGGCTCGAGACATGACCACAGTCTCGCAACAGCTCGAAAAGCTCCTTCACAGATTTTCAAGCGGTCAAAAGTCCAGGATTCGAGATGTAATCAAATATTACTCCGTCAAAGGCGACATCCAGTCCCAAGAGAAACGCCTACGTGAGACTCAACAAGCCCTGCAGAGTACGATTTTAGTAGAGCTACGGTTAGTTTAGATCAGTAACTTTATTTCAGTTGGTGGTCTCGTGGCTAAACTGCAACTAGGGACATCGTCAACAAAGAATGGGCTACCATAAGCAAAGAGCTTCCTTCGCTAAAGTCGGAGTTACAGTCCCTAGTCACAGAGCTTCGCAAAGGCAACACGACTGTATCCGGCCTCACAGACCAGATGAATGAGGCTCTCCATCAGACCCTGGCGGCTATTACATTCGGCACGGAGCAGGCGACCAAAGCTACGACTGATATCAGTAAGAGATTGGACGATAATAGCAGAGAACCCGTGCGAAGTCTACAGAGCCGAGAAGAAAGAGCCGCTATGGAAGACGTGCTGAACAGTCTCTACTTCACATCAATGAACGCTCGACGCAATATGAGCTCACTTGAGCACGCTCATGGCACATTTGATTGGGTATTTGAAAGACAATGCCGAGACGAGCATCACAGGACAATTGGTGTAAACAGTTGCGCGGAATGTTCGGCAAAGTTCGGTCAATTGCATCATTGGCTTATGACCGAAGATCAACGTATTTTCTGGATCAGCGGCAATGCAGGAACAGGAAAAAGCACCCTAATCCAGTACCTACTCCGGAACATACATAACATTGCGCTCTCAGGTTCTTCCAATGTGGACACAGAACAACCTCTTGTACTCTCGGCCTTCATTTGGGCTGCCGGCGATGAGATGCAACGGTCTATCAAGGGGCTACTTTGTACATTGCTCCACCAATGTTTGACTCACGACCTGACCCTGGCAGCCACTATATCGCAAACATTGTCCTTCTCAAGGAAGAAGACGCCATTCGATTGGAGTGAAAGAGAGCTTCGGCAGGCGCTCGAATCTGTCCTCCATCGAAGAGCGAAGTCTACATACATCTTTGTGGACGGCCTTGATGAGATCTCGCAAAGAGATGGCAGCGCCGCAAGAGTGGTCAGCATCCTTAGCTCACTCCAAGAACACCAAAGGCTGAAAGTTTGCGTCTCGAGTCGTCCAGAGCCTTTCTTCGAGAGGTCGTTCCAGCAATATCCCCATCTGCGACTCCAGATTCTTACTTATGGCGACATACTTCAGTATGTGAGCAATAGTTTGGAGACAGAACTGCTGTCTTTGCCGCCTACGAATCTCCTTCAAGACTGCTCCTCCTCCGTGATAGAACACATCGCTCAGAATGCTCAGGGGTCCTTCCTGTGGGTCGAACTTGTCATACGGAGTCTCAAGGAAGGTTTCACAAACTACGATACCTGGGATCTCTTATGGGTCAGGATCGCAGAAATGCCCGATGATCTCGAGACGCTCTACGAGTCCATGCTGCAACGACGAGGAAGCGGTACAAACCTGTACCACGATTCGGCGGGAATCTTCTTTAAATTGCTACTTGGCCCTGAGGACTTTCAAATGAACACACTATTGAGTTTGGCTTTATACACGCAGCATGATTTACGCGCGCAGCTCCTCGAGCTTGGTAGACAGGAGCGCCTGGAGCGAAGTCCGGCAGTACACGAAGCTAAGCGTGTAGTACGAGAACAACTGCGCGCTCAATGCGCTGGTCTCCTTGAACTCCCGAGACTAGTCATGCCCGGGGAAGACACATCGTCGGAAGACACATCGTTTGAGACTCGCTACGGGTTGGTGACCTTCATACACCGTACGGCGCGGGATTTCATGCTAGATCAAGGGCGGCGTTTGTGGCAGCATGTGGATCTAGACTGGGAAGCCTGCATCGACACGCAGTACCTGGCCTGGTCGAGTGATATCGCCTCAATGGAGCTTTGGGCTCCATTGACGACATATGATTGCTGGGACGTCGCACTTCTAGATTGGTGCAAAAAGTCCGCTGACTTCGTGTGCAGCGAGAGCGTTGACAGGCCCCTTGAACACTTGAGCCAGATTATGCGTTCTAAGTCACATTGGTGCAACGACCAACGAAACCCCGCGATAATGGCAGCATACATCAACATTGAGCCACCTCGACACTGGATCGACACATGGAGACCTACGGGTATGTCTGGAGAAATATTCCTCAATCAGCTTCTGCTCTGTGCGGCAGAGAAAGGTTGTGATGAGCTCAGCTTGTGGCTCCTAGATCAAGGTGCCGACCCTTTCTGGCGCGATATCGATGAGGCGCGTGGCAGCAATTGGCCCACGGCTTTCCAGTGCATCGTTTCTATAGCACCAACGCGGTATCAGGAAGATATTGATGACAGGGAGGAAGAGATCAATCACAGAGAGGAAGAGAGCGAGTACTGGAAGCTCCTGTACAGCATATTGCGGCATCAAAACCTCAAACTTGACGACGAGGTCGTGGTGGTATGGTCCATGTTACGGTCTACTCGCCACGACAGGGCACTCGGGTTCTATTTGGAAGGCTCTCCATTCCTCAACAAGAATTCCTGCTCGATCATGACACCACAGCAGGCAGGGCCCATGTCAAAATACAACTCGCGTCTCTGGAACGTCTCACGGATGAGCTCGAGTGGTCTCCTGAGGTTGGTGCTATGCATGCTCGAGTCCGACGAGGACCAAGATCCCCGACCCTGTCAGTTGCAGCTAGATGTTCGGGACATATTGCACAAAAGAGCATCTCCAGGCATCGACATCCGAAGCCTTGGGTGGTGCGAGGTTTACAGAAGTTCCCCCGAGTATACTGGTGGAAAGGTTGAGCAAGGAGCCGAGCTGAGCGAATGCATCAGCTATGAGAAGCCACCTTCCTCTGAGAGATTACTGCAAGATCTCAAAAGTTTGTGGGAAAAGTGTCGAGTAGTAGCTTTCGCAGCTGATGGGCCTCAGTCTCTGACTATGGGAGACGGTTGGGGGCCTGAAACTCTGGAGATGGAGAGCGGCGAGGGTTCTGTAGAGCTTGAAAAGATGAACGGACAGGAGACCATGGAGTGGCTCATAGCAAGTGGTCTGCCAGAGGACAGAAGAGACCGATGGTGGGAATGGACAATGTAGGCCAATATTAGGTAGAAACCTTGGGGTGTATTTTCTGTCGTTGTGGGTTGCAAAGCATAAGCAAACTTAACTGTCATAAATGATCCAAATAAGGGGCCAGACTGCCGCTTCCGCGTTAGGAGATACATGGATGAATGGAGTGCTGCATCGTGAAAGCTATAAGGCGCTGAGAACTGACGAGCGTTCGCAGCCGTAGCGAAGCAAAGCTAATATCTTGGCACCACTGGAAGCCCAGGAACCTACACACCTTCTGAGTTTGCGAGACGGCACGGTAGAGATGTGGTTACCCTTTTCTGTTCAACCTTTGACTACTGTGCTGTGACCGATACTCATATTGCTCGTCTTGGAACTGGGTTCCAGCAGCATCAGGCAGCTTTCGCTGGTCCCCGATTACATATGCGTCACATGTACGATAGGGCATGCTGGACGTAGCTTGCACTGCCTGTCGAGGACGTCGGGAGCTACTCTATTAGTGTAGCTCGATATCTATGGGGAATCCTGATAAGGGTCTTAGAGAGATTGAACCCAACGATCACAAAGACTTGGGGCAAGCGTGATTTCAAGTACAAGCTTCTTCCTCTTGTGGATGACCCCCTGTGGTACCCGCTCAGGATAGTGACATCCACCAACCCGATATGGCGGCATCAACACTACATTCTCAGTTTCGTCTGTAGCAATAGAACTTCCTAGTTTATAGAGCTGTAAAATGGTGGCAAGTACCTGCGGCTCGGCATGATACAACACCCCGACTCAAAAATCCCATTGTTTGCACCATCGCTTCACCAAGTCTGCTGTGATTGCCTTGCACTGACGCATTGCCGGGCTCTGAGCAACTGTCCGCTGCATCGAAAGAACAACGGGCGGCCGGCCTGCCTGTCCTTCCTGCGCCATGTCATGGTACGTGTCTAGGAGCTTGAAACCGGGGTTCCGGCTGACTAGCGCTCTATTATCGTCATTGCCTTCATGTCCACTCATTTCCAGGCGTCTCACCCACTCCTGGAAGGAGATCATCTCTGGTAAACGCTCCGCTCCATAGAACGCCCTGATTGCATCCGCTATCTCTAACCACGTCGTTGCCGAAGGGTTTAAGCCATGTTAGTAGCCCTAGATCGTATCGACGTCAACCTCCTGCGTGATTCCACCGACCTCCAGCACGAGTTTTGCGATCCGCTCGACTGGCGAGAAGAGACACTCCCCAGCTCGTCGTGAGCCGAGTTAAGATATGCAGCTCCATGCTACTGTGAGTGTGGAGGCGTGGATCGGCAAAGCCTTCCGGCACCATCTTGGACCCAAGCCTCGCTGCCCACGGCCGCGTTCCCGAAAAAGAGATCATCTGGGTCGTATATCTTCTTGATATTCTTGAGCTTTGGATAATTCAGGCCGCAGAAGCTCTTCTGCCGGTCCTTCTACTAATAGTGGGCCTCGTTAAGATAGGCGCCTCCCTCGGGGGCCACCCGTCTAGACGCCGGGTATTTATTTCTATTTTTGACTTATTTTTATTTTCTAACGTAATCCACGGGTGAGTGAGCCACACGGGTCAGTGAGCCACTTTTCCCCCATTTTGAATAGATAACCTTCATTTCCTTATTTCTCCACCAACAATCATGGTACGACAATCAAATGAATGCGATTTGGTTCTAGCGCTAGCTGCGCTTAAATCTGACCCAAAATTGAGCGTACGAAAGGCTGCATTACTCTATAATGTATCCCGCGCAACCCTCCAACGACGACGAGACGGCCGAGCTGCGAAACACGATACCCGACCACCCTGCCAGAAATTGACCTCGTACGAAGAGGAGAGTATTATACGATACGTAATTGACCTAGATTCGCGATCATTTCCACCGCGACTTAGTGGTGTTCGAGAAATGGCGGATCGACTCCTTGCCGTACGCGACGCGCCGCGTGTCGGAACGAACTGGGCCTCAACCTTCGTACGACGACGATCTGAGCTCCGTACGCGTTTTAATCGAAGAATCGACTACCAGAGAGTCCTCTGCGAAGATCCAGACGCGTATCGCGCGTGGTTTGAGCTCGTACGAAATATAATCGCGAAATACGGGATCCACGATGACGACATCTATAACTTCGACAAAACGGGCTTCACGATAGGTAAAATCTCCGCCGAAACTGTTGTTATAACCTCCGATCGACGTGGGAGGCTAAGAGCCGTACAACAAGGCAATTAGGAATGGGTTATAGTAATCTAGGGTATCGCGTCGTACAGCTATTCAATCCCGCCGTATATTATCTTCGCTAGGAAGGTCCACCTCGACTCCTAGACCGCGAATAGCCCTCTACCGGCTAACTAGGTAATCGCGCTTTCAGAAAACGGTTGGACGACGAACAAGAGAGGCCTAGAATAAGTAAAACACTTCGATTTCCATACAAAGAGTCGTACGAAGGGTACCTACCGCCTCCTTATCCTCGACGGCTACGAGAGCCACCATTCCGTCGATTTCGAGCTCTACTATAAGGAACAGAATATTGTTACCCTCTATATACCTGCTCATTTGTCGCATAAGCTCCAGCCTCTCGATGTTAGGTACTTTAGACCTCTGAAACAGGTGTATAGTAAAGAAATCGAAGGTCTAATATAGGCGTACGTAACCCACGTTTTAAAGGAGGACTTCCTCCCAGCCTTTTATAAGGCGTACGACGCTGTAATAACCAAATCAAACATCCAGGCAGGCTTTAGAGCGACAGGCCTAGTACCGTACGACCCGGACTATGTAATTTCACAGCTAGATATAAAGCTTCGTACGCCGACACCACCAGGTTCTGCTGGACTACCACCCCCCTGGGTCTCAAAGACGCCGAATAACCCGATTGAGGCCGAATCGCAGACGGAGTATCTCAAAAATCGCATCGTACGACACCAGAATAGCTCACCGTCGTCTATAGTCGTAAGCCTTAAGCAGCTTCATAAAGGGATGGCGATGATGGCACACGAGCAGGACCTTATGCGCCATGATATCGCCGAACTTCGAGATGCAAACGACCGCCTCAGCCGCCGTCGTCGTACGAAAAGAAAGCAGCTACAGAAAGGAGGGTCCCTCACGATTGATCAGGCAAAGGATTTGAAGGCTCAAATCGATGCGACGCAGCAGTTAATGGCGGAAACGAGTCAGAATAGTGGTCGTACGAGGAGGCCCGAAACGCGCGCGCGACGATGTGGCGTCTGCGGCGAGCCTGGCCATAATGCTCGTACGTGTCAGAAAGTTGTATCTGCCTCTGAAGAAGAGGATTCCTCATAGTTTCAATTGATTTAAGGCGTTATGGTTAATTTGACTTATATATTATCATACGAGTGCGTAGAGGGTGGGCGGGTCGCTTGTGGATTACGTTAATTTTATTTTTGAATTTATTTTATTTTTAATTTATTTTTGTTTTTATTTTATTTTATTTTCTATTTATTTTTATTTTTCATTTATTGTTCTTTTTTAGTCGAGCCGTGCATCCTTACGGCCACGTATAGACGCATCGCCTATATTACCCGAGTTACGAGGCGGTCCAGATTCTACGGAAGAGAGGGGTAGTCTAAGCCCAAGTATTTCGTGATCTGATGTCTATTTCCGTGAAGCTGACTCGACGAAGATGCAGTTCTGCTAATGGCGCATGTTACGGAGTCAATTAACGCTTGATCCTCTGAGTTTCCTGAACCAGACTCCGAGCCCACGGCTGGCTCATCTGAATGTTAGCGATATTCAAAGTAGGCTCTGGGTTTCCATAGCCGGAGAGATTACTCTACGAAGCTGCACCCCCTGCCATCGGCGAATACAATTAAGTTCGTTTGAACTTGATTTTTCGAGTCTCCCAGACTAGCCTCTGAGCCCATCACTGGCTCATCGAAATATTTGCGGTGAGTTCTCTCAAGCCCCATGCCATCACTATAGATAAACAGATATAAAATAGGAAGATCGACATCTCCACTGTAGGCGCCCAGTACAGCAAATACCCTGCGCCAGACATCGCAAAGACAACGCGATGTTTCTCGAGAAATGTTGTGGCGCGGGGCGCAAAGATCGACACTATGGGAAGGTGGCAGTAGACCAGCAAGAAAATAAAAATGGATGACGGAGACAACTCTCTCCGTATCACCTCATTGCACATGTGTAGTAATGGCCTCAGTTGGTCATTGACCTCCATGTACTGCGAAAGGTTGTACAAGAGCGAGGCGTATGCACCGATCAGGACGAGTGAGCTCAGTCGGATACTAAGCCGTGGAAGAGCTTCGATTTGATGCAAGAGCATCCCCAGAAATACCCCGTCGGCAGCTGGTAATAGCTCAGGAAAGTCGAAAAGGCCAAAGACATGCAAGAGCCAGCCGATCCCAAACCAGAGCCTGAGGCTGTCGTACAGGAAGGCCATCATACGTAGCGTGGTTGCGGGAAGCATTCGAATTACTCCCTCAGAGAATGTCGCCAGCCCTGCGACGTGGCGCATCGGGTGAAAAGTATTATGCCGGAGGAACCCAACTCTCAGGCCAGCCCATAGGTGGCCAAACCGTGACGGACCATGGCGGATATCGATGACAAGAAGAGACTGACCCGCAACGTCCTCGACTGTGAGCTCAGCGGAGACCAGGCCAACAGACGTTGCGACAAAGTCAGGTTTCTCTCTCATAATGTCATCTAGATATTCGCCCCGTTCAAAGTCCGGTGCCACATTGTCGGAAAGTGACATGCTGATGCTGGAGAAGTGCCGCATGGGCGTAGCTCTGAACAAGACGAAGAACTTGGGGAGGTACACAGGCAGAGGACGGTCTGCATACGGCCCACGGGTCACCAGGAGGGAAACCTTGGTTCCATCTTGTGCCTGCATTGAGAACCCGAGCTGCACCTTCCGATCACGACTCCAGGGCCAAGCCCGATTGGCTTCTACAAACCTTTTGGCGCCCACGCTGCTGTCTTGGCCTGGGAGGCCCAGGACGACGAAACCATCAGGCACAGAGCGCATCCAGACGTCGCATTGGGGGCTTGACGATCTGAACCGTCCGTTGGTGGGTGTTGAACCACCATGGGTAGCCAGGACAAGGTCCTGTTGCGGCCACTGATGCCATTTCTGAGGCGAGATGAGGACAAGCTCGCTTGACCCCCTGCGAACCGTACCGTCGCCATGCATGATGATCGGGACCGCCGTCAAGAGGAGCGGGTTGTGCCGACGAAAGCATGGAATGAGTAGATATGGGTGTCGATTGAGGCTAAGTGCTCTTGACACCGGGAGCCTCATCTGCAGGCCCTGTGGGATCAGAGCCCAGTTCAGATCAGGGCTGTGACGTGCCACCAGATTCCCGCAACCAACGAAATGCTTCGCACTCGGAGCCAGGAAGCCAACGCTAGGCGGAAGGGACTCGCCGTCGAATGCCCAGCTGCGCGACCATGGATGATTCATCATCACAACGTACCTGACGGCATCCACGAGCTTTGAAGAACCAGGCGACTCGATAGGCATCAGCGGGCCATCACCAGACGGCAGATTCCATGCGAGCAAGGTTGGATCAAAGGAGCGGCGCAATATCTCCTCCTGCAGCCTGAGGAAGGCATTTCCGCCCTCGCCGTAGATAAGAGGGATATTGACGCCAAATAGTCCGAGAAGACAGTACGCCTTGTCCTCCTCTCGAGTTGTGTCACGGAGAGCGGCCCAGCTCATCCTCTCAGCCATGTTTGCTCGAAACAGGAGAGACTGCCGTGAGCCGCATGAGAGATCGTCAAGCAGATAGACTTGGGCAATAGTGGTTGCAAGGCTGAGCTGCGGGGCAAGCTCGTGCCGGGTTGCGATGTAGGTCCAGTCTGCCGCGTAAAACTCGACACGCTTAGGGGCCAGAAGCTCCTGCAGCGTAAAGCCGCGCTTCAGCCATCGCGAGCCCTCGATTGAAGTGGTCGAAGGGTCCCACGGGTCAGGCTCGACATCGGCCAGGAACGCATAGCAGACTAAGGCCTTGGCGTACCATTCAAACATGGAGTTGATGGCTTCGGTCAGCTCGGCGCTGCTCGTCTTATCGATACAGCAAGTGTCGACCCAGGTGTACTTGATGCCCTGCTTCAACGATTGTGCACAAGCAGCAGCAATCTTGGCGTATCCTTTGCGGCCAGCGCCGTGGCCGGGCCGCTCAAACTCTTGGAGGGTCAGCTCCTCGTCTAACCAGGTGTGAGACAAGATGGAGTACGGTGGGATGTTGTCTCCAAGGTAAGTCTCGAGGCGAAGAGACTTCGCGTTGATGAGCCGCATCGTGAGTGGGCGGTGTTGTGTTGTCGAGCTGGCGGCAGAGCGGTTGGAGCACAAGGGACAGGGGTGAAGGAGGGAGCTGGTTCACATTCCCCAGCTGACCACAGGTCTCCCACCTTCTTGATCTATGGCAAGGCCGCGAAGCATGTAGGTGGGCCAAGGTAAGGGTACCCGGCAATTGTTGGCTGACGGGAAAGAGGGGCCTGTCAGCCTCTGGAGGCTTCCAGGGCTTCCATAGTACAGTAGACGGGATGGTTGTCAGAGTGTATCATTTACCAATCCTGACATTAAAACCTACAACAAACTCGACACAAAGAAAGTCATCTTCATGCACAAGGGCCTCTAGGAACTCATTCCAATCGAACGAGATCAGCAAAATGCCAAAACAAGCGCTCTTCTCCATGATTATGCCCCCGGCTGTCAAACAAGCACACGACTCTCCCCATTCCCAACGACAACCTCCTCCGGAACCTTGAGCTCAGCCTCGGCCCCATAAACAACCCCGTCGCCTCCCTTTCCCGACCTCAGCTGCTCAACCCCCCACTCCAGCGTCTTTGGGTCATCTCTGAGGCTGTATGACAGCAAGCCCCCATATAAGAGGTCCCCCTCCGGCAAGTCCCCGTTGTGCACGTAATACTTGATCCCGTCTTGAAACGCCTGTGCCATGCAGAGCACCTCCGTCACGCCGCACAGCGTGCGCATGCCAAGCGAGTACGAGTCCTTGAAGGGCCCCAGGTAAGCCAGAACTCTGGGCGGAAGCGGCGGCCTCGCCAGAGCTCCGTTCGCGACATCGCCGCCGGTGGCAGAATTGTCCGGTGAGGGAGCAGGCGTCAGGAGGGCAGTCAGCGCCGGCTCCCCGGAATAGACGCCGTGAGGCGCAAGGATGATGGCCTCGCCCTGCTGCTGCTGCTCTGTGCCAGAACCAGGGGCAGAAGCCGCACCACCACTCGCAGTCACGAGCGCAATGGCGAAATTGTTGAACGCGTCAACCTTGAGGGAGAGGATGGTCAGCCATTCCGGCATCGGCGCCCCCGAGTTGGCTGAGCTCCAGGTCCCCTTCGTGCTGGTCCCTGAATCATCATCATCATCATCATCATCGGCTGCGGGTGTTGACGGCACAAACGGCTCGAGAAACACAACCTTATCAAAGTAGTTCCACGCGCGGACGTTCTCATATGACAGCTTGGCCACGAACACAGGGATCGAAGGGGAGAACTGCGTCATGCTCGTGCGCATGGCGTGCTCGACGCCGCCGGTGACGACGAACGCGTCGACCAGCTGTTCTTTCTCCTTGGCAGTACTCATCTTTGCACCGCCAGCAGCAGCAGCAGCAGCAGCCTCGATCTCCCGAATCGCCTGCTCCACATCCTCCTTGTTCTTCATCGCGGGCGGAGTGGCCAGCGTCATGGCCAGCACGAACTTGTGCACAAAGATGGCCGGCTCGCCGAACCACGGGTCGACGACGACATGGTAGTATGCCTTGGTGCTGGGCGGGGAAGCGCCCGCTGGTCTTGGCACAGACACTATCCAGGCGACATTGCCGTTGATGGACGTGATGATCGGTCGCAGGACTGTGTCATCTTTATTGCTCGCCGGTTTCTTTTGTTGCTGCTGCGCAATGTGTTGTTGCCTGAGGAGCTCTGTCCTGTTCCGGGCCGGAATGGACCCCATTTGTGGCGTTTCGAAGTTTTTGTTTGGAGACGGGAGCTGGCTCGTCCCAGTCGATGTCTGGCAGGCTGTCTGGCGTGGCGCCAAAAAAGGGCAAGATCAATACAGTAGCGACCGCGAAGGATGATGATAAGTGCTGTCCTCGGAGGTGTATGCCTTCTAAATAGTCCTTGGACGGCGACTGGTTCCCAAGAGTAAGCCCGCTTTACACGAGAGCCAGCGCAGCAGCCTGGAAACCTAGCGTGCTTAAGTAGGAAACCTGCCAGTTGCAAAACCACTGAGACCTGTTGAATAGCCTGTCAACCAGCCCCACGGCATGTGCTCGAAACGGAGAATGAGTTTCCAACCTAAGCAGATCTTTGCTCCCCGACGAAGCGGTAGGCCTCTAGCCGCAAAGAGCCAAGCTTACGCCAAGGGCGACCCGACCGACTTTCTGCCTCTCCTAGAGAGAGGTCCACACCATCATCGCGTATTGTGGAGCAAGACAACGACAAATCGGGAGGTTTTCGCGCGCGCGATAGATGGGTTTCAATTGGCTCGGTGCTTGGCAGCAGCCCCTGGCTTGTCTTGTCAGAAATTAGCGATTGAAATGCGCCAGTTATGCCCCTTCATACACGTCGTGGTAAAGAAAATGACAAACCTCGAGAAGAACCCGGCAGCAGAGCCGCCCCTTCTTCCCATCTTGAGGGTGTGTGAATCTTCTTGGACGGTCTCACATCAGACTGCACTTTTCTGATTCAACAAAAACCGAAGCGGGTCACCAGCCCAGCGCCGAGGAATCATAGAGCGTATAACTCCCCTCCTTCCCTCCCCATTCTTAAGATCGGGTGGCAAGTCTACCAGTACGAGACAGACACCAAAATCCATGATCATCTGCCCAAAGCCCCCTCCGCATTCACGGATTCGAGTCTCCTCCCACTTTCGAGATCTGACTTTGACAATGGACGACAAGGATGACGGGTGGTAAAAGTGGGCGACCGCGTTCCACTCATCAGGCCAAGCGAGCCACACCCCATTCACAACAAGGTCATCCTCTGACATTTCAATTCCAGTTTCCCGGGGCTCTGGGATCGGGCTGCGCGGCTTGGCAGTGGTGGAGGACAAGGGAGGCACGTGCATGCTTATTCGCCGCGACGTGCCGACCTCGCATTCAGTGGGGCTTGTGAGACGGGACGACGGCAATGTGTGCATGGGGCAGTGGGCAGGCTAAAGCCGGCAGGTAAGGTAAGACAGAGACATCGCCTATTAATCAGCATACATACTTTACCTACACACAGCACAAGCACTCACACCGACGAACCCGCTCGACAAGTCTGAGTCGACGACAAGATGCTGGTGATCCTCGTATCGGCGCGAGGTCTTCTGTTCCTGCGGGCAAAAGCTCAAATGATCATGCATACATACGCTGGAGAAGATAAAATGTCATTGCTGGGATATGATGCCGAGGCCACCTGGTAATAAAACGCCTATGTGCCATGTCGCTTGTGTATCCCTGTTCCCTAACGCCTGCGTCGAGTCCTGCCTCCCGACAACAAAAGGAGTACTCATGTCAAACAAAGCACACGAGAACCATGTCACATGGCCCCCCAATAAGCTAGAGGAATATTCCCACCCATGCCGACTTGTTGCCAACCTCCTCCCCGCACCCCTCCACTGCGCAGTACGTCTTCTTGCCGAGTCGCCCGTCAGACGACAGCGGCCGGTCGAATCCCGTGTAGTGCGGACCGCGCGTGGACTGGCCGCGACCCTCGTAGCACTTCCTGCAGTACACCTGTATAGAGACCCAGGGCGTCAGTTCATGCACCAGACAGACAAACATTCACAAAGACGAAATTGAATCACTCACGTGACCACACCCCTTGACGGCAAAAAAGTGATGCTCGGCCTTGTCCCGTCGTGTTCGCGCCTTCTTGGCTGGCGGGCCAGAGGCGTCGGCCGCATCGTCGCCGTCCGGGTCATACGCTAGCTCTTCCTCGCAGCTCGGACACATGGCCACAACTTCCTCTCCCGTGTCGCGCGTAAAGCCTTCCCGCGCCGCCTTGGGAGGCTCGTGTTTGGGCTTTGGTGTCGCCGGCGGGCCGTGCCGGTTGTGGAACGGTGTGGCGGTGTAGTTCAAATCAATAGTGCCGAATCCTGGTATGTTGAGACCATTCAAGGCCCCGAACCCGTGCCGGTGCATTGGGTGGGGGTGGGGGTGAAGATTTCGCTGTCCCATAAAGGCAATGTCTTCTGAGGCGTCGGGCGGCCGGTGTTGGTGTGTCCGTCGCGACATGAAAGTTCCAAACACTGGTGCAAACAAGCTGTGCATATTAGGCAGCCCCCATGCTCGAGGCTCGACCGGCGCGGGACGTGACGCAGCTGCCCGTGGCGGGTTATGCCTCCTGCTTCCTGGTGGTCTCGTGCCAGCGTTGACCGTGGGGCCAGTCGCGGACGCCTCGTCCTCCGAGTCTGAGACGAGATTGATGACATTCGGGTCGTCGTTGACATATCTAGTGTCGCTACGAGTAAGATTTGGTGGAGGCACGCTCCGTTGGGCAGACCGGCGCGTGTTTGTCCGTGGGGGCCGCACTGGAGCAGCAGGTCGTGGGAAAGGAAGCATAGGCTGTGGGGGGTCCGTGTCGTCGAGAGTCAGGTCGATGACCTCTGCTGGTACCGAGGGTCCTTGGGATGGCTGTTGGCTACGCCGCGAGCGTGACGCGCGGTTGCTGCTGTTGCCACCACCAGAACCACCGATCTCCATCCTCACGAGTTCGTCACGGTCCCGATTTGACCGATCCATGTTCGCGGCAGTGGTGCGGTTGTTTTGTGTGGCGATATTGTGGAGGTGCACGTTGTTTTGGTGGAACTGGATGAGCTGGTCGCGGATGGATCCTTCCCTCGGATCACGGAACAATGATTCGGCGCCAAACACGGCGGCCGCCTCGAGGATCTCGCGGAGTGGGGTGCTGTTGTGGCTGTGGCCTGGCGGATGTGGTGAGTTGCCGGTTGCAAACGAGCTGAGAATGTCGAACGCGTCGAGGTCGTGCTGGCCGAGGAAGTCGTCCTCGTCAAAATAGTGACGGTTGTCTGCGTGGTGTTGATCGTGATCGTGGTCGTGGTCGTCTACGAAGAGGCTGTCTTCTTCGCCCTCGTCTTCTGCGTACTGGGCGTGGTCCGAGTCGAGGCCAGGGAAACCATGCCCGTGGTGGTGATGGTGGTGGTAGTGGTGGTGCAGATGCTCGCGCTGCCTCAACCACGCCTCGGCGTCAAAGTCGGAGTCGTAGAAAGGGCCAAAGTCGTCTGGGTCTTCGAAGCCGGTGTCAAAGTCGACCTCGTTGAAGAGGTCGTCGTCCAGGTCCGTGTACCCGGCTTCTGATCCGCTGGCCCTGCCGTCCTGATTGCTGCCCGATTCCGATGATTCCTCTTCGTCCTCGTCCTCGTCTTCGTCCTCTTCTTCTGAGGCCTCAATCACCGTCTCGTCCTGCTCACCCTCGTCGTGTGAACTGATGTGGATGTCTGCCGGGCCTGTGCGGCTGTATAGGGAATCTGAAACGGAAGAAGTGTCGACACCAGCATCCGAGCCTCCAGATTCAGACATAATGAGTCGAGCTGCTCTTTTGCTGGCGCGAAGTTGCGGCGCTGCGGAGGGCAGCGGCTGCCTCGCTCAGGGCTTTCTCCTCCTTGTATGGGGCGAACGCAAGGGGCTGGCGCGCGATGCCTGGTTTGTTCGTCACGTATCTTCACGTGTTTTTCCTCGGTCGTGACTGCCTGAAAGATTTATCACACTATCTCCGCGTGGTTGACGCAGGCAAAGACACCGGCTAGGCGGCTTTTTGCGGCTGGGTCCAGCTGAAAATATAGGATTGACGCGGCGGCTAGAGTGGCGACATGCCTGGGCACGCGGCTGTCTGGTAGGCGAGGAGCGAGATGCACCTGCTCGACGCGAGAAGGCAGCAGATGGAGGCGTCGGGTGTCTGGCACGCACAAGCTCGCGTCGGTGGCTGTGCTGCAAGTCGGAGGAGCGCTTGGGACTCGTTTCTATGGTGAACGAGATGCAGAACGTAGGAGCAAAAGAGGGCGGGGCAGCAGCGCAGTGCGAGGCCGACGCGGGTGTTCGCTGTCGGCAGTCCTGATATCGTGGTCGTCGTGGGTTGGTTGGCAATGTCGCTTGGTCAAGCGCGGGCGCTGCCGGCGGCTGCGGTCGTGGCAAAGAAGTGCGAGGAAGCAAGAGGCTGTTCTTGTCGGAGACCAAGCTCCAGTCTCAAAGCACGACGTCAGGGCAAAAGCGTCGGTTGTTGTGGTGTGGACCCTGGGCGAGGCCGGCGTTAACGCTTGTCGCTGGGGGGGGCCGAGGACATCAGTGGCGAGATGGCAAATCACGCCTGGGGAAGTCGTCACGCCAGCGCTTAATCAGCATATGCCTCGTCTCAAATCACCCAGCAACACCCACGGACGCGTCAATTGATGCTCTAGAGCCGCGAGCAATGTGCTCATCCCGTGGTATCTGTCATTCTCTTTTTTATGTTCCTCGCACAAAATCAAAGCTGAGCTATCCACGATAATATGCAATGGCTGGACTCGCCGGCCACTAGAATATCGCCCTGTCCTTTGTAAACCTCGTCCCTCGCGCATCCCTGATCATTATTCCTGGGCTGCCGCGAGGATGCTGACGACGCCTTCGCCGTTGACGGCAATCAGCTTCTCGGCGTTGGCACCCCACTGCACGTCTACCGCACCGCCCGCCACCGCCGCCCGCAGCGGCTCCGTCCACTTCTTGGACGACTTGTTGTACTGCTGCACCGTGACCTCGCCCGCCCCCGCCGTTGCCAGGAACTGCTGCGAGTAGTCCCACGCCAGCGCGTGCACGGCAGACCCAATGTCGAGCACCTTGGCCTGGGCCGCCGCGCCCTCCTTGCGCAGGTCAAAGATGGTCACCGTCGTCTGGCCCTTGGCCGTGGCCGCGAACCAGTACCCGTTCTCGGAGAACGCAATGGCCTGCACTGGCGCGCCCAGCGAGAACGATGCCGCCTCCTCGCCCGTCTTGGCCATGTACAGCTTGATGTCGCCAGCGCTGGTGCCAGCCGCGAACAGCTCGCCGTCAGGGTGGAAGGCACATGTCGAGAGAGCTAGATATGCAGTGTTAGTGGATGTGTGGTTCGAGGCATATCAAACATTCCCGACAAGAGGGGAGAAAACTCACAGGAGCTGGTGTAGACGCGCGTAGCCCGCTGCAGATTGACCAGATCGTAGAAGATGAAGCCCTTGTCAGACCCAACAGACGCCAGAATCTCGTTGCTGGGGTGCAGCGCCAGAGCAGTGACCGGCCCAGCGTGGTCAGAAAAGGAGGCAACCTCGCTGCCGCTGTCGTAGACCTTGACGGAGCCCTTGGCGGTGGCGACAATGACCTTTGAGCCTGTCCATATCGAGTCGGTGACGGGCTCGTTGACCTGTAATGACCGCTCCGCCTTGTCGGCCGCGATCGAGTAGATGGCGACGTTGCCCGCGAGGCCTCCGATGGCGGCGTACTCGCCCTCGAGAGCAACCGTGGTGGCTTGTGGCACGTCGATAGAGTTGGATGTGGAGACGGTGAACGACGAGACGTCGTCAGCGGTGGCCCAGCCGTCGGGGACTGGCCTGCGCTTGCGGCTCTTGGAAAGTCTGCATTGAGAGGACGTTAGCATGTCATTACCTCAGTTTAATGCTAGGCGGCCCAACTTACGTGGCTTTCGTCTCGTCAATCTTGGCAGCAAGCTCCTCAGGCAGCGCCTCGGCATCAACCGCCATTGCGTCGCCGCCAGCAGCAGCACCACCGCCAGCCGACACCGTCACCCGCGACAGAGCATCGCGCGCCTCGTCCCGCTCCTTGGTTAGGCGCGCGATCACGCGCACGGCAGCATCATGCTGGTACAAGGCGGTGGCGAGCTCCTCGCGCGTGCGGGTGAGCTGCTCCTTGATGTTGAATGTCTCGAGGGCGAGCGCGTCCCACTCGTTCTGGAAGGTCGAGAGGAGCGCCGGTATGGAGGTGAGGGTCGGCGGCCGGGGCCTGACGATGCGCGGCGTCTTGAGCACGAGCAGGTCGTCGGTTGTGAGGTCGTCGTTGGAGACGGGGTCCTTGCCGTTCTCCTCGATGTACTTCTCGATCAATCGCTTCTCAAAAACGGCGCCTGGGCAGACATATCGTCAGAACGAGGGCTGCTTGTAGTCACACTTGGGGACTTTTGACATACCGGAAAGCTTGGAGACGACGGGCTCCTGGGGAGGCTCGCCCGAAACTGCAGAGGCGGGAAAACACGGTCAGCAATCGACCACACTCATCTATGCTGGCCTCGCGAGGAAAGAGGGGGAACATACTAGCGCACAACATCTTGAAATATGTGCGGTGTGGTGGGACGGCGCGGTGGGTGGAATGAGGTTTGGCCGGGTTGAAGGCTGCAGGATCGCGACCTCTGGCTGGTGCTGGCGGGTTTCCAAAGTTTACCGTGCAGCCAGCGAACTGGAGCTTCAGCCTTGCAGCAGCTTTGCGACGCAGCCAGCGCACGCACCCGCAGCCTTGCTGACAACGACTGGGCCTGGAACTGTGCTAGAAGGGCCAGGGCTCCGGCAGGCAGGTGCCAGGTAGGCGCGGCCGGGGCCGGGGCTGCTGCTCCACCGCGTCCCGCTCCGCCCCGCCCCCGTCCCCCGTTCGTTATCTTGAATCCCCGGCTGCCTTCCGGGCTGGTCTTGTTCTCACAAGTTGGTTAAAACCCAGAAGAGGTCGCTTTTCGTAGTTGCTGTTCCATCAATTGCGTCAAAGCCATATCAAAACCTTCGCCCTAGCACGCAGCATACGCCACCCACAAGTCTGACCTTGTTCAACAACACCAGCCATGGCAGACATCAGCCTCCCGCCAATCTCCAGCCTCCCCACGGCACCAGACGAGACCATCATCGCAATGCTGGACCTCCTCTTCGAGCCATCGCCCGAGATTCACCGCCTCGCGATCCCAGCAGTCCGCGGCCAGCAACAGCAGCAGCAGCAGCAGCAGCCTCCGTCCCGGGTCCCCGCAAACCCAGGCCTCACCGCAGAAATGGGCAACACCTCCACGCCCTTCAGCCAGTCCTCCACCACCACCGGCCCATACAGCGCCAGCAGCAGCGGGGGAGGCAAGACGCCATTCAAAGCAACCACCATCCCTTCCCCCGCTGTTGGCACCGTGACGTCCCAAGCCCAACCAAGCGGCGCGGGGTATTACTCGAGTTACCCCGAGCTCATCCGTTCCATAGGCAGCCTGATGCTCGAGCTGGTCGACATATCCGCCGCTCAGAGCGACATCGATGAATCCTCTTCATCAGCAGCAGCAGCAGCCACCACCTTCACCGCCACAGACAACAGCAGAGAGCCAGGACCGCGAGCAAAACTGCACAGCATCCTCGGCTCCCACCCCCGCCTCGGCGCAAAAAAAGTCGACAGCGCGCTCAGCCGCGCCGAGCAGGCCCAGCTGCAACAAGCCCCGCCACCATCATCATCATCATCATCATCATCATCACCACAGCAAGACGGCAAAGAGACAGAAGCCCAGGCCCTCGCGCGCCTCAACGCCCTCTACGAGTCCACCTTCCCGGGCCTGCGGTACGTCGTCTTCGTCAACGGCCGCGGCCGCGACGTCATCATGCAGGACATGCAGCGCCGCATCGCGCGGGGCGACATCCGCGCCGAGGAGCGGGCCGGGGTCGAGGCCATGATTGATATTGCGCTGGATCGCGCGGGCAAGATCCTGGCCTAGCTGCTTTGTGCTGGTGCTGGTGCTGGTGGGGAGGCCGGTGGTCATGAGCACGTCTGGAGGGAGGTATTCAGCAAGCGGAAGGACCAACAAGTATGATTACCTTCAGGTCACTTGGGCCACGTGGTTGGTCGAATCTAAGCAGGTAGAGGGCGAGACGGGGGGGTTGTTGTGAGGGACAGTCACCAGGCAGGGAACGGTAAGGGTGAACTCGTTCAGAGCACGCCACCAGCAAGGATCAAAATCATTCCCGGACCACAAAAAATGATTTCTTGTATGCTCCTATGAAACATGCTCATATTTTTTTTCTTGTGCCAACCAGATTTTCCCTATTTATGACCAAGTTAATGCAGTTACTTTTGATGTGCCGTGTATGCAAGACCCTAAATATGCTGGTGGGTGTACAAGAATTACAAGTGGGATGGCGAGCCGACAATCCGTGGCTCCTTGGGCACAAATGGTCTCATGGGCGCCCAACGACGCCCGAAGACAGTGCGGGCTGCCTAAAGACCGGCGCGCCGTTTACTATGTAACAGGCTCAACCTGGAAGATCACGACATCCATGGTATGCCGTCCAGCTCGTCCAAGTACTCCTCATAGAAGTGCTCCGATCCATCCGGTGAGCGAGTGCCGTCAGACACCCCGTCCTCTTGGTCCTGCGAAGATCGAGAACCAAAGATGGCACTGAAGTCCGCATAGACGTCGTCCATGTCGTCGTCGGACAGATCGGCATAGCGCGGATCGACGTCCGAAGCCGGGAACGCCATGCCATATTCGTCATCGCCATCGTCCTGCGACAGTGGCTGAGAGCTCCTTGGCGACGAGTGCGCCGATGATGTTGTAGACAAGCTGGGCATGGCTGGGGACGAAGACGTGGTTGGCTGGCTTCCACAAGATTCCGATGTCCTAGGGCAGACTTGACTTGGGTGACTCGGGGCAGGCCCCGCTGGCACTGGCGCCATCGCGGTGATGGTCGCATGCCCCGGGCCAATGGTCGTATGCGGGCGCCAGCCCACCGGAAGTCGCAGGTGACCCGGCATGCCTTCACTCACGGGGTATCGTGTTCCAATTGTGACGACAGTCGGTGCAGTCACCACTTGGTGGCCATGGTTGAGGAATGTGTTGCGAGCTGCAAGGCCCGCCATCTCTGCATGCCCCCGAGCAATGGCAGCCTGCCGAGCTCGTAACCTGACGCTGTTGAGGATAGCAGCCTTGCGGACCATCGAGGACTCGTGCCCGGCCCGCTTCGCCCCAATGGCTGCGGCTTTGAGGAAGCGTGAGATGCATGGGGAGTCGTCATCGTCGCTCTCCCGGTTGAGAATGTGCGTCGCCGGCAGCGAAAATGGCTGCGACAGCCTGCTGGTGATCAATTGAAGTCGAAGACGCCGCTTCTTGCACGAGAACTCGCTGGTGCCAGGGCCATCCACATCATGCAATGCTCGCGCCCTCTTTGTTGGGATAGATGACGGTACATGACGCCTGCCCTTGACCACAATGGACTGGAATGGTTCCTGGTCAGGTAACACGGAGAAGACATAAGTAGACTCCACAGGAAGGTTGCTCTGAGCAGAGTCGACATGACCCTTCACTAGCCCATCTTGCTTTGACAGCACCCTAAAGCCCTCCGCACGAGTTGCATCTTTGTCGACAGTGACATCAGGGCGCTCCTGGCCGTCAGGCCCGGTCGGCGATGTTGGGCATGATTTGATGGCCCGAGCCAAGGCCTGTGTCGAGATGGCCAGCCGCCGAGGGGACCGTCTTAGATTCGACGGCAGCCTTCCCGACTCATGCCGTTGAGAGAGGTCGAGATCGTGTGGGCTGCATGTGAAGGCCAGGGCATCTGCTGAAGCCATTGGCGAGGTTGTATGGCCGATTCAGGAACGTCCCACTATCCCGGATCTTCGGGCAGCCTTCACACCAAATATGACACGGAGGCCCCCATTCGCCGAGGAAATAGCTGCTGTGCTGTGCTTTGCGAAATCATGCGAGATGGTGACCTGTTTGACTGAGGAGCAGTCCTCCGGGGAAGGTGGTATGCAGGAGTTGTGGTCCTGTAGACAAGCACGTGGCTCGCGCGAGGAAACGTGGGGTTGGGATCACGGAAGTTGGCGTATTTGGCGGGTGATTCCGAGATCCGGACACTTGGAATGGTTCCCACCGTCTTCTTCCCCACGATTAGACCGGAAGCCTAACCTGATATCCACTCCTTCGACAGACGCAGGTAGTGGAGAATCGAGTCTGGAATGGCAATTCGAGAGGAGGGCAAGTGGGCCGTGGGCAAGTCCTCGACAACCACCGCAATGCGTCAATCGGAACGTCTTTGCCGGCCGTCGAGCTGACGTGACAATGTTTTGTCGAGCCACGACTTGCGAGATGGAGAGAAAGACAGCGAGAGGAAGGAGAGAAGAGACAGAGAGACAGAGCCGCAGCACTGTCAGCAAAGTCCAGCGGGATCACGCGCCTCGGCAGCGGCGAAAACTAGGCAGTAGGAGGACGAAAGAAGGCTGAGGAGGACCCAGCAGGCCGGAAGAGCTGACTGACAGAGGAGGCGGAGAAGGAGGGTGCTCAGTAAGGTGAGCTGGCCCCTGCTGCGAAAAGGCTTCGAGGTCTTGTGACCATGGACATTGAGACGGCGCGAGTGGCTGCGCGGCAGGGGACATTGCCTGGCGAGAATCTGGGGGACTTTTCCCGAGTGACAGCCTTAGCTGATTGGGGCGATCCACCACGGGAGCTTGGGTTAGCTCGATTGTGCTGGGGCACATCGACGGCGCTAGTGAGGGAAACAATGCTGGTGGCGGTCGAGAAATATGGAGAGCGGCCAGGCTGGGACACCGAAGACTCAGAATGTGGCCACGCAGGCGAGGACGCGCGGAGAAGGGCGAGCGAGGGGCTAGACAGAGGGAGGAGCCCTGGAGGGCGGAGGCGGCCGCGACCAGACCCTGTTGTGTTGCCCGTTGGAGCGGCACTACTGCGCCCAGGCAGGAAAAAGCTGGTCAGCACAGCGCCGCAACGGGCAAACGAAAAGGCAACCCTTTTGCGGGGAACACACCAGCAAAGAGGACGCGCATGACATGCAAGGCAGAGGACCCATGCTGCGAGCGTGCGTACCCCAGACTCGCAGGCATGCTTGTGCGCCTGGGCACGAGGGCCAGCATCGGCCAGCGTCGGGGCGGCCAGGGTGCCGGAGATCTCGAGGGCCCAGGCGACCAGGGTTGCGCACAATGCGGCTGCAAAAGGCCTTGCTTGGCCTCGAGGGGGCCTGTCTGTGCGGTGCTGACTGGGTGCGTCTTCAGATGGTGGTGGGCGGGCAGGGCTTCTCTCCTTCCAGCCCTTTCTCCTGCCCTGCGATGCCACAGCCAGTCTCACACCCGCCACGAGGTACAACCGCACCGCCACAGAATGGTTGTCGCGGGATATTTGTCGCATCTGTGAGCTCATGCGGCGATGATCAGCGGCTAAGTGGGTGCTGCAGGTGAGCAAGGGGCCTTTTGTCCCTTCGTCTTTGCGGTCGCCGTGGTGGCTGTTGGTCTTTTTTTTCGTGCCCTCGCACAGCTGCCAAGTTGCGACGCGACATGCGAGTGGGCGGCAGTGACAATGCTCGGTGGCCGATCATGTCTAGCCAAGGCCCGTACATGGAGCCCCCCTGGCGTCCTGGGATTCTTTACAGTGCTGCTCTTGTTGGTTGGTCGTCGAGTGGGTGGCCGTATGCCAAGCCAGGGTGAGGCGGAGTCCTGTCCGTGCTGTTCTGGCAAACATGCGATCCTGTTGATGGCGACTCAGCTGGGCGACCTTGGGCCCGCACGAGACAGCCTTCGCACGCGTTCAAATCGCTTGCTGCGTGTCCGGAGGAGCTGATCGTCGTTGATATTCTGTGGTGGCGAAAAGCAGTCATGGAGGTTACACGACCGGTCGGACCTGGCCGGACCTCGCGCAGTGCCGGAGCGTGCGTATCGATGTGCGGCCAGAAACCTTGGTGCCATTACCATGACGCTTCCTCGGCTTTCAAGGTTGTTTTTGCATTGCCACTTCAGCTGTTGATTCCGGGAAGGAGCGAGCGGACGGCAACCATCATCACCTGCCGGCCCCGCCAACCAGTGGCAGGTGTGCGTTGGGTGTGTCTGGATGATGAACCAGTCGCAATAAGATTCTGCTGGACTTGGCTGAGATCGTGGTCATGATGCGTTCAACGCTGATCCCGTGGTTGCATATTGCCCATACGCTGACAATTCTGCCTGCTCAAGTCGCGGGGTCAACGACCACGCCGGATCTGATACGGTGAACGCTGTCCTTCAGATACCGCTCGCTCGTTGTTATGGCCTTGCACCTACCCATCGGGCCAGGTCATAAATGCACTCGCTTTCAGTGCTTCCACTGATCACAAACCCCGCCAAAAAACGGGGGTGCAAAGCACTCTCAAACGCCACATCCAGGACATGAACCGGTTCGAACATGGTGGCTCGACAAGTTGCTCTGGATGGCACAGGAATAAGGCGCTACGAGCAACTCATATGAGACTTGGCCGAGCTGCCAACAACCACTCGTATGAAAGGCCAATCGATGGAAAAACAAAACTGGTTGAAGCTCCATGACTAGAGCCTTGAAATTACAACACTGATTACGCTAGGGATATGATGATGTGGTTGAAAATGCCAAAGAGCTGCCTGGTCCTCACTTTGTCTCCCCCTTAATATCCTCGGGACCTTCATACGAGCTGCCTTGAGCCACAGGTGTCGCCGAGGATGTCTCGGCCGTCTTCGTCGTCGGCGCCGGCGCCTCGGCCTCCTCGTGAGGCCCACTCTCGGTTTCCGTGGCGGCAGCGGGCTTCTCCTCTGCAGCCGGCGACCCGGATGTAGCGTCCGCTGCCGGTGCGCCGCTTGTCTCCGATATGCCTGCAGATGTCTCCTTGGGAGATGCGACGGCATCTGTCGCACCATCCGTGTTCTCGCCCTCGGGTGACGTTACTGTGATCCGCGGCGTATTGGGCCGATCCGTACCGCTTGGGCTCGCCGTGCCGTCTGCGGCACCCCCAAGTCCGGCAGAAGTGCTCGGTCGACTAGAGGGGAGCACGAAAGAGCCGCCAGTGGCATCGAGTTCGCTGAAAAACTGGTTGGCGCCCGGCGAGTCGAGCCGGAGCTTGTAGTCGGGCGCCTCGTGCACGATGTTTGGGGCGGGCATCTCTGCGGGCTCGAGATCCTCCTTTTCGTCATCATCCTTGCCGTCCGCTTTCCGAGCTGCGGCCGCAGTAGCAGCTGCTTTGCCTTCTCCCTCGGTAGAGACGTCTCCTTCCTCGCCTTGCGCTCCGTCGTCCTTCTTCTTGGACTTGTTGGCCGCTGCCTTTTTGCCCATGCGGAAGAACAAGAATCCCAATAGACCTAGCACCAGAATGCCACCAATAGCAGCACCGACACCAACACCGGCCTTGGCTCCGGTGCTGAGACCGCCCGTATTGTCATCCGAAGACCCAGAGTTCTGTCCGGCCGGGTTCGTCTGGCTGGAGCTTGGATCCGTCGATGTACTTGAGGGGCTGCCTGTGGTGGTGCCCGAGGTTGATGGAGCGGTGGTCGTGGCTGACGTGGCAGCCGAGGATGCGGATGAGGTTGGCTACGGGCACAGATTAGTATCGAGTCATGAAAAAGTCAAGTCGTGGGACGGGTGCTCAGGACGTACGCCACTGCCTTGGTCAATGCTGACAAAATTGCTGAAGCCGCGCGAGCCGTCGTTGGCCAGGGCCATGAAGGAGTAGGTGCCAACGGGGACGTCTTTGGGGGTCCAGGTGACCTCGTTTTGGTCGCTGGTACAAGCCTGGTCGAGCTTGTTGGTGATCCAGACGTCGCAAACCACGTCGTAGAGGGCGTAGATGTTGTTTGCGTCCTCGGTGCCGGAGACGAGAAAGACCTTTGCGGGCTTTGCGTTGGTGGTCCACTTGAGGGTGACGGGGGAGTTGAAGGCGAGCTTGGGACCGACGTTGCCGTTGAAGCTGATGGAAGCGGCCGCCAGAGGGAGGACCGCGAGGAGGGCGGCGACGTGCATGTTGGCGAGTGGGCGGCGAGCGCCTGGGACCGTGGGACCGGGTTGTTTCAATCCGCGGGAGTGCGTTGGAGAGGTCCGTGGCGGGTGGTGCGCGATGGACCGGATCTGCCGGAGAGCAGCTGTGTGAGGAGAAGAGGACAAACGAGAGTGGTTGAACGATGCAAGGAAAGGAAGCGAGAGACTAGCGGCCGGTGGTTGAGGGGCCGGAATGGAGGATGAGCATCGGGAGATGGAGGGAGTGGAAACATTCGAGACGAGAGGCGTGACAAAGCGCAAGAGGATCGGATTGCCCAGTGGTGGTGGTGGGTCCGCCTCTCTGTGACGTGGAGAAGATGCGCGCCTCGCTGCTTGCTACAGCTGCAACTCTCTTTTTTTTTTTCTTCTCAACTCATCAACGAATGTATCTCGGCCCTTCCTCCTGCGTGGACAGGTCTGGACGACGGCTCTTTGACTCGTGCCGAATCAACTGCTTCGAGTGCCAACTGGCCACGCAGTGCAACCACCCACAGCTCATGGGCCCTCGCCAAGCTTGCTGGCTCGCATCATCGACACCCGCTCCGGACATGGTGGCTTGACCCGAACGGTGACATCCCAGCAAGGCCGCCCTTGAACAATTTGCGCCGTTGACGCGTCCCGCCCCAGCCAGTCCTCCAATGTCGCCGCCCGCCGGTCTTCAGAGCACCCCATGTTGCTAGCTAGCTAGCTAGCTAGCTTGTTGCAGGAAACGCCAGGTGAAGAGAGGAACAGACCTCTCCGCGCCTGGGACAACCATGCTTGCTGGCTGCAGACCACCACCACCATCGTCATTGTGCGCTTTCCTTCCTGCCTGTCCAGGTCGGGACCCCTGCCTGGCAGCTGGCCAGAACGGGACAAGCGCCAAGTCGAGTGGCTTGTGCCCTCCAAACAAAACAATCTCGTGCCGCTCGAACACGAACTTTGCTGCCTGAGACAGCCCGCGTGCGCGTGCGGCACAGACAAAAAGGGCATTTCAGGTGTGCGGGTGGTGCCAGTTGCTCCCATCCTCATCTCCTGCCACATTCTCCTCCGGCCGCGCAGCACACTTGCACAAGCTCATCCGGATGCCAGCCAGCCTGGGGGTAAACTTTTCAAGGTGGGACCCTTGCCCGGCCGGTCCCCTGGCTAACCCGGGCTGACGTGCATCCATGCATAAAACGGGCAACTAATGCAGCGGCGGCGCCCTCTTCGCAGGTCTAATGTACTGTAATCAGCCTGCGGAAAGCAGTGTAGCCCACGGCTAGCTCGCCTGTCTCGCCTCAATCGGAGAAGCAGGCTTCCAAATCACGCTCGAAGGTAATTAATAGGCAGCAGCAAAAGGATTTCACAAGGGGCCAATTGCTCCCCTGTGCGCGCCAGGGAACCCGGCAATGAATGCCCCATGTGTGCTTCCCGTTCACGACATCCCGAACCCTGGGGCCTCCACCTGCCAATCCTTATTTAGCCAAGCGAGGTGCGTGCACTGTGCCGTGTTGAGCCTGATTGGAGGGACGGACGGGACAGGGAGACGTGACGTGGATGCACAAAAGCTTTGGATTCGAGTCTCACATTTCAACTGTTCCCGGTTGGGCCAACCGCTGTTAATCAATGTCAACTGGAACCAGGCCGCCTTGCTCAACAAACGGTTCGTTTTGATTTTTCGCATCTCGCGGTTGGGCTTATTGACACGAAACCCGGGAAGCTCTATCTATATCACTCTCACACCCGTCTCTCGCGCTCTCTATCTCTCTCTCTGTCCCTCAAACCGGCAGAATGAACTGCGGGCCCGAGTTGTCTGGAGATCCTGCGGCCACAACGTCACTGTACTTGACCGTCGCAAAGGGCGCAGCGCTCAGTACACCCGTGTCGGCACAGCGCGAGAACGCAGCAAGCGCACTATCAACACCCGTGACGTTGGCCACGGGCCCTTGGTTGGCCACAAACATGACCTCTCCTTGAGCATCGAAGCTGAAGTGCCGAGGGAAGACGCCCCCGCTCTGGACGAGCTGCTTGAACACCAGCTTGTTGCTGGCCGCGTCGAGCTTGAAGAAGACGATGCTGTCGCCCGTCGGGAGCCCCGTGCGCCGGTTCGACGCGTACACGTCCGTGGCCCCGACGACCTGCACCTCGCCCGCCGCGGCTCCGGCCGGGTCGATGGGCTGCGGCGTCCCCGCCGGGATGGTGGTCTGGCGGTCGACCTCGGCGAATGATATCCCCGCGGACGTGTAGGTGAGCTTGTACAGGATGAGCTCGTTGCTCAGCTCGGTGACGACGACATAGTGCGTGGCGGGGGCCCCGTCCGCGCCGCCGCCGCCGCCGATGAACTGGCCATGCCGGGGTCCCGTGCCGGCGCCGGTGGGGACCGTCGTCCCGACCAGCTCGTACTTGTCCGCCCGGGCATCGACCAGCACGACCTGGTCGCCGCCCAGGTCGGGCACCGCGAAGAACTGGCCCGTCGGGTCCAGCAGCACCTGGTGCGCGCGGTGAGACGTCTGCTGCGGGCCCAGGGCACCCGTCAGCTTGAGCGTCTTGATGAGCGTCAGGCTGCCGTCCGCGGCCTCGCTGTTCCACACGTCCACCTCGCCGTTCGAGTAACCCCCGCCGAGCAGGCGGGTCTTGTCGGCGTTGAAGGCCAGGCTGACGACGCCCGTGGACCCCGTGAACTTTGTGGGCGTGGCGCCCGGGGCGATGACCTTGTCCGCGAAGCCGAACAGGCGCAGGTCGTCCGCGTTCTCGTTGACTGCGTACAGCTGGTCGCTGTCCCCGCCGCGGGGCAGCATCCAGCTCGAGGCGGTGCCCGCTTCGGCGTACTTGCTCGTCAGGGTGAACTGCTTCCCGCTCAGGTCATAGGTCAGAATCTGGCCTGGCGCGCCGACCAGGAGTTTCTGCGAGACGGCTTGCGGGCTACTAGAGACCGGGGCCGCAGTGACCAGGGACGTCATCGTGGCCAGCACGGCGGCGGCGGCGAGGCTCGTGGTGCGAAGCATGGTCGCTAAGAGGGAAGGAACCGCTACCCCTTGTTCTGGAAGTGGTGCGTGTCGCTTAGGTAAGCAAGTGCTTTTGAGTCGTGGTTTCGTGAGTCGTATGTGGTTTCGGTGACGTGGGGAGTATGAGACCAGCAGCGGATCTGGCGTGTTTATGCGGTTCTTTTTATGTGCCACCAGTCGTGACTGCGACTATGATTCTCCCGAGTGTGTCTGCGTCGAGAGAAGAGCTTGGAGGTCCGCAGAGTGGCAAAGAAGCGCTTCAAAGCGTATCGGACGCGGGAAGGAAGTGCCTGGGGCGTGAATGTCTGCGTGCGTACGTATGCGTGAATATGCCTGCGTGTATATGCAAGTGGGAACAAAGACGTTGGAGCAAAGGCTGGACCCAAAAGGAGCAAGGAGAGGCTAAGTCAGGTATGAATCGAAAAGGCGAACAGAGAAGGAGCCAACACTGCGCGTGAATCGAGGAGAAGGACGGTGAGAATCAACAGACAATGCCGAGAGCAAAGAGCCCTTTGTACTCTCTGTCCTGTCCCATGCCATCTGGCGCGCAGCATTGTGGGATAAGGCGAGGCGGGGCGCAGGAGGACGGGCAGGATTACCGCTGATCCTCGCTCCTCCCTCCAGCTCTCCTCAGAAACAGAGTTTGGGGCGATGTATCCTTGTTTGGATTGACCCTCTTTCTCACCACCAACGTTTGCTTATTTGTTGGCCCGTTGTTGGTCCTGACGGGGCACTAAAAGAATCCATATCTCCCCCATGCGCGCCTCGAGGACGGAGGCTGTGCTGGGGGGGGGGGGGGGGGGGAGGAAACAATTGGCCCTCATGCCTCCCGCTCCCCATCTCAGGAACGGGGACCTGCATAAGCACAAACACATAACATGCATGCCTGTGTGGCGAGGAGGATGGGGAGGCACAGTACAGCGCAGCAAAGGAAGCAAAGCATAACCAAGCAAACCTTCCGAAACGAAACGACTCGAAAGGGGCCAACCTGCGGCCCTGCCGAGCCTGCCTGCCTGCCTGCCTGCCTGCCTGCCTGCCTGCCTGCCTGCCTGCCTGCCAGCGAGCTTCAGGAGGATCGGCGCAGGATTGCAGCCGGGGGTCCTAGTCTCGTCCCATTGAAAGAGGAGACTGAGAAGCGGAGGGCTCCGTCCTGTATGTAGGCGCGCGTGGAGGAGTGAAATGGGAACTGCGGATCAATACCCGTGCTATTATGAGGGACACGGCTATTCCGGAGTCGAGGTTGGTTGGACGTCAGACACCAGGTTGGCTGCCCGGCAGTGCAGGGCGTGGCGTGTTGGTTTGATCGCGGAGGGCGGCTCAGAGCTGCAAGGCCCCGTGGCTCAGGCTGGAGCTAAATTTAGGGTCATGCCCAGCACCAGCTCCGCCCACACCTGGGTCATCGTGGATGGACAACGGCACTCTCCTTTAAGTGCACTCTCGACTAGCTGCCACGTCTTTGACTTCATATTATGGTATTAAGTAGCGTACGTATGTATGAGTTTGTCCGAGCACATCATCCCATGCGGGGGGACAGCTCGCGTCAAAGGGAACGTCGGGTGTGCAAAACCATGATCGAAACGCATAGAAACAAAATCCAGAATCCATAAGGTACACAACGCTGTTTTTTCTCCATGCTGTCCAAAATTCCCCGCGGCTGGTCTCGTTTCATTTTGCTCTGTATGCAAGCGACTATGTACTAACACCTCAAACACAAGCCGCCAGCCTTACAAAAGCAGAGCAACCGACAGGGCCAGAATGGCACCAAACATGCTAGCGCCAACAAACACGTCCTGCTTAGAAGCACCGCTGGTACCGCCGTTGCCGTTGCCGTTCATGGCCGCCTGGCAGTTCTGAGTAAAGCCCGTAGCAGTACACTGGGGCGCGACGTCGGTGCCCGCAGGGTTGCCGCCACTGGTGCCGCTGCCGCCGTTGTCGTTGACCGGGGCCTGGCCGTTGGTGCCAGGACCACCACCACTCAGACCAGGGATGAGTTCCTGGGTGGGCGAGTTGGACGCAGAGCCTCCGCTGTTGGGATAGTCGGCATTCATGTCGAGACCAGTGGCCAGCAGAGACTTGATGATGGTGCCGGCATCGCCATCGACGACGGTGTCCTCGGTGGCCTTGGCGTCCTTGTAGACGTAGCTGGTGTGCAGGTTCGAGCCGGGCGGGCTCTTGGCGCCAAAGCACTCGATGGTGATCTCGCCGACCGACGCGTAGTAGTAGCCGTTCTCCTTGATCTGTTGGCTGTCCCACTGGATGGGGCCACCAGCCCAGTCAATGGTACCCTGGGCGTTGGTGTCGGCACCACCAGGCCACAAGGAAAGCTGGACACGGGAGGGTGTCTGGGGGTAGTCGTAGCGGTTGGCCGTCTTGTTCCAGGTGTCCTTCTTGAGCTGGGTGCGGCCCACTTTGCCGTCGACGAGCCACTCAATCTTGTCCGGGGTCCAGTTGATCTCGTAGTCGTGCCAGTTCGCGTTGGTGTCGGAGGCACCCGTAATGTTTCCGGAGTGAGTGTCTATGGGTAAGAAAAAGGTTAGTCACGGGACATGAGCAATAGCCGCTTGCTGGGACATCGTGGACAGAGAGACTGACAATCGGGAATGCCCTGGTAGTAGTAATTTGTCTGCGAGGTGGTCAGGTCGACACCGACCCACTCGTAATCGATCTCGTCCTTGACGTCGCTCATGAGAATGAAGGCAGTGACGACACCCGCACCGATGCCGGTCTTCATGCGGGCCTTGACGCGGCCGTACCACATGTAGACGGTGGAGGCAAGGACAGTGCCGACGCTGCGAGGCGGCATGGTGAGCAGGACGTGGCCGTTGTAGGCAATGGGAGAGCCTTGGGCGACCCAGTCGGCCTTGGAGGCATCACCGAGGTACTTTGAGACGTCCACGATGCGCTTGGTGTCGGTCATTTCCATGGTGCGGCTCTGGCAGACGGGGGCAGGCACACACGAGTCGAGGGAGAAGGACATGCGGGGGTCGCAACCGCCGAGGCAGTAGGCACCAGCACCACACGCGCCATATTCTAATGACGGCAAGACAGCAGGTCAGAGCAAGCACGCTTGGTTTGGTCGTCGGGCCTAGAAGAGGCTACTTACGGGAGCAGCACGGCGCCGACTCGGGGCACTTCTGGGTGAGGGAGCACTTTGGGGCTGCGTCAACGGCGAGGACCGTCGAGGCACCGAGCAGGGCAGCGCCCAGCAAGGGAAGCGACCTCAGCATCGTGAGCGAGACCGTTGCGGGTGAAGATGAAGACGTGCAGCGAGTGTCGGGAGGGGAGTCAAAGCCGATGAAAAGTCGTCGTTTTGGCGCGGGAATAAAATCGACCAGAAATGGCGCGGCAAGAGGCGAAGAAAGTAGACCTGCACAGCGAAGAGCAAGTCGCGGGATGTGACGATGGGATATAACGAGTGTCGGAACGAATGGCTGCGGCAGTATGGGTATGCTGCTTGCAGGCCAGACGAGGGTTGGTTGTTGGGTGAGGATGGAGATGGAGACGGAGATGGCGAGGGCCAAGGCAGGCTCTGGTGTTTGTGCCAGGTCGTGCGTGCGTGCGTGCCTCTCCGCCTGGGCCGCCTGGGCAGAGGCAGTGGCAACGGATGCCCGCTGGGCGGTTCGCATTAATTCTGGATGGAGCCAGAGGGTGCCCGGTCGGGCCTCGATCGACGCGCCAGCCAATGGGCACAGTTTGGGCGGAGAAAAAGGGGCTCGTAATGAGCAGCGGCTAGTCCCGAACGGGCATGACCTCGTATGCACGCTCAGGTATGCTCCTGCCATGTGTGCCCCATCTGGCAACGCGTGGTTTCCCATCTCAGCCCATCTCGGCTGGTGACCTCGAGGGACGTTACTTGTCGCCCTCCCGCCGCCATCCAGTGGTTGCTACTTTGAAGCCATCCAGCAGCACGCATTGATAATTTGATGTTGCCGAGATGGAACCACGGCCATCATTGTCCTCCTCCCAGGCATCGCCCGAATGCAAAAGTCACCATGGGTCTCATCACTGCGACCAGCATCGCACCCGGCGACCGATCGGCCATGGTGGTGGGCATCAAAGCTTGGCAGTACCCCTGCGGTCTGGGGTACGGCATCGTGCCAGCATGACGAAACCTGAACCACCCTCATTCCCTCCACCAGCAAAGCACCACACAACAACATCAACATCAACATCAACAACAACAGCAGTAGCTCCGGCCTAGTGCACACCAGCAGCTGCTGCAGCTGCAGCCTCTGCGGCAGCCACGCCTCCAGGGTCTGTGCCCTCTCGGACCTGGAGTGCTAGCTTGTCGCAACTTTTAGCCCCATGCTCGACATTAGCCTTCCCGCCTGCAGCCTCTAGCAAAGCTTTCCTTCCAAGCCACTTCCTCGTCGTTGTCGTTGTCGTCTAGACTAACCCCCAACACCGGTATGCCGCCCGCGCCGCCCGTGCCGGCTCTCTCTGGCTATCGACGGTCCGGCCGGCGAGCGCGCTGGTCTGGAACCACACCCGGCGGCCACCGCGTGCTTGCGGCGCGGGACTTCGGTCCTTATAAGCCTGTAGTCTTGATCGTGGTGGTGTCATGATGGCCTGACCTGATCCCCTCGAAGCGAGGGCGCAATACGGACAGAGACAATAGCATTCGTGTGTCAGTGCTACCCTTCCAACGGGCCGAATTCGGCCCATTGCCTAGATCGCAGCCGAGACACTTCGCCACTCCCGGCTGCGTCTCAGACATTCTCGTCACACTGACGACCCAGCAGTACGGATGCGGCACTGCGCAGCATCCCGATGCCCCTCTCGGGTTCCTGCTTAAAATGTGGCATGGATATTGAGCCCAGGAGATGCCGTCGGGGGCATCTCCGTCCTGAATAGACTCCCCAGAGCTCATGTTGCCAGAGGAATTGGCGACAGGAATTCCCGTGAGAACCCAGCTACCAGAACCAGAAGTCCTACGGGGTACAGCATGGGCAATATTTGCTGCCAAGGCGATGGTCCCGCATGTGCAGCAACACCATTTGCTTGTCCATCGACGAAGCTGTGCCTAATGCGGCGGTGCGCCAAAGTCTAACATGACTCTTGCGCCAGGAACACACCCTTTGCAGCAAGTGCTCACTCGGCAGCTTCCAGTCAGCACCTTAAGTTGATACTTGTGCACGGCCAGGCAGGCTCGTACATAAGTCAGGCTGGACGCCTCTTCCTCTGGCAGGTGAAACTGGCCGAATACTCTGTCGATCCGCTGGTTTGCAGCCTCGTGACAACCCAGCAACATGTGAGCTGTCCCGCTTGACATCGGAACTTCAATGTCAACTCAGATCGTGGCTTCGGGCGCTTCCGTGGTCATGGCCAGAGCCTCCCTCACCCCAGCCGATAAGGCTGTGTTGGCGATGACCAGCATCGAGTATCTTGCGTTGGCGAACCCCGACGATGCAGATGGTGCGCTCTCGGCCATTTGCTCACCCGTCTCAACCACATCCACCTTCTCCTCAATCTGGTCCTCGCACTCCAGGAGGCCGTCATCCTCATCCGATACGTCACAGGACACGCACAATGACGCCAGCAGCGACGAGGCCAGCGCCGGGGAGGCTGCCGTGAAGCATGTTCTCGAGGCAGACCAGGCCGCTCAGCCAGCTGCATACGACTACGTGCCGGTAGTGCCCGAGGCCCTCGCTGTAGGGGCATGCATTGTACGCTGCGACCCGGACACGTCGAGGCCGGCTGTCCTCTTGGTCAGGCCAAAGGAAACCGGGACATGGACAAGTAGCGTTGCTGGTGGCAAGGCCACCTCATACCATCAACATTCCACCCCAGGGCTTTGGCTCCTGCCACAAAGCACCACGTCGACAGAAGACTTTTCCATCTCGGCAGCTCTCGAGCGCACAGTCCGACAACAGACGGGATTGGCCGTGACCAGAGTCGTTGCCACCCTGCATGACACGCGACATCATCTCCATCGCCTGCAGGATATCCAGGCGCTTTCTCTACAGACCCATGACCACAAGACCCAGCCCGACAGCCACGAAGAATCGAGGGATGGTGATGTTGTTGGTGATGATGAGCAGGCCGGCGGCACCAGCGGCCTCGGTATCAGCACGCTCGATGAGTTGGTGCGCATGATCGACCTCAGCTGTGCTGGCGCAGCCGCCTCCTTGGCTGCAGCGGACGCTGCGCGGAGGATCCGCAACGTTTCGCCGTCAACCATTGCTGACAGCTGCCCCGTCTGCGACCTCATGCCGCCGGGGCCGGTGACTTCATCCTCGTCAAGGAGACAGGTTAGACGAGTCCGCGTACCCCAGAGGCAGAAGAGCCACTTCGGTCCCACCGACAATGACATGTCCGACGCCTGCTCAACAACCAGTGTTGGTGAGGGTGGTGAGAGTAGTGGTGGTGGTGGTGGCTACTCGTCCAACTCGGACGAGTCCACATGCCGCCTTCTCCACAACGAAGTACACCCAGAAACCAAGAGGCGGTTCATCAGACAGCGTGACGATGCAGGAAGCAACACAGATGACCACGGGACAAAAGAACTGGGACCACTGAGGAATGCCAGAGCGGTCGCAAGACCCGCCAGCGGCAACTACATGGCCCTTCCGCAGGAGGACGCCTCCAACGGACTCGACGTCGACGATGATGACGGTAGTAGTGGCGCCGGTAGCGGCAGTGGCAGCGGCAGCAGGAACTCAGCCACACGGCTCGACAGCGACAGCGACAGCGCCAGCGACGACGTCAAGGACATCTCTGTCGAGCACGCCAGGACATTCCGCGAGTGCCTGCAGCTCAACTACATTGTCCTCGTCGCGGATAATGCCGACAACGCAGCTACCGCTGCCGCGGCGGCGGCAGTGGAGGACACCAATAAGAATCATGATGATGTGGCCGAGGTGGCCCTTGTGACGGAGCGGGACCTCGACGAGCGCCGCATGTCCCCCCAGACCCGGGACCTGGTGAGGCAAGGGCTCATATGGGCAAGAGAGCACTTTGCCCACCCGGCGCCTGGCAAGCCCAGTCGTCAACTGATGCAGTCAAAGCGCGATGAGGACGCGAAGGACAGCAGGGATGGACGTGAAGGTTCGGCCATGCCAGCCCCTTTGCGCGCTTTGAGAAAGCATTCAATAACGAAGCGCATTGCCAAGTCCTGAGAAGAGGGCTTCTGGGGTGCAGAGAAGCGCTGACAAATGCTTTCGGTTGCGTTTCGCAGCCATCAAAAATTTCTGGTCATGATATTATGTCAAATAGTAGTACCCGGCAACAAATGTGTGTGACAAGTCGAAGTAGCCACAGACACCGCTCGTTTGAGTAGCAAAGTTCCAAGCTCGTGAAGATATCAACCCACAACACCTTCCCTCCTGAATAAATGTTCCATGCACCTACACAGACGCACACACACACCCCGCGCATGCTTGTGTTCACCTCCGCGTCTCGGCCCTTCTCTCACAGCACTCAATCCGTACAAGACACCTTCCAAACGCATTGCGTGGTGGAAATCATGTATAAGCACTTAGCGACCTTTGCCCTGGAACAGTTCCGGAAAGTGCTCCTTGGCGTATTGTTCGCAGGCCTGAAAAGCAGCAGTATCAGCAAATTGGACCTGGCATGATGGGGAGGCCGGGCGGGCAACGTACCTTGGCAGGCTTTCCGACCTTCTGCCCAATCGTCTTCCACTTGTTGTTTTCGTAATCCTTGATGGCGTTCATGAGGGCCTGGCTCTCGTCCTCGGCAAACTCGGCGTAGTGCATATCTTTGTACCAGTGCTTCTTGACGCTGCCCTCAGTTCTCGTCGGGAATGTCTGCGGCAAGGGAGGTTAGTCGTGCTTTCTGACCTGCCGCAAGGAACGAGGGTCTTCCTACCTTGGCAATCTCTGCCCAGCTGTTGCCGAGATCTCTCATCTGCTTCAGCCTCAGCTCTTCAGCGGGCGTCCATGGGGTATTTGTCCTGCTCTTCTTGGCTGGTGGTGGTGTCGCGATTTGTGAGGCATCCACCTCACCGACGACAGGCGCTGGCGGCGCAACTACGGCAACCTGGGCGGGAGGGGCGGCGACTGGTGCCGCCGCTGGAGGCACAGGCGTGACAGATGCAGACATTGGCGCTGGAGGAGCCGCAGCGCCAGGAGCAGAGGCTACTGCGGCGGCATTGGGCGGCTGAGCTTGTTGGAGCTGCTGCTGTTGCTGCTGAATCTGCTGCGGTTGGGCCTGTTGTTGCTGTGGTGCTGGCCGTTTGCGACCCCTGGGAGGGGCCGGCGCAGGCGCCTGGGTCGGTGTGCCCTGCTGTTTCTGTGCCGGGTTGCCAGCCTGGGGCGCGCTCATTGGGGGCTGTACTGGCGTGCCGTGATGCGGCTGCTGCTGCTGAGGCTGGTGGTGCTGCTGCTGCTGTGCATGCTGCTGCTGGTGATGTTGTTGTTGCTGTTGCTGCTGCTGTGGGTGGTGCGGCTGCTGTTGCTGCTGATGTTGCGCATGGCCGGGATGGCGTGGCTGCTGCTGTTGCGGTTGTGCATGCTGCGGCTGCCCTGGGGAGCCCTGAGCCTGCGCAGCATAGCCAGTGAAGTCAGGCCGGCGCGACATGTCGGCTTGGTAGTTGTGTGTTCCACTGTGAGGTCAGCCAGGGTCAACAAGAAGAAGCCTGGCGAGCGACGGGGCGGCTTGGAAACACAGGATTGCTTAGGCACAACGACATGGTGGCATCACGTGGTCCTGTACACTCTCAGACGGTGCCGGCAGCGACAAGTCTGCGTGGCCGCCCGGGGGTGGAGGGCACGTCTTGTGGGTTGATGATGTAGATGTAGCTTGTCAAAGTGAGCCACGGAAGTTGTCGCCAGCTACAATGACGTGTGGGGGGAGTGGGGAGAGACGACTTGGGCAAAGAACGACCGGCCGGCAGGAGAAGAAGACAGGGCCGACTCTCTGCCATGGGCACGAATGGGCGGAGAGGGGCTACAAGGACTGTGGCATGTCGCAGGTGAGGGGAGGCGGTCCAAGGCAGAGTGTTGCACCGCTCAATGTGCGAGTCACTGCATCGCCGACTTGGATAGCAGCGACATGGGTCGTGCGGTCCAGCACAGGACGAGGGCTGGGCGGAGGAGGGCTGGCGGCGGGCAGGACCGTATACGAGCTACGGGACGGGGTGGGCAACGGAGGAGGGATGGGGTCGGGGGTGGTGGCCAACGACGACACCAGGAGAAAAGGGTACATGAGGATATGGAAGAGGTACTTACTGCATCTCATTGTTTGCATGCTGTGCCTGGTTCGAGTACAGGTACTCGGGCGGTACGGGACCAACCTGCCACTGCTCCATGGTCTGGGGCGCGGGAGAGCAACTCGTGTTAGTAACAGGTCTTGCAAGGTCTGCAATGCCAGAAATCACCCCGCAGTACGGGAAGGAGAAGCATTAAAAGCATCAGTGGTGCACGAGACGGGAGGAACGACAAAGGCCGCAAGAGTGATGTGATCGGAGCATGGCGAATCCTTGGGGAAGGGGGCTGGTAGAGTTGGAGAAGCTCCAGACTGCGGCGAGCGCAGCCTGGCGCGCCTGCCTGTCTGCCTGCCTGCCTGACTGCCATTATGGATGGATGGCCAGAGTGATGATGCAGTCGGATTGGTGGCTGGGTTGTGCGGGAATTGTCACGCCCAGCGGATCCTGGCACCAATATGTATGTGTGTTGGTTGCTGCCGCCGAGCGCAGAGTGGGCGCGTTCTGATAAGCAGCTGTGGGCGACAGCTGGCATCGCTGCGTGCTGGCGCCGCGCCCAAACAGCCATGTCAGAGCGAGCACGAGCCCGCGAGCAATTGGGATGCCTCTGCGCGGTGATGGAGCGAGCGCTGTGAGCAGAGCATGGAGGTGGGAGGTCGTTGCTGGGCGCATGCCGGGCCTCGTTGACGCCATCTCGAGGCTGTTCTCTGGTGCGGGCGGCTCGGCAGACGCGTCGTTGCTGGCACACCGGAGGGACGAGGTACAGGCTACTTGGCCGGGGAGCACCAGCGGCAGCGCAGCAGTAGGCTGGCTCGACCTTGGCTCGTCCTTGCGCTGGACCGGGAGAGGAGGGATACGCGAGGAATTGGGAGGAGGACTTGCTGGGGGACTGGACAGGGCGACTGCGGAAAGGGCGACGAGCAATGAGAAGACGGGACTTACGACTGTGCGGTGCTGGGCGGTACCTCTGAAGTCAACGATGTACTGCAGAGACGGTGCGAGAGGCGAAGGAGTGGAGATTTTTTGTTTCGTTGCTGGTGTTTGGCGACAGGCGCACGGGCAGAAAACGGGCTGGGGCTCGTGGCTCGGGGGCCCACTGGGCAGGCGGCCAGGAACGGCAAGGCGGTGTCTGTGACCAGGTGGATGACTTGGGTCAAGTCGCGGGTGGCGGGGCCACTTGAGCAGTCCTGTCTGGCCTCACTGGCTGGGGAGGGACGGGGACGAGGACCCTGGTCCACGCGCGCAAGGTACACACGACTCGAGCGATGTCTCGTCCACCGTAAGCAGGCAGGCAGGCAGGTTGCCGCTGCTGTCTAGCCGCGAGCGAGCTGTAGCTTAATTGGACACACTGGGTCCTGACGGAGAGCAAGTCGATCTGCGAGTAAAGGCGGCGCGGACTCTCTCGTACTGGAAGCTCGTCTGGTACGGGCAGCTGTCCCGGGGTGCCGCCAACAGGATGAGACAGATGAGGGCAGACTGCTGGTGGGCAGGTAGCGCTGGAGGAGGAGAACAAACGACCGCCCAGCAGCTATTGTCGCGCGTCGGGCCTGGGTGGGACAGGAGGTTGAGGTGCAAGAACCAAGGACCACCGAGTGTGTGGTCCAGGTACCGGCCGGGCTGGAGGGTTCACGATAGCTGTCTGGAGACGAGATCGGGCCCACTGTTGGCGGAGGAGCAGGCAAGTCGGGGAGCTTTGGGGTGGAGGGTGGCGGAGAGAAGATGTATCGAGGAGAAGGGCGCAAGTAGAGGGAACAAGACCTGGCACGGGCAGGCGCCTGCAAGCGCATGGGCAAGTGCAAGTGCAAGTGCAAGTGCAAGTGGGGGGGCGGGCAGGCTGGTCCCTGCGCCCTCCGCTTAACTTACCCTGGAGCTGCTCTTGCTTGCTTCCACTGCGTGCACAAGCAGCTGCGCTGGTGGGTGTGCATTCCTCAGGAAGTCAAGCCCGCCTCAGGAAGCTCCCGAGGTCCTCAGCAGAGACCTCTTCGGCTCTGCCTGGTCCAGGTGCAAAACGCGTCTCCAACAACCATTTGCTTCCAGGTCTCGGCCGGCTAAGCAGAGCCACGCTTCGTGCCTGGCCAGTCGGAGGAGCCACCAGAAACCCCTGCGAAGATCACCCTCTGACACGCCGCCGGCGCCGGTGGGTTCGTCGTGGTCCACCACAGCCTTCCAAGGTTCTTGTATCTCTACTTAGCCCACAGGTATTCGACCTCGACGATACTTCCAAGGTTGCCTCGCCCACCACCACCACCACAACCTCCTGGGCATGGCCCAGCTTGTCCCAGAGCCCAAACCCACATGGCCATCAACACGCCACAACCACCACGCTGCCTGCCCCAATATTCCCCTTGCTATAGCGCCGTCCACTTGTCCCGGCACCAACTTCGGAACACGTGCCGGACCGATGCCCAGCACGTCCACAGTAGCTGCTGTGCCACATGTCAATGCGCACCCACAGCTGGCCATGCCTCGTTCGTTTGTCTCACCCTCACCCTCGCCCTCGCCTCCGCCCTCATCGCGCCTGTTTAGAGTGCTTCGTAATGCTGGCAGCGACAGACCAACAGAAGACGAAGTGGTCTAACCCGAAATTGCCATAATCGAGCAAGTCCACTCCCCCCCCACGTCGACGCACAATCCCGGTTGAGTACCGTCCATGTGAACAGCTGCGAGGACGCCCTTCATCGAGACCACCCTCCTCTTCCGGTGCGCGAGAACCCGCCTTCGTTAACGCTGGCGTTCGAGTGGTTCCGCGAGACTTGACTACCCGAGACGAGACCTCTTCTTTGTCACCCATGCCCATGTACCGCAGATCCGCAACGGCGATGCCCAGCTGACGCCCCGACAATGTTTACTGCCCAAACCATGAGGAGTGAATAACGTGCAATGTGCGCCCCTTCCAAACTCTATAGACCGAGTAAATCGACTCACTAGCCGTCGCAATGCCCGCCACGTCTCGCCAGAGCGCCCCGCGTGACCTCTGACCACTTGAGCTTACGCACGGCACTCGCAGCAGCACCATTTTTCCCGTGCAGCCATTGATCATGGGTCTCTGCAGCTTGAGGGTGTGTCTTGTCACTAGGGTGAGCCTCACCAAGATTATGGACACGGTTACTAGCTTCGACACGGTGCTCATACGGTAGAATGTATTCTTGCCCAGCTTCTGGTACAGATCCGGGGCTAGGACAGGCTTGAGCGGTGAGTCTGTAAAGTGATGCTGATGTAGTGGTGCTCGAACAGAAACTCGGCGCAGTAAGGCGTCCCCCCAAGAGCTCTATACGCTGCAAAGTGTTGGGAAGGTGCCATCGAGCTCGTTCTTGTACCGCAAAGGCAGAATGCCCCTGGTTCTGGTTGAATGCAAACGAGTCAGCCTGGATTGGATGTGGGAGGCAGTGAGCTTTGTAAATGTCTCTTCTTGTTGGTTGTTGTTTGCTGACCCTGGCGGCTTTGTGGGGTCGCCTTTTGTGGCTGCCTACCGTGTATGACGACGCCCCTTGAGGTCGAGGCACATCATCCTGGGATTCGTAGCCCAATGTCCGACCTTTTTTATAACCAAGTATTATTCTTGCTTCTCGTCATCCATCTGGTCTATGCGGACTGGTTCGAAACATGAAATGTAAATTCTGAATGAGATTCACAAAGAGGGAGAAAAGAAAAAGAAAAAAAAAGAGATAACGGAAATGGTTCATTACCAGTACAGAACCTATATTAGGCTGTTGGTAACAAGGAGTTCGTGAAGAAATAGCAATGGCCCGGAACTCGACGAGGCAGTTGACGGGCTCTTGCACCGTACTACGCAGGGCGTGGAAGGCGGGAGGTCTGGGGATCTGATGTGTGCTCATGATCCCTATTGGCGGTGGTCTAGTGTAGCGGTAGATTCACGGTTTATTGCCCTAAACATTGATGTGTACCATCAAGCCGGAAAGTGTAAAGAGGGGTCAAGCCAGATAGAGAGACAGAGAGCTATCTTTATAGAACCCAAAGACCGGAAGCCTATACTAGTATTATTGAACCAAGACACCAGTGTTCGACCTGCCTTCCATTCTGTTCACCGAGCTGCGCCGGACCTGGTCCACTGCCATCAAAAGCTGGCCCGGAGATGATTGACTGCCATCAAACTTCTCTACGTTTATTGTCAAATAGTAGCTCGTTGCCGCTTCGTGGTATCCATGGGGAACGGACTAGTCATGCATTGGTGGGACGACAACCCCGTTGGTGCAAGGGCAAGGGCATCAGATGATTGATCCGCTACTAATTGCGTTTTGGAGCTGGAAATGCCACCGGGAAGAGCGTATAGAGCAGGACAAGTTTTGGCCAAACCAATGACGCCGGGAGCTTATTTATTCGTCCGCGTACTGACTCGGGACGTGCCTGCTGGTGATGCGGCGTTGCAGCTGCCGGCCAGGACCGCCCACCTCCACTGACCCGTAGCCGGCTTTGGTCCGACTGCGCGCCTGCCTTGCACCTTACACCAGCTATTCGAGGCCGCCGCCAACACCACAAAGGCGACACGCTCATCACGATGCGCACATCCCAGCGCCAGCCCAAGTCCTGCCTGGGTACGTCCGCATGACAAGAGAGCCCCCAATCATCGTCCCCCCAGGATCATATTTGGTGTACGGCCTGTGCTAACACTGACCGGCCCAGAATGCACTAGAAGGAAGATCCGATGTGACAAGGGGACGCCGTGTGCCCGCTGTGTCCGGCTTGGCAAGCAGTGCGCTCGCGAGCTGGTCCAGACGACGCGGGCCGTCCGGGACCACCAAGACGAGATTGTCTTCCTCGAGGGCCTGGCCGCGGCGCTGGCCGAAGTGGACGGCACCGAAGCCATCAGAGCCACTGTCCGTGGCCGCATTGGCGAGCTCGCTGGCCACAACGCCGCCGCCATCACCACTTCCAGCCAGGTTGCTCTGACGGCATCCGTGTCAGACAGGGACGAGAACGGCGCCCTTCCAGGCTCGAGCTCGAGCCCGACGGGTACGGTGAGCCCATCGGCCGGGACGGGCGGCCAGACCGGGGCGGCACTGCACACGGTCGAGTTCATGGCCTGGGGCCGCCATCGCGGCGCCTGCTTCCCCCACCGGTCTGGGTGCGACTGCAGGATGCTGCGGCCCTACGCCGAGATTGCGTCCATCAACACCGACCTCGAGTGGACAGGGCTCCGGAGGACCATCTTCCTGCTCGACCCGGACCTGCAGCTGGATCCCGACCACGCCAGGGCTCTGGTCCGCCTGCACTTCGATCATGTCCTGTGGCACCACAACGCCTTCCACGCTCCGACCTTCCTCGCCCAGTGTGAAGAGTTCTGGGAGCATGGCACCGTTGTCCATCCCCTGTGGATGGCCCTGTATTTCTCGGTCCTGTCGGTATGTCATCGCCGTGTCCCAGCTCCCGCACCCTGCTACCACGGATGCCCTCGGCTGACCCGTCTTGCCCAAAACAGGTAACCCTCTGGACTGTGCTCAACAGCGAGTTGCCCGAGACGGAATACTTGTGTGACGAGCCGGCCATTCGCCGCTACTTGCATGCCATGCTCCAGACCCTCTACCAGGAGAACTTCCTGGAGAACCAGTCGTGTTGGTGCTCCCCACGCCGGGAGCTGCTAGCTAGGATGACGGGCTGACTGCTTCAAAGTGTTCTCCATACAGGCAATTGCAATTTCCACACGCGTGGCGCACAATCTTGGCCTCAGTGACCTGAACGCCGCCCTTGTTGGTGCTGCTGTGCGCATAGCACACTTGCTGGGCCTGCACCAGATACAGCCAGCTCTGGACCGGCACACAATCGAGACGGCTTCCGACTGGTTCAGTATCACCGAAGAGCAGGTGGGCTGTCGTACCTGGCTGCAGCTGACTATCCAGGACCATTTCCAGGTCTTCTTTACCGAGACTTATCGTAAGCATATTTCCCATTACCATCAAAGCCGGTGATATCCATATCCGAGTGTTACGAGCCAGTCCACCCGCTGGCGCAGGGCTTTTAAAGAAGAACTTCTGATCCTCACCCACCAGTGATTCATCCGTGGCATTTCAAGACCCCAATGCCACTGAACTGCAACGACGAGGACATGATTGAACTCGACAATGAGACGCCCACAATCAACTCCTATATTCGCACTCTTGGCGGCATCTCGAGGATGATTCCATCACTGCTCGACGCTCTTGGCCCCATGAACAACAGGCGACCATTGGACCAGGTATATCGGGACATTCTGACGTCAGACCAGGCCTTCAGGGACTTTGTCAAGACCATACCATCGTTTCTCCTGAAAGATGCGCGTGAGCAAGGAGTTGTGCCCCCTTGGCAGCAAGTCGCCAAGGCGAGCCTGGCCATCACCTCCGCTGACAAGATCATCATGATCCATCGCCCTATACTCTTCCACTCGTTCCAAAACCCAGCGTTTGCTTGGACGCGTGCGACCTGCGTTGCCGCGGCATTAACTATTCTGCACCAGCAAGAGGAGACCAGCAGCCGGGCGTTGATTTCAATGTGGACCCATTCCGCCTTTTGCATAACCGCTGCCGTTGTCATAGGCCTGGAGCTCCTACACCACACCAGCCACACCGGCACTGAAGCGCAACGACTGCGAGTCACGCTTGCCAAAGCAGCTGGCCGGCTCCGCCGGAGGCGGTGCGACGTCATTGCTGAGCGGGGCGCGGCGCTGATTGACACCATGCTCGCCATCGAGGAGGAGCTCGTCATCAACATGATGCGCGCAAGCTCTCAGGGCGTCATTGCCGACGAGACCCGGCACGCAATGATCAACCAGATGATTGAGAACAACCAGATACTGGCCCGGCTCCTGGCCCTGGCTCCGGGAGACCTCACCAAGGAGACACAAGACTGGCCGGCTATTCAAGTGGACCCGAATGCGCATGCGGCGGCCTTTTCATTCACAGGCAGCGAAGGGGCGGAGATCGACTCTTGGTTCAGTCAGGTTTTCTCCATCGACCATGACCTATTCTAGACTAACGGCAGAGCTGATCAAACGCTAAACTTGCTCACACAGTCTTCTATCATAGCCAGAAGCTGCGACCTACGTGCTTCACCAATCCAGCTGCCATTGACCGAGTTCTCAGCAATCAGTTTCCACTCCTTTATCCCAAAGTTGAATGCCTTTTGCACGGCGCAGTAGTTGTTCAGAATGTACCCGTGGAAGTATGCAGGATCGTCGCTGTTGATGCTGAACCTCACACCAGCATCCAGGAACGTCTTGATGGGAAGCTCGCTGACGTCCTTGACGACCTGCAAGCAGACATTGCTGAGCGGGCAGAGAGTCAGGAGAATCTTTTCAGCAACGACCCGGCGCATCAGCTCGGGGTCTTCGACGAGCCTGACGCCATGGTCGACTCTCTCGCCGTGCAAGGCGTCCAGCACGCCTGAGATGTACGAGGGATCGCCCTCCTCGCCTCCGTGAGCCGTGCGGTGGACACCGAGCCGCTTCGCCTCGGCGTACATCTCCCGGAAGAGCTCTGGCGGGAACCCGACTTCCGACGAGTCAAGACCTAGAGCCGCAATGGCCCGCGCGTCGTCCGAATCCCCGTCGAAGTATCCCCCGTCGACAGCACTGCGCATCGTCTCGGCCGCGGACTCGACCGGCAGGTGGCGCAAGAAGCACATGATGAGGCGGCTGGTGATACCCAGCTCGCGCTCGGCGCGATCGCAGGCGTCGCGGTAGCCGGCCACCACCGTGCCAAACGGGATGTCGCGTGAGGTGTGGCTCTGGGGGTCGAAGAAGACCTCGGCGTGCTTGACGCCGTCCGCGTGCGCGGCGGCAAAGTACTCCCAGCCAAGCATGGCAAAGTCCTCCCGCATGACCAGAACCCTCATGGCGCGGTAGTGGCACTGCAGAAAGTCCTCGAGGTTGTCAAAGTGCTCGTAACGCTTCTCGAGCGTCTCGGGCGACTCGTAGGCCGGGCTGGTCTTGGGATCCGGCAGCTCAACATTGTTCTTGGCTGCCAGCTTGAAGACGAGCTTGGGGCTCAGGCAGCCCTCCAGGTGCAGGTGGTGCTCGCACTTTGGCAGCTCGGCCAGAAACTGGTGGAGATCGGACTTGCACATGGTGAGATGGTTTGGTGCTTCACCACCTCGAGATTGGTTCGTTGTGCTTGGTTCGATGTGGCGACAACAGACCTGCTGGCGCTCAGGGGTATCGGGAATCCTCCAGAATGCGATGGGCGACTCTCCGGCACTGGTACAAATCTCAAAGTTCACTCATTTATCCAGGCAGTTTGTGAATATTGGGGTTCCGTAGTCGGACGCGGAGACCAGCGCAGATCTCGACTGGGCTAGGCATGGGTCACGACCAGGGACTAGCCTTCACTGGCCTACTGCATACCCGACCAGGAGAGCGGGCAGGGAGATTCGGGCGGCCCCGGCCTTTGCGGGTCCATCACCATTCTTCTGGCGGACGTCCTGGCCGGGAGCGGAGCCGGGGGCGGGTGAGTTTGTAGACTCGGCCGCTTGCCAAGGTCCTGCGCAATTGCTAATCAGCTCGCCCGCCACCACCGGAGCGTGTATCCCGCTGCAGGACTTGCGATGCAGTTGCCCGGCAGCGCGCCTCCGAGACACGCAGAGAATCACAAAGTGTTTGCAGCGGCGGATCACTCGCCGTGTCCGAGGTGATGATTACCTCGCCATGTGATCCCTCAGACGAGATCTCCTCTCCTCCGGCTCAGAGAGTTTCGGAGCACACGAAAGCTCCTTGGCCGGTTTGAACAGCGGAATCTGCTCTCGGAGATCACAGACACCCTGGTTCTGGGGTTTCCATACATTTCCGGCAGAGAAATTCACGGCCACTACTTTCGCAAGGCATCATGACCAGCACAACAAGGGACAATGTCTCTGAGCAGACTCCGCTGCTGCGGAACCCCAGCGAAAGTGGTCAGGAAGACAAGTCGAGTTGGACGAAACCGAAATGGTTTCTACTTATCCAGATCGGTGAGTCGCTGGGATTTCAACTCGGTTCTAGACAAGCTGGCTAGGCTATTGACTTGAGGCCTGGCTTTCCGCTGTGGTTGGCCTTTTCTTCCCCCATCCTTCTTGCCTGTCCTGCACGCATAGCGTTCTCTAACTGCTTTCACTTCCCAAACTAGCTCTCTTCTCAAATGTATTCCTGGCGGGCTTCGACGGGACCGTCACGGCATCGACATATTCCATCATCAGCTCCGAGTTCCATCGGTCGGACCTGGCTTCCTGGATAACGACATCATACCTGCTGGCGAGCACGGCCGTGCAGCCTCTCTATGGCCGCTTTTCGGATGTCTTTGGACGGCGAGCGTGTCTGCTCTTTGCCACTGCCAGCTTCGGCCTCGGGTGCCTGGGCTGTGCGCTCAGCGCGAATATGGGGTCTCTTATTTTTATGAGGGCCGTAACTGGGCTGGGCGGTGGTGGCCTGATGACCATGTGTTAGTGAAAAGTCCCTCCCACGGACACTTTGTGCGGCAAGGCGTGGCCGACGTTCTATCTGGAGAGAGCAAGTTGCTGGTCGTGCGGAACACAGGCACACTGACAGACAAGACTAACATGAAATCGCCTTTCGACAGCTACAATCATCAACTCCGACTTGATCCCGACCCGGCACCGCGGAATGTACCAGGCCATCCAGAACATCCTGCATGGATTCGGCGCCATCTGTGGCGCGTCTGTGGGTGGTATCATGGCTGACGCCGTGGGCTGGCGGTTCTGTTTCCTCTCGCAGGTCGGCTTCGTGGCTGTCACCTGGGTCGTGGCATTCGTCTTTGTCCAGGGCAACGGCATAAGCTCGCCCACAGGTATCGTGACTGGATGCCCTGGGGCGCCGGGGTCGAGCACGTGTTGCTCAGATGGGCAGCAAGGAGCTTGCACAGCCTCGTCCGCCGCCTCCGCTGCGTGTTCGTGCTCGTGCTCGTCATCCGCTGGAGCTGGCAAGCTTGGCGCGGCCTGGAGACAGATTGACGTTACCGGTGCGGCGCTGCTGTTTGTCGGCCTGGTGCTGCAGCTCGCGGGCATCAGCCTCGGCAGCAACGAGCTCTCGTGGTCGCATCCCATCGTTATCTCTGTCCTGGCTACAAGCTGCCTCATGCTGGCTGCCTTTGTGGTTGCCGAGGCTCGCTGCAAGACGGTGCCGATCCTTCCGCTGGGCCTGCTCGCCGGTCGCGAGAAAGTGGCTTTGCTCGTCAGCAACGTCTCGCTGGGCATGACTGCGTACGGGGTAAGAAAATAGAGAAACCGGCCGGAGCGACTTCGCGTCACTATTGTTTTGCTTCTTGTTCCCCTGGCTAACCCCTCCATCTCCGCGTCTTCTAGTTCCTGTTCCTCATGCCCCTTCTGTTCCAGACCGCACTGCTCGACTCGGCCTCCGTTGCAGGGCTGCGCATGGTCCCCCCCTCGCTGGCCACGCCGCTCGGCGGGCTGTCCACAGGCATCGTGATGCGCCGTAGAGGCAGCCTCGTCACTGTCACCCGAGTCGGCCTGGTCATGCTCCTGTGTAGCAATGCGCTCATGCTGAGCCTGCCGATGGGCTCCGCCGAGTGGAAGTTCTCGGTGTTTCCGATCCCGGGCAATTTCGGGTCGGGCATGATATACCCTTCCATCCTGTTCAGCTTCATTCGTGCTTCGGGCATTCAAGGTGAGACGACGACGCGGTCCCCCTTTTCCTTGGTCGAAGTACCTTGACATGGTCTCCACTGGGGTTCTCCCAATGAAGAGAACAGGGAACACGACCTTGCCGCTAACCAGGAAATCGTGGTGATTATATGTAGAACACGCTGTGGCCACGTCGCTGGTCTACCTCACACGCTCGATGGGCACAATGTGGGGTGTGTCCGTCGTCTCGACCATCGTGCAGAACCTCCTCCCGGCAAGACTGGAGACGGCCTTGCCAGACTTTGAGGGCAGAAAGGAGGTAAGTAACACTTAAGAACGAACGGCCCCCCACCCCCTCTTTTGAGTGTGCAAAGAACTCCTTTTGGCGCGCAGATGAGAGACAGTAGGCTAACCCAGAGGTTTTTTCCTTTAAGATGATTGAGCAGCTATTGAAGTCAACGACGGCGCTGAGGGAGCTTCCGCTCGAGATCCAGGGCATTGTCAGGGGTGTGTATTACGGCATTTGCCAGGTCGGGATCGTGTTTCTCCTCGCAATGACGGCGGTGGGTCTGGTGTGTAGCTTTCTGGTCAGGGAATAGCGTGCTGTGGCGCACTGAGTGAGATGCGCAAAAGACCCCGTGGGAACCACAGTAATACTAGGTAGTTTTGGTGACGCTCATGTTGCGTGAGGAGGATGCAACGAAATGTTCATAGTGCATAGCATCCGGGTTTTCATCAAAGACGTTCATGGGGCCATTCGGAAAAAGAATAGACAAAATAATCGATTCCCTTCCATTCTCCCCATTGCAGCAGCTATCATTCTTGCGACTAGCGTGTTGTCAGTGTGTGAGGTCAATCAGTTTTGTTGAAACATGCTCGCAATGTCTCTACGTTGGATGGGGGTCTGGGATGCGAGCTTTTCAATGCAAGCTTGCGGCCAGGTTCGTGAGTTATCAAGATATACATACCGCTTGACGCTCATCCTATTGTTATACACTCTATACGATTTGAAAATTACGTGCGCTCCCCCTTTTCCCGCGAATAGACCTGAAGTTTCTGCTGGTCATCTTGTCAGGCCATTGCCTGCCGCCACTTAGCACCCGGTATCTATCTACTTGAAGATATTCCCTCTCACAGCTCGCCCGCCCACGGCAAGCAGTGGCTGCTGGTTGTTGTGTCCGTCGAACGAAGCAGAAGCCCCTTTCCTCTCCCGCGGCTGCCATGGCTGGGTCCACGGCGCGGCAGGGCCTACTTCAACCGGATCCGACACAGACAGAACCCGGCCATGATCACCGATCGCCTCGACCCGGACACCGCTCACCAGGGCCCGGGTCGAGGGCTGGATCCTCATGGCCGTCTCGAACCCCGTCCTCTTGTACTCGCGGGCATGCTGGGTGACGACGGCAGTGCTGGAGTCCTCCTGGGACCACGACAGTCTCCAGCTCTTGGTGACCGTGTCGCCGTTCCAGCTTACGTACACGTTGACAGCCGAGCTGTCGACCTGGTCCCCCTCGTGATAATCCAGCTGAGCGCCGCCGCCGCCGCCCGGCCTCGGGTGCTCCGCAACCACGGCGATCGTCTCTGGCGAGAAGCCCGTCCAGTTGTATCGGAAGGCGCGGTAGTTTTGGAGCTTGTCCTGGAGGAACCCGCTGTCGAGGAACGCGTGGAAGATTGGCTGCTCCCCGGCCTCGGTGCTGAACTCTGTGATCTGCCCCTCGGAGCCCCAGTTGATGAGGGCGTTGCCTCTGGGCAGGGTCTGCAGAGATCCCTGGGACTTGGCGAGGATCGAGTGGTTAGGAGGGTGGAACGTCTTGACCAGCGTCGCCTTCTTGGCCGCGTGGTCGAGCTCGATGTACTTGCCGCGCGACCAGGGGAAGAGGTGCACCTCCTTGTCGCCCCCGCCGGCCGACTCGGACCCGTAGACCGAGTTGTCAAAGAGGGAGATGACCTCGGTGGTGGAGAGCGGGACCGGGTCCCCCCCGGACAAGTACCTGGCGTGGTGCTGGAAGCCAAAGGTGACGTTGGGGCCCAGCTCAAAATCGGACTTGTGGCCGCCGAGCCGCCAGATGACGGAGCCGTCGGTGCCGTTGACCTTGAGGACGGTCGAGGCGTGCCTGGCGGACACGAGGTAGTGGCCGTCGTCGCCCTTGGTGATGGAGTTGATGTGGAAGTAGTCCCATGCGGTCGAGCTGTTGTGGCCAATGCCAGCCTGGCCCAGGGGAAGCGGGAGCGCCGTCTCGTCGGGCGACGCCCAGTCAAGACTGCGCCACTCGAAAAGGACCTTGCCGGTCTCAATGTCCACCTCTATTTTTTGTACGTTGTTGTTAGCCCTCCTGATTCAGCTTGGTGGTGGAAAATGCTCCGTCACGTACCCTGGAAGCGCGCGTCCACAATCCACGTCTGCTCCGGGGTGCCCCCGTATGCGCTCAGGTCCATCTGAATGGGGTGGTAGATCTGGAAGAGGGCCGTGGTCTCGTTGAGCACAATGAACTCGTGCTTGTCGGACAGCATGTTGTGGCCGGCACGGAGCTCGCGGATGGTCTGGTAGTCCTGGTCGAGGAATGTGTGGTGGCCATGGCCGTGGCCGTGGAGGCTGTTGTGGGCGCCCTCGAAGGAAAAGAGGACATCGCGGCCTCTCCAACGGGCAGCCTGGAAGTTGCCGGACCAGGTCGAGAAGTAGGTGAAGCCAGACCACACAAGGTCGCCCTCGTCGGTCAAGATGTATGGCGCCGCCTGGAGCGGCCCATGGTCGACAGGGTCAGCATACCCCGTGAACGGGGCCACAAAGAGATAGCCAGCCTCGCAGCGGCCGTCACAAGGAATGGTGATGTTGAGGTGTGGTGGTGACAGGTCTGGCCGGCTACGGTAGGTGCCATCTGCCTGTACCGGCTGGAGCAGACAAGTGGCCGCAGCAAGCCACGTCAAGGCTTGACAGCGAGTCGGTGCTGGCATGTTGAAGATGGCAGGCGGCGGTTTGATGTTGTTTTCCACCTGGCTTACATACACGAGTCTAATCCAAACAAGGGGCAGAGTGTTCCTCTGCAAGCCTTTGCAAGAAAACGCCACGTCTTATGGGCAGACGGCAACATCTGCGAAACCCGTGGTCCGACCTCGGCAAACGCAATCCATGGTTCGTCTTGTCTCTTCTCTGCTTGTTCCATGCATAATTGCCCCAGATGGCGCGATCCCCGGTCCGTTGGCGAGCGACCGCCCCGCCCTCGGCCGAGTTCCAATCTCACCCGCCTCGTATCCACACGCTCCAAGTCTGTTTCTTTGGCAGGCTGGCTATTCTGCGAACGGATGATCATACTGCCACTGACAAGAGAGAGCGACCCTGACACGTCTTCACTCCCCATGCGAAATTGTGGCTTGGCCAGAAAGATAACGCGACTAGCCTGCGATATGTCGCCATCAGTCTGCGAGCCAGAACAGGCGGATTAGCGGCATATCTCGACCATCTCGGATCACCTTGTGCAAAGAGCGAGAGCACGACATTATCTTTCAACTCTTATATCCCATGCAATGATGTGCCGGCTTGACATAGTACATTTCTGTGCTCCTCCCTCTCCATCTGCATTTCCTTGAGCCAACCCTGCACAGGACCCTTCAGTTGCTCAGCAGCCCCTGCTCTGAACGACATCCGAGGTCAACACCTCGCTTTGTGACATGGCTTCAGACACTATTGAAAAGCCACCGGTACCGGTGGTACTGTCTTCCGCCCGTCCCAGCAATGAGCTGCAAAACCGGGAAAAGGGCGCCAGCCCTATCGACCCAGCTCCATGGACCGAACAAGAGGAGAAAGCCCTGGTCAGAAAGTGAGTGAACAGCGCATGACTCGTGTCACGAAACATCAGCTGGTGGCAGGGCCCGCGGCGCTTGATGGAGGGCAAGCCGGGCTCGCCCAGGGAGTTCCATCTAGGGCTGTTGTGCTAATCAAGCTTGCACACAACTCTGCAGGATTGACGGAATCGTCTTGTCTCTCTTGATGATCTGCTTCTTCGCCTTCCAGCTAGATCGCGCGAATGCGTAAGTGCTCCGATTGCCTTGGTAGACCTTCAAGTCCCTTGGGACACTTCACTTGAGGCTCTCGAATGTTGACGGCCTGGGTGCTGGACACAGAGGCAACGCTTTGACCGACAACTTCCTCGGTGACGTCGGTATCACACAGGATCAGTTCAACATCGGCTCCCAGCTGCTCAATGCGGGTATCGTGCTTCTCGAGGTAAACGACCCGCATAGGAATCACGCGGCATTCCACATCCGCTGGGCGAGTGGACCGACAGGCTGACTCTATCATTTGCGGCTATAGATCCCTAGCAACATCATTCTGTACCGAGTCGGCCCCAAGCTCTGGATTGGATGCCAGATCATCGCCTGGTGAGTCAAGTTTACCCCACTGGCGTATCAAGGGCGTTATGGTTGATGCCTTGCTTATCCGCGATGCGTTTCTGAACTAACGTGATCAACCCGACGTCAGGAGTATGGTTGCAACTTTCCAGGCATTCCAGAAGGGCCTCGGCGCGTTTCTTGCCACCAGGCTGCTGCTAGGGTTCGTAGTGAACCATATCCCTGCCCCTGGGCAAAGCAACGGAACTAAACCGGTTTCTCTTCATCTAGCCTCCTCGAATCTGGCTTCATCCCGGGCAGTCTGTACACGCTAGGCTGCTGGTACAAGAACGGCGAATTGAGTCGTCGCTTTGCTCTGTTTTTCTTGGGCAATGGCATCGCTCAAGCCTGCGGGGGCTTGATCGCCTACGGAATGTAAGCAATGATACAATGACGCAACCACCCACAAGGCATGCTTTCATATGTAGACCTGGCCGCTGACATTCCTTTGTGCCACAGCTTGCGGATGCGAGGACTTGGCGGTCTCGCAGGCTGGCAATGGTTGTTCCTCGTAAGTCGTTGAGCGATCACATTACATCCTGTTGCCAATAAGTTTTGAATGGTGCTGACAGGAAACAGCTCGAGGGAATCTTCACCGTGCTCAGCGGCATCGCGTTTCTCTGCTTCTTCCCAGGCTTACCGGACAATCCGGTGTCTCTGCTCCGTATCTCCTTCTTCACCGAGCGGGAGGCCTTCATCGCCAAGCAGCGTCTCCTGAGAGATGATGCCACCAAGGAGGCCAAGCGTGGAAAGGTGGACAGAACGAGCATCCGGAGGACGGTAAGCCACATCCATTTAGTCTGAGCTTCCAATACCAGTTGCTAACACCGATATCCCTGCAAGGTTTCCAACGTTCAACTGTGGTTCCACATTGTCCTCACGATTGTGGGCTTGGCACCAACGACGGCATTATGGTCCTGGGCTCCCACGATCGTGGCATCCTTTGGCTACGGCCGGCTCGAGGCCAATGCGCTCGTGTCGATCGGGCAATGGATTTCTGTCGCTTTGATCGTGGTTGCTGGCTTTGCGGCGTAAGTTGGCCACCTCTTCCCGAATCCTTCTCTTGTCCCAGATGTGCGGCCGCAACTTACTCTAGTGCAGGGACAAAACTGGCCGTCGCGGTTTCATTGTGCTCTTTGGGGTGTTCTGCCAGTGGACTTTCATGGTCACGTTCCGCTGTCTGCCCGACTCTTCAACGGGCACGCTCAAGTTCTGGATCCTCACCATGGGAACAGCAACCTGCAGTTGGTGGCGTGAGTGAAAACCCCCCAAACATCAAGACCACTGGTCGTGGTTCTAAGGGGGATATACTGACACAGCTTTCTCGTCGCGCAGATTCGGTTAACGGCTCGTGGCTGTCCATCAATGCCAGGTCGCCCGAGGAACGATCAATTCGCATGGTATGTGTGCTCACGCTGAAACCTTTCTTCCCCCGTTGCTGTTTCTTCTCGTGCTGAGACTTTTTTCCCTCCACAGGCTCTCTTCATCATGGCTGCCAACTGCGCAGGCATTGTGGGCGGCCAGCTCTTCCGCTCCGACGATCTTCCATTCTACCACCGCGGCTGGAGCATCATCGCGGCCTTCATGTCCCTGGGACTCATCTGCGTCGGAACCCTGGTGGCCATGTACCACTTTCTCAACCGCAAGATCGCCGCCTATAACCAGGGCCAGGTCATTGAAGGCGGCTCTCTCCGGGTACACGACAGCAGCAACGACGTCGAGCTCGGTGCGGATGCAGCCTTGGGTGGTGGTGGCAAGGGAGCCCGGCAGATCAAGCTGTACAACTACTGACGGGTGGCTGGATGGGATCTCAAATGCGCGGGGCCCGCGGCAGGGGGTTAGATTCGTTTTATATTCAATGTCGGCATCGCTGTGGAAGCCGCAGCGTTCCATAACCCAACGACAGTCAGCAACATAGAAAGCACACGAATTTCAAGAGCAAAGAGGCAGTTGAAAACGTTTTTCTGTGAAGGTGTGATCCAGCCACGTCTGGGGCAATCATTTCTTCTCGTTATTTAAGAAGACCACCAACAAAGAGTGATGCCCAAAACATGGTGGTTTGCTGATAGATACCATGCTGATAACAACGCCGAAACCCTCCAGGAACACGGCCGCACAATTTATTCGGCTATGTATCATCGTCAGCCCAGGCTCAGATTTTCACAGAATAAGAAGCGCTGGACCTGAAAACTATTTGATTCAAATCAACGCTAATAATCAAAAACAGCCTCACTTCGTTGGACATAAGTTTCTGCATTGATAGAGAGACTCATTTCAACCGGTTTAAATCAGAGGATTGGTAAGTCTATCATTTCGCAAACTCAATGATCCAAAAAGGAGTTGTGACTTTTCTTCCACGTCAGGGTGAAGTTCGGGTTTTATTTTGATTTTTTATCTGTTGTTTTCTTTTATAATCGAGCTTTCTTGTTCCAAGCTACCGCGGTTGCCTTGAGCAACGATAGAAAACAGCCAGGTTGAATTGTCCGGCCAGGTCACGCCTTGCCATTGTTTAATGCCCGGCTGGCAAAGCCCTGTCCTGTGCAAAGGCCTAGACCGCTCTGAAAGGGGAGACCCACAATGGAGAACTCCACACAAACGGGCAGAGTCGTAGTAGGGACGGCCACCTCCCATTGGCCAATGGCGATCATGAAACTGCCAACAACATCAATATCTGGGACAGTTACTCTGGCGAAGTGTGCAAGCGTCGCCTTTGGGCCATGCGAAACCCAGCCATGTTCCAAAGTCGACCTCCCTACCTCGGCACTCGGAACTCAGGTGCAGTAAAACTTTTCTTTTTTCTTAATTCTGTCCTCTATTCTTCCGCGACCGGCCCCAGACAAGCACGGCCGAAATGGATATTTACGAAACGCCACCCGTCATGGCGGGTGCGAGAGCCCATGTGAGTGGCGCGGGTGAGCACACATCCATTCTCGCCGCTTGGCTCCAAAAAAGGCTTGAGGGGAAAGAAGCTTGACTCGGTCCGGACTTGTGCTCATCCGATGTCTCTTCGAGAGGGCATGGGGGTTGGTGGTAAAGTCAAACGCTGCACAAACCCTTGCACAAAACCGTGGCGTCCGCCGAGTGTGTTTCCTCCTGGCCCCTGCCAAGATATTTCTGGGTGCTGATGGGTTTGGACTGCCCTGCCCTGTGGCTGGACCGGTGGGAGGAAGAGAGACTCAAAATCCCTCTTTGCCCGGCCCAAAGGCAAGGAAGAGGGGGGGGGGACGTGGTCCCATTTTGAATTGTTTCACGGTTTCGGATTTTAGAGTAATCGCCAGCAAACACTGGCAGACGCGATGAAACCACACCTGGCACCGGATCAGCCTGGAGCCGGCAGAGGTTAATCGTGGGCCAGAACTGGGTGCCCCCCCCACCCTAGCTGAAGCGGCTCTGCAAAGAGATATTGTCTGGAGGCCAAGTTTCTTCAACACGGAGTTTTGACTTTGTGACGCGGCGTAGCGCCTCCACGCCACTTTTCAGAGCTATAAGCATCCTGCAGTGTTTCGTTTTGCAAACTTCAGATGGTCAGTGTCGCTTGCCGAGTCTGCAAGATACACTCGATTGGGAGTGAACCTGCGCGGCATGAAATCTCCCAGTGGTGGCAGACATGTCGAGATGTAATTCAAAAGGCCCCTTCTGTGGTTTGTTGAGCATTTAGCTCGAAAAATGCACCCGCACATGGTGGTGCTCTTGTGCTGAATTGTGAAGAGGGAAGATGTATTATGTCAGCAAAGAGGGATGGCAGGGCATGGCGTGTGCAAGGTGGAGTGAGACGAGGGGTGGGGGCCCCACCCTGCCGTGGCCATGAAACCAGAGCTGGTCGCAGGGTTGTCAGATGTGAGTTTGAGCTGCCGATCCGGGGGGTTGCCCTCGCAGCCTTTTTTTTGTGTTGAAGGTTTTATGCTCAAAACCCGCCCTGCCGGGTTGTTTGTTCGTGAGCACTAACGAAGTGAAAACATGGGAGGGCACACCCTAACAACGTAATCCCTCATTCTGGCGATCAGTAAACAAACATCAGACCACGCACGGCTTTTCCACCCTCGACAGTTTGTGTGGCTGCTCTTTCCACCGAGTGCCAATATCAAACGAACTACGGCGCGCATCGTAAGCCACACAGGCACGCGGCGTCAGGATATCCATCCCGCCCGTAAGCGTAAGCGGCCTTACACCCTCTCTTGTCACTCTCCCCATGGCCACAACCACTGCTGCTGCCGCGGCCAAAGGCCAGAAAGCTCGATGGCCCGCTGACCTGCCTGCTGGCCTGCCTGCCTTGAGGGTCCCCTCGGTATTTTTGCTAAAAATGGACATTACCATCCCGTGTTCGCCTTACCCATGTGCTCTCCAGCATTGCATCGACACAAGTGGCTGAAAAAAATGGTAACCAGGTCCCTTGGCTGAGAGCGGGACGCTGTAAGTACATGCCCCCCCAGAGGCACCCATGCATGACCTCACCTGAGACCAGGGCTGCCGGATCACCCACAGGCATTAGAAGGGATGAGTTATGCGTAGAAGCCGGCACTCGACCGCTGATTAGCGCTGTGCCGTGTATCCAGGGACAATGATGAGGCCACATCAAGATTTTGGCTTGTGCATGCATTGTCTGATATTAGTACGGCCCTGGGCTGTGCCGGACTGTGTGCGTGGACAAAAGGCTTGGGGACGCATAATGTGATGGCCGCCGTCGTGACGGAACGTGAAACAGGCCACCCCCATCGGGGAATACAAGCTCGCGTTCTGCACTTGCAGTCTTTTGCAGTTCCTTATGCGTCCGGCGCCGCACGTGGCCAGCAGACGTGGTGAATGTGACGCCGCGAGACGGCGATAGAACAAATCCACAGTGGCGCAGGTGTCGGTTGGCGGGTGCCATCGAGGTGTGGTTGCGTTGCGTTGCGTTTGTTTATTGATCCTGACAGCACAGCCACGAGGTTGCAAACAGCGAGAGTCCCGTGCCCAGGGGCCGTGGCTGTGGAGTTTTCGAGGCGATTCAAGGCTCCTGTGGGTGCAACGCCGTGTGGAGACGGCAATCATCAGATGCCAACGTCGAGCGTCGAGCCGCCCCTCTTGTGCCAAGGGATGTTGTTCTGTAGCGCCGTGTAACGTCGTGTATCGCAGGTATCGCAGGTATCATATCGTATCGCATTGCCTGCCGACAACCAGAGCAGATCGCGATAAGCAGCAGCGTCGTTGGAACGATGATGACGCTGGCTGAAGAACCACGTCTGGAGTCAACATGTTGGGTGGTGCATGGGGAGGCGCCATCAGGGACGGGGCGGGTTTGAGGCTCTCTGCAGGCTGCAAGGGCCGGCCACTTGCAGGCACCGCGCAAGGGTCCCCCAGGGTCGCCCCTTCCCGGCAGGGGCTGTTACCGGTTGGTGCCCTGGCCGTGGCAGGGAAGGAAGCAGCAGCCCCTCTCTCTCCCCTCTGCCCTGTCTGGTGTTTTGCACCGGCTCTCGCAAGCATCTGCACTGTGGGAATGCCCTCCATGCGAAAACCACCTCGATCCTCGACCTCGACGATGCCAGAAACACGGGACTTGCACTGCCCGTCCCCATTCCTGCCGGCCCCTCGCTCCCAGCGACCCACCAGCATCGGCTGATCTGGTCCTTGACCGACTCTTCGTTGTTTACGGAGCCGCATCCTGCCCTCGAAACGCACCTGTTTAGAGCCCCCGCCGCCCGCAACCACCTTCTTAGCCTACCACCTATCGCGAAACACCCTGCTACACATGTCAACGCGGCCAGTGACGATGCTATGGCAGATCTTGCCCAGCTCTCCACAGCACAGCCATGGTGCCTCATGCTGCACCACGCGCCCCCCAAGGTTACAGCGTCGGCGGTGCTCGCCGTGAATCACTGCTGCGTCATGGCAGTGTTGTTTCGAACCTGTCAACGAAACCGAAGACCGTGGCCGAAATCCACGATGGACTAGTCGGATCAATGATGGAGCCAGTGTCCAGAAGGCCACCGTCGGGACTGCAGACTCTGAAGCACATCGTAGGCCGAGACTGGCACGCAGGACACTGGCATGCCCAGACAGAACTGCGGCTGTCAGACGTGCATCCATCCCATTATCACTGCTGTGCCCCTCGTGTTTCCAGGAGATCGGCTGCGCTCTTGCCGGGCGCCTGCTCAGGACGATGATAGCTCACCACCTGCTCGGCCGGGCTCGCCAGGCACTGAGCCGACACAAACAGCCTGCAGCCGGGTCGCCCACCAGGGCGGGCAGGCAAACATTGATTCTGGTTTCACAGCCGGGTCCTGGGACAAGCTCAAGGTTGGCGGCGCTATAGCAGCCCCAGACCATATGTCGCTGCTGTGGCTGCTCGCCTGTTTCGACCCCATCTGTGTCGGCGCATAAGGCCAAGCTCGCTGCTCGATGCCCAGCCTGTCCCATGTTTTTCTGGGGTTGCCGCTCATCTGCGACGGCCCTGCATGGGAGGGCCTGTCACCATGGGACGTTTGGGTGTCTCCGTCCCGCTTCAGACCCTGACAGCCCCTGCCCAGCCTAGAGCTCGCACTAGCCAGGGCCGGCCTTCAGCCCACCACCGCAACTGCAACGTTCTCGCCCGGGCCACACTCCCAAGATTGTCTATTACTACCACGGCCCGGCCGGCGCTCACGTCAATGATTCTAGCCCTCTCTATCCATTCTTCTCGATCATCTCAAGTCGACAACAAGGACCGCCTCATCGGTTCTGCCCTTTCAGTGTGCGCCTTCTCTTCTTCGCGGCTGGTACCACGCTCTTTTCTTCTCGTACATTTTGCTCTCCAACTGGCTTGGAAGCACTCCGTTCATTCTAATACCACCAACCTCTACCTACCGGCCCGTAGCCCTTCTAATCTTCGACGACAAGTCCAAAAGTGGAGCTACTACAATCATCGTGTCGAACCAGGACAGTGACTCTCATTTCCAACATCTTGGTCTAATACAACCAATTTCCGTCTCTTCCAATCCGCAAACATGTCTCCCTCTGTGGAATACGGGGCCCACCACTCGGCCATCTACACGCCCACCAGTGACATCATGGACCGTCACGATTACGGCGTGCACAAGCAGAGGAAAACTGCCTCGACAGGCGGCGGCAGAGCTTGGAGTGAAGACGAGGTATGTCAACATGGACACTTGCTACCGCAAATGGACCCAGCATGTGCTAACAACAGTACCCCCGACACAGGAAGTCTACCTTCTCCAGACCCGCCTGCAAAAAATGCCCTACAAGCACATTGCTGCTCACCTTAAGAAGACCGAGCTCGCTTGCCGGCTGCACTACCACCAACTGAGCCATGGCAGCAACCGCCGCCGGAGGACCGCATCAGTCTCTTCCTCGTCCTCCAACCACTCTCCAGTCCTGGCCGCTGCCGCCCCCTCGCCAATCATGGAACACAGCCCCCGCGAGATGACACCCCCTGGCAGCTCAGTCAGGCATGCCTCTCATTCACCTGACCCGCACGCCTATGTCAAGCTTCCCAGCATCATGGGCCGACCCGAGCCGTCGTCTCAACTTCCGGCCATCCTGCCCAAGCCCGCTGCCATGGGCCTTTCGCCTGAGGCTAGCCACTCTGCATACCACCACCGCATGCCTACGCCCGGGCCCGACATGTCTAAGCCCCTCGAGCCGTCTGCGTTCTCCCGCCCGTCGTCGTCACTTAGCCACCCCGAAACTCACAGCAACCTCCGCCTCGACTGCTCCTCCCTACCCCAGCCAGCTCCCTATGTCGATCTGGGCCGCCTGAGTGCTGTGTACGGCGCTCACCGAGCATCATTCTGGGGTGCCGTTGCTGCCGACTACGGCTCTGGGATGAGCCCAGCCGTCTTGGAGCAGGCGTGGAAGTCGAGCCTGGCCAAGCCGGCTACCTTTGCGCCCTTTGGTCATGGCCTTCCCATGACGCCAGCGACCAGCCCGAGCGAGCGTGAAAGCTCGGTCGACAGGCAAGGCCAGGACCGCACGCGGATTAGCGCCATCCTCGGAATCAACGCCAACCCTCGCAGCTTCCAGGAGCGGGAGATGGTGCGCAGGCTTGAAGAGGGGCAGACGGGGGCAATCATGACGCCCACGCACGCGTGAGGGAAAGAAGCGGCCCTCGTGGCCATGGCAACACAATACCTAGATGTTAATCTTTCTTCACTTCGACCCCGTGCTTGCCATTACTCTCTCTCTCCACCTCTTTTCAGATACCATACGACATTTTAACTTGACGGCCGGCTAGTGCATTTCCGGAATGGCGAATCCGATTTTGATCTTTGGGCATGGGGCGTGGCATTGCAAGCGTTTTATATTATTGTGGACGGCGGCTTTGGCTCTGAGGCCGTCGCTGATGGGCAGTAGGAACCCCGAGTAGGACTATGGCATCGAACCAGGAAGTGGTTCGTGATGGTGAGGGAGTTGGAATAAAAGAAAAACGGATTTCAGACATTACAGTGTGCCTCGTCCTTTGCTGCCTTGGCTGTGAGCGTGAAACGCCTCGTGGTCGTGTGCTCCATGTGTGCTGCATGCACATCGTTGAAACGACGGGGTGGTGGGCCTACGTTCTTCGGCAGCCCAACCGGCAGCTCGATCTTGTCAAGGAGAGATGTCCGCATATTATAATAGCGGGATTCGCCGGAGGCTACGTCTATCATACGGTCGGCCGCCCCACTTCCGGGCCAGTTTTCCCAGACCTTTCATAGCCAACTCTCGAGGCAATAATACAATCCAGGACATTGCATAACCCATAACAGTCAGATCGACAGTGTCGTGTGTGTACGAAGCGCCTGCGGTGTCGCCCCCAAGGCCCCTGTGCGCCCAGATCCTCATGCTGCGTTCTCTTGTGATGAGTTACATTGGAAGCTGGAGAAGGGATCTGGGGAGATCGATCGACATGTCTCGTTCCCCCCGGTTCGGGACCGGCAAATTGCGAATGCCCGTGTGGACCACTGACTGACCGACCGCTTCAACCGGGCTTCATTGTTGCGGAACCGTGGCCCTTGCGGTTCACACATACGTCACAGCAAATAACACACGTGTGTGTGTGCCAGACGATCAATCCGGACCATTTCCTCCCTAGCTAGAGCTAATTCCCGCCTAGCATTGTGTATGTGCGTGTGTGTGTAGGGCATTGCCTGAGTTGAGAGAAGTGCAAGTGGTTCGTGCAGGCGGAATTCGGCGGCCTAGGGCTATAGACAATACCCGTTGTTTAATCCCCCCCACGCGCGGTTATACAATTGACCTTACGACGCAGGCGCAGGGCCATGATTGAGTATACCTGGCCCCAACGATGGAGCAATTTAGCTCTATGTGCTACAACGAGCTTGCCAATAGGGCCGTGGGTAGAGAATCTGCCCATACGAGCAAAGACGCTCGGGGCAGGGGCCCTCAATGTCGAAGGAGCCGCCAAGAGCGCGCTATATGATGTGCAGGACGGGACCGGGAGGAGGATGGTGTACCATGCACTGATCCTTCGGAAAAGAATCTTTGGCCTGAGAGATTTGCTTATAAGTGCCAGGAAAGCACTACGGTTTGCGACGAGACCATCTTCTACAACCACACAAACACGTTCTTTGTCGTCCACGTCTACGTTCAGTTGCAAGTTTGTGTCAACGGTCCACCATTGTCTCTTTGACACCCCCGGCCACAACCCACCATTAAAGCCCTACCTTTGGTCCACGATCAGCAGCCATGGTCGCCTTGACTCCGGTCTTGCTCGCTGCTAGCAGTGTTGTTGGCCTCAGCCAGGCCGCCGCCGCCGCCGCCGTTGCTGCTGCTGCTCCTCAGCCTCGTGCCGTGGCGTACAAGACGTACAAAGGAGACGGGACTGTTGCTCAAGGATGGCCCGACGTGTCTCAGTGGGCGAGCTTTGACACGATGTAAGCCTCGCCCCTGCCCTCTTCCCCCCCGTCTCCCAAACATGACGAGAGAAAAGTGACAGCGTGCACTTGATTTTGCTAACACGATGTTCAAATTACCTTTTTTAACAGCTGGGCCAACAACGTGGGCCCCTCTGCAGGAGCGTGCAGATGGCTCGAGGTCGGGGCGAACTCTGACGCCGAGAACGCGGTGATGAAGGCGGCCATCATGCAGGCCGGCAAGGACACGGGCCTTGACCCGCGCTTCATCCTGGCGGCCGTGTACCAGGAGTCGTCGGGGTGCGTGCGCATGTACACGACGCGGTCGACGACCCAGGGGTACCGCAACCCGGGGCTCCTGCAGTCCTTCATGGGCGAGCACACGTGCAACGACCCCGTCGCGGGGATCCCGCTACTGACGCCGTGCCCGGACGCGCAGATCCGGGGCATGATCACCGACGGGGTCGGGCTGACGACGTCGGACGGGCTCATGCAGACGGTGGCGCGGAGCAAGGCGACGGACGTGAGCCGGTACTACAAGGGGGCGCTGCTGTACAACTCGGGCGTGATGCCGGCGTCGGGGAACCTGGGCCAGGGCCGGTCGAACCCGTGCTACTCGAGCGACATTGCCAACCGCGTCATGGGGTGGATCGACGACCAGTCGCCGTGCAACCGTCGGTCTCTGATGATTGATGGATGGCCCCCCGGCCGACAGCTCTCTCTCTCTCTCTCTCCCCAACCGAGAAGGAGACGAGCCGAAGAGGACGGGACGCGAGACGGGGTCCAGAAGTGGGGGAGGGTGGTGTGGTGGTGGTTGCTGGTGCTTTGAATTGGGCCGAGCCGGATAGGCCAGGCCAGTCGGAGGACGAAGGAGGAGGGAGGTAACAGGACTTACTGGACTCGAGGTGGAGATGGAGCGAGCTTCGGCCCCGCATCTCCACGTCTTCTCCACATTCCCCGCGCTCTCGGCCTGCGATGGCGCGACACCGGAGGGCGGCAGACACGAAGTAGAGGAAAGGAAAAAAAAAGAGGGTTTCCGAGCCCCCAGCCTAGATTTGCTGCTGCTGTTGGTCGTTGTCTTACGTACGTGCCTACCTAGTCTCAGAGCAGTCTAATAGAGTCTTGTCCCCGCTCCCCCCGCCGCGCTGGTGGTTTGCAAAGTGGGAAAACAAAGCTGGCTGGCTTGGAGAGCTCTTTTTAAAATCTGCCCCAAGATCCTTCTTCTCCCTCCCCGGGCCAGACTCCGCATCCTTCCCCAACTTCCTCTTGGCTGAGCTGAGCAGCCATTGTCAAAACACAGGTCAGCACCAGCGCTCAGGTGCTACACGTATACGACCCCGAGTGGATTCACTGAGCCGGGAAGAACACCAAAAAGACAAGAAGAAAAGAAGGAAACAGACAGACACACACGCATACATACACACACAGGCAGCCACAAACCATGAGCGACGTCCCCGGAGCAGGAGGACTCGGCGGAGGAGGCATCACCGACCCAAAGTCGGACCCCCAGTACATCCAGTTCAAGGCCCTTCCCGCCGACTCGGGCAAGCTGAACCGCTGGAGCAGCGAGGTCACGCGCGGCCATGAGTTCCCCGGTGCTCAGGTCAGTTTTTGCTTTTCTCAGACTTTTTTTTGTTTGTCATCCCTGTCGTCCTCTTGTCCTGTTGTTTGTTCCTGGTCCTCTTCCTCCGCGGGGCAAGAGAAGTGGTTGGTGAGCTTGGGCTGGGATCATAATGGTGTCGCTCTTCTTCTTGTTCTTGTTCTTCTTGTTCTTCTACTTGGCATCCATCTAGCCGAGCATGGGTCACGGAAAGGCTGACTTGGACCGGGTGAGCAATGTTTGGGATATGTAACAGGCCATGCTGTACGCCGCCGGAGTGCCCGACGAGGACATGATGAAGAATGCGCCACAGGTGGGCATCTCGACCGTCTGGTGGGAAGGGAATCCTTGCAAGTGAGTTAACCTTTGGCCTCTCCCTCTCTTTTTCAGTGCTCTGGAGTACCGGCCTTGTTGCTGACAGGTGATGAAAAAAAAGCACTCACCGTAAGTCTGAACAACAAGTCACGGCAAATCCACACGATGAGCGTGTTTCGGCCCCCCGACTATGACAAGGGGCGGATTGGGGCAGGCGGATGCTAACGTCTACTCGGGTAACCAGTACTCGAGTTTGGCAAGATTGTCAAGAAGTCGGTCGAGAAGCAAAAGATGCTGGCGTGGCAGTACAACGCAGTGGGCGTGTCCGACGCCATCACCATGGGTGGTGAGGGTATGTAACTCGTGCCCTCTTGCTTGACATTGGGCATCCTTCACACACACGCAGACGAAAACACTGACATGCAAGACAAACATCACCAGGCATGCGATACTCTTTGCAATCCCGCGACCTCATTGCCGACAGCATCGAGACGGTCACGTGCGCGCAACGCCACGACGCCAACATCTCGATCCCGGGCTGCGACAAGAACATGCCCGGCGTGGTCATGGCGGCGGCGCGGCACAACCGGCCCTTCATCATGATCTACGGCGGCACGATCCGCAAGGGCTACTCGCAGCTGCTCGAGCGCGAGATCAACGTGAGCACGTGTTACGAGGCCGCGGGCGCCTTTGCGTACGGCAAGCTCCAGGCCAAGACGAACCCGGGCGCCCCCGGCCGCACGCCTAGTGACGTCATGTCGGACCTCGAGCAGCACGCGTGCCCCGGCGCCGGCGCGTGCGGCGGCATGTACACGGCCAACACGATGGCGACGGCCATCGAGGCCATGGGGCTCACCCTGCCGGGATCCTCGTCGTACCCGGCGCTCTCGCCCGAGAAGGCGCGAGAGTGCGAGCGGGCGGGCGAGGTCATCAAGACGACCATGGCCAAGGACATCCGGCCGCGGGACCTGCTGACCAAGGAGGCGTTTGAGAACGCGCTCGTCATCACCATGATCCTGGGCGGCTCGACCAACGGCGTGCTGCACTTCCTGGCCATGGCCAACACGGCCGAGGTGGGCCTGACGATCGACGACGTGCAGCGCGTCAGCGACAAGACGCCCTTCCTGGCGGACCTGCAGCCCTCGGGCAAGTACATGATGGAGGACCTGTACAAGGTCGGGGGCACGCCGTCTGTGCTCAAGATGCTGATTGCGGCGGGGCGCATCAACGGCGACATCATGACGGTCACGGGCAAGACGCTGGCCGAGAACGTGGCCGACTGGCCGAGCCTGCCGCCGGACCAGAAGATCATCCGGCCGCTGTCGGACCCGATCAAGGCGTCGGGCCACATCCGGATCCTGCGGGGCAACTTTGCGCCAGAGGGCGCGGTGGCCAAGATCACGGGCAAGGAAGGGCTGAGCTTTGAGGGCAAGGCCAAGGTGTTCAACGAGGAGCAGGAGCTCAACGAGGCGCTGAGCCGGGGTGAGATACCGCCGGGAGACAAGCTGGTGCTGGTGGTGCGGTACGAGGGCCCCAAGGGCGGGCCGGGGATGCCGGAGCAGCTGCGGGCGTCGGCGGCCATCATGGGCGCGGGGCTCAAGAACATTGCGCTGGTGACGGACGGGCGGTACAGCGGCGCGAGCCACGGCTTCATTGTCGGGCACGTGACACCCGAGGCGGCGCGGGGCGGGCCGATTGCGCTGGTAAGGGACGGCGACACGATCCTGATTGACGCGGTGACGAACCGCATCGACATTACCAATGTGGACGACGCGGAGCTGGAGCGTAGGCGTAGCGAGTGGGTGGCGCCGCCGCCACGGGTGCGCAGAGGCGTGCTGGCAAAGTATGCCCGCCTCGTCGGCGACGCGTCCCACGGCGCGGTGACGGATCAGTGGGACGACTGAGCATCGTGATGATGTTGATGGTTTGCGATGTTGCTAAGAGGGGGTGGGTGAAGTGCAACAATCTGCTGCTGTAGATGGGCCAGAAGTTGAGAACTGCAGAACTTTGTAGGTTCAGGAATGAAGCAAAAAAGAATGAGATATCAGGTCTACACAGCGAGGTGATTGATGGAAACGATGACAAGTCAATAGTGACCTTGTTCTTGTCTGGACTGACCAGCCCATTCACGAATCCAATTGTAGGCAGGGGCTCCGTCTGGCAGTCGCGCCCTTGACAATCTCCACCTTTGGCTTTGCTCCGGCGGGGTCCTGCAGGCGGGCTCCACTAAAAAGTCTGGAGGGGTCCTTCTTTTCTTCCAGAGCTCCTGCCAAACTCGTTTTTTACCTGATCTGGTGGGCAGCCCGTGACAGCCTCACTACCACGCAAACAAACACACTGAACGAATATTCTCTCACACCGCCGCCCAGCCATTCCCCACAACAATGTCGAAGCGCGTGGCCGATCACGACACCGGCGACACGCCCCTCAAGGGCGGCGACCGCCCCGAGCCCATGGACGTCGACGGCGACCGCGAGATGGGCGAGTTCGAGGATGAGTTCGAGGACGAGTTCGAGAGCGAGGACGAGATTTTCGAGGCCGGCGTCGACGGCCGCCCCGACGCAGAGCGTGAGGCGGACGAAAAGGCTGCCGCCGCCATGGACGTCGATGCCAATGGCACCTTCATCGTCGGCCGCAACAAGCTCGAGGCCGGCCAGCACCTCGCCCCCGATGTCACCACATACGAGATGCTGCACAACCTCAGCACCCCATGGCCCTGCCTCTCCTTCGACATCATCCGCGACCGCCTCGGCGACAAGCGCGAGCGCGCTTACCCGGCCACCATGTTCACCGTCGCCGGCACCCAGGCCGGAGCTGGCCGCGAGAAGGAGAACGAGCTCATGGTCCTCAAGTTCAGCGGCCTCAGCCGCATGCAGCGCGACGGCAACGACTCGGACTCGGACGACGACGATGATGACGAGGACTCGGACCCCATCCTCGAGGCCAAGTCGATCCCCCTGACGTCAACCACGAACCGAGTCCGCGCCCACCAGGTGCCCAACAGCCAGGACCCCAACGGCCCGGCCACCACGCTGGTGGCCGCCATGACCGAGTCCAGCAACGTCCTCATTCACGACATCACCCCGCATCTCGCCTCCTTTGACACCCCCGGAATGATTGTCAGCCCTCAGCAGAACAAGCCGATCTGCACTATCCGTGCCCACAAATCCGAAGGCTATGCCCTGGACTGGTCTCCGCTCGTCCCCGAGGGGAAGCTCCTGACCGGAGACAACGACGGCCTCATCTACGTCACCACCCGCACTGCCGGCGGCGGCCTCGTCACCGACACGCGGCCCTTCCAGGGCCACACCAGCAGCGTCGAGGAGATCCAGTGGTCCCCGAGCGAGGCGTCCGTCTTCGCGTCTGCCTCGAGCGACGGCACCGTCCGCGTCTGGGACGTGCGCAGCAAGTCCCGCAAGCCCGCCCTCACCGTGCAGGTGAGCGACGTCGACGTCAACGTCATGTCCTGGTCGCGCCTGACCACACACCTCCTCGCGACGGGCGACGACAACGGCGTCTGGGGCGTCTGGGACCTGCGGTCATGGAAGGCCGGCGCGGCCACGGAGAAGCCCACCCCGATCGCCAGCTTCGCCTACCACAAGGAGCAGATCACCAGCATCGAGTGGCACCCGACCGACGACAGCATGATTGCCGTCGGCGCGGGCGACCACAAGGTCACCCTGTGGGATCTGTCCGTCGAGCTGGACGACGAGGAGAGCAAGGACACGGCCGGCGTCAAGGACATGCCCCCGCAGCTGCTCTTTGAGCACTACTCGGAGCACACAAAGGAGGTCCACTGGCACCCGCAGATTCCCGGCACGCTCGTCGCGACGGGCCAGGAGTTTAGCATCTTCCGGCCCATCCCTGTCGTCTTTGGTGTGCAGGGCAAGTAGACCGGCGACGGGCAGCAAAAAGGACGGATGGGAGATGGAGAGGGAGATCAAGGGAAGCTTCTCACGACGAGAACGAGGGAAACAAATACGAGACCAGAGAAAGGGAAGACAGGGGGTACAAAGGGCATGACTGAATGATTCGACACTTGCACACATTTTCTCCGGCGTTTTGGCTAGACAAATACATCTCTTTACCCATTCACAATCCCCGCGCAAAGAATATCACACCGAGGCGGATGATCACGTTTTAGACCTGCAGTGACTATCATTCATGTATTGTTTATGCTTCCCGTGGCTCGGATGATGATTTTCGCTTGTTACCAATATTCAAAGACAACCCCAGGGGAGCGCGAGAGCCCTGGCCCCCGAGATTTATTTCCCAGACACGGGGCCCTTTCTCCCAAAACAAAAGATGCAATCACGGCCCATCAACCATGCGCCCGCACTTGCCACACATGAAGCGCTGCTTGCCGCCAACTCTCTTGGATTTGAACTCGCGGCTGCCGCACTTGGAACACTCCATCTCGTCGCCCTCTCCCTCGCCGCCGTCGTCGCTCGTCAGCTCCGCGCTGAGCTGGCTGACGACCGAGCCCGATCGCAGGTCTACGGACCCGCGAATCACACTGAGCTGCCGGTGGCCACCCGAGTGTTCGGCGCCGGGAGAGTGCCCGCCGCTGCTGCCGTGATCCTCGCTCGGACGCGTGATGGTGGTCGTGGGGATGGAGAAGCCGGGCAGCTTGTCCAGGAGACGCCTCGTGGGTGACCCTCTGCCCTCGCCCGACTTTCGTGGCTGCTGCTCGTTGTTACTGTCGCGTTCGGGAGATACTGACATTGGCGACCTGTCACCCGAGGAACCTCGGCGGTTGATCATGTTACCAACGGACAGCAGGCTCGGCAGATTTGGCGTGGTTGCTTCCCGACGCGGGGCGGCATCCCCAGTTGTCAAGGTTTTTGGATCAGACGCAGCCCTGGTGGAAGGCAGGTTGCCGGTGCTCTGAGTATTGGCGACGTGCCCACTTCGAAGTCCGCCCATGTTGCGCCAGCGGTTGAGGTTCCAGAACGAGTAGCTTGCGCCCGCAGCGTCAAGGTTCAGCACGTTGTCTTGATGTTCGTCCTCGTCGGCAGACATGAGCGAGAAGCTGGGCGTCGGGGGGACTGTCTGCGCATCGGCTCTTGCCAAGTCTCGGCCACGGACAGGCTGACTGAAGCTTGACGTGGGAGAGAGCGGTGTGGTCGGGGTTATATTGGTATACACTTCCCTCCTCGCGCTTGACGCCAGATTCGTCAGGCTGGCTGTGGCGAGAGGGGTGCGTGCCGCTTTGCTGGGTGAGACGGAACGTTCACTGGGTGTTGGCGTCGATACGCTGACTGAGACGGGCCGGCTGCGCGGGAGCGTATGGTAGTGGCCGCCCTCGATGCCCTGTCGCCAAGAGTTTATCTGGTCAGGAGTCATCTGTTGGCCCGGCGCGAATGCCTGCACGAGCGAGCCGCGGCGAGACTGCACTATGGAGCTGCGACGGGAGTGATGGCCGCCTCCGCTCGTCCGTGTCATGATACTGCCCGTGCGCCCGAGAACGTTGTCTTTTCCAATCTTCTTCGAAAAGGCAGATGTCGTTTCCCAGCTTTCCTGGGCTTGCCGCCTCTTGACAAAGGCGCAGTCTTGCCGGAAGACCTTGATGCCACCTGTGCGGTCTGTCGTCACGATGATGTTGCCATCATCATGGGCCGAGCGCGCGATGAACGCTGGGGACTCTTCAGGCTTCTTGCGAAAAGATGGTGCCTCAGACAGAGAGTCGTCATGTACCGTAGACTTTTCCTCCTCTTCCCTGCTGAGTAGTGTCACCGGTGGAGGGTTGCATAGAGTGTAGACTGGGTCGTCAGACGCCTGCAGCAGCATTCGAGTTTCCCGAGGCGCAAAGATGGCCTCGGTGACCACATCAGTGTGTGCCTCGAAATACTCGCAGGGCCTTTTGTCGTCCTTGTCGGCGTCATCAACGGTCGCTGACCAGATAAAGACTCGCCGGTCTTCACTGCCGCAGACGATGTATTTCCCGTCGTCGCTGAAATTGGCTCCTATCTGGTTGCAGGCATTTTCCAGCCCTTTCAGCTTCGCCACCAAGGTCTTGTCCTTGAGGTCGTATATCCGGATTCGGGAGTCATTCGATGTGACAAGCACGCGGACAGTGCTGCTGCCTGTGCGGCTGTTGGTGTATTGTTTGGTTGTTATGCCAGCAATCTTGCTCCCCTTTGCGTTCTTGCCTCTAGAGGAGCGCACGTGGACTTGCGTCTGCAGTGTAAGGCTAATGGTGTCATAGAAGACGCAGACTCCATTCAGACATCCGGCTATTGACGTTTTACCGTCTGGAGAAAATGCCACGGCAGTGATGAGGTCGGACAGCTGGGCCGAGTACGCGATTGACTTGTCTGGTATGCTCCATAGGCGCAGTGTGGCATCCAGGGAGCCGGCAAGAAAGAAGCGATCGTCCCGAGGGTGAAATGCGATGGAAGTCACAAAGTCCTTGTGCTTGAATGTGCACAAGCACTCTGGGCGGCTCATATGCCACAGCTTGACTGTCTTGTCCATTGAGGATGAGAGGAGGAAGTTGTTCTTGCTCCAGCTGAGGTCCAGGATGTCGCTAGTATGGCCCGTGAACTCCTGGAGTGGTTCTGAGCTAAAGACGGGAGCACTCAGCCGCTGATTGTGCCCTTGCGTGTCCGATTGGCTTTCGTTCGCCTCGTAGGCTCTCCTGTCCCCAGGTGTGGCCAGGATTGCCCAGATGCGGACGACTCTGTCCTTGCCACCAGTTGCGAGATATCGTCCGTCCTTGCTGAACTCCATGGCCCAGATTGGACCACCCCCACCCGAGGTTGATGCACTCTTGTCCGACGGCGCGATAGGCTTCGTGCCCTCAAGCTCCTGCGCAAGAAAGAGGCGATGGAACTCGCGAACCTTCTTGTTATGCGCCCGCATGCGCACGAAGCGAGGCGGCTCTTTGTGCCGCGGGATGTAGCCACTAGCATTGATGGCCGAAGTGAAGGCCATGGCATCGGCACCTTCGATGCGGCGCTCGCTGCCGATTTCGGAGTCATCGTCCGGGATGTCATCGTCGCGCTTCTTGTTTCCCCCACCAATCATGCTCAGGCGACTTAGAAACGAGCCAGCCTTTCTATGGTAATGGTAGTCACAATCAGCAAGCCGCGCCATTATTGAACCTGACTGTAAAGGGAAAAAGAAAGACTCACTTCTTATCTTTTGTCTGCTCTACCTGGCCGAACGTTTGTTTCGCAGACAGGTCTGAGCTTGGGCGAGGTAGACCGTCATTGGCAGGGCTTTCTGGCCTGACTGGAGTACGCAGTCGATTTGCTAGACTGCGATCCGTGTTTGTCCTTGCAAAGATGTGCTGTTTGTGTTGTCGAGGACAAACGGGTGAGCCAGGGCTTCAGAAGCACGAGACAATCAGAGGAGTCGACAGCTAGACTGACCTGGGACAACGGATCAATGCCCGAGGATAAGTCGGTCGTCGTCGGCGAAGATGGAGGAGCAGCATGGCTATTGGCGGAGGAGACCTTCTGGTCTCTATGGTCGCTAGGTTCCTTAGATAGCTTGGCATCCTTATCCTTGGTCTCGGGTGTTGCAGCATCCCTGCGGGGAATCTTGACCGAAAGGTGCTTGTTGTGCGAGGGCGCCACAGGACTGGAAACGCTGGTGCCTGGGGACAATCATTAGCACAGCCATTCTCCGTTATTGGAGAGGAACCAATGGTTCACGGCAGCCGCTCCTGCAGGAACAGAGGCATTTCCGAGGCTAGCAGCTGATGATGGCCTAGGCGTCCCAAGCAAGGCCTTGGAGAAGCAGGTTGTTTGTAAGGCCCAGGCAGCGAGATAACCTGCAGGAGGAGTCGAGGCTAGACAGACACCGCGCGTGCTTTAGATGCACGAGCAAAGTGCTCGTCTCCACTCTGCTCGGGAGCAACGTCGACGCTGGGCACGGAAGTAGCGGGATCGCGGAAAACCAACCTGTGTCTGCGGCGCCTGGGCTGGCAAATGTGGCCTCGGCGGCAGGAGATAGTGGTGATGCCCTGAGCTGGCGTCCCGAGGGCGGCTGCGAGGAGGACTGGAGGACAGAGGTGGTGCCGAGGCTCCTGCGACGGGCGGGCGAGGACGAGGCCGAGTCGCGGGATCGCCGCCCGGGCCGGTGCAGATCGCCGTTGCTGCTGGCAAGGCCGCTGTCGTGGTCCATTGCCGGGGAGCCGTCCGTGGCAGCGCGACCTGGCGATGGCGGGCTGCTGGATCGTCGTCCGTGGGTACTGTAGGCGTCGTCGACGTGGCTGTCGCGCGCGCCGCTCAGGAGCTCGGGTGCTGTGGCTCGTGGGAAGGAGGGTCAATGCTGTGCTGGGGCCTCATGAGCCAAGCCGCCCCGGGGTCCAGCCAGGTCATTGATGCGGCGGAGCTTTACGACCGTAAAGTGGTGGGGAAATCCTGCAGCAGGTTGAGCCGCCTGGGAATGAGGGTAAATGAAACCGTCGCGTGTCGATGGGGAAACGCCGTCTCGGGAGGCACGGCTGGTGAGAGATGACGTTAGCCTGCCACAGTCAGCTCGTTCCAGTGGAGGGAGGCTGCGGCGACTCCCCAACCAACCCACCGCTAGGTTTGGGACAAGCTTTCCACGCGAGCCCACCACACACTTGCACCACACACACAGCCGCAGCTGGGCTCGGCTTAGATGGACATGCAGGGTCCACAACCAGCCAATGACTTAAATTGCCGTCCACATGGGCTTCACGAATGCCATCCGGCCAGAACGACATGTCTTGGTATCATTGTCTACATCGGTGGAGGTCCGCGCCACGTCCACCACGCGGTCGGCACACGCAGCGGAGTTCTATATCACCATCTCCTCCCCTTCGCCCCCGTCACCTCCTCCCTCGTCGTCGCTTTCGTCCAGATCCAAGATCGGGTACGTTAATGTGCAGGCAATCCCCCCCAGAGCATCGAGCCTCTGCCCGCTCTCGTGGTCGCTGCTCAGTATCCTCGCCTCGCCACCGTCCTCCTTGACCTTGTCCACCATGGCCACATAGCGCTTCCGCGTCGCAATGTCCATGCTCCGGAACAGCGAGTTGTTGATCAGCAGCACACCACCGCCCCGGCCCACCGCGCCCTCCATGACGGCCTTCTCCACTGGTGCCGTCCCGTACCACGCCCGCCCGTCGTCTCGCCGCAGCTTGTCAAAGAAGTCGTCCATCGCCCGCGTCTCCTTGGAGAACTTCATGTCCTTCATCGTCGCCGTCACCTCGCTGCTCTTGAGGATCTCGTTGAGGCTGTGCAGGTGGCCCGAGCTCGAGTGCACCACCGTCGCCTGCTTCGCCATTGCCTGCATGCTCTTGTCCGCCCTCCGCAGGCCCTCGTCGCCAATGTACTTTTTGAAGTCGCCCGCGACGAAGCCCGGGCTGGCCAGCAGCAGCGGCCGGGGCTTGGAGAAGTCGACGCTCCGCAGCAGTGTCGACAGCGTCTTTTCAAAGAAGCGCCGCATGCCCGAGTCCTGGTCGGAGCTGGCGGAGCGCTTCTTGGGGATGCTGCTCTCGACGCGCTGCTTGAGGATGGTGCGGTATTCTGTGATGATGCAGATGTTTGCGATGCCCTCCTGCATGACGACCGCCGCGACGGCGCCCTCCTTGTCCTGCTTCAGGGCGTCCTGCAGGGTCTCCTTGGCGACCGAGTCCCAGCCGTGCTTTTTCCATATCGTAAAGGGCCGGTGCAGCTCGAGGTCGAGGGTGTGGTACTGGCCAATGTTGACCCAGTTGTTCTCGACAATGACGGTGCCCGAGACGTGCAGGGCGGACGCGGCCGGGTCGAAAAAGGTCGAGGTGACGCGGATTGTGAGGTCGGTGTGGACGCGCTCGGAGCTGGTGCTGCCCGTCTTGGTCTCGAGGACGACCTTGCGGACGGCGTGGGCGCGGATAATGTCGTCGGTGCTGATGAGGTTGTTGGCGTGCCACATGTCCTCTGGGTCGATGGGGATCAGGCCGACGCCTTCCTCGTCGATGTCGTCGATGCTCTGCACTGCCTTGGACTTGACGAGTTGCATGGTGGCTGCTTGTTGGGCTCGAGGCCGGCGGCGTGTCTGTGTTTGCGGGTGGTGTCCTTTCTGTCCGAGAGTCGAGCCCCAATTGTCGATACGAGGTGAAGTGCTGCAGATGGGATGTTGTGACTGATTCGATACGTCTGCTCAATCCGAGGACAGGATGCCAAAGCGCGCGTGTCCCACGTGCTCTGTTGTGCTGTACGCAGAGTAAAGACAGGCCTGAATGTTTTTTTTTCTTCTCTTCTCGTGCTCAAGGCTGCAGTTGGGCGTCGGAGATGGCTTGCGACAGTGACAATGACCCCACCAGGCTGGCGACGATTCAGGGCGGAGGTCGCATAATCATGACGCAGGGGCGGGGTAGCTCCAGGCCTTACCAGCCAGGGCACTCTGTCAACAGTTTTTTATCCTTCTTGCTTGTGCAACCACCCTCCCGCAAGCACTGTTCCATGTGGTGGAGATTAGAGGTGCCCGCGATGGGGATCTTGCATGGCGTGGCCTCGGGGACCACTGTAGTCAGCGGAGCTTATATCTCCGCGCCGGGCTTTATATGGCCGGACACCGTCTGAGTTAACGATGGTGCTCGTCGTCAACCATGTCGTCGTTGGATTTGGTGCTGCTCGTGCGATCACTTTGCACGAAACATGAACGTGACGGCAGAGCTCACAGTAGCCACACCGGAGATAAGCCTCGGGGCCGGCTACCGTTGGCCATGAATCTTGCGAGCAAGCTTGGCGATGTTGGGCAATTCTGATTGCGGGTATGAGCTTCAACTTCCGACGGATCGGTGTTGCTGGCCTTGGTGATTCCCTTGCCAGTTCCATCCGCTCGAGACGGCTATCGTAAGCAGCCTCAATCGGCCGCTTTGCCTATGTCGAGGTCCTCGCATTTCCCGGTTTGCAGCTTTGCATAGCCGGCCCGCCTTTGATCGGCTATGCTCCTGGAGGCATTCGCCCCTCACCTTCGGGGTGCGTCGCGGCTTCTCTCAGCCTGCACTCGCCATCCCCAGCCTAGCCTCGACGGCACCAGGTCCCCCGTGCGGGCACATATAAACCTTCTCCTCCCTCGCGCCTTCAGCCGCTCTGTTCATGTCGACACCCACAACCTGTCTTCTTCTGCTTCCAAGATCCCTCCCGCCAGAACCGTCATCATGGCTTCCATCACCGCGCAGTCCGCCTTCAAGCTCAACAGCGGCTATGAGCTGCCCCTCGTCGGCTTTGGTGTAAGTCCTCCCACCTCTCCTCCCATGGGCAATCCGTGCCAGGCGCTAACTTGCCATTCCCCAAGGTCTACCAAATGTAAGCCCATTCATTCCATGATATGCAGTCTTGGCGGAGTCCACGGTTTGACAAGGTTGGGGATCGTGCGTACTGACCAACGTCTCTATTTTTCGCGCAACAGCCCTGCCGCCGAGGCGGAAAAGGCCACAGCCGAGGCCCTCAAGGTCGGCTACCGCCACATCGACTCGGCCGCGGCCTACAAGAACGAGGCTGCCTGCGGCGAGGCCATCCGCAAGAGCGGCGTGCCCCGCGGCGACATCTTCTACACCACCAAGATCCCCCCGGGAAAGAACATGGGCTACGAGGCAGCCAAGGCCCAGATCGACACGAGCCTCAAGGAGGCCGGCTTTGACTACCTGGACCTCGTCCTGTTCCACGCGCCCTACGGCGGCTCCGCTGTGCGCAAGCAGGTCTGGAAGGCCCTGGTCGAGGCCGTCGAGGAAGGCAAGGTCCGCTCCATCGGCGTCAGCAACTACGGCGTCCACCACCTCGACGAGCTCGAGCAGCACATCAAGGAGCTCGAGGCCGAGCGCGGGGGCCCCGGCAAGGGCGGCGTGCTCTCGGTCGTCCAGCACGAGGCCCACCCGTGGTGCGTCCGCAAAGACATTGCCGAGTGGAGCGCCAAGCGTAACGTCGCCGTCGAGGCCTACTGCCCGCTCGTGCGCGGCCAGCGCGCCGAGGACAAGACCCTCGCCAAGCTGAGCGAGAAATACGGCAAGACCTGGGCCCAGGTCCTGACCCGCTGGAGTCTGCAGAAGGGGTTTGTCCCTCTACCCAAGAGCGTCACGCCCTCGCGCATCAAGGACAACTTTGCGGTCTTTGACTTTGAGCTCACGCCCGAAGAGGTCGCCGAGCTCGAGACGGACGAGTACTCGCCGATTGCCTGGGATCCCGTCAAGAGTGGTCTCGACGACTAAGGGTGGTTTGGAGGCATAGATTGACGCTCAGTACGATGAGACGCAGGTAGCACAGCAACTTCGAGTGAACCAAGACTCCAAGAAGGCGCAGCCAATTCTACGCAGCCCTGCTCTTGTTCTCATCCAGTCACGCAGAACAAAGCCGTGAATGCAGCATCAATCAAGTACCACGTCATCAACCTTGATGTCACGCCAGCCAGGCCGACTCAGTCAAAAGCTGTGAGAAGTCTTTACGTTGCCAGGTCAGAACAAAAAAGTCGTGATGTATATTTTTGCAAGTTCCCTAAACACCGATTCTTTTGCCCATTTAAAGCAATGCCCCAATACGCCAAAGATTGCCCCGTAATTGTTGTACACGTTGAATGTTCTGCAGTCCCGCCACAGAAGAGGAAAGTCATTACACATATAAACACACCCCACACTTGCTCGTTATTACTCATAGAACCTCTCATTCCAGTCGAACTCGAGCTGCTCCACGGGCAGCGGCCACCAGCTCATCAGCGGGCCCTCGATGTGATCGACATGCTGCTCCGCTGGAAGCGCTGCGAATCCAGCAGCAGCCTTGACGGCGGCGGCACCGGGCTGCTGCAGTGCCTGCGAGCGCCGGGCCTCTGCCGCCGCCGCACTGTCGCGCTTGCGGTCCAGCACGGGCCGGACGGGTGGCATGTCGCTGCCGGGCGGGGAGCCGATGTGGTGGGTGTGGAAGTGCCGGCAGGGGCGGCTCGTGTTGGCGGTGCGTGTCACTGGGTCGCCGTTGTTGCTGCTGCCGCTACTGCTGTTGCTGTACAAGTCCTCGTCGTTGTCCTCGTCGTCGGTGGAGATGGCACACTCGTCCTCGTCGTCAGAGTGGTACTGGTAGACTGAGAAGCGGATGTTGTTGTTATTTTTGGTGCTCTTGTGACGCGGATAGTGTTTGGCGGGAGTGGCAGTGGTGTCGGCGAGGATGACGCTGGGGGCGTCGGTGTAGTAGTCGTCAAACGCACCCGCGATGGCCTCGAGGTAGTGCGCCTGGCTGGTACTTGTGCTGGTGGGTGCCTCGTCCCTGACGGGCGCGGTCTTGACGGGTGTGTAGTCCTGGACCGCGTCGTCGTCTTGGTGGAAGGACGCGACTGGGGATATCCCGTGGAAGAGATATGCAGAGATGTCGTCCTCGTTGTAGACGGAGATGATGGGGGACTCGGCCTCGTCGTCGTAGTAGTAGTGCCTGATGGCGAGGGCGGCCTTTGGGGGAGGGGTGATGGGGTCCTGGGCTTGGTGCCTGAGGATGTCTTCGAGCTGGAAGATGTCGCCTTGCATTGCAGAGGGGCTGGTGTTATTGTTCAGGATGTTGTTGATGTTGTTGTTTGTGGAGTTGGCTGATGGTGGTGTTTGTGAATGTCCATGGCGGGACCGGGACTGGCCATGATGAAGGTTGTGCCGACTTTATAAGCCATCTTCCTGTCTTGTCTAGGAGTCTTTGTCTCAGGCTTCTAAAAGTCTTGTGTGGTATTCCTGCTTCACCCGAAGAAAGCAAACCTGGGTGTGCCTGTGACCATGTTGATGCATGTGTCATCCACGATGAGCCGTTGCTCTTGCCCTTGTGGAGTTGGCAATGGGCCAATGGTGGTGGAGCCCCGGCAGCGGCCGGCGCCTGCAAATGCCCTCCAGGGCTGCCGGGCCTGCGGAGGGACGTGCTTCCAGGCGGAGACCGCTGGAGCCAGCACTGCAGGGCACTGCAACGCACGCCTTGGCAGTAGCTGACTGTGGCTCTGTCTTCTGACTAACATACCACCAGGACGCCCCTTCCGACCGCACCCGCCCGCCGGCCACACCCGATCACTCGTCACCTCATCCAACCTCTGTCGCTGCATACGCATGACGACAACGACTGTGCACATCATCACGGCTGTCTGAACAGACAACCGCACGTCGCCTCAAGTCGCCATCAGGATCTCCCGGCACTGGCAGCAGCAGTCTCTCAGACGCCACTTCAGTCGCAATTGAGTCTTAGATCCCACTTCCCCTGCTGCGTGGCAGGAAACTGGGGCCTGGCACGAACCCACGACCCTTGACGAAGACTCACGGTGCGTGGTCAGTTGCAAAGGTGCTCCGCGCATCGCGTGGTCTTCGATTATCATTACAGAGCGTCTCCCGCGCAATGGAAGGAATCAGCCATGTACACGGTTCGACTGGCAAGTCCATGCCACCTTTACGCCCCATCCGCCCATCAGGAATCACAATGACACCTTGGACACCTTGAAGCCTCCAGGAACCCGAGTCTGGAATACCCCAGCTGGGTCGTACTTAGCCGCTGCGGCACGGATCTTGTCCACATTAGCCTTGCCATACCCAGCGATGGGATCCTGGCTGCCGTAGGCATAATTCAGGTAGATCCAGTCGCTGTCCTTGCCCACGCTCTTTGCAAAAGCCTGGATCTCGTCGTACCATCCCTGAACAAGCTCTCTCGCCGTCGCCACAAGCTCAGGCTTTACCTGCAGCCAGATGATGCTCAAGATCCTCGTCTCCTGGAACTGGTCCAGACCGAGCACGTTGCCACCCCTGGCAGTGCCTTGTTGGGCGTAGGACTGCGCCAGCGGCTGGAACATAGCCACCGAGATGAAATCCTTGCTTTGCTGTTCGAACGTGGCGACCACCGCATCGTGAAGGTCGATGACTTTGTTCATTACGCGGGGGTCGTTCTTGAAAGAGAACGTAAACTCGACACAGCTGTATGGCAGAGAACGGTCAGTGAGCTCCTCCCCGGACACGCCAGAGATGGGACAAGAGACTTACTCGTATATCTCGCCAGCGAACTCGAGCTCTACGGTCAGGTCCGTGATGTTCGTCGATCGCATCGATGAAGTCAGATTCTGGATTGCGTAGAATTCCTCGTGCGGTTCGTCGTAGACCACATTATCGACGTTGACGAATGACGTGCCTACCATTGCCCAAGTGGTGTCAGCAATCCATCCGGGCTATCACAGGTGCAGGGAACAAATCGCGAATCGTCACTCACCAATCAGGGTCGACTGGACCGAGGGCTGCCACGACCAGAACAATATAGACGAGCTCGCGGTGTTCTCGTCCACCTTGTCGGCAAAGTCGCTGAAGGCGCCGATCAGAGTCTGCCGCTTGTCAAGACTGTAGTACACCGTGCCGCCCCAGAGCAGTCCAGTCTCGAACGTGTCCAGCTCAAAACTCGTCACAATGCCAAAGTTGTTTTGTCCGCCCTTCAAGGCAACCCACAGGTCCGCGTTGGTGTTCGTGTCGGCCACGACAATCTCGCCGCTGCCAAGCACAACCTCGAACCGCACCACGCCATCGCAGACCATGCCGCGCCGGGCAGAGTAGAAACTGTTGCCGCCCCCGATGATGAGCCCGCCCACACCGACAGTGGCGTCGCGCCCGCCGGCGACTGCCAGCCCCATTGGGTCGAGGTAGCGGTACACATCACCCCACTGCGCGCCGGGGCCGACTTTTGTCGTCTGGGTGCTTTCATCATAGGATACAGAGTTAAGCTTGACGAGGTCAATGGTCACGCCGTCGTGGATGTTGTTGCTACCCGCTGCGTGGTGGTGGCCCCCGCTGCGGACAGCGATCTGGCAAGCAGGCACCTCGAGCAGGGTGGTCAAACCCAAGGACACTTCAGCTGCGTCGACGGGCTGGAAGATGCAGGTTGGCTGGAGCCGCTCGTTGAGTGAGAAGAATGAGTCTTCTCGCTCAGTGTAGGCGGTGCTGTTTGGGAACAGGAGTCTGCTGCCAAGCCCGACCAGTTTGAGGCTATTGCACTGTACCAAACGTCCCTGTGTCAGCGAGAGACTAGTAAAAAAGACGAGCCGAGACAGTATTCGGTCTGAAACAGTCCTGGTGCTTACACATGGGAAAGGATCGCCAACCTCGCAGCCTAGACTGGTGGTAGCAAGGCTTGCAACTGCAAGTGCAGCCAGAGAGAACTTGAGCGGCGACATGAGGGGACGCTGGTGTTGTTTCACTTGGCCGTTGGGAGCAATTGGAGACGACAGAGATCAGGCCACACGATCTTGTACAAAAACGTGTGGAAATGGTCGCATTGGGGGTCTAGGGCAGTAAGTGGGAGGATGCACTCTTCACTCTATTCTTTTTACAGGACCCCATGAATCGCCACTGGCCCCTGGTCAAGCTGATCTCTCACCAGGAAAGACATGGGTAGTTGGAGTCAGTCCGAGGGAATCGTACGAATCAGAGCGCCGTCTCATCATGCGGACCCCAGTCAAAAAGCCCAAAAGGTTGATATGCTTAATCGCAGCTTGTCAAGGTCGACACCCGTCGACTCCGCGTCTCAGCAGAAGCAACGCCGTTGTCAGCTCGCAGGGGGGGCTGGGAAAGCCCGGTACTCTTCAGGCTGGCGACGTTGATGAAGCTAGCGGTCTGGACCCCCTTAGGTTGGCTGTGGAGGGCTTTCCATTGTTCAACTGGCTACCTTTGGTCTGGGTCCATGGATGGCCCCCAAGTTCCTGCATTGGATGCTGGCCGGCCTTCAGGAAATCAATTGACTACCAGTACCAATGTGATTTCGGCAAGATCAAGGGTCAGCGAAAGTTATATTGACCGCTAGTGGCAAATGATACTGAATATGGCAACCACTTCTGCTCTCTGTGACCTACGAATGGATGTTTTCAACAGAGATGACTGTGCAACGCATAAAGTCAGCTCTGGGTATTGATGGCTAGTCGTGGGTTGTGACCTGTCACTTCTCACAATAGAGTTTTGACGAGTGGGGCTATGGGTTCTTAGTCACAAGTCAAGACATTCGACTCGCGTTTCCGAGGACCCAAAAGGATCAGATTATACGCTCTCTCAGAGAAGCAAGGCACCTACCAAAAGAAATCACATTCCGCGCGGGTTTTCTTTGTCACCCGCATCCGCATCCTGCGAAGATGATTGTAGCCCAATCGTTCTTAGTGGCACTGAGTGCTTGAGTACACTTGGGCCTCCAGTACCCGAATTCTCGGTGGTAGGTTGACGCCGTTTCATCCAGTATTCTTCGCAGTTCCTCACATCTCTGAACATCTGGCTGGCACTCTAGCGTGCTTCAGTTCTGATCTTTTCAATTGCAGGAGGTTGCTGTCGCGGGCTGCCTGACCAAGCCGAAATAAGGGACGAACTGTATCACAATATTGGACCAATATCAGCATGAGCCGTGCTGCATCCTTCAGACGCGTTGAGAGTTGAAAGAATTTGTGCGCGCGCGCCTGTGCTCCGCCCCTGTCTGTGCTTCCGTGAAATGGCTGGACCAATTTGCGCAGTGCTTTGGGACTTTGCTGCCACGCGAGTTTTCTTTTTCTATGCGCTGGAACCGCGGCACCACCAGCCGGAGTGATCTGCATCTAGGCGCGCCTCAACGACCCGTGGCTGAGGAACTTTGAAAGGTCGGCTCCGTGAAAAGACATTCGCAAAGCACCGCAAGCCCGCAAATGAGACTGGTGCACTTTCTATATCTCGCCTGTCGACCCACATGATCCGTTGAACACAGCGTTGGTGCGATATCCATACCTAGAACGTTATTTCTCTCTCCCTCTCCCCTCCGTTGTAAGCAAACGCGTTCGTTTCTTGCTACTCCAAGGCACGGCATATCTTGTTTTGATTGTTGCACCGTCCCCACAAGCGGGACCTTGTTTGCCGCCATGAGTATCACAAACGGCGTCCTCACAATTCTGCCTGCTCCTGCTGGCTACGAAGTGGACTTTGAGCACCCACGGCGCATTGGCATTCCAGAAACCTACTGGGTAGTAGGTGTTGGAAACGCCATCTCAATTCTCTTTTTCGCGCAACGGATCTATACCAAGATTGCAATCCTTCGGAAGTTTTCCTGGGACGATGCGTTCTTCGTCCTTTCTTGGGCCTGTTGTGTTGCAGTTCAGGTGAGCAGTTGCCATGATCACTTGCTTACGCGGTTGCGTCCGACTCTCCGAGTCACTAATCAAACTTCGGGGCGTACAGGTGTTGTGTTGTCACCTCTATGGTTCCGGCTCCATGGGTGTCCATGCCTGGGAGATCCCGATTCAGAAATACTCGCAATTCTCGTTGGTGAGTTCGGACAATGTTATGTGCAACAACCAAATAGCTGTGTCCACACTGATGGGATCTGAACCTAGCTTGTCATGATATCTTCGGCTGTCTACGCACCGGGCACGTGTTTCGCGAAGCTCTCGTTGCTATGCTTCTATTACCGCCTGACTGCGATCCGCTGGTTCCGGCTTTCGACCCTCTTCATGGTCTTCTTCGTCGTCGGAGGCTACCTGGGTATCTTCTTCAGCCTGATCTTTGGCTGCAACCCTGTGCAGAAGACGTGGGACGTGACCGTCCAAGGGACATGCATCAACACAGCCGCGCTCTATATCGCGACTGCCGTCCTCGGCGTCGTGTCAGATCTCCTCCTTCTCGCGATGCCTATCCCGATAGTGCTTGGACTCCAGCTGCGGACCTTCCAGAAAGCCGGCATCATCTTGCTATTTGTCATTGGTTCGATGTGAGTTGTCTCGCCCATGCCAGCCAACCAAGTTGACGGCCTTCGAGAATTGCGAAAAAGCTCACAAACAGTACAAAATACAGGACACTCGTCACGTCCATCGTCCGCCTCGTTCTTCTGTTCCCCATGCTGGTCGACTTTGACCAGACATGGGCTGTAGTCGACCCGTTCACGTGGATCTGCGTCGAGGCCAATCTCCTCGTCGTCTGCGCGTCGCTGTGCACGCTCCGCAAGTTCGTCCTCACAATGTGCCCGCGGCTCATGACGGTGACATTCGGCTCGTCCCGCTCCACGACGACGCCTGCGAACAACAACGAAAGGTCGGCCGGGTCCTCGGCGCTCGGCGCCGCGGCCAGCTTGCGCAAGCAGCACAGGAGGTACTCTCGGTTCCACAACGATCCGCCTAAGCCTCTGCACGCATTTGTCGGCGGCGGGGACGGCGAAGACATCGAGATTCAGGCGCGGGATCCGGCACACCAGCTTCAGCCTTGGGTCAGTGACGATGAAGAAACGGAGGAGCATGATCAGAGGATCTCCCAGCCGAGGCCTGCGGCTTCGATTGACTACGGCAATCGAAGCAGGGTTTCAGGAGGCATACCGTGAAGGCCCAATACTCTAGTATCAAGTAGCCTCACTGCGAACATGGCTCATTCGTGGCTGGAGGTCACAGAGTTCCTCCCCAGGTTTCACAGGCTGCAAGCCCCGGCCTCAGACGCTGTACCCAGGGTCGGGTTGTTGCGGAGGGCAAGGAAGCGCACCGTGCACAAGATGCCGCGACAGAGAGAGATGCCCGGATCCCAGGCGGCAATGACAATGCTCACAAAACAAAAGCCCATGTGCGGTAAGGCGGGATCTGGACTCAAAGATGGCACCACAAAGGACGCTGACTGTCCACTGCAGGCTGGATCTGTCACCAGCCAGCAAGCACAGTGTCATTGGCGACGCCGCTCCAAGGGGGCACATGAGTAGTAGCACTAGAGAAGGAGGACATCAGCTGGGAAGGCTCGCCACGGAGCTGCGCAGACACGCTGCCAATGAGGAGGATGGCCAATTCAAGATGAAGGGTTATGAAAGGCGTGCTCAGAGCGCGGCAGGGGGTTATTGTAGGACCACAGGGTGAGATTAGAACCGATAAAGATCTTGTGCAGACAAGTCGCCAATCGTCGGCGGAGGCCATTCTCCTAGCCATGAGCTGTAAATGAGGCCTCGGATCCGAATAATTTGGCCTCGGCCACAGGTCTCAAGTTGAGGCAGCTGATGGAATCAGCAAGCGGCGTGCTTTTCCTCTTGCCACAGCAGCACAGGAATATGGTGCCGTTTTACTTGGGGAGGGTTCGTTTCGACTGGCTTGTAGAATTGAAAAAATCACCTTGAAAAGCATGCTCGAGTCCGTGGACTTGTAGTAAGAATCTGTTTCTTGGTGTATGTTGGCATAAAATGATGTGATAATAACAGCCGCACCGGGATTGGTTCACAGACGTGACCTTGTTTTAATGGCGGACATTTATCTCAACGCTAACAAAAATGATCACTGTGAAAGCGAGAATAGAGGAATAGAAAGAAAAGTCTTAACTACGTACGGTTCCTGCTCATTAATCCCCGACATTATTTCGCATGCAATATCTGTGAACTGCAGCATATCATCATCATCATCCAGCATATTCCGCATCGCCACTGGCTGCTCGCCATCGTCCTCCAGAACTCTGATCACGACCTTCGGTCATGGGTACCCATACCCACAGACAGTGCTATCCGAGCGAGGCAATGCCCTTGTATAGAACCTGACTGTGTATGGGGCAGCAGACCGGGTGTTTAAGCACGCACGGCACGGAAAGAGTTGCTGCGGACAAGGCCGCGCTTGGCCTTGCTCAAGCTGAGACCATCGTAAGAGTCAATGGCCGTGGTGATGGTCATGCCGAGGCTGTTGGCCTCACGCTGGAGATCCTGGGCACGAGACTCTACGAGGTCGATCAGGCTAAAGGCGATAGTCTTGAACACATTTCATTGTTAGTCAAATGGCAACGGGCACGAACTAAAGGTATGAGCCTGGAGGGTGAGGTATGAGGAGATGGTCTTACATCAACGACGCCCTCAACCTGGCGGAGGACGGCAGCGATCGGCTGGCCGACGAAAGGGATGGTGTTGAAGAGGCCGGCCTTGCCAATCAGGATGTTCAGGAGAGCCTGGTGGACGCGGACGAACTCGCGGAAGGCCTCAAAGATGGCAGTCGCATCGGCTGCAGCGGTGACGGGCTCGCTGCCTTGCATCTGGGTAATGGCGGTTGTGGCGGTCGACACAATGTCGGTAAAACCAACGATGAGGGCCTGGCGAGCATGAATATCAGCTCTCTGACTTTGGCTCAGACTTGCTACTCTGTTCAGCTGCTCTGTGTACTTACGGGAAACGGGCCCTGTCCGATGACAATCAGGGGACCATTGATGATGCTGATCTGCTGGGCCGGTCCCTGAAGAGCCATAGACTTCTGAGTGATCACCTGGATGTTGCTGACCATCTGAGCAGGCGTAAGCGCGGCCTGGACAGCATCGCTGCAAGCGGCGAGGGCGGCAACCGCAGTGCTGAGAACGGAGAAGCGCATTTTGAATCGGGTGGGAGGCAAGGGCGGGAGGAGGTGATGAATTGTATTGAAAAGGTAGTGAGGATGTGATTGCAAGTGTGATGCTGTTGTAGCTGGGCTGCTTGAAGCCAAGAGCAGGTTTGAACGGGGACAATGGCTCCTTTTATATTCATGATGGCTACGCTTTTCTTGACTCTTTTCTAAGACGCGTACTCGGGGCTGGCCAGACCGGAACTGCATGTCCAGATCGTCGCAAGGAACGGCCCAGTGTACTTCCGCACCCCCCTGGGGGGCATCTGAGATTATCCTGTCACACACCTCACGATCGTTGCGAAGGCTGCGATCACGGTGGCTAGGTTTGAGCGTTGGAAATCGAGCACTCTGGCATACATCATCGCATGGTGTTGGATGGAGGAGAAGGAGGCCTGCCGCCTGGGCATCTTCTGCGCTACGGCAGTACTATCGATGCGTGGGCCAAGCATTGCTACCCAAACCCGGTGAGCACCTTTGTGACTGGACCATGTCCCACAAGAGAAAAAAACATCACCGGCTCGTGGACTTGCCGGAGGAAAAGCAGCGCCAAGACCAGTCACCGAGGACGCCCAAGACGTCAGGACGATCGTGGTCCACAGCTACACCCCCCAAGACAGTATAGTACATCGGACCCGTTTTCTTCACCAGCCTGATGGACTATGGGGCTACGACATGCCACGCACGCGGCCTGCGGCACTTGAGCAGGCTAGCAGCCTGCATTGCCTGCAACGGGAAAGCGCACAGACATGAAGAGCGTTGACGCCAAGGGCCGTGCGACGATGAATTCGCTTGAGGTCTAGCCTGCCTTGCGCGGTGTGGGTTGTGCTGGAGCGACAGGCGGAATGGCCCGTGCCGGGTCGATAGTAGTGCAGATCAGGTCCACTGATACTCATTCTGACCCTTGCCTAGCTGTCGCTAGCTCCAGGGCACTTGAGAAGCCGGAAGGCTATTCCCTGGGTAGTGTTATGCTTATTGGCAGTAGAGTGTGACCCCGCAAGCGAAAGGCGATGATCAGCCAGCACAGAGTACGTTCATTGGCGCTTGACAATTTATTGTATTGAGTGGAGCAGTTGAGCTTGTGTGCAGTGTGCGAGGCTGACAACCCACACGTCTGGTTTGTGTCTGACGAGCTTGTTGATCTAGACCGACATGCCTGATTTGTCACGTTATAGAGAACCACGCACAGTGTGATCTTGTCTAGCGGCTGAGCTTTGTCAAGCGATCTCCAAGGCTACTGTCTCGTGGCTCACCGAGAATCACGTATGCATTTGCTGGAGAAACATTTGTCTATTGCATTCAGACACCTGAACTACGAAGAAGGCCTCCTAGGGGCCAACTGGGCAAATCGCCCACCATGACCTCTGGGACGACCCTCGTGCTAGATCTGCCAGGCTGATGCCAGACTTTCCGGAATGGCACAAGGATCGGCACACCGACTAGCTGTTGCCGGCAACTCTTATAACTACTATGAGGATCACCAGGTGGAGGGTCCAAATGTCTCGCCCTTTGGCACGGTCTTGCGAATAGCCGTCCCCATGGCGTCCTGCTCCGTGCAAAGTCACGCGACGTCAGTATGCTATGCTTACAAATGGCATGTAGGTCAACACTTACCAGAGTCTCAAACACGGTGACGTTGCCCCACCACTCGGGGAGAGGAGTGCCCGGCAGCGAAAAAGCGAAGAAGATGACGAGTGTGCACAAAACGAGACCGACATCGAGGCCCGCTGCCGTGATGTAGTTGTACTTGGTCCACCAGCCGTTCCACCGGCGGCGGATGTACCAGTTGAAGACCAAGCCAACCACAGCCCAGGTCGAGAAGTTGAGTGGCGTCGCAGGCGGCAGCCAGGCCATCGCTCCAAGCATGACAGGCGCATGCAGGTAGCGGGCAATCGACTTGGGGAATCGGCGAGCGGCAAAGTAGAAGACGACGGGGAGCAGGGCTCCAAGCAGCCAGAAGAAGTGGATCTTCTCGTAGAGCGTGCCAGCCCCCAAGAATTTCTGAGGTCCGATCACACCCCATACAATACTGGAGGAGAAGAAAGTGCTACCGTTGGGGCAGGTAAAGTTGCTGGGCTGGTCAGGCTCGCAGATTCCAGGGATGTTGCCAAATGCCCAGTTCTAATGTCCATAGTTAGCTAAGATGCCGGGCAATTGAATGTCCCATAAGGAAAAGCAAATAAAGTTTACTTACCATGACAGCAATCTGGACAAAGCATTGCCAGATGGCAGCCGCGATCTGGCAGAAGAAAGTGGTCCTCGGTGGCACTTTCATGTAGTGCGCAAACTTGAGGTCTCCGCTGAAAACTTGAGCCTGGCCGAGGACAATGGTGCTGAACACCTTGAACAGCATGTTGGCGATGGGGCGGCCAGGAAAGATGAAACCTCCCAAGAAGGGAGAGAGCACGTTGAGGGAAACAAGGATGTTCGTCATGCCAAAGATCATGCTCAGTGGGATGATGAAGACGAAGGCAATGAGACAGGACACGAGGAAGCCCCACCACGGCAGCTGTGTCGGGTACGCGAGGACGGTCGCCAGGCCAAAAGCCATGGCGCACAGCCAGACACACGCATACCACCAGTCGGGCGCTTCTTTGTACTTGTTCATCATCGTCATGTGCACATCGGGTTCTTGATTGCGCGCCGCCTTGAGGCGATACCAAATCTCCCCGCTGTGGTTGAGCGCCGTGTGTACCAGCGCGGCCATGAGAGTGGCGAACGACAGGCCGTAGTTGAGGAAGAATGTGGGCGTCAGGAACAAGGGAGAATATTCGTGGTATGCTGTCTCGTTCAACGTGAACTCCGGCGTAAGGATCTTGGCGACCTGGTAGCGGTGGCCGGTATTGTCGTAAGTCCGCGAGGTATTGATGGGGAGATAGTCGGAGAAGAGGGCTCCAGTGTATGAGATGCCAATGGTTGGGATGATGACAAAAATGCCCAGGCCAATCAAGCAGTTGAAGTGAGAGTGCCACGGTGAAAGCAGCGGGTTCTGCAAGTAGGCCGAGATGTATGTCCAGTCAAAGGTGAGGGGGATGAGCGAGAGCCCCGTCACTCCTCCAAACAGCTGGTTGATGACGACATTGTCTGGTCTGATCCAGGTGACGAAGGCGAAGACGGACAGACCCTGCCACAAGACGCCTGGTAGCCAGTAGTAGGCAAAAGAGGCCATGCCCAGGTAGCAGAACCAACGGTATGGTGACATTTTCCACGAGCTCGAGGTGGCCTCGGCAATCTCGTCGGCCTTGCGCTTGTCGTGGATGGTGTACAAGAGCGAGGTCGTGGCGAACTGGCCGGGCCATACCATGGCGGCGGGCCAGACTAGGAACCGCCTGAACATGCCCGACATGGCGATTCCAATGATCTGACTGCTCAGGGTGAACATGAGGGCAAAGCCCCACCCAAGACTGTGGTTGTACAAGGACGGCGCTTGCAGTGCTTCGAGCGCATTCGTCGAGTAGGGGTAGTCAGCCGTGATCTTGGCCATCAGCGTAATGACTGCGTGCTCCTTGATGCTGAAAGGACCCGGGTTGAGCAACCACTGAACACCAAACGTGTTGAACTTGCGTGTTGGCAGCACCTTCGCGAACAGTATGCCGACAGGGTACGTGATGAGAATGACCACGACAGCCGGAATAGAGATGGCAGGGCTCCTCATGCTGAGAAACATGTTGATTCCGGAGACGGCCGTGACGAACATCATGCCAATGATCCAAGCGCGAATCGTGTTGGCATATTCCTCATTGTCGATCTCTCGGACGGCGGCGCGCACTTCTTCGTACGGCGACGAGTTTGCGAACTCCTTTTGGACCTCAGCGTTGATGTCGGCTTCGTCAGCCCGCGCGGCCACAGTGATCTCGTCAACCTTCTCAATTGGCAAGTTTGGGTCCCACTGATGGGCCTTGCGCAGTTTCTCGACATCGTCGTGGGCTTGCTTTGCCGCCACCTCGGCCGGGGCTGAGGTGGGCCGCTCGTCCGAGCTTTGAGACACGACGTCAGGCCCCATCTTGACCTTTGAACGAGGGCGCAAGTGATTCTGGACCCAAGGCGGTTGAGAAGAGAAGGACAAGAGAAAGAGCGCCGAGACGGGGCCCACGCACAAGGAAATAGAACGGTGTAAGTCCCCTCACCACAAGCCAGATAACAGTTAGTACTACGCGAACAGGGACTGGCCAGGAGATCAGCACCAAGAGATATCGTATCACAGCTGGGGTCCGGCTCCCCTCCGAAGATAGCCGGACCCTTGGAGAGCGAAGCTTTTGCATTGGCCAAGGGAGCTATGACAAGAGTGGATAATCGTGGATTCCCCCGCACGTCCGGGCACTTTGAAGTGCCATCCGTGCAGCATGTAACAGGAAGGTGGCACCAAGAGTGGATATGTCCCTTGGAGAGCACCAGGGTAGGGGTCCGGGATCGACCGCCTTGCTGATAATGGCAAAAGTGTCGTTTGGAACAACCGACTGCTGTCCCGACGCAGCGGATATGGGCACTTTTTTGCGCAATGATAGGCAGATGGCTACTTCCATATGGCGAGTGCTCTATTGGCCGGGAAGAACTAGAGACAAAGTGCAAAACGAATGTTCTTAGGACGTCAACACGCATGCCCAGCCAGCAGGGTGCGGTGAGATGTCATCCTAAAGAGACAACCAACACAACCAATCGTCATCCAAAGGCGTCTCTGTCGTTCACAGCTTGCTATCACAACACCTCATTGTTATCTGATAAGCTCCATGTTGGTTGCATCAGATGTCACCCTGGCCAAGACAAAGAAGATGAGATACTCGTAAGAGGCCAAGCCGTCACAAGTCCTATCGCCAATCGTTACCGTGACGTGACCGACCCAACTAGCATACATCCAGAACCTGGGAACTGCAGATTGGGTGTGCTTTACGCATTCAGAGCGTTTCGTCTCTCAATAATAAGCGTCAGCGCTGGGTGATGCCAGCAACGGGGCTTGTGTGATGTTGTTTCCAAGTGGGCGGACGTGATGGTTGTTGACACTGCCCGTGCGAAGGGTCTTGGCATCGCAAGTCACCTAAGCGCAGATGTACTTTCATGGTTTTGCGTCAGGATATCTACCGACGGCTCTCTAGGATCCGGGACACTTGGGGGGCGAGTACCAGACGCTGAATGATTCATTGAGGCAGGGATTTCCCTGTCCTGATGCACAGCTTCAATTGATAGTGCATGGCCTCGAGAACTGAATACATAGAGCTGTCGACGAACTCTATCATGGTATGCGGTGCTGGCGAATGTCAACAGTGTGCCATCCGCCTGAACTTCAACCGTAACCGCGGCATCGAGCAGGGAGCTGGCCCTTCCAGCACCAGAGCATTGTCCTTGGTACGGCCTGGTATCCTGCATAGTCACCTGCGCAAGGAGTGATGAGATGCTGACGAGGTTGAGAACGAACCGTTGGTGGATCGTTTCGGGCTGGAAACTATGCCGCGAGGCCGGCCTAGTCCAGGACTGGGGCTCTCACAGCCACATGGCGGCAGTAAGCGACCCAATCTTTGCACCCGGGGGGGACAGCCGACCAGTATCCGCTCCACCAGACGCCCTGTCCCGCTGTGGCTGAAGGTCCGGGCCGCCTCCGGGTATCCCGCGCATGCAAATCGCCGTGTTTCTCAGGCGGCGGCCGGTCTATGCAGGGTGCCACAAGCGCCTTGCCCTGTGTGAAGATGCCACAAAACGGACCTATGAGAAGTCCCAGCAGGCATTCAACCGCGAACACGATGCCATGGGCCGTGACACAGCGATTCTCTGCGCGCCTCGAGGTCGTACTGCGCATTCATCACCTGCAACATGTTCCTCGTACTTTCTGACACGCTGGCAGCTCACTACAACCCTTGCCACCACACTGCAGATCATGCTAGATGCCAGTAGCCAGTTACGGCCAAGTCATTGGGATGACGGCGTGCTGCATGTCGCCGTCAAAGATCTCGGGCGAGCTGTCATGAATCGAGTGCTATAGAAGAGAAGCAAGCACCCGGAACTTCAACGATACGAAAACCTCGATAGCCTCGCTGCACAATGCGGCCAGCCAGTGGACGATAATTCAGACTTCACGAGCAGCATTCAGAGGATGAGAGCATTGGGTAAATGTCTGTAAGGCCTATCAGCTGTAAAGAAAATTTCCCCAGATGAAATGCGCAAGCCTCCGCTTCCCCGCACTTTCAACCCCAGAAATCGATCTGCGAGCTTCGGCAAGAATGCACGGGCGACCCAATGACCCCAACACTAAGCGGCAGGCCGAGGCACTTTCAGTGCCCCTCACATACCTCTAGAGAACTCGTGGACCAGCCACGGCGGTGGTGAAGAAGTGCTCTTTGGTTCTGTTGACACATGTCCACTTGTTACCTCCGCCACAGCGGACATACATCATGGACACGATAATCGAATCGGCGAAACAGGTGACGGTCGAGTTCCTCAGGAAAGCTTTAGGCGTTCCCGGCGTTGTTTCCTTCAGCACCACGCGAATTGGCACTGGTCTTGTTGGCGAGTGCCATCGCATCGAGCTACAACATGACACTACTCATCTGTCTGACGGTGCCCTCAACCATTTACCGAAATCTGTGATCCTCAAGATTGCATCGCAGGATCCGAGGTCACGTGCCAGCGGTCTGTCCCTGGGCATATACGAGCACGAAGTCCGCTTCTACAAGGAAGTCGCCCCGCATCTGAAGGATATGGTCAACACGGTGGCGAAATGCTACTACGGCACCATCGACCAGTCTACAGGCGCCTTCACCCTCTTGCTGGAGGATGCCGGACCAGATGCAGAGCCTGGTGACGACATCACGGCAGCCTCGCGAGAACAGGCGGATGTAGCATTATACGAGCTGGGCAGGCTCCACGCAGCACTGATCATGGACTCGTCCAACAAGGAATGGCTGGTACGCGAACCTCCGATTTCGCCGGCACTCTTCCGCCAGCTCTTCACGAGCTTCAGCAGTGTATACAAGACTCAGATGGATCCGCGACACTTTGAGGTCTGTGAGAAACTTGTGGCCGGGTTTGGCGGCCTAATCACGTCGCTCAAGGAGCCCGGCTATTGCACCATGGCCATTACCCACGGCGACTACCGGTTCGATAATATGTTGTTCATGTCCGGTGCTCGCCGTCTTATGGTGGTTGACTGGCAATGCGTCACAGCCGGGCCCGTTCTCGGGGACGTGACATATTTCCTCGGCTGCTCCATCAAGACGGAGGACCGGCGCGAGTGGCAGCCTGAACTCTTGGAGACCTACTGCAGGGGACTTGAGGACGTTGCGGGAGAGACGGTGCTGACAGTCGACGACTGTCTCAGAGAGCTGCGAGTCAACGCCTTCTTCGGCGTCATTATGGCGATTGTCAGCAGCATCCAAGCCGGTCGGACAGATCGTGGTGATCGGATGTTCATGACCATGCTCGCACGCCACTGCGAGCTGGTTTTTGACCTGGACGCCATGGCCCTGCTCCAGGAAGCAGACGCCGAGGATATGACACCACTGCAGCCAACCACAGAGGACGAGAGACAACACACGCCGGGTATTGAAAAGGACTGGAACGAGAGTTGGTACTTTGACTTTGTGGATCAAGAGCAGGGAGTTGCTGGCTGGGTGCGCATGGGTCTTGTTCCAAACCGGGATGGCAACTGGTACCACGCGACACTGACAAGAGATGGGAAGCCGACAATTGTGATTTCCGAGTTTCTTGCCCCACAACCCCAGGACAATCTACACCTCCACACAGATAACGTCGACGCCACACATCAAGTCATGAAACCACTGGAGCAGTTCAGGCTGACTTTGAAGGGGAGAGGTCACTATCACAACAATCAAGCATTCTTTGACGCGAGCGAGGAAGCTACGACACTGGGACTTGACCTGTCCTTTGCCACGGATGGTGTCCCTTACCGCTACAGAATCACTACCAGATACGAGATCCCGTGCAAGGTGTCGGGGACGGTTACACTGGACGATGGCAGCATCATTACCCTCCATGACGTGCCTGGCCAAAGAGACCACTCGTTTGGTGTGCGTGACTGGTGGTCGATGGACTGGGTGTGGGCCTCGTTCCACCTCGACAACGGCCAACACTTCCACGCGACCGATTTACGGCTTCCCGAGGTGCCGCGCATCGGCATGGGCTACTCCCAGCGTGGCGGCAGCGCCTGCGAGATTGAGAAATTGTCCTGCGCCGAGACCAAGGACGTCGCTGGTCTTGTGACATCCATGACCATGATGGTCAAGTTGCATGGCTCAGATGAAGACATCCTCGTTAAAGTTACACCAAAGAGCCACACGGCTCTCAAGCTACCGAGCCCGGATACGCGAGTGGCCCTTTTCGACCGAGCGTGGGCCGAAGTCGAGCTACAGACTGGGGAGAGAGGAGTGGGCTGGTTCGAGTGGAACCATAATCCGACTGTAGGAGGGGAGCTGGTTACGGACTAATTTCATTCAAGGCGTAACAAACACTTTGCGATGAAAGGGATGAGCTTATATTGCAGACTGGCTTACACACAAGCGGGTAAGCGACAGCCATTTAGTGTACTTTGTGCATCTGAGGCTATCTACACCGAGATCCCTCGTGTTGTGAAGACCACATGTCGACTCCGTGTCTCCACCCGTGATCCAGCCATCAATACACAATGCTGACAGGGGTCTTGACGTACGGCGCAAGGGAAGTTGAGCCATTCATCTTCTGGTAAATAGCCTGGACAAATGCCTTGGCACTGTAGTCCGCTCCGTTGGGGCTGGTGTGGGTGTGGTCCTTGGGGTAGAAGGCGTTGACGGCAGAGTTTCCGAGCTTGCGGTACATCTTGCTGACGGCCTGGAAGTGGTCGACGAAAGTGACGCTGGAGCTCGCCAGAGCCTTGGTGGCAACTTGCTGGTAGCCGACGAAACGGGGAGCGCCATCTCCGTACACGCCCCCTTCCCACTGGTTGTTTGGAGTCTGCGAGCTGAGGATGACGGTAGCACCCTTGGCCAGCATCAACTTCGACGCTTGGACGACGTAGAAGACGAATGTGTAGACGACCTCTCCAGTCTTGTCAGAGATGCACGTCTCAGTGCCCTGGCCGGGGCAGTCGGATCGGCCATTGTCGTTCTTGTTGGGAGATCCACCGTCGTTGTGCCCAAACTCAATGACAACAATGTCGCCAGCTTTGACAGAGTTCGCCACGGCCTGGAAACGACCTTCGTTCCAGTAGGAGCGCGCCGAGCGCCCGCCGATAGCCGAGTTGACGACGGGAACATTGAGATACTTGCTGAGGTAGGGGCCCCAGCCGTCAGTGGAGCCATCGTTTGCACCCCGAAGCGCCATGGTGCTGTCACCACACAGGTATACAGTCGGGCCGGCGCGAGGTGCGACCTCGACAGGTGCTGGAGCGGGAGCGGCCGAGACCTGGGTGGCGCTCCAAAGTAGTGCTGAGACAGCTGGCAGGAACTTCATTTTGGCTGTCAAGGCTTGGTGTTTTGTGATGGATCGTTGCTGCTCAGTTGCTCAAGTGCTCAGGTCAAAGTGGGCTGGCGCGTGTTTCCTCAACCCAGCTGCAGGATTTGTGGCTCACGGACTTCTTATACTACGATGAACTCTCGCGAAACACAGCGACTGGAAATGGAAGGTCCTCCGCCGAGCTTGCGGGTTGCATTGACAACCAGTGATACCCTCGATGCTCTTAGACTCGAATAGGTACGGAGATGCCATGCCGAGGATCCACAGTGGCCCGGCGATGTACCCTGACAAGCATTGCCGAGTCTGCTTGGAACATTTCCGCCAGTGAGGCGTCAAAGATACAGCTCTGCCAAGCCATGGCAGCAGCACGGAGTACAGGGCTATATCCCGCGTGCCACGCTGTCCCAGCGCTCTTTTTACTGGCGGTCTTGGGGAGCTGTTGAAGGACTGTAGATGAGTGTTCGTGTCCACCGAGCTCAATGCTAGAAATTGCAGAGTGATTCTCGAACGCGACCGAGAACTTCGTGCTACTATCGATACACTACGCACCCTACTCTGGCCAATTTGGACTTTTCGGGGCCTCTCGTTTCCCACCCCAAGAGCGGCGACATATCGCCATGGCGAGGCCATGGAGGTCTACAGTTACCTGGCGTGGTCCTGCGGGGAACCCCTCCCACCACCACACCTACGCAAGCGCGCGAATCAGCCCCATTGTGCAGGCCGAGGCTGGAGCTCCTTGATGCTTGAGGGCCCTCGTGAAACATCGCGATGGCCTTCTTTTGACACTGCTGGCGGTGTCTACGACGGCGCGAGTTGCACCGACCTCGATGCGACAGTCTAGGGAGCCCCGACATCTGCTCTGTTGTGGCAACAAGCTTGCGAGGGCATGCTCCGTCACAAGCCTGAGCAGAGGTAGCTGAGGATTCTTGGATCGTTGTTGTCAAGCAGGGAAAAGAGCAGCAGGATGTAGCGGTGATGAATGTCCTTGCAGGGAGGCTTAATGCAACTGGCGGAGAATAGGGCGATGCTGCATAACTCCGGCATCCATGTGAAGTGTTCCATGTGCAGCCCACAAGCAGCAGCGATCAGCCCCTGGATCCCACGTGCGGCCACTTGCACAATACTCCGGAAAGCCCGGCGGGGGCCAGCAGAGTCAGCAAAGCTAGGGCACGCTACGCACTCCACAGTCGGCCATTACTGTACCCAGTCTCTGAATAGACGGCCCCAGCGAATAGGCTGAGCCTGTCCGATCGACCACTCACAGCACTAGCAGGTTGGAAAGGGCTGGCGGCCAATGAGAGATGATCATGTCGCCAGGAACAGCGCCCCAGACCAGAGGCTCTCTCCATCAGGCCTAGAGCAGCCAATCCTCACTTACTCACACGCTCACTATGCACATCGAGCACGCAAGCACTACTGCTCCTGCACGGCGGGGCCGTGGGTTGCGTTCCTAGCATCTCCATCCCTGTCGTATCAGGTTCTCATGATGCCAATGTTCAATTAGACTATTTCTAGCGTGCCCAGACAACGGCCACCACCCCGGATGACTGTGCATGATGGGCCTGTGGTCTCGGCGTCCAATCTGCAATTGTCTTTATAGCTCGAGGCGACGGCCTTTTCCCTCAGCCCAGGACTTGAAACCATCACAACAAGCTTAAAACCCAAAGGCCTAGTCGTGACCGGCAAGATCTCATCAGGCTACCAGAGCACGGTTGCAGCCATCTCCAGTCAGGGCTCCCCACGATCAACAAACAGCAAAAACAAAACAACCCCAGCTTCACCATGGGTCTCTTCAAGAAGGGCGAGTCGAGCCCGAACTCGATCACGCTGGCGCAGCGCCTCAAGCTCTTCACATGGCCGGTTGCCCTTGGCACCGTCATCTGCAGTTTGGCCATGTTCAACTTTGGCTACGACATGCTCGTCTTCGGCGGTGTCTCGGCCATGCCTTTCTTCAACCGCAAGTTTGGTGTGTGCAACGGCCAAGGCGTGTGCATGCTCACCCAGGGCACATTGGCCATCATGAACTCCACCCCTTGGCTCGGAAAGCTGGTTGGTATCTGGATCGCTGCACCTATCGCCCGCTGGGCGGGTCGCAAGCCCGTGTTCGCCGTCATCATCGTCTCTTCGTGGATTGGTGTTGCGCTCCAGATCTCGGCGACTACGGCGATCCAGTTCACCATTGGTCGCGTCATCTGCTATGGCATGACGGGAATTTGCGCCTCGGTCCTCCCCATGTACATTGCCGAGACCGCCCCTGCCCAGCTTCGTGGGTTTCTTGTTGCTCAGATGCACCTCCAGATCGCTTTGGGCCAGATCGTCGCCTCTGCGGTTAATGTGTCGACCTCCAAGCTCCGCAGTCAGGCCTCGTGGATGATCCCGATCGGTAAGCCATTTCTTCATGCAGTGGAGCTCAGCTGAAAAGAGAGGATGCTAACACGCGGACCAAGGCATGCAATTCCTGATGCCGACGCTCATGGCCTTTGGTTATTTCTGGCTGGTCGAATCGCCACGCTGGTTGCTTTCCCAGGGCCGCGAGGAGCAAGCCACCATTGCTCTGAAGAAGCTTCGCGGCCGCTTTGGCAACGAGGAGAACATCCGTGAGGAGTTGGTCCAGCTTACTAAGGGAGACCTCAACCAGGTCAAGGGGCCGTGGAAGGAGGTATTCCAGGGCACCAACCTGGTAAGTCACGTCTTTCATACATTTTTGATCATTTACATGTCGTGCTAACGAATGAAATTCCGCAGCGCCGGACCTTCATCTCGACCATCGGCATGGCTGGCCAGCAGATTACTGGACAGGCCTTCATCTCGCAGTACGGCATCATCTTCTACACGAGAATGGGATTCACCAACGCCTACGAGCTCGGCACTATCGGCCATGCCATTGCACTTGTGGTGTCTCTCTTTGCCGCGTTTGTTGTTGACAGCATGGGACGTCGGCCGCTGCTCATTACTGGTGGTGCGGGACAGGCTGTCTTCCTCTTCATGGTCGGTGCCGTCGCCTGCGTTGCCAACCCAAGCTGGCCGGTCAAGTATCTCTCAGTGGTTGGCTTCATTCTCTGGGGCATCTGTTTTGCTCTCTCGTGGGCCCCGCTCTCGTACATTATTCTCTCCGAGGCGACCTCGATCAGGGTCATTGAGAAGACCAACCTCTTCTCCGTCTCCATCTCGACTCTGATCGCACTAGCGATCTCCGCCTCCACCCCTGCTCTCATGACCAGCATCGGCGGCAAGATCGGCTTCATCTACGGCGGTCTCGCTATCATGATGGCGGTCTTGGCCTACATCGTGATCCCCGAGATGAAGGGCAAGAGCCTCGAGGAGCTCGACATCCTCTTCAAGCGCCGCACTCCCACGCGCGAGTTCAAAAACGCCATCGTCGACGTCGTGAGTGCGAGCTCGAGCTTCATCGGCGACAGCGAGAGCGAGCGCAAGAACTCGGCCAGCGCCGTCTAGGATTATCAACCTGATTCTGCGCATACCGCTTGTCTTTCAGGGTCTGGGACGGGGGCAAGGGGAAGAGTGTAGCTTGTTTACCCCAGAGCCGCCCAACTCTTTTGTCGGTAAGGATACCCTAGCGCCTGCGTGGATTTTGTTGTTGGGACCTACGCATTCATCGGCGTTGGCTTGTGGTTTCCATTTTTTCCTTTTATCAATGCATCTAGGGAGTATTGGCATTGCTTGAGTCCGTTTGCTGGTCATGCGCATGCAAAATAGTATGCAGGGATTATTACATCCTTATAGATTCAATGTCGGGAATTTTATTACATGTTCTTTTCTCAATCCATTTTTACCATATGATTCTATGGGCGGGCACTGGTCACAACGACAGTGAACCCACGATGATTCATGCATTGCGTGCAGAAGTGCATTGGCGTTGCGTTTGCGATAACCAGGATAGTGATGGGGCTTGAGTTCACGATCCAAGGCTGGGGTATTCCAATCATTGCAAATTCAGAATGTGGCTGGGTCACCACAGCATGCTCTAGACGTGCCAAGAGAGCAATTACGCAAAGCGTTGTGTTCAAGTAGTCAACATTAGTATCACTCAGTATCTGTACATCATCGCTTGAAAACTATGTGGAGATGCAGGAGCATCGCCAGAACAAGCGCGGTCTCAATGGGAAGTCTCTTCACGCCCGCCATAATTGCCCATCTTCCGTGGAGGCACCTTAGCGGCAAAGAGACGATCAATCTCACCAAAAGTCTTTCCCTTGAGCTCAGGAACATAGATCCAACTGCCAACAGTAGCGATGAACGCCAATCCGCCAAAGATGAAGCCCACTTTGCCACGCAGGTTGGCCTGGTCTGGGTTGACCATGTACGGAATGGCGGCATTCATGACCAGGCCACAGATTGCCTGAGTGGCCGTGGCCAGGGAGATGGTCTTGGCACGCAGCACGGTGCTCGAGGTCTCGCCAAGGACAGCAAAGGCCATGGCCCCGATGGTGAGAAAGTAGACGAAGGCATAAATGACCGTGACAGAAGCTTGCACCCAGCTGGCTGCGCTTGTGGGCACCACGTCCATGATACCGATGAGCAGCAGGATAAAAGTCAAGGTGCCCATACCAGAGATGAAGACCAGCCGGCGGCCGTACCGCTCCACCACGAACCAGCTGACGATATTGCCGAAGACACCGCAGGCAGTCACGCCGACACCGAGGTCGAACGATTTGGAACGCTGGAAGCCGGCAAGCTGGAAGAAGTAGGTCGAGTAGCCCAGCACAAAGACGATACCCACAAGGTGCTGGCACAAGAAGACGCCGGTGGAGATTCCCGTCCGCAGCCTGTTGGTGCCCCGGAAGCAGTCGATGAAGCCCAGCTCCTTGCTCTGGCTTGATGCTTCCTCGTCGATTGTGGCCATAAGAGCCAGCAGTCTCTTCTCAGCATCGTATTCGCTGCCAAATAACTTGCGGATCTCCTTCAGTGCTTGCTCTCTCTTTCCCTTGCGTGCGAGGTACCACGGCGTCTCGGGGGCGAAGGGCAGGAATGCGACAAGGAAGGCAACGAAGAACAGCTGAGTGGCGAAGGGGCCGGCGTACGCCCAGCGATCGTCACGTTCGCCAAAAGCCTTGACGACGGCGTTTGACAGGAGCTGACCAATGGCAATACCTAGGTTGATACCAGCTGTGGCATAGCCGCGAAGGGCAACCGGCGCAATCTCACTGCAAGCCAAGGGCGCAAGGGTCAGGTAGAAGCCGAGGCCGACACCCAAAACCAGCTTCGAGCCGAGGAACGCCGGGCGGGTGTGGGAGAGGATCTCTCCTATGGCGCCGCCAGTGCAGAGGAGGATGCCGAGGCCAAGCGAGTTCTTGCGGCCAATGCGGTCGGCAAGCCAGCTGCAGAGAAATCCACCAAAGAACTGGCCTACGGTGCTGATCATGTTGAATGCCGTCTGCCAATCCGCCGGGAGGATCGCTTCGCCGTCGAGTACGTAGCCAAAGTCGCGCCTGAAAGCTGCCACGGCTATCATGGCGCCGTTGATCTGCGCATCGAAACCCCTGTGTGAGACTCATATAGTCAGCCGCAGCCCTGAGCAGCCGGCCATGGTGTGAGTGTTCCAAGGGCTCAGGCCTCAACTTACCAACCGACAGCACACATGGCCCAGTAGAAACACCACCAGGCAACTGCTTTGTGGTGCCTAAATACCTGGCCCAGGGTGAGCTCGTGTTCTTGTCCGATGGCGTTCTCGACAGGCGTGTCCTTGTCGACGCAGTGGTGGTGAGTAACCTCGGCCGCCATGGGCTCGCCGGAAGTTTTGTCGTCAGCAGTGGCGGCGGTCATGATTTCGAACAAGTTGCGAGCCCTGGCGCAAAGTCGGCGGCGTACGTTGTCCTCGGAGAGAAGCCAATGGCGATATCGAGGGCATCATGGAGGAATCTGGGGAACGCGTGTGAGTTTATATCCATATTCGGAAGGGATATGTTGCGCTGGAGAAACAAGATCTGGGGAAACGTGGAGAGGGCTTAAAGGCGACACTCCGCGGCGCGGCGTCGCCGGCCCCGCCCGAGAAATAATCAAGCCAGGCCAGGTCTGGCCAAGGCAGGTCCGGCGAGCCCAAGCACGGGCCACGGATGGGAGTTCCCCGTGGCGGGCCACGTCTCGGATCAAGAGGTGAGCGACTCGCTTCAAGGCACACGAGTCTCGGCTGAAAAGCTCGAACCCGCAGCTGGTCAGGATATAAGAGCGACATTCCGCGCCTCGACCCCAACATCCCCAGACCACCTCCAACACCAGACCCGGACCATTCCCCACACCCCGCGAATTTGCGCATCCTAGAGCGTCGCGTGGCTTGCTGATGGCTGAGATGAACCCGGCTACTGGCGACCCAGCTCGCCGGTCGCGGCCCGCACCGCGAGGGACTGCATCCTATCAACGAAAGCGAGCCGTCAAGGCGTGCCAGGTTTGCCGTGCCCGGCGCACGAAATGCGACAACCTCAAGCCGTCGTGTTCCTTCTGCCTCAAGGTCGGTGCCGTCTGCATCCAGTCGGCCGAGGACCTCTCCAGCTTCGACCCTGCCAGTCTCAAGATCCTGGAACGCCTCGACAGCCTTGAGCAGCTGATGCGGTCCTCGCTGCCAGCCACAGACGAGCAAGGACCGCCGGCCAAGAAGAGAGCCCGGCCAACAACCTCTCATGTCGATCCACCCGAAGCCCAAGTCGGTGGCACTCGAGTCGACGTGAGTATGGTCCTGCCGCCTAGTTCCGAGGAGATGCTCTCGTGGAGCTGTCTTCGAGGCTTGCATGTCACAGGCCTGTTTGAAGACAGTGTCGACGACACGGGGACTCTCGAATTGCAGCATGGCACGCCGCAACATCACGTTTCGTCTCCGCCTGGTCTTGTGGCGGTGCCAGAGGACCCGCGCCTTGTCAAAGCTCTGCTGGACAACTTCTTCAATTATGTCCATGTCAAGAATCCCATACTCGATGAGGTGTCAACGCGCAGAATGGTTCTCGGCAAGGCCGTGGAAGGGTTGGGGTTTGACTGGAGCCCCGAGTCGTGCCTTGCCTTGCTCATCTGCGCTCTCGGGTCCCTAGCCACCCCGTTCGGCCCCAGTCCCGACACGATGCCAGGCACGGCGGCTTATGCCCATGCCCAGGCGTACTTCCAAGCTGCACAGAAGCGCATGGGCTTGTTGTTTGTCGCCGAAGACATCATTGCCCCGCAATGCTTCTTCCTTGCAGGCGTCTTCATGATGTGCAATTTCCAGTCTACCAAGGCGTGGCGGTATTTCGTCCAGGCTCTTGTTGGCTGCCAAGAGTTCAAGTTCCTGACCAACGCGCCTGGGCGACCCGACCAGCTGGATGAAACTCCTCACCAGGCCATCTACTGGTCCGCCTGGAAGTCGGAGCGCGAGGTGCGGGGCGATGTGCGCCGTCCGGACTTTCTCGTCAGCGACCATGACACAAGACTCTATCCATCATTCTTCCCAACGCCACCAGCACCTCGCGCAGATGCGGTGAGGATGCCTCTGATGGAAGCAGACCAAACCAGGGAGCAGATCTCCTGGTACTTCTACCTTGCGGAGATCTCCCTGCGCAGGCTGACTGCTCGCGTGAGTGCGGAGATGGTGGCCATGATGGAGACGCATGCGTCGCGGCACATGTTTCTCGAGTCCATGGCAGCAGCTCTGTCTTCATACGAGGCCCAGGCCAATGAATGGCAGGCATCGTTACCTCCGTGTCTATCTCTCGAAGCGCCCCCGGAGCAGGATGACGTGTGCCGATTCGTGCTCAGGGGCCACTTGATCAACCTCTACGAGACACTATACTGGCCTTTCTTGGCGGTCTTCCTGGACGAAGAGGGCCTTGGTCTTCAGACTGGCGCATTGAATGCATTTAGCGAGCAGGCCCAGCGTGGTCTGGAGAACCACATGGCAAGGTTGCTTGTCAACAAAGCAGGCTATCATCACCGTCACCACGGAACGGACCCACTGCTGCGATCGTGCTCCCGAACGGCGTTGACGCTCTTGGCTATGTCAAGAACCCAAGGAGCGAGAGGAGGGGGCGGGCTCTCGCAAGCCCTGCGTCTACCCCCTGGTTGGCTGGTGGAGCTTGGTGAAGTGGTAGACCTGCTTGCGTTCTGGAGCCCTGAGACTGATCGGTACAGCGAGGTCAGAGTAACTCTATGCCGAGGCCTCGCTGAGGCCAAGAGCCATAACTACCGGCTTCGGGGGCCTTGAGATCGGTTGCCGGAAGGTTGGGCTTTACCCCTGGTTGGCCGAACTTGTTCGATCCGGATCCTTCCCGTCAACGTGGAGGCCCAGCTGGTTCCCCACTCCCATGCATGCCGGCATATTCTGGCTGTCGCGGAATGTCGCACTTAAGAAATTGGGGTAATTGCGGGCTTGAAGCTGGGTACGTACATGGCCCGAACCGCGAGCTGCGTATATCTATGGCCGAAGCATTGGTGCCTGACTGGTTTGTCGGTCATGTTCCATGTTGCAACATCCTTTCCGCAGTCAAATCTTCATCTTGCACACACACAGCGACCATGGGTGACGCCACACGACTCAACCCCCCCTGCACGATGCTTCGTGTCAGCGGTGTCAACATTGTCAACTCTGCTGGCGAGCAAGTTGTGCTCAAGGGCGCAGGGCTGGGCGGGATGCTGAACATGGAAAACTTCATTACAGGCTACTCTGGCCACGAGCACGAGCACAGGGCTGCCCTGGAGGAGGTGCTTGGCAAGGACAAGGCCGACTTCTTCTTCGCCCGCCTGCTCCACCACTTTTTCACAGAGGACGACGCGGCGTTGTTCGCGTCACTCGGCTTCAACTGCCTGCGGGTGCCATTCAACCACCGACATTTCATGGACGATGATAATCCGAGCGTGATTAAGCAGTCCGGGTTCGAGCTGCTAGACCGCATCGTCAACATCTGTGCTCAGTACAACATCTACGTCGTGCTGGACCTTCACACGGCCCCTGGCGGTCAGAATCAGGACTGGCACAGCGATTCCGGTATCCACCGCGCCCTGTTCTGGGAGTTCCGAGATTTCCAGGATCGCGTCATTCAGCTTTGGGAGGCCCTTGCAGCCCATTATGTAGGGAACCCTGTCATCGCAGGCTACAATCCCCTCAACGAACCCGCCGACCCGAAGCACACTCGTCTTATCAGCTGGTACGAGCGAGCCGAGAGGGCAATCCGCGCTGTCGACCCAGACCATATGCTATTCCTCGACGGCAACACCTATGCCATGGACTTCTCGCACTTCCCAGTCGACAAGCCGCTACCCAACACTGTCTACAGCTGTCACGACTACAGCGGCATGGGGTTCCCACTTCCTGAGCAGTACGAGGGCACAGACCAGCAGAAGGCCAAGCTGCGCTCGAGCTTCAAGCGCAAGGTTGAGTTCATGCAGGCTGCTGGCGTCCCGATCTGGAACGGCGAATGGGGTCCCGTGTACCAGGACCCGCGGACAGATCCTCACGCGGCCCAGACAAACACCAAGAGATTCGCGCTGCTCAAGGAACAGCTGGAGGTTTACCGCGAGTTCGGCGACGTCTCATGGAGCATTTGGCTCTACAAGGATGTCGGGTACCAGGGCATGGTGTACACCGACCCCGAGAGCCCATACATGTCCCTGATACAGCCGTTCATCGAGAAGAAGCAGCGCCTGGGGCTCGACTTTTGGGGAATCTGTGACAAGAGCGGCATCGACAACGAGGTGTATGGCCCCTTTATCGCCAAGCTCAAGGAGTCGATCCCCGAACACCTGCACAAGAAAAAGTACCCCAAGACTTGGACATTCGACCGCCAGGTCGAGCGTGTGGTGCGGGAAATGCTCATGAGTGAGTACATGGGCTGGGAGATGGCCGAGCTCTTCCGCGGCAAGACCGAGGAGGAGCTCGAGGCCCTTGCTGCCAGCTTCGCACTCAAGAACTGCAAAACCAGAGACGAGCTCAACAGTATCCTCACGTTGGATGCGCAAAGGTCATCCTGTTCGAGGTAGTTGCCAAGGTCGTGTGTACAGTCTTCGTCATTATCTAGCGACATAGAGAAGTACTCCTCGGATAACCAATCTCGACAGCCCCCCATCCTCATGCTTGTATGCCAGCCTGAGTCCGCTCATGTGCATTGAGCAGGTTCGCCCTTGCAGCATGCTGTGCTGACCAATGCATCACATCCTGTGGCCATGTAGATTGCAGAGAGTCAATGATGTAAGGATAGGGCAGTCATGACCCAGCAAACCCAGTCTCCAGCTCAATCTTCGTCGGCATCGCGCGGATCGTGCTTCCTCCAAAATTTCTCATAGTCGTCCCACGACTGAGAGGGAATGCTCAGCGGAACTGTGATGGGTGCCAGCGGCACCTGGTTCCTCTCCATGTCTTCCAGGCGGGCGCGGGTGGCCGGATGTTTCTTGTTGACGCTGTACAAATTAATGGTATGGCAGGAGCTGGTCACATGGAGTCCCCAGTTCCAAGCCGTGCGGACATCCGGTGGTTGCGTATTAAGCGCGTTATCCCAGCACCGGACCAGGACATCGATCCATCCTTCGACGTCGCAGGGCAAATCGAATTCCCATGTACGCCAGGTCCACTTGCGCTTCTTGGACAGGTTCTCTGGTGGGACCGTATACCAGCTAAAGCCTCCGTCGGCAGATAGCTCAACCCGTTCGGGCCAGCGTCCACCTCCAGAATACGCCCAGCCTTTGCAGCGAATGGAGCCCTCGTGAATCACAACCTGTTTGGTCCATGGGGACATGATCGCTGAACTAACCGGCATTTCCTGGATCTGGATGCCGTCAGTCAGGCGCATGTTGTATTTGCCGACCTGTTGGGGAAAGTAGAGGTACTCCTTGCTCTGCACTGGTGCTCGCGTCGGTGCATTGATAGCCTTGATGCGATATAGCCACTTGACACTGCGAGCACCAATGTAGCCAAACACGACGACGCGTAGCGGGTACCCGTGAATCTTCGGCAGGGGCTCGCCGTTCATGTTCCACGCTAGCATTACCTCGTTGGCCTTGACCTTCGACCAAGGGACGCTCACGCGATAGTTCATGCACTCGTTATCCTTGAAGTACGTGTCTGCCCCGAAAAACTCGAGGTGCTTGCCGTCGTCAATGAGTCCGCCGCATGCCTTGATGATCTTTTTTAGGCTCACGCCCTCATACTCGGCGGTACCGATGGCACCTTCAGCCCACGGTGCTTGGGGCAGCTCGTCGCCTTTACCGGGATACCTGGTGATCTGCTCAATCCGTCGCGTGCCGGAGCACTGCATAGTGACGTGCTTCTTCATACGTGGGAACCGGGTCTCGTCCATTAGCTCGTCGAGCGTAAAGGACTGTGGGTGGGAGACAAGTCCATCAAGAAGGAAGCTGTAGTTCTGTTTGTCGATGATGGGGATGCCGCCGTGGTTGCGCACAAAGTGCAACGGGTTTGGCGTGACGGGCTTGCTCGTGACCAGTCGCTTGGGCGGTTCCCCGTTGTAGGGAAATTGGAGGATGTGTAGCATATCTGCATGCTTCTCCTCGAGTACAATCTTCCACGAGTCGTTGGGCACCACCGTGAGTTCGCCCCCAATGGCGGAATGCCACAATTTCCACCGCTCTCCATCAAGCAGTGGGTTCGTCGCTGGGATCTCCGTCATCTGATACTCAGGTGCGCCGGGAAAGCTCTGAGACGTCAATATTTTATGCGCCGCGGCCTTTTTCTCAGGGTACTCTTCCCACTCGACGAAGCTGCGTGTCGTTCTGTCAGTACGATGGTTGATGCGATCCGGACAGTGGCGAGGACAGACTTACCCTTTCCAACCCGTGCGCTCCATTTGAAAAAGCTCGTTGGGGTCTCCTACCGCCTTGATCGCGTCCTCATCCTTGAATTCTTTTTGCACTTCGGCAGGCGGAATAGCCCTCGTCTCCGGCCCGGTCATGTCGAGAACAGGCAAGGACGCCCCAGTCAAACCCTGCTCAATCTTCCACTCATCGGGACGGTTCTCCATCTTTACACGCTCACTCAATTTGGTGATAGGCCCCATGTTGGCCGACAATTGTTGACCCTCCTGTTAGAGGCGTTGAATTGTGCTAAGCTAAGAAAGAATGTAGTAGGAGGGCCAGCAAATGGTGGGTAGGATATAGAAATGTAGGCACGAAGGACCTGGGTAGGTCCTTGTCAGCATCGACAATCATTGACGTCGTCTTTCGTGCCAAGACCAATCAAGCACTAAGGCGCTCCACCCTATCAATGAAATCACCCTCGCAGCGTCGTAATCAGACTGGGGTTGGCGTTCATGACGGGTCTATGCGCTCATGGAAAATGGAGCCTGGCCAACGACCAGAGAACACCGAGGAAGCCCGGCGCACTTGTCAAATCCCGCACAAAATCGGAGCCGCTAGGCATGACATTTTTCATGGATCTCGACGCTTGACTCCGGCTGAAGCATAACGAGACGCCGCAATATTCAAGTATTGCACCCTTAGGTACAGGGGAGGCAAGACCCACTTCAGCAGTCGATGGCAGCACACATCAACCTCTGATGTACACCGCAGAATCACAGTGACAATATTGTCGTTGACAGTATTCCTTGAGCTATAGTAGTTGTGTGACAATTGGGAACGCCTCGAGCTATACGTATCGAATACACCTGCTCTTGCGCACCGCTACAAGGGAGCTTTGTGGCGCTCGCCGTGAGCCAGCCTGGTTCGGACATGGCACTGTTCACATACCGCCTCGCCGCTGCTACCACACGCCAGAGGGCTTCTACGTAATAGTACTGGCCACTCTGGCGGCGGGAAAACCAGCAGCGGGAGCCTAATCTCGCGAAACTAGCCGCCTATCGACACTTGCATGCCTCTCGATCATGGCCTCGTAAAGTCGATGGGGCTCAAGCCAGTTGGGTAAAGCAGCAGGCGACACTGTCTACATGAACCTTTACAAATCTTGTCCCCAGCAAGGCGTACTCTTCCCGATCAACTTGTACGACAACAAATACTAGTCGCTACTCTACCTGATAGATTCAAACAATCAAGCACAACCTTCGAGCCAACAAAGATACAATCAACGGAACAAGGACGGCACTTCGCCACACATGATCAGAGAGCCAGACCGCGGGCCACGCGCCCGCGACCCACCCTTCAAGCTTCCCAAAATTAACTCTATTTTACGCCCCCACGCCTCCCTTCCAGTCATACTTCTGCATCTTTATCCGCTTACGACGATCCTACTAAAGACGTGCCACCTGAGCATCAAAGACCTACAGTCACGACTTGGCTGGAGAAGGGCCATGTCTTGCTTGTCGGGTGGAAGACCAGAGTGATCACTTGGGAACTCAACACGGATGTTACAAAGACCTTGTCACTCAATTTGAGGACCAGTAACGGGGCTTGGGGGCCCGACATTGCATCAGTCTTCAGGTCGCAGAACATAGATCTTCGGGACCAGCTGCGCACACGGTGACGTCAGCGGCCAGAGACTGAGGCTTGCGGGTGGACAAAGGCAAAGTACCTAAGGAGGGACGATATTATGGACATTAAAGTGCGATGGACAACACATAATCAGATGCGCAGCTATGCAGCCCTATCTGGTAATGAATGCATCTGGGAGTGAATGCATCTGGGAGTGAATGGAGAGGCCCGCCACGATCAAACAACGGCACGGGGCGTTATCCTCGCGGAGCCCATAAGGCTCCGGTACCAAAACAACAGAGGAAGTACAGGGATATAAGCCAATACGATCAGTGATGTTTGGAAATACTTTGTTCATTGCGCGAAATGGTAGCGTTCTCGAAGTACTTGCAATCGTCACAGTCACTTGCCACTTCCGCATGAACAGGGATTATCGAGGTGCTTCGACGAACGCCAGGATAACGTGGGACGCCTTTGTATCGGAGCCTTACAGGCTCCGCGAGGATACTGTCACTACTTTCTCGGGGGCCAATCACAACCAGTACCGAGGTATGCAATGTCGGGTGCTGACTGGATCATATCCCAGCAGAGTGAGACCCCGCTTCATCTGCAGCGACTAGGCAGCTGCGCCACCAGGGCGATATATGCCTACCCTCCCGTCAGCTGGTGCGAATCGTTATCTCCTCTCAATTGCCACGAAACTCAGTTGGACGATGAACGACCACGCCCCCCTCGGGTCGAACTCGGCCGGATCGATCTCCGCCCATGACCAGGCAAAAATTCAGATTGGAAATACATACCATTATTCAGACCACTATACCGAGGTCGCAGAAGTGGCACGGGAGAATTTGCGCATCGACTTCTTGAGGCAACTGCGTACTTGTCAGTACGAAGAACGTAAGAATCACAACCATCAGCGCGCAGTAGGCACGTGCAAGTGGTTCACAATCATGAGATCTTTGCCTCCTGGCAAGCACAAGAATCTGCGGTGCTCTGGGTATCCGCCGATCCAGGCTGTGGCAAATCTGTCCTCGCAAGGTACCTGGTCGACGAGGTCATTCCTGGCAGCAGCAATAGCATCGTCTGCTACTTCTTCTTCAAGGACGGCTTTGACGATCAAAAATCGCTGGCGGGTGCAGTCTCCTGCATTCTCCACCAGCTCTTCATACGGAACCCGACTCTGCTCACAGACGAGTTCCTGGATGAGTTCCGCCTGGACGGGGATGCTCTTCTCAAATCTTTCAGAAGACTATGGCACATCCTTCTCACCGCATCAAATCAATCCACAGAGCAAATTGTCTGCGTTCTCGACGGATTGGACGAATGTGTTGGAGAAGCCGAGCTGGTCTCCACCATAACAGGACTATACATTGCAGAAAACAAACCCTGCCGACTCAAGTTCCTCCTGACCAGCCGGCCATATCCCTTCCATTCGAGGAGGATTCGAAGAGTTGAGAGCCAACCAGCCCAGCATGCATCTTCATGGTTCAAGCGACCAGGAAGCCGATGAGATCTCCAAGGAAGTTTCTCTCGTAATCGAGCAGCGGATCCGACATCTCGCAATCCGACGGGGTTTGTTGCCGGATCAAGAACACGCAATACAGCGTGCAGTAGCAAAACACCGGAACCGAACCTATCTCTGGGTACATTTAATCTTCACTAGTTTGGAGGGGACCAGCATGCTGCATCAGAGCGCTCTGTCCGATGCCATTGACAGCCTACCACCAAATGTTGAGGCAGCATACGACAAGATTCTCCAAAGAAGTCCAGATCAGAAACAGGCTCGTAGGATACTGCAACTCATCGTCACTGCCAATAGGCCGCTGCACTTACGGGAGATGGCGGCAGCACTCGCCTTCCAGGCTGGGGTGCATCGAACTTACCGCGAAGTCGAGGCGGAACTCGCAATCACGAGTCAGCTCGGAGACGAGCTGCGGAGTATTTGTGGTCTTTTCATCGTAATTTATAACGATCAGATCCTTCTGCTGCATCAAACGGCCAGAGAGTATCTCGTCAAACCGCCACTGTTGCTACCACCACGCTCGCAACGGCAAATATTCATCGACCTACAGGAAGCGCACAGTGTTATGGCAGAGCTCTGCATTCGATTCATGGTGCTGGAAGATATAGCAAAATTGGATGTGCTTCTGAAGCAGTATCCATCATTTGAAAAACTGGCAGAGTTTCCCTTTCTGGCGTATGCGGCGGATGCCTGGCCCTATCATTCCCGAGAAGCAGGGAGAACGGCCAGCCCTGAGCTGGTCCTCCCCGCCCTACGACTCCTCCAGGATGAATCTACATGGTTCCGCATGTGCCGCCCCAACAAGCTTAAAACAAGCGCCGGTCCTCTGGCAATCGCTGACAAACTCAGAACAATCACCGGTCCTCTGACAATCGCTGCCTCGCTCAGTCTTTCACTATTGATTCGACCGATTATCGAGAGTCCAGAAACTCCAGCCAAACTTTGGCACAAATACGACTTGGGAATGATTTTATCACTCGCTTGCTCGTGCGGCCATGTAGACTTCGTCAGAGAATTTTTGAGCCTCGGCTTGACACGCCAATCCATCATGCAACGTTTCTTGGAAGGTGGTCGTGTTCTCGACATGCAACGCTGGGGAAAGACACCTTTGGCGTATGCCGCCGCGACTGGGAATTGCCAGATCTTGGAGCTGCTGCTCGATGCTGGTGCGGATCCAAATGCTGGAGACAGGGAACACGATATGCCCCTGTATCAGGCAGCTCGTCATGGCCATGATGTAGCCATGGACCTGTTGCTCAAGCGTGGTGCCGTAGCTGGGATAGAGGCGAGCCACCTGGCCAAGCATGGCATGACGAGCTGGACCCCATTGACCAGGGCTGCCTTTCACGGAGATAAGAGCACCATGCTGCAACTATTGGATCGTGGAGACGAGATTGACGATCCAGACGCTGCCGGCCATACTCCCCTCCAGCGGGCCACGATGCAGGGTCACCTGGAACTAGTGGAACGGCTGCTTGCGCGCGGTGCCTTGATGCAGTTGAGCCGCAAGAACCAGGAGCCATTATTGATCGAGGCCACCCGTCGTGGGCAATTAGATCTCGTGAAGCTGCTGCTTGATAAAGGTGCAACCATCGAAGCCTCTGATTCGGACGGTCGCACTGCACTCATGTATGCCGCTAATCGTGATGTAGCCCTGGCATTACTACAGCACGGCGCGCAGGTCAATCGCCGTGTTAAAGGCCCTACCGCTCTTACTTATGCAGCCGACTCCGGCAGAGAAGAGGTCGTGGAGCTGCTGCTTGATCACGGTGCGGAGGGTGAGGCTCAACGCGAAAATTTGCCCACAGCTCTCCATGTTGCTGCATTAAGAGGCCATTACAAGACTGTTGAGCTCTTGGTAAACCGTGGTGCCAAGATTGAGGCTTGTGGTCCTTCGAGAATAACACCCCTTCTACTTGCTGTCGCCAATGGCCACACGGAAGTCGTCAAACTCCTCCTTGACCGTGGGGCGGACATACAAGCATCAGACTCGGGTGGCCGCACAGCTTTGTGGCTCGCTTTCTTGAACAAGGACTATGATATAGCAGACTTGTTGAGGGCGAGAGGGGCGAAGGGAAGAAACTCTCTGGTCCGTGCTATATTTGGGGCGATAAATCTCAAGGCTGAGCTAAATCTGGTTGGGTTGTCGACACGGAAACTACGAGCGATTATACAGAGGTAGAATTTATGTACCAACTCCGGAGCCAAGGTTCCAGAGTTGTGTCAACACTCCACGAACTTATTAAGCGCTTCTAACCGCTCTTCATGTCGAGACCGCTTCTACACAATGTTCTTTTCCGAACCACCGTCAAAGCTTTTAAGCAGTATCACACCTGATCTTCGACAGGATCGCATTAGCATCGTCAAAAAAGCGCATGCCCAGCCAGTGATCAACTTTCAGCTCCTCCTTCTCGGTCGTTCTATGCAGAGGAGTCCATCACGGCTCTCAAATGTATACCTGGCGTCAGGGTGTAGGGATTTTGACCGAGTACAGCGAAGGGAAGTTCGGGTAGTTTACCTTGAACAATTACTGGAGCATATCACAAGATGGCCGTTCCGTCATGGACTTCGGTACGGGCTGAGCAAGGAGAGCACGTCGCTCAGCTCGGCCAGCGCGTTGAGACTGGTTGGGCTAGCGCTGAGTATAGATCTCCGTGGCCAAAAAAGCGAGTGGGCAGATCATATTGGCGATAAGCTAGACCCGGATCGAGCCAATGTGAACAAATTCACGGTTATAGGTGGTACTTCTGGCCTCGTAGACAAGAGGAATCCAGCTGGAGATGGCAAGTCTGTAGTGGCTGGTTAAGAGAAAGAAAGCCGTAGAAGGACCAAGAACGTTGACATGGACCTCCCGCCACTACCTACCACTGAAGCCGAGTTATCAGAACACAACAATATCACCGGCATAGGTGTGGCTATGCCCGATGTTTCCTCCATTGCACATTAAACAACTCTAAACTCAACTTGTGCACAAATGCTCGCTTTCTGCCTACACCACATCACATGCTAGAGATCTTTACATAAGCGCCAACTATGGAGCTCTTTTCCTGCGCGACCACTCTGTAAGACATGGGCGTGGTAATAAAGGCAGTAGCAAACGAGACGACTCCCAATCGGCCCATCCGCACAGGTGTGGGGTCGTCTCGAAAGGGTAATTGCAAGTATCTAGCGCTTTTCGCCCGGGGCAGCGCGGGGCGTTCCATGATTGGTGCAAATTGCAAGATTAACCAGGGGCCCGCACTCGTAACCTTGTGTTGGTTGACAGGGGGGGCCAGAGGTTCACATGATTCGATGTGCAGGGATTAATAGAAGAGGCCGATAACAGTGTTCCGCAAGGAGCAAGGCAGAGACATCGCCGGACTTTCTTGAACAAGGAGGCGGTGCACTTCCGGATGGCCTGCAAGTGCAGCATCAAGCAAGGAATCTCAGCCAGCTGAACAGCAGTCTTGGCCTCAGGCAACAAGATGATCTCGCAGGACCCCTGGCACGGGAATCCCATGCGACTCTGCGAAACAGGCCAGGGCAGCGCGCACGGCTCCGTCCGGCGCCGCCGTGATTTTTGGCTGCCCCTCATGCATGCTTTGATTGCCAACACCTTTATTCCCTGCTCTAGGCTGCCATGTATTGAGGAACCCTATATATGCCGTGGAGAAGGAACAACTTCTGAGACGCGAGGTTTTACGAAATATCACGAAACTCAATGTTAAAGCGTCTCCTCCATCGGCCGAACCACGAAACACAAAGACATACAAGCGACTGCAGCATAAGTCACGAGCTTCATTTGCCAGCTATCATACCGTCAGAACTCTGCTCAGCTCTAGAAACCTGCCACACAAAACAATGATATCCTCACACTCCGTCCTCGGCATTGCCTGTATGAGCATTACCCGCCAAGGGACAACCGGCGCTACTGAGATCGACAGCAACGTCCTCTCCCGCCCCAACGCTAATACGACGGCGTTGCCCACGGAGCTGCAGGCCCTGCAAGCCCTCGCTGCCAGACTGCGCCAGCTCGCCACCGCCGCGACAGATCTTCGTGGTACACTCAACAGAAATGCTTCATCAACGCCGTCCGCGTCATCGCATAATGCTTGTGACGCCCTGGCCACAGCTCTCCCCAGCTGTGATGCCGCTGTTGCCACACTTGTCAAGCAACTCATGCGCTGTGATTACGACACATCACTGCAACAGATTAGCCTTGCAGCGGCACTCACGTACGATCACTTTGCGAGTGCGGCGGCGAGCTTCTTTGACCTTATGGCGGCAATGATGACGGGGTATGGTATTGCCCTTACATATAGGCTCTGGCTGTGAACTGCGAAGCCTGTTCACGGGTTCAGGTCGAGCCTACTCTGCCTCACCACATGACTTGTGAACCACATTTGCTTACATCTTAGTGACTATTACAGCTCACAACAACAGGCGAACCCGACCCTTGTTGCTAGAGATGTCGACACCCTGTTGGCGAGAGTGTCTAGAGCCTGCGCAGACGTGACCATCTCTGGCGGCATCCTTCTTGACGGCGGCCTCGGTAATGCTACACAGCCTCTGACCTTCCGCCTGACAGCTCCATCATTGTCTTTACTCGACACTGACAACGACGTCACCGAAACTACGCCTCCACGGTACGAGGTCCAGGCGCCCTCGGATGCACGGGGCCAGCCGCCGCCGTTTGAGGCCTTGCCAGATTCGACAGAATCGATGGTTGAAGACGGGGATGATAAGAGAGGCAGGGCAGAATCGGACGTTCCGGCCTACGCCTCACCGGCTCCGGCATATCACAGCGCCGAGGGGATTGCAAGTAAGGGAAACAAATGTGTGCCGTCCACGCCGCCGCCTCCGCCGCACAGAAACAGGAGCCTGCTCAGCAGCCTCGCAGAGCCGTTACGGTCCGTGGCCAACGTGCTGCGCCCCAAGCCGGAGCCCCTCGTCGTCGCGCTCTGCGAGGCCGCGAGTCGTGGCGAGGTGGCGCAAATGCGCAGCCTGGTGGCACAGGGCGGTATCAACGTGAACGGGCGCAACGAGCAGGGCCGGACGGCACTCATCTGTGCCGTGCTCGCGGACCAACCCGCCGCCGTGCGGTTTCTTTTGGGCAGCGAGGCCCGGGCCGACCCGTGCGTGTGCGACAGCATCGGGCTGAGTTTTGGTAACAGCACCAACCACAGCAAGCCGCCACTGTATCGCGCCGTCGAGAGGCTTAACATGCCCATGACGGAGCTGCTGCTGGCGGATGAGGCAGCCGGCGGCGCCAGTCTCGCGGGTCAGAAGGACTCGTATGGCCAGTCGTACTTTTCGCTTTGCGTGCTGGGCGACACACCTGCAAAGCCGTGGCTCGAGCTGCTGCTCCGGCATGGGGCCGCCGCGACGCACAAGGATCTTACAGGGAGGCCGCTCGTCATGGTTGCCTTGGACAAGCGCCAGAATAAGCACGATGTCGAAGACGTGGTCAGCTTGCTTCTGCGGTACGGGGCGTCGCCTAGCTCGACCGACGATGACGGCACGGCGCTTGTGCACCGCTGTGTGGATCAGGGCCGTGGCAAGTTAGCGCTCCGGCTGGTGCTCATGGGCGCCGATGCCAACGGCAGGGACGTGTCGGGATCGCCCGTGCTTCTTGCGGCCCTGAAGCGTGGCGATAGGGCGCTCGTCGCGGCGCTACTGGAGCACGGGGCGGACCCAAATGCGAAGGACATATATGGCTCGCCGATGATCGCGGCTCTGATGAAGATGCCCTTGATACCAGCGGATCGGGACGCTATGGCAAAGTTACTGCTTGCGCGCGGAGCACGCAGAGTAGAATAACGTGGTGGATGAGACATAGAAAGAAGCGAGTCGTGACCAATAGAATTCCCGAGGGAGGCAGCAATGACCTCAAGGCATGATTTGAAGGATGTGATCTGTGGAAGCTCCCAATGATGACTCTTACTACAATACAACATTGCTAAGCCCTATTGAATATCTACGACCTGCTGATTGTATGATCGTCAAGTAATAATTTCTGTACTTTTTGTCATAACACCCTTCGAATCATCCAGCGTGGGAGTCACGGTTCCTCCAATATCCGAAGATGATTGACTAACGCTTTCGGCATCCTGGGCCTTGGAGGATCTGTGATTGCTGTTAGTAATCATCAAAAGCACATTCGCAGCCTGCAGTTCTTGATACTTACTCCTTCCTCTTGATGTACAGATTCAAGACGTGGGTCGCTGCAATAAGCGCCACTGCACAACCAAGACAGAACGAATATCCTTTGGGGTACTGCGGCGCCTCGACAGTCGGGAAAGTCAGCAGTGGCGTCCATGCGGTGGATGACTGCGCGATGATAGTGATCAACACGAGCGTGAAGGATCGCTCTTCCGGCGAGTCCCGCAAGATCGTGTTTACCCAGCCGTGCAACACGCTAGAGAGCGACGAGGACCAGTACATGCCGGTAAAGGCAAACCATGTGGCTGACTCTGGCACGTTCCAGACCACGAGAATGATGAGACTGATGGCGTTCATGACGGACGCAAAAGTGATAGCCCAGGCGGGTCCCCAGAGGAGATCCGAGGAGAAACAGACGAGGATGTTGAGGAATATGCCAACCGCAGGGGCGATACTACCAAGCTCGTTGATAGCTGATGGAGAGTATCTCTTTAGGCTCTTGATCCAGAGCAGGAAGGCACCGGTGCTTTTCTGGATGCCAGCGTTCCAGAAGAGGATATCCACCAGTACGACGACCCAGAAATGAGGGCTGGCAAGGATCCTCTTGATGTGGACGAGCTTGAATTTACCCTTGGTCCCGTGACCTCCACGGTCGAGTCGCTTCTTGGCGATGGCGAGGTCGTTGTCATTGAGGACCCAGCGGTTCGGCTGCTCGATGGTGCCTGGGATAACAAAGTACCCCAGGATGCCGACAGGGAATGTAATCAGCGCACAGATGATATACATCCATCTCCAGCCAGCTAGGCCGTTGACACCTTCTAGACGAGCCGAGGCGCCGGAAGCGATGAGACCGGCGGTCAGGGAGCCGAGGTTCAGGCCAACATAGAAGAGACCACCCCTTCGAGCAATTTCATGTCCACGATACCACGAGCCTAACGATGAGATGTGTGAGCGAGTAACTCGTGGTGAGCGCCAAGACCGCGGTCTGAGAAGTGCTTAATAGTGGTCTGGGAATTCTTACCGAATACGAAGTGCATCGCTGGGAAGAAGGCGGCCTTTTCACGAGCATTAGCTAACATGCCAGTGCGAGAGGTCGGGGCTGACAACTGCTCTCTCACCTCGAAGATTCCGATCAGGAAACGGTACGCGGCCATCTCAGCAAAGGATGTGGCACGATATTGCAACAAAGTGAACAATCCCCAGAGGATGTCCATGACTGGAATAGTCCAATGCATCGGGATGTGGGTGAAAAGAAAGAGGAACGGGACCATCCCAACCACTGCTCCGACGGTGTACATGGTCTGAAGCTGTACGAGCTCATTTTCGTAGAAGCCCATCTCTTCCTTCATCCCAGAGACGTAGGCATTGTCTAGACACCGCCAAAACATGCAACGATTTAGCTATTGGTCGCGACTTTTGAGGCAGGGCGATGAGAGGTGCGAACAACAACATGATGTCCAACTTACTCAGATTGGCCTGGTCGATGTACTTTACCCAGTAAGCTAGGATGGAGAAAGGCACAACGAGGAGATCGAGCTTCAGTATCCACTTCCTTTCCTCGGGTGTGTCATCGTCTGAGAACCATTTTATATGCCACCACTTTTCGCGGTGGACTATCGTGTCGGCCATGCTAGGAGGCGGGGAAATGCTGGTCCCGGAGCAGGCGTGGGTTCTTGTGGTTGTATCGGTGCTGGGCTCTCCAATGCCGCGGTACTTGTGTCACCATTACCGGTGCCTTGGGGAAGGTCAAGCGCCCTGCATGCATATATACACTTCTGTGCACCCGTCCTCCGAGCGTTTTCATGCTCACTCCCTTGCCTGTTTTGTAGTAAAAGCTGAATGGCGTCTCCACTCTTCCTATGGTAACATCAAGATAACCGATGGCGCAATGTGTACAGTGGGTTATCAGCTTGCATCGTCCCCGAAATCTCTGGGACGTCCCCCTAATAGCCTGGTCGCATAGTGCTTGGCAACGATGAGCTCGGCCGAATGAGATTTGCGTCCGGTCAAGGCCGTCCCTGCGTCTGACAATGGAGGGGGGAGCCTTCAGCCGCTAAGTCGCGCCCCTATCATCAACCTGGCGTGCTCCAACCCAGGGATGGCGCCATGGAAATGGCAAGGTGTACGAGTCGTGTCACAGTCACTTGCACGCCCGAGGCATGCACCTTTATCTGCTGGCGCCGCCAAAGGACGGCCATCGTATCCTGCCGCGTTTCCGTCGGGTCTGTGCCCGTCCGTCGGGATGATCCCCGACTGCAGGGTCTACAAATGCAAGCCGAGTGATTATGCAGTCGCATTGCGATAATCACGGCGCTGATGACGTGCTTCCGAGCTACAGCGTGGCCCTGCCCGAGCTCGGAGCCCTGCTAGCTAGCGGGGGAGGGGCCTGGCGAATGGCATGACATATCATGGGGCCAACCACTTATCAATACAAGCACGACAAGCTGCTTATATGTCGCATGTATCGTCGCCTTTGCGCTGGGCATCACTTGGAGCAAGGAATCGCCAGATCACTTGCGAATGCGCTCTAGAGTGCAAAACATGTCAGACGCCACGAAGCGCATCAGAATCGCCATTGTTGGTGCCGGCATTGCGGGCCTCACGGCGGCCATTGCTCTGCAGGAGGAGCCACACATCGACGTCCAGATCTATGAGCGCGCAAGCGAGCTCCGTGAAGTTGGCGCAACCATCGCCCTGGGGCCCAACGGCCTAAAAATCCTGGACAAAATAGGTGTCAGCAAGGCGTTGAAGGACACCGTGGGTTTTCGCAATCGAACCGGTCGTTCAATGATCTATCGGTAAGCCCTGATAACGACCTCATCCCTCGAACCACTGCGAGTCGTGTTTCTTTCAAGTACGCTCACACAAGTCTTACCCGTCCCGATAGTCACTATCAGACAGACGAAGTGGTCTCTTTCGACGTGCACCATGGCCCGGTCGAGTCTAAACACCACTGTGCTCGGTTTTTCCGACCACATCTCCAAAAGGTCCTGCTCGAGCATGTGCGACCAGGCCGTCTACACCTCCACAAATCTTTCAAGTCGATACGCAGGGAACCCTCGGATCAGAGCCTGGTGATCGACTTTCTCGACGGCTCGACAGCGCAGGCTGATATAATTCTCGGCGCCGACGGCATCCACTCCGCCGTGCGTCGAGCTTACATACCCACGTCCTCTGCGCTCTGGACAGGCCATGTCTTCTTCCGCACCGTCGTGCCGCGATCCCACTTTGACCACATAGCTGACCTCCCCGACGAGGCCGTCCACTACTGGGGTCCCGACCGCACGCTCTTTCTTTCGCCGTTGCCCAAGGACCTGTTCGCCGTCGTGGCGGCTCACCAGTGTGATCCCAATGATCCCGGCCACCAATATCTTGCAGCCGGCTGGGATGGGGATGCCGACATCGCCGCCCTACGTGTTCTCTATAAGGACTGGAGCCCCCTGGCCAGAAGCATATTAGATGCCACGCCGCGCATCAAGGTGTATCCAAACACGGCAGCAAAGGAGCTGCCGACCTGGATTCTCGGCAATGGGCGCGTCACTTTGGCAGGCGATGCGGCGCACGCTCACGGCGGAGCCTTTGCCGCGGGCGGAAGCCTGGCCATCAACGATGCTTGGGCCTTTGCACAGTCTGTCCTCTACTACTTTCCAAGGGAAGGAGGCTGGCGAGTCCGCCCGGATGACGCAGGTCTGACCGAAGTCGTCAGCCTCTATGAGAGAACGCGGAAACCACATACAGATAAGGTGCAGAAGACTGTGCAGGATCGAAATCAGTTCTTGGTGGACCAAATCAAGATGAAACAAACGGACGAAGAGCTGAGGGCCCAGATGAAGAACAGGAGGGATCTGACGTGGATACACGAGCATGATGTAGAGGCTGCCTTTGCGAGAGCGATACCTAGCAAGATCAGTGAAGCGAGGTTGTGAGCGATCTTTCTGGCAGCCAGCAGGGACGAAGAGGGGGTTTCAAGACCCGGACCCGGGAAAATGGTCATACAAAGGCCGGCACGACGACTGCTATAGCAACACCTGCCTCTACTGCTACATGGCCCACGAAAGAACGTTGGCGTGTGACTGCAGAGTCTACAAATTCAATTTTTTCAGGCTTACGCTCATCAATTTGAGAATTCGAAAGCAACCCCTTGATTTGTATGTGCAACGTGGTTGCGTGTGAAATTGGGTATGGCTCGGAATCATGGGTGGGCCACCTCGCGTCATTGCACGGAATGGGAGGACAAGTGACGGGCTGGCCTCGCTCTTGAACGAGCGCACCAGCGATAGAGATTCAATTGTCGACAACCGTTAAGAGTCATGGTGCTTAGCACTGGTGCGGGCCGACATCGGGTGTGAATAGAAGGAGATGGGGGTTAAGCCAGCTCATTTCTCCCATTGCGTCTAGAAACCCCGAATCAGGCTTCTTTGAGCTTCTGATTCAAAGAGCTGTCTGAGATTTTAACGATATCTTGATATTGGACTGCACTGTTCTTGCGGATATACAACGACTCCAAAGCCGGATCTTTCGCGTCATAGACATCTTGCGTCTGCGAGGCAGCTCTCAAGTAAACCTACTCTGAAGCTCGATGCGGAGTAACTAGATTGCAATGACAAGAATATTGGCCAGCTGCAACGGCATAAGCGGGACTTGATCTCTACACGCGCAGCAGAACAAACAGACGGATCGCTCCCCCGTCGCAGTGCATTACAGCCTATCTGATTGAATGCAGGTATGGCCTTGGACACAACCTGCCGCTGGTGATTGGAACCCTCAAGACAGTCCTGCCAGGGGTAAGTGTCAGGCTGACATCTTTAATTTAGAAAAACTGGGACCTTGCACATGTGCACCAGCTGTATTCCACGATCCCGCCACACATTTTTTGTCACATACAAGGGCGTCGATATCATCTTTGATGGGCTGGACATGAAACCAGACTGTTCTTATATCTCGATGGAGGTTATACCATATTCCAGGTAGAAGGACTATATGCAGAGCCTGGAAATGCTTCTCAGTGACAACAGACACCCTGATTCGAGCCTTCCCTTGTCAGCCTGCGCCCCCATGGCTCTATGAAGGGTCCACCGCGCACAGACTCACGGTTCGCCCAGACAGGAAATGATGCCTGACGACGCCGGGTTTCTTAAAATAAAGCTGGCGTCCCGGTATTCAATAGGCTATGCGAATCCTACAAATTGGCAGTGTCTTTCATGCACTAGCCTCATTCGAATCGTATTAGAAGCTGTCGCCTACCTTCTCGTCAGGGACAGACCGACAAGAAAGACAGCAACAGAAAGTGAAACCCCAGCAAAACCGTGTGCCAAGCACTCGTCGCAGCGATGAAGTCCTATGTCCTCCTATCCCTTCTCGCGACTCTAGGGGCCCGCGCCGCGGACCTCGGTCCCAAGCAGAACCGTACTTGGGGCTGTTATGGCTCGTTGGATGGCGGCGACTTCAACGACCCTAGGACGTGGATAGTGCACGACTATCAGTCCGCCCAACAATACTGCAGGACCGAGGGCCATACATTGGCCGCTTTCAAGGGCACCGGAGTCGGTACCTGTGGCGACCAAATGCCCCCCGATAGCGCCCTCGTCGACGACGCTCAGTGCGACCAGCCCTGCTACGCCAATGAGACCAACGTCTGCGGTGGTAACAATGCATGGATCGTCATAGTGACAGCCAAGGAGGCCAGCGGCTTTCCCTTATTACCGGGTCCTTCATCGACATCTTCCACACCGGTAAGAGGTGTTTCCCTTTTCCAGTCGTTATCTGCAAAATCATTTAAATCACACAAGACTAACTTAATCATATTGCTTCTTATGCAGGGACCTACCATTGCCCCGAGCCCTACCAGCACCGGTGCTGCCGTCCCCAGGGACATTGCGAGCCTCGGCGGTCTGGGTGTTGCTTTGGGCCTTGGAGTCCTTGGTGGCGTTTGGTGAGGAGGACGTTACGACGTTACGCATCAGGCGTAGGGGATACCACTCAGGGACCATGTCAGGTTTATTGCCAACACACCCAGCTAGCATTCATTACTATCGGCCCGTCCAGGTTGTCAGTCAGGATTCGAGGTATAGGAACGGTCGGCAGCAAGATTTACGTCACCGTCTTCGCGGATTGCGTAGACCAAAGCGACGTGTGGTATGATACGAGAACGGCAGCATGGGGTAGACCAGCAAGGGGCAGAAAGAGACTGGCATGGCTACAATGACCACAAGGGAGTGGTCAGAAGCGTCTGGAAGATGGATATGACGTGTTTCGGATGTCTCATGACGACGTAGTACCAAAGTTAGATAGTTATAAGGCCACATTTGGGAATGCCTGCAACGTCTACTGTGAGAAGGATGTGATTGGCTATTCGGCGCAACGTCGAGGAATTCTCTTGAGACGTCAAAGTGTGCTCACTACCTCAAAGATTGGAATATGAGAAGTCTTCTTACACTTGAAAAAAGCATATCTGAAACGTTCGTCCGGGATATCGATCCGTCTGCTGTATGACGCCTGAACACTCTTGCGAGATCGATCTACGAAGTCCGAGAACTCGGAATCACTGTCAACCACTGGTGATCTGTCACACTGTAGCGTAGGAGGAGCGAAGCACAGTGTAAAAAGCATTTCTATCTAGCCCTAGCGTCGTGTCATATTGTGCTTGATGATTCATGAAGATGTCCAGCGCCATAGCGTCAGACTAAACTTCTTTTTGCGAGATCTGGGGTATGCAGATCGGAGGATTGATCTAGTCAACGCGTCGCGGATTTGAGTTGAGGATTATGCGAGACTTGGTGCAAGGGCCCGTGCAAATACACACAGCATAAGGGTAAGGTAATTATGTGCAGAGCCTCTTGTGCATGACCAAAACACCACGCGAGCTTCGGGGACCGCCGGTGTTTTATGAGAATGCTGTACAGGTTCAATTGTGATATTGTAGCTGCACACTGCCGGTGTATAACTAAGTCGGAAAGATAGACCAAGTGCCACACCGCCCTGGCAGAGTCGCCCTGATCGACATCACGGGACTGCGCGAGGCCATAGCTCGAGCCTACCATGCAGTCGGACACTAGCCTGCTTCGACAGTGATGACGTTCACGATCGAGGATGAAGGGTTCCCCAAGAAGAGACGTAGCTGGGACATCTGGCGGCAGAACTTGCAGCTTCCAAGCGAGGTGAGCGATCCAGAGAGCACAGCGGGGCACAATTCACGAGCCAGCCCCTGAATCCTGGGGGAAAGCTACATGCTGAAGGGTGCATTCTTAGGTATCTGAGACACGCTGTGGTGCACATTCCAAGCCACGACTGGCCACAAGTCGGACCCTCTCCTCGTCATGGACTTTGCTTTTTGCATCGGAGAACGGAGGAATTTCTCCACAAGTGCCAACCTTAGGGCCGCCCAGACGGTACCTGAGAGTTAGCGCCGTCGTCCGGCACGATCCCCCTAGGCGGATCCGGGGGAGCTTCTGCTCCGTGGCCATTGGCCAATCAAGCGAATGATGGAGAGTCAATGACCGCTGCAACAATAACGACAAGATCACCCCAAATTTCGAAACAATCACGATGTCATCTGCGCGTAACGATGACTTCTGGTCAACACCTTGCGGTTCCACGCGTGTGAACGAGGCAGGCACGGCTACTGTATACCTCGCTCTCCGTCAATCCTCGTATAGACGATGAAGTCTCTCCCCACATCACAAAATGCCTATATAATCGAAGCACTATTCCCTCCCTACAGTACTCAATTGGTTTCCTCATCATCACAACGCAACAGCCAAAGCAACCTTCCACAAATACCACAAACAATCACACTTTGTCCAATCGTACCTGACGATACCCCATCACCATCATGTCTGGCACATACAAGCCCACTGGTATGCACAGTCTCCCCATCCTTCCACTGCCCAGTTGTCCCTCCAGGATTCCTCAACCCCCTCCCCACTCCCACCTCTTTAGCGCACCATGTGTCTATTCCCACTGTCGGATCCGCTGCTAATGCAATCCCCACCACCAACAGAGCACGGCGGTCTCCGCGAGGACGGCCAGCCGGACAAGCGCGTCGGCACCGGCGAGTTCGCCCACGGCAAGGTCGACCCCCATGAGGCTGGCAAGGAGGGCGGCCGCACCAGCGGCGTTGGTAGCAGCGACGACAGTGGTAACTCCGGCTCCGGCAACAGCGGCGGCAGCGCCAAGGGCCAGTTTGCCCACGGCAAGGTTGACCCCCACGAGGCAGGCAAGAAGGGTGGCCGCACCACTGGCGATGACAACTAAGGCATGACAAACGTGTCCGTTAGGTAGACCGCAAATTATCCATGAGCTCACGGGAATTTGTGAGACTCTGTAGAGATGAATCCAACTCAATGGCTGAGATACCAAGTTTTCGTGTTGGTGAAAAAGTGACTGTCGAGAGTGGCTGCATGTGCCGGTCTCCAACTTACCTGCGAGTTTTACTTTACGGCTTGACCGATAGCTGTTGCGTAGTGACAGATGGGCATTTTTAATATGAATCTTGTATGCCCCTGATCGTGCTCTTGATGTTGTCCTTGAGAAGTTGAAGTATCTTAATGTAAATTCACATTCTATAACTTTTCACACATTGATCAATAATTTATGAAGACGGACAAGGCTAAATCTTGAGAAAATTAACCCCTGTATACTAGTCTCAATGGCACTGGAGTGCTTCTCAGCTAACAGTCAACCGCTAGAAGCCCTTATCACCCACCACAGACCTCAAGATCAATTCTCTTGTGTTTCCACTGGCTTGAGCCCATCTTCCTCTTCCAGAACTTGCAGCGTCCGGCTCCCTTTTGTGCCAAACGACACCCAGCCAGCCTTCCACCACTTATCCAGCACTTCGGCCCGCATAGACGGGGGCTTTCTTTCTGTTAGCACTGCAATCGGCGCAAAGTCGACCGGAGGTGCCCCATGCTGAGCGGCCCTCCTCCTTCGGCTTCGACAGGCATGGACCCTTCGCGGGGCCTGTCATCTCCCATGGTATCAACTCCGTCTCCGAGCGAGCACAGCCAGTTGTCGTGGAGCAACCTTGACCTGTGGTCGATGGGCTGGGGCGAAGCTGCCTCGAAGATGACCATGGCCGGCCAGGGTGGCACGAGTTTGCACGCGATGGCTCTAGCGGGCTTCTACGAAACCAACACTGCCCGCTCAAACTCGAGGCACTCAGTTCTCCTTCTAGCAGTCACTCTACTGGCACACAACCTGGTGACCTGGTGACTTCGTACATTTATAAACATGACCTCGAAAGCCGACTTTGAACTGAAAAGACATGACTTATATGGTTGTGCACGAAGACGGCGTGTTCTCACTTCTACGGACAGATAATTATCAGTACCCGTCCCATCCCGTCAGACTGGCAGCCTCAGATCGGATGACACCCCTACATCATGACTAGCTGAGATAAGGTATTTACTCTTATTGACTTCATTTACTTCTGTTGTCGCGTGTGCAAGATCCTTCCGCCGCACATGGCGGAAGGGCCAACAGGATCAATTTTCAAGCTTTCCTCAAGCAGCTTATCGGAATAAGGCGTCCAGCTCGCGGCCTCAACCTCCACGATGGGTGCAGCGAGGACGGCAATGACCTTCAACCCCTCGCGCGTTCTACTCAGCCCGCTCAGTAACCTCGCGCTTGCCCCAAGCGCCTCCCCGGTACAACGCGTCCGGCTCGGCAGCCTCACGTTCCTCGACCTCACTACGCTTGCCCCAAGCACCTCCTCGGTAGAGCGCGTCCGGCTCGGCGGCCTCGCGCTCTTCGACCTCGCTGCGCTTGAGGATGCCCCAATCACCTTGGCGCAGTCCCGCGTCCTCATGCCCTGCCTGACCATCATTCCCGGCCGGGTTGGCCTCACTTTCGGCGATTCCTGGTGGGACAGGGGGCCGGGGGCACGGGCCATTGAGCCCATTCCGGTACCCCAACTAACCCCAGATTGAGTTCATTCCGGCCAGCGAAAAATGGGCTAACCCACAGCTAACCCAACCCCAAGCCCAACCCCAACTAGCAGGGGTCCGAACCTGTGGGGCCCAGTGGCGCCCTCATATGCGTACATGCACAGGCCGCACGACGACGAGGGAGGCGCGTCAGACTGCCAGAGCAAGCAGGCAGGCAGGAGGCGCGCGCAAAAGAGAGAGGCAGAGAGAGGAGGGCCAAAAAAATGCCACGCCTAGGAGTCGAACCTAGCTCTTCAACTGTGACTAGCTCGAGCGTCCGGGTCGGATGGCTCCACAAGCTCAGGTCAGGGACCCTTATTCCTGCGGCCGACGTGGGAATGGAGAGCTATATAGCAGTGACGTCATGACCGCTAGACCAGCGAGGCTCTCTGGCTGTTTGTTGAATAGTCAGTCGCTTATTTGGATATATAAGGCTCAGGCAGGCAGGCAGGTCGGCAGGCAGGTCGGCAGGCTGGTCGGCAGGCAGGCCGGCAGGCAGGTCAGCAGGTAGTACGGCGGCAGCGGTAGCAGGTCGGCGGAGTAGTGGCAGTTCGTCGGAGCCGGTAGCAGGTCGGCAGGTAGTTAACATAGCGAAAATACCTCCGAAGCGGAGGAAGGGGTGCCGGCAAAAAGAGCTACCCACTTGAGAATCTCTACGAGACGAAGAGATTCTCAAGTAGGCGCAGTAATCCGGCCCGGAGTTGAACCAGGGATTCCGCTTAGCAATTGCTAGCGACGTCTTACCGCTTGACCACCGGGCCTGTTTGTTCTTAAGAGACTGGCTGCTTATTTGGATATATAGGGTCTGGCCGTGGCAGGCTGGCAGAGGTCGGCAGGTAGGTCGGCGGCGGCGGCGGTAGCAGTTCGGCGGCGGTAGTAGTTCGGCAGAGGTATAGTAGTTTAGCGGCGGTAGTAGTTCGGCGGCGGAGGTAGGTCATTCCCGGCCCGGAAGGGTACGGGCTATTAAGTTCATTCCGGTACCCTGAGTTCATTCCGGCCAGCGTAAATGTGCTAACCCCTAGCTAACCCAACCCTAACTAGTAGGGGTCCGAACCTTAACCCCCCCAGCTCAGCTACGCGTGTACGGCTAGGCACTGCTGCGAAAAGGGGGACAAGGTAAGTAATAGGTAATAAAAAGGAGATAAGCGCGTACGCGTAACAGCGCGAGCCCGGGGAGTCTAAAGGGGAGAGGGGACGCGCGTAAGAGGAGATAGAGGGAGGAGGAGAATGAAACGGACGCGCGCGCGCATTTCGATTGAACTATAATACTAGCTTAGGGTCTCTTCCCAAGAATATACGCAAGAGTCGAAGATCAGAAGTAGTACCGAGAAGAGAATCGCATACGACAGGTAGTACTCCACGATGGACCGCAGCAGCCAGGGAGGCGACTACGAGAGCGATTACGGCAGCGCCGCGCAGCAGCGGCAGCAGCAGCAGCAGGAGGACGCGAGAGCTACAGCAACGACCGAGCCAGCAGTAACACCAGAGCTCTATCTATATCGGGCAAGCCGCGTACTAGTCTGCACACTATGTAGGGCAGGAATCGCAGCGGCCGTAGGTGGTGTAGTTACCCACTACCGACAGAGGCACCAGCTTAAGGGCGGCCAGCTACGGGCAGTCAAATCGGCGGCAGCGGGGCCGGACAGCGGCGGCGGAGGTCAAGTCTGGGAGGCCCACATGGCGGCGTACGAGGCTAAAGCGGCCGCCGAAGAGGCGGAGCGGGGCCGGATTATCGACTACGAGGCCGGCGTCGACTATGAGTCGCCGTGGGTGAGCCAGATGGGCTGGGCGGCGCATCTGGCCGGCAAGGATATGGCGGAACTACGGCGCGCCGCCGAGCCAGGTCTATCGACGAAGGAGCTAGCTAAACTAAGCTGGTCCGTCCGGAAAGAGAGGGAGGCTTCGGAGGCGACGCTCGTACGGCTGGGCCAGAGCTTCAACCGGGTAATCGAGCGGTGTAGCCGGCGGATCGGCCAGGTACCCGTGGAGACGCTCTGCTGGCTAGCAAGCCGCGACCCGAACCGGCCGTCGCCGCGGCCGTTCCGCGTTAAGCAGGAGGCGCATACGATGGAGAAGTACCGGAGCTACTGGCGGCGCTATCTCTGCTACTGCGTCCGGGTCTTCCGGCTCGGCCGTACGGAGGCGAGGAGGAAGCACCAGGTCCAGTTTACCGACCAGCAGTGGGCCGCTCTCGAGGCTATTATAGAGGCTCTCGATAGTACGGAGGAGGAGAGCTCCCGGGTAGGGGGCGGCGGCGAGGAGGAGGAGAATCGCGAGGGCGGCGGCGACGACGGATATCTAGACGAGGCCGTCTTCACGTTCTGTGTTCTGTCGCTTACGCAGCGGGTACTAGTACAACCGTACGTAAACCCGCTACTACACTTCACTACCGTACTCGCGATCGACCCCGTCCGAGCACGATTTCGGCCGCCGGCCGAGTTTACAACACTACTAGCGGGTCTAGCGTGGTGTAGCCGCGTACTACTACTAGAGTACTTCTTCGAGCACGTCCCGATCCAGGAAGAGGATAGTACTACGGACTCCGGCGAAGGGGAGGACGAAGGGCGTAGCCAGCTCCAGGCTAGGGATATCGACGCATTTATGGACGGCTATCGGCAGTGGATCGCAGACGGCTCGTACAGCCCGTTCAGTACGCTAACCCGGTTCTTAACGATCGGAAAGGGCTACCGCCAGAAGGAAGGGGGGGCAGCACGGATTATCTGGGAGGACGGGAAGCAGGCGCTCCGGCTACACGGCTTCCGGATCGAGGTCCAGAACTTCCGGCGGATGGCCCAGGGGCTCGTCTCAACAGCCGAATCGGCGCTCGACGGGCTTCTGTACGGCCAGTCGGCGGTACTACTAGGACGGATCGAGCTTAGCAAAATCAACGACAGCGTAATGTACGAAGGGGGTGGGAAATCGTTCATCTCAAACCCGCAGAACAGCTGGCTTCAAGCCGGGCCCCGCGTCGTTGCCGAGCTCGTTTCGGAGAGGCTCTGGTCGTCCCAGCGGCAGCAGTACCACCGGGAGCGGTCGCAGAAGTGGCTAAACCAGATCGGAACGCTAAAGAGCCAGCTACTCGTACTAACGCACGTCTGGGGAGGCCAGCCAGGCCGAGGGCCCGAGATCACGAGCGTGCGGTATCTAGATACGAAGCAGCTAAGCCGGAGCGTCTAGATCTTCGACGGGCAGGTAATGCTCGTAACGGACCGAGATAAGGCCAAGTCGATCCGGGGCTACGGCCGAAAGGTCGCACGCTTTCTCCCGGAACGGGTCGGGCAGCTACTTGTCGTCTATCTCGTCTGGCTAGTCCCGTTCGAGGAGATGCTTCTCGATGCGACGCGGGCTCGAAAACCGTCGGAATCGCTGCGGCACTGGCTATGGAAGGACGGCCGGAAAGGCCGCTGGGGAACGGACGTGCTTACGAAGGAGCTTAGGGCAGCTACGGCGGGCTATCTCGGCGTCGAGCTAGGTACTTCGACGTACCGCCATCTCGCGATCGAGCTAGGCCGTACGATTCAGGGGCTTATCGTACAGCAGAAGGAGCTCGAGGTCGGCGCGGCCGATGACGGATACGGGCCCGAGGATGAGGAATTCGACGAGGCTACTGGCGAGCTACGACCGAGGGACCGGACGGAGGTAATCTGGGATCTGCAGGCGACACACAGCAGTGCCATGGCACGATCGCACTACGCGATCAACATCCAGTTCCCAGGGCAGCTACAGCCGCAGATGATCGCCAACTACCGCGAGATCAGCCGGCTCTGGCACCAGTATCTGAGCTGGGATAGCCAGGGTAAGGGCAAGTCGCCGGACCAGGCGCAGAAGCGGACGAGGAAGCGGAAGCGAGAGTCTACGGAGGCCGAACTCCCAGGTAGGGAGGAGACGATAGAGTCGAGCCCAGAGCCGGCGAAGCAGAGGAAGACGCTCCCAGAAGCCGTCGGGGAGGTCCGGCGCCGGGTCCAGCACGGGCTCGAATCGATTATTGGGGCCGGTGCGCGCTGGAGGACGGCAGAACAGGAGCAGGCCATGGTCCGGATCATACAGATGCGAGGCGGCTCCGTACTCATCGTCGTACTACCGACGGGCGGCGGCAAGAGTCTACTATTTATGGTCCCGGCGGTACGAGGGTTAAACGGCGGCGTTAGTATCGTCGTCGTTCCGTTCGTAGCGCTGATCGGCGATCTCGTCGCGCGGGCACGCTCGTTCGGGATCGACTGCGTACGCTGGAGGTCGGCTGAGGAGGAGGGCCGGGAAGCTAACTCGCTCGTGCGCGTGGCTAGTCTAGTCGTAGTCAGCGCCGACCAGGCAAGCAACCACGAGTTCTGCAACTACGCAGACACGCTACGGAGCCGGAGGCTACTACGGCGGATCTTCATCGACGAGTGCCACACGATTATCATGGACGTCGGCTACCGGAAGAGGCTCGTGGAGCTGAAGGGGCTGTACCGGTACGACTGTCCGGTAATCTTGCTTACAGCTACGCTCCCGGTGAAGCTAGAGGGCTGGTTCCGGCAGCAGATGATTGCGGAAGACGCCGAGATTATACGGGCACGGACAACGAAGAAGAACATCCGGTACGCCGTTACTACGGTCCCAAGTAGGGCCGGACTAGGAAGAGGCCGGAAGGTTGGAAACGCGGTGCAGGAGGAGGTCGTACGACTGGTCGAGGAGAGGAAGAGCTCCGGGTCGCTTAACGGCGATAGGAAGGGGGTAGTGTACTGCCGGTCGAAGAAGGATAGCCAGAAGCTGGCGGAGCGGATCGGGTGCGGGTATTACCACAGCGGGATGGAGACCCAGGCGCGAGAGGAGGTACTCGAGGCATGGGTGAACGGCAGCAGCGCGTCCCGGTGGATCACGGCAACGACAGGTCTAGGCACTATTCGCAGACGTTTGTATTAAAGACGGGGCCACTTGCCCACACAAACTGGTGCAGCGGGTCCGTGCATTTGACCACTGTCGAGCTGACTAGGGCCGGGTCGTTGATTGGCCCAAAATAACCCCAGACCCACCGGCACTACCCCAACCCGAATCAACCCCAGGTCAATTCACAGGGTTAGCAGCCCCATGAGATGTCCAGCTGAAGCGACAGCTCAGTTTCGCAGGGAAGACGCGACACGAGAAGCCAAAAAGGAAATGATGGGCTTGATCAGGGGCGCGACGCGACAACATAGTATATAGATGATTAGAACTGTAGATAGTCAGAGCTGTAGATAATCGAGTAATGAACAACTTCAAGAACCAACAACTTCAAGAACGTCAAACATGGCCAAACAACTGTACGAGCGCGACGACGTGGTGACAATTGACGTGGATACGCAGGTACTGCTATGTCGATTATGTCCAGCTGGTGTTAAGCCCGGCGCTGGCATCGAGGCGCACTTCCGTTACCAACACCAGATTCGGGGCAAGCTACTACAGGACATTATTTACAGCTTTAGCGACATCGAACTCCAAGATCCGCAGACGTGCAGACTGCCGGCCGATGGCGGCAAGCCAGTTCAATTGCTTCCCGTCGTGAACGGTTTCAGCTGTGCAGTATGTCGATATATCACGACCACGAGAGACAACATTGTTCGACACCAACGTACTGCAAGTCACAGTAGCGACGAGGCAGGCTGGAGCGCCGTAAAGGTCCAGTCGTGGTGTAAGGGACGGTGGGCGCGTTATTGGATCGTCCGTACTGGGCACGACAGTGACGAGGTTTTGTCCGATCCCGAAGCGACACCATTAATCTCCATGATGGACCAAATGGCTATAG